TTCACGTGCAAAGAGGGCGCTTTTTTACAAGGAAAAATAGGCCCATTCTACAAGCCTTTTCACGGATCTTTTCGCGCCCGTTTTGACGTGTCAAAAATGCGCCTTGACTCCCATTCTCTCAGAAAGGTACCTTGTGACACGTCAAAACGGGCGCGAAAAGATCCGTGAAAAGGCTTGTAGAATGGGCCTATTTTTCCTTGTAAAAAAGCGCCCTCTTTGCACGTGAATAGCCACGTGAAAACAACTTCTTTTCAGCCATCTTTTTACACGGAAAAACGCGCGCAAATAGGCGCCCATTTGACGCACCTTTTGACCTGCCAAAAGCGCCCGGTTTCACACTCATCTTCACACTCGTTCTTACATCCGGTTTCGCAAGTCAAAGAGCTTTTTATTGACGCGCTAAAACTACTCCCTTTTACGCTTGTTTTTCCGCACCTTTTCCCGCACCTTTTCCCGCACCTTTTTACTGGTCAAAATTCCGGTCCGCCACCCGTGTCAACCAATGCTCAGAAGAAAGGTCGACGCTGCGGACGAGACCAAGGGTCACTTGACCGTGTACGATGGACATGGCAGGCGCGCCGTTAGAAGAGAAGGGGCCCGGGCGTGCACCAGCCCGGGCGATCTGCGCCGTTCAAATCCAGTTCGTCAACGAGCAGAGGTCACAGGGAGCATAGAGGTGCAGCGTCGGTGCCGGCCCGTCCGACGGTTATGTGGCGCAGCGTGGATACGGTGGCGTTGCCATGCCCTCGAGGCGGGGGCAACAGCCATGACGCGCCCCGGCCCGAGGCAGGGCGCTCCGCTTTCCACCTGCTCGTCGTCTGGCTCCCTGTTCTCGCCCAGCATGCACCTGCTCCTCCACCTGACCTCGAATTTGAGCCTCCCCAGCCACCCACCGCGCTCGCTCCTGACCGGCCGTGGTCCTGTTCTTACTGGTTGCGGAGTTTCTCCAGGGCCTTGGGCTCGACGGAACATTGGCGGGACGACGGAATGATGTGTGCCACGCGACCGGAGAAGGGCGCTCGGAACGGAGGCTTTCTGACAATCACGTGGGAGTGCCCGCCTTCCTTCCCCGAAGCGCCCGCCACTCTTCCTCGGAACGTCGAGCACCGTTCCCTGAAGTGCTCGCCGCTGACCTTCGCCGCAGTCATCACCTCTTCGCACGTCTTCCGTACCGAAGTCGCGTCGAACAGTCTCCCCGCGTCTTCTTGTCTCCGCGTCTTTACGCCTGTGAAGCCGTCGAATTATCCGTTGCCTGCAGACTTTCGCCGCGTCCTCCCTATGCCTGGTTTGACAGCTATCTTTCAAGCTTACCTCCCGTCTTCGACGTCCCATATCCCGTCTTCAGAATGTCACCCTCGTCTTCAATATTCTTACTGAACCTTGACATGATGTGACTGCCTTACATCCATCCGTCCAACGAACTTCCGCCTTGACATCCCTTGACGGGAGGCGAAAGGACCTTCCCGCCCGCCTGACCCGGCTGTGGGCGAACGCCGCCACGAACGCACGCGCGCCACCCACAGCTGAGGAACCTCGCATCGTGTCTCGTCCATGGCAATGGGATTGACATGACCGGCGCAGCAATACTCGAACAGGAAGAACAGGACGCCGATCAAAACCAGGTTCTGTTCTACCGCGGAACGCGCTCCTGCAGAGATGGCACGCGCGCCTGCCATCTGCAGAGACGACGCTGCTGCGCAGCGCGCAGATGCCGCTCGATTGCCCTCCCGTCCACGCGAAGCCCTTCCATCCCTGCAGCGCCAAAACGTCATCGTCGTCGGGGTAGGCGGGAAGCCAGTAGTTGCCGTCCGCATCGAGGGGTTGCCGTCCGCATCGAGGGGGTTGCAAGTTCGACGGCTCGAGCGGCTGCGGTCCGCGAAATCTTCTGGTTCGTCGCGAATACCGCAAAAGCCGAGCGCGGGGACGTTGAGAAGTGCGGGCTGCCGAGCGAGATCCTGCGCATGTGCTCCCAGCAAAGGCTAATTTTCGGTCGTTACGGACATATGATGGTTGGACTGGGGCAAGGGATGGTTGGACGGGGTCAAGGGATGGTCGGACAGGTGCGACGAATAGCAGAACGGAGACCAGGGGGCAACATGCGAATCAGAGGAGCAACATGCGAGACTAGGGAGCAACAAGGGAGACGCGCGCCATGGTAATTATCGATAGGGACAAGTACGTGGAATTCTGAACCTTCAGGAGAGGAGTTATATGCATGGCCGGTAGCGAGGCAGGCGAGAGGGGCAGCATGCAGGTAAAGGAGTAATACTGACAAGCGACCAGGAGGAATAGCACGCGGTAGACGGACAGGGTCTTGAATATTCTTGACGCAGGAACGAGGATGTTGCAGGTACGAACGGGGACGATGAGAAGAGGGGACAGGCGAACGACCGCCTGTGGCGCGGGGACTGATAGGGGAGGAGTAATTGAATATTGAATATTCGAGGGCAGCGATGATTCGGGCAACGAGTATTCAAAGGGGAGAACGATTATTCAGTGGGGGCGGCGAGTATTCAGTGAGACCAGCGATGCCGTCACCATCGAGGGCGGTCTGCGCGCGGTCGCATGTGTTTCGTCATAGCCAAGATGGCAGCAAAGGGCCTGGGGTGTCACCGAACATCGTCATCGTTCGAGTCGGGGGTGGCAGACACTTGATCGAGCGTCGAGCGATTGGATGCGGTTTGAGGCGTCTGGACAAAGGGGAGGCAGGGAAATCGTGGGGAGGTGGTGTGTGGTCCAGTCGAGGATGAAAGAGCGTTGGAGCGAGGGCTGGACGCGCAACAAGTGCTGTCGAATCAGGCGTCAGATGCCCTTCGTGGGCTACAGCAGAAGTCCAGGAAATGAAGCGAGGCAGGCGAGGCGAGGCAAAGCAGATGGGTCGTGTGATGCTCGCGAATGAAACCAAGCGCGCAGAAGTGAGGTGCTGCTGTGAGCGCGGCGAGGTCGGAGGCTCGTTCGGCGACGCTCGTCTTTCTTGATCCTGGCGCCCCGCACGCACGAAAAGTTATCGGAGCGGAGAAAGAGACGCGGGAGAGGAGTACGGCTTCGCGGATTCGCCGGGCTGTGATTGCTGTCGGACGGGAGGACGCATCGCGCGTGATGCTCGGGGAGGAGGGCGAGCAAGGTGGTGCGGGGGAAGGAGCAAGCAGGGCTAGCGATGGCAGCGATTAGTCGCGGGTGCGCGTTGTGCCAGCAGCGTGGGGGACACCGTTTGCTGCACGAGCAGGGCAGGACTGATGCATGCTGATAATGTGTCAGAGCGCGCGGGGAGATAATCAGCAGCCACATGAAGGCGAGCGAGCCGGTGCAGGGTGCACTTGTGAGCCGGCTCAGGATCCACTCACGGGCTCCCGCGGGACGGCGGGCCGGGGCGGCAGCGCTCAGCAAGACCGTGCGGTCGGATAAACGCGAATTTCTGGACCAAGGGTGGCGTGTGCTCCTAGGAGGGAAAGGGGACTGGTCTGCAGCCGACCTTTGTGCGCGGGCATAGGGCAGGGGCAGACGAGCCGGGAGAACGATAGCGGGGGTGGCGGACAGGCGGGGAGATCGCAGATCTGATTGCCAGCATGCGCGAACGGCGGGCGCGAGATCGATCGGGATATCCCCGCAGGGCGGTGCCGGAAATAGGCTGCACGCGGTGGATGGCCCGGGATTAAGCCGAGTGTATATATATCCCGAGCGCGGGCAAGCGGCGACTCCTCTGAACTGCCCGAATTCCCCGCTTTTGAGCATGGAAGGCGAAATCGACTGGTGCGCCTCTTGTGGGCGCCAACTCGCCGCGAAACGCATCACAGAGACCATCAGAGGTGAGCGACCCCGCCCAGCGCGCCTTGTCCCCGACGCTCATCACCATCGCCCAGTCCCTGCCCCGCCCAATGCTCAGCCACCAGCACCAGCACCAGCACCCGGCAAGAAGGGCCGCAAGCAGCCACGACAGGCGCCTGCTCAGCCCGCCACAGTTCTCAAGACGCGCACTTTCTACGACAGCGCGCCCCTTCCCCTCTACTGCTCCGACAAATGCCGCCTCGCCGATCTCCAGAGCCCCGCACGCGCCGGCGCCCTCCCCATCGGCCACAACCCCGTCCGCCACCCGTGGCGCTTGGATGACGACGAGTTGGCGCTAGTCCCCGACTGCGCCGTCGACGACGTCTCCTCGGTCGGCACCTCATCCTCCGCGTCCTCCACCTCGTCCGCCCCGGAGCTTCAGCTCCGTGACATGGACCCCTCCCTCGCCGCCATCTTCCGTGGCTACGACTTCAAGCCGATGCCCCTCGTCCCCGGCTTGGCCCCCGACGCGCGTCCCGCCGTCCCCCGCTCGGCGCGTCGCAAACGCGACCTCGACGCAGAGTTCAACAGCGGCATCATGATGTCCGGCAAGCGCATACAGGAGTGGACCCACCCCGAGCAGCCCAAGCCTAGCCGCCCAGCCTACCCCCTTCCCTATCCCCCTGGCTACGCGCAACCGACTGCTCCGAAGGAACCCTCCTCTACCTCCTCCCAAAAGAACGGCGTCATCCCGGGTTGGAACGACGGCACCAACGCGTGGCGCGCGTCGATCTACAACCTGTCCTCCACCACCGATGTTGACCCCATGGACCTGCGCGAGCACTACGCGTACAGCACGCAGGTGGCCTCCACCCACCGCTCCTCTGGCGGCGTCGTGCCCACGATCCAGTCCTCTCCCCCTACTTCCCCGGTCACCTCCACCTCCTCCGTCCCCGGCCTGCGCAGGCACTCGACCCCGTCGACCGCCCGCACGGACCCGGACGCGCTCCTGCTGTCGAAGTTTTCCGAGCCCTTCAGCAGGCGCAGCGAGTCGCGCCAGACGCTGAACAGCGGCTCTCCGCGCCCGTCGTCCTCCATGCCTGAGTACCGCGAGAAGAGTCTCGTGGCGCGCGGCGCCGAGCACGCGCTCCTCGTCCCCAACGTGACCCTCAAGGTCCGCCGGAGGTCGAATGAGCGCACGGGCAGCAGCCTCCCGGGCGCGCGCAGTCCGCTGTCGATGACGGCGGTTGCGTCGAGCGACGAGGAGACGGATGGCGACGATGACGTGACGCTCACTGAGGACAAGCTCAGCGAGCTCAAGGTCTCCGATAAGCCCAAGCGGCCCACGATCGAGTGTGAGTTCCCTCACCTCATCTTCCTCATTACCTTCCTGACTCCCTTTCCAGCCCGCCCGTGGTCCTATGATGGCTACAAGACCTACCCGGCTATGCCATTGAAACGCGAGGTCTCTGCCCTCTGGCGGTGGTAATCGTCGACAATCACTCGACCCCCACCCTCGCGTATCGTCCCTTGCTCTCGCATGATCCTGCCCTCGCATAATCCGGCCCGCATCGCATATCATTATTCTCCCGCATGGACGCCCGGCTGCCAGCAAAGCATATCCACCCGCACTATCATACCCGTCTGAGGCCGACACCGACACGGACACCCTGCACGCATCACTGTCTCGCACGCGTATGCTTCACATCATCGCACGCGCATCTCACTCTCGCATGCAACACATCATCGCCCACAACGCAATAACTTATGTCTTCGCGCACGCACTACCCACACGCAATGCCCGTATCCTCATCACCTCGCACGCCCTACCCTACGCACGCACTACCTCGTCCACGACATCTACGGGTCACGCCGCGCCGCGAACGCATAATGGGTCCGTCTCACGCATCGCGCATCGTCGCGCACCACCACAACGCGCGCACCACCGTGCACGCTCACCGTCCTCGCACGGGCTATGGTTATGTTTATCACTTCTTATCCGTCGGTGTCAGCTTTCGTTCCTTGTTTGTTGTGTACTATACCTATCTCCTTCCACGCCTCTATTCTCCTCTGCACGCCTCTATCCTCTTCCGCATGTTACCTTTATTCCTCTATCCGCTTCCTCTGCTGCCTATTCCTCACCTATTCGCCGCCTCCCACTACCTATTTCTCTCCCACTACATCCTCATCACCTCACAAGGTACATGGCTGTATACTGTACTCGCGCTAATCTCTTCGGGTCGGGCGCGCGGCCCTTGTACTATGACTTTGTTACTTACTAGTTACTAGCTACTTTTTCTTGGCTTCGCTCTACTGAGCGAGCAGGCTTCGCTCGACACATCGAGCAGGCTTCGCTCTGCACAGCGAGTAGGCTTTGCTCTTGGACTACGGACCAAGGTGCACACTGTATGACGGGCGGGTCGTATGCGTAGGGTACGGGTCGTTATGAACGAAGAAACGAATAAATGAATGAACTGTATGAAACGAAACTTGTCGGTCGAGTGATTCGAGTGAACTGGGCGAGTGATTTGGGGAGCGGGCAGGATAGGAAAAGCAAGAGCGAGCAGGATAGGAAAAGGGAGAGCGAGAAGAAGAGGAAAAGGGAGATTGGATTTGAGTGAGTAGGGCTTCGAAACCGTTCGACGAAGATCACTAAAATGCTAACCATGAAGATCACTAATTACTGACTTCGGTCACTGTAGTAGAGAATAGGCTTGGTCACTATGAAGACAAGCAATCCACAGATGAAGGCCTTGCATTGTTGTGGCGCGTCGGCTTGTCGCCGCAGTTAAAATGTCGCTCTCGTCTTCCATGTTCACTCGGTCATGTTCCCTTCATCTCTACGCGCTCGCCGTCCAAGCCGTTCATATTCTCCTTCATATCTCTCCTCGCGCGACGCTCACCTGCTTTCATTCTTCTCGGACCTTGGAAGGGACCACGCCTTTTCCATCGGACTTGTGTACAGTAAGGAACGAAGGAAGGTCAGTACGGAGCGAAGGAAGGGCAATTCAGACCGCGTCTTTCTCTCATTTTCTGTCCGTTTCGTCGCTCGCGGTGAGGTTGAGGAGGGATTGAATTGAGGCGAGGGAGAGTATATCTATCGAATCCCTCGCGGGCGTCGAGGATGCCAGTACCTAACGATGACGTCGACGCACTGTAGAAGAGCGAGACGAACAGCGGGGACGGGCCGACAGGCCCAGCAAGAGAGGGTCGACATGGCCCAGCGGGAGGCGGTCATCAGGTCCAGCGATGGACTCTTCTAGACGTAGAACGGGCACTGCGTCGGACACCAGGATAATGAACGTGCGAGGCGTCTGCAATGGCCGCAAGGGATGGTATTCCGTACATCGTGGAGACTGTAGAGACCCACTCTCGGGAAGGAGGAAGACGGAAGGGACTCGCCGTGCAGACCGAAAGACCCACCGTACACCTTGTTGAACGCCTAAGACCGGTTTGAGGCAGTCAAGACGCTGGTCTCATGGCAGTCAAGACGAGGACGGCGATACCGCACTTACGGCAGCCCAAGCATGCGCCCTAGAGGCCTCCGATGTTTTGCCAGGTGGTGGGCGAGTCGGGATCATCAGTGCGAGACGTAGTCGCTGCCAAACAAGAGAGTTGGACAAGAGGCTTGACACACTGGATTTCAGAGGGTCGACACACTGAATTCAATGAAGTAACAAGGGCTGATAAGATCACGAGTAGGTACGCTGATGAGGGCCGTGCTCGTCGCTCGACCGCGGCCGCCACCCACCTGCAAGAGCCGAGGGCGCAGGGTTGCAGAGGTTGTCAGCGTCAGAGCTAGGACCGGAAACAACAGGGCTGATGAGCAAACACGGGGGACCTCGATGAGGACGAGAGGCTCGATGGGGACGAGAGAGCGGCACGCCGATGTCCGGGCAAGACCAGAGATGAAAGTTCCCATCGCACATGGACCTCCCCTCAAGCGCGCAGATGGGATCCAGCACGCAGACGGAGAGTTTGCATGCAGATGGATGGGATCACAGCAGTCGATAACCGTGTCGGTGGCGGGCGATTACACATAATCGCCGTCGCAAGGAAAGCCGCGCGCGTAATAGGTGGCCGGACGACCATCGATGGGCAGGTACGCAGGGCGCAGGGCATGGAACGAGGCGACGGCGGACGGCAACACGCGGGCGGGCAGCGAACACGCGGGCGACCAGCGACATGCGGAGAAAGAAAAAATTGCTAGCGGGACGGGACCTTCCAATGCGGGACGGAGGCGGTGGGAGGAGGCATGCGGGGCGTGCGAGAGAAAAATTGAGCGCGGGAGGGAAGGCAGCGACAAGCGGGGGCATGCGGGGCGCCTCATCCTCGTCCCGACGCGGCAGACGGCGGCAGGAGACGTCGAGCGCGCGGTTCCCCTGCCGCTGGCGGGCGCGTATCTGGCAACGCGAGCTGGTTCGGGGCGATCCACGGATTGCGAGAAGCCGGGAGGACGGAAGGACAGTAAGCGTCCCGTGACCGGATGACTGACGCGACGCGACGCGTCGACGCGTTTACAGCCAGAGATCAACAATGACAGCATCGACAGCGAGTGCGTCATGGACATCTGGATGACGCAAGCAGGCGACTAGCTGAGCGCGTTGGGCCCCTCGAGCTTGGGCGTCTGCTGGCGCCACTGGCGGTGAAGGGAAGGGCTCGCAGCTGTAGATAGCTGACAGCAGCGGTGGTATCGGGTACGTACTTCCCCTTGGTCTGCTGGCCCCGAGGCGATGGACGAGAGTTCAGTGAGCTAGCCCAGCGGTACCGAGAGCCTGAGCTGAGCCAGCTATAGGATATGCCGTATCAGTAGATGCAATGAACCTGAACTACCAATGCTGCTTACCGCCGTCTACTTCCCTTTCGCAGGCATAACGCCGCAATTCGCAGGAAAGAGGCCGAGAAAATCCTGCGCGCGCTGCGACGCGCACCTTAGATCAGCCCGACCTACGAGACTTCGCACGAGCATAGAGTACGCACAGTAAGCTGATTCGGATGTTCTCCCTCAGCAAGATAACACGGCGATGTTCGGACGACCGGATGCGCTTGTCCTGCGCGCCACTAAGCCGTCTGCTCGTGAATGCCTCAACGACTTAGAAAGCACTACTTACCTGGATCCCTATCGCCTGCTTGCATACCCTATCGCTGCGAATTAGCCTATCGCCCCGCTCCGTACCGGTAAGAGTCGTAGTCTCGTAGACTCGCAAAGTGGCCTTAGGCCCTCCGCCTCGGGGCGAGCGCGCCACAAACCCTAGCAGCCTATACACCGTCGCGTACGTACAAGGTGGTCGGGGCCAACGTAAGGATAAGGAAGGTCGCTCCTGCTGGATGCGGTAGCGCTCTGAGTGGAAGACGTATACAGCGGCGTTGATAGTTCATACAAAGGCGGACATTGCTCGCGGACTGAGGGCCTGGTCAGTGCGGCGCATACAGTCACGGAGGTAGAAGGCGTTCGCCTGCAGTCCGAGGTAGAAAGCACTCATCTGCAATCCGAGGTAGAAGGCGCTCGCCTGCAAATCGAGATAGAAGGACCTTACCTGCAATCCGAGGCATCATCGCGCGCGACTCGAGGGCAGAGAGAACCCTACTGACCACCCGAGGGAACCTTACCCATTTCGGGTAGGTTTTCCACTCAATGTGAGGACGTCTTCTACTCGGTTCGATGAGAGCGCGTCTTCCTTTGAATAGGAAGGGCAAACGTTCCCTGATGATAGGGCGCAACGTGCCTAGTGTCGCTAGCAGTAGGGGTTAGCAAAGGCGATAGAGCGGTGGGAAGGTTGGTTGAAGGACGAAGGGAAAGTGATAGAATGAAGGGAAAGTAGTTGAATGAAAGAAAGGAAACCGATAGAACGAAGAGAACACGGAGGAACACGACGAAGCTCTTCGAGCAGGAACGTTGAATCTTGATAGCTCTTCGAGCAGGAACATCCAATCTTGATAGCTCTTCGTGCGGGACAGCGAGGAACATAACGAAGCCCTCCGAGCGCGATATACATCGTCCTTCGAGCGCGATATACTTCCTTCCTTCCTTCCATCGACCTTCGAGTCTGGACCGACGTCCCATCGACTCTGGCACCGACGTCCCATCTACTTTGGCACCGACGTCCTTCTACTCTGGCACAGACGTACCTTCTGCTCTGGCACCGACGTCCCACATCTACTCTGGCACCGATAGCCTTTGACTGGGAAATGCGACCGATCGTTTGTCGAGCAGGAACCAACGACCGATTGTTCGTCGAGCAGGAACCACCGGCCATGCGACCGGTCCTTCGTCGAGCAGGAACCAACGACCGATCGTTCAGAGAGCATGGACGAACAGTCATTCGCCCCGGGGCCGATAGCGCCGCTTGCGAGGTTAGGGCGGCTGCCCTATTTTCGTGATAGTTGACAGCGAAGGCGACCGTGCAAGGCGGGGAGGGCGACCGTGCGAGGGGGGTCGTGCAAGACGGGGAGGGGATCGTGCAAGGTGGGGAGGGGGATCGCAGCATAGCGGGAAATGACGAAGATCATGATAGGGAGAACCGCGAGCGAAGCTCATAGAGGGTGAAGGATCGAGGAACGAAGTTCATAGAGGGTGAATGCGTGACGAGCGAAGTTCATAACGAGCAAAGACATGAACGTTATAGATAATTCAAGTCAGAGTCTGAAGCTCAGCATGTGAAGAGACGAACCCATTAGGATAGCTGGATGAAGGAGGTTCGTAGCCTGACCAGATGGAGGAAGAAGTGAAGTTCATAGAACGAAGAGGGAAAAGGAACAACGCACCTCGTACTGAATGTCGAAGCGCTTCGACGGGCCCGGATCGCTACGAAGTAGTGAGTGCGGTTGGTACCTTGACTGGCGAACCCGCGGACGACGCAGGTAGACTTTGAAAAGCTGATGAGCTTTACGAAGAACGTTTGCGCACCCTAAGAAAAGCGCTCGTGAGTTCTGCCAAGGTCGCCGATGGATTTTGCGAAGGATGCTGATGGATTACGCCGAGGACGTTGGCGAGCTTTTTGGAGGACTCGTGAGAGTCGGAGAGGGACGGCGAGACGCACAAATGGCGCCGATAAAACTGGCGGAGTGCGCCGGACGGGACGCACGAGCTTCGCCGAGGGACTGACATTCACGAAGCGGCGATATGAGCTATCACGGGTGCGAGCGAATTAGCGAGAGCAGTAGGAAAACATAGGCGCCGGTAAGTAGGTTGAGCAATGGAGCGACGTCGTCGAGAACATCGTCAAGTTCAACATGGTGTGAGTGGCGGTAACACGTGCTGCGCGCACCTACATTTGGCGCCCGCCAGGGAAGTAGCAGAGGATGGTTTGAGGACCTCAACACAAAACCAGAGGACGCACTTGTGCACTGGATGTACGAACACACCCGCGTACTCGATGTAGGGACGCTCCGGCAGGCTCGAATCGCAGCACGGTGACAGTGGACGAAACGGATCGAGGTGCATGGCGAGAAGCGGAAAGAGGACCAAGATTGGCCATAGAGCACTGAGAGTAGCGTCAGTGATCCTTCATGTAGGAAGACTCGAGGTACGACGATACCGACGACTGGTTGGCCACGTGCCGTTTTCGTGTTACCGACGCTCGGCGGGTTCGTGTCCAGCGCTTCCAGGAGGTATCCCGTCCCTCCAGTCTTTCGTCAAAGGGCCGGTGTTGAAGGCCTTGTCAGTGATATAGAGATCAGGTCCAACTAGCAAGACGGTGATCGTGGCGCGCTTTGTGCAGTCAGCGCCCACGCTTCTACAAACATGGTGAGCAACTTCGATATCTCGCTTTGGGCCGCCGAATATGGTTGAGTTTCACCGACGAATCGTTTAGTATATTTCAGTACGTATGCGTCGCGAGCCACGCCTACACGGAATAATTCGAGTTGGGACCGTCATCTGCAGGAGGCCAACAGTATTCCTTCCCGCCGCCGCCTTTGGCACAGAAGTGCGTCAGGAGAGGTAGGTCCTTCCCATCCACCGACATGGCCCGCATCCTAGACTCGAGTATGGCCATGAGAACAGCGTCGACCTCGAGATCCTTCGGGTCCGCCCTGTTGTAGCGGTTGCCAAAGCGTATGCTAAGTCGCGCGAGATTCGGCAGGAAGGCCAAAGACGACGGCACGGTTGGCTGGCGGACCATGTCGCGTAGCAGGTCCAGCGTGATGAGGCTTGGGGACAGCTCGCGCGCCATGTCCCGGTTACTCAGAAAGATCTCCTCCAGTGAGGGGAGTACGCGCAAGCACGCGATGAGTTCTCGTCCCGATGGCCCCGGATCCAGCGAGCTTGCGAGGCCGAGCGTGCGGAGGGACGGGCAGTTCTCCGAGCGCGCGAGCAGGGATTGCAGCGCTTTGAAGGCGTTGAGCTCGTCGTCCAAGGTCCACGCGGACTCCATGAACAAGGTCGTAAGGTTGGGAGAGGTGAAGGAGTAGCACAGCGCGACGGCATCGTTGCTGAGGACAAGCTCTTCGATGCGCGGGAAGGCTGTGAGTGGTAACACATTTGCGCAGGATGCATCAGCGGCGATGTCAAGCATACGTAAAGTCTCGCTACAGGACAGGATAGCTCCGACAGTAGGTTCGAGCGCGCAGTCGTCGGAGTAGATGGTGAGCACGGTGAGAGTCCAGCTCGATGGCAAGACGAGGGGATGGATGGGAGATTTGTAGTCAATGCAGAAATTATTGATTTTGGGTGCACTTTGAAACGCGTGGATGGGTACCTGGACCGCGGCGCCTTTGTCTCTGAGAACGAACATCAACAAGCGCTTCAGTGCAGGAAAGGTGCGCTCGATCAGGTCTTCGTACGCGCGCGCAGGTATTCCGGCAAGCATCACCCGCTCCCACCTGTGCGACTGATCGCACAACAACGTCCAGACCTCGTCGCTCCAGATCTCATTTATCGAGGGCTTGGGATTCATGCCACACATATTCATGTCGAGAGTCAGGTGCAGCGGCGCCTGAGCGGTTTTCGCCAACTCGTCCTTCAGGGCAGCGACATACTTTGCAGGTGGATTAGTCTTCGCTGTTAAGATGAGTGTCGTCCAGAGGCGAGGTGTGGCGAGGGCGATACACCGCCAAGAATGACATATTTGCGCGAGGCAAACTGTCCTGCGCCCGACGTATCCCGAATACCATGGATCCGACACCGCGTGAACAAATATCTTCGAGAGAATTTCGGGAGGCAGGCGGCGGCATGGATGAATGAGAGCGTCGTGAATTGGGATTTGTTGGCGAAGCGCAATGATCCTATCGAAGACTTTCAGCGCCCCCGTCTCGTCATTCCTATCGCAGGTCTTCCGCAACTGCCGACCCGCCTCGTCATCGAGCTGGCGAAGCTCTCGGGCCTTTTGTTTGATTATGCTGGCATTCGGACCATCTGGAACATATGGTGTACGATGAAGGGCAATGCTCGCGACGTCGCGAGCTTTTTCAATGGCGTCATCTATAGTTTCCATCTATGAGCGTCCGTGGTCAGAGAACGAGCTGAGAAGGTCGGTCTTGACACGCACCTCGACGTCGTTCATTACCGAAAGGCCTCCTTGCCCGCCTTCTTGCGGCTGTATCCAGCTACTTTGAAAGTGCATGAGAGACGCATGGGAGCCAGCAGTAATTTTGATACTCACTCAGGCCAATTACAAGCGCTTCGCTTCGATGGACGCGGTAGGCGGTAAGTATGCGTTCGGGACAAGACGCGTCTGATCACGCCACGCGTGTCGAAGAATTTCCCTATTTGGGAAAAATGCAACGCGCGTCCACAACCATGCGCTTGCTCAAGTTGGGGGAACGCGTACGGCGGTGAATCGCGCAGGGCTCGGTGTCGAATAATGGCTCGCAAGCTTGCTCCACTGCATTTCGCTGCATGAGGCGTATATTCCTCTAGCAAGACGGTGTGATGATTTTCTTTCAAGAAGGAGACTCGCTGAATTTCTCGTAACTGACATCGTAGAATGATACTATATCGTGATAGTCGTGAAGGTTGAACAGTACGGATAACGAGCGTACATATCATGAAATATGGCAAGGCCCTCAGACGGTACGTAAGAATGTCCTCAGTGAATCAACGGGAGTGAGCTCCAACGACCTGCCGGCAGGCGAGCACGACTCCTGGACCGAGGACGTACAAAGACACCATCGTTAGGCTACAGACAAGTTCGCTATCAGGAATGAGGGGCAGCTTTGTAGAACCGCAGTCTCGCCCCTGCGAGCCAGCGCATTGGGGAACAATCCTGGGTGTACTTCAAATTTCGGAGTCGGGCGTTGCACCACGGACATGGAATTCACCATTCCATTGCGGAGCATAACTCAGTAGTCGTCCTCATCCATGCTCACGTCAGATTCCGAGTCGCTGGGATCTTCAGCTAGAGGTGGCAAGCAACAACCCTTCAGATCACCGCCGGCATTGTTGTAGTAGCGCTGAAGGAGAGCGAGCGCCCTTCCATCGGCCGACATGGCCTGCGTCCTAGACTCGGGTATGGCCCTGAGCACAGAGCGGACCTCGGGATCCGCCGGGTCTGCGCCGTTGTTGTAATCGTCGCCAAACACTACGGAGAGCTGCGTGAGATTTGGCAGGAAGGCCAAGGACGATGGATCGTCCGCATCGCGGACCATGGCGCGCAACAGGTCCAGTGTGATGAGGCTTGGCTCCGTGTCGTCCGTGTAATCTCGGTTCTGCAGGCCGAGCTCCTCCAACGATGAGAGTGACCGCAAGCTGGCGATGAGGTCGCGCCCCTGTGGCCCCGAGTCCAGCGAGTTGAGGGTGAGCTTGCGAAGGGAGGGGCAGTCGCCGGAGCGGGCGAGCATGGACTGCAGCGCTACGAAGGCATTGAAGTCATCGTCAAGACTGTTCCAGGTATCCATGTGCAGTGATTGGAGGTTGGGAGCGGTGAAGACATGACAGAGCGCGGTAGCATTGCCGCCGAGATCAAGCAGTTCAAGGAACGGGAAGTTCGCGGGTGGCGGCAAATTCGCACAGGAAGCGTCCGAGGTCAGGTGACACTCCCGTAGCGTGTCGCAACAGGCCAAGATAACTCCGACATGCGGCGCGAGCGTGCAAGCCTCGGTGAAGAGGATGCTGAGCTCGGTAAGAGCCCAGTTCGAGGGCAAGGTGAAAGGAAGGATGGGGGCAGAGTCGCCGGTGATGGACAGGCTATGAACCCGGGGTGCATTCTCAAACACCTGGATGGGTAGATGGATTACATCCTCATAGCTGTTCACCGTCATCGACAGGGTGTGCAGCAGGGGGAAGGAACGGCCGAGCAGTCGCTCGTAGGCGACCATAGGTAGCGAATTCAGCAAAGCATATTCCCACCTGTGCGCCTGTTCACACAGCAGCTCCCAGACTTCGTCGCTCCACCTCGCGTCCCTCTCGCCATACCCTGACGCGGCAGAAGCAGACATACACATCTCTACTTCCAGCGGCGCCTGCGCCGTCTTCGCCAAATCGGCCCTCAGGGCAGCCACGTGTTTCACAGGTGGATTGAAGTGGGGTAGGAAACGAAGCGTCGTCCAGAGGCGAGGCATAGCAAAAGCAGCGCACCGCCAAGCATGGCATACTTGCGCGAAGTTCAGGATCCTACGCCCGACGAACTGAGCAGTCCAATCGTCCGGGACTGCGTGGCGGAAGACTTCCGAGAGGATCTCGGGAGGGAGGCGTCGCCATGGGTGAAGGAGCGCGTCGTGGATGGCGATCTGCCTGCGAAGCGCACCCACTCTGGCCGTGAGTGCCTGCATCTGTAGTTCCGCGTCGTGCTCGAGCGAGCGCAGCTCGTCGGCCGTCTGCTTGATTATGCTGGCGTTGTGGTTGTCTGGAGCGTGGGGCTGGCGATGAAGGGCGATGTTCGCGACAGAGCTCGCCCTTGCGATAGGGTCATCCGAGAGGTTCATCTGTGACACTATGTGATCAGAGGGCGCGCTGATAAGGCCGTTCTTGACACACCTCGAGGCTAGCGCTATCTGATATTAAAAGACTGTTCTGCTCGCGTTGCTACCAGGCTAGGTTGTCTGGTTGTACATGCGTGAGGATACGGAGGGCTCAGCCATGGTACAGACACTCACCTTCAAGTGCTTCACTTCAGAGACTGCCGTTGATGACGAGCGTTGGGGATGAGGTGCGTCGTATCAGCTCAGATCGCGCTTTATTGTGTTGGCGTGTGGAAGAACTTCCCCATTTGAGCACAATAGGACCGCCTTTTACGTGTACAATGCACAACAATGTGTTGCAATGTTCGACAATGTTCGACAATGTTTGCTTCAATGTGGAGATACTGATTTCTCAGACTTGACGCAGACATTTCTCGCGCCTCCCTCTGGGACTGTCGTACTTGGCGAGTGCGCAGAGATTCAAATAAGCAGAGCACCTGCGCTTCGCAGTAGACACGAAGATTAAGTACAAAAAGCTCGTACGCGGTGTTCGTGGGTACTCCGCGTCGTTGCACGGGCCGGGGAAGGCTTCCTCCCGGTCGTTATTGTTACTACGGGAGCGCTCGTGGACATGTTTCACGAAGAACGGCGCAGGTAAACGAGCGATTGTCCGGCCGTCAACGGAGACGGACGCATCCGCGACTGCATCATCGTTCCCATAGCCTCGTCCAATCCCTCCGGGTTTTCGTTGCCGTGCGCGTAGCCGAGATCCAGATACTCGAGACGCGGGAGGAACGCGAGTGACGCCGGCGAGTCGCGCGTCAACGCGCGGATAAGGTCCATAGACGCCGGGGGCTCCATGCGCTCGAAATACTCGTTGTTCCTCACCGAGAGGCGCTCGAGGTGCGGAAGGCGTGCGGGGCAGCGAACGACCTCGCGCGCGGTGCAGTCGAAGCCGCGGAGGTCGAGGTCGCGGAGGGACGGGCAGTCGTTGGAGTTGTCGAGCAAGGACTCGAAGGCGGTGATTTCGTTGACCGGTGAATCCTCGAGAGGCATTTCGCCGAGGTAGAGGTACTCCAGAGCGGGTGCGGACATCAGACGACAGAAGTGAATGCCGGCGTACATGAGGCTCAGCTGTTGGAGGGCGGGGAAGACAGCGCGAGTGTGGCCCTCTACGGGCGCCCCGAAAACGGGTGCTGACACTTCGCACACGACCAACGACGTGCATGCCAGTATGAGGGGCAGACACGGTGAAAGCGGGGCGTCGGGCTCGAGCTCGCAGTTGATGACCAGCCGGGTAAGCCTCCAAGAAGATGGGAGGAGCAGAGGGACGGCCGGTGGTTCCCAATATTGAATACGAAGGTTTTCCAAGTTCGGTGCATCGCTGAACAGACGCAAGGGTAGTTCGGTAGTGATATCAGGGTCGTCCTCGTTATGAGTTCGCAAGCTGAGGAATCGGAGCGCGGGGAAAGTCAAGGGACGGTACGTGTATGCTGCCAAGGCAGACGCGGAGACGTCGCCCAGAAAGGCGCTCTCCCAGTGGTCTACGTGCGCGCAGAGCGCCTCCCATATGTCGGTGGACCAGAAAGCCGCGCGGAAGGGTCCTCTGACTCGTTCCCGGAAGCGCATGTGTTCGTCCTCGTCAATGAGGTCAACATGGACATTGAGCGGGGCTCGGCCGGTCCTGGCGAGCTCGTTCTTGATGCCTTCAACGTTGTACATCTGCGCGTCGGGTCCACGGCATGGACGTATGTAGATGTCTGTCCAGAGTTGCGGCGTCTGAAAGATGATGGCGCGCCATCGATGGCAGACTTGAGCGATCCTGAATGGTCTCGCGCCAGCGGCGTCGCTAGACCAGCCGTGACCCAGGACCATAAGAAAGATGGTCGACCAAAGTTCGGGAGGAAGGCGATGGCAGGGTGAAAGAAGGGAAGTATGGATCGCAGCTTGTTTGCGGACACGGTCCCTCAGCTCCGCAAGTCTGGCGATCTCGGAAGTCAGACGTTCGTCCGCATGGTCTAGCAAGCGCAGCTGAGTGTTGAGGACGAGGGCGTCACGGGGAGTAGGGGAGTATCCGGCGCGCTGGTGATCGAGGGAGGCTGATACACCTGTCTTCGTGAGGAGATCCCCAACGTCCGTCGACATCCAGACGGCTACGACGTGGACCTCTGAGCCTCGCTTGGACACCGCTTGCAACGACGCACTCGCTCACCTGCCGCAGTACGGTTCCTATTTTCCTTCTCCTTTGGACGGGAATGCGAAGTCACGACCGTGTGCTCTTTCCTGCTCGCGCGGTGATCGTGGTTCGTGCAAAGAGACGATGAGTTCCAAAAAGGGTAAATAACCCGCGCCCATTGTTTCCCTCAGTGCGCTCAAGACGACATCGTAAAGAATTGTACAGCCTAATTGCAATTGCTGGTTATCCATGCCTACCATGACCTCCCATACCTTCGATCTGAGATACGAGCGTGCAATATCTCACTCGGACGATATCACGCGGTCAACCGCATTCCCCGTCTTCATCCTCGTCCTCTTCCCCCTTCTCGTCACGCTTCCCCGTGTCAGGCCAGCTGCGACGCATGCCAGCACCAGCAACCAGTTGCCTTAGAGGGGAAAGCCGAGTGCCATCCACCACTCTGTCACCTTGCCTCGAAGTGTAGATGCGCTCCACGCTGCCTTGGTTCGAGCGACCGAGATCACCGTATTCGAGCTCGATGTAGACGAGCTTGGGCAGGAATGTCAGGGAGCTAGGATTGTCATCGTCGCGGGCCAGCGCATGGATGAGTTCCCGCGAGACGACGCCACTTAGCACCCGGTCATAGATATACTCGTCGTCGCTGAGATACAGCCGCTCTAATAACTGTAGCCGCCGGAGGAGAACGTCAAGGTGAGAGAAGGACACGAACTGGTAGCACTTGAGCGATAGACCGACCAGAGACGAGCAACCCTCAGATCCATCAAGTATATTCTGCAGCGACTCTTCGGGCTTCGGTTCGCAATAAGGATCTGCGGTCAGGCGCAGGATGCGGAGCTTGGGAACGAGGACATGTTGGGATAGGCGGTTGGCGTCATCTCCAAGGTATAGCTCTTCGAGACGGGGGAAATACCTGGGCGATCCCCATCCCGTCGGCAGCGCTCCCAAAGGAGCTCCAAATTGGTGCTCACCGCCGACGTGCAGTGATACCAAGGTTGCGGTGCAGGTCACGGCGACACTTAAAATCGTAGTAAGGCTGGTGTTTGTAGCGTTCACGCTGAGCCTGGTGAGTTTCCAAGCTCGTGGTAGCGTAAGCAACCGGATGGGCCCTACATGGTAGATGCGAAGACGCGACACCCTCGGGGCTAGCAGGAAGGGCCGCAGAGGCACATCATAAAGACCGGCGGAACGGCACCACTGGTCCTCACAGCGAATAGTGAGGTCTTCCAGCAAGGGGAAATCGCGACCCATCAGCTTGTCGAAAGCGGCGAATGGTATGTCCTTGAGCCATAGCTTCGTCAATCGGTGCGACTCGGGACAGAAAAGCGCCCAAGCTTCGTCGCTCCACCCCACGACCCGGCCCACGTCGGGACACCAGTCCAGCCTGATTGTCACCTTCAGCGGCGCCTGAGCAGTCTTCTCGAGCGCGTCCTTCAGAGCGGTGATATGCTTCGGGAGAGGACTGTAGTAATTGTCGAACAGAAGATTCGACCATAACAGCGGAGTCGAACGGGCGATCCGACGCCATTGATAGCAGGCGCGGTCAAGGCGTAGCTTCCGATTCCTCTTGCTCGCGTACATGTCTTCCCAACCGTCCGGGACTGCGAGGAGAAAGATGGCAGAGAGCAATTCCGGGGGAAGGCGGCGCCATGGCGCGAGCAGGGCATCATGCAGAGCGAGCTGTTCTCGAACTCGCTTGCCGAATGTTTCTCGTGCGGCATCGTCGATCTGCTGTTCGAGCAGGCGGAGCGCGTGCGCCTTCGCTGCAACGGCAGATGCCGCCTCATCGTCGAGGGCATGGACAGCGCGATGAATCTGCTTGTTGGCGATGGCGCTGGCGCTAACTAGAGCCTCTTCGATCGATGCCAAAACATTAGACATGGTCTAATAGCGCGTCAGACAGTCGCATCAGTATAAGAGAAAGCAGGACATACGGTAGGCGGAGACGGAGAAGCCAACGCGATTGATGAACAACGAGATGCCAAATGCGACAACATTGGCGAGCGCGCGCGAGATGGGCTCGACCAGCGTGGGCGGACAAGATGAACGTTGAGGCCAAGGTGCGAGCGCGACGCATCGATCGCGCGAAGATTCAGAAGCAGCTCTCATCCCGTGATTACATCATGAGCACGAAAAAAATATACCATTTCGTCCTACTCCAGCAATAGGCCCTTCGAGTCTGTAAGCTTCTCTAGGCAGGCAAGCGGTGTACCCTCCATAACGCGCGGATACCTCCTCGACTCGAATATATTCTGAACCGCCTCCCGATACTCGCGATCCTTTTCCTCCGTATCCTCGCCCACGCCGCGAAGTTCAAGATGCAGGCGCCGAAGGTTGGGAAGGAGGGTAAGTGCAGTGACTGATCCACCATCCCGGGATAGTGCTCCGAGGGTCTCCATATGCAGAAGCGTCTCGGTGGGCAGTATGTGCTGTTGAGGCGTGTCGTCGAAAGAGAGGTGCAAGTCGGTGATCTGCGGGGCAAACATGAGGAATGCGAGCAACCTGATCGGCCAGATGAAAGACTCCAGAATCGCAAACGACCGCAGCGATGGGCATCCGCGCGAATGGTCCATCAGGACTCGGAATGTGGCGAGAATGTCTATGATGAGATCGGGGTAGCTTCGCAAGGCTGCGGTCGTGAGCTTCGGGGCGCTAACGAAGCGGCAGAGGGATATAGCGCTGCCGCTGAGGCGGAGTTCCTCGAGCGCGGGCAGCGATATGCGAGAGTGACTGGGGTTGAAAGGGCCAGACTCATTAGCTGTGACGGTGCACTTGCGGAGCGTTTGGCTGCACGCCTTTATCACGGCCAGAGAAGGTGCGAGTGGGGGCGTGAATATGCGGCCTGTGCCGTGTTCGCCGCAGGTGATGGTCAGCTCGGTGATCTTCCACGAGGATGGCAACACGGGCTCGACTGGCGGCGAGTAGTATTGAATGCTGAGAGACGTGATGTTAGGCGCATTCTGGAACACATGGAGCGGGACTTCAACTGGAGTATTCCCGTCGGGGGCGAGCGAAAGGGAGAGGGAATGTAGGAGAGGAAAATCATGCTGCGTGAGGATGTCGTATGCTGAGCGTGGGACGCCGCGAAGAGTCACCTTGCACCATCGCTGAGATGCGGAGCATAGGATGTTCCATGCCTCATCGCCCCAGAAGTCTTCAGCTACCATGCGGTTGCGAAAAACCCATTCCTCCGGAAGCAGCGCGTCGATGATGATGCTCAAAGGCGCATTGCCCGCCTTTTTCATCTCCGTCGCTACAGCCGCCGCGTGATTATTTAGAGGATTGTCGCACGCGTTGAATCGCAAGGTATTCCATATACGGGGCGTGGCCAGAGCAGTTGTTCGCCACGAGCTGCATACGCGAGCGACGTTGAGGCGCCGCACCCCAGCGGGCTCGTGGTCCCAGATATCCGGCAGCGCGAGGAGGAAGATCTCCGACAGAAGTTCAGGAGGTAGCATGCGACATGGAGCTAAAAGCGCGTTACGAAGAGCGATTTGTGTATCGAGAGCTTGTCGCAAGTCCAGTAATTCCGGAAGAACGCTCCCCGAGTGTTGAGAGCGCTGAAGGTCGATATCCAGTTGCCGCCTCTGTTCGAGTAATGACTGAACTTCTTCCTTGGTGATGGACGCCTCTTGGTGACCGTTTGGCACGTAAGTGGAGCGATGGAGAGAAAGGCTGGCGACCGCGCGGGCACGACCAAGGGCTTCTTCAACGGATGCCATATCTGTCTGAACACTTTATATGTTTTCTAAGTGTTAACACGAACGTAGAGATATCAGGGATCACCTACGTATTGGCGCCGAGGTAGGAAGGCAGGTCTGCCACGTATGCGCACCGCGACAAAGTCTTTCTGTTCCGAGACAGCGATCATTAGCCGCGTAAACGCATGCATAAGCACAACACAAACCAATGCACCTATGAGAACAAAAGGACAGTCAAGACCATCCGGCGTGTTGACTGGCGAAGACAAGGCGGTCACAAACACGATCACGAACAAGCGCCACATCCGGAGATTGCCGGCTGGGCCCTATATAACGACCAACGTTGGCGATATACCTTGTGTCCCTAACCCCCATTCTCATCGCGGCGCGAACAGACCGTCTTTCTTCCATCGTGTTCTCAGAGCCTCGCTCCTGCTCCTCGTCAGGACCTAACTCGGGATCGGCAGAACATCACCACTCGCCACCCAGCAGCGGACCGTCGTGGACACCTTTTCCCTCAACGTGGAACGCACACAAGTCCCTATAATCCAACATCTAGCTATGGACCCGTCTTGGCGTGCCGCCATACTTTCCTCAACTGAGATATTCATCGCACCCGAGAAAGAATATCAACACCATTCCTATGGCCACCCCCTTGGCAACTTCGCTCGCGTGCCGCATGTATCAAAAGTGAAAGTAGATTGGAACCAAGTTGGAGGGCCGGTGCCAACGACCTTCGCTTTCCCGGCTCCTTGGGCTATCACGCATCTGGAAATGGCGCTCAACGACTACGGCTCCCATGATAAACATCCGCCACTGTCCGCCGTCCTGGATGCTATCATGTCCTGCAAGGATTCGCTACGCGTCTGTATCGTCAATACCGCCATCGCTACAATTGAGCCCGCGACGCTCGCTCCGAGTCAACCGGCTGTTATCTTTCCAGTCCTCGAGTCCCTCACCCTGCACGACGAAGGGGCCTGCCTAGCGCTCCTCATCTCCGCACCCAATCTACGGTATCTTTTCATCGAGGGAAACCAGACTTGCGAATCCGGGCCAGAGAATCGATACATTTCGGAGGAGCAGGCGCTCTTCCGACTCAAGACGCTGCTGGACCGGTCGGGCGACTGCCCGCGTCTGCGCTCCCTCGTCTTGTTCAACAGCGATCTCGACAAGGGCGATCTGGTGGCGCTGCTTCGCCGCTTGCCCTCTCTAACCGAGCTTGATCTCATCGAAATCTGGGATGCCGAGGCCACCCCAGCTATCTTCGACGCGCTCACGCGCAAGCCCGAGGATCCGGCCTCTCTGATGTTTTTGCCGGCTTTGACCAGCCTGACGATATGCGACGGGGCCGACGGAGGGTCCACTCGGCATTCGGTCTGGTCGTGGTACAAGGTCGTCGTGAAATCGAGGCTGATTCCAATGATGGTCAATGGCACCCAGCTCGCGTGCCTTCAGGAATGTCATACGGTTAGCGAGCATTCCTTGGGTCCCGGAGTCAGAGGTGGCGAGGGCGACATAACGTTGGAGTGTTTGGACGAGCTCATGTCAGAGGATGGCTCGGATGTGGACAGCTATGATATGTCTTCGGTTGAGTCCACTGACGGAGCTGAAGACTGAGCGCACTGTTTCGAATGTGAGCAAGATATCAGTAGACTGTTACGCACTTCGTGCGAATAGAACCGGCAGCGAACTCGGCATGACTTTGGAGTGGCTGTAGTCCAGTTGAAGACATTTGGCAGAGTACAACGCACAAGTGTATTGAATAGATGAAGCGTCAGGCTCAGCGCAACTATGTCGAGGGTCGAAGGGGATATTACAGCGACACTAATAGGTAAATTGTACAAGAGGGTAAAGTAGAGCATCGCAAGTCCGCGAGATATCCGTGAAGATATAGTTTACATATAGCCGTGTCCGGTGCACGCGTCGAGATCATGGTCCGACATACGTCGAAGTCGTATCCGATACATATCGAAGTCGTAGTCCGATGCACACATCAAAGTTACACCTCGAAGTCGTGTCCGAATCGTGCGTCGCTGGCGTGTCCATCGTGATCAGCGAGTCCATCGTGATCAGCGAGTCCATCGTGATCAGTAAGTCCAAGCGTCATAGGAGAAGTCGACTATATCATAGGACAAGTCGACCACATCTTAAACGCAGTCGACCGCATCATAGGAGAAGTCGACCAGATCACTCCGACTGCGTCCCGTTGTAGACGATTGGCGTCGACACGAAGGCGACCTTGTTGCCCAGCGTGCCCGACCCATCCGCCCACTCCTCGAAGACGGCGAGGTACATGGGCGCGTCCGAGGCGGTCTTCCCGGAACCGAAGCCGCCCTGGTTGACGGAGAAGTCGGGCATGGTGAGCTGCTTGGGGACGGGCTGGTTTGGGTAGGGGTTGCCTGGAGGGTGGGGTGTTAGCGTTGTTTGTTTTCGGGGGAGCATTGAGGCGCAGGAGAGACCAAGGCGCAAAGGATCAAGGCGGGCCATACGATCGTGGCGCAAGACCTTCAAATCGCCTACAAAGACCAAAACCCTACTCACCCGGATAGTTACCCGTCGAAAACCTCCCAAAGAAGTGCCCCGTCGTCAGCGTGTCCGTCTTCGTGTTCGCCTGCAGGTCGCCCGGCGAAGACGAGAAGAGCCAGATGCTCGTGTTATATGCAGACCGCCCGTAGTCGGCCATGCTGTAGTAGAGGAAGTCGAACGTCTCGCCCGGCATGATCACCGCGTTCGCGGCGGGCTTGTCGATGACGGGGCCGCCGGTGCGCGGTTGTAGGGGGTGGGTGTTCATGGGCAGCGGGTGGGTGACGATGGGCGAGGCGACGGCGAGCGCGGCGGACGCGAGGGAGATGAGGGGGGCGAAGAGCATCGTGGGTGGTGGTGGTTGTGAGGGGAGGGAAGTAGGTAGAAGGTAGAATGTAGGTGGCGGTAGGTGTGTTTCGCTTGAGGTCGAGGTCGAAACGCCTCAGTCGCGCCCATATATATGCTGATCACGGGGGCACTGCGGGCCAGACACACCGTGCGTGCGCCAATAGAGGCGCGGGACACGGATCCATGACGCGGGACACACGGTGATGGATGGCGGCACACACGGCGATGGGTGGCGAGACACAACGGGCGTGCCGACGCGGCCGGGGAATCGAGAATGTGGCGGATGCGTCGGGATGATATGCGAATGCGCCGGGAGGGTTTGGGGATGAGCCGGGAGGGTTTGCGAGCACTGGGCGACCTTGAATCGATTGAATCGAACACAAGCGACAGGTCCAAGAATACAAGCACGTAGTGCGGCTGTGCTCAAGGGTGCCTCGAAGCAGTCGGTGGCATGCGCGATCGTGGGTGGCGACACGTTCCCGAGCGTCGGACTGTATGAAGGAGTGAATGTGAGGGGCGGGTTATGAAGGCGCGATTGTCATCGGAGACTGGTCGATGGGGAGTAGAGGCCGTGTCGAAGACGCGAAGGACTAGAGCGAAGGCTGTTGTTGCCTGATTGGTTGAGGTGGGGTGACGAAGGGCGGTTCTTCCGTATGATCCTTCCAGGGGGGCTGAACCTAGGCTTTGTGCTGGTTCCAAGCTGGTTCCTTGACTGCTGAGTGTTGTGAGAACATGACGCGCTGGACGGCCACAGTGGTGGTGGGGGGAATTCAGGAGGAAATTAGAGGAAGTTCGTGATATTGTCGATGAGGCAGGCTGTACGGAATCATCGAAGATAGATGTCGGCGTCGGCACCTCGGTTCTTGCTCGGGCTGTCAAACGGCAGATATCTGACAGTAAGGATGCGATCTTATCGCGAAGGTTTGAGGCTACTGGTATGAAGGGTCGTTCATAAGGATGCAGTCTTGCGCAACAGCCTTGGAGAAAGCACAACTTCCGGCCGCATTGCTCGCGAGAGAGCAGTATAGGGAGCCAGGTAGCCCTTCCTCGACGTCGAAGTCGCCCCGAGAGATCGCGCAAGTGCTGCATCCGCTTCCTCGCGTATTGGACGCGTACAATTAACACCGTTCTCAGGCGAGAGGTCCGGGTAGCTTCGACGAAGGCGATTTGTCAATCCAGACCCATGCATACAGTCCGTCCGAGTACTTGGAGATGGTTGGCTGTCGCCTCTTGCGGGGAACCATGCGAGCTATCAAGAGCAACATAGAAGGTGGCTTAGGCGGCTCAGATGAATGTGAGGGTGGTTTGCCGTGAGCCAAGGCAAGGCTTTGAATGTCGCCGTTGACGTTGTCGACGACATGAAGGACGGCGAGAAGGGGGACTCGCGCACGTGGACGAGGCCTCTGGTGTGTGCACGTGTTTGTGTATTGTTGGGAAGGAGGGCGCTCGCCGGTTGACGCGCTTGCCACCGACATCCTGCTGGACGTCCGGCCGTGCTCGCCGTTGCTGAGCCTGGACGACGCTGCGATACCCGCGCTGACGCTCCCCGCGCTCACAACCGCCTCACCTCGTTCCATCTCCCTCACGACGCGCGATACCCGCGAACACGGCACGCCACCCTCGTGTATGCTCAGCACGTCCCGCGCACAGCGACCTCGCATCGCAGACAGTAACGATCTGGACGCGCAACCATCTACTGGCCATTGCTCTCCCCATCGCCAGCGCGTCGCACAGGACACACGATCGTTTCCACGCCGGTTCCGCACCCAAGTCCCCTCTCACACTCCATACACTAGACGACCGTCCCGCTCTTGCTGGGTGTATCATACGCTGGTTCCCCATACGGGTGAGTGCTCGCCCATCTTGCTTCCCGCGCTTTCTGACCGCGATCGCGCAGCCGCTTCATCAACCTCTACACATACGCGCCGTCTAGTGCCTATCCATATTCCCCATCTCCTCGATTTATTGCCATCTTGGTTATATGACCGCCCCACGACTGCACATCGACACGGCGCCTACCAACGTCGTTGCTGGTCCCTCCTCGGCACCACAACGTCCGTTCTACGGTCCGTCCTCGTCTACGCTTTCGGTCAACCACTTTCGCTCCCGAAGTCTATCCAACGCATCCTCCTCCTCTCTTGACATCATCTCCCCCGCACCCTCGTCAAACGCGTCTACCTCATCCCTCATCTCGCACAATGGCCACAACAAGCCGAAACCTGCGCAGACCGACTCTGCGAAGAGTTCACTCGACGAGACGATACGACCTGATGACTACGTTCTGGCGCTGCACGACTATGTTCCGCAGACCTCGAGCGCGACTTGTCTCTCGTTCCGAGCAGGACAGGTGATACGTGTCTTCAACCGGGATACCAGCGGCTGGTGGGACGGCGAGCTCGATGGGCGCAGAGGTTGGTTTCCTAGCAACTACGTGGACGCTAAACCCGCATCACTGGTGGAGGAGGATGTTCCCGTTAGTCCGGTAGTAAGCTGCGCATTCACTTCCATACGCCGTGCCTAACCAATTTGTAGCGCGCCATGCATTCGCACAAGAAATCAACCGCCTCCGTTACTTCCTGGATGTCCGTCTCGTCTGGCGATCCCTACGAGTCATCACTATCTAATCCTATGGGACACAGCGAGAACGACGCATACTGCCCGCCTATCATGATCCCGCTACTCAACGGCCTGACGCTTCTCCAGAATGCTGTGCGGGCCAACCGCATAGCACACTTCCAGCCCTCGACCGCATGCATCATCTCATGCGTACGATCCATCCTATCTTCCACTGGAACACTGCAGCGGGAATCGCCCCTCTTGCAGGACTTTCCCGTCCTGGCAGGCGAGCGACGGCGAATACTGGCCGTTCTGGCATCCCTCGTCGCGAAGGCGAAGCAGGCATCGGACCCCGAGATCGACGAGAACACGCGCGACGACCAGATAGACGAGATGATGCGGCTAAGCGGGCAGGTCTTCGCGCACATGCGAAGATACCTTTCCATTGTTGTGCATATCGGCGTCGATCTTCCCGGGCGGGCCGATCCCGCAGCAGGCTCACCGAATGTCGGCGGCGTTCGCAAGCTGCGCGGCGCGCCCTCGTCGGCGGACAACAGCCCATCGCAGTACGGTCATGCGCGAAGTGGGTCGGCGGTCGAGACGCCGAGGCGACACTACCACTCTCGGTCGCGGGATGCCAATCCTACGCCGATGAAGCAGGCTGCTCGTGCTCGAAGTACTGGCGATATTCGGGCGGTGCGTGTACCACGAGCACCAGAGCCGCCATTACCTGGCGCTTCAGAGGCGATGCAAATGCAGCAGCGCTCGATCACCGTGCAAAACGGCGAGCCCGTCAACCCCTGGGCGCGGACGCTGCAGGAGGCCAGGCATAGGCATGCAACGTCCGTCAGCAGCAACAGCTCTTCGTCGTCTTTCTCCTCTTCTGCCGCTTCCTCCAGCCCCGTACCTTCCTCTAGAGCAGTGTTCCCCACCGGGCCAGCATCTATCGTGCAAGTGCTGGACATCCTCCGTCTTACCCACGACGAGTACCTGTCGACCATCGCCGCCCTCATTGGGTATGCGCACATGTACACCCGCTCCTCGCACGCATCCAGTACCGGCCACATGTACGACCTCGTCCGCGAGATCGTCGAGAGGTCGTGCAAGCTGCTCACGATTGTGGAGGCCGTCATGCAGCACCCAGGTATCCCGGAAAGCCGCCTGCTCAACCTCAGCGAAGCGAAGGATGGCCTCTTTGAAGTGACTAGCGCACTCGCTGAAGCAGTACGCGCGCTCATGGTCGAGCCGTCGCCAATGGTCTCCGAGGACGCGGAGAAGGAGAACATGCTGTATGCGGCTACAGCTGCGTTGAAGGCGGGCTCGGATTGCGCGGCGTCGATCAAGATGTGCTTGACGCGGACTACGGACAACCGGCCGGTCGTCTTCCCGCCGCCTCAAGCGCCGACCTTGCAAGACGAAGAGGATCAGGAGCAGACCCAGCAAGACGCGATCACGCCCGTGCGGGAGACGCGGCCCAAGCTAGCGAAGTCCTCGAGCTCGAGCGCGCTTGCGATGCTCGCGAACGGGAGGGAGGACGACGAGGATTTGACGATCCAGGCGCAGACGCCGTCGCCGCTGCGCCTGCGGCAGGTATCGTCGGGGTCGGAGAGCGCGAGCGCATCTAGTAGGTCCACTGCAGCAACATCACAGGAGACGAGCTTGACGTCGCCCGAAGAGGTCAAGGCCAAGCCAGGCGCGCAACTGGCACGCCTCGCGGTGGCGGAGCGCCATATCGAGCCCGATCTGCCGTCACCGAGCTCGATGGCGACGTCGTTCGCGCCGTCTCTGGCTGCGTCGTTTGCACCATCGCTGGCGCGGACGGAGACGGGGACGACGTGGGAGGGAAGCATACGCAGCGGGAAGGATATGGAGGACAAGTTGATCAATGGCAACCTGTCGAACCTGGACTCGATACCGGAGCTGCCGGCGGACCCGATGGCGTATATGCTGTCGCACGACTACGACGTCGATGCGGTGGCGTACAACACGGACGGCCATCTTGTGGGCGCGACGCTCGATGTGCTCGTGGAGAAGATGACGCCGCACGACAGCATCGTCGACCCGGCTTTTGCGGCGGTGTTCTTCATGACCTTCCGTTTGTTCTCGTCGCCTGCCGAGCTTTTGCAGGCGCTCATCGCGCGATACAATGTGGTGCCGCCGAGAGGTGTCTCGCACGAGGGCATCCAGGTCTGGCAGCAGCGCAAAGGCATTCCTGTCCGTCTGCGCGTTTCGAACTTCATCAAGAGCTGGGCGGAGACGTACTGGCGCTCCGGCGTCGACGACGCCGTCCTCAACGACCTCGCCGCCTTCACGCAGAACGCGCTCGCCGTCATGTTCCCCGGCCCTGCGGCGCGCATCCTCGACCTGCTCGACATGCGCCGGCGCTCGATGGACCTCGGCGTGAGCCCCAAGGGCGACCGCAGCCGCGACCCGGGCATGTCGATCAACCCGCCCACGCCGCTCGTCGTGCAGCCGTCGGAGATACCGCGGCCGACGATGACGAAGACGCTGCTGGCGGCGCTGCGCGCGCGCAACTTCGCGTCGATCTCCATAACGGACTTTGACGCGCTGGAGCTGGCGCGGCAGATGACGATCATGGAGTGCAACCTGTACTGCGCGATCCAGCCGGAGGAGGTGCTGGAGACGGGGCAGGCGGATGCGAAGCCGGTGAATGTGAAGGCGATGTCGAGCTTGAGTACGGTGATAACGGGGTGGGTGGCGGAGAGTATTTTGAATGAGGCGGATGCGAAGAAGCGGACGGCGTTGGTGAAGTTTTTCATCAAGTTGGCGGATGTGAGTGGTTTGTTTGTTGTGTATTACAGGATGGGGCTGACGTTCTCTGTAGCGCTGTACGGCGTTGAACAACTTCAGCACCTCGCGGTCGGTACTGGCCGCGCTTGATTCGTCGACGATCGCTCGGTTGCACCAGACCTGGAATGTGAGTAGCGCGCATCTGAGGCGAAGCATACGCTAACACATTGCCGGTAGGGTTTACCGCAGAAGAACAAGGTGCAGCTTGAGGCCATGCGCAAGCTGGCCGACCACTCTCGCAATTACCGCGAATACCGCGCCAGACTCAGAAATACTGCGCCGCCCGCCGTGCCGTTCCTAGGTGAGCCCATTTGTTGTTCTCTCAGGAGCTCATGCTGACGATGTGCAGGCTTGTACTTGACGGACGTCACCTTCTGCCGAGAGGGTAACCCTTCCCATCGGGCTTCACCAACGAACCAGTCCAAGCAGCTCATCAACTTCAACAAGTATCACAAGCTGGCGAGGATCGTGCAAGGTATGGATGGTGCTCGACTTCCAACACTCCGACTAACGGGTTTGCTCTCAGACATGCAACGATTCCAGGTTCCGTACAACCTCAAGGAGATCCCTGAGGTGCACGAGTACCTCAACTTTGTATTCCAAAAGTCGCGGAGGAACGGTGACTTGCAAGACCTGTACCGGCGAAGGTGCGTTTCCGAAGTCGCTGTGATTGCTCTTCTCTGACAAGGAATGCAGTCTTATGGTCGAGCCGAAGCGGTCCGCCGATCCTCCGCCACCGACACCCTCGACCGAGGTGAAGCAGCTGTTCCCTTGGACATCTCGCTCGCAGTCCGCGCAGCCGCAACCCATTTAATCTACCCATTGTTCTCATCTGTCTGGCATTGTATATTCTGGGACTTGCGGCACTTCATGTTTCTATACTGCTCCTCGCACATTCACTCCTACATACCTCGGACCGTCGCCTCGCGGTCTACAACTCGCGCCATCGCAGCGAGCCTCTCCCATGCATTGCTCCTCTTCTTTTCCCATGCATTATCAACATTGGTCCTCCTCTCCTCTCTGTGGCTCGGTTGTGCTTCACTTTTGTTCGTATTGTCTAGTGTGTGTATCTTTCTCCGCCTTGCCACTGCATACCGCCCACTTTCTTTCTCCCTTTTTATTCGCTTCTGTAACTTCGTCATTGCTGTGTCGTACTTCTGTATTCGTGCGCGGGACTACTAATAAATGGACACATCGGAAGCTGTAATACTGGGCGATTCATGTATAGAGGATAGACTCACAATGCTGCTTGGCCGGAGGGAGGCTGCGGTCGTTGAGCTCAAGGAGGTCTTGTAGGTCCACCCACGTGCAGGAATTGATGGGTGATGACTAACGCCCTTCGCTGAACGCGTCACCCAGTCGCGTCGAGCTCGCGCATCAATCACCTCTCCCTCGTCCTCGCCACCATGTCCTCTGCACAACCGCCCAACGATCCTCCGAATCCGTCTGGCAACCCCGAGAAGAAGCCAGAGCAGTCGAGTAGCACCCCAGCCGCCGCTCAGGATGGCGCTGCCGCGATGGACACGACCCCGGACGCTCCGCCAGCAGAGGAGATGTGGGATGACATCCCAGAAGACATCTTGAGCCTGAGCACGGACGAGATCATCTCTAGAACACGGTTAATAGACAATGATATCAAGGTGCGTACTCGGACGCGACGCATAAGAGCGAGAAGTACTCATCAATATGCCAGGTTATGCGCTCGGAGACTTTGCGGCTACAGCACGAACAGAGCATGATGAAGGAGAAGATCCGTGACAATGGCGAGAAGATCAAGCAGAACAAAGTCCTGCCATATCTTGTCGGCAATGTCGTCGAGGTGCGTCGCCCGAAGCTAGGATCACAGGCGCCAAGTGCTTACGCGGTACACCCCAGATCCTCGACATGGACCCGGATGGCAATGAGGACGGCGCGAACCAGGATCAGGAGTCCATGCGCAAGGGCAAATGTGCGGTCATCAAGACCTCGACGCGTCAAACGGTCTTCCTCCCCATGATTGGCCTCGTTCCGCACGAGAAGCTCCAGCCCTCCGACCTCGTTGGCGTGAACAAGGACTCCTACCTCATCCTCGACACCCTCCCCGCTGAATTTGACTCCCGCGTGAAGGCGATGGAGGTCGACGAGCGCCCGACCGAGCAGTACACCGACATTGGTGGCCTCGAGAAGCAGATCGAGGAGCTCGTCGAGGCGATCGTGCTCCCGATGAAGGAGGCGGACCGCTTCAAGACCCTGGGCATCAAGCCGCCGAAGGGCGCGTTGATGTACGGCCCACCGGGTACGGGGAAGACACTGCTTGCGAGGGCGTGCGCGGCACAAACGCAGGCATGCTACTTGAAGCTCGCTGGTCCCTCCTTGGTGCAGATGTTTATTGGTGACGGCGCGAAGCTCGTGCGCGACGCCTTTGCTCTGGCGAAGGAGAAAGCGCCAGCAATCATCTTCATTGATGAGTTGGATGCTATTGGCACGAAGCGGTTCGACTCCGAGAAGAGCGGTGACCGTGAAGTGCAGCGGACCATGTTGGAGTTGCTCAACCAGCTGGACGGCTTCAGCAGCGACGAGCGCATCAAGGTATGTCCGTCGTTCGTCAGCGAAGTAATTGGTCGGCTTACACTAGTTTCTAGGTCATCGCTGCCACTAATCGTATCGATATCCTCGACCCCGCCCTGCTTCGTTCCGGTCGTTTGGACCGTAAGATCGAGTTCCCCTTGCCCAACGAGACCGCGCGCAGCCGTATCCTCGAGATTCACTCCCGCAAGATGTCTGTCAGCGACGACGTCAACTACGAGGAGCTTGCTCGCAGTACGGACGAGTTCAACGGTGCGCAGCTGAAGGCGGTCTGCGTTGAGGCCGGCATGATCGCCTTGAGGGAGGGCGCGACGCAGCTCGGCCACGAGCACTTCTTGAGTGGTATTGCAGAAGGTATGCTCTCCATTTGCGCCAGAGGAAAATGGGCTGACGTGCTTTTTCAGTACAAAGCAAGAAGAAGAATGACCTTATGTACTTCGCATAGTCCACGCGGCGTCGCGCCTCGTCTTGTAGTAGTAGCTTCATGTTCCGTAATCCGTCCCATTGGGTGCTATCGATACATACATCATGGACCTTCTTCAATTGTCTTCGTGCTAAGTCATCCAAGTCCTTCCATCATGGTGCAAACTACGTGCGCTCTCAATCGTCCCTCCACTCAACATCACCATTCCCCCATTTCTCGCCCCAGATCATGCGCTTGTGGTACACCTTCCGCAGCTCCCTGTACTCGCGCACAAAGTCGTCGATGTCTTTGCCCGCAAGTGTGCCAACAGGGGTATTTGTGCCGCTATGCGGCTCTGCGGCTGTGGATGATGTAGGTGCTGAGGAAGAGACGAAGGTATTGGCGAGAGTTTCTGAGAGGTCGTCTTGTGCGGTGGTGGCGTGGCGGAGGCGCATGAGGAGGAATTGAGGGGTGAAGCGCTGCGTAGATAGTTCAAAGAGGAAGATCACGACAGAGGATGGGAGGGGACGCACCTGATATACGTCTCGTTGCTCTTTCTCGAGCTCCTTCCATCGCGCCTCCAGTGCCTTCGCCTGGCTGAAAGACTCCTGTGTTTCTGACCGCAGCTGGTACAGAGGTTCTTGTTGAGCGGTATTAGCCTCTGTATATCTTGCTGTCAGTCTCGTCGATGTACAAGGGGGATACCCACATACGCGCTAGTGCCTCCACCTCTGCGCTCATCGCTGCCTGTTGATCTAACAGTGCCCGCACGCGAGGCAAGGTATGCAGTATGGCGTCAAAGTAGTTGGGATCGGCGAGCATGTCCTCGAGGTCCTCGCGTCTGGGCACCGTCAACACAAGGAAGGCGTAAACGGACGGCGCCGCTCACGATAGGTGCGCAAGCTCGGGGAAGTCATGCGTGAGCTGCGTATGGAGTTGCGGTTGAGGGTGTTGGTCTTGCATTGGTTGGATAATTGAAGGGTATATGGGAGAGGAGAAGTCGTCGTGGAGCGCAGATACACTGATTGAAGAACACCTGGATTCTGGAGATGGCGGGGAACAAGCGCCCGTCCCGCGATGGCTCACGCCACAAAACACGGCATCGCCGGCCCGTCAGTGCTTCTTCCGTTTTTGGTCTGCCTTGTTTTTGCATTGTTCTCTCATCACACTATGGCTGCTGTACTTCCTGGCGAGCAAGTCCCCGCGCAGCACGTCAACTTGAAACTAGGCCCTGGGCTACGACAAGAGGAAGGCTCTGGAAAGATCGTGGCTACGAAGGCCGGCACAGTACATCACTCGCCCAACAATGCACGCTGGTGGGTGGATGCTAATTCGCGGAGAGTGGGTGTCATGCGGCCTCCATGTGAGAAAATGTTAATGTTTGCCTTCATAGTATGTCCCAGCGGCGCAGGAGTCTGTACTAGGAGTAGTCACTCTTCGTGTTGGCGAAGCATTCCGCGTCGACATAGGCGCCGCGCACAACGCAAATTTGGATGGTCTGGCATTCGAAGGCGCGACAAAACGCAATAGACCACAACTGAAGGTATGCAACTTCTTTTCTTTGCGACCCTCTGATCTTTGTTGACGACTGATCCAACCCAATCTAGGTCGGCTCTCTCGTCTACGCACGAGTTTCCCTCGCGCATCGCGACATGGATCCCGAGCTGGAATGCTTTGATGCGCAAACACGCAAAGCAGAAGGCTTCGGGGAGCTCAAGGGTGGCTTCCTTGTGCACTGCAGCTTGCTGATGTGTCGACAGTAAGTGTTGACTTCCTTCGTCGTGACCGCTCCTGCTGTTGATCAGGCTCATTTCCGATACGTACCACTTCCATTGGTGCTGACGGTTCTGCAGACTCCTCTCTCCAGATCACTTCCTGCTTCCGTTGCTGGGCTCCATGTTCCCGTTGGAAGCGGCGGTGGGCATGAACGGTCGCGTCTGGATAAACGCGCCAAACCCGAAACAGGTTATCGCAATGAAGAGGTGTATCGAGATGGTTGATCCGGACGGCGGCGGTATGTCAGAAGCAGGGGTCAAGCTGCTACTCAAGACCTTGGATGTATCGTAACACGAAGAAAAAACGTCCTACCTGGTATCCTATTTCGTCTCCGAGTAAGCAAGCGCCATCCACATTTGTCTCGTCCAGGATACGTGCATTTGAAGTGCGTAATATTCTATTGCTTCCCTACAAACATACACAGCAGTGCGCTCATGCTTCAGCTTCGTCATTGGACTCGACTGAAGACATATCCCAGCTGTCCACATCCGAACCGTCCTCTGACATGATCTCGTCCAGATGCTCCAACGTTATGTCGCCCTCGCCACCTCTGACCCCGGGACCCAAGGAATGTTCGCTAACCGTATGGCATTCCTGAAGGCACGCGAGCTGCGTGCCATCGATCGTCATTGGAATCAGCCTCGATCTCACGACGAGCTTGTACCACGACCAGACCGAATGCCGAGTAGACCCTCCGTCGGCCCCGTCGCATATCGTCAGGCTGGTCAAGGCCGGCAAAAACATCAGAGAAGCCGGATCCTCGGGCTTGCGCGTGAGCGCGTCGAAGATAGCTGGGGTGGCCTCAGCATCCCAGATTTCGATGAGATCGAGCTCGGTCAGGGAGGGCAAGCGGCGAAGCAGCGCCACTAGATCGCCCTTGTCGAGATCGCTGTTGAACAAGACGAGGGAGCGCAGGCGCGGGCAGTCGCCCGACCGGTCCAGCAGCGTCTTGAGTCGGAAGAGCGCCTGCTCCTCCGAAATGTATCGAATCCCTGCCCCACCATCGCAAGTCGGGTTGCCCTCGATGAAAAGGTATTGCAGGTTGGGTGCGGAGATGAGGAGCGCTAGGCAGGCCCCTTCGTCGTGCAGGGTGAGGGACTCGAGAGCCGGGAAAGCGACAGCCGGCCGGGCGAGCGTCGCGGGATCGATAGAAGCGATGGCGGCATCGACGATGCAGACACGTAGCGTATCCTTGCAGAACATGATAGCGCCCAGGACGGCGGAAAGTGGCGGATGTTTATCATGGGAGCTGTAGTCGTTGAGCTCGATTTCCAAGTGTGTGAGAACCCAATCAGTTCGGAGAGCAAGGGTCGGCGGCATCCCTTCCCTGAGCTCGAACCAACGTACTTCCACTTTCGACACGCCAGCAAGGTCCTTGGAGGAAGGATAGTGGTCGCGGCGTTCCGGCTGCGTAGGTTTGATTGAGATGGAAACTTCAGTCGGGGAGCGAACGTCAAGATTCCACCAAGCCTCTGACATTTTCCAGGGAAGTGTGGACATTTATGAGGGTTGAACGTTGGGAGCCAGAAGGCGAGCGCGGCCGTCTACTGCTGAGTGGCGTCTGGTGATAGTCTGTCGATCCGGAATTCGGTCCTGTCGAGTGGCAGAAACGAAGCTTCGAGGAGATGGTAAAAGGAAGACGATCTGAGGTGCGGTTCCGTGTCGCGCTGGGAATGGAGGTCAAGACCAAGAAGACCCGTCGACGTCGGTCAATATATAGTGCCAATTCGGCAATTTCCGGATGTGGCGCTCATGATTGTGTTTGTGACGCCCTTGTCTCCGCCGGTCGACACGCTGAATGGTCTTGGCTGACCCTTTGTTCTCCTGGGCGCATTTGGTATGTGTCGTGTCCGTGACTGCATTCAAGCAATTCATGGTTCCTATCTGGAGATAAGCTGACTTTGCCACGCTTGCACCTGCTACTATGTAGTCACAGGCTTCGCAGACATTTCACGGACAAAGTCAACGACCTTGATTTGTGCTCGAATTGAACCCATGAAGGTATCGTGAGCTAGGTATGAGCAGGACGTGAAGTCCTTGTCGCACCTAACGCAAGCGAATATTACACAAAGACCATTCCGCTACCCCACTACCGATCAGAAAATCACCCTCACCACCCCATCCCTCACCCTCCACTCCGCGCGCACCGCCTGGATGTCAATCGGCGCAGCCCGCGCAAGCTGCATCGCGATTGGGTCCTTCGCAGGTGCCTTGCCGCTGCTCATCGGGATGGTAATGTCCAGCGTCTGGCATCCCGGGAGCGCGAAGATGATACGGTGCGGCTCGACGTCGAGCGTGGTGTGCTTGAGGGTTTCGTTCGTCTGGAGGGTGGTGTTAGCGGAAGGGATGGTGTCAGTCGCTGGAGATGCAGGAGAGATGGTGATACAGCGGGTGGCAAGGGGTGGATGGAGGGAGGGATAAAGCTCACCAAAACGCCTTGCGGCAGCCGGATTGTCACGATATTCTGCACCTTCTCGTCCGTGAGCGCGCGGTGGTACGTGTACGTCAGCTTTTGCAAGGCGGCCGCTGGAACATCCTCCTTGGACGCAGGCGCCTCGGAAGACGAGATCTCCTCGATCAAGGGCTTCGATGACGCTGCGCTGTTTTGCAAAGGCGCAGCGCTATTCTTCAGGATCGACTTCGGCGCCGTCGAACTGGCAGCGTTCGCAGACGTCACGATCTCGCTCTTCGAAGGCGAGGCCTTGGGGGTAGGATCCGGCACATTGACCTTGCGCGGCTCGAGCTTGCCCTTCGACGCGATGTTAGGCTGCGAGATCTGCCTGCTGAGGATGAGGCCGCGATGCTTAGGCAGAGATTCGAGGTGCTGTAGGACCGTTTCTGCAACGAGTAATTGGTACATATGCAGAGGGATGTAGAGAGAAGGTACTTACCGATGACAGCGAGCTTGAACTCGGGGTCTGTCAGGACGCGCGTCTTGACGGTGTTACTGAAGATGGCGTCGACCACCGTAGAGTCCTTCCCAGCTATATGATATGTCAGCACACAAGATTTCAACATATCCGCGACATCCTCATGAGACTCCTCCAGTGCCTAGATATACTCTCACCTTTATCCTTATCCAACCGCGGCTCAGAAACGATGAGCGGCAAATTCCACGCGGGATGGTTCAGCGGTACATCATTCGGAGGCGCAGGAATATGCTCCGAGTACGCGATATTGACAAAAACCTTTCGCGAAGCAGGAAATGGTGTCGCAGTAGTCGAGGTTGGCAGAAGCGCCGGCTCGACCGCGGGAGGGCTGACGACGGTGGTTTTCGCGACGAAGTGCGCTTTTGGGGTGATGGTTTTGATAGGCATAGTGAGAATGACCTATGGGAGAGAGGTTGCGTGTAATGAAGGCGCGGGGTGTCTCTAGGTGAAGCAGTGTTCGTATGCAGATGGAAGCAAGAGGCAAGGTCTGCCGCGCTGTCTAACCTCAAAATCAATGCATTCGGCATTTGCCGACCTCACAAGTCCTCCGCCGTCGTTCAATCCTCTCGTCGGCCGTCGCACAGTGCAGTGACTGAAAATTTTCACCGCATTTTCTACGTAGCATTCAGAGCAGAACATCACATGCGCTGTCACTACTGAGGAAGTACGAGGCTGAAGCCATCGGACAGGCATTTGTCCATCGATATACAGTAACCAAGACTTCGACGCCTGACGCGGCTTTGGTACACGATATAGCAAGCCTAAAATTCCTCGTCAGTCTGACGCTTGAGAACAGATGGGTCAAGCCTCACCATCTGCCCTCACCATACATGAGTCCGTGGCATCAACCCGGTGATTTTTCCCTCCCGAATGAGTTCGACGTTATCAATGTCATCATATACAAGGGACCGAAGCCCTGCCAACGGCCCCTCCCCGCCACTCGTGCCCGAGGACGGCGCGCGCGAGTCCCGCAAGGCCTCTAGTACCTTCCGTGTCCTGTCCGCATCGTCATACATATCAGAAACTAGATCGTCTGTGGGCCGGAGGCGCAAGCTGGTCAACTGGGGCAGAAGTTGTTCGCAGCCCCGACGTAGAGTGAGTGCCTTCAGGACCTCCAACGTAACCAGCGGCATGGGTGGCGCCCACTCTTGATGAGGGTCGTCGAGTAAGTCGAGTGTCACAACTGATGGTGGCAGTTTGGAAAGGCAGTCGATAACGTCGGCGGGTTCCTCGTTGAGAGCTTTGAACGTGGCCGAACGCAGGTCCGGGCAACCGGATGATTTTTCGAGGAGTACAATGAAGCCAGCCAGCTCGTGTGCTGGCGAGTTTTCCAGCGACAGGTCGATTTCAATGCGCTGAAGACGGGGCGCCACGATATGTACGCATAGCTGGATCGGTGCCCCGCAGAGGACGAGCTCTACGAGGCGGGGAAACACTAACGGCCCAGAGCTGAAGGCGTCAGGACTGAGTCCCAGGTCATTTGCGCACAGGCTGCACGACCCGAGCGTATGCCTGTACGAGAAGAGAGCTGGGAGGAACGTTCGGAGCGGCGTCCGTCCCATAGACTCGCAGTCGGTGCAGTTGATATCCAGTTGCCTGATTTTCGACCACGAGGAGGGGAAGCTGAGAGCCGCAGGCTTCTCCAGGCACTGGATAGAGACGCTCTCGATGTTGGGCGCATCCCGAAAGAGATGCAGGTATCGAGAAACCACAGTGTGCTCATCGGGATTCTCGAGTGCCTGCTCTTCTTCCTCGTCGTCCAACTCACGGGAGTCATTACGGCCCTCGATAGTGACTGCACGAAGCATAGGCAAAGGTGAGGGGTCCCACGCCACGACGGATTGTGGGGCTCCCCTGAGCAGTGCTGTTTCCCATCTCGATGATTGTTCATAGAGAAGGGACAGCAGTCGCGCGTAGTCCGGTTCTGGGTCGCCGTCATGGAAGTCAATATGTAAGGGAGCTTGGGCTGTCATGGCGAGTCGTCGTAGAAGGTCGCTTTCGGTAGGCAGCCTGTGCGAAGAGATCTCGATATGCGTCCATACTTTGGCGGTATGTAACGCAACGGTGCACCAGCGACGACAGACCCGGACGAAGTTGTACCTTCTACTGCCGTCTTGGGGTAGGAGAAGGAATATGTGCGAGAGAAGCTCGTCGGGCAGACGGCGTATGGGCGCGAGAAGCGCTCCATGAATGCGGATCTGAGCCTGAACGGCTTGCTGCTGAGCCTGCATTTTAGCGATCTCGGCATCGAGCTCGTCGTTGGTATCGTTGAGGTCACGAAGCTGCTGCTGGAGATTGGCCGAGCTGTCTCCAATTGGGGCATACGAGGATTGAAGGGCTTCAATGTTGGCAGCAGCGGCTGTAGTGTTCAACAGAGAGTCGACGGCGCGCATCGTGATGGTGTGAAAACAAGATGCGGCTACACGCTTGTAGGTCCAGGCGTGCAGCCGGTGGCACGTGTTAGCCATGACCGTGACATTGTCACCCGTCGCTTTTGTTCCTCGCCCATCTTGTCCTCTCACCCTATCTTGAAACGTGAAGCTCATCGCATTGAACTATCTTCTCCATGTTAGCTGCTCAATCTCTGCTGGCCAGAGCTGTCACTGACTATGCGCCACCCTCTAGACCTCCATCGTGCTCCGAGCTTTCGATTCCTCTCGATCTTCCGAACGTGTGCCAGATCACACCCTCGCGTACGCGCCAAACCCAACTCGGAAACACACTCGCTGAGAATCGCACGCACAGATAGACCCGCCACTCGTCATGCAATCCGTCGAAGCTGCCCTCAACGACGCGCGGGCCATCGCCAATGCTCGATTACACCGTACACCCTTCGTGCCAGCTGACCAGGACTCAGTCATCATGCGAGATATGGCTCAAAAACTGCGCGATCTGGGCGACGAGATAGACGTCCAGATTCAAAAACTCAAGGGGCAAAGAAGCGCTGTAAATGCTCAGCTGGAGATGCACGACGCCCTCCTTTCCCCGCATCGTCGTCTCCCTCCCGAGATATGGTCCGAAATCTTCTTCCTCGCTCTCCCCGACGATTGGGAACACAGATCTGCTAGTCGACGAGTGCTCCACTCTGCGCGCGTGTGCGTGATGTGGCGCAGCATCGCACTGAGTACGCCGCGTCTTTGGACGACATTGGTTTTCGACACTACTAAAAGTCCGCTCGCAAAGCATGTGAATAGCGTAGCCCAAGTGCTGGATCGCACCGCCCAGGCCTCTCTGGATCTTACCGTCAGCATGGCCATACCATTCACGTCTTCCGCTAGACCACAGAAATACTGGAGCAACGACGCCTGGTCAATTCTGTGTTCGCAATCCCATCGGTGGAGCCGGTTGTCTCTGGACAGCATACCCTTCGAGGCGTACCTGTCTCTTGCATCGCATTCATTCCCTTTGCTGCGCTCGCTTTCCATAGCCTTAGACCACTGCGACGACAACGATCCAGCTGCAGAGGTCCCATTGGACGTCTTCCGGAATGCCCAGGGCGTTCAGGCTCTCCATGTTCGCTATTACACGGAACCACCCACATTGGTGCTGCCCCCATCATGGACCATTACCGAATTCACCATCACCTGTGGCGACTACCCTGGAGATGGAAAGGAGCCTTCTGTGCAGCCGTGTATGGGGGCTTTGGTGGCATGTAGCGGGACACTGCGCAAGCTCACGATTTCTGCGGACTGCGTCGGAACATTGCCTAATTCGCTCATGACCTTCCCAGTCCTGGAGAACTTGCGCCTCGATGGTGACGACGTCTCAGTCTGCAGCGCAATCTCTGCGCCTCGGCTGAGAGTCGTGACTTTAGCGAGCGATGGCCTGGTAGAATTCACCCCCGATGTGCTGCAGAGTCTTGAGACCTTGTCACGTAACTCGTTGGGATGCAAGGCTCTGCGATCCCTTGCTCTGCTGAACATCATGGGCTTGGACCCCTCGGCATTTGTCGCGTGCTTGCACCATTTCCCGCAGCTCACGGAGCTCAAGCTATCGCATCCCGAGGACACCGAGATAGACGATGATTCGCCATTGTCATTCGAGATGCTGGTGACGCTCTCGCGGGATAACGGAGAATATGACAGCCTCACCTTCCTTCCCAACCTCCAGCATCTGCACCTCATCTTCAACGGTATGGTGTACATCGACGACGTGGATTCCGATTTTGGAGAGTTGATTTGGGAGATTGTCAGATCAAGGGAACACCCACGGGTAGTGGAAGGAGCAGCTCTGGGTCGCCTCGAAAAGCTCATTACTGATGTTGGAACACTGTCATACCCATGACGTCCGTCTAACTGATTTTGTCCGATGAATTTGATGAATGTATCTACTGGTAATCGCAATATATGTGTGCGTTGGGACTCTTGAGTTGTTGTGCGTGTTCGGCGTGAACTGGAGGACCCGCCAAGATCGGAAGGCGAGTTTTGGTATAGTACAGGCGCATCCCAGACGCCGAATCTCAACCTATCAGTGATGAAGGAACGCTGCATCACCTCCTGATAGGTCGTGCATCAAGCTCTTGACGCCGTCAAGGTCGGAGAGCGGCTCTGCTTGCGTATAAGACTGCGATGCCCTTGCCAACTTCGCGCAAGACCCCTGCATCGCACGACCATGGCCGCACCCACGAAGTCGTACCCCACCCTGGGCGTCGACCCTCTCCCTACGCGAGCCAGCTGGTGTCGCGACCCCAGGGTCCCAGACCGCCTTATTCGTGAGGCCGATGCCTGCGGACGCGTCTGCGACGTCATGCACTTCCTTCGCCCGGGCGACGACAACATCTGGTTTGGCATCACCGTCTCGCTGGCGACTCCCCTCCCCACCGACACGCTCGTCGCGCTCCTCAAGAAAGCGTGGGTCCTCGTACGCTGGGAGGTGCCGACGATCGCTGCCATCACCGTCCATGAACCGCGTTCTGACCACGCGCTGCTGCCCAAATCCTGCATCGCGTACGACCCGGTGAAGTCGCAGGCCGAGCTCGACGGGTGGATGGTGAAGTCCGTGCAAGTACACGAGGGCGTTGACATCCATGAGTTGCGGGAGCAGCTGGGCCCGACGCCAATCCCGCAGAAGGTCGGCGACCTGCAGACGATCTTGCGCGTGTGCCCAGGCGAGGATGGCAAATTCGGCCTGATCTTCAACTCGTCGCATCTCGCGTTCGACGGCTCGGGCTGCAAGAGCGTGTACACGCGTCTCTTGAGGCATGTCGAAGGAATGATAATGGATCCGGGTTACGAGAAGGCGCAGCAAGCTCACATCGAGTGGGGAAAGGAAATTGAGCACCTCTTGCCCGGACACGCCGACGTGCTGGGAGACGCAGAGGATGCGTCCTTTGCAGAGGACACGGCGACGAAGGTGATGTCTGCCCTCGAAGAGAAGATGCCGGTTAGTGTCTGGTAATCAGCCCGAACATTGCGCGCTTACCTCGCTTCTACAGACATACCACCCACTTGTCTCTGTCAATCAGCCGTTGTACCCAGGACACGAGAACAAGACCCGCCACCTCGACTATGACTTCACCCTCGAAGAAAGCGCCGCCCTGAAAGCTACGTGCAAAGTCAGCGACACAAACCCCGTCAAGCTAACCATGAATCACCTGGGTATGTTCCCCACCTTGCACATCGTGTATTTCTCGCTGACCATCCACCCAGTCCAAGGCGCCCTCTGCTTCCTCGTCCTCCGCGACAACCCACCGTCCCCAGACGCGCACACCAACCTCATCTTCTGGGGCATGGTCGGCGGCCGCAAGCGCCTCCGCCCGCCCTACAACGCCCCCGGCGCCTACCCCGGCATCTGCATCACCATGAGCGATCTCGTCATCCCTGCCGTCCTGCCCCCAGGCTCCACCCGCGAGCAAGTCCTCCACCTCGCGCACGCTGTACGCCGCGAGTATGAAAGGCAAGCCGCCCTTCCCGGCCTCGTCGCCGCCGCGGACGGGGTCGCGGACGGGCTGTCGGCGATGATGGCAGCGTCGAAGGAGCCGCTGAGCATGCCGGTTTATTCAGGCGATGGGGTAGGCGAGGAGGACTTGCAGCCGAGGTACCCGATGGAGGGGCCGCCGGTGCTGGAGATTGACGACCTGATGGTGTCGGGGAATCACTCGGATCCGGGACCGTACGTTGGCTAGTCCTTGAGGAAGGTATATGGGATAGCTGACATACATACTGCAGGTCCTGCAGGGCGACGCAATGGAAGGGTCGCGTCAAGATCGCCATGGATGTCAACTTACTAGGCGTCAAGGCAGAGGTCGCCGAAGGCTGGATCAAGACATGGGCCGACCTGCTCTTGGCCGTCGTCTCCAATTAGTCTTGAACACGCACCACGTACCAAGAAGATATAGTGGCGCACGCCGAAGTATAGATTGTACAATAGTCGAAATGTCCGTAGTAAATGAACGGCTAGATGTAACGTCCGTGAATGTACATATTAGTCTGCGCGAGGGTCAAGATTGGTCGGAAGAGAACAACGCAAAGCGAAGCGTACCAGAATAAGTCAGTATGTCCTCAGTTGCTCCCGTTGTCCGGACCCTGCCCTTGGTCGTCCTCCTCGTCCTCAAAGATAGGACTCCGCTCAATGACATCCCAAGCGTCGTTCATGGCGTCGTCGACCTGCGATTGTCAGAAGAGAAACATATGGAGACGAAATAGACGTACACTGCGGAAGTCCTCGAACATCTCGAACCAATCCTCATACGTCAAGCCCTTCTCGACGTTCTTGCCCTCACTATCGACGACCTCTTCCACGAATTTCTACAGCATATATGATCAGCTCAGGAATCGAGGATACATTAGCAGAGGATGTACCTGGAACGTAGCGAAATCTGTCATCACCAGGATGATGAAGAAATCAAGCCGCACGCGGTTAAAATCCCAGTTGCCCTTCGGATAGAGCAGCTTGACGCGCTCAGTCAATGCGGAGTACTTGTAGAAAGGCTACGGAGGGATTAGAACTAGCCATCGGTGCGGACGCGAACATGACTCGCAATAGATGGTAAGCCGCCGAGTAATGCACGCCACGCGACGAACGCGGCCAGCCATCGTTTGTACGAGTAGGCGAAGTCGTCGTCGTTGTCGGTGAGCGGGTCGAGCAGGTAGGTCATGACATTATGTTGTGGTCGCAAGTTCGGTGGTGTATCGTCCGCCCAAAGCGTGTTCATCCCTTCTGAAGACAGCAAGAAGTCTATCCATTCTGAATTGCTCCATAGTACTCGCGATGCTGGCTTAGAGGGTGCCCTGGTAGCTATTGTTCCGTCGGCGTTGAACGAGGCGGAAGGTGATGGGGCGACCAGACCCTCCGCGACGAGGGAATCCCATGACTTGGACAGCGCGACGGTGAGGTCGGGGACGGTGATGGCGGCGAGGTCGAACATAGGGAGCGCAAGTACGCGTAGTCGCAATAGCGGATGGGCGTGGAAGAGTAGGATGGACTTGAAGAGGAAGTCATTAACATGGTAGTCGACCATCTTCATCGCGCTGCTATTGACCGCTTCCTGCGCGAGGGACAGACGCGTCGCGTACTCCTCGAACGAATCTTCACCCTGGTATATGTCATGGAACTCCTTCAACGAGTCCATCTTGACATTCGGGTGCATCGCCGCCATGATGGCACCCTTGAACTCCGCCCAGGTGCTCTGCAGCAAACGCTCGCCCTGCCTAGTGAGGAACGCGGCCAGCCGCGGTGAAGAGTCGATCTCGAGCTTGTCCGTCGCCTCTGTAATCTTCTGCAGGTCGGTGAGCTCCTCCTTGTTCCACGCATTGTATCTCCGGAAGCGAATTTCGCATTTGAGCAGCCAAGAGGTGAGGCAGGTGATGGTGATCGGTTCCGTGAGGTCTGGGAGGTCGAGGACGACGCGCGCGGTGTCCTGCGCGTCGTTCGCGGTGCTTGTGGGGGACTGAGACGACATAGACGCCCTCGGGGACATCGGACTAGTGGTGGAGAACATGGTGGTGGGGGACAAGGGCATGATCGCGCAGCGAGAAGGGCTACTTGATCATGATGCTTCATGATGTCATGTGCTTATCCAGCCCAGGCCGTTTTTGGACATGCACTCGCTCCCAAGTCCATAGCCTCATTCTCAAGGGCTTCGTAATTGTTGCTAGGTAGGAAAACCCACACATAAGCTAAGAGCAGCAAACATATAGGCGCTTGCAAGTCGGGCCAAGGCTACCGAATATTCGCAACCCAAATGAGCAACTGAAGACCTGCCTTTTTGGGACCACAAAGGGACTAAAAAGGACAAGAGAGCCCTAGCGTCCCCCAAATTCGAGGCTAACGGCCGAGCGCCTGAGGCGCAACATCGACTTGACCAGCCACGAGCGTGAGGATTCATACAGCTGAGATGGACTAGGCTGGGGAAGCAAGAGTAAAGTACACAAGACAACATGAGAACGTACACACAAAACAAGCAACTCTCCCCCGATGCCAAGGTGTCTGAAGGGAGGGCGCAGCAAAAGAACATTCGACAGACCCACGAAGAGCCACCCGCACACGCATAGACTGTACGTAGCGACGCCGCGCAGTCCGGCGCTTGTTGGACGCCGAGGAAGACAACCTAAGGAAGTCAACGCTCGATCATCCATGGTGCACATCCACTCAGTTGGGCGTCGCGCACCCGCTCAATCGTCCATGGTGCGCGTCTTCTTCGTCTTCCTGCCACTACTCGTCTGCGCCGGGATGTGTATCTCCTCGTCGTCAAAGTCGCTCGCTGTAGTCGCGCGCTCGCGTTTCCTGCCCGACTTCTTGGGCGGGCCGGCGGAGATGCTGGGGAGCTTGATGGTGTTGGCCTCGGGCGCGGGCGTGCCAGACTCGTCCTCCGCGATTTCGAGGGACTAAGCGTGATGAATAGGGAGGGGACAAATGCGAGTGGAAGGGACCGGCCGCAAGAGAGAGAAGCAAAGTATCCGTCAGCCACAATTCCATCCTCGATCGCGTATAGCACGCACCTTCTGCCATGTCATGCTGCTCGTCGAGAATATCCTGTCCGCGTCCGTCACGTCGTGCCGTCTACCGCGACCCGCACCGCCGCCCGCGCCGCCTGGTTGGGCCTTCAAGTACCCATCGAAGCCCTGCACGATGTTGCCGCCCATGTGCGAGTCGCCGAGGTAGGAGCCTTCTAGGCTGTAGATCTTCGCCTCTATGCGCGCCTAGCGGGTGGGTGGGAAGGGGATGGGGGAAGGGATATGAGATGATTAGTGGCCGGTGGCAGAGGTCGGGCAGGCAGCGCGTACCAGCTGCATGTCGATGTTGCGCTTAGTCGCGATAGACTGGGCTATCTGCTTCTTGAGACCCTCATATCGTTCCCTGTCCTGAGGGGATGGTTCGGCCATGATGTCTGCCACTGAGTGCCAGTCGGAAGCGAGGAAAAGCCGTCGAAGAAGAGGGCTTTGGATCAGAGGCTCAGATGGTCATGACTGTAGGGAACAAGAGCGGACCCTAGCCCGACATCTTGCTTTGTCTCCGCCACAATTGTTCTGACGGTTCCTCACTCGCCACGAAACTGGATACAAAAGCTCCCAAAGGGCAGACAAGATATAATATTATGTGTAGGATCCGAAAGATACTGTAGGCCAGAGTCCGTGCGCCGAGTACGGCGGGGTATGTACAATAAGTTATGGTACAGACTGCGAATAGTAAAGAGCGTGTTCGTGCCGTGGGAGAAGGATAACACCAGTAGGAGAAGGACAACGCCAGTAGGGAGAGTAGGTCCGTGAGGTAACAAACTATACAGCCGATTCTTATATTCAGTTCCGTAAACCTGGGGCGCGAGTTGCGACAATGATTAGAATCCGTCGGGAGAGGGATGAAGGGTAGGGAGGGGAAGATGGGGGTGGACTATGGTCCAAGGGGGTTCGGTGAAGACGAAGGGGGAGGTATGGACAGGCGGCGAAGCGTCTTAATCTTCGTTGCGCCGGACGATGGTCATAAGGCCGTCGACGCCCTTAGCCTGCTCCAAGGCGACGGGCTTGCGCGGGTCGCGGGCAGACGAGCGCGTAGCGTTGGCGGTGTAGGTCACCTGGAGCAACAATCAGACATGAAGCATGGATTCAAGAGGGCTGGACGTACGACAACCCTATACGACCCAGAGCGCTTGTTCTTCGGGCACGTTATGGTGACTAGAAGATGGTCAGCAGCTGCGCGCACAATCGCCCGCTATCGATCCTATTCACCTTCCCAGCTGCAAGGCGCCGTCAATCACGGAAGCACACAGGGACCGATAGGGTGACTCACTGCTCATCAACGAGGGCGTTCGCGCCCAGTAGCTCCGCGGTCTGCATCAGCTGCGTGCGCGTCGCGCGCAGGAGCACGGCGGCGTTGACGCCGCCCGTGCAGACGTACTCGTCGTGCTGCTGCAGCGGCAGGCGCTTCGACGTCGTCAGGTTCTCCGCGATGCCCGCATGCGAGATCGGGGCATCCCCGCTGGTCGAGGTGACCTGATTCGGCTTCGCCACCGTCGCCTGCTCCTTATGGTGGCGCATCTTGAGGAAGAGGTTCGCGACGCTGGCGATGCTGAGGGGCCGGCGTGGCGTTTCGCTCACAGTCGTCGTGCCAGAGGTCTTATTGGCCTCCGGTGTCGACGGCTCAGAGACGGCGGTGGTGGCGACGGGGTTGGAGAAGCGGCGGATGTTGAGGGAGACCATGGTGGCAGCAAACGAAGGATAAGAAGAAGATTAAGGGAGATATATAGGAAAATTGCACGTCTCGAGGCGTGGTGGAAGTCCGGAAGATGAGAAAGGCGGACGGGGGAATGGCTCTTTCAAGCAATCATTTGATGTGATCACCGCTTTAGAACCTTGACTTCGCCGTCCTTGTCTCACACACGGCTTCACCTCACCTCTTACCTCTTGCCATAGGGTCTTCCGTTACAAGCATTGAGACACCGCGATACTTCAAGGGATTGCTTCACGAAGTGCAGCTCGTCGCTACTTGAACTCTGACTGCGCTTCGGTCGCTTGGGGACGGTACTCACGCCGACACCTCTAGGCCGTCATTTCGCTGAAGCGGGGCCAGGGACTCCACGACTCTGGCAGGTGCTGCTATCCGGCCCATCGCACAGGCCACGCAAAGGCGACGTCCACGGATTTGCATCCTCGAGGCAGCCATATCTTCATATCGCGCTCCACCTATTGTCCTCCGTCGGGCCTCCGCCACCTGACCGCACTTTGGTGGCGCAGCTAGCCGCCAGCTCACACGAGCCTCAGAATCTCGCACTTCTCCAAGGACGCGTCATGCTTCAGGGCTGTGAGTCACCCGCCTCATGCCCGCGTCGCGCGTACCTTGCCTCCGACTTCACTCAAGGAAACGCGAGCTTTCGCGGCATCCCCCACTTCGAATCTTGATAGACTAGACCATGCGTTGAGGTTCTGACCCTTTTCTGTGCGCCTCCGATTACTGAGGGTTGCCGTGTAAGCTATCCGTAGTACGTCCCGTGAATCGCAGCCCCAATTCCCGAATCCTCCGCCCAGCTCTAGCCCCATCACGGATAATGCAGTCCCATTGGATTGATCCCAATAGTGAATCCTTCTAGAGAGGCGAGGACTTGACCGTCGACGGTTCGCTGATGCTTCCTCGACATTGGGATACTGTACACTGCTTTCCGGAGCTCGTCCGCGTCCTCGTGCTCGTCCTCGTCGCCTATGAGCCCGCGGTTGAAGTCAAGGCGTAGCCTCTCTAGATTAGGGAGGAGAGTGAGAGCGCCTTCTACACCGCTATCTCGCGAGAGCGTCGCCAGCATCGCAACCGACAGAGGCGAAGTTTCGTCTATCACCGAGCCCTCGAGGTGATAGAGTTCGAGCTCTGTCAAATGCGGGATTGCTTGCATACACGCAACAAATGCTGAAGGCTTCATATCTTCGACCTCCTTCAACGCAAGGCGGTGTAGCGATTTGCACTCCGATGACTGGCGAAGTAAGATCATGAAGCTGTCCAGTACGGCCAGATCTAATCCATCCAGTACGGCGTCTCCCAGACAAGGAGTGCTCATGTTTCGACAGAAGGAGATGGCGTTCCTTTGTAGGAGGAGCCGTTCAAGGACTGGGAATACGATTGGAGGTCCATCGGGAACAGAACCGAGGTCCTCGGCGAATAGCTCGAAGTAGCGCAGTGTGCTACTGCATGCGGCTATGGCGTCTAGGAAGGGGGCGAGGGGAGGATCGTATATGCCGACCAAGGGGTCACCACACACGATAGACAGTTCGGTCAATGCCCAGGACCTTGGTAGTATCACCCTGCGCGGCGGCGCAAGGTACTGGACGGTGAAGCTGGTGAGATTCTCGGCGCGCGCGAAGACGTCGACAGGAAAATTGACGTGAGAGGCACCTGCGTCCATAGAGATGAACAGGCGCCGAAGCACGGGGAGTTCATGGTGAGCTAGGGCAGCGTAGGCATGCAGAGGCTGGCAGATGAGCGCTACCTCTTCCCATCGGTGGGCCTGAGCGCACAGGGTGGTCCACGCCCGGTCGCTCCAGTTCCGCGCGACTTTGGCAATACGCTCAGCACCGCCTACCGACGCATCGAGTTCCATGTCCACTGTGAGTTTCAGTGGCGCTTGGCCCGTGCGAGCAAGCTCCACGGCCAGCCTGTCCTCGCATCCCGCGAGTGGGTTCCCTTCCGCGCCGAACCACAGGGACGTCCATAGCGATGGCGTATTTAGGGCGACGGACCGCCACATCGCGCACACGCAGGCAAAGTTGAGAACACGCCGCCCCGCGGGCTCGTCGTCCCAATCGTCTGGTAAGGCCAAGGTAAAGATCTCCGAGAGGATTTCGGGTGGCAGACGTCGCCAGACAGATAAGAGGGCATCGTGCGCTGGCAACTGCGCGAGTATAACGCGTTTTTGGGTCAGAAGCTTTTCGATCTCCTTGTCGATATTCTTCTGCAGATCGCGGAGTGCTTGTGCCTTTTCCCGAATGACCCGTGCGTCGTGTTCGGTGGGCACGAAGTGTGTGCGGTGTATCTGGGCATTGGCGACGGCCCGCGCCTCTTTCAGCGCATTTTCGATAGATTGCATAAGTCACAACGGACGGGGGTTCTGCATCGGTAGTCCTGGTGAGTAGTTTACCCTCGAGTCAAGACTAAGGCGTACTTTTGAACGCGATTTGAGGCGCGCTAAGGCTGGGTACGATTGCGAGCCTGTTGGGGTCTGAGGAAAAAAGGCTGTCAAGTCTATATCAGATGAAGAACGAGATGATAAACGAGGGGAAACCCAACATATGAAGCTGCAGAACACGTTCAAGGTGGTGGTTAGGGTCAAGAGGGGGACGCGACAGGACGCGGTGCGTCACCGGGTCACAATTTGGTTCGGCATCACAACACGTGCCAGGGCACGTGACATGCTTCCGAATCATTCATCGCTCGAATTGTCTGTCTTCGCAACCTCGATTCGTGATAGACATATATTGTTGGGGAGGAAGAGAAAATACTTCCTGAGCGAGTGAAGCTGCAGTTACGCGCACAGGACCGTCCATGACCCTAGCGCTGCAGATGCAATATAGAGACCGCAATTTAAGCTACCGGCCAGTGATAGAAGCGCGCTGTCAGTGTAGTACTGGCCAGACAGTCTGAGTATTAGAGCTACCACCCGGATACGTTGCTGACCGACCGAACTTTGTCCTCAAAACAACGTCTTCTTGAACCACTGGACAGCTTGCTCGAAAGCGCCCTCAAACCCTGCCTTCACTTCGGGATACGCCAGATTGGGCCGCGCAGCGAAGCCGTGCGCGGTGCCTTGGATATATGCATCAGTATGATGCACCGACAGAGGTGCAAATGTGCTTACCAGGATACACCTTGAACTCGTAGTCGACGTAGTTGTCCTTGCCTTTACGCTCAGCGAAGAGGGCTTCGGCGTGGTCTATCTGCTTCTGCTTGATGTTGTCATCGTCTGGGGCGGAGTTGAGTCAGCGACCACTAACAGCTACAGCGCGCATAATGTATACCTTCGGCGAGAGCCCAAGATACGGGTACTCGAATGGCCTTCAGCTGATCGTCCTTGTACCCGCCCGGATGGGCAATGACCGCACTCTCGATGAGCTTGGTCGCAGCGACCTGGTATAGCACACTGCCGCCGTAGCAGTAGCTGCAACGCAAAAGAGCATCAGCCAATGCACGCAATGCTCTGATTACCATGACTTACCCGACAGCGCCGACATGAGTATACTTGTATTCTCCGCGGATGCGTTCGATGAACTGCCGGTCAAACAGGTCAAATATGCATTCGCCCACAAGACCTCAACACGAACCTGCGTCGCCCGAGCCGCTGCTTTCGAGGGCTTGTTGCGGAATACCGTTGGCAGCCTGGTGATGAGGATCCAAAAGAACTTGAGGTACGTCCACCATGAGATCTTCACCCCCGCTCTGTCCGGCAGCTCAATCTCATCTGCGCCTAGAGGGGGACCCGCTGCGCACCCCACGTCAGCAAAGCTCTGTTAGCTTGATCACAGGGAATATGACATACGGACGAAAAGATTGGGCACCCAGACGTCGCACCCTAACTCCTGCGAGAAGCGGTCGGCCATAATCTTCGAGTTGACCAGGTTAAGACCGAAGATGTCGGTCAGAAGAACAATAGCATGTGTCGAAGGCGCCCATTGCTCCGCTGCTGGTTTCGGAGACGCGAGATACGCATCCACCGTCAGGTCACTGGCAGAGCGCATAACGCCCTTGGGCTCGCCGGGGAGGACGACGCCGCGAACGCAGTTTGGGCAAGACATCGTGCGTTGAAGGCGTACAGATACGGGAAATGGAGAAGAGAAAGCGCGTACGTGCCGATGGGCGCGGTAAGCAAGAGGCTTGATCACGAAGGTGCGGAGAAAGAAAGAAGGGGATGCCACTGCCACCATCAGAGCGCTGAATCAACCTTCTTAAACCTCTATTTGAGCCGTGAGCGGTACAGAGCCGATACGATGACAGCGGAAAAAGTCTGTCATTGCGTGCATTCGATACGATAGAGGGCGAGTTTTCCGCGTAGACGATACGACCGGTGGTCGGGAGAAGATGATGAGCGCGGTGGGTGAGCCGCGTCTGACATCACGGCGATTTGTCACGGTCGGGGTCACACAGAACACCGACCTCCGCGCGTCGATGGGCCTGCTGTGGGCTTCAAAACCTGTTCATGACCTTCTCGGTCTCGGAGATAGACGATGCGGGCGTAGAAACAGGTATCGCCTTCATGAATATCGAAGCAATATCTTCATGCCCGGACTGTATTCGAAACAGTAGTGTTCTCTTCCCCACCAACAGGCAGTGTATAGATCGCAAGGCTGGCAAGAAGCTGCAGAGTGATACGAAGAGCCAGGCAAACAAGATGACTTCAGCCAGTATAAGCCCCCAGCTCCTTATTCCACGAAAACTGGTGATCCAACACGGCCGTCAGAGTTTTGTACGCCTTCACATTGGCGAACGGCACGCCAGTGCGAGGGTCGATGTACGGGGCGAGGCGCCCAGTGATGGGGCATATGTGGCGAATGCGAGCTGGAATGCAGAGGTTAGCCAGGATGACGAAGTTTCCACCAAATGAAAGGTAGGCGACACAGTCGACAGAAGGGGAGGGAAAAACGGAGACAAACACCACTTACCAGTCGGCCTCCTCGTCGACGTATACGCCTTTACGCTCGTCCATTCCACATGGTCGCCGAATACCGCGCTCATGGTCTCTGACCATCGCGGCTTCGTCGCGTCCTTCCCCTGTCCGAGCTCGTGAACGAGATAGCTCTTTGCTACTCGCTCGCGCTTCTCGATGGTGGGTGGTACAGGTGGATGCGCTTGCGATGGTGCGGCGTTGGACGATGATGGATAGGTTGAAATCGAAGGAGACATTTGCGAGGAAGAAAGGAGATATGACGATGATCTTGAGGCTTGAGCGTAGACGTGGGGTTTGTAGTAAGAAGAAGGGGAGACGATGGATGGTTGAGGTTCTGGCGCGGAGTAGTACCCTGCATATGGGTAATGGTGAGACGATGTGGTCAGCTCTGCAAGCGAGACGTCAAGGGCGGATGATGGCGGGGCGGAGGTCGATGGGTAGTTCTCGTATACCTGAGGATCTTCGTGCGGGTGGTGTGTCTGCTGAGGTTCCGGCAATGATGGAGGTGGGGGCGGTTGCGGCGCATCTGGATCCGGTATGCGCGTCACGATCTCTTCTGCGCGGCTCACCCAGCGCACGAGCGGGCCGGTCAGCTTCTGCTTCGCCACACGCGCCTTCCGCCGCTTCTCCTCCTCGCGCTTGAGGTAGTCTCGATGTTCGGCGACATTGCCCTCCTCGTTGTCAAGCGCGCGTCTAATGAGCTCCGCTTGCGTGAATGATCGCTCCTCCGTGCGCTTCCTCGGTCCTTGTGTGGCCTGCCAGCATGAATAAGCACGTATTCCGACTACAGGGTGAACTCACGCACCTTCTTCCTCGCAATGTCCTTCAGCTTGATCGCCGTCGCGGTCGTGCTCTGCATTGTATGCGCACGCGAGCTGTGTCGCTCTCCTGCAATCTCCAGATCGTTCTTGCCTTTCCCCTTCTTCCTCCGCTTGCCTGGGGAACCCGCGAAGGAGACCTTGCGCTTATTGCGAGTTGGGGTCTTGCTCGTGGTTGCATGGGACCCCTCGGGATTGAAGGTGGCGCGTAGGCGCGCGTTGGCTGCTGCAGTGACCTTCTCAACTTGCGATCGAGTGGTCTACGACGCAGGTAAGCATGGTGATTTTGGAGGCAGGAGCTGTCATGCACCTGCTTCTCCCTCTTCTCCTCTTCCTGCACTGCACGCTCGGCGTCTGCTTCCTCATCACTCGCGGTCTTCGCGCTGTCGCTCGCGAAGTCTTCGTCGAACGCGTCACCCTCATCTGTTCGAGCTCATGAGCTCGTGCAGCACAGATTCCTACATGGAACGCACCTTGCGCCTCGAAATCCGAGTCATCCTCGAATGTATCCGCCTTATCCTGCGCACCAGCTAAAAGCTCCTGCAAGCTACATTTGATCAGCCTTGCATTGCACGACTCCTCCGCGTCGCCCACGTACCGATTTCCGGCCGTACTTCTCCTTGATCGGCGCGTCACCAATGGTTCTTGGGGGAATTCGCCCATTTCTGGTCGTGTGGATTCCCTCCCAAGTCGCCTTAAGTACGTCTCCAGTCGTGTCGATGTGAAGGGTACAAGGCGCTCAGCTCGAGCGCGACAAGTAACCACCCAATTCAAGCACAATGCACGCCAACCAGCCCGCACACGCAATGCCCGCCAGTCGTTTCGCAAGATGGAGGCGAGAACCAAAGAGCCGGACGGAGCCAAACCGTTCCCCGCGCAGCTGATCCGGCCTCGCGTGCCGCCCACGTTCTATCTGCCCTTGTCCGTTTATGGGAAGTCCGCATTTGGAAGGCATTCTACTTCCGGGGATGGAAATGCGCTCGAGGGAGTGCTGAGGAAGAATATAGTGCATGAGAGGGTTCGGAAGTGGTCGAGGGGGGTGAAGTAGGTGACCCTTGCCCCGCACTGCTTCTCTCGTCGGCAGATCCGTATACAGAATGGCTGGCGGGAGCCGCGATAGCTTCTCCCTGAATTCGAAGGCCAACAATCAGGATCGAATGAGTGAGTTGAGCCTGACGGTCCCCTGCATTCCAGTAAGCGCCACCATCGCTTCTGCGCAGCTTCTATGACCATGTACTCTCCCTTCATGCGAAGATAACGGCAGAATGAGGGCGCTCGACAACCCCAGTCCTGACACAAGTCTCGTCAGGCCTGACAGGACAGTGGAGACCACATGGAGCGCGATGCGTACCGACGCCGAATTGACGCAGAGACGGTGAGCTGACGCAGTCCGATTCAATTGCCTGACGAGAAGCACACGGTCTATCGTCTGCTGATCTTCCACAGCAGGGCAAACTATTCAACCTTCCCCAGGCCATTCACACTCACGCGTTTCATCATGGTCATCCCCATTCCACGAGGGCGCGATATATCAAGTATTGTCCATAGGAGAGTACACTACCCGTCAACTATGGACCCAGTAAGTAAAATAAATAAGCTCCTCAACCTCATCGTGCCATTAGCATTTTGAGTAGAAATACAGTGCCTCTAGTTCATCAGCAACAATGCTCCCCGGAAGGCAATAGGTATGGTGGATGCGTGGGTAATAAATGCAACAACAACATCATGCGAGAGGACGAGAGCGGATATGCATGGGATGCGCCGCACGCTCAGTGCGCGACGAGTTTGCTGCGGACGACGGAGCCCTCGACGTAGTGCGTGGTACTGCGGGCGTATGTCAGCCAGGTGAATGTGAGTGAGAGGTAAGGGCACGTACACATCCATCTCCATGAGCGGCACGATCTTCGTCTTCTTGACGAACTTGTAGCCGAAGTACAACACGAAGACGAAGGGGATGTTGATGTACGCGGAGAAGAAGTCGGACGCCGCGAACTCGCCGTGCAAGAGCGCTGTCCAGCCGGAGAAGCTGGAGGTGATGTCAGTTGAGATTCGTGATGGAAAGATGCGAGGACGACGCACAAGGCAATGATGATGAACGAGATAAGCACAACCCATGCACCCCATGGCTGCATCCACGTCCTGAAGGGAAGCACTTCACGCGGGACACCCTGCGCCTTCATGCCGCGGTAGAAGCGCGTGTGCGCGAGCGCAATGCCCATCCACGTCAACATAGAGCCGAGCGTCGTGATGGCCGAGAGCCAGTTGAACGCCTTCGACGCACCACCGCTGCCGCAGTTGAGGTAGGCAAGCAGCGAGAAGAGGGAGGTGAAGCCAAGGGCGTAGATGGGCACACCATTCGGCAAAATCTTGGAGAAGATGCGAGGCGCTTGACCCTCCTGCGCGAGCATGAAGAGGGCACGGGAGGACGAGTACAGGAACTCGTTGCCGGCGGAGAACGCGGAAGTGAGGACGACGGCGTTGATGATATGGTCGAGGACCTTGATGCCGGACGTGGTGATGACAATGACGAACGGAGACTCCGCGGCGGTACCCTCGTCGGCGCTGTTCGCCTGCAACAAATGCGGGTCCGAGGGGGAGATGCACATGCCGACCAACCAGAGCGCGACGATGTCTGATAGGGGAGGTAAGCAAACTGACAGGGAAAAAAAGAAGTACGACGCACAGAGAACAACGATACGATAGAAGATGGCACGGACAGCAGTGCGCATCGTCACCCGCGGGTTCTCGGCCTCAAGACAGATGGACGCGAGGCCCTCCATGCCACCGTACGAGAAAGCGGCCTGGGTAAGGACAGCCCAGAAACCGAAGAAGCGGGCCTTCGACGGCGGCTCGAGGCCCTGAAAGTTGGAGTTGAAGGGCGAGTCGCGCCAGTAGCGGAAGCCGCGACGGTCGTGGTCCGGGGCTCCACCAAGATCGACGACCAAGCACATGATAATGAGGCCGATGATGGAGATGATCTTCAGGAAGGCGAACCAGAACTCGAACTCGCCGAAGTACCTGCGAAATATTAGTGGGGGAACGAGGGAAAGACGTCTCTCGACTCACTTGACACCAGCGATGTTGATTGCGACCGTGCAGAGGAGAATGACCGTGACGTAGATGGGAAGGTGATCCGTGTTCTTATCCCAGTACTGGATGACAATGGATGCGGCGACGACCTCAGTAGGTGCGGTCATCGCGGTTTGGAACCAGAACTGCCAGCCGGCAGCAAAACCGAGTGCGGGGTCGACGTAACGCGAAGTGAACTCGATGAAGCCGCCAGCGCTGGGATCGTACACCATCATCTCGCCGAGAGAGTACATCATGAGGCCGACGAGGAGACCAACGATGAGGTAGCCAAGGACTGCGCCGACGGGACCACCGTTTGCGAGCGCCTTTCCTGAGCCCAAGAAGAGACCTGTGCCGAGAGTGCCTGCGATGGCAATCATGGATACATGGCGTCCCTTGAGGGAGCGATGCATATGGGGGTCGTCGGTCGAGCCATCGACGACGGTGGGGTCGACGGTCGGGCCGATCTCGACGTCGACGGACTTTTCCGAGTTGTCGAGCTTCTCCTGCGAGTGCGACATGGCGGGGGGGAGGAGGGGCGGCGGGCGGAGGTCGTCCAGCCGTGTTCCCCATCTTTTATACGCGGGAGGCGAAGAGTGCGGGTTGATGTGCTAAAAATAGCCTATTGAAATGGGCCGCCTCCGCGCTCGTGTGCGCGCGTCCGCACCCGCATGCGCCCCGCGATAAGCCCTCCGGTTATCCTGCCCACAAGCTCACCACCGCGCCCGGACCCTGCCCAGCGGGGCCTTGGGACTGCGCGAAACGATGGCCGCCCCTGGTCGCCGTATGCGAGATAAGGGCCTCCGAATGGGGACGACCTGCGCTTTTCTCGAACTGGCTCGCAATATCCCGCGCCACCGTCCGGCTCCCTCTCCCGTCCTCTCCAAACCGCACAAGGTCCGTTCCATTGGGGGCGCTGCGTCTGTCAGTCCAGGCACTCGGACGCTCAGCTGACGGACGCGCGCCTCAGAAAGTGGGCTACTTCTGCTGTTATCTCTCAATTAGTCTCCGCCAGAAGAGCAACAGGAACATCACGCGTGTCGAGTCTTCGCGCGGCTGTTGTACTCGCAGCCTCGTCGAAGCGTACGGCCGTTGGCAGCGGACCGCTGTCATCGCCCTGGACGTCGATCGCCAGTTTTTCTCGGAACTTTCTGTGTTATCCGCTCTAGAAAGAGCCCGTCCCCGCCAGCCTCCTTATCTGCACCACCACTTGACACGGCGCCATCGTCTCCCGCAAGGTCCAGCGCTGCGCAGGCTTACCCTCTTTGTGCACACCGTTCGCCCCGGTCAGGACGCCTCAACCGCATACAAGCATCTGTGTTTCATTGGGCTGTCTTTATCTACAGCTTTGCCTGCAATGAATGTCGAGGTGCGCATGGTACCGCGGTCGCCATGGTTTACCTCCCGACTCAGGGGAAGCGGGAGGGTCAACGGTCCTTCGCACCCCCGACCTCGACCCCCGCATTCTGTCAGTGTCAATGTCATGCACAGGAGCACCAGACCTCCATTTTTCTCGATAAGCGCGATGAGCGCCTACGTTCCGTACGTCCCTTTGGATCCTCTACCCCAACGAAGGTCATTGTTGACAGCTACTGCCTATCGTCCAGAAATATCTGCGCCATTTAGACGCGTATCACGTCCTTGCTATCAGGGCGCTTACCTCTAGACGCTCGAGCCTGAAGGCCTGTAACAGCGCGCCAGCTACACGAACGGTGCAACCTCGCGCGCATCTCCCGTGTCCGGGAGTCGTTCCGACCGCGGTGTTCTTCCACCACGCCAAGTACACCTTCTCGCGCTAACATCTACAACAAGCTGTGGCCTCTGCCGTCAGGCGTTGATGAGAGGCACGCGTCCGAGGGTCAGCTACGTCTTCCATCAACTATCTTAGCCCGCATGCACCCCTGTTCATTCTACCATTCGGAGCCATTGAATGGAGGATTGAATGGCTTCCCCCTGTTCATTCTCAGGTCAGCCTGAGCCCGCGTCCCTTTTGAGCCGCCTCCTCGTTCGGCAGGCATGTTTCTTCTTTCTTCCACTGCCGTACAGATTTCGTCTACCCCGCTATGTCCCCGCTCTTCCGTCTCGCCCCAGTCCAGCGAAACCAGCGAAATGACTCGGCCATCATTGCCGGCGCCGCGCGCCTCGCTCTATCCCCACTGCTGTTACCGCACGCCTCTCACTTTTACCGACTTCAGCACGGCCTAGACATCCTGAAGTCAACGCACGTCCCTTCCTACACTTCCTTACGACACGCAGGCGATGAGGGCCGTTTTCAGCGGGACAGGCAGCGCGCGGGGTAAGTCAGGTGACTGGTTCAACTACTCATGTGACTGATCTCCGCAAGCACAGCCTCATCCTTCCCCGGACCGGAGTCCCTGCTGGTCTTCTTTTTTTCACGATCCCCCCTCCCTCGTCGATCCCATTGTTCTCGGACGATTTGCCGTGCCTGGCTCTATCTTCCTTCGAGTGGGTCAATAGAAATAGGCACCACACAGACGTCTGCGGAACGCTCGTGCTGCTCCGACACGGGCCCCATCCCCCCCTTGCCTTATCTCCCCCATTGACAGTGACGCATGGTGCACCCCGGCCTCGACTTCCAGCGCGTCGATCCTTTGAATCGTCCGTCTCGGACCCAGCAGCGACCTCGCTCGGTGCTTTCGGTCGCGGAACTTGGCGTCGGGCCTTGGCTCGTACAACGGAATAACTAACGAGGTTTGGTTCCGCGGTTCGGCAGCTAAATTCAGGTCGACAAATCGACGGCTCGCCAGGCCTTTCGAGATTTTTGTGGGCTTTGGAACTCGTGACGAGCCCTCTGCCCAGCGTCGATTGGGGGCGGCACCTGCTCCTCCGCGGTGGCTCTCTGCGCATGACAATGAACATGGCTACGTCGCGCGTGATGTTGAGGACGCGCTCTCGTGATGCGATTTTTTCAAGCCGGCAAGCGCCCTCGGACGTCTTGGCGACTTCTTCTCTACGCCCACGGCGCTCTGTCTTCTTCCTCGACGTGAGGATGGAGACTTTACCGTCGGGTTTTATGCAGCGGCAGCCCGTCGCCTTACTTCCAGTTTATCAGATCACTCATCGTGCCCGGGCGGGCTCTCGACCACCCGGATGGCGTACATGTTCTCTCTGGCTTTCTGCTCGGCATACGGCGTTCAGAAGATTCGAACATCATGCGCGGCCTGTACTCTCCGCGGACTCATTGTGTCTTGACAGAATTTTGGATTTGTGGCGCACAGCCGCATCAACGGCGCGCATCGTGCAACGTCGTGGCGCCGCACCATGTCCTCGCGCTACGCGTCGCCGACCATTCCCAAGCCTCCTCGTGCATCACCGACCGCAACGCCGCCTCGCGCTCCCTCGCGCCTCCCTTATCGCCTCGCGACCGCACATCGAGCGCGGATCACATTCAATACTGGCGCCCGCTACCCTCGGCTACCAAACCCTTACTTCTACTTGAGCTCGGTTACTTCACGGACAATGAGAAGATTGTCGCGAGCATCGGGATCAGCGCTGGGCTTCTGCAACGATCAGGGTCGACGCGTCGCGTCTATTTAGTATGAGTCCTTATCTCTGAAGGCTCACATGGCGTCCGTCAGCGACGCAAGTCAGAGCGAGCTTCTATTCTTTCGAAGACCAGGCGCAAATCTCGTGCTTGAGCGCGTTTCTCGAGTCCTCCAGCGCAAGGATCAGAGATGAAGGACAAGTATGTTGTAGTCCGCTACTTTTGGCCCTTCAGGAATATACATCGGCATCTAAAAATGGATAGAGTTCATTTAGTAATTGCTTGTAGTGAACTCCTTGAAGTCTATTGATTGCAGTCGACCTTGTTCCCAACAGAGAATCTCTGTGCTTTTATGGATACGAAGTCGAACCCTGTGAATAATATCACGTGTGTGATCAGGAAAAGTGAATTACCGGCGACTGCCGGAGCCTTGCTTCCTGAGCGCCCACAACTGTCGTTGTAGAGCGCGTTCGCACTCATACCTCACCAGCGTCGACGTTCAACGCCACGAAATGGCCTCTCGCATCGTTCTACCGAAGAAGACGCTTACTGGGATACGCAAAGCCGTGGAGGAGCAGAGGAATCGACCGGGCATGGAAGCAAATTGTCCGAGTTTCGATAGGCTCGAACAGGTCATAGCCGCGGGAGGAGACTTTACGGCGCTTGTCACTGATCCATTTTCTATCCCCTCGGATGACTCGCAGCTGCTCTCCCCACCTATAGAAGCCGGGCTGGACGCTATGACAAACCTCGCCACGGTCGTCTGGAGCTTGGCATACATACCCGCCCATGCCTATACTAAGGTGGTGGAGGTTTTGCGCGATAATTGGCTCTGGTTATTCTCCTGGATCAGATTCGCACACCCAGATAGCCAGTGCATCGTCTTCAACAACGTCTTTCTCGGGGACTATATCGCATTCCTGCATAACCTGTTGCTCTTGAAGAAGGAGCTGTCAGGCGCGTGGAAGCTCACGCCACAGCTCTATGGGCTGATCATGTCTCTTTGGCTGCGAATGCCGAGTATCTGGCGCGCGCTGGGGAGCGGATCCAGGGAGGACTACGAGGGTACCCTGATGCATATGCCCTGGATGATCACCGTCGCCGCCGCGATGCAGCTCATATCCACGAGCGTATCGGACACCGAACTATCCGAAGGCGACGACGACTACGACCGCGTTGCTGTTCGTGAAGCCCTAGAGACTGTGGGGCATAGGGACGGTCGTGTCCACCGACTTGTCACCCGCGGCGCGGTCTACCTGCTGTCGGCCGTCGAGGCCGCTCCAACTGCGACGACCGACGATATGGCGGAGGCACTCCACGTCGTTCATGAGCAGCTGGTCCAGCTCGAACGCTTCACCATGGGGATGGACTTAACCGAAATCCGCTCTCGCGATGTCGGGTCCGTCGTCGATCTCATCAGGACGTTGTCCGCTATTGCACACGGGGAGAACGCAGCCTGCACCGTGGTGTCTATCCTTCTTGGTCTGTGCCAGTGGGATCAACGGGCATTCGTCTGGGCGTTGCGCTACGGCGCGTTCCCGCTGGTCGTCTCCCTCTGGCGTGCAGACATTGTAGAGGAGCAGAGGCCCGTCTTAGCTCAGTTCCTGTGGCAGACCGCAGCCTGGACGGCGTACTTTCCGGTCGCAGTCGCTTTCAACAAGCATCGGGAGAGCGAATCTTTCGCCAGTCCGGGATTGAAGGATCATCCGACGTTTGGCAAATGGTGGGCCATCGCTGATGAGGAAGTGAAGAAGCGATGCGAATTAGTGGAGGAATTGACGACTGAGAAATGCCACAACTACGTGAGTCAGTTTTCTTGCAGTATTCTCCAATTTTCTGACTTCGCACAGCGCTGTCCCGGTCACGACGTCAAGGACGTAGCGCGCTTCCGTCGCTGCCAATGCTTCGACGTTTCATATTGCTCCGAGCCGTGTCAGAAGCAGCACTGGCCACTGCATAAATTCATGTGTACGTCTTCAAAAAGGAAGCCTGCAAACACCATCGGCGAAAAGTACTTCCCTATAATCTTCGAAGGTAAGTTACTCCGCGCGTTGTCATACCAGTCTCTGATCCATATCCCTTCCCCAGACAGCGGATACATCACGCGCAGAGACGCTCACTTCGCCGGGCGGCTCACTCGCGAATACCTTCGTCAACACGGAGAAGAGATACTCGCCGAAATCCAGGATCAGGACCATCCGGACGTCACACCAATCCGCGAAGCTGCTGTATTTATCGACTTCCATGGGTTGGTACGCGCTTCGCACACGATCAGGATGTTCCCTAAGGAGCTTTGCTGCAAAAACTGCCTCGGCAAGCACCTGCCCATATTCGTGTACGCGCAGCTTGGTCGACCGCAGCGCGGAAATGCAGAGGCCTCGGCCATCAGGGTCATGACTATCGTTCTGCACAACTTCAAGCTCAGGGTGGAGCATTTTCGCCACTGCAAGGATCACTCGCTGTGCATCTCGCGCGCCCGAGACCGGCCGCCTCGCTGTCACGAGCTGGAAGAGCTGCGCGAGCAGTGCTACTGCTGCGTGGAGAGGTTCGGAAAGGATGAAGATCCATTCAGCGCTCCAACTGCACAAGAGCTACTGTGCACTGCTTACTAAGTATATATGCTGGAACGAAATCTGTACTTTCAAAGTCGGCGTCTTGACGCGGTATTCTCTCCCTCCTGTACATCACATTATTTCTTTCTTGATTCGAACATCTAGATCGTAGAAGCCTTGCCATCTGATAGTCGAATGGTAGACGAATAGAACCACCGAAGACTCAAATCGAACCGTGTGAAAATTGTGGATCAGCACATGTGATGGTCGCTGATGTTCTTCCTTGACCAGAGCAGTCGCGTCGCCACTCAACTGTCCACTTTCCTCAGTGATATCTACTCGACGCTCTATGCAGCTGAATCAGAGGACACTGCTCTTTCTGCAGAAATCTCTCCGGCGGGAAGGACAGGATTCATTCACGACCTACCCCGAAACGGAAGATATGGGCAGGATGGTCGCCTCTCTCATAGCGAACGGCGGCCAGTTCAAAACACTCTCTGCTGACCCCCCAGAATTCGGGAATCCTCGGATAACGGATCGAATCCGAGCGGCAGGCGTACGCGACCTCTGGAACCTGAATGCCCTGCTGTCGTGGCTCACCGTTGTGGACGCCCCTCAGCACGCCACGAAAAACGGCGTGAGCCTGCTACGGCGTAGTTGGTCTACCCTCATGCTCTGGCTTGTCTATCTTCTGGACAGCAGGGAGGGTTTCGACGATGGTCTCAGCGCTTGCGTGCATTTCCTCTTGCATATCTTCCGCTTGAAAGAGCAGCTATCCGATCTCCTCGAACAAACGAATCAGCCACAAATGTGGACGATGGCGCTCTGGCTAAATCTGGCCATCGAGGTAGCCCCCGTTAACATCAGGAAAAATACACTCCTCGAACGATACATACCCTTGCTGCGGTCGCTGAACACGACGATGCTAATGCTGTCTACTCCCGTCGACTCCACGCGTTCGGACGACTACGATCACGAGTCTGTTTCGAAATCCCTGGCGGCAGTCGAGCACGTGTCCCATCGAGTGCATCGGCGGGCCCTCCAAAACGTACTGAATATCATCACTGCTACCTACACCGCCCACGGCAAGCTAGAGTACCAGATAGGCTGGTCCGACGTACTCGACGTTTCGGATGCTCAGCTCCAACAGACGAAGCGGTTCTTCACAGAGATGGGTGTCTCTCAGGTTTCTGCCCGCGATGTAAAAGTCATACTTGACATCGTCCGGTCGCTACACGGGCTCAAGCTGCTCGACAACACCTCCCGAGACGCCATCATATACACGGCTATCGACCTTCTTGCATCCTTCTGGGATAGGGATCATCGTGCCATTGGTTGGGCGATTCGCAGCGGCGTAATCGAATATATGGTGGAGTCGCTCGTGCAGTCGGGAGTATCGGAGGCGAACAGAGAGGCTTTCTTCACGAATCTCATAACTGTGGTTACCTGGACAGTACATTTCCCAATCGCTGTCCACTTCCACAAGAAAGGCGCCTCCGAATCGATTGCCCTCCTTGCGGGGAAGGACAAGCATGGCGTAATCTGGGCACAAGTACACGCTGAACTAATGAAGCGTTGTGCCTTGGTCGAGAAATTCTATAAGCCTAGATGCGATAATTATGTAAGCCCCCTTGCTCGCGCCTTAATTCATGCAAGTACTGACAGCACTACTGTAGCGATGCCCCAAGCTTATACCTCCCGACGAGATGCGTGCCAAGTGCTGCCAGTGCTACGAAGTCTACTACTGCTCTCGAGCTTGCCAGAGGCAGCATTGGGGCATGCACCGGCTCTTCTGCCCTTTCATCGGGAAGAGGCTCAACCGCCCTAGCGGTCACTATAGCAAAACTGGCCCAGAGATACATATCGGTGAGTGCTCCGTCCTGACGAAGGTACGCTCATCAACTTACCTGAGCCGCAGATGGAGGCTACGTCAAGCGCAAAGACGCCTTCTTTGTCGCGCAGCTCGTTCAGGATAGCCTTCGATACCAGGGCGAGGAGATCCTCTCAGCTATTCGAACGGAGATGGAAGAGAATCCTGAGGGGAAGCCCATCCGCGACTTTGCACTCTTCTTCGACTTCGACGGCAATGTACGCCCCGAGTTCACGGCGCAGGCGTACCCCGTCGAGGAGGGCGACCCTCATATTCCACCAACCGACCTAAACGATCTAGCGGTCTATGTGTACGCGCGCCTTCCCCCCGCTAGACGTGGCGAGGATCCTGCGCCGTTCATCGAGGTTACCGTCATGTCGCTGTGGGAGCTCAACGACATGGTCGAGCACTTTCGGGCTTGCAAGAATCATGCGGCCTGTGTGACGCGCACACAGGCCAGGCCGCCACGTTGCGAGAAGCTGGAAAATCTGGGCAGGCAGTGCGACGAATGCATCTACGACTTTGGGGTGGATGATGATCCATGGAATGGATTGACCGCGAGGGAACGGAAGTGGGGGACGTACTAAGTTTGCGACTGAGCCTGCTTGGTCTAGCGGGCCCTACGTTTAGCTCACTTACCTATATCCTTTCTATCGAAAGATACGAAGGAATGTGACAGTGACCCACAGGCGAAAAGGCTGTTGCTTTGGATGGCAGGAAAGAGACGATGACTATTGGTATATTAGGCTAACGGTCGAATACAAAGTCCAACCGCGCAACACGGGATACCAGATCCGCGTGCCGCATAGGTCAGTGGAATTCTAAGACTGCCTGCGATGCTTTTGAGAATCATGTCCACGCGATACTCTGGTCCAACGCACCCTTCATATCTTCCTCGCACTCTCCGTGTCTCAAGCCTCCACAGTGCCCATCTCGCGCCACTTGTCGTAAAGAGCCCCGATGCCCACGGGTGCGTTCGGGGCGCCCTTGACGTCCTAATAGCGGACCTATCAATTTCCGCGACACAACCAGCGAGGGCGCTCACCCACCTTCATCTCCAGCAGCTCGTACTCGCGCCCAAATGCCAAGAAGTGTGCGAACAGCGAGTTGAAATGCGGCTCCGAGCGCAGGTGCAAGATCTGCGCGTAGTGCGCGTGGTATATGTGCGCGAAGACACGCAGCAGCTGCCGGTACACGTGCTTGACCGTTGCAGGGAAGGACGGGGGGAAGTCGTGGCCGGACTTGGTCGGGAAGACGGACTCGTCCTCGAGCAGGTTCTGCACCCAGGTCATCACGTAATCGATGTATGTCGGCGCGGGGAGGTGCACGCTCTTCCGGTCCTGGTTGATCCAGGTGTAGTTCAGGCTGCGGGAGGGGGCGATCAGAAGGAGGCATTCCAAGGCGACAAGGGACAGGCACGCACGCAGGGCTCGCAGACATCTTTGGGCAGCTGCTGTTCGTGCAGCACTCGGATATGACACCGTAGAACTCATTCAGGTTGTTGTAAAAGTCGTACACTGGCGGAAGGGAGGGCGGAAGACAGAGAGTTTGTTAGTACAAGGTTGTAACGCAGAGGGGACAGCGCAACGCACTGTTCACGGCGACCCATTCCATGATGTCCACGTATTTCGGGAGCATGACGATCGTTTTGAAGTTCCCCTTCACGAGCGCGGCTTCCACGAACGGACTACAAAGGTAGAGCGGCTTGCCCTCCGGCGCGCCTGGAGGCGGCGGTGCCGACGCCTGCGGGCTGGCAGGGTAATCGGGGAACGTCGAAGACGTCGGGGTCGGGGAGCGCTTGGTGCTGCGGGGCGCGCGGGACATGCTCCGCCTGCACGGTCGTGTGTCAGCTCATCGGCGCCAAGGGGGGTATGTGTGCATTGCTGACCCGATAGAATTGAAGAACGACATGGTGGTGGGGGAAAGGAGGGTGTGGTGAGCGTGCGACGCAGGAGAGCCAAAAGAGTTTGAAGGGGAATAAGAAAGGGAGAGTTGGACCCGGGGTTCTGTGCTGGTGGAGGGGACGAGGAGAAAAGGGTCAACAGCAGCTTCAAATGAGGGCGCCCTCGGTCCGACATAGCACGTTGTCTCCATGGATACCCCCGTATGGAAGCCTTTGTCCGCAGCCACTCAATTCACCAACATTTCACACAAGCAGAGCAATGAGAGAATCGGATTATGAGATCCTTGAGTACGTATAATGATAGCTTTTGTGTGTGAAGTGACACGATCTACCGTGCAGAGACTCAATCTCGCCGCCCCAAGAGCCACCCTGTCCACCCTGCTGCCCACGCCACGAACCCGCCGCTGCCCATGTCTCGCCTCTTGAGCAGCATGACCTGGGCCATTGTCAGTTGCTAGCAGGGAGAAGGTCATAACACGCACCAAAGCAGCGCTCAACCCAGTCAAAGTGGCGGTCACAGCGATGTACGTTCGCAAACGCGCAGCCTGCGCATTCCGATCTGCACCACCAGGGATGGCGCTGTTCCTGCAAAAGCGTACACGGATTAGCACACGGATTAGCAAGAGCGCCAACAAGTACTCACGGGTTCATCGCAACACCACAAATCGCATGGAACACATCCGCCGTCTGCCCCGTCTTCACGCTGACAGCTACCGGTACTGATAATCCCAGTCGCCTGCAGTACACGTCTGGTTGCACCTCGTGTCGTTGCAGCGCGAGATCGAGATCGGATTTGGTGGCGACGAAGATGGTGGGGATGTGGTCGAGGGAGTATTGTTGCTACTCGGTGTCAGCCTTCAGGTGGAACGAAGAATGGAAGTAAGAGCACGTACTCGCAAGTTACTGATGTAGCTGAAACTGTTGGTGTCACTCGAGTCGTGTACGAAGACAATGACATCCGCGCCGTCAGTTTTCTTGCTGTTTCGTAGTGTTTCTGCTTCGTGTGATGCGCCAAACTCTTGCAACTGCAGCAAACCGTCAGCCATCCATCCTATAATAGGAGCAGGAGATCGTGTCTCGCCTCTGAAGGGCAAGTCATCGCCTCCCGGCCACGTCCTACTCACCACCAAGTACTTCTCACTCCCGCCAATCGCCACCGAGTTCACCACACTCAACAACCGACTCGTCGGCTCGTACACGCTCGAGAACGGCTTGCCGACGAAGGCGCGCAGCAGGGAGGTCTTCCCGGATCCGGCCGCGCCACAGACGTAGGCGAGGAAGACGTTGCGGGTGACCTGGAGGGACGAGTGTCAGCAGGCCAGCTCACACAGGATGTGTCGTGCGCAATCCGAGGTCGGCCGAGAAGGTAAGGCGCGCACGGTCCTACTAACCTTCCCCTTCCTTCGGTCCACCCTCCTCGGTCTTGTCACCTGCAGCGCGTTCGTTCGCGGCTCGTCCGGGTAGCCAAGGTAGGCGAGATATGCCAAAGTCGTTTTGTGGTCGAGGAGCGTGGTCATACTGCGAATAGGTCAGCACAATCTTTCAAGTCTTACAGCGCTAAAGTAAAAATATGTATGGCACTGCAGCAACAGGATGCCAAACGCTGGAGAGAAAAAGTCTTACCTCCACTGCGCCAGCCAGCCCTGTAGAGTGACAGCCCCTGCGTCGTCGGAGACGGTGGTGTCGGGGAAGCGTTGAGATGCCCATGGGTTCCCCGGCGAGGTGCTGAACAGCTCCTCGAGTTCTGCGGGACATAGGGCGCCGTCGCGGTCCTGGAGGTGAAGGTGGTCAGTGGGTACTGATAGTGAAGGTTTTTATAAGAATTCGTGTCACCGCTTTCGCAGAGAAGTATGAGAAGTAGCCAGACACGTACCTTATCAAACGTCTCGAAGATGTCCGTCAAGAACTGATATCCCAGCGGGCTAAGCTCGGCAGAGCAGTCGGCTGGGACGTCAAACTTTGGCGAGAGGAAGGCGGAGGTGAGGCGGAGGTCTTCGGCGTAACTAGGTAAAGGGCAAGAATTGTTAGTAACTCTGCTAGCAGTGTAGTGATGCTGAGGAAGTGATGTACTAGCGCGCAAGAAGTACCGGAGCGATGTTCAGATGTAAACGGGGTATGTTGACTTACCCGAATTTCCTGAGAACAGTCCAGGTTGTTTCCAAGCGACCGCGCTGGATGAAGATGGTGTGGAGGTAGAGGAAGCCGGCTTCGGTGAGGCCTGTTTCTGTTGTACCGTCGGCATGTACGATTTCCCGGACGCCGCCTTCTGCGTGTTGTTGGACCATTTCCTTGATGCCTTCGAGTTCTTGCTGCTGCAATGGTGCATCGAAGCACTGGAATGCAGATGGAGAGGGAGGGGGGAAGATGATTAGGCGCATGCGAAACAAGGGCAGCTAGGGAAGCGCACCTTGCGCTGAAACTCGTTGAGCTCGGAAGAGTCGAGAACGCCATCCTTGTTCGCGTCGCACAGCTTGAAGATGCGTGTCAATGCGGCGACGCAAGCAGGTTTGAGGACGTGGTCGCGCGAGTCGTAGAGGGGTGCAGTTGGGTGGAGAACGGCCTTGTGGGCAAAGTAGAATACTTCAGAGACGTTGAGGGGAATGCGAGCAGAGCATTCGACGCAAGTCTCTACTTCCTGCGAGCCTTGTTAGCTTTTGGACGTATGTGGCGCATACCACGCACCTTGAACTCGTTCATAATGGGCACAATCTCATCCTCGAGAGCCTCGTTCGTGACCTCACCGCCGCGCAGGTCGATCTTATTGCCGACGAGGATGACGGGGACATTGACACCGAGTTGGCGGAAGTATGGGAGCCAGTAGGTCGGTATGCGGTCAAAGGAGAGCGGGTTGTCGATCGCATAGACGACGCAGATGACATGCGCCTTGCGGACTTCGCTCTCGAGGTGCGCGCGGTCCGCGGGGCCGGCGCCTGTGTCGACGATGTACGTTGTTACGTTCTCGGGCGTGACCTCTGGCGGAATGGTGACCTCGGGAACGACGTGCTGGACCTGCGCGGGCGGTCAGCGGCAGCGGCGACGCGTCCGTGCGCGCGTGCTCACATGCGCGACGAAGGCCTCCTTGATGAGCGAGGTGACGATGGTGCTCTTGCCGACGCCCTCTGGAGTTTGCGGTCAGCGGTGTGTGCGACGACGCGGAGGGGAAGCTCACCGTCGCCGACGAGCAGGATGCGCACATCGCGCCGCATGGATGGGTGTCTGTTGGCGTCGTCGCCGTCAAGCCGCGGGGGCGCACGCGGCAAAGGCCGGCTTGTTTGCGCGCGTTTGTGGGCGGCGCGCGGGGGAGATCAGCGCGCGACGACGGTTGTCGGGCGCACCTTGTCCTCAACTGCCATGTCGTTTTTCGGCCGCAAACCGTCTGCGCCGCGCTCAAAGTCGCGCACGCGCACGAAGGAGCCCTCGCCCTCGCCGTCCCCTGCCCCGCCACCGCTCCCCGCGCCCTCCGCGGAGGCTGTCTTTGGCGCGAACAAGCCGCTCTACCTCTGCCGCCCTTTTGCCGATGCCGCGCTAGTCAAGGGTGCGCCTAACCAAGCACTGTAGCGCGCGCCACCCCTCACACAGCCCAGGCAAATTCAAGACGATCGTCCAGCTCCCGCCCTACGTTGACATGTGGGAGTGGGTTGCTGTCAACAGTACGTCCTTCACCCAGCTACCTCCTAGTCCTCGCTCACGTTCCCCAGTCTTTGACTTTTACACCAATCTCAACGAGTTCTATGGCGTACTCACCGAGGTCTGCACGCAGCAGTCCTGCCCGAACATGAGTGCAGGACCCAGTCTCAACTACCTCTGGACAAACCAGGACAAGAAGCAGATCAACCTCTCCGCACCGAACTACATCGACTCCGTCATGAGCTCCGTGCAAACCATCCTTGACGACGAGAACATCTTCCCCACCAAGTCCAGCCAGAACTTCCACCCGTCCTTCCCCCACACGGTCAAGCTCGTTTACCGCCAGTTGCTGCGCGTGTTTGCGCACCTCTATCACGCGCACTACGAGGCAATCCTGCACCTGAGGTCCGAACCGCACTTCAACTCGCTCTTTGCGCACTTCCTCGCGTTTGGCAAGGTGCGTCCGCATCGTGATCGAGCTGCAGCGCGTGTTGATCGTCGTTCCAGGAGTACGAGCTTCTCGAAGTCGCTGATATCCGTGGCGAGCCAGACAAGCCTGTCGGCGTCGGCCTGCTCTGGGAGCGCTGGAAGGACGCGGGCATCCTCGAGACCTAGATCGCGACATCGTGGCTGGCCACGACACGAGCCCGATCCGCGCATCGCACCATGGGATCACCATACCACTTCATGCACATAATAAGGCATCACGCGCCCATCGCGCGCGCACATTCCTTGTTTTCTTCGTCTTCATCTTCACTGGATCATTCATCGCATGGTAGAGAGCATTACTGCAAGCATTGTAGGGCGGAATTGCAGGTATCTTGTAATGTAAGTAGGAGGACAGTGGAATCATTCACTTTAGCATGCTATCGACTCGCCTGCCGCCTGCGATGTCCGCCACTATGCGTCAATTTCTCTCTTCACATCGAAGACCCTGACCACGCGATGATATCTTCTATCACAGCGACGTATTCCGCCTCGCAAAGCCCTCGTGTCGATGGCTTCTCTTCGTCAAGATCCATTCTGACATCACGGTGCGTATCTTCTCATCCTTATGGACCAACGTCTTCGTTTGGGCGCGCGGCTGCGTGCTTACTTTCCAGCAGCATCGCTTGATTGTTCCTTGCGTAAATGACGTGCGAGATGTACCTCTTCTGCCTCGCATTGCGCCCGATAGGTTCACCTTCCATGGGCATGTATCCCTTCGCGAGGGCCTTCTGCTCCACGGCGTCAATTTCCTTGCGACAATGTACGTCTTCCTTCTCTCATCTTCATGATATCGGTGCGCTCATCATGTCTTCCGGCAAAGGTTCCCCTTCAATGGTCCCGCCGTCCTTAAAGGATCATGAGGCGCTGCCCCAACCTCGACGGACACCGCATCGGCGTCAACAAGCATCGTTTCTGACTCCCCCATCTGCACGAGCAGCGCGGACGACATCGGTCCTCGCATGTGCCGGACGTATGAACCCTTGCATAGGCCGGAACTACAGTCCGAAGGCAGCGGCGAAGTCATCAGCATTGGAACTGAGTCTGTGGGCCGGGAAGCATCGGCTGACAGCTACGACGATGGCGTTTGGTCAGACACGCCGACTCTAATTCTAGCTAGAGATGGAATAGACTGGCGCAGGGTATATGAAGGATGAGCGACGCTTGGGCGCGTCCGTCGCCCCTGAATCTCGTGTTCGCTTCCCTTTCTCTCGGGCCCGACTGCCATCGTTATGCGTTATGCGGCGGAATCGTGAGTGTACTTCTTACAGAATATTCATCGTGCTGACGCTGACATGGAGCACAGACATGGCCCCGTCCTCATGGGAACTTTCCTCAACGTGCTTTTGTACGGCGTCTCTGTTATGCAGACGTGCGTTGCTTCGACATACCCTCAGGATCGACGTCGATGATGCTCACCGCAGATACCTTTACTGGAACGTATACAATCGAAAGTACGGTCCTTCGCGAAGTCCGCTTTCGTCCCGTCCTGACCGACGCTTCTCAGAGACCCCTTGTATCTCAGGCTCCTCGTACGCCCGAATGTCGGAGGCCGTGAGCTTCGCTGACAGACCTCAGGTTCTCTTCCTCTTTCTCGCAGACACCGCGCATACCGCGTTCACGATGGCGTACATGTATATTGCCCTGATCATTCACTACGGTGAGTGGACCATCTTCTTTCTAAGTCGTCGTGTATGGCTGACCATCCACTTTCAAGATGATCCTCCGTACCTGCAACATACGACCTGGGTATTTGCGACTGGTGGGTGCGAGGAACGGAACGCGGGCTATGGGTTTCAGTCGCTCACGGTGCGCGCAGAACCTGCCCTCGTGGGCATCATTGGCGGCAGCGTGCAGTTGTTCTTCAGCTGGCGTGTGAGGATGGTGTGTTCAGCTCGTATACTCTCACGCCTTTGCTCACCCATAAACCTCAGCTAATTGGTAACACCCTCCTCGCGGGCATCATCGCTGCCTGCGCGTGCACTGCTTGCTGTGAGTATGACTGTATCCGAACAACTGTTAGAAAGCTCACCCTGGCGTCTAGTAAGTGGCATCGGAACGGCCATCTCTTGCATGATGATATCTGTGTTCTCTGAGCTACATAGGTCGTTGCCGGTTGTTGGAGTTTGTACGTGGACGCTGCCAATCTCGGACGTTCGTCTAACGCTTCAAGGACTGGTAGGGTTTGGGTCCGCCTCCCTGGCAGACATCCTAGTCGCAGGGAGTCTGGTGAACTATTTGGTACGTGGAGTGTTTTGCTCGCTGCGATGCGTACCTGTCTGACGGCACCTGTAGCGCAAACATAGGACGGGGATCAAGTCCACGGATACGCAGGTCGACCGGATAATACGATGTACGTCGAACGTCAATGGATCAGGCCATTGACGTGCACTGACCTTCATATCGAAGTGACCCTACAAACTGGTGCGTGGCGCTGACAGAAACTTGCATCTCGTTCAGGATTTCTGACCACGATGCAGGCGTCATCACTTCGCTTTGGGGGTATGTTTTGGCTAGTGCGACTTTCCGCCTCTGCGCCTCGAGCTTATACACGCCTCAGTGTGATGCATATGCTCTTGTATCTCCTAGAGCATAAGGGCTGGTATGTTCCCTTCTACTTGCCTCAACGCCCCTAATGGGTGTCATGTGCAGGCATCTCATGTTCAACTTCTCGTTGGCGAAGATATATACCAATTCCTTCATGTCGAGCCTCAATAGCCGCCAAGGGTGGCATTGGCAGACGGATAATGTGGCTTCCAGCCAAACGGCTGGACAGAGTGTGGTGAGTAATTGATCTCGTACAAGCCGGACTGCTATTCACAGCTCCTCAGAAGTTTCACTCGCTCAGGCAACTGGGGATACTTGACTTGAGCACCTTTAACGCTACCAATGCAGAAGTGCGTACACTACTTCCTGACCTTCGACCTTCCATGGACACACTTACTGAGAGGGCATAGGCTGGATCATCGGAGACGGTGGATGGTCGAGCCAAAGGCGCTCCTTGCAGCGAATCGCATCGCCCCAGCCTCGACGTTTCGCAGGATACTATGGGGGGTTCCCGGGAAGTAGTATAGATATGGTTTCTCTGTGGGCGTAGCACTTGACGTATTTATACCGAGACATTGTCCAATTAGTTCCGTTGCTGGCAACCCCGCATAGTCCGTATTCGGTATGGAGCATGTGAATACTTGCTTGATTATCGCCAATTCCTCGCTGCTCTACGGACGTTGCTGCATATTCACGCCTTTGGTGAGGTGGCAATGAGGAGATCTGAATGGGATCTGGCACGAGGCGGGCGGGTGTGAGACGATTTACACGCAAGGCTTGATCGCGACGAACTCGTGGCGCGAACATGCAGCAGCCCGCCGCATTTCTGAACTCGACCACCATCTTCTCCCTTTTTTCTTGGTTTCCGTGTCTGAATTGCCCATCGCGAACCCATCGCCGCCGTACGAGCGCGACGACCAGACTTTGACCTGACCATCGCTGCATCATCAGCAGCGCGAGAACAATAGGAACATCACAGCAGGCGCCCAACCGCGACCACACCCAATCACACACCCCATCATGGACACCGACATGGACTTTGGTGACGCCCACGCCGTCTTTGCGCAGGAGGCTGCAGCAATGGCGCAGCAGGTGCCACAGGCGCCGCTGGACGCAGATCGCAAGATGCTGTGCGTCCTCCGTCCCTCCTGCCCGCACCCTGACTAACGCGATCCTCCCAGCGACCTCGTGTTCGTCCAGGACTGTACCGGATCTCAGGGCTCCTACATAGCGTCCGCCACCAAGAACATCGAGGCCATCTGCGAGCACATCTTCCAGTCCGGCAAGCTCCTGTCGCGCGAGGACCTACGCGTCGGCCTCGTCGCGTTCCGCGACCATCCGCCACAGGATCACACCTACATCACCAAAAACTTTGGCTTCTCGTCCGACATCACCAAGGTGCACCACGACCTGAGCGGCCTCTACGCGAGTGGCGGTGGCGATGGGCCGGAAGCGGTGACGGCAGCGCTTGCGGAGGCGCTCCAGATGGACTGGCGACCGACAGCGAGCAAGATGATTGTACTGATTGCGGACGCACCACCCCACGGCATTGGCGAGTACGGAGATGGTGAGTGGCGACGAGGACGCGTCGAGGTCGCTGCTGATGCATCCGCAGGATTCGACGATGGCTCACCGGATGGACACGATCCTTTGCAGCTTGCGAGGGAGATGGCGAAGCATGGGATCACTCTCGTGAGTTATTTCATACATTTAATTGGGCCGTCCCTGCCAGGCCAGAACCAGGACAGCGGCAAGCGGGCTGCCATTAGTCACGGCCAGGTCATGGCCTTGTCACCTGTCGCCCGCTACAGACTGCTCACCGTCTTACGCTGGCTACCCTATGACTACCTGCTGGATGTAGGGCGTATATACGCCCAAACTTGGGCCACAAACGATGTCTACTTGATCATCTGGAGACCAGGGACGTTGCAGCCGGCGCAGCGCTAATGCCGCCTCTGATTTTGCGCCTGGCAAATGACTGGTATGGGCTGCCTTCAATACAGCTTACTGACATGTCGTAGTTCTTCGTTGCTTGTGAACCTGCACTCAGCGGTTACTCAGTGAGTCTCTCGTTGGTCGCCCTCGGTCCGAGCTAATCATTGGATTGCAGTACGCCACCGACTTCTACAACGCCCTCACAACCATTACCTCCGGGCTCATGCTCCCGCTCACCACCGCAGACCTCCTTGCACACGCCATCGTCGGCAGTGTCCTCGAGAACCTCGACATGGAGCGCCTGGTGCGCGAAGTCGGTGTCGCCGTCGCACAACGAATCCTCGGCAATAACGAGTCCGTCGACGATGTCGCACGTGAGCTGCACGAGAAGTTGTTGCTTCGGAACGAAAGCACGAAGCGGGTGGTCATCGAGAGTATATATCGCGAGAGCGAGGAAGCTGCGCACAACGTGCAAGTATTCCTGAATGCGCCCAATCTCAAGGAAGCAAGACAATTGCTGAAGAGGGTGAGTTGTGATCGTGTTCCTGCGTCTTTGCGATGACTGACGCGCCTTGTCTAATAGGTACACGGCTCCCGCTTCACCGAGAAATACCTCGCAGCAAGGCATTCCATGAATCGCGGGGGCTACTCCTACTACCCCGCTACCCCACCACGAACGCCCGCCAAGACCACCTCGTCACCCCGCAGCTCTCTGGGAGGCTCGCCGCCTCGCAAGGTCGCCACCGAATTTGCCGCGTTCGGTGCGCCGAAGGAGGCGAGCGTGTTCGGCACGGCAGTCGCGCGCAGCCCATTCTCGCTCGCAGGCGGCAAGGCGGCGTTTGGGGGCATGCGAAACGCGGGAGTGCGCCCAACGTTCGACGACGATGATGACGAAGACGAGGACGGAATGCGGGTGGGCGGCGGTGGGGTGATACCGGACGACGATGATGATGGGAGGCAGAAGATCGAGCTAAGGGAGTCCTCAATTTCGCTGGAGCAGGTGGGTGAGGTCTGCGTACAGTAAGTACGACACTGACAAGCCTTGTAGGCGCGCCGGATCGCGATGCAAAGTGCGTGGCGCGGTATGAGGGCGTGATGGCCGGGAGCCAGTGCGCGTGAGTTTCGTTGGTCCTCCGTTCATCATCTTTTCTCAACTCGAATAGCTTCTCCATGTTGTTCGTTCAGTATCTTTTATCCTCGCAACTCTTCACACCCAATTTTCTTGCCTTTACTGCCTACTGCACGTATCTCATTTTAGGCCTCTGTTGTATCCATATGCTATCAAGTATATTTGCCAGTACCACGTAGCCTTCTGGCGCTCGTTCAGGACATCCTTTATCGATCAAGCTTTTTTCGTTCGTACATCTCGTTCGCGCTATCGCTTTCGCAGTTCGGTGAAGTAGATGATCTGCACTACACAATTCATTATCCAAACACCCTGTGCGCGTCCGTCGCTTCCTCCCAGTGCCACAACGCATGCGACATCCAACAGTGGCAGAAGGTTTCTACAAGCACAGGACTTCCAGTGCTGCCAAGCTGCGCTTGTGCTCTACTGCAAGGCGCAGGTCCGAGAGCTTGAGGAGCATCAATCGAATGACAGCACTGGTCGTGTCGATGTCGAGCGCCGCCGTCATCCAGACGCTGACGTGAATGAGAATGTCGTCCTGCAGCACGTCCTCTGGGAGGTCGAAATAGTTCGCGCATTTGACTGTGGTAGTGGGCACGATGGTGTCGACGAAGTAGAGTCCAAGGCTGATCTGGTGGCTCGAGGGGTCCTCGTGCAAGGCCTTCTCAAATTCTTGCAAGAGCGTCGCCCCATGCTCGTCGAGGTAGTTCAAAATGATCCTTCGAACGAAGTACATGTCTCTGGGCGTGACGAAGGAGATATCTGTGGTGCAGTGTGGCGTTGAGAGGATTGTTCCCATGTTTGAGGGAAATGGTACGTGCCATCCCTGACAACTACGCCAGCCGAAAATGTCTGCTCCTTCTTGCGAGCCGTACAAAATGCTCGATGTTGGGCCTAGTGTTGCCGTTGACACGCTTGGGAACAGTAGAAGACTTCGTAACACTCGCAACGTCGAATATGCATCTTATCGTTTTGCGCCTTCGATGAGCAAACCTGGCTCGAGATGGTCAACATCCTATATCGGACGAAAAAAACATGTCGCCTTACCTCGTTGTAGCACTTCAAATCGGACATTTCCCGCACAATTGCAAGTCGCTTCGCCACCTCCTCGTCCGCATCCGCCCACTTCTTCGTGTCCTCGAAGCGAGCGTCGCTGAATGTCAGACCTTCGTTATGTTTCTGTAAGGCGGCAGCGACCGGATAGTGCGCCGTGCGATTGGCAATGTACCAGAAAAGCTTCTCGTGCACTTCTCTGTCTTCTTCGAGCAATGGCGTACGATCGAGAGTGAGCACGACCGGAAATATGCCGTCCTTCAGACTCCGGACCAAAGGTCGATAGTCTGACGAATGGTACCAGTATTTCGTGATGATTTCGTATCCCATGCTGGCTACTGGAATCCCTCCGGGGATGTCGCGGAGAGTTCTGACTATGTCGAGCAGGGCGGTGGCGACGCGCGGACGTAGGCTGTCTGGGTTGATCTGGGATGTATGCCCGGCGATCGTATGTAGCATCGCAAGCTTTTCAGAAAGGCAGTGTATCAGGTTATGGGTGTCCTTGCTCGTGCGCGTCGTGACGGAATATCCAGCAAGCAGAAGCGATATGCAGCGCATAGCAAGCGAGAAGAGACGGTGCAACCGGTGACCGACGGACGCAAGCGCCTCTTGCAAACGAGGTATATCGATATTCAGTGGTGTATCATCCTTCGACGAAGAAGATAGCATCAGCCTGACCGCCAAGTCGAGTTGCAAACTCCACAGAAGAAGGGTACGATATTCCAGGGGTGCGTGTACTAGATCATCGCGTACGCCTTGCGTAGGCCCGGATAGCCGCATCGTTTCGGGTACGTGCAACCACAACCACATACACCATGAGTGCATTTGAGGGGTCTGCGACATTTCGAGCGAAAAGTCTTGGTCATGGCGGTAGAGGTGGGCGTAGAGCCCGAGATGGGCCAGAATGTGTGCGCGATCAAGACCCTGGATATAGCCATGCCCCGGATGGAGGAAGTCCATCCAAGCGACCATGGGGAACCATATGCTCCGGATATACCCCAGGACGCTGTGGCGGACACGCTCTGTCGCTAAGTCCATAACCAGGAGCAATGCCGAGAGTTGCTGAATAGCCTCACAGCCGCGCAGCACATCTGCGTGGGTGGGAATCCAGTGCAACTTGTTGATGGTGAAGGGGTCAATGGAAAGTCCGCCCACTTCTTCAACCGCGATGACAATCGAGACGTGGCGGCGAACTGCTGCGTCGATCATTTTGCCCATAGGTAGTTTGCTAGCATCCTGACGTAGCGCTTGCTGAAGGCCTTTCAAGGCTACCCTAGACAGCTTCATGGCGAGGGGATACGACGGATGGGTGGTAGTTGATGGTCAAGAAGCAAATAATCTTGTTTGACTTCTCCTGTCCTCGATCAGCACTGTCACGTGATGAATTTCATAGCACCACAACTCACTGTTTTGGTTCAGAGGCGAACGCAAGGCTGTCACTGATCGGGGTGGCGGGAGAGAAGCAATGCACGAGTCTGGGCCGCGAAAGAAATGGAGACAAGCTACGTTAAGTCCTCTACACGCAAAGTCTTCGCGTAGTATTCCAACGTTCCCAGAACGCACCGCCAAGCAGTAACGCATGCGGAGGTTCCACCTCCCTGCACCGGTAGCGGACAAAGCTTCGCAGTGACTATGACCGTCGGGTCCTTTTGCCACTGCTCATACTTCGAGTCTTGATCGACATACTTGACGCCGTAGTGCACCGGCATCTCGCCGTAGTCGATCTCCACGAGGAAAATGTCCTTCTTGGTGCCCCGCGGTTGTGCTTTTGAGCGCATTTCCCTGATCCTATCTATGATGGCCACGACGTCTAAGCCACAGACGTACTTCTTGGCGAGAAGAGAGAGAAACATCGCGTCTCGGTACGATAGGTAGTCCGCGTCTGTGGTGTATTTAGAGAGAAGAACTCGCATGATGCGCAAGAGGGTTGCGACGTACCCTCCACGATTTCGAAGCCTCCGAAGTACTTCAATCCTTTTCTAGCGCCTTTCAAGCAATCAACGCTGTGGAGGGACCAGCGAGCTGACTGACACTCCTTCGAGCAGTAGTAGACGGTTTTGCAAGGGCAACGGCGCAGCTTTACGTTCTGGCGATTGCACTTGGGAGCAAATGAGTATGGCATACATCGATCCGTGGCAGATTCGACCTACCTGTGGATTTGCACATTTCTTGGGGAACGCATCCTTAGCCAACTGCGCACGCTTGTCGAGAATTCTATCAATCAGCGATACGTCCAAGTCTTTACTATATTCTTCGTCGTCTTCGTCGTCTTCGTCATCATCTTCATCGTCATCGAGGTCATCAAGGTCGTCAAGGAAGCGAGAGCTGGCGAAGGACGCGTCTCCTTTGTGCTTGGTGTAGGCGCGTATCACAGGTAGGTGGGCCGTACGAGCAGCCACATTGAACATGCCGGCGCCTATCAACATGCGCCGCGTGTCGTCGGTTGGCAAAGAGTGGCATATCTCGATGAGCAGAGGGAAGGCGCCGTCGTTTAGCGCCCAGACCAATGACCGGTTGTCTGTCGCAGTGTCCCAGATATCTCCCAGCAAGCTACCCGCGCGCCCGACCGCTTCATGCCCGGGTCTCAGCGCATGCAGCGAGCGCGCGAGATGGACCACGCTGCGGACGATGTCCCGCGCGTGGTTGCCGATGACGAGGAGCTCGGTTGCCAGAGCGCGCACGATTTCCAGGTGTTGTGCGACGAAGGTGAGCGCGTGGTCGACCAGTTTGTCGTTCCAGATTTCGATGGCGTCGACAAGCTTCTGCACGCATCGGATGGCGAGCCTGTACATCTTTCGCGGTCTATACTTGACACAGGCGATGGCATGGCGGACGGCGGCTGGCTCGTACTGCTCTGGCTCCTCGATGTCGGAATCCAGCGACTCGACGTCTGAGTCGACGTCGACGCTCGCGCCTAGCATGGCGTACATCCCCTCGACGAGGATTTCGAGCCAGACGACGAAGTCCTCAATCCTGTCGCTCATGTTCCCGGTGAGGTAGTCCGGGATGTGAAGCCAAAGCCACATGACCTGCGAGTAAAGTTGCGGTGTCTGCGCGAGCAAATGCGCCGCCGGCTTCTTCCACTTCAGCAGAGCGCGCGAGAGCGAGATGACGGTGTCAATATGCCCAGAGGGCTCGCCATCGACGTGCGGAACAGGCTCGGGTTCCAGGTAGCCACTGTTCGGATGCAGGAAAGTGATCCAGTCGATTATGTTGAACCATATGCGGTCCAGCAGCTGCATCGCCGGGACGAGCAGCCCGCTCTTCCCTGGGTAGTTCGTCTCGAGCATGTCCCCAAGGTCGTCCAGCACCGCGACGGCTTTCGATACCGCAGGAGAGGAAGTGCGCATGTCCTTGGGAGGTAGGGTAAATGGGTCGACAGTGAGTTCGTGGCACATTCTCTCCGAGGCGAGGAGTGGCCCAAGTCGAACGCATATAGCTGCCGCCCTTGCGCGAGAGGCGTTGTCGGGTAGATCTTTCAGACGAGCAGTGAAGGGGCGAATCTCAGACGAGCTTCTAACCACCATGGCGACTATTTGAGGAGGCCGGACGTTTTCGCCAGCCCGAGGTGAAGGCTGCTGTTGAGTTTGTAGGAATCGATGACAAGGACATAATCGTGACAACGGTCACGCGGCATTCGCCGAGCACAGTCGGGTTTCCTACTTATCCACCCACTCCCAAGTCAGAGAAGATACGAAAGCATAGCAGCTCAGTTGATTATTGTCTATCAATACAAGTGTGATATGCGATGCTCTAGTGTGCTGTAATTGGCGGAAAATCAGTGTATATATGCGCATCTAAATCTATGCTCGACCAGGTCTATGCAGCAGCCTTCTTGGCTTCGCGCCGTGCCCGCCATCTCGGGCCCATGATCATCTCTAGGTAGATGAAGGGAATCATCAAGGCAGCGACGCCTCCGAAGAGAACGTAAGTCCATCCGTAGCCGAGACCGTTGGTGATGTTGTCGATGACTGCGGTCATTATGGCGGCGAGGCTACATCGGGCGAGGTTCGTCTGCGAGGGGAGTGAGTGGTGTAAGGTTGAGGAAGGGGAAGGGCAGACGTACGCAGGCGGTGACACTGGAGCTTTGTGCATGTTCTATATCTATCATGAGTGTCATGGTCGTGTTGAGGACCGCGTTGAAGGTGTAGCCGACTGGGTGGAGATCAGCATCGTCTTGCATGGGATAGACCGAGCATGCATACTGGGTAGCTGTAGAACGAGCGGTGCCGCTAGATGTGCGCCCGCCTGCACTGACCAACCCCAGCCAATGACGCTCGCCGCGAATACCGCAACATGCAAAGGCATCAACCTTAGCCGTGCGTGCTCAATCGGAAAGTCGCGCTCGTCCAACGTGCCCTTCTCTCCGTCGCCCTTCTGCGCCTCCGTCCACCTACGCCGCATCCTCCTATACTCCGCGTCCAAAACACGCCCATGCACCGCGCTACTAATAAGCATGCCCGAGCCGATGGGCAAATAACACAGCCCGACATCCGTCTCCGACAAGAAGGGGTACTTCTCGGCAAACGAGCTCGAAATCGTAGCGGTCACGCAGTACCACACTGCGTAGATGATGGCGGTGAAGGTGAGCGCGAGCGAGACGGCGGGGTTGAGGAACAGGGGGAGGGGGTTGCGGATGTGCTTGCTCTTGGGTGGGGCGGAGGGTTGAGGAGGAGGCGCTAGACCTGCTTTCTCTGCTTTGTGCTGGGCGCGGCCGACGACGCGGATGACGGGGGAGTAGACGAGTTTGGATACCCTGTTCTTGCTGGCCGAGACGGCGTGGTGGGTTTCGGGAAGGAAGCTATCCAGAGGGAATGTCAAACGGTGGACGTAATACAACGACGAGCGTACGCACACCAATACGAAGAGCAGGCAGCATCCGGAGAAGATGCAGAGGAACCAGAAGATGGATCTCCAGCCGAGGCCATCAGCTAGAGCGCCACCTAGTACTGGACCAATGACTGGGGCAAGCTGCGAAAACTTAGTCCACGAGGATAGCCTTGCCGTAAGGCGCGACTCACCTGAGGACCCAGGTTGAAGGCACCGAAGTACCCGCCGCGATCTTTCCTGCTTGAGATGTCGCCTATGACACCCGCCCCTGCAGTCGAGGGTGAGTATGTGTAGAAAAGGAGGTACGACGCGACGTACCTAAGGCGATCGTGCTAGCGCACCCGGCTGCTTGGAAGCAACGAAGCACCAACAACAGCCAGAACGCGTCCGTGGGCACGAGCGCGAGGCCAAGACAGGACAGCACGAGGATCGTGAGGCATATGAGGTACGTTGGCCGACGTCCGTAGAAATCAGACACGGGACCCCATATCATTGGCGCTGAAGGAGGGGTAAGCAAGTTATCGTGTGTTCCAGATGAAGGACGCACATATGCCTTGCAGGATCAGATAGACGGTGACTGTAAGATTAAGGGATGAGGTCGACTTGTGGAAGACGCCTGTGAGGGTAGGGATGGCTGGGAAGTAGATGTTCGCTGGGGGGGAATGCCGATCAGCTATGGTCGTGTGCTGCGGGCTACGGCGTCGTGCATACCTGGAAGGGGGCTAAACTGCTCGTCAGTATCATACACAATGAGGGGGGCCCTCCTCACGCACCTGAACAAGCCTGCGATGGCCACCACAAACACGATAAACCATGTCTCCTTGCGCGTATAGCGCGATGGCTTCTCCTCAACTGGTGGTCGTTCCTTCACATCTGGGGTCGCTGGGACATCCGGGGTCGCAGGTGCCGTCACTGGGCCCTTCTCTAGTGGCCCATCGTCTATCGTCGTAGCAGTCATGACGGTCGTGAGTAGAGGAGAACTTTCATGATCGCGGGCGCTGCATGCGCCATAATCGTCGGACGCCGTGCGGCGTCGGACACGATTGCGAGACAGCGAGATGTTATTGGCTAAGAATACACAGTAGATGATTCAGCGAGGGGGTTAGTCCCACGACCTGCAGAGCTCATCGTTGCCGACAGCAAAGGCATTACGAGGAACGACGAGAACGTCGACGAGACGATTGTAAGGTGCTTTGGCGGTTTCATTCAAGAGGGCAACCGATTGGTCTTCGAGGGCCGATCAAATGACCACGTGGATGAGAACAATACCTTCCATTTTCGTTCACAAAAGCCACGGAAGCGTATGTTGCCGTTGTCAGCATCCAGACTGAGGCCCTTGTTTTGAGTTTAGGTCGTGTAGATATTGGTCCATCACTTGATCCTCTATATATCTTTCGTCAGCGATATAACGATCTCGGCCCATGCTCGTAACTGTCGTAGAGGTTCGCCTCGTATATCAGGCATTTGCTGCTCTTGCCTCTCGACTCTCGCGCCATCGCGGACCCATGATCATCTCCAGATAGAAAAGAGGAATCGTGAGCGCCGCCACACCTCCCATGAGAACGTACGTCCAACCGTAGCCGAGTGCTCGGATGATGTAGTCGATGACTGCAGTCATCACGGCGGCAAGGCTGCAACGTGCGAGGTTCGTCTATAATGTTCAGTCAGTGCTGAATGTACTTGAGCATAGCGTATCAGCACGTACGCAAGCTGTGACACTCGAGCTCCGCGCGTGCTCAATGTCAATCATGAGTGTCGTAGTCGTATTCAGGATCGCATTTGACGTGTAGCCCACTGCAGAGTTCGTCAGTATATCATTATGCCAGAGCAGGCAGACTTATCGAACCTGGCAGCTGCAGAACAAGCGGAATCGCAAGATGCGCACCCGCCTGCACCGCCCATCCCCATCCAATGACGCACGACGAAAATACGGCGACATGCAGCGGCATAAGTCGCAAGCGCGCATGCTCGACAGGAAAGCTCCTTCCGCTCCTCGGAACACCCTTCTCCGCATCCGCCTCCTGCTGAGTAGCCCATTTTCGATGCATGCGCCGGTATTCCGCGTCCAGCACACGCCCGTGGACCAAGCTTCCGATAAGCATGCCACAGCCGAGGGGGAGGTAGCACAGGCCGACGTGCGCCTCGCTCAAGAATAGACCTGCTCAATTCTCAAAAATCGCGAAATTCCCAGAAAGGAAGGCGAGGTGTCGCGGCACGCTTTTGGGCCCTTTCTGTCCGAGTATGACGTCCCAAATTCGAGGAGAGTACATGACAATCGATGATAAATCGAGTTGAATCTCTGTACCGAGTTTGGTGGCCACAGCGTGAGTGCGCGCCACGCAAATCCGCTCGAAGTGGTCGGGCGGACGCATGGCTTGCCTAAAACGGTAACAGCCATCTCCGAGCGCCGTCTCTGCCCTTCTCCATCACGCTAGGGCATCGGGCACCTTAGAAAACCTCACAGTAATCAAGATTAAATACTTATAGTCTAGCTAGGACCGTTACTTGGCCCTCAAAACGTATCACAGCTTGCCAACAATTCTCACTGGCATTCCAACCATTCACGATGCCGCAACACGACTTATAGACCCCCTGCTATATATTACGTCGGTAAGATACCAGATCAACTTGAGAATCCGTCACTATACATAGTCTGCGGGCGAGAAGAAGCCTTCCCGCAGCTTCTGTCTGTAGATACGTCGCTTGAGAGACTTGAAGGCTATTCTGCTTGCCCCTATGCAGCTATGCTCAGATTAACAGTGCATAACATGCTAAACCGAACTTTTCTTGATTACTGTGAGATTTTCTAAGGTGCCCGATGCCCTAGCGTGATGGAGAAGGGCAGAGACGGCGCTCGGAGATGGCTGTTACCGTTTTAGGCAAGCCATGCGTCCGCCCGACCACTTCGAGCGGATTTGCGTGGCGCGCACTCACGCTGTGGCCACCAAACTCGGTACAGAGATTCAACTCGATTTATCATCGATTGTCATGTACTCTCCTCGAATTTTGGACGTCATACTCGGACGGAAAGGGCCCAAAAGCGCGCCGCGACACCTCGCCTTCCTTTCTGGGAATTTCGCGATTTTTGAGAATTGAGCAGGTCTAATGGGTACTTTACGGCGAAGGCGCTGGATATGGTTGCGGTGACGCAGTACCAGACAGAGTAAGTCATGGCAGTGTAGGCGAGGGCAAGCGCGACAGCAGGGTTCAGGAAGAGCGGCAGAGGATTGCGAATTCCCTTTCGTTCCGCCGCGGCTGGTTTCTCTGATTTCTCGTCCGTGGCCTTCCCAACAATATTGAAGACCGGTGAGTAGATGACCTTCTTCACTTTGCTGTCACCAATCTCGACAGCGGCGCAGGTCTCTGGGAGGAAACTAATTGCCCGTGAGATGCCTTCGCGGATGCCTCGACAGTTTGATAAGTACCTGAATATGAGAACAAGGCAGATTCCAGAGAGAATGCACAGAAACCAGAAGATCGACCTCCACCCGAGGCCACCTGCTAAGGCTCCGCCCAGTACTGGCCCTAGTACAGGCGCCAACTGCCACGCGTCAGACCTGGTAAGATGTGAAAACCAACGACTCACCTGAGAACCAACATTCGCGGAGAAAAAATGGCCGCCACGGTTCCTCCTGCTTGTGATATCGCCTATAACACCTGCGCCTGCAACATGTTGCTTGTCAGGGATTATCAAACAGCGTAAGGATTGATGTACTGACAGAGAGCTGTCGTGTTCGAGCAACCTGCCGACTGGAAGCATCGAAGTAGCAAGAGCAGCCAAAAGGCATTCGTGGGCACGAGGGCGAGCCCAAGGCTGGAGAACACCAAGATGGCGAAGCAGATGAGATAGGTCGGCCGACGTCCATAGTAGTCAGATACGGGGCCCCATACCATGGGCGCTAGTGTGGCATGAGCAACACGTCGACGAGCTATTCACGAACTCGAATGCTCACCGATAGCTTGCAGGATCAAGTAAACTGTTACGGTCAAGTTGAGCGACGATGTTGATTTGTGGAAGACGCCGGTCAGCGTAGGTATGGCCGGGAAGTATATGTTCGCTGTAAACAACGTTCAGTCAGTTTTTACGACTCACATTGGACCAAGATCTCACCGACCTGAGAGAGGGCTGAGGGATCGCAAATTCGTTCAGATCGCCAACCATTGGTGAGAGCAAGGTCATACCTGAACAAGCAAGTCACGGCGACCATATACACAATGAATTTGGTTTGCCTAGGCGTATAGCGCGAAGGAGGCTCCTCTATCGGTCTTGTATCCTTGCCCTCTTCCACCACCGCTGGTCCATCGACTGCCTGCTCCTGTACGCCAACAAGCCCTTCCTTGCCCGCACCCTCGATTGAAGGAGTCATGGTGGTCGTGTGCAAGGTAAAAGTGACATGATCCAGCGCTCTGAAGACGCAATCGGACCTGCGCGGGAAAGAAGGCAGATAGGCGGCTAGTGAATTGCTGCTGGATTACATGTGTAGGGCAAATTGGGGCGATAAGTCAATGGCATCGTCTCTGCATCCGTCCTTCGTGTGCGGCCGATTAGTTGCGATACCGAGGTGGGTGCAGAAGAACATCGGAGACGGAAAGACGCACGGTGAATGTGACCTTTCGGGACGAAGGCGCTTTCCCACGGCATGGGGGCCATGATTCTCACCGTCAGTGCGAGCACAGGGAACGTACAAAGCAATTTGCAAGCAAACGTACAATACAGACTGGTCGTGATACAAGCTTGTTCTACATACCGTGATTTGACGAATTCATGAGGTGTCCATTGCATGATCTTCCGTGGCCTTGGGGGCCTTTGCCTTGTTCCGCCGCTCGGACAAGAAGTTCTCGATGCGCGCCTTGAGTTCGGGTTCTGCAGAGTCAAGGTCAACGTGTGTATTCGAAGAGAGGCCAAGAGGGACGCGTACGCTCGATGACATCCTCGATGGTGAGGGGCATGCGGTTGAAGGGATCCTTCGAGTCCGAGAGCAAGTGAGACTTGATTGTTGGGCGGTCGATGATTGTCCGCGAGGACGGCAGCATGACCGGGTCACGCATGACAGTGTACATGAGCGGATCTGAAGGTACGAATGTCAGTACAGAGCGATCCCTTGCTGTGACGCCCATCCACTCACCCAAGAACTCATCCGGCACCTCGCCCAGATCATCCTCCGCTTCAATCGTCGTCCTCGCCTCTTCGACCTTCTCCACAAACGCATACAGCACCTGCACCTCCTGCTCCGTCTTCAGCGTGCGCTGCACTGCCTTCGCCGCGGCGCGCATAAACAGCTCCTTGCTGTAGCTCCGCCCATCATTCGCGACCGCGCGCACGAACTCGGGCTGGTCGCTCAGGTTGATGAAGATCTGGATGATATCGCTGAGGAGCTGGCGCGGATTGAACGACAGCTTCTCCGGGTCGCGTACGCGCAGCTCCTGGTACCGCGGACCGATGAGCGCGTTGAGGTTGTAGTCCAGCATGGCTGCGAGACGGTCGACGATCTCGGGCATCATGAAGGGGGCCTTCGTCTCGGCAGTGAAGAGCTTGAGGAGTTCGACGGTCGAGCGGCTGAGGGCGGCATAGCTAGATGCCTGGCGTTCAAGGGAGCGCAGGGTTCCCTCGCGTTCGCGGCGGTACTGCTGAGGTTGCGCATTCCAGGCTGCCTGGTTGTCCATCTCGACCTGGATGGTGTGGATCTGGGTCATCTCGCTCAAGGATTCGTCCATGAGGTAGGTAACATCGTTGATCATGAGGTTGACGAAGCGGACGAACTTGTCGATCTTGCTGCAGGAGTATGTCGGAGCTCGGACATGACATGCAGCAGATATGCGAAGCACGTACGTGGCTTCGATGTTAAGCGCTTCCCGGTGTACGGGGTTGTCCCAGATGTACTTCAAGACGTAGGCGATGCTCCGTCTAAGGCCAGGTCAGAAAAAGCCGACATACAGACATCTCGAGCCCACCTCGCATCTGCATGAGAGGTCAGTAAGGCGTTCACGATGAAAGCAGCATACCAACTCACTGAATTTGTCATAAAACTGGGAGCTTGCGCCCGTTTGCTCGACCTCTGCCAACTCCGTTAGCCAACCCCTTCAGCAGTTGCATTGAGCGCATACCGATGTAGAAGTGCATCAACGCCGGGATCAAGTGCTTAAGCGCCTTCGGGTGCGAGTTGAGCAGTTGTCCGAGCACACCGCCGCGCTCGCGCCCATAGCCCCACAAACCCATGAAGAGGGTCTATGCGATGGTGAGTACTAAGGAATACGCATGCACCAATAGACTGCTCACGTCGTTGATCTTCGACTTCAAGAACGGGTTCTTGATGTACCACGTCGAGGTCAAGAAGGTCAGGACGAACATGAGCAGCTCGTTCTTGCCTGCGACGTCGAACTTGTCGCGTGCGTCCCTTCCGAGGCGCTCAACAACAGGGTCCAAGCAGGAAGCAACCATGCAGCTTACTGCGTCACGAAGTGATAATGGTCCACAATATCCTCGATGATGTATTCGGGCAGCACGCGGAAGGACATTGGCACCTCCTGCGGGAGCGGAAGCCTGGGGGCTCAAGTTCAGCACCATTGACACAACATGATCGAACACACTTACTCAACCAGCGGGTTCGGGTGCGTCTTCAGCGGGTCAACCTGCCGAATGACCCAGGTGGACAGGAAGTTGGTGAAGCCAAGGTGGCGGAGGAGAAGCTCGGGGTCCAGCAGCTGCGCCGCGAAGGTCATCTGGTGAGATTTGAGCTTGCCTAGCTCGATCTGTATGCGGGTCAGCCAGTTGTAGCAGACAATCCTCTCGACATGCACCTTCCCCTGATCAATCGCTTGTTGTGTTCTGGCTTGGTTCGGTGTCTGAGGTACCCGTCAGCTTCAGAAGTTCGCAAAGGTAGGGAGCGTACGTACACCCATCCAAGAGCCGTCACCCTGGATCTGGTCAAGCTGCCTCTGGTACTCGCTGATGTGCTTGTGCATCTCGTTGTACGAATCGACCGTCTTCAACAACCCGTAGTGGCACATTGCAATGGACAGGAAAAAGATCTCCGAGATGAAGTTTGGTGCCGGCGCTGCGATTGTTGAGTCCCACCAACAATACCCTTTTACCAACAGAACTCACCGTTCGCACCCTTCTGCTGGTCCTCCCACGCCTTCGCCTCCTCGCTCGTCGCCTTGATCCTGGTCTCGTCGTGCAGGTCCAACCTGTCGGACCTCGCCAAATACAACGGGTCGATCTTGTCCATCTTGCTATACGTCGCATCCATGAAGGGGTCTGCGAACCGCAGCAGCACGGTCTGGATGTTCACCATGAAGCTATCCGACGACACCGTCGCCGGATCCACTTGCATGCCCGCGCGGCGCAAGTTCAGCTTCACGACCCGCGCGAAGTACTTCAGCACGGCCTCCCGCGCCACGGGAGACGCGCGCACGAGTGCGTTGTAGATCGCGAAAAGCGACGTCTGGTACCCGTTGAGCGTCCCGCGCAGACTAGCGAAGGACGAGTCGAGGTCCGCGCGGCTGCGCTTGTCGGGGTCTGAGAAGTACGTGCGCGCGACGGAGGGCCAGTCCGTGCCGAAGACATTCAGACGCGATACGGGTCCTAGAAGCGCGAGACGCTCGAAGGTGGGTGCAGTGGCGTTTTCCGGGATGAACTCGTCGAGGCGGGTGATCATGACGGCGATGGGCTTGACACTGACGAGCGCTTCAAGGCCGCCGATGACACCACGCCAGGTCGCGTCGGCGCCGGCGATGCCCTCGGGCTGAGCGAGCGATGGGTGGTACGCGAGAAGCTTGACGACGGGACCGAGGACGCCGTCGATCTCGTTGTCCGGCTCGAAGCGGCGGGCGAGGTCGTGCAAGAAAGGCTCGACGTCGGAGGCAGACAGAGAGCCGGATTGCGGGGAGGACCCCAATGGTGTCGTGAATGCGGACAGTGAGAGAAGTGGGTTGACCAGCTCGATGGGTCCAATGGGCTTGTTCGACGGCTGCGGGAACATCTCAGGCTCCTGCAGCGTCAAACCTGCATAGCTGATGACCAGATCCTTGATCTTGTCCAGCTTCTCCACGCCCTTCTGGGTGTCCGTCGGCGGATAGCCCTACAGAATGTCAGATCACCGTCAGGCGCTTATTGTTCGACATACCTTCTTGAGAAGCGCCGAGCGAATCTGGTTCTGACGCTTCCAACATCCGACAAGGTACTCGAAGATGGTCTGTTCCGGGGGCAGGGAAGTAAGTACGGGAAGGTAGTCGAGGTCATCTGTCATGCTTTGGGGGTCGAGTTCTAGTCGCGCGATCAGCAGTCTGTCGACGATGTCCGTGCTCAGGCGGATGTTCGTGAGGCCTGCACATAGGCATCAGTCAGCGCTGTAAGTGTGGAAGGATAGATCGCGCACTCGGATCTTCTGAGCGCAGCTCCTGGTCCAAGTACTTGAGCCACACAATGTCATAGCCGCTCGCTTCAGCTGCTGCCCTCTGCGCCACGATCAGTACATAGAGGGTATGCTATGGCTCAGCACATACGTCCAAAGTCACCCTGAAGATCTCCCCTACGGCTTTGTGCTCCCACTGCTCGAGATTGAGTGGTGGGGCCATCTTGACCTTCGTTGCTCGTGGAGCAGGGATCGGTTCAGGCTCGGCGACACGCTTCGCGCTCGGAGGAGGTATGGGCTTCGAGGCAGGTTTAGGCTTAGGAGGCGGGGTCGCAGGCACGCTCGACGGCTGAGACGAGGGCCCAGGCGATGCTGACGCCGCCGACTGCAGCTTCGCGAGACGCTTCAGACGGATCTGTACGGCGCTTAGTGACCTTTCCTCGATCCTTATTCAAACGACATACGCGCTCAGCATCGTCCAGCGGGGTACTTGGGTTATCGGACATCGCGAGAACAATGGGGGCTGGAAGGAAAGACGGAGAAGAACAAAGACTGCCGACGCGATGGGGGAACGCGTAGAACGTGTCGGCAGCCCGGACCGGCACCCGCCGCCTTCTTTTCCCCCACCATCACCATGTTCTTCGGTCGGCTGCTCGCGACGGCGCAGGCGTGCGCCCTGCCTGGCCGCTCGTTCTCTACGACGGCATGCCTAGGGAAGATGAAGACTCATCAGGGCGCGAAGAAGCGCTGGACCTCGCTGCCGTCCGGGAAGTTCAAGCGTGTACGTGCACGCACTCGGGAGACTTTGCGGCAAATTGACTGGCCGGATTCGTGCAGGCACACGCATTCCACCAGCACTTGAACACCAACAAGACGCCGGCGCAGAAGAACAGGCTGGGGAAGACGGCATACTCGACCCACACGCAGACAGTCAAGCTGAAGAAGGCGATACTCCCCTACGGGACACATTGAGTGCGTGCGACATTAATTTTCTGTTTTGTTTCGTGCTCATATGATCCAGTCCAGTGCTATATTATACGTATGCGTGCTTTCGGCTGCAATAATATATGTCCAACCCCAACTTCCTCATCATGTTCCTGCTACTACCTGCGCTCTGACCTCTTCTGTGCCGAGGCCGTGCGAGCCTTACCCCCACCAAAGAACGCACGAAGGTCTTTCTGTCGAGGATCATGCGCAGAGCTTCCGATACCACCTTTCTGGCGAACCTGTAACCCATTCCTTGGTCAACACTCGACCTTGATGCGTCCAAACTCACCAGACTATTCAAATGGTCGTGTCGGTTCACCTCAGTGATACTCATGGTCAACTTGTCGCCCTGCAATGTTATAAGCTCAGCGACGAGCGGCCGGGTATGTAAAGAATCACAACAACCCACCTCCTTTTCCACAACCACCCTCACCCACCCCGTATTATGCAGCGTTATGCGCTCCGTCGACGCCTTCGCTAGCGTTCCTCGCTTCACCAACGCGCCCACCAGATGTCGGATATAGATCCCATGGCTGACCACCAATATGTGCGTCGGTCGCTCACTCTCCTCCTCCAGCCCGATATACGGCAGCAATAGCTCCTCAACCGTCTTGTCCGCCCGCTCCCGCACCTCCCTCCGACTTTCTCCTCCCGGAAACCTCTCGTCGTCGCCCCTATTGCGCGCGTACGTCCCGTCTTGCAGCTTAGACGACCTGTCCTGCTTTTCATTCGAAGCAGGTGTCGTGCCCGTCTTGCCAGTGCGTGCCGCAGTGTACGGCTTACCCTCGCCCTCTCCAAAGTGTTGCTCTTTGAGCAAGTCGTTCTGTATGATCGGCGGCCTTGGCGGCGCTTGCCTGTCGTGAATTGCTGAAGCAGTCGAGAGGGCGCGGTTTAGGGGCGAAGTTAGGATAGCTGTGAACTTCTCGTTGGCGAAGGAGGTTGCGAGGGCGTTTGCTTGCTGTGAGGGGTCAGTTGACCTGCTCTATGAGCAGCTGAGGGTGAGTTTACTAACGTTCATGCCTGCAAATGCGCTGCTCGTTAGAATAATTTCGGGCAAAGAAGCGTCGTGAATTACCATGATTCGACAAAGATGACTCCTTCCACCCCGCCCATACTTGTTTCTATAGCATGGGGTCGGGTGCGTTTCTCTAACTCTAAACGACAGAATCGTACTAGGTTATCCATTGACTCCCCGTGTCGAACCTAGTCAATGGAATAGGGTCAGACCCGTTTGGGGCGCGCGGAGAACACGTTTCTTACAAACGTGAAGATGGTTGTTGGCATGACACGAGGCTCGATATATACGAGCTGATTTACTATACGGATCTCTGGAGAAGGATACGAGAGGTGTTACTGCGCAATCGCTCCCGCCAGACGAGGGCAGAGATGGACGTTCTGCACGAAGTCGAACTTCGTCGCTCCATGCGGAACCGAAACGCCACATGGTCTCGGCGTTTGCCGTGTCACGGTTCATTTTGCCAACCCCTACCTCTTCCTGCTTGATATGCCATGGCTACACAGGTAGTTTTCTGGACTTTATGTGGAGTTCCATTTTTCTATCATGATCCTTTGTACGCTATATTCACGGTAGTCGTAAGTCAAATCCTGCATCGATCCTATCCACCGTCATATCGTACTCCCCTTGGTCACCGTCCGACATGTGGAAGGACCCATGGAGTAAAGTATGCGAGCAATGCGAGTGGCAAGTCTCGATAATCGCAAGCGTGCTGCTCCCTAACGTCACAGGGATCCGCCTTGACCTCACCGCAGCGCAGAACGGGCGCCTCACAATGCGCTGCTTCACCCATTCCTCGTGGCAGATCGTCAGGACTTTCAGACAGGGAAGGAGCGCCATTGAAGTGGGAACGGTGGGATCACGGATGAGCCCGCGCACGACAGACAGGCCAGCGTCGTTGGCTACATAGGACACGATCTCCAGGCAGACGAGCGAGTTCAGGCGACGCAAGCAATCGAGAGCGCCGTCTAATTGGACACGACACAAGTGGAGGTCGCGCAGTCGCGGACAGTCGTCCGACCTATCCAGGAATGTGCGGAGTCTTGATAGTGCGAGATCTTCCGGGGGCTGCAGGCCGCCGTAGTATGTGAATGGGGTCAGGCTAACCTTTGGTGCAGGCTTGCCACCGAGCAGAAGCTTTTGTAAGTTGGGCGCAGCCATAATGAGAAGCATGCCTGTGGCTTCCCTCTGCAGATCGAGGTCCTCAAGGGACGGGAGGGTCACCACAGGCTCTGTGAGCAGTGTGAGCGGTGAAGAATCGTCTGTCTCCCATGCGAGCCTGGCCGAGCGCAAGGTGTCTCCGCAAACCGTGACAGCAGTCACTGCGACCGTCAGCGGCGAGAGCTGAGGGTCGACGAAGGTGCAATTGCAGAGATTTAGATCCAGATGGGTGAGGGACCAAGCAGACGGTAATAATACGGCAGGCAGCGTCTGACGATCAGAGGCCCTAGCCCAGCGAATCTTCAGTCGCGATACGTTCGGCGCGCTGCCGAAGAAGCGCAGGGGATTGCCGAAAGAGGTGTCTCCTCGACCCTGCCACATCGACAGAGAGCGTAAGAGCGGGAATTCGCCGCCTAATTCCCTGCATGCTGTTTCCAAATTATCGACCCATATGCGCAAGCTGGCCCATCGGTGCGACAGCGCACAGATCTGCTTCCAGAAGGACCACGATTTGGCATCGCGCATCGAGCCGCCGGGCCCTAGGATCTTGATGTGAAGAGGCGCTTGTCCCGTTCTTTTAACCAAGTCGGCCATCGCGAGGTCGTGCCGGAGCGTAGTAAAATCGATGACAATCGAGGTCCACAGGCGCGTAGTGGCGAAGGCGATCGAGCGCCAGGCACGACAGACTTCGGCATATTTGAGACGTCGCCTCCCTAGTGCAGCGGAGCTTTCCCAGTCGTCCGGCAAGGCGAAACAGAAGATTATGGACCATATCTCGGTGGGGAGAGTCTGCCATGAGTTGATGCGCATGCGACCTTTCCTGGGTCGAAGATTGTAGCAAGAGCGACCGAGTGAAGTCTGAGAAGAAGACATGCCCATCAACGTGCTACGGTCTGAATGCTTCGGATAGACCAAGATCAGGCGAAGCAGTGAAGGGCGGGAGCAAGATGAGTCGCAGATGGGTGGCATTACAATGAACGATGATGCTTACGGTCCGGCGATTGCCGCGTCGCGGGCCTTTGCTTTATGCCACGCGGATCTCATGGGCCATCTTCACTTAAAGGCTGAGCTCATCAAACGTCAGCCCTTTGTCGTGCTATGGTACGTCTTTCTCGAAGACCCCCAAGGAAAGACCCTCTTTCGAATTCTCGTTGAAAGCCTACATCATAAGTAACCCCCAGTGAAGTTCCCTTGGGCTTCGGATTCGACCTCGCGGAGTTCCTCTCATGCTCTGACAATGTCCTTGAAGGGACGACAAACCATCCTTATTAGTTAACAGCCAAGGGTTTACGTAGAAGAGAGAGCGCTCTACATGATACAGCAGTCGCCCGACTTCTCGCTGGAAAGCTGCGCCTCCTCGGCGGCCAGGATGAGTTTCTCCTCTTCGGAAAGCAGCTGGAGAACGACATCAACATAGGACTATCGAGCTTGGGAGAACCACGTACCCCCTTCGCCTGCCGCGCCTTCATGGCTTTGACCTTGCTGATGCGCTCGGCACGAGCGCGTCTGCAGGTAGGCGAGTGGTGTATGATATTAAGGGATAGGATGTACGTAGATGTAGAATACATTGGGGGGTACGGATACAATGGTGGGTGGTGAGATGATTCCGGTGACATATGATACAATAGGCGTGATTAGTAGGCGAATAACGGTGGCGGGGCGTAAGGGTTGCGTTTCGTCGTGTTCGTAGCATTGGCAGATTGCACAGCGCACGACGTAGGCAAGGGCGAGGGAGGGGTAGGCGAGCTGCTGCGTTATGAGATATCCCGTAGTGCACAGAGACAGCATGTACTCACCGGTCAACTTTGACTGACGCGACGGGGTTCTGCAGCTTCAGCTTCGAGAGGTCCACCTTCTTGGTGCTCTCGGACGGTGCGGAAGCTTTGGAAAATGCAGTAGTGGACTTGGAGGCGGCGGGGCTCGCGTTCTTCCTGAGGGCGTCACGGGCAGCATCCCTGATCTGGTTCGACTTGGCGCCTAGGCGTGCGGAGGTAGTGGGGGCAGCAGGCGTGCATGTGTGATCGGAGGGGAAGCGATGGGCAGCACAGAACTGCTTGCGACATTTCTGCATGTCCATAGTCAGTATCGAGCTGAAAATACAATGAATGGAGTACGCACATCGCATCGTATAGGTGCCACCAAAGCCTTCCCGCAACGCGCTTTCTCGCAGACAGGACCGGACTTCTTCGGTGCCCTGCCGGTCATAACGCTGCACTCGCGCATAAAGTGCTGCTCCATGCGCTCGTTCGGGTCCTGGCCAGGCTTAATTGCGACGGGAACATTGCACAAGGGACCTATAGCGAGCGTCAGCAAGCGGACAGGTGTGTGAGGTTGTAGACGTACAGCTAGGAGCAACGCGGTTGTGCTTCGTCTCATCGTACTTCGGGCACGTATGCGAGGCTGGGAGGAAGTGCTCCTGGCAAAACGCCTCGCTGCAGTGCTGACACTTGAACGGCAGGAAGTCGACGAGGTGGCAGGTATCGAGATGGCATTGCTTTCCGATGGAGAGCAGCTGCTGATCGCGGTCGACGGTCTCGGAGGATATGTTGTGGGAGGAAGACATGGTGGCGGGAAGAGACAAGAAGCAAAAAGAATGTGTCCGCCAAGCGTTCGGGGGTGCTTATATAGGGCTTGGGCGCTTACGCGTCCGCTAGCACTGCATACGCGTCGAGCTGGGGAAGTTTCAGGATGATTAGTGATGGCTGACAAATACTCATCCCACGTGCGCCACGGCCACCTCTCGATATCGGCCTTGCTTCCGTCTTCCACCTCTCTCGTCGCCCTCGTCTAGCGGCTAGCCGTATATCGCTTCAACGCTATGGAAGCTTCGGGAGAAGGACCTGCGCAGAATCACATCCAGACGCGCGATGTGATTGAAGCCCAGGCTCACGGTGCGGAAAAAGCAGGCTTCGTCGGCCACCCAGCGTCCTCAATGCAACACCTACCAACGGAGCTCTGGTCTAACATATACTACTTTGCCTTGCCAGATAGCTGGAACTCTGCCTTGCTTGGGAGGCGCCGCATCAGGTATGCACAAGTCTGTCGCACCTGGCGCGCGATCGCCTTCTCCACCCCGCGTCTATGGAACAAGATACGACTCCATTGCAGAATCGACTTCACGCTGGCCATGGCAGAAGTAGATAGGACTGGAAACACGCCGCTAGACGTAGATGTCCTCACCGTGTTTGCTGATAGTCCCGGATACGAGGACGTGTGGGCTGTCTGGACTTGCCTTTGTTCCCTCTCACATCGCTGGGCCAGCGCAGACATCACGCTCGGTATGATGCAGGCCGCATGGGACATCTTATCTGGTCGCGATTTTCCTCTCTTGCGCTCAATCTACCTTAGCCCTTCAAGCAAGGATGTTGATGAATTCGACGACCCTCTTCGCCACTTCGTACACGCCCCAAATGTGTCCGAATTAGACGTGCGTCTCACCTTCGTCACTGCACTAGCCCTTGCTCTGCCACTGCCCTGGGCTCTCGAGTGCTTGCACTTTCACTCCTACGATTATACCATACGCCCGAACCATATATCGCCGGACGTTGCATGGGGCATCACCGTGGCTTGCAAAGATACGCTGCAATCAGCCAGCTTTGAGTTTGCACGAACTCTATCGCCTCCGTTGCTTTCAGCACCTGCCGCATGTTTTCCCGCCCTGCAAGACCTCGACTTGTCCGACGAAGGCTCATGCTTCATTCTTCTCATCGAAGCCCCCAACTTGGTAGAGCTCTCGATGAAGGGAGGAGATGGTGAAGATGGCGGAAGAAACTCCGAACTGCAGATGCTGTCCCGACTCAGTACTCTTTTGGATAGGTCGGGCGACTGTTCGCAGCTGCAGTATCTCACTCTGATCAGCGTCGACCTGGAAAGGGGAGATCTAATATCTTGCCTACGCCGCGTACCCTCGCTCGTCAACCTAGAGATTGTCTCCTTTTTCTATGAAGAGTCCAATCTGGCCGTTGTCCGTGCGCTCATTCGCGACCCCGCCGAGCCATCATCGATGGCGTTGTTGCCCTGCCTAACGGCCCTGACGATCTGCCACAATGATTGGCGGAAGGAGTATCCCGTCCGGCAGTTGTTTTGCGCTGCGGTGCGCTCCAGAATGCTCCCCACGACATACGAGGGCAGGGAACTCGCGTGCCTCGAGGCTTGCCACACGCACTACGAACATTCTTGCTCTTGCCGAGACACCGATGGCGAGGACGATGACTACGACATGACGCTGGAGAGGATTAAGAACGAGTTCGATTTGAAGAACTACGACACGGAGAAAGGGTTAGAAACGCGGTTCTATTGGGTTGGCGAGAGGTTCGTCCGATTCCTGAACGTGTTGTAGTGCAGCGAACTTACGAATGCTTCAGCGTTTGACTTGCCGTTGTCGCGGCTTCGTAACGGAGTCAAGGTGTCGGTAGAGAGAACGCGGGAGGCACATGCATGGCTGCATGGCGTTGTTCGAGTTGAAAACCGATGATCAGGCCAATATTCGACGATCGCTGAGATGTATCGAGTACAGTGAACGTGAAGAAGGGTCGTAGCTCGCAGGTGTCAGCATGGCAGGCTGGAGAATCGAAGTCGCTACTTTGTTGGCGCTCGGGTTGCCAGTGGAAGATGGCGTAAAGTCGTTAGTAGGGATAGGTGCCCCTCGGAGCTTTGCAAGTTTCCCTGACCGAAAGAAATACTAGCTAGCATAAGACACGCTCAATCGTACCCTTCGGGGGTCGATAACTCCAGTGACGATGAAGGCAAAGGAGTGAACTTCAACCGTGGGAATATCACCACGCCACACGGTCTGCCTCCAACCCTCACCTTGACTCACCCGCGCGGTCCGTTGGAGGCTCTGGTAGGCGCTCTCGACCTCATAACCGCCGTCGGGCGCTCAGGCCATGCCTACTACACGAGGTCCCCCGCATGAATGTTGCGTCAGCCTCGACATAAACGCCGGCATCGCGGCATGTCTCCCTCCTTTGGGTAAAAAACGCGTCGCCTAGCAACGAGAGCACCGCCGCCCCCTAGCAAAATTACTCTGTTAGGCATGGACCACCGAACCCGCATTCCTTCTTACACGGTACACAACGCACCTCGCTCGCACCACAACAACAAACAACCCACCCCCAATCGCCCATAAGTTGATTTTCGCCGCGAATAGCGCTCTCCTGCGCGCGTGCCACTCAATTCTTTGACTCGCCACTGAGCCACTCGACCCCTCGCTAACATGGCCAAACAACCAAAATTTCCTTTCTTGAGGGCAGAGCAATCGAAGCAATCGAGGAGCAATCGAGGACGTCCGCGCCAGAAAGCTATAAAGGGGGGCGGGCGAGGGCGGTTTCTGCACCACCCCCGCCCCCGACCAACTTCACAAACACCTATCCTGCCCGCAGAACCCGCTAAACGGCGACGATGCCTCGCAACTCGAACAGCAAGGTGGGTGATGACGAGATTTCCTTTTCGGGTCAAGGGCCGCCACTCATGGTACTTGTGTTGTGCAGCAATGGGACAACCTCAACGAGATCCCTGGCTTTACCAAGAGCAACCACTGCAAAGTTTGCAAGAAACATGTCAAGAACACGCGTTACCACCTGCGCCACACGATATCTTTTCACCTCAGCGAGGCCACGCAGGAGAATATCGACATCAAGTAGTGCGTTTCTGATTCCACTGTAGCTCCTACACTTTGCTGATGTCTGTTGCAGTCCATGTTGCTGCGATGAATGTGACTATAGATGCGCGCAGCCAGTGCTTTTGGAAACACATATTCGTGTTTGGCAGTGAGTTACACTCCCTTCGTTACATATTTACTCTATCTTGCCACACCATTCATCGTGCTGTTCGCTTGTTCTTTCTGGTGTTCTTTCTCTGCTCCCTCTCTACATCTGGTAACGGCATGCTAATCTCTCGCGCAGCACTGGCGAAAAGCCTTATATCTGTCCGCATGGATGCGGGGCCTTCGCTGACCACGGAGGCTTTTCGCATCACATGAAACGCAAACATAACAGGGATACGAAAAAGAGGGAGGTGTGTGAGGTCGAGTACCAGGATGACGACGAAGACGACGAGCAGGCGCAATCGGAGGCACCCTCCACGGCGCAGCAAGACACGGTCCACGGGGGCCCCAGCCGTGCGACGCGCGCGACGCGGCGGTTCGTGCCGTACACCGCACCCAAGAAGGCGAAGGCAACGAAGAAGGCCCGCGCGCAAGACAGCCCGCGGTCCATCTCCCCCACCTACGACGCGCAGCCCGTCCAGCAGAAGGGCGTGTACTACGAAGCGAAACCCTCCCCGTACCAATGCCACAGCTCCCTCGCGACCTTGGACCTCCCGCCCGTGCTACCGCCTGCACCCACCTACACTTCGCCCGCGCCTGTCTACAGCCCGCCTACACCGTCGTACAGCACGCCAGCGCCTATCTACCATCCGGCTGCGTACTCGAGCGACTGCAATGCCACATACTACGGCAACTACCACGCGTCCGCTGCGCCGAACACGACCTACGCGTCGTCGTCGAGCTTCGACCAGCCCTCGTCAAGCGTCGACCAGACCTCGTTAGACTTGAACCACATTCCCGCCTCCTCGAACTCCTTCTACTCGACGACGTCCTCGGACTCGCTCTACATCGCAGTCGACTCAACGATCCCGCAGCTGACGGCCTCGGACATCAAGTTCGCTGGCTTCTCGAGCTCCGCGGTCGAGCAGACGCCTGCCTACGACGCGTACTATGGCGCTGGTACACCAGCATTCGCGACTGCTCGGGTCGATGCAGTCGCCACTGCCGAGGCTAATGCGTTCCCTACCATCCAGCCCTATGAGCTCCCCACCCCACAGGTCGACGCATTCTCTCCTGCCGAGCTTGCAAACGATGCCTCCTGGTACTGGACTGAGGAGTCTTCCACCCACGACGCCTCGTCGTCCCCTTTCAACGCCTCGTCCTCCCCATACAACACCTCCTCTTCCCTCGATAACCTTACCTTCGATACGTCTCCCTCGGAGACCACCTGGGTCGACTATGAGATCATCGCCTCGCCGGTGACGCCTGTCGACTTTGGCTTCGCGCAGCAGTCTTTCGACAACCTCTCGCAGGAGTCCTGGCAGAGCTGCTCGCAGGAATCCTGGCTGAACTGCTCGCAGGCGTCGCTACTCGACCTGGACTCCATCGACTTCGCCGACACGAAGACGGGCTACCTCGACCTCACCTTCGGCGACTCGTTCCCGGCGTCCGATGCCCCCTGCAACAAATTCCCGTGGCCTGCCGTACAGTACAACCCCGAGGAGATCGCCAGGCTGCTCAACGAGCTTGTCTACACAGGGGCGATGGCATAAGGCGCCGACTTGAACCAGCACGAACATCTCACTCATCGACTGTATCATCATCCATCCACTCACCGACTGTATTCTCATCCTCTCATCAACTGTATCCTCATCTACTCACTGGCTTCATCTTTCACCTATTCACCGGAAGCCTGCATTCTCGTTCTCATCTACTGACTGTATCTTCATCTTCGCCTTACTCTACCCTTTGTCCGACTACGGACGACCTGCATCGAATAATGCCTGTTCAAAGGCGCTTTGGTTACCTATCCTTATCACTATTTCTATTTTCTGGAAATCGAATTCTTGTTGTACTCAATACAAACTATGGCACTAGGAATGGCATAGCCATAGCTTGTTGTGAATTGCTCTGTCTGACGCCTTGAAGTTGAAGGTGTAAATGAGGATATCACTTGCTTCGGCAATCTCCGAGAAACGGATGCGCGTGCTTGTTCTTGTTTGGGCCACGGTGGCACACCTTGCTTTCGTCTTCCATGTCGCGTCTGGCTCAAATGGCTGGCAGCTCTACACAGGTAAGTATACTATCTGAGCAAGCCTTATGCTCGTCCCTACTATATACATGCTCATCCTTGCGCTATCCTACTAATGCTCATGGTGCGAGTGCATAATGTCCGTCAATGCCTGCGCCGCATTGTCCGAGAAGACAACGCCAAGGTTCTGGTTCGACTCCGCCAGGTTTTCCTTCGCCCGCGCCATCATTCGCTTCTCGTAGTCCTGGAAGGCGTCTCGCGTCTTCGCCTCCCCCGCGACGACTTTCTTAATTGCATTCGCCAGGTCCAGTGCGTCTGCTAACGCAAGGTTGACGCCGACACCAGAGAAGGGCGACATGACATGCGCTGCGTCGCCCAGCAGGGTCACGCCCTCGACCGGCTTCCACTCGTGCTCTGGCGGGAAAGCGAAGATCTTGCGCACCGCGATCTCCGCGCCCTCGGTCGCGCGCACGATATCGAGCAGCTCGGGGGCCCATCCCCCATAGTGCTCGAGCAGCGCGTCGCGGACGCTGGCTGTCCCCTTCGGCAACACCTCGTTGTTGAAGCCGTCTGCCTCCTCCTCCGGCGCCTGCAGCGCAAAGTAGACGCGCAACACGCTGCCGCCGTTGCGCTGCGGCATAATCGCCTTCCGGTCGCCCAGGATGAACGCCAGGCCCTGACCAACGAGCGTGGCGATGGCGGGGTGCGTGGAGTCGATGTCGGGGATAGCGGCGTCGACGAAGAAGACGCCGGTGTAGGCAGGGAGGGCCTTTGTGAGGGCGGACGAGCGCACTTTGGACCAGGCGCCGTCGGCGCCGATGACGAGGTCGGTGGTCGCGGTGCGTCCGTTGCGGAAGGTGAGGGTGTAGCCGCCGGTTGGGGATGGTGTGACGGTTTCGAGGGTGTAGCCCCATTGGATCGTGTTGGGCTCGAGGGAATCAAGGAGGATGTCGCGCAAGGCTTTCCTGGAGATTTCGTCAGCCATCATCAGTAAAGTCAAGCCAAAAGTCATCCATACCTGTCGATCTCCGGACGAGCGAACTCGCTGTCAGGCGCGTGTTCCTCCTCGTCCTTCTCGTCAAGCAATAACCTTCCCTTCTTGTCGTAGATGCGTGTCTGCTGACCCTCGTAGCGGGCGTGCTGACGAAAGCGGTCCAACAGCCCTGCTGCATTCATCGCGAGGAGGCCATCTTCCGGATGGAGGTCGAGTGAGCCACCCTGTGGACGAGCGGTCGCAGAGGCGTCGCTCTCGTATATCGTTGGGCGAATGCCGTGCACCTGAAGGAGTCGCGCCAGCATAAGCCCACCGGGACCGGCGCCAATGATGGATATGCGAGTGTCACTCATGAGTATCTTGTGGCTGATTGGGCCCGGGGTTGGTAAATTCTGCTCCCAACTCCTTCCTTCGCTCGTCTTTATGTACAGCAAGCTATCTGCCACTCCCGCGTTTCACAATGGCTTGTCGTCTGTTTCAGATGCCACAATCTGCCCGAAAATGCCTTTCGACCACCTTGAACACGGTCTGCCACCGCGGTCGCGCGCCCAAACACCGTTTCACGCCGTGCTGATTACGCCGCGCCATTGTGAGACAGAAAAGGAAGGTATTCATCTGCGTTCAGGCACGTGGCCGACTTTCGGCCCGATCGACCAGTCACGAACTTCCATCACCCACTCTTTTGCCAGCAGGACCTCGCGGCTCGTGGGCATTGACATGTTCTTATCTGCGCTATATCTAGCTCGAAGGTGCAGGGCTACGTTCAGGAAGACGGCATGAAGACGTTCAGAGGGACCTCTCGCGTACTCGGTAAGTAGGACAGGAATGCATCGTGGGTTTAGGGCTTTCAGCGGAGCGCTCTTGTTGCGTAACGCGGGCATTATAAGTGTCTTGAAACTGTGCGCGTGAGGTGCCCAGGGACCGATTGTTGTCCGACGAGTCATAAGGCGCGTGGGGTTCTTACCATAGACGCCCGCGCGCATGTCCAGAAATACCCCGCTCTGTCTTCGTCCACTACCGCTATGAGCGCGACGATGGAGATGAAGGAGATGAAGAAGGATGGTGTAGTTCAAGATCAGCCAGTTGCTCCTCCCGCAGAAGCAAGCCAGATTAGACCGGCAGAGGAGGAACCACCGCTTCCTTACACTCGAAGGGAAACCTGGTTTATCGTCCTCATTATCGCAATAGCCGGCCTCTTTAGGTATGCAAATCATTTTGCTACATTTTTTTCGTTCTACTGACCACAATCCGCAGTCCGCTACCAGGTACAACGGCTTTCTCGAACTGATACGAACGCGCACACGACCACTGAACACCTTCCTTTTATAGCCAACATCTACTTCCCCGCCATACCTACGCTCACGGGCGTCTTCCACAAGTCGACTTCGGACCTCAACTTGACCGTCACAGTCTATTTGATCCTCCAAGGCATCTGTAAGCGCATGCTTCGTTTCGCCTTGACTGTAGCTGAATATTATTGGCAGCGCCCATGGTCTGGGGTCCCGTGTCTGATTTTTACGGTCGTCGGCCGACGTATCTCATCTGCTTCATTATCCTGGTCATGTCCTGTCTCGGCCTTGCTCTCGTGCCAACGAATGCGTTCTGGCTTCTCCTGCTGCTTCGATGCTTGCAATCGGCGGGATGCTCTAGTACGACTGCTTTAGGTTGGTCGTATCCCGTTCGAGCACTACATGTTTCCTGACATCTTTGCAGGATCTGGTGTCATAGGCGATATATCCCATAGAAAGGATCGCGGCGGGTACTACAGCGCCTTCAATCTCGGCCCTCAGGTAAACACCCTGTTGGGCACACTTCGTGACTGACTCTCCCTAGGTAGCTCCCGTAATAGGGCCCATTCTGGGTGGTGCGCTAGCGGGAGGCCTCGGCTGGAGATCCATATTCTGGTTTCTCTTCATCTTGTCCTCCTCGTCTTGGTCATTCCTTCTATGGTTGGTGTACTCCTATACTGCAAAGCCGCCGTTCTGTTCTAACGAAAACGTAGCTTCCTCCCCGAGACGCGCCGCATCGACGTCGCTAGCCGTAACGCCTTCACAAAGCTTATCTACACCCCCATTATTCCCGTCGTCAAGCGCTCACAAGCCGTCATTGACTCAGCCCGGCTCCCCACCACTACCTCTACCACATCCACCCCCAAACGCACCCGCATCCGCAACCCCCTCCCGCTCTTCCTCAACCCCGCCGTCTCGCTCGCTCTCGCCTTCACCGCCGTCATCTATTCCGTATGGTACTGCGTCACCGCGACCATATCCAGCGCCTTCGCCGCGAAGTACCCCTTCCTCACCGAGGCGGACGTGGGGCTGTGCTACCTGCCTATTGGCGTCGGCATGTTTCTGTCGAGCGCGGTGCATGGGAGGATACTGGACGCGGAGTACCGACGGATGCGACAAAGGTGGCTCGTGGGGAGGGGGCCCGACGAGGGGGAGAAGGGGCCAGTGGGCTTTCCGATTGAGCGCGCGCGCCTGAGGTTGATCCCGCTGCATATTCTTGTGTTCGCGGGGTGCGTGATTGGATGGGGGTGGTCGTTGGAGGCAGGGGTGCATCTCGCGGCGCCGCTCTGCTTGTCGTTGCCGAGTACGTTGAGGTTTCGTTCTCTTCTTTGTAACCATCTTTTCTCAACCCACCACACAGTCGGCTACACCTTCAACGTCGTTCTCAATACCACGATGACGCTCATGATCGATATCGAGCACTCGCAGAGCTCGAGTGTGACTGCCTGCGTGCGTCTTGCGCATATTTTTCTTCGATCCTCTACTCTCTCTGACCTTTTATTCAGACGAACCTTGCGCGCTGCAGCCTCGCTGCTGTCCTAACCGCCGTCATCGACCACATCACGAGCGCTATCGGCTACGGATGGACGTATGTTCTGTTCGGCGGCCTTTCCCTGCTCATGATCCCCCTCATCTATCTCGAGATACTCATGGGCCCGCGATGGCGAGCGCGGCGTGAAGCGAAGAAGGCACAAGCGTAGAGAACGGCCCGGGGATCTATCTGAAATCCTAGCCCTTTATCGTGACGTGATGCGTGAGGGGGAATAGCGCAGATCCTCTCGGTGATTCTTTTCGAAGCAACGCTATACTTTATCTGCATTTTACAGCCACTTACACAGCTGGTCATTTCCGAACGGCCTTCTGCATGAATGGTGACCGGCTGTGACGTCGTGTCACCGCGGTCACGATTGTGGACTTGTAATTTTCTCACGTCGGGGTCTTCTCTCTCGCCCGCAACGATGGCCTCAAGTCGCTATCGCTCTGAGGTCCGACCGCTAGTCAAGCGCCTCAAACAGCTCCCCATCAGCTCCTCCAGTGCGAGAGCGAATACCATCGCCACCAAAATCGCGCCTCTGATAACCTCCGAGGCGACTTTCCAGGAGCTCACCATCGATCCTTTCCTGCTGCCCGCCGACAGCTGGAATATCTCGAACTCTATCGTCTCGCGAGCGCTAGGAGCCTTGAAAGACGTGCAGGAGCTGCTGAGTGTTGACGATCCCGGCAGGAGCGCGCTTCGCGATCCCGTGCAGCGTTGCTTGGACCGCATCTGGTTCCCTCTTGTCGCCTGGATAGAATTCTTCGTCCCGTGCAGCGGTTACATCGACGTTAGATCCGAGGCGTACGAGCATGTCGAGGCGGTCTTGTACCTCCTTCTCGAGCTCGTTCGACAGAAGAACACATTCTCCCATTTACTCTCCCAAACACCCCAACTCTATGGCCGTATCATGTGGCTCTGGCTTCACGTCCCCGAATATCTCCCGGGGGACGCAGACCAGCAGCTACGCTGTCATGTGGTATGGAATAGTATCCTCGTCGGCGCAGTGACCAAGACGATTGCGCGGAACTCATCGGGTTACGGCGTTGAATCCAACGAGTCGGAGGATCGATACGCATCGTCGCAAGCCATCGCAGGCGTCCATCACACTCCGCGACAGATATACAGGCTGGCAATCAGGTCTGCAAGGCAGATGATTTACAATGTCAATGACCACGGCCTAACCTACTCCAGCGAAGCTTTCGGGCTCATGGAACGTCATCTGGCGTTGGTGAACGATCTCGTTGTCTACGTCCTCCGCATCGACAATCACGCACGAGATGTCGTCGCTGACTTGGTCCACTTGGCGCGATCTCTGGAGGCACGGGCGTCGAGTCTCATGGCCGCGGGAAGAGCTTGCTCCGTTCTTTGCGAGATCTGGATGAGCGCGTCGAGCAATAGACCCTTAGTTTGGGCTCTGCGCGATGGTGTCTTCCCCGTGCTCATTAACGTCTCTCGGAGATTATCGCACGACGCGGGGTGGAGGTACCTAATGGGGGGTTACCTCTGCAAAGTTGCCGCTCGCACCGCCCATGCCCCAGTACTTCGTGCGTACATGGCACACAAGGGTCGTGCATCTCTCCGTACGGCTGGGTGTCTTGCCGAGAAAGCTTTGGGAGCACTGGACTCGCTAAATGCGACACGAATGGCGTGGTATAAGGCGCTTTTTCCGCGTAAGTGCGCAGCTGATGGAGTACGTCCTCCTTTCCTACAACAATTTTACGTTCTCATGGTGCCTTCAGTGTACAAGAAAAGATCGAATTAATCTTCGCCAATGCAAATGCAAGACTGTTTACTACTGCTCTGTGGATTGCCAGGCGGATCATTGGACGAACGGGCATCGTGATAATTGCCCTTACTCGAAAAGAGGGATGCTGCGTTATCCAACAATCATAGAAGGTGTGTCGCCTTGAATGCCTGTGGTTTGTGGACCTGTGCTCAGATAACTGCTCATTGTAGATGCTTCGTATCTGTCGCACCGAGACGCACGATTTCTTATGTTACTGGCCAACGACCTAGTTTTCAAAGTAGACGTCAAGGAGGTCCTGTCGAAAGTCACGCGAATGCGCCACACCCAGCCTTCTGGCACCAAACGTGATGTCTTCGAGGTGGCTGCCGACTTCAGCGACATGCCTCTGGAAAGTCCCGAGGTCAAATACGTGGATGAAGATTCGGCATTCGAGCAGCGGGAAGACGAGCCTACGATTATCATAACGGCGACACTCTGTCCACTCCCAGAGCGTAGTAAGACTCCCGCACGCATCATTGCCTAGAGCTGTACACTGGAGGACCTTGAGCACTACGCCGAGGAGCGTGAGCGGCGAAGAACCGTATCACATGAGACGGCAATGAATTTAGAGTAATGTTTGGAATTCTCTTTGCCTACTCAAGCGCAAGTACAGTTAGCAATACCATGAATCTATATACAGTACGAACTCGCGCTGGGGTCATATCACCTCGTTCAAGAGACCCTGCCAAAAAACAGCCTGCCTTCCGCCCCGCCCACTGGATTTCCTCTTCAACCGCCGTGATGGCTCGTCCCTCCGCTGCTTCAGTGTTCAGATCCGCGACGCCATTCCCCCTTCTCTCGGACTAGTAGACTGGGATGGTCCACTTCTTGGCCCCCAAGGCCATAGCCTCTCCTGAACCCGCTCCAGCGTTGTGTCAACTCGCCCTCCTACTGCGCTTGCGCCAGGCGTTATTGAGTAGCAAGCAGTGAGGCAACTAAGTTGCTCGATTCCAACTGTCATAAGGATGATCCTCGAGCGCACCGCGGTAACAAAGGCGCGTCTGAAAGCGATCGAGCTCTTGTGCTCGCTCGCTAACATCAGGGTCGTCAGGCGGGAGAGGAGCGCTATGGACGAAGGCACGGCAGAGTCGCGTTTGAGCGTGTGGACCACCGATAGAGCGAGGTGCATGTCGGAAGTCAGCGCTAGTGACCTATAGATTCGTGAGGACGGCAAGCAACGCAGGCAGCGTAGAAAGAGATCGAGGTCAAGCATGGTACAGTTCTGGGTCAGGGAGCGAAGGTGGGGGCAGTTGTCGAGATGATCAAGCAAGGTGCTCGGCTTATGCAGCGCGCATTGGAAGTCCATCGGACGTTCGGCGGGGTAGGGACCGCCGACGTTGTCCAAGCTGAGCGTAGTCAGATTCGGCGCCGCGATGAAGAAAAGTAGGGTGGACGGAGTCAAGATGGCTCGAACCCAAAGCGTGACTGTTACTTTGTTTTTTGTGACACGCAATGTGCCGTGCACGTTGCCACCGACACTCACCACCTCTTTCTCAAAGGCCACACCAGGTGAGCCCCCGATTTGAAAGTAGGGAGATAAATTGACCACAGAAAATGGATTTCATAGACACCGACGAGGTCGATACCGGGCCCTCGCCATGCCACGCGCTGCGCCGAACCGTCAGCAAGTGCGACCCTCCAGCGTTCGCACACTTGTCCAGTCCCTCAAGCGTTATCCCGACAACCCTCCGCCTTCCACCGTGAAATTAGTCTGCAACCAGATTATCCCACTCGTCTCTTCCGAATCTACGTTCCAGGGCCTGCTTGAGGATCCATTTCTTCTTCCGCAGAACGAATGGACTATATCCTGCCATACTGTGGCGCAGGCGATCTCGCACTTGCTCGAAATTCAGGAGCTGTTCGGCGTAAAAAAGCCTTGGGACAGCCAGCTTCATGGCCCTCTTCTCAGAACCTTGGAGCGCCTTTGGTTCTCGTTTGTCGCTTGGATCGATTTCCTGCACCCGTCCAGCGACTACGTTGAACGAGACTCGGAGCATATAACCACCATCATCATCCTGCTGTCGCACATGGTGAAACGCAAGAAGGCGCTTTCTCACCTCCTGGCGCTGACGCCACGGCTATACGCTCATACGATGTGGCTTTGGCTTCACAATCCAACGTTCGTACATGACAACGTATCGCTTCGGTTAACGGACAACGAACGACTGTTCATGATGATCACTGTTACAGTGATGGATATGTGTGGCCTCGCACACGACGACAACGAGCATACGACCTGGGACGTGACAGCAACCTCCGAGGGCCTCATGGCTATTGAAAATAAGCCCCGACGGTTGTATAAGCTGGCCGTCTGCTGTGCCACGAAGCTCTTCGATAATATCCGCCACCTCGACGAGGAGCATATCGAAACCGCACTCATGGCTCTCGAGCAACATATCACGCTCATACATAGCTTCGCCCGTGATATCCTGCCCATCGACAATCACCAACGCGAAGTCGTTGGCGAGCTTCTGGACCTCGCCCTCTCAATCCACAGCTTCGAACCGGGGCACGATGCCGCCATCGAGGTGTTCACCGTCCTCTGCGACATCTGGCAGACCGCGAAGGACAACCGGCCGCTCATCTGGGCCCTCAAGGGCGGCGCTTTCGCGCTCATGGTCGGAATCGCTCGATCGGCAAGCGACTACAACGAGTTCACGTTCGATGATATTCCTCCTCATATAGCCGCTCGGACCGCGCACATTTCCGTGCTTCGTGCCTTTAAGGCGCACAGGGGCTTTGCGTCCTTCTCCAGTATGGCTGAACTCTTTGATGAAGAGGATATGAAGTCGCTCGAAAGTACGGTGCGAACGCGAATGTGCTACTATCAGAATCCGCCGTGGCCCGGGGCTGTGAAGCAGTGCACAAAGGTGAGCGAGGAATTTACTCCCAATTTGCGCTCATACTGACATGCGGACTTCAGTGCAAGCGTAAGGACGTGGACCTACGTCAGTGCCCATGCAAGATTGTTTTCTACTGCTCGAAGGCGTGCCAGACCGACGACTGGGAGCGTCATCGCATCTGGTGCGTTGGCTGCGTCCGTCGGGGCTTTGCTTACGATGCAGCTTTCGAAATTCTCCAAGGTGGGTTAACATAGTTAACACTCAGCAACACGCCCACTTATATACCACCTTAGATGCCCCGTACATGACTCACCGCGCCTTCACATTCGTCGTACTCCTTGTCCGGGAGTTCGTGGTCAACGATCGTAATCTCATCTTGGCGGAGGTCAAGAAGGCGCACGCGAGTCGACCGGCGCACGGTACAAAGCAGGATATCATCCACCTCGAAATAGACTTCGGGAAGGCGCCGCCGGCCTGGAAGGTCCAGTATGTTGACGAGACTTCGCGGTTCGAACCTATAGAGGCGTGGCCGACAGTCGTGGTGACCGCCAAGCTCTACCCGCTGCCTGCAGGGAGCGAGCCACCGTGCGTTGCTGCTTGGAGATGCACGCTCGCGTCGTTTGAGGACAATTTCGATTATCATCGGGGTTACCGCAGGCGGCCAGTGTACTAGACATCTTATGTGATGGATATATTAATTTGTACACGACCAATGCAAGTACAGATGCTTCGTACTTCCGAGACGGTTCCAACCATAGCTCGAGACCGTCAGACGTCAATGGTCAGCGTCATCCCCTGCTCTTCGAGCGCTTTCAAGCGAGCGGGGACGACAGTGTGGATGGGGATGATGCGACGCAGCCGCACCAGCCTTAGGCCAGCGACACGCGGCTCATCGATCTGCACCATCGCGGTCGCCACGCGCGATTCCAGCACATCCGCGAGCACGTCAGGCTGCACCGGTCGCACCGCGCCTACTGTCCAAATCACTAGGTCGACGAGGTTGGGGCACGGCGGGACGGTCTGAGGACGAATCTGAAGGGCGCGGATGAGCTTGTCCGTGCGAAGGTGATGGACGGTGAGCTTGAGTTTGCGGAGCGCGGGGATGAAGGGGAAGGCCTGCGCGAGGCTCTCCTCGTCGACAGTGTGCGCGGAGATCGTGAGGTCGCGCAAGGGCGCCATGGACCGGTGGAATAGGCCGTAAAGCGCACTTCCGACGGTATGACATGTCAGGGAGAGCGTGCGCAGGGCTGGTAGCGTAACGCGGGAGAGGAGTTTATCTTCCGTCTCCATTTCTTCCCCGCTGCCAAGCTGTACTGTGCGGAGGCTGGGAGTGACGATAGGCGACACGTCTTCCTCATCCTTTGCATTCGGTGGCAGATCATCCAGGGTAACATCGGACTCTAGCTTTCGCAGTTTGCTGCACCGCTTCAGCACATCGAGCACGCTGCGCGTACTGCATATCTGGGTCTTCAAGCTGCGCACGGTATCGGGTACGCAAGCCATCCTGTTGTTGAGGTGATGGATGGTTACATGCTTCAGCTGCTTTGCGCCAGAGAATGCCATGTTAACCCAATGCGTATGGTACGGGTCCACCGTGGAACCATGCAGCGTCAGAGTGGTGAGGGCAACGGGCGCGTCACGCATGCGAGGTGCCAGGGAGGCGACGATGGCACGCGCATTGTCAATCCGAAGGCGTTCCCAGCGTTTACTGTGCGAAGCAAGCAAGACGAGGGCCGGATTCACGTCCGATGCCTTGGTGAAGTGTCCGATGTATATTCTCAACGGCAACTTGGAGGAATATTGCAGTTGGCGCGGGACGTTGCTGAGCTGACCGGGCAGTAGCACAATCCAGGTATGCAGCGAGGGCATTGCCATGATTACGTCGCGCCAGTGTCGGCAGACAGTGGCTGCGGTGTCGATATATGTCGCTGCGCTGTACGAAGTCCAGCTGAAGAACGAGCGACCGATTGAGAAGATGTCCTGAAGAATCTCAGGTGGTAGACGACGTATGGGCGCTGTATATGCATGATAACATTCTTGCAGACGCTGCAATGTGGCCTGACGGGCTTCCAGCTGGTCCATCGCAGTCGTTAGAGACTCGATTCTGTCCTCCAAGAGGCGCATGTCAGCCACAAGCGCCTGCTGGCCCGGAGAAGTATCTTCTAGTAGCCCAGGAGGTAGATTCCGCATATTTCCTGGAATCGTTGCATACGACGCTTGGCGAACGGACAGCTTGTCGTGTTCTCGCAAAAGCAGGTAGAGTTCATGTCGGACCTGCGCTATTGCGGCTTCGGCGTCTCGCAGATCTTCACCAATGGTGGGAAGTAAAGCGTTGTACCTCTCGATCTCATCGGGATCGGGGAAGTAACCTGCGCGTAACTTGTCGTCTACGCGTTCGTAACGCGTCAAAGGTGACTGCAGAACACGCTGGCAGCTTTCGGATACAGATGAGAAGGTATCGGAGGGCATATGACCTGGAAGAGCGCATTAGCTTTCCTGTTGAAAGGAGATGCACTGATACTCACCGTGAGAAGACCACCAGCCGTGGTGGTAGAAGCAGCGCTTACCGCCAGTCCGGATTCCATTGTCCAATCGGATTCGGGCCGAATGGCTTGTGGAATATGTGGCGTCGTTGGATCACCGACAAGCGTTTCCTCCCGCCATCATGTCCCTTCTCCGCGCCTGCAAGCAGGCGTCGACCGCCTCAAAGCAGCGGCTTGCCAGCCCGCTGTGCGCTGCTACACAAGCCCGCTTTCAAAGCTCCCAGAGCTCGTCCGTGCCCTCCGAGAAGAAGGAGTCGGGTGGGATCGTCGACCCGTCTGCAACCCGCGATGTCATGGTCGCCGATGTGATCAGCGGAGCCCCTCGTGCGTTTGTCCTACATGAAGTATGGCTACTAGGCTCTGACAACAAACAGCCGAGCTGCGCCACCGCTCTGTGCGGATATACCAGCCCACTCGCAACACGATGCAGAGCGGGCCCGACAAGGGAAACCGCTGGCGCATCGACTTTGACATCCTCCAGGGTGCTGGGCGCTGGGAGAACCCTCTCATGGGCTACGCTTCCTCGTCAGTATTCCCTACCTCGCTAATTGGCATCTCCTGAACTTCATCCTTCCAGCGCCGACTACGTTCAGGGTGTCCGTATGTCCTTCCGCACCAAGGAGGACGCTGTCCACTTTGCGGAGAAGCAGGGTTGGGACTACTATGTGTACGTGATCCTTACATTTCGTCCGGATTTATGTGGCTGACCTCAAGAATAGCCAGCCTCCTATGGTCAAGCGCATCCCGCCCAAGAACTATGCGGAGAACTTCCTGTACCGTCCGACCACGCTCAGGTGGCAGCAGACGAAGTAGTTGGATAGTATCGCTCGTCGTAGAGTCGGAATATATGATTGCGTGGCCAAATCTCTGTCCTTCGTCGCAAGACCTTCACAGGTATCTTCCATCCTTCCCTCTCATGTGAGCAGAGAATCCGTCCTCTAATTGTCTATGTTTGAGCGAGCGCATTAACGGGCGTATGCACTGGTATGAATGTACGTCGTGCTACAAATATCATGCAGTGGTATCGTAATAAATGCTGGTCGTGTAGACTAAAACCCTCCAGATGCGATGCGAAGATATGATAGGAAAGAAACAACTCCATCTCCAACCACCTCCACCTCACCCTCCCGTCACCTCCGGCGGCTCAGGCATCGGCGGCGAGTCCGGATGTGGCTTCGCCTTCTTGTACAGCCAGGACGTCATCCACGACTTGCTCGCCGTCCGCCTGGCCTCCTCCGCCTCCTGCTCCTCCTCGAGCAGCCGGCTGTGCATCGCGGCCTCCTCCTCCGCGAGCACCTCCGTCATGATCGCCTGGTGGCTGTTGATGTTGCGCGGCTGGCCGTGCGAGTTGACGGAGTGGCGCGACGCGTTCGCTGCGGCGACGAACTCGGCCTGCGCGTGCGCGTCGGGGCGGATGCCGAGCTCGACGTCGGTGGATTGCGAGCGTCGGCCGCTGCGGAGGGTTGGTGGGCGCAGAGAGGACATGCCGGAGATCGTGCGCGCGCGGTTGACCCTGCTGGAGCGCGACTCTGTGCCGTCTGAGAAGGAGCGCCAGGAGTGCAAAATAGGGCGGTTGGTGACGCTCGGACGGCGCTGCCCAGCTGCACCCCATGAGAGCTCGTTGCCGCGGCTGGCCGTACGCGGGCGGCTACCTGAGCGTCGTCTTGTGGGATGCGGCGCCCGCTCGATATCGCCCTCGCCCACTCGTCGCGCAATTCCTGGTGGCAATTCGATGTCCTCCGTGCCGTCGTACTGGAATAACAAGGACGAGTTGCTCCGCGCCGTCGACAACATCCCCATCTCCGACGGCGACGACATGGTGTCCATTTCGGAGACCGAGGTCATCCCTCTCCCCGGCAGCATCGTGTTGACCGACCGCGGAGACGTATGGATCTGGTCTGACCCAGGAGTCGTACCCGTGCGTCCCACGCCGATCCAGGTGCCAATCTCGCCAGCCGATTCTTCAACGGTAAGAGACCGCTTCAAGTCGATGGTGTCGTTGAGATCGAGAGGGCCGAAGGGATCTCGAGGTAGCCACAGCACGTTCGCGATGGCGCGAGTGTAATAGGGGTTATCGTAGGACACGTCCGCCGTGACCTGGTCGTCCCAGGGTACCATGGGCGGATGGCGTACGACCAACGGCTCTTCGCGTTCGCGACGCTCGTGGACGACCTCCGGCAGGTGGGTAGGAATTGCTTTGGGGGATGTCGTCCGCGCCATGGGCATATCCTTGAGGACAGTGTCCAGGTGCCCTACTACTGTTGCCTCCGCATCGCTAGTCGGGCTCTCCACCATATCGGTCTCCTCATTCGAGGGGTGCTTCTCCACAGCGGTGTCGACGTTGAGGTGTGTCGAACGCGAAGGAATACGCCTGAACGAGTTGTCGGTGCTGAAGGGAATGGGGCGGCGTCTGTGTAGAGGCTCCTTGCGCTCTCGAATAGTTGAGTACTCGAAATTGATCCAACCCGGTAACCTCCACGTCCGTTGCAGAAAGGAGGACCGGTTGGGCGACGTCGTGAGTAGGCCCTCCTGAGTATGACCGCCTTCCGAGATGCCGTCCGTATTATCAGGGGCGTGCTCGTCGGGCGGCGCATCGCCGTAGCACACAACGGACGCTTCCGCCATGTCGTCGCGCTCGAACTGAGCGCGAATCATCCGCGTCAGACTACAGTTTGAGTGAGCCAATTAGCTAAGGCACAGGCAACCGAGGGACCTACACAAGCTTGATCGCCACAGTAAAGCACATCAGAATAGCCGCGCAGATGAAGTTAGAGCTCTTCTTCAGCACGACCATGTACGCAATGAAGACGGCCTGCAGAATGCGTTGAGCACCGGTTCGCCAGAGGATGCAATAACGTACCTGGCCCAGAACCAGTCCGTCCAGCGAATATCTAACCATGCGTATGAGCAGGACCTGCCCATTCGCTTCATAATTCTTGGCATAAACATGTAAAAGCTGCAAAGATATCAGCATCGCGCTCAGCCATGATGCACACCGTGCTCACTTGGTTTTTTATGACCCCTGCAAACCGACGTCAGCCACACGCATCGAAGTGCACAAGAGCCGTACGCACCGCATTGTACAAAGAAGTAGATGGCTCCGAATGGTAATACAAAAGGATTGAGCACTGCAAATAGTACTAATACATGGATGACAAGAAGGTGATTGGGTAGCCAATCTGCCAGGCGTGTCAGCACCAGCAAGCGATGAGCAGGGAACGAGCGCACAGTAGTAATTAAGGGTGCGGGGTCGAGTACCTACGGACCGCTTGCGCCTGCAAACTGATTAGGAAGGGGTAGGGAGCAACGTATGTGACACCTACGGTGTTACTTGACTCCTTGTAGTCGGATAGAGTATGAGAGGTAGCTGTGGCCGAATAAGCGACGCATCTTTCTGGGACGACTCTGAGACTTACCCCGAAAAGGGCGATCTCGAACCCTGCATGCATAGCCGTCGTGAAGATGACTACGGCATTCATCAGTCTTTGCTCTCTACCCCTAAGATAAGAACCACTCACGCCATCCAACATAGAAAGGGCCCGCGGTAGGGAAGCTATCCGCGACAATCCCCAGGATATCTGGCGCACTCGCGTCCGCCCGAAACGAGGTTAGGATGGTCTGCACAGCGGCCGTACCGACACAGAAGAAGACCAAGACATTGACGATGAGGAACTTGTAATAGCGTGTGAGGATCCGGTCGTGCAGGGCTGACAGCGTCGTGATCGTGTGTGCTTTCTTGGCGATGAGGAGTAGGAGGAGGGGAATGAGGAGCGCGAGGAGAGCGACAAGGATGGTGGGGAGGAAGGACTGGATGACTTCTTCCTCCCAGGGGTGTTTGTCCAGGTACGCTTTCTGTGGTGGTGTGAGATGGGCTGGGGTTGATACGTTGATTGAGAAAGTCTTACAAGTTGCGGCCAAAAGGACGAGATATTCTGGATGGACACCAAACCAACCAGAAGAGACACGGGGAACAGCCAGAATATCGTGAAGCCCCAGACACCGATGCCGACGACCCAGTCTTTGACGAACTGCGCGAGCCGTTAGCACAATTCGACATATGCCACAAGTCTTTCCACCCACCTCAGCATCAAACGAGCTCTTCATCATCCGCGTCCAGTCAATATCCGAGAACGCAGGCGCCATTGACACCATGCACATCAGCGGGTTCTCCGGGTGCACCGCGAGCTGCTTGCAAGCCCGCTGCGCGTCCGCCGGGTCCGCGAACGTGACGAACGCCGTCGACGCAGGGCTGTAGTCAACCGCCGCGCGCGCTCGGTCCTCGGTGATGAGGGACGTGATGAGGTTGAGTTTCGCCGAGTAGTAGTCGATAGCTGGTACGGTCTTGCCACGGAAGAGATGTGAGAGGCTGATGAGCGGCTGGTATGCGTCGAGGGCACTTCGCGGAAGCGAGAGCAGGGCGCCCCACACGGTGGGTCGGTGGTTTGCATTGTGTCTGCCCGCTGGTGCGTCCGCGGGGTATGTCTCGCCATCGTGATCCTCCTCCGAACCCGACGAACCTTCAGCGCGAAGCCGCTTGAAAGCATGCTTGCCCATCCGCGGAATGGCAACACGTAGCTTCGACGCCTCGATCTCGTTAAGGTCGAACTCGTCAACGAAGGGTCGCAGCGCACTAACGACGAGCTCCATGCGCTCCTCTTCCGACATCGTGCCCGCCTGACCCGAGTCACCGACTTCGAGATCTGGCGGCGCACACTTGCGACTCTTCGCAACATGTGCGGCGCGCGACGTACTTCGCGACGGCGGTATGGGCTTGTCAGCGCCCCGCCGATCGAGCTCGTCCTTCACCGCGCTGACCGCCTTCTTCGCGAGCTTAATGTGCGCGGTCTCGAGCAGGCGCAGTATCTCCTCCCGCCGCTCCAGCAGCGACGCGAGCTCGGTCATCTTGCGCACGATAACGACCTTCTCGATGACCGGGATCTCGCCGACCTGAGAGCGGTCACGCTTCATCTCGGAGGCCTGCGCGGGCTGCTGCTGGATGTGCAACTTCTTCGGTAGTCGCTTCGCGCGGTTAAAGATGAAGGCGCAGGATTTGTTGATGAAGCCGGGGCGGGTGGAGGACATGATCGGGATGGCGGGTGCGTCGACCTTGCGTGTCATGTAGTACTCGAAGTACTCCTTGAGGTCCTTCTCCTTGCGCAGGGCGGGAGGAACGTTCGTCACCATGACAGTGCGCAGTCGGAGGCCAGGTATCGGCTTGTCTACCTCCGCGTCGGGAACGTCTGTGAAGCCGTACTGGGGGTGAGGGTGAGGGTAGTAGACGCGGGGGTCGGTGCGCTCGTCCTCCGGGCATGAAAGGCGACGCGCCGTCGCGGCGATGTTCGCGGCTCGCAGTCGGAACGCACCATGGCACACCCAGAGAAGCGTGATCATCCAGCTCACGGTGACCCAGATGAGCAGGCATATGTGCATCCATAGCAATGATCGGCCATGGGTAGTGAGAACGAGGGAGGAGATCGAGGCGCGCGTCATGGACTTCGCTGAGACAGATTCTTCAGAGAACCTGACATGAATGGGGAATAGGATGGGGAAGGTGGTGAGCGAGTGACAGAGAGCGAACCAGACTAGATGGGAAGTATTAGCGGTAATTTGAGGTGTGATGAATGAGACGTACAGCAGCCTCGAAGGAATCGTATATACAGCGTTGCGTCGAGGCCTCTGAGCTCGTTCATCTTGTCCTCGGGGAACCACACGACTTGTTTAACCCATGCCAGCGGGTAGCCCATTGGAGCCAGTGGAGTCGGTAGTCTGTACGCGAGCCGCGCTTTAGGTAAGTCCCTTTATTGCGTGTAGCGCGTAGCACGCACCTCGCCCATGATCTGGCGTTGAAGAGACTGTCGCGATGTTAGCCGCAGCACATTGACAACCGTATCGAGCACGCACTATCCAAATCCCCACGATTCGCGACTGCCCACTTCCCCCTTGCGATACTGCTTGCCCCGCCGTCTCCGCTTCATGAACTCATGGCTGGATATGCATAGGACCGTGATACCGAGCGCAATGACGGACTGATTGACGAGTCCACTATACAGAAAGGGCGGTCAGCGTCGTCGCTTGGTCGCGGTCGCGATAGCACCGGGGAATGCAGCTTAAGTCGAAGGGCGACGCACCTATAGTTTCTGGAGAATGGTCTAGTATAGATGTCGCCCATCGCACAGTATTAGGCGTCGGCGCGCACGCTCATGAAGGCAGGAGACAAGGCCTTGAAGGACATAAAGTTGGAGTCGGACGACCGTCATAACACCACGTGGTAGAAGCTTCATTAACCGCGGCCCGAGGCTAGCTGACCCACGTGGTTGTACGTCTTGCGACCCTGCACATCACCCTCGGACCTCGGGGCTACCACTCGATATCGGCTTTACTCAACCTCAACCGCTACTCCCTTAACCATCCGCTCTTGCGGTGCAGTTTATCGGAAAAGACGAAATCGAAAGTGCTCACGTGACCGCACCCATATGCTTTCGGTGGATGCCGAACCAACTTCAACGTACGTGCGGCGGTAAAGGCATCATTCGAAATCAAGCAGCGTGTATGCATCGTACAACACTGTCAGAGATACTTCTTTCTGGTTGAGCCGCCGAGTACCCAGAAGGTCTACCATACTGCCAAGGCAAAGCATAACATAAATCTTTTTGTTGAAGGGTGGGTAACTTCCGCCGTGCTTCTCGCCTTCCCGGGGTAGTGTACCCGAAGGACGCCCGCTGACGAAGAGCAATTGACTACCTGGCCTCATGCGACAACGTGCGACGATAATCGTACTTTTACCGACGAAAGGCTCCACTGTCGACAAGCATCCCTGAAGTTACAAGCTTCAACGCCGCGCCCAAATTTGAGTAGCGCCGTTCGAGGTGACGGCCCAAAGCCTTCCTCAGCCGTCATACCCGAACTATCCGACATGACCGCGCGGCGCAACGGTGGTCTATCTGTGCTTAAGAAGCCTTCACACACAAAGTCACGACCCTTCGACAGAAGATGCTTCTCCCGGGGTAAATCCTGCCAATGCTGAAAGAGGTACCATGCTGTCAACTGGAAGAACATTTGCAAGTTGTCGCAAAGGAGTCGGGTATATGCAGTAACAGATCCCCACTGCAAGAGATACTGGTGCGTCTCCCTTCTGGTGTGGCAGTAGTAGCCACTCACATTGCTCACCAAAACAGAGGGCGCCATTGTCACAATGAGAGAATACCTGGACAATGGTGACATCAACTTGAGTAGGTCACCGTCTATGTACAGAGTACGGATTGCTGCCTCCGACGGTGCCGACTACGGGATCCTGCACCTGCAAGAATATGGACCTCGTTGACACGACCGAGGTGGCCGCAATCAAAGATCATATGGGTTGGATGCTTGCGCTGAGCGGCCGGTCTTCAGGTTCCCCCTCTGCCCATTCAGACGGGCTGGCAGGTCTTAGTGGTTTCCCTTGGAAGGCGTACAACGAACGAGTATCCTCTGAGTCACGCACAACACCAGAAACAAAGTGTTGCGACGGACGTTTTACGTGGGAAGGTTGAAGTTCGCTATTTACTCAATGAGGTAAGTTTGGTCGGCCCGGGTCCCGTGGGCATCCTCCCGCATTGATTTACGCCATGATGACCGTCCTCCACAACAACAGTCATATCGACGAGCTCAACACGCTAACCGTCTGCCTGAATCCGGTCAATGCTATTCATCGTGCACCTGATGTCCAGTGTCCCCCGGCGGTGCATTGTCATCGGCTAACAATACGACAAACCTTGGGATCCTCGCGGCTTTGTCTGGTCACTGGACTGAGGCTTCCCACCTTGCAAGAACAAGTGATGACCAGAAACTCCTCTAACATTCGTACGCTTTCCTCTCAGTGCCCCACGGCGGTGGCGCGCATGACGATTCTCGGTGGCGACTCTTTGCTCGACAGTCATGTTGCGCGCGCCGACGCGACTGGCATCCTGCATGTTTGGTCGATGATGCAAGCCAGTGATAGACAATCTCCCTCCCGCCCTTGACCCTAGGTGACCTCGAAGCTCCGGAACTTAGACTTGGCTAGCTTTTCGCGCGCTATCCGATCCTGTCCTCGCCCTTAATGCGGTACATTATCCCTCCGATGAGGGACTAGCGCTGAAGTCAGGACTAAGAGAAGCGTAACATGCGACGACCTCGACCGCAACCGAGCCGCATTGGCTGCTATCGTCGCGGCAGCAACTCTTGGAAAGGATTACGTCGCGTATGCTATCATCGAGCGCGTCGGCTGCAGTAAATCGAATTTCTTCTCCATATTTTCCAACTCATGCTTACTACAGGGCGAGCGGCCGGGGTATGTCATGACTGGCGAGCGCGGGCCTGATGGGTACCAAAAGAGAACAATGGCAATGGAACTCCCAAAGCGGATCCACAGGCAGGACGCGTGACGTCAGTGGCAGCTGCGCGACTGTCAAGCGACGCGGGGGCGAGCGAGCATGATGTACTTGTGTGCGTCACCGCTTTTCGAGCTGCCCGATCGCGTATATAACCTGCGGGACGTGAGCAGCAGACCCCATTAGCTTTCTCATTCCCACAATGTCTCTCCCACCCGCTCCCAAAGTGAGTTCGCCGCCGTGCACGACGACGAGCAGCCTTCTGACTTTCGACCCAGGATATCTCTTCCAAGCCCAAGGCGGGCGCCGTCACCGACCCCGTCAACAAGGCGGACAAGGACGCCGATGTCGACAGGAAGGTACGTCAGCGCATATATCCCATTTAATCGAGCGCAACTCACTCTCCCTCCAGATTCGCTTCTATGGCGTCATCGCCGCCTTCCGCGAGGGCCGCATGCCCGACAACTCTCAGATCGACCGCACGCTGAAATACGTGCTCGACAACTCCCCCGTTCCCACCGACGAGCTCTCGCCAGAGGGCAAGCGCCTCATCCAGGATACCCGCGATATCATCGACACCGCGCGCAAGATCGTCAAGGAGAAGAACGCCGACGAGTTGGTGCAGAACTTCTTCTGGCACACCCGCGACGTCTCCGCCCACCAGGCTGTAACCTCTGGTCAGCCAGACATCCCCGTTGGAAAGGACAAGGTCAAGAGCGACGGTCAACAAGGTATGTCTCGTGCCCACTGTTTTGCATCGCACATACTGACATCATCGTAGCCGTCCAACATCTTCGCACACTCATCACTCTCGTCTTCACAAACGCGGAGGCGCGCAAGCTGCTCTCCGACTTCGGTCTTATCGGTCGCGACCTTCTCGCCCGGGGTGCATCCAAGGCGGCGGAGAACATCGCCCCGCCAGAGCATCGCCTCGCCACCGTCGACGAGAGCGCGCCGAAGGACCAGTTTGTCTCCAAGGATGGCCGTCACGTTGGCCCAGACGAGACGCCCGTCCTCGAGACTCGTATCCCCGGCACCGACCACAAGATTGAGCGCCACCCGCGCGACGAGCGGACCGTCGTTCGCGACGAAACCGGCCAGCCCGTCGGTACCGCCGGTGAGATTTACGAGCAGCGCAAGACTGAGGCGTCGCGTGTGGCCGAGGAGGGCAAGCAGCGCTTGCAGCAGGAGAAGGAAGATGTTCAGAGGTATGTCCAGTTTCCTTTATCCATACAGTGAGATCTCTGATTTACTTCCTCTTAGGCAAGAGGACCTTGACAACGCCGCCGACGAGACAAAGGCGAAGAAGAATGGCGTCATGGACAAGCTTCGTGGTCTGCGCGACGATATGACGAACCGCGTGCCCCAGGAGCACAAGGACAACGCACGCGAGAAGTACGAGCGGGGACATCAGTTCCTCACCGACGAATACTTCCCGCCCGAGCGCCGTGACCAGTTCATCTTCCGCATGAAGAAGGTACAGTCTTTTCTCTCAATGGTTTGGATCTTCGATACTGAGGACGGCTCAGGTCATCATCGAGTGCCAGAAACACGAGGACTACCAGGAGTCCTTGACATGGCTCCTCGACGTGCTCAAGGAGTACTTCGAGCACGGTCAGAACGCCACCGCCCAGCACAAGGAGAATGTCAAGCAGGCGTCTGAGGGTGACCACGCCCTGAAGACTGCCTGGGGCGAGCTCCGCACGCTACTCGAGCGCTTCGCGAATGGCCAGAGCATGAACGGCATCTACGACTCCATCGAGAAGCTCGCGGACGATGCTCGTCGCGACCAGGAGCTCCGGCGCTGGCTCGAGGACGTTGGCACCTACACTCGTCGCACTCTGCTTGAGCCCGGCTTCATCCTGGAGCCGCAGTGCAACAACGAGGCCAACCGCCTCCGCGAGGACGGCCGCCAGTTCTACGACGGCAAGTACAGGAACCACTTCGACGACGTCTTCTCTTCGTTCGCCAACTTCGGTCGTGCGATGGGCGAGGACCCGCTCAACGCTCGGTATGTTATCCCTTCCTTTCGTTCGTGAACTTTTCGCTGACGGCTTATACAGCTTCGGTCAAGACTGGGCGCGTCTCACAAAGGACCTCCTCTTCGACAGCGAGGGCCGCCTCTCGTTCAAGCCTGAGCTTTGGAACGACATCCGTCGCACCATCCTCCCGGCTATCGTCGACAAGGTCGGCTACATGCCCCTTCCTCGCATCGAGTACACGGATGACTCGTTCGACCTTGTCGTGGAGAACCTCGTTCTCTCTGGCCGCAACACCTTCCCGAACATCGTCGAGTTCGAGACCAAGAACTACGTCAAGTTCAGCCCCTACAACAGTGAGTACCGCGCGTACATTTCTTTCGACCATCGACTCACTTGCTCTGCAGCAATCAAGGACGACCAGCACCACGAGTTCACGCTCACGCTGGGCCAGATCCAGGCTGACATGCGCGATGTCGCCTTCTACTTCCGCAAGAAGACCGGCATGCCCAAGATCAGCGACTCCGGCTTGGCCGACATCGTCCTCGGCGGCCAGGGCGTGACCGCGACCGTTCACCTTTCGAGCACGAAGGACACGTCCTCCGTGTTTAAGGTCAAGAACGTCAAGGTCAACGTCGACACGCTCAAGTTCAGCATCCGCGACTCGAAGCACGACCTCTTGTACAAGACGCTCAAGCCGCTCGCGACTGGTCTCGTCAAGAAGCAGATTCAGAAGGCGCTCCAGGACGCTATCACCACGGGCATGGAGTACGTCGATGGGCAGCTTGTCGGCGTTCGTGACCGCATGGAAGAGGCGAAGAAGAGCGATGAGCAGAGCCGCCGCGACGTCCTCATGCAGGTGAGCACTTTTCTGTGTAACGTTGTCGATCTCTTGCTAACATCTCTCCAGCTCTTCCAGTCGAAGAAGGATGAGGCGTCGGTCAAGACGAAGGACTCGGACGCGCAGTTCAAGTTCACGACCAACAAGCGCTCCTCGCTCTTGCCCGACAAGGGCCACCCAAGCAGCATCGTCAACCGCACGGCGGAGCGCGAGGAGGCTGCCGTCCACGGCCGTGAATGGCACAGCGACGCGTAAGTGTTCCCTCTTCATGCGATGCTGACCTCATTCTGACTCCTCCATAGCTTCGCCATCGTCTAAGGCTCGCACGCGCTCGTTGGCTTTGTGGCCTGCTTTGGCGTGATGGACTTGTAATGACTGGAATTACCCGATACCATTGTACACCTTCAGCTTCCAAAACTAATCTTGTACTTGTATATTTTTACTACCGTATGCTTTTGTAACGACATGTAGTTCTTAGTTCGCACGTATACCAGCTGTTGTTGATCTTTCTCTTCGCCATGTGTGATCTTACCGTCAACTTGGACGAACAACGTCTATCCTATCGATCCGTCGGCACACCCTCGTGTTCCATACGATATGGAGCTGCACTGCCGTGTGTCCAATGTAGATACACGCGTTGTGCTCAGCCTCAGCCCGACATGAGCGCATGAGCATCGGATATCGAGCAATGGAGGCCCAACGGCAATTGCCGACAGCCATCGAAGTTGGCCGTAACGTCACACTGTGACGTCGCATTTCTTCCTCCGACTACTGACTCGGTTCGAACTTGTTGGTTGCCTACGGCGTCGACCTTGACATCGCTATGTTTGAGCACAATACAGCAAGCAGTATAGCAAGTGTCGAAGCGGTGCTCTTCATAAATCAACTGACCGGAACTTACATTGGTGGCTGATAGCTCGGCTGGATCTCCATTGCCTGCTGGATAATCGTATACTCGCCACAACTATACGAGAACTACACCTTGCAGTCCGGGGAAGGTCTCAGTCTATCCTTCGTCGTCATATGGCTCATCGGCGACCTCTGTAACCTCACGGGAGCGGCTCTTGGGAACCTATTACCCACAGTCATCCTTCTAGCAGTCTATGTGCGTCACACCCCTTTCCTCATCTCTTCATCTGTTCGCATCTTGCCGTCGCTTGGTGGACTAACGCATGGGAGCAGTACACCCTTTGCGACATTGCACTCCTGGCGCAGGTCTATTACTACCGATGGAAGCGGGCGCGCCGCTCCCCCGAGTCTGCGCCGCTGCTCCAGGGGACTGACCGTGCAGAGGCGAAGCCGGAACCCTCGACACGCGTCATCGTCCTCCGCTACGCCGCTGCGCTGGTCTTCGTAATTGCGACCGGCGTGGCTGCTTGGGCTGTCGCGCGCTGGACGGAAGGGGGTAAAGGGCCAGGCGACGCCGCGCCTGAGCAGCCTCCGCCTGAGGCGGGGACGCCCGCCCGCACGTGGGCGATTCAGATCCTCGGTTGGACGAGTGCCGTGCTCTACGTACGTCCTGGGTCTTCTTTGCAGTCTGGATACTAGTGATGAACGCCGCTCTTCTAGCTGGGCGCCCGGATCCCGCAGATTCGTCAGTATTGCTGCTCCCTTCATGTCCGGTCGTGGTGGACAGTGCTGACGGCCAGGATAGGCAAAAACGTCGAGACGCGGTGCGATGGACTGGCCCCTGGGCTGTTTGTCTTTTCAATCTTCGGTAACTTGACATATGCGCTTTCAATCTGCGCGGAGAGTATGGACGGGGATTACTTGGTCAAGAACGCCAGCTGGCTCGCCGGTACGTGATGCTCTTTGTTAGGAGTGCGCGCGAGGTTGATGGGACTCGGCAGGTAGCGCGCTGACGGTCTTCCTGGACGTCACGGTGAGTGTCTAGTGATTGTGATTGCTACTCGTCGGGGGCTGAGCGCGGGGCGTGCAGGTGCTCGGCCAGTTCTTTTATTACAGGCGACAAGAGCGCGCCGCGGAAAGCGAAAGGGATGGCGGGCATGAGTAGGTGCTTGAGTAGCGGGAAGTAGAGATAGATCAGGGCCGGGCCGAGTGCTATCGGCCTCGTTCCCCGCTGTTTATGGCCTTCGTGTCCCGAGGGCGCGGGCAGGAGGAGTTGAAATCAAGCCTCGTTGCCCACCTCGTTCCGGTGTTTCTCTTGCGTGTACGAACACGTTGCGGACGTGGATCAGGCGTGCCGCTCCGTTTGCAATGAGTACGCGCCATGCTGCGCGCCTCGTGTACGGGCCTCGTCAAGTTCGAGTCGTCTTTTATCCGCGCGCCATCTTTTATAAGTCCTGCACCATCGCCGAGCGCGCCCGAGAGCCCCCGCCGCGGTCGCCGCCGTCGTCGCCGTTCTCGAATCCGTAGCCGCCGCCGCCGCGATGCATGCCCGCCCCGGACACCGACTCCCCACCCCGCCCCCCGTCGCCATTGCGCGTCTGCGGGCCGCGATAGACACCGTGGACGCGCAAATGGCCGGCCTCCTCAACGAGCGTTCGACACTTGAGACAAACCTCGAACGTGCCGTGCGCCTGCAGTCCCCCGTCAACCGCCTCCCCTCCGAGCTTCTCGCCGCGGTATTCACTCTAGCAGTGAATAGCGACGATGACCCTGCCATGCTGTCGGCCCTCATGCTCGTCTGGTGCGTGCCCTGCTGAGGGGTTTGTGCCAAGCTAACCAGTCTACAGCCGCTACTGGGCGCAGCTTGCCATTGCAACCCCCTGTCTATGGGCGACGATCACCGTTAGTGCGCACGAGTCCCTCGAGCGCGTCCGCAGGCGGCTGGAGCGGTCCAAGGCGTGCCCCCTCGACGTCAGCATCTGCTTCGAGCAGCGCGCCGAGCTCGCGAGCATCTGCACACCCGAGCAGCACAAGCACCGCATCATGGACCGCGTCGTGCGTGCCATGGACCTCATCCGCCCCGCGCTCTGGCGCACGCGCCGCTTCCGCCTCGCCGTCCCCACCCGCGCGCACGCTCACGCTGCGCTCGCCCGCTGCCGCGAGGACGCGCCGGTGCTTGAGGCCCTCGCGGTGGAGATCGCCGAGCCTGCCCACGGAGAGCCCTCGCCGACGTCCATGCTCCCCCTCTTCAACGGCTGCACCCCGCGCCTGCGTGCGTGCGCCCTCGCCTCCTTTAACTTCGGCTGGCAGCCCAATCTCCTGTGCCACCTCCGCGTCCTCGCTCTCGGTGGCTACTTCAACGGCGCCGCCCCCGATCCCTCCACCCTTCTCGGCGTCCTCCATGCATGCCCGGAGCTCGAGGAGCTCGCGCTCCGCAATGTGCACGACCCCGAGGAAGCAATGGACCGCAGCCTTGCGTTCTGCATACCCACCACCGCTTCCTCGGCATCTGCCGCGTCGCGGGGACTTGCTCTTCCTGCGCTCCGCCGCTTGTCATTGTACTCCGTCGGCTCTACCCTCGTAGCGGCGCTCGCCGGGGCCCTTGTCTTGCCAGCGCTCGAGTCAGTCGAGCTTTGCTACCTGCAAGCTGTTGGTCCCCTTATCCAGTTGCTTCATGAGCAATCCCTCACGCGCCTTCCATTGCGCGCCTTCCGCGTTGAGGCTTGCTATCTCGACGAACTCCGGTTCGCGGGTCTCATCCGGCGGTTGACGTCTCTGACTCGCCTCGAGCTCGTTGATATTGACGACCTCTCCCCTGCCTTCCTGAAGGTGCGTGCCCTAGGTAACATTGGGCTGTTCGAGGCTAACAATCTCGCAGGGCCTGGCCGCCGCGCAACCTCCAGTGTGCCCTCGGCTCGAGACACTCAGCCTCGAGGCGTGCACGACCATGGATTGGGACGCAATTCGCACTTTCGTCGAGTCTCGCAGCGCCGCTAGCCCCGTCAACGGCGCTGGCGTGCGCTCCCAGTCGCACGACCGAGTCCGAACCGCGTCTGCGCCCATGTCGGCGTCGATGTTCGCCGCGGGGGCAGCCCCGACGTACGTCCCGACCGGTTACTCCTCGGCCTCGGCAGCTGCAGCAGCGTCTCGCGCACCCTTCCCGACCACGGGCTTCTCATCTGCATCGGCCTCTGCCGCCGTTCACGCCATGCCCCGGACACGCGCGCAGACGACCCCACCTCGATATGCGCAGCGTCTGCAGACGATCGATGTCCGCCGCTGCCACCAAATCTCGCGTGAGATGGTGCAGTGGCTGCGCATGTACGTCCCCGAGGTGCGCTGCGAGTCGAGCAGCAGCAGCACCTCCTGGCGCACCGCCTGGGCCCAACAAGGGCTATAGACATATACGTCCCGCTTCTGCTGTCGCCATATGCATTCCCATCCAGTTCACCCGCGGAGAAGAAGAGAAGATAGAAGCATTTCATTCACGACGCGCCACGACCTGTGCATCACATCACTTTTTTATCTTTGCTATTATTTTCTGTTCTTGGTTTCATTGAGTCAGCTCCAGTGTCAGTCCTTCGTATATCGTCTCTCCCACCCCTTGCATTCACCCACCCACACGCGACCCCCCTTACATCCATTCCATTCCCGCCTGTTCTCGCTGTGCATATAGTTCGCTCGCTCGCTTGCTTTCACTTTGCATGGTCGTCGTTCGCCTCGGTCACGCCCGGCGTGGCTTTTATTGGGTTCATTGTGCACTCAATACTGATACCCTTGTATTTGTACGTATCTAACCACCAAATGAACATTCCCATGGGCACTTCGACGTGTGGGACGAAGACCAGAAGCCTTGACATTGAGGAGGACGAGAAACGGACAAACAGGCGCCCACTCCGCTACTGAGGCCCGGGCACGTGGTCTGCCGCACTCGGCCGTGACGCGCGCCGCTGCCGGCTCTGTTTCTCGTTCCCTCCACCGTTCACGTCCGCCATGTCGGACCCCTTCGAGCAAATCGCAAGACAACTACGCGACGCCGCCAGGGGAGGCCTTCCCGGTGGTGGGCGCGGGCGCGGGCCAGTGCTCGGGGGCATGGGCGTGATTGCAGCAGCCATTGCGGCGGGTGTCGGTTTGAGCATGTCTCTGTACAACGGTGCGTGGTGAAGGGATGATTTATAGTGCACTGGGTAGCTGATATGGCACCGCATCTGCAGTGGACGGTGGTTTCCGCGCGATCAAGTATAGCAGGTGCGCGGGGTGAGAAGGATCGGGTGTGCGGCGCTGACATACGGCCCGCTAGATTGGAGGGTGTGAAGAATGAGGTCTACTCCGAGGGGACGCATCTTATGGTACGTCCTGAGTTGCTCTTGCTACGTCTCCGACTCACCAAGCAACCCTTCAGATCCCCTGGTTCGAGACGCCCATTACGTTCGACATTCGCGCAAAGCCGCGGAGCATCGCGAGTCTGACCGGCACGAAAGGTGCGGTGCATATCCTGCGGGCCGTCATCTACGCCCACCATACCCCTGCACCTCACATGCGCAGCCCCTTTGAACTACGTGACTGACGATTCGCAGACTTGCAGATGGTGAACATCACTTGTCGTGTCCTGTCCCGCCCATCCCCTTCCGCGCTCCCGACCATCTACCGCGAGCTTGGTCAGGACTACGATGAGCGCGTGCTCCCCTCGATCGTGAACGAGGTCCTGAAGAGCGTCGTCGCACAGTTCAACGCGAGCCAGCTCATCACCCAGCGTGAACAGGTATGTATAGAGATTCATATATTCCATCATATCACCCTGCAACTGCTCATCCAATCACGCTTTCCGTCTTGCACTATTTACCTCTTCTTGAACTACCCTCTGACCTTGTTCTAGGTCTCCCGCCTCATCCGCGATAACCTGACGCGCCGCGCGCTGCGCTTCAACCTCGTCCTCGACGACGTCTCCATCACGCACGTCAACTTCTCCCCCGAGTTCACGCACGCGGTCGAGGCGAAGCAGGTCGCGCAGCAGACCGCGCTCCGCGCGGCGTTCCTTGTCGACCAAGCGATTCAGGAGAAGCAGGTACGTGCAGCGCGCCTTGTCGCTTTTAGCAGCTATGCGCCCTTTCTTCTCTGGATGCGCATCCCGCTTTAACAACTTTGCATCACCCTTCTCGTTTGTGATGACCCACGCCACGCCCCCTCGATCCGCCTTTCATCGCTTCTAACTTGTGCATCACATCTCGTTACCTCGAGAATCACATCTTGCGGCGCTGTCCTTCCTCGTGAATCACTCGTCTATCACCCTCTCGAGAATCACTTGGCTATCGTCCCCTTTCTATCACCCCTTTCTCTCCCCCTGCTTTGCTTCCCTCCCTGCTTCTCATCGCATCACTCCTCCCCTACTTCTCACCACATCCCCCCCGCGCACCCAACTAACGCCCACCCCAGTCTATCATCGTCCGCGCCCAGGGAGAAGCGCGCTCAGCTGAGCTCCTCGGCGATGCGATGCGCCAGAACAAGGGCTTCCTCGAGCTCCGGCGCCTCGAGGCCGCGCGCGACATCGCAAACCTGCTCGCGACGAGCGGGAACAAGGTCATGCTCGACTCGGAGAGTCTGCTCTTGAATGGTGAGTAGCGTTTCTTTCAAGGGTGTAGAAGGAGAGCTTTGGAGGGTGTTCTCCATTTTCTTCGCGTTTGCTTGAATTGTGGTCTACTGCCTGACTTGTGGCCTGTTAAACAACGAGGAGCTGACATATATGCGCCTTCAGTTGCCGGGCACGACGCGCAGAACTTGTTGAATGTGAAGAAGTAAAGGACGAAAAGGGGAGCTCGTCATATGGGTGGAGGACCTTGGCTACAGGCGCATGTAGGTCACCTACATACATACGGGAGCACGTAACCTACCTACCCACTTGCGAAGCTATCCATGCACCACTGCTCTCGGACATACTTTTCTTGAGGTTTTTTCGTCTGCGTCTAACGTGCAAGAAATACATTGAGGTGGGGTCCAACTCGGTACAAGAGCAGCAAAGGCTCTTACAAGTCAGGGAGGCCTTTACAAGTCATGGAAGCCTTTACAAGTCTACGGCGTTTTCCTAACAAGTCCTGAGTTTGCCTGCCACCCCCATCTCAGTGCTCGTGTCCAATGATGTGCCCAATGACCCAAGGCGTGAACATGCCCAGCGCGATGACGAGCACGCGAGTAACGCCCGCGGGTCCACCGTCGGCGCTCTGCTCCTGCGTGACGGGCTGTAGAACAGTTGCGACGTAGAGGAAGGTGCCGCCCTGGGATAATCGGTGTGAGCGAAAAAATCATACACAGGGGCGGGAAACAAGCGTTAAATTCCTTCACAATACTTACCGAGAACAGAAGCGTTGCTCCTACCCAGGCCTGCCCTGTCCCCAGGAAGGCGAAGAGGGCGTAGGCAGCGATGGCACCGGCAGGTGTTGCTGCGCTGAATACGGCGAGGTGGGTTCGGCATTGTTCGCGCGTTAGAGATGAGGTCGCCAGGAGGGACGTGGTTAGAGCGAGGGCGGTGGGAGCTGCAAGGAGGGATGGAGGTGATGTTAGGATACCAACAGACCACGTATGCACACGAATGAGCAACACGCACCCTTATGCACCAACAGCGCCAGGAACACGATCCACCCCAACCCCCCATCGTCATCCCGCGCCGCCGCGCCCAGCGCCAAACCGTCCGCCAGCGCATGCACCGCCAGCCCCAGCGTCAGCGGCACCGCGCGCTGCGCCTGCTCTCCAGCGACACCATGCCTCGGCGCCGCGCCCTCCAGCTCGGACAGCTCCGCGTCGAACTCGATGCGCGGAGCAGAGGGGGCATGCGCGTGCAGGAGCTGCTCGGCGGCGAGCATGACGACGAAGCCGCCGAGGAGGGCGAGAGCGATGGTGTTGACGGGAGGTTCAGAGGTGGGGTCTTTTGGAGGGGCTTCAAGGATGGTTTCGATGCCTCTGAGAGAAGGAGAGCGGGAAGGAGGGAATGAGGGTCAGAATGTGTTGTGATGAGGGAAATACACGAAAGGCAACGCACTCAGGGATCGTTACGCCCAGCGCAGTGCCCAGAAGCAGGCCTGCCCCCAGCGTACTCAGCCATGCCAGATGAGTGCCTGCGTGTTGGGGGGATTAAGGGTAATGGTAAGAGGCAATAAGCGGTGGCGCGCTAAAGCGTCGATCGATGGCTCTGCGTGCGGGAGTGCGGTGCAGACGCACGGGAGAACGTGAATGCCAGGGGAAGCATGCCGCAGCCGAAGGAGGCCGCACCGAGGAGCGCGGACATGATGAGGACGCCGAGCATCGCGAGCAGATTCGTGAGGTCGTCGCAGTGGGAAGCAAGACGCGTCGCGTCACGGGACGCGATCCAGTACACTAAACAATGTTTCCCGCCGTCCTCCAACGTCCGTGCCAGTCAAGACATTGTCCTTTGACATGTCGCTGTCGTGGACCTCAGGCTCACACCAAGGACTTATGTACAGCGGACAAGATGCGCGAAAATATATTCGCGCAGATATAGAGGCCTTCAAGCCTTCTCCAACAATCCCTCCAGGGCTAGATGTGTACAGTACTGAATGAGTGGACAGCGAGTTAGTGGTGGGTGACTCAAGAGCAGGGTAGAGTAAGTACGGGTCAAGACAGCAGTAACGTGGTGAGCGAGGATGGAACAGATAATTATTAACAGGGGCAGAGATGGCAGACGGGCATGTAGGTAGGTAAGTAAAGCAACAGGCAGAAGAAGGCAATTAATGGCCTGGAAGACGGCGAGAGATGATGTACAGACGAGAAGAGCAGGGAGATCAAGCCGGGGAGACGATGTGGCTGCTGTTGTACGAGAAGCCTGCATTATATGTGAGCTCAGGCTTCAAGCACGAGAAACAACAACATACCTGAGAACTGCGCCTGGACGGTCTCTGAAAGGTTAGAGTTCTCGACGACACTGTCGATTGGCTGCTCGGCGGTGAAGACGGTGTCGAAGCACGACACGTCGACCGGGCTAGCCACGCTAGGCTTGAATGGCGGGTGAATTTTCTTCTCCTTGAGCTGCGTCCAGTCGATGGACTCGAAGAAGGGGTGCTTCTTGATCTCCTCCGCGCCGTTAACGCCCAAGCGCTTCGTCGGGTCGCGGTTCAAAAGACCAGAGAGGATCGACTGCGCGGGGGCAGAGATCTCCGGCCCGAAGACGAGCGGGTCGTTGAGGATCTTCTGGTACATTGTGTCGGTGTTCTCTGCGGGGCGGTCAGCACTATCCTGACGGGCAACTCAGAACGAAATGCACCATCATAGAACGGCGGCAGACCCGACATCATCTCGTACAGAAGCACGCCGAGCGTCCACCAGTCAATGGTCTTGCTGTAGCCGTGGCCGTTGAGAATCTCGGGTGCGAGATACTCAGGTGTGCCGCAGAACGTATTCGTCTTCTCGTCCCCCTTCATGTTCAGCTTGCACAAGCCAAAGTCGCAGAGCGCGATGTGGCCGGTGTAGTCCAGCAAGATGTTCTCGGGCTTGAGGTCACGGTAGACCACGTCGAGCTCGTGCAGGTGCTCGAGGGCCAACAGAAGCTCCGCGCTGTAGAAGCGCGCCCGCTCCTCGTTGAAGCGCTGCTCGCGCTGCAGATGGTGAAACAACTCGCCGCCGTTGACGAAGCTAAAAGATCATCAGCCAAGAGTCCGTCAGAGACAAAGTATTGACTCACGCAAGCACCAAGTAAAGCTTCTGCTCGCTCTGGAAGCTAAACTTGAGCGGCACGATGAACGGCGAGTGCACCTGCGTGAGCACCATCCGCTCCGCCAGCGTATGCGTAATCTCGTTCCGGGTCACAATGTGCTGCTTCCGGATCGTCTTGAGCGCGTAGATACGGCCCGTATCCCGCTTGCGGACTTGCATGACCTTCCCGAAGCTGCCCTTGCCGATGACGGTGATGAGCTCGAAGTCGTCGATGGAGAGGTGGTGGCCGAAGTTGGGCTTGTACGAGACGCCGATCTTGATCTTCCCCTTGCCGGCGTCGAACTCGTACCACTGGTCCTCGTTGCCCATGTTGTCGAAATCGGGGACGAACTTGAGGCCGCCGAGGAAGATGTCATTGCCCATGTCGTCCGCGATGCCGTCCCCGCCGCGGGTGGGCTCCTCCGTGCGCAGGTAGCACTGGAGCGAGAGCTCCGAGTTGCGGGACACATCGCTGGGAGGGTGTTAGCTAGTGCACATCCGTGAAGAGATAGCCCACGCACAAGTTCGCCTGGTACATGAACACCGGCTTCTCGAGGTCACCGCCGAGCGCAGTGATGAGCACCTGGTTGACCTCGTACTCCATGACGAGGTACGGCAGCCACCAGCACTGCGTCCGCTGCACACTGTCCTTGTAGCCATGGCCCTTCGTCTTGGCCAGGCGCTGCTGCTGCTGCGACACGCTGAGGGGGTCCACAGCGGACGCGACCTTTGCCGCCTGCGAGCTCAACGCGGACTCGACCGCCGGCGGGACGGCCTTCCCGTCTGGCAGGTTCACGTCCTCCGCCCACAGCACGCGGATGGCGAGCAGGCCCGTGCGGTACGGGCTGTCGTTGCCGCTGCCGCCGTTCGGGTTCGCTGGCGTCGGGGTGTCCGACCGCATGTCGGGGATGCTCTTTTTGGAGCGCGTGAGGGACTTCCAGGACATGATTAAAGGAATGTAAAGTGCGTGAAGGAAGCCTGTTCCTGCGTTAGAGAGATAGTAAGGACTGTCGGAAGTCTGAGAGGGTGGAGGGTGGAGGTGCTGGTAGAAACCAAGAGACGGTGATCCTTCCACGTTCAGGTCCCCCATCTTATTTAATTACGTGACCGGCTATCACAAAGCTCAGAAAATTTACAAATAGTATCCTTAGCCGATGAGCTTCATGGCCAACGACAGACAAGACTGCAAGGGAGCAAGCAGTAGGATAACATACGTGAGAGAACGCTCGAAGGGCGAGCGCACGTCAGAACAACGAAGGGACTCTTCTATTCACATTGCATACTTGCCATCTACATGCAGGCAGTCGAGGGGACCTGTACACAATACGGCTACCCTGTTTTGGAGGAATGAGGTGAACATGAGAAGGAGGACGTGATGGAGGCGACACCATGCGCTATGCGCCAGAGTCGAACACAAGAAGATACCTTGAATATTTTCAAGTTCGCTGGTCCTTTTTGTACTTTCCTGGTACGGCCCCCGCGGTGAATTCAAGGTCAGTATCTGCCAGACGTCGCTTGACAACGATGGCCGTCCCCCACCCAACACACCTTGGTCCTCTCTCCTCCCAATCGCGGCCGCAAGGGGACGTTCGGTTGTCGCCTAGAAACGCGTCGTCCTAGCGTCGTCCTTAGCGTCGATCTTCTGCTTGCAAAGCGGCGATCTGCTGAGCGGATGTGGGGCCATAATACGATCTTCACACGACCGCGCCGCAGTGTTCAACGAAGATGGACCTCTTCGAGTTCAGTTGAGTTGGTCGTTGAGGCCAAAGTCTATATGACTGCGCTATCCTCCAGTCATTGCAAGGATAGCCAGGGTGAGATCGGGCAGATATATGCGAGGTTGCCAGAAGCCGGCAGAACGCCTCACAACCGACAGTCTGTCTCAGGCAAATACGAGTGTTGTCCAGAAATATTCAGCTTCGAAGGATGAGGGACAAGAGCAGTGTGAGGCCATAGAAGCAGCTATGCCAACACCGCGCCAGCAAGATGGCGGTTCGGATTGAGCACGGGACTGTCACACGTTCCGTAACGTGCTTAAGGTCACGTGATCCCCGGTAACTGCCGGAAGTTCAACTTCGTCACACCCCGAGAGGTTCCTACGCTGGGAGGCCACGAAACGCCGCGGTTCTTACCCCATACATGACAGTAAGCGATCGTTTACGAGACACCGGTAGTTTCACTTACTCGTCTCGTTTATCTCGGCGGGGCAGACCAGGATTAGGACCCTGAATCCATCCATCGCGTCGCGCATATCGCGTGCATGTCCACCAAACATGCTCAGGAGTAGAGCAAAGGGGCATCTGTCTCACAGTGTAGTGCCGCGGCTCGCCGGCGAGGTGATGATTTTAGCGGTATTCGTACAGCGAGGAGTCGGTGTTCACACCGGGAGGTGTATCAGCGTCCATGCCTGTAGCCACGAGTTGGCTGTGTATGTGATGAGCGAGGCAGGCGGTGGTGATCTGCAATGCGGTACGAGGTCGACTCTCACTGTAACGCTTGCGGCTATCTGTCCGTGTTTTCCTGGCACTGCCCTCCCGCATCCTCGCGCTGCCATCTTCACTCCCCTTCCGCTCTTTGATGCCCATCTCACGCACCACTCTCCGGTCCGCTGCAGCGCGTCCAAACGTCCATCGGCGCCCCTTTCATGTCGTCTGTTCAGCTGTAGTACCTGCAGTCAGTGTCCCGGATGAACGCCGGGTGCGCACTGGGTACGCCGGGTACGGTCAACTTCGGCCTCGCGCCGCGCGAAGCGCACTTCCCCCGATGAATTCCCTAGCTCGTCTAGGGACCGCGTCGCTGACAGCTGTGAGTAGGGAGAGCCGTCATCAACGCATAAAGGGCAGCATCGACGCTTGGAAGGATTTCTTCAAAGCCCAAAGAGGCTCATTGGCACACAATTCTAACTGGAAGGAGCAACATCAGTGCGAAAGCGGCGAGGAGATCAGCATGCAGATACCGTACTTCCTCAGCTGTGTCCGCGAGGGTGTGTTCACTTGAGACCTTCGCCGGCGGTCTTGGAAGACAGGCTTCTGCCGGTATATCTGAGTGATATCTGCCCCCTGAAGCAGATAGGTCTACTCTTCGAAGACGAGATATGCACTGCTCGAAGCTGATGCTCGTGGACGGTGGCTGATGTTCGTCCGCGATGGAAGATAGCTTGCCTCTTGGGGACCGTGCTAGAAAGTTGCCACCTCAGCGGACGGGCTTCTTGCGAGTCATGAGTGCAGTTGAGCAGTGCGTATGTACGGCAGAAGCCCTTGAAGATTGGGTGGGGACCAGCGAAAGGCTCGGTGGCGGCTGTCACGAGTGCCCTCTGGAGCGCATAGCGCGCACAATGGAAAGTACCAGGGTACACAGACCGCGGTCAGACGAGGAGAGCCCAATCAAGAGGACAAGCTGAAGCTCTTGTTCCTAGCGGTACGGGCGCACTTGTGGCGCACAGCTATTGACTCAAAGCCTCGCTAGTTCGTAGATGGAGCCCACATAGGTCGTCGCTCTGCGCCTCGTTGAGGAGCATGACGCAGGGCGCGCCGTCGCTCGGAGGGACCCCGCCTGCGGAGGTCTTCTTTCTATGCAGGTGCACCACTCTTGTTTGATCGCATCTTCCAATATACGTCTGTTAGGGTGCCAGCATCCATCGTACCGACCTTGCTGCCGGTCCACGTCGTGTAGTCCGAGTAGCGCGAGTGTGTAGATACGTAAAGACGAGGCTCGCTCGACGTCACTCTGGCCGCGTCGCGCCTCGCATCGAGGAGCGCACGGGGGGATCGGCAGGCACATGCATCGACGAGGAGATAGGACCACAATACGAAGGTGGCGTGCATCGATATCGTCGGGGTCATGCAACAGCCAATTGACTCGCGCGATGGGCAGATGGTGGGAGAGCGCGACCCGTGGCCAGTGGCGTCTGGGCCAAGCGGCAGCGGACAGAAAAGAAGCAGATTTCCGGCCAAGCAGAGCGTTGTAGGGTGCCATCCCTCGTTCATCGACGGTCATCGATAGTTGTTGGGGTGAGATAGAGTGCTCCTTGGGGTCAGGGCGAGGGCCGAGCATGCGCGTAAGAAGGGGGCGGTCAGGCAAATATCAATCACATGGGCGGCCCGCGGGTCAGTTGAGCACTTTTACCTCCGAACTATATAAGCCCGCACTCTTCTTTTGTCTTTCCCGTTTACCCTCCGCAACCACTTCAGCGTATAATAGGCTACAACCAGTCTTACCAGTCCAGGAGACTTCCAAACCGATTCACATTCATCCCGTAACTCTACCATGGCCGCCACCGACGCCGACCTCGAGAACTTCCGCCGCTACCTCAACCAGTTCGAGCGCGGCTGCCAGCAGGATTCGGGTGAGGAGGCCTAGCACCGCGTTGACAGCTCCGTTAACATGCGCGCAGACATGGAGGATGCACTCGCGAGCGAGGAGAGCCCGCTGAACCTCGGCATGGAAACGCCGCGCACGGTCGCGAGCACTCCCCGCTTTGCCAGCCGACCAGTCTCTCGCGGCGCACCAAGTCCAGCGCCAGACGTATACGGCAATGTCTGGACACAGCAGCGCGACGACAAGGCCCTCCTCACCAGCAGCATTCGCCGCCGCCGATCACCCACGCCGTCCAAGCTTGGCCGTAGAGTTGCGTCCCGCGATACGGACTGTGGCATATGGTGCGTCTCCCCTTCCCTCCCCACCCGGCTCTTGCTCATCTTCGCCCAGCTTCGAGGACGCGACCATGCCTTGTCGCACCCTCTGCTGCGGCTCCACCTTCTGCGTCCAGCACATCGCAGATTGGCTGCACGGCGATGATGCAGACTCCCGCTGTCCCTCCTGCGGCGCCGTCTGCGCCCTCTCTACCTCCCTCGCCCGCGACCCCGGTCTCCACCTCCCCATCCCCAACCCGCCTCCGCCCTATCCGACGCCGCTGCACACCTCGCCACTGCCTCCCTCCCCACCCTCCGAAGCCGACTCGTCTTCTGAATCCGATCATGATCAGAGTGGGCCTGGCTTCTCTGACGGTGACACTACGGATGGCTCACCCGTCCGTCGCTCCCCGCCGAAGACCCTTAGTGCCGCCTTCCGCGAGCCCGACTTCGCGGCGAACATGGTCGGGAAACTGCTGTCGATCGCCGCTCTCATCATATTTTACTATGTGATACTCAACAAGAGCGCGCCCGCAGCAGACGTCGAGATACTGTAGGTGCCCAGATTGTAGCTGTCGTGCGCGTCTAGCTCCAGGCACCTGTCAGTTCACGTCGAGCAGTCGCCCTGACCCTGCAGCGGCCTTCACCCCCATCATCCATATCTATTCTATTTGCACTCAACTGCCACACTAGTCTCGTTATTACGCCCCTTCATGTCCATGGCCCGTCCGTCTCCTACTTTCTCCCCTCTCCCTTTCATGCTATAGCTTTACGCAACTGTACATCAGATTCAACTCCAGTCACACTCGCATTCGCATATTTATCGCGTCGGGATGTCGATCGCGTCGATAGTACGATCATTCGATGCCTTATCACTACTTCACGTCCCGTCGCGCTGTCCACACCGTGTATACTACCCTGCTACATACCATCATACGGTACAATGGCCATCTGCACTATGATTTGCATCATTTGCTCTTCATGAGTCCTTCGTACGGAAAAGCGGTGTGAAGGCCGATAAACAAGGGAATGATCTCTGCTCATGATCAGTGATGATCGAGCTTCAGACTTGTCTTGAACGACCATCACCACAAAATGGCTTCCCCAGGTCCTCGACGCATTGTCGTGCTCATCTCTGGATCAGGTGTGTACTGCCCTCCATTTTACTCAGTCGAAATTCAAGTCTCTGACAGGAACCAACCTCCAGGCGCTCATTGATGCTCAAGGAACCCACGCCCTCCCCAATGCTCAGATAGTCCTTGTCCTCTCCAACCGCAAGGCCGCATACGGCCTCCAGCGCGCCGCGCAAGCCACCCCACCCATCCCCACTGCTTACCTCGCCATGCAGCCCTACCTCAAATCCCACCCCGGCGCAACACGAGACGACTACGACGCCGCCGTCGCCGACATCGTGCGTGAGGCGCGCCCCGATCTCGTCGTCCTCGCCGGCTGGATGCACGTACTGGGCACACACTTCCTCGACCGCCTGCAGGACGTGCCGGTGATCAACTTGCACCCTGCGCTCCCGGGCGCGTTCGAGGGGACGCACGCGATCGAGCGGGCGTACGAGGCGTTCCAGAAGGGGGAGGTGGATAAGGCGGGTGTTATGGTGCATAGGGTGATCAGGGAGGTGGATAGGGGGGAGCCGTTGGTGGTGAAGGAGGTGCCGATCGAGAAGGGGGAGCCGTTGGAGACGTTTGAGGAGCGGCTGCACAAGGTCGAATGGCAAGCGATCGTGGAGGGGACGGCGAAAGCGCTCGGTGTATGAAGGAAAGGTGCGTTTCCCAGGTGCAATAGTCTATTGCGCAGAATCTGATATCCCTTCGGATAGGTGTAGCTTGTATAGTCAATCCTGTTGTACCAATGCTCTCGTTATTCTCCGCTGCAAAAGCAGTCCGATCAGCGTGCGCACTGCGGTACGCTGCTAGCCAACATTGTGGTCAAGCCTGCTATCAAGACCAATGAATATCCCAAGTACTCGGAGGGAAGGCGCGTGACTGTATCCCTCCAGCTCCCTCCTCGACATCGCGGCCCGGCGGAAGGCATCATCTGACCGCTGTGCGCGCACCCCTGGACGCGTATAAGACGCGCGCGGCTGCCTTTCCATGCGCTCCTCTGAACAGCCCCTTTCAATGCTGCTCTCTACAGTGCTCGCGATTGTCCTCGTCTCGGTAGCGGAAACCATTGCTGCCAGGTTCGACTGGTCGCAAGTTAAATATGTCTATGCATTCGGAGATTCGTACTCCTTCGTACAGGGTACACTGGGGCATGCAAACTTCAGGTCGGATGGCATCTCGCTTTAAGGGTTAACGACCTACTTCTCCTCACTCCCAGCTTTATCGGCGACCTGAATGATCTAGCGTTCACGCCAGACGAGCTCCTGTCGAATGAAATAGTACCACGGAACGTGAGCAGTCTGGGTTCTCATTAGAGTGCAATCGCTGAGCTTCAGCCTTACCTTCCTTCAGACCAGCTCAGAGGGGTCGAACTGGGTACGCGACGTCGTACATCGCGCCGATATTCCTCTCTAACCTTCAGAAACGCTCATCGACAGCTTCAATACCTGACCGGCTGCTTCTCCGGCCTCCCATCCGACTGCGACATCCAGCTATGGGACTTTGCCTTCGCTGGCGCGGACATTGATGCCAACTTGCTCCCTCTCCATCACGACTTCACCGTCCCCCTCGTCGATCAAGTGGCGCAATATGTCGAGTACGCCGCGGATGTGCTACCGCACCCGGCTGGGGAGACGCTCACGGCGTGGTGGATCGGCATCAACGATACTGGGGATACTGTTGGGAATACGACGGTACGTTGTTGGAGGCAGTCGATGTAGGAAGGAAGCTAACAGCAGAGCAGCTTGACTTTGTCGAGTTCTGGGAGAAAGAGATGCAGTCGCTGTTTGCCGCAGTGGTGGGTTTCTTCTTGCTCTGTTTGGCAGCCTCACATCGTCGCAGGAAATGCTGACAGTATTGTCCCCCAGCAACAAGCTCACGACTCCGGCCTCACGACGCACCTTTTCCTCAACGTGCCACCGGAGGAACGCAGTCCTGGCTACGTAAACGACGTAGAGAAGGGTACACTTTTGAAAGAGCACATCGCGCTTTACAACGCAGCGCTTGAGGACCACATCGCTCAGTTCAAGGCGGCCAACTCAGGTAAGCTGAGTTCCCGTCTTCGTTGTCCTCCGTCTCTTGTCAAATCCAACCACAATATTCTTACGCGTATCCACAGATGCGACCATACTCACCTTCGATGTACACGGCTGGTTCAACACCGTCCTCGACGATGCCGAGCGGTATGGCTTCGACAACATCACAGGGTACGTCCCCATCCTCCGGGCTCTCTCGTGCTACTCATCACCACACTGATAGCTACTGCACCTGCGAAGACCCATCGGGATGCTTTTGGTACAGTGCGTAATTTCCTTCTTCGAAGCGTTCGTCCCTGACTTCTTTCTTGGTTTTCTTGCGCAGACACAGGGCACCCGACTGAACGCGTGCACAAGCTTCTTGCAAGAGCAATTGAAAAGCAGCTATCCGCATCCTCCTGTGATTAGGGCCATAAACCATGGACCCGGGAGAAGCATGGAAGGAAACTCGCATTTGGTGGAAGAGTGCACGTGACAAAAACGTGCTTTGGGTCCTCTCACGTGGTTAAAAGTTTAACTTCGTGGATCTGGGTTTATCGCAGCCACACGTTCTACTTGTCGCAAAAAACAATCTTATGTCTTTGTAGAATGCGTGATGTGGTATACATTGGTATAGGGAGGAAGCATGGAGGTTCTGGCGCTTCAAGAGAAGGGAAGGGCACAGAAGGACTTCTTGAAAAGAATGTCGAGCTTCATAAGGCTGTCGCAACATTTCCCGGAAAGGGCGCCTCAGAATCTCGCAGCGATGAGAACGTCCATCTCGCGCTCCATGGCCTTGAAGCGGTCCTTATCGGAAGTCTTCTTTCCTGACTTCCTTCCTAGCGAAAACCTGCGGCCGTGCTTCTTTCTGGGTACATCTCCTGAAGCTGAGGAAACATCCCCTACAGCGGCAGTTGCGGCGCGCTGCATGCGCGCTTCGTGCGCCTTAATGGCGGTCGGGTCGCGCACGATTATGTGCATGCTGCGATTCCGTGGGAGGCCGGGGCGCGCGGCGTTGCGCACCTCCGGTCCGTTGTATGCGTCGGGGCCATCGTAGGTCTGGAAGGGAAGCGTAAGCACGCAGCAGGGGGAGAGGTGAGGAAGCAAGGGGATAGGTAAAGAAGCAAGGTAGGGGAGGAGAACGGGAAGGAAAGGGCAAAGAAGAGAAGCTTACCATGTTGACGTAGGTGACGCCGCCGAGTTGAACGAGGGGCCCGGACATGTTGGCGGTGCGCATCATCTCCTCGCCTTTCGGTTGATGTTGGAAAAATAACATGTTGTTTAGTGTGGATTGTTGGATAGAGTCTTGCTGGCGGCGTCGAGTACGTTGCGTCTGGGCCAGCCGCTGATCGCTTGAGCGGAATTTGCTGGTGAGACGGGAAGAGCGTAGGAGGTATTCTCCAGCTTTTCGTCTCTTATATACGAGCAAGGAGTAAATAGGGGAAAGGGCGATGCAACAAGACATCGCACAGGCAACAAAATACGAACGGTCTCACTCTCGCGGTCAACCTGTTTAGGGGAGAGTAGGCGGAGGACCTTCGAGAATGCGGATGTCTCGATGCGTACGCCACGGCTTCTGGGCCGTGTGGCGCTCGCATTGTGTAGTCATGCGAGCCCTCGTGAGTACGAGGAGGTACGCAGAGGCCGCAATGAAGGGCCTCGGTGTGCACGCCGCCCCCTACAACCGTTTTGCGCCCGTGAGGAGGAAACGTGGTGCAATACAGGAGGCGTCCCGGTAACCAAGACCTAGCGGGGGCAGATCTGCCCCTGCACTACGTGCAGCCGAGATGAATGGGCAATCTCCGTAATGTGAAGGGGTGGCAGGGAGGCGGATGCCGCGAGTCGTCTGTGTCGCGCAAATCGCCATAATCACAGTGAGGCCGGTGTAGCCGGGGTACAGCAAGCTAGAAGTCGCCCAGAGTGCCTTGAGGCGTCCGCGCGTTCTCAAGACAAGTGGAAGAGGCAAGGGGAGCGCCATGATGGGCGAGTTCTGACTTCAAAAAGCACGAATCTGCTGACGTCTGCGACACGTGCCCACTCACTTTGCTTCTCGCCGCCATGTCTGTCTCCCTCCAGCCGTCAAGTGCTCTGGGTTTTCCTCGTGCGTTGCGCTCAGAGAATCCCAGGGAGTCATACTGACAGAGGCGCAGGCCCCCTCACCCAGCAGCGCACGCGCTCGCTGGCCGTGACTAACCACAATAATGCCCCGGTGGCTTTCAAGGTCAAGACCACGGCGCCCAAGGTGCGTTTAGGCGGCCTACGAACGCGGAATCGCCGTTGATAAGCCCCATTCATCCAGCTTTACTGTGTGCGCCCCAACTCTGGCAGGGTAGAGCCTGGCGAGACCGTCGAGGTTGCGGGTGCGTCACCCGTGAACAGTGTCTCCTACCCCGACTGAATTCCCTCGAGTCATGCTCCAGGCCCTCAAGGACGAGCCTCCTCTCAATGCCAAGTGCAAGGACAAGTTCCTTATCCAGAGCACCATCATCACCCCGGAGAAGGAGACCTTGCCTCTTCAAGAAATTGTGCGTTGGCTTGCCTCGCGGCACTGCGGCTGCGCAGCTGACTCGTCATAGTGGAACACGGATGGCGACGAGACCCGCGTCCACCAACAAAAACTTCGCGTTACCTACTTGCCGCCGGAGGGTCAGACGGTGCCCGAGGAGGACGAGAGCGTGGCGAACATGAGCTCCATGATCGGTGAACAGGTGCGTTCATTCAGCCCGCCTCAGCCGGGAAACGATACTTCCCGAGGTTTGCTGCATGTCCTGCATGCGCATACTGTGGAGGTTATGGAACCCCGGTTTTGGCGCCTTATTTCAATGCACCTCCTGACGCGCGTGTGACAGCGCTACGACACTGTCCGCCAACAACCGAACGGCGTTCCCGAGGCGATCCCCGAATTCAACGAGCCACCGCACGAGGAGCCGCCCCGCGCGCCCACGCCCACCCAATATACCGCCGCGCACGAAGAGCAGCACGAGGAGTACTCGCATCCGCCCGAGCCTGCAGCGCCCGTCACCGTCAATGTCCACCCTCCGCCCCCCACGCCCCCTGTCGCCCAGCAGCAGTTCCAGGCTGAGCAGCCCGCGCCTGCACCACAGGTCGCTGCCGCCGTCGCGTCAGCGCCCAAAGACGAGCCCTCCAAGGAGACGCTGGAGTACGCTGCGAAGTACCAGGAGGCGCTCCGCGAAATCGAGAGGTTGCGCGCGTTGCTCGCCAGCGCGCCCAAGGCCCCCGAGTCTGCGCCGCCAACGGAGGTCCGCAGGCGCACGCGGAAACTTTCCGAGGACGAGAGCTCGATTGCCGACTCGGACGTGCGCAGCGTTCGCACCGGCGTGTCATCGCGTACGGGCGTCTCCTCGCGGTCATACGACGACCGTGACCTTCAGCAGGACGGCGTGCCCTTGCAGGTGGTCGTCGTCATCGCGTTGACGGTGTTCACGATGACGTACCTCTTCTTCTAAATGTCGCCTATTCCGCTGCCGCCGCGGCCCGCCCACCCTCGTTTACGGACGCTCTCGCGTTGCTTTCTGTCTACCTGTCTGTCGATACAATACGACTGTGTCTATGCGATACGATCGTGTGATTGTGGCACGATTCTTGGTTGCTGGCACGCACGACCTTGTTGGTGATACGCTCGTTCAGCGACGGGAGGGAGTCCGTCGCTGCGTATTTAACGCTGTTCATATTTTCCGTTTTTCTGCGCATGTATATTCTTTCTCTCCGCTTCTCTTTTTTATTCTCGAGGGCTGGTGATCGGGGCGTCGCACGTCTAGAGTGGTGGGCGTCGTGTCGTATTCTACGCGATACCTGGTCGGTAAAGTTTGTCCCTAGTACGTAGGTTTGGTTTACAATGACGGATTTCCTTTTCTTTCTGCGGGTTTGTCCTTTCCCTCGACTTGTTGTTTGGCAGATCGGTGGCTTCTGTGGTATGGCTATTTCATCTGACTTCGACAGGGCGATGTTCGGCCGAAAGCGCTCTCTCGGTTGGGTGACAAGTGCCTCGTAAGTACGCCGTCTTTCAAACGACACATCCCGAAGGTCAAGCAAAGAGCAGCATCGACCTCTTTGTCCTTGCGAGCCCTGGACCGGGCAACCACGTTTCTGTCACGTGTCGAAATTGGTGCGGGGCGCAGGGGTCGGTGGCCCTTGCATTGCCTCTTACCACCATCCCGATCCTCGACTTCACGACAACTTGCTCTCTGAGTGGGTCTCGGGTGAAGGAAGGCTCTTACTACACTTGAACGCAACGCTGAACGGCCTCGGCAATCCTTCGCAAGTCCTCGATGTTATGGACCCAGCACACTATGCCAGCATAGTAGACCAGCTACGGGCTGGGTATTACAACGACAATGAGGCCCGCGTGATCACGGATCGACTCCCTCTTCTACAACGAGACATGCTAACCACCGGAAGCGCACTTCATAACGCCCGTCTCAAGCTAGGCCTGGAGGATGCCTCTTCGGTGAGCCACTACTCGGAAGTCGAACCCGCCCTCGATCGGCGCCACGAACAAGAAGACATGTCTCCACTGGAATTGATGGACCTCGGCCAGCGACTCGATGAGAAACTATCGCAGCAAGGGACACTACTCGCCTGCTACCGATCCTACCTTGCGCCCATCCGTCGCCTCCCTGTTGAGATACTTCTCGAGATCTTCGGCGCGGGCCGCGTACTTCCAGGTTGGACACCTCTCCATGCTGTCCAACTCGTCAAAGCTGCTGAGGCTACCTGCTTTCATTGGCACGAGATCATTAAAGGGACCCCTGATCTGCATACGTGGATCGCGCTCCCGCAATTCTGCAAGGGTGTCCCCCGCCAGCTGCGTCTTTCAATGGGGAAGCTGCTGCGCGTCTATGTCAGCCCGTCTGTGCCTACTTTTCAACTAGACGAAACACTCCAGCTGTTAGCTAAGCACGGCAATCGCTGGGAGATGTTTGAGGTCGTCAACACCAGCGGTCGATGCGACCCTATCATACCCTCGCTGTACGACGGCTTCACAGACGAAACTTTCGACTCCCTCACCACTCTGTGCATCCCTGACTTTCATGTCTACCCCATCTCAGAGTGGTGGATCAAGATGGTCTTTGCGAGAGCGGAGCGCCTGGAGAACGTCTCCCTCGGGGATTTCCGGCCCTCGATGGGATTTCCTCCCGCTTCTCTGCGCTCACTCCGGGTCGCGGAGGGGAGTCTCCTCTCCCTCATCGATGTCTTGCGTCGCTGCGATCAGCTCGAAAGGCTCGAGGTTACGAAAATCTTGGACGACGTGCCAGCAGCCGCCAACATGATCCTTGCAAGAGAAGGCCCTTTCGTCGCTCGCAATGTCCGTCGCCTCGAACTAGGGCCCGCTCTCGCTGATTGGCACTCCGAGGAATGTCAGTGCGAGAGGCTGCTGACGATAATCACAACACCTGCTCTGCAAACGCTGTCGTGCTACGCCTCAGGGAGCACGTTGCGTGATCTATACCAGCGCTCCGCGCCGCCCTTGGGCGAGCTCCAGGTCTCTGCCTACGCTCTGTGTGAGGATGACATCCTGGATGCCCTCGCCGTCGTCCCTTCCCTGCGTACTCTGCGCGTCGCTGCTCACCATTGGTGTCCCGACGTGCTCATCCGTGCGCTTGCGGTGCGAGGAGGCTCGCTCATATTGTGTCCCAACTTGGCGCACCTGGAGATCTCTGTGAAGGGTGAAGGAGTGCAGCTAATATGTCCTGATATGTTCAGGCATATGATAGAGTCTCGGCGCGCGGCGGCAGACGCTGGCCTTATCGCTCCGTTGAAAAACGTCGACTTGTCCCCCGGTGGGCGGATTCTGCCTGACATATGTAGGGCGCAGACTGCGGCAGCTCAATTTAGGTATGCGAGCCACGTACCTTAGGGTAGATTGAGGATGGCAGGATTTGTTGAACGTGAACGGAAAGACTACTACACTAGTACTGCGTAAGCTCTGACTGCCGTGGCCTGCTCGCGACAGTCGAGACAAGCAGTCGAGCTGGATATACCGTCAACGAGGCCGTCAAGGCGTTTATATTCTAACTTGTACGCCTAACAGTGTATGTACCTACTCGGTATACGTACCAAAAGCCCCGGGGATATATCCGTAAATTACTATCCTACAATGGCCCTCTCCATAGGCGATCCATGAGGTATGATGTACTAACGGTTCAGAGTGTAAAAGTGATGCGAGCTGGAGAAGATAATAGTAGAAAGATGCGTGAAGGCGTGAAGGGTGTAAAAAGCGTGAAAAGTGTAGGGTGTGGGGACGTGTGCAGCGTGATCGACAGCATTAGGCATTAACGATAGCAGGAGTACGACGAGGGATAGGGTAGGGCGAAGCAAGGCTCTAGTCGCGCTTGCTCAAGGCTTGCAGCTGCACGTATTCGTAGTAGTCGCCCTTGCGAGCGATGAGCTGGTCGTGCGTGCCCGCCTCGCTTACGCGGCCCTCCTTGATGAAGTAACTGAGGGGCATTGTCAATCTCGGGCTGATAAAGGTGAAGCACAAGGCAACTCACATCCTGTCCGCGTTCTGGATGGTCGAAAGTCTGTGCGCGATGGCGAGCGTCGTACGGCCCTTGGCAGCCTCGTCGAGCGCGGCCTGCACAACCTTCTCGGAGTTGGAATCCAGAGCGGAAGTAGCCTCGTCGAGGAGCAAGACCTTCGGGTTGCGCAGCAACGCACGCGCGATGGCGATACGCTGCTTCTGACCACCGGAAAGCTGGCTACCCTTGCCACCGACCTCCGTGTCGAAACCGCTGGAAGACATCGTCAGTAATTGCGGATTTGAGCGAGGACTAGGCATCACTCACTTGGGCAAGCTCTGGATGAACTCGAGGATGTTGGCCTTGCGGCAAGCCTCCTCGATCTCCTCTTGCGTGACTTCCGACTCCGGCTTGATGGCACCGAGGAGGATGTTGAAGCGCACGGTACCGGCGTACAAGGTCGGCTCCTGAGACACGAGCGCGATCTGCTTGCGGTACTCCGCAACGTTCAAGTCCGAGATCTTCTCGCCATCCAACTGCGGAAGAGGGTCAGTGATCGTTGCAAAGACAAGCGCAAGCCAGGACGCACGTAGACATTGCCAGACAGCGGGTCATAGAAGCGCTCAATAAGCTGGATCGTCGTCGACTTGCCGCATCCACTAGCACCGACAAGCGCAACATACGTGCCCGGCTCGATGTCCAAGGTCAGGTCGCGCAGCACGCGGATGCCCGGCCGCGTCGGGTAGCGGAAGTGCACGTTCTCGAAGCGGATGTGCCCCTTCGTCGTCTCGCGCGTGATCTTCTTCCCCTCCTGCGAGTCCGCGTCGATCTCCGGCTGCGAGTCGAGCAGCTCGAGGATGTCCTCCGCCGAGCCCTTCGCGGACGACACATCAGGCACGAAGGAGAAGACGTTGCCGGCCTGGATCGCGCCGAAAGTCGTGCTCATGAGGCCGACGTAGAAGTTTGTCGCGGAGATCTTCTGCTGCGAGACGAGGTGCGCGCCCCACCAGAAGACGAGGGCGATGACGTAGAAGCCGATGGACTGCGAGAGGGCGTAGAGGAGGTTGGACCAGATAGCGGTGCGGTTGGACTTGCGCAGAGGCTCCTCGAGTGACTTGCTGTACATGTCGAGACAGTCGTCCTCGCGAGTTAAGGACGCGACGGTGCGGATAGCGCCAGCGGCCTCGCAGGCGAGCTGAGCAGACTCCTCGTGCGCGGCCTTGTTGGTCTGGTCCTTGAGGACGACAACGCGCTGAAGGAGGATTAGCGCACTGAACAGTTCCCAAGCCAAGCCAGACTTACCAGACGAATGTAACCAGTCGAGATCAAAAGCGGCGTGCAAGCGAAGCCAACGAGACCGACTTGGTACGCGTAGACCGTCCCGATGATGAAGCCCACGATAATCGTCGACATACTCTGCACAATCGCACCGAGCGTCACACCAGCAAGTCCGTTGACCTTCTGCGGGTTGTCGCTCAGGTTCGACACCAAGCTACCCGTGCTGTGGCTCTCCTCATCGAAGAATTCGATGTCCTGGCGGAGGATGGACTTGAAGGAGAGCGAACGGAGGCGCGCGGACAGCTTGGACGCAGAGGCAGCGAACGAGTAGTTCTGCACGCCGATGCAGACCATGGAGACGAGAGCGATGAGGAAGAACCAGAGCGCGTTACGGTCGCCGGCGTGACGCTTAGCGTGCCAGTCGGTGAGCGAGAACCCGCCGATAGCCTGGGCTGGAAATGCAAGTCAGTACGCGAGCTTGTAACAAAACGAGGAGGTCGACTCACAGAACACAATACCAAAGGCAGGGTAAACAGCACCAGTGGCAATGGCAGCAATGATACCGAGGCCATAGAGAGTGTAGCTGTCCGAGTTGATCGCCGCCATCCGCTTGAACAGCTGGTACGCCGAGTACTTCTGCTTCTTGCCAGCCTTCTCCGCATGGCGCTTCTCCAAGATCTCACTCGCGAGCGAGCGGCCACTGACATTCGACTGCTGGCGCCCAAGGGGGACCTCCTCCGCCGCGGCCTTCTCCATATCCTCGGGCGCCGCGTCCTCGACGTTGATCGTGCCGTCGTCCGTCTCGACGCGCGTCGGCTCGACCACCTCGCGGATCTTCTGCGCCTGCACGAGCCGCGCGTACGCGCCCTCCTTCTCGAGCAGCTCGTTGTGCGTGCCCTGCTCGAGCACGAGGCCGTCGCCCATGACGAAGATCTGGTCCGCGTCCTTGATGGTCGAGAGACGATGCGCGATGGTGATGGTCGTGCGGCCCTGGGAGGCCTTGTCGAGCGCGTCCTGGACGATGCCCTCGGACTGGGTGTCGAGCGCGGAGGTGGCCTCGTCGAGGAGGAGGATGCGGGGGTCGGAGACGATGGCGCGGGCGATGGCGATGCGCTGCTTCTGTCCACCGGAGAGGAGCATGGCGCGCTCGCCGACCATGGTGTCGTAGCCCTCGGGGAGCTTGGAGATGAAGCCGTCGGCGTTCGCTTCGATGCAGGCCTTCTTAATCAGCTCGAACTTCTCCTCGTCAGAGGCATGCTCATAGGGCGTGTTGATAAGACCGTGCGCGACGTTGTTCTGTTGGATTGTTAGCTTATACCCCACCCCGGCGAGCAACCTCGAACTCACCCTAATCGTCGTCGCGAACAGAGTCGGCTCCTGACCCACAAGACCGATCTGGCTGCGCAACCACTTAATGTTGAGGTCCTTCAGGTTCACACCATCAAGCTTCACAACACCTTCCGACGGATCGTAGAAACGCTCGATAAGAGAGATCGCGGTCGACTTGCCGGAACCGGAGGCACCGACGAGCGCGCAAGTCTGGCCAGCCTTGAAGTGCAGGTTGACGCCGCGCACGACGGGGACGGTCGGGCGCGAAGGGTAGCTGAACTTGACGTTCTCGAGCACGATGTCGCCGTGAACGGTGTCCGGCTTGAGGCCCTCCGTGCTGTACGAGTCGATATCCGGAATGCGGTCGATGGTGGCGTAGAGCTTGGCAGCGGCGCCGCGAGCGTGCGTGATGGCTGCAATTGTTTAGTGAGCGGATGCATGCAAACGGGACAGGTGGATACGTACCTTGCATCTCGGGCGCAAGCAGGGCGAGGGAGAAGGAGCCGATGAGGATGGCGAAGAAGACGTTTACTACGATACCCGCATCGGCCTCACCGCGGCCGATGAGGGTGGTGCCGAAGTCGAAGGCGAGCGCGTAGGAGCTGTAGATGACGAAGAAAAAGCAGGATAGACCAGCGCCGTGCGCGATGGCGGCCTTGAGGTCGACGGCCTCCGCGTTGTTGCTGTGCACGTCGTAGATCGCAGAGAGGATCTTCTGAGTGCCGAACGCCTGAGCGGTGCGGACGGTGGAGATGACCTCCTCAGCGACGCTGCCACCTTCGGCGACATGCTTGAGCGAGAGCCTAAGAGGGACGTCAGAAAGTATTTTGGGCGCATACATGCGGACAGACGTACTGCATATACTTCGAGACGAACTTGTTCATAACACCACCGGTGATGGCAATGCACGGGATGATGGACGACATCGCGAGTGCGAGGCGCCATGACCGGACGTATGCGAGGACGAAACCAGTGACGAAGGCAGCGAGGAAGCTAACCACGAGCGCGACCTTCTCCGAGGTGCCCTGCTGTACCAAGTCTAATAATGCGTGAGAAGGGTGCTGCATGGTCGTGTCAAGGGCTGACTCACGAGTATCGGTCTGAATGCGCGTCGCAATCTCGCCGGCGCCGACGTTATCGAAGTAAGCGATGTCCTGGCGAAGTGTGGCCCTGAGGTAGGACTCGCGCAGGCGCTTCGCGTTGACCTCGCCGGTGTACACCCAGCCGACCATGTAGATGTACACGCAGACCATCATGCCGATACCTATAGCAGGCGTTAGAGACGCTGAATGGGCTGATTCGCATAGCGCGTACCGATATAGACCAGGTAGCTCGCGTTGAGGCTGGAGGAGTGCCTGAAGTTCGCTGCCGCCTGGGGAATTTGAGCCGCGGCTTCAGCATCGCCGTTCTGCGCAGAGATGACCATCATCTGGAAAGTGACGAAGTCCTGGGTGAGGTTGCCGAAGAGCAAACTCATGAGGGGCTGCGAAGGATTAGTGCGAGGGGGGATGTCGATCGGTTGCTGCTCACCTGGGCAGCGCCAGACGCCGCGGCAGCGACGAGCCCAATGGCATTGAGTGTGAGCTCAAACTTGGTGGAGAACCTGCGATGCGCGATCAGGGAGGGGTCTCATGAAGGTTTGAAGTCACGCACCTGAAGAGCTCGGTGAACGAGACAGGTTGCACCTCCTCAGGGAGCACTGGGACCGGTTGCGTCTCCAGCGAGGGCGCCCCATTCGTCGCCGACGCCTTCTCCGCCTTCTCGTCGTTGAGCGACTCCGCAGGCTCGGAGGCCGCTACATGCTTCTTGTTCCTCCCAAACAATCCTTTGCCCTTAGGCTTCCCCTTCTCGTTCAAAGTACCCGCGGTGCTGGGGCGGCTGTTGCTCGCCATAGTTGCTGGCGCGCCCGTTCGCTGTGCTGTTCGCCGGTGTTGAAGAAGGAAGGAAGGAGAGTGGTGGAAGATGAGATGAGGGGAGGGGAAGAGGAGGCGAGGGGTATAATTGCAGTCGCCCGCGGCGGAGCATGATATACGAATCGAGTCTCGATCGAAACTAGCTGATGAGCAGATCGCGATGACCAATCCGACACTCTCCCGCGGGTCACGGCAGGGTCACGGCTCCAGCCCAACCGCCGCCCATAATACGAACACGAAATACCTCGGACCAGATTGGTCGCAGGTCTTGTCTCGCCATAATTGCCTAGCAAATCTCAAGCAAAACTCAGGCAGCGTCGCGGCGGCACAGTTTGCCTGGAGCACCTCCAGCACGAATTCCCCCTTTCGGAAGTGCGTTTGTGGCCGCGCGGCTTCCCCACTCGAATTTGCATTGATTTCCCTGCGCCAAGCGACCCCGACTTACTGCCCGATTTACCTCCTTACCCCCTACTCGAAAACCAGAGCGTGACGCCCATCCCACTGCAGGTCTATCTTCAGAACATCTATTGCGCGTCCTTTCCGGCAGGCGCGGCGCGTGGCACGGCCGGGGGCGCGCGTAACCTCTTTGAATTCCCATTCCCTCCAGCCATCAGAGCGCCGGCGCACCTTGCGCGCGCACCGGCAATCCATCCGACGTGGGGGCACCGCGGACCGCAGTGACGGTGTCCAGCGGCGTCCACATGACTCAACAGGAGTCTATGATGGACAGCGAAACCTGAACATCCCGACCTCCAAGGCTGCCTGTCTGGCGCGCCGCGATCGTCCCACGACGTCTGACTGGCGAGTCATGGACCCCAGTACCGACTCGCTCTGACTCCAGGCTGCAGCTGGCTGAGTATAAAGGTTGGCGCTGCGCGGCAGCACTACGCGCAGTATGGCAGATGATAACAGGAGTGAATGGAGACCGAGGTGCTTGAAGCGCGTGTACTTCCAGAACCTTCATCGGCGCGACAGTTTCTCGCCTGCGCTGCGCCTTGCGCCCCCCTCATCATGCATCATGCACGACGCAGGCCGACGGGACACGACGCGGCGGCGCCGTCGTCCCATACAATCGTACGCCCCTTCATCGTACCACTCTCTCCACACGCGACTGCATAGGGGCAAGCTGCATGCCCGCCGCCAGGACACGTATGCTCGGAAGAAGCCATCGGATAAGCGGTGGAATTCATTGGGAATTCCACTGATCTCCTGCCAGCAGCCCATACCTTCCAGACGTCTTCTACTCCTCAAAATACAGCTACACCCAGTGGGAACCTCGTCGACCAGATAAGACCTTGTCGGATACCTAGGCTACCGATCCGCGCGAATCAAGAATTGGCGGTCTGCATCCGGCTCCAGAGGCCAAGGCTGGCGGATGCAAGCCGCGGAGGTTTAATAATGTCAATGATGCCACCTCGGTGCTTTGAAGCCAGAAAAGGAAAACCTTGTTGTGAAAGAAGGTACAACCCCTTTCGGAATGCCGACGTTCTCACGCGGCCTTCGTCTGTGCTCTTTGGTACAGATTCGCTTCACACTCGATGATTACAGGACTCGAAGGCATCCCAAAGCAATCTGTAGCTGTTGTATTAACTGAACTAGCCGCATTGAAGCGTTCATCAGTAATAAAAGCAATGTTCACGAACTCCCTATCCCAGCACTGAGCTACAAGCCACCTCACTCGCCCTCCTGTTCCTCCCTCCCCAGCACCTTCGCCAATTTCGCCTTCACCTCCGTCCCATCGTCCTCGCCGAGGTTCCACGCGAGGAACCGGCGACAGACCGCTTCCGCCTCTTCGAGCTCGTCGCGCTCCTTCTCCGACATCTCTTCGTCAAGGAGTTGCCCTAGTTCGTGCGTCGAGATCAGGCGGCTGGACGATGGATCATCATCAGCAAAAAGCTGCAGGTAGCGTAGCTGAGGAGCGGCAGTCGAAGAAACTCCGTATAACGCAGGCATTAGAGAGAGATATCCGGCAACGACAGTCGGAGCGGAGGAGCAGGATGGCCACGGAACGGAACAACGAAAGCCTCGAACGCGTGGAGCCACGCCGCACCTCACATACTGCGCCCGCGCACAAATCTCCGCAGGCAACCCAAAGATCTCCGCGCACTGCGCCGCATGCGAGTTGAGCGACAGCCCTTCAGCGACGCGGTACAGATAGGTGATCTTCTCCCCTCGCACGGGCGCGCTCGGCAGAGGCGTGGTTAGTCGGCCGTCGACAGGAGTATCGCGTCCGCTGAAAGGCGTCTCGTAGCGACTGGCAGTTGTATCGGGTCGACTGGCAGCAGTTCCTGGTTGTCCGAACGAGGTCTGGCGTTCACCGAAGGATTTCTGACGCCCACCGAACGTCGCGTCCTCCTTCTCGAACATCACCTGCATATGCAGGAACGCAATCGGGACCGACTCTGGGTCGAGCAGGTCTTCGCGGAAGACGTCGTGGAAGTGCGTCGCAGCCATCACCTTGGGGCAGTCGGAGCCGCGGTCTAGGAGGTGCTTGAGGACACCGCAGAAGAGGCCGGCGCCGTCTGAGAGGGGTCAGTCGTGATACGCCAGAAAGCACAGCCCGAATCAGATGAGTAGCACCCAAGGCGCCGAGGGAACGAAGAGAGAGCAGCAGGCAAACAGCAAAGCTCGACGAAGACAGAATCTGGACGAGAGAACGAGCGAGCGAGCGAGTGGAGCAGTGAGAATGACCTGTAGAGATAGTTCCCTTGCCGAATTCGTCGAGTAGAACTAGAGAGCGAGCCGTTGAGTTGCGTAGCGCGAGCGAGACCTCAAGAAGTAAGCCGATGATCAGTAGCCTTCTACGAGAAAGAATTGCAGCGCCGCGCTAGAGTTTACCTGGTTCAGGTCGATCATGAACGCCGATTGGACCTGTAGACAGAAGAGTTATGCAGTCGGCGCAAGACAGCTGCTACAGTGCACTCACCTTTGACACCGAATCTCTCGTCGATATACGCGTGAAAATTTTGTCGACAAGACCCAAAGTCGCCGAGTCCGCCGGGACGAAACTACAGAACGTCAGCACCACCATCATCTCTGCGCCTCGCGCAGCATCCCACTCACCAGCCAATTTGCGCCATATATTGAATAAGCGCCGTCTGCTTTAGGTACACGCTCTTCCCGCAGGCATTCGCACCCGTGCACAGCGCCACCGGCTTCATGAACTCCGTCTTTCCCCTTCCCCCGTCCTCGTTCTCCTCCCCGTCATCGCTGTCCATCTGCACGTGCGCGCCGAGGCCGCCAGCGAGCCGGGTGTCGTTGGCGACGAAGGTGTCGACGACTTGTTCTTGGAGGGGGTGTCGGCCACCGTTGATGATGATGACGTTCTCGTCGACCATGATGGGGCGGCGGTAGTTGAAGGCGCGGCAGGCGTCAGCGAGGGAGAGGAGGCTGAGCGAGGTAAGTGGTGAGAGAAGAACGGAAATGAAGAAAACGTGCCAATCGAGTTCGGCGCACACATCGCAAGATCCAGTCATATCTTCGTAGTAGACGAGGATCTCGGTGAGGAGCTCCTGCACGATTTCGATCTCGCGGTCGACGATGAGCGAGTGAAGGTCGCCGATATGGACGTCCATGTCTGCGCTGGATCAGTCAAGCTAAAAGGCAATGCGCGACGCACGCCACTGACCGTGCATCTCCTCAGATTTGAAGTATACGTGAGTCCTGTTGAGGTCGTCAAGACTCATATCTCAGTCATGCACAGCAACCACGCGTACTCAGAAGAGAACTGGTTTGAGCGTCAGAAAGACGTGACGGTCATAAAGCAGTCACACGCACCTGGAAGGTCCACCCATCCATGACCTGGATACCCTGCTCGTCCTTCCAATCTTCAAGCATTGGCACGCAGACTAGAAAGCCTACGAATCCACGCCATCAGCATTCCATGATACGACATAGAAAAAACTCACCGAGCTGCGGAAAATACACCACGTTCAACGACTCGGCGTACTCGGCAGGAACCGTCTGTGACATCTGCTCTGCTATGTTTGACTAAAGGTGGTCAGATGGGGTCGCGCATTCGTCTTGAACCGAAGGCGAATGCATGAACGTCCAGAACTCACCAAAACGGAATCAATTCCGTTGTATACGTGCTTCCGATTATCAAGCTCCTCGTCAATGCCCATGCGTACGCAGACGCGGCCAGCCTCCGTGGACTCGTCCCATTCGATCTAGAAAAGGTGAGCGAGGATGTCAAAGATGAGAGCCAAGTCCAGACGTACAATATCGTTGACCTTACAGCCGACCTCGTGAAAGGCCGCCGCATCAAGGACGCCGAACAACTGAAGCAAAGCATGAGTCCCAGATAACACACATCGAATGCGGTCTCAACCCCACCTTCTTCACGACCTCAATATGGCCCGCACCATGCAGCTCCGTCAACGCCTCCCGGATCATCGTCGCATGGAACGTGAACTTTACGAGCCCTTGCCACTCGACGAGCGTCGCGCCGCCGCTCTTGATAGTCGCAAGGATACGCGGGACGTTCTTGATTCCTTTGAGGTGGCCGTGCATCGAGCGCACGGGCGAGTTGTTGTCGGGGCTGAGGAAGCAGTCGATGGCGTCGTGGCGGGCGGTGATGACGGGGATGGAGAGCGAGGGGCGGAGGAACCAGGTTTTTAGGAGTTGGCGGCCGAGGGTAGTCTTTGTGGTGTTAATGATACCTACGAAGAGCGCATGAGAGTAGAAATAACGCTTGAGGTACACAGCTTACCGAATAGTGACAGTCCTTCCTTGGTCTTATCGCTGTGAATCGAGGCGTGGGACTCGTCCTCGAAGATACCGAGCGAGCTACGTCTGTGTGAAATGCAGCTAGAGATGTACAATTGACGAACGTACTACAGAGCATCTGCGTTGATGTGCATCATCTTGTTCCTAGACATCCTCATTTCAGCGCTCTGACAAAGGGAATAGAGGATGGAAGGAGCGCATACAGGGCAATCGACTCGATGTCGCGGATCGCCAAACCCGAAATCCCCTCTTCCTCCAAATCGTTCACGGCGCGCTCGCGAACAAGATGATCGAGCAGGGCGCCAACGCATGCGATGCAAAGAGGCGACGAGTCCACTGACGCGAAGTTGGCGAGACGTATAGATGCATTCCAGCGCTTGAGAGTCGGATCGCCACCATTGCCGTCAGCGTTGCGTCGGCTGCGCATGAAGTCGTAGGCGTTACGAAGGCAAGAGCCACCAGAGCCCGAGTCGGACGATGGCGCGCCCTGATCGTACTGCGCGGGCAGCTCGGATAGTAAGGGTAGGGAGAAGAGTCGATCGCGTCCTTTCGCGGTGTTGAATTCCTTGTGGGGGCGGATCTGGAAGTGACCGCCGGATGCTTCGGCTGGAGGTGCGTTAGCGGACGCATATATGCCTCGAAGATGGAAAGACGTACCATGATCTCGTAGCTTGTCAATGAACTCATCGTCTCCGCGCGAGCTAGTCAGTATAATATCGGGTTGCGCTTGCTCTAGCACTAGAAGAAACTCAGATCACGGGAAGTACGTGAACGGAAGGGAAACGTACGCGTCTGGGTTAAGTCAAGGTGAGGCGTCTCCTGAGTGTCTTCGAGCACATAGACTATGCACTTGATGGGATCGTAGTATGCGCAAGCCATTCGACCGCTTGCGAATGGTCAGGCACTGATGCAGGTTCGCTGGAGGAGATATGGACGAACTGCTGACACCAGGCCGTCAAGCATATCTGTCGTAGCCACTTGTTAACGTTGGGGGCGTTGAATGCAAAGATAGAGTACCTTATCCGGCGCCCTTGAGTCTTCCTCTGATTCAGTCACAGCCGTCGTTGGTGCAGGGGTGGTTTCCGTCTGAGATCCATCGAAGCGGACTTTCTTATCCTGCGGACTACTAGTAGCACTCTCATCTTCGTCAGTCCTAATCTTCCTCCTGCGCTTGCCAGTCAGCACAGGCATGGCCGTGTCAGAGATGAGAGTCGGAGGAAAGTCGCGAACGCGTCCATAAACCCACGCGACCGATCAATATCCTTGCGTCACATCGCCGCGTGATCGTGACCGAGCGCGATCTCTGCATTTGTCATCACCGTCATCCTTCCCTCCGCGCTTGCTCCCGACCATCATGGCGACCGTTACACACACCATCTACTTGCGCTATGATCCCGCGGACAGGGAAAAGCTGGAGAAGGAGACTGGGCAGGCTACGGAGGCCGACGAGTCGGAGGACTGGGCGCTCAAATCATCCTTCTTGCGTCGTGCAAAGCCTCCTCCTCGATTCGTGCCTGCGACGATTGCATATGAAGACTTTACCCTTGCTGGGTCTATGGGTCTCACGCCGCACGATACGAAGCAGCCTCCCTCAGGAGGGACGGGCGTAGCCGACTGGTATCGCTCTCTGGCTAGCCGATCGTCTAGCGCCGGTCCATCCTCCACCTCCGGCGCCACAGCGCCTACCAATTCCTCCGACCCCTTATCACGACCACGCACCGCGCCGTCATCCAGTGCGCAACCTCAGCCTCCATCTCGCACTCAGCCTGCACCCGCCAAGAAGCCAGATAAGAACGACTGGTTCATTCAGAACGTCTTGCGCAATCCTGATGAGCAGCTGCATCAGCCTGCGCCATCAGCATCAAGCCTCGCTGATATCCTTGCACGGGACCCTCCCCCGAAACCGAAGGAGCAGCCATTCAAACCTCCTGTCTTTCTTGCGCTAGGCCCTGCGAACCGTGGATGGGGCATGCTGCAAAAGAGCGGGTGGAGGGAGGGCGATACGCTAGGGCCGAACGCCCGGAAGCCTTCACCTGCTGTCCCGCCTTCACGGAAAGGCAAGGAACGTGCAAGCTCGAGTCACATCAAGTCCGAGCCTGTAGAGTTTGCTCTCGACGACGATGGCGAATTGAAAGAGGTTCGCCAGGTGGAAGTTGTCGACTTGACTTTGTCGGACTCAGAGTTTGATGAAGATGACGACGCTATGGCGCTTGACGATCCTGAGCCTGACAAGCGCCCGGTGGATGTCGTCAAGGAGGAGCTATCCGATGACGAGGATCTGCCAGATGGGGACGATGGCCGGCGCGCCCTCGTGAAGCCCATCGCCACTGTCCTGAAATCTGATCGCCTAGGGATCGGCCTCAAGGCGAAGACGGTGGGCCCATACAAGGCTTCGAAGAAGCGTGTCACCCACAACGCGGCCGCGCTTGCTGCCCACATACGTGCCGCGGAGCAAGTGCGGCGCCAGAATGCAGAGATGGGACGCGGTCATCGGGCGTACGAGCGGCAGGACAAGCGCGAGCAGCGACAGCGGCGCGATCTTCTCGCCTACCTCAACTCGTAGTCCGGCATCGTCGATGGAGCCCTGCTATCTAGCTACGTGCCTACGACGTGTACACTGTTTTCGGAATGTTCATTGACTGCGAAGGTGCGCTGGGATCGGTGTAATGTCGCATGTCGCTCACGCGCCAGGTGAGGTGCTGCATGCTCATCATCCGACATCGACTGGCAAGCGCGTTGCGAGGCGATCCAGACCCAGGCACCGAGGACTCGCAGGTATCTGATGTTCATTGGATGGGCATGATTTGCGCGCTTCCTCGCACTCGTCGCACCTGCGTCGCACTGCGGCGCGGGCGTTGGCGTGCGCACTGCCCCCGCAACAATCTCGACTTCCCATGCTGTTGAGATCCAAGCTCCGGTGAACTTGGCGCACGACGAGCTCATCATCGTCAGGAAGGATGGTGGCGGAGGTGCCTGGAATATCTGACGAGGAAGAGTGCAATCCAGCAGTGGCCTGTGCGCAATCATGCTCATTCGAGCTTTTCATTATCTTATCGCGTCAGGCCCCTTAGGAAAAGGATGCCGAAGTCCTATCATGATGCAAGGCGGTGTTCCGAGGACCCCGGATAATTGGGGGGAGGGGTAGTTCGCGATGTCGGATTTTTTGGGGCCTCAAACGCTCCAAATGTCTCTGAGAAAGTCGGAGAAATGGGTAGGTTGAGGGCGTCAGCTTACTTTGGAAGTCGGACTTTTGGGACCCTGCCTGAGTTAGGTATCAGACAAAATAGCACGAAAATGTCTAAATGGTGCACTGGGTACGCGCGAACAGCGAGATACGTCGAATGGCGTGGTTTCCCGTTCAAAACAGGCCCTCGGGAGAGGCACAGAAAGTCGCAGGAAATGCTGAATATCTGCTCACGTGACAGAACAAATAATCGATTTCCCTAATCGGGAAATAAAAAATTTCGGCGGCCGACGAGGTTGGTTAAAAAGTCGGACTTTGGCCGTCCTTTTGGCCAAAAAATGTCGGACTTGGCCGCCGCTGTTTTGAGGAATTCCGGAACTAACCTCGTCGCCCATTATCCGGGGTCCTGTGTTCCGCTGGCCGAGGACGGTGCAACTGCGGGCCCAGGAACCCGAGGCGCGCACCTACTGAATACGGTTCAATTGTTCGCGTGCCCGCTTCGCCCCTTGTCTTCCGCCACGTAACCGACGAAGGGCCATATGCGGCGCCCGCCCCCCTGGCCCCGCGCCACACACCTTGGCTCAATTTTTCGCCTTCCTCGCGCGACTCTGCACGCGCAGGGATATGTCCTGTGGTGCGCCGGATCTATCTGCGACGCTCCAGAGGGCGCCCCGCGTGCGCACGTTTCCCCGGCCAGGCGTGCTCGGCGCGGTCAGGCAATTGGCGGGGGCAAAATCTGACATCAGCGCGTTCGTGTTCAAGGCACGGACGTCTGGGTAGCGCCTCCGTTGCCGTTCCGCCTGATTGCTCGGCGCTCCCCTTTATATACGGTCGGGAGATCGCTTTGCGCTTCTTGTTCTGCCCCCCACCCATGCCACTCAGCATGGGTTGTCGCCGCCTCCCGTTCGACTTCTCTGACCTCGACTTTCCGCCCCGTAAGCGCGCGCGCCTTTGTCCAGCGCGTCGTACCCCTGTACACCCTGCTAGCCAGGTGGACTATGCCCTCCACACTACGGCCATTGTGGACCTCATCTCTCTCGATATCACCCCAGCAGTCAAGGGTGAGTTGCCACTAATCGATCCAAGACTTGTCTGACAGACCTTTCAGAGTATATTGTCGACGTCGCTTGCGATGCTGTTGACCTAGCTATTGACGATCCTGCCTCGTGTAATCACTCTGGCGCTCTCTGGGCAAGGCCCGATAAGCACTTCTTTTCTGCCTTCGCGTCAAATGTGATCGACAACTCCGGCGTCGCCATGCCCGTCCTTCTCGTCGCCTTGGTCTACCTTCGCCGAGCACGCGGACAGCTCCGCATCGACCTGGACGAGTGGGCGTACCATCGCGTCTTCCTTGGCGCCCTCATCGCCGCCGCAAAGGTGTGTTCCATTCTTCCCTTCATCCTCGCTTCCTCTGACGTACAATTCAGTACACGAACGACACGTCTCCGAAAGCGGCACACTGGTCTGCGTACACCGGAACGTTTGGCAGGCGGGACATCTCCCTGATTGAACGCGAGTTCCTCGGCGTCCTCGACTTCCACCTCGGCATCACGGAAGACGATATTCTCGCGCACTATGATGCGCTCCTCGCCCCGCCTGCATACGCCCCCGACGTGTGTGCCGCAGACATGTTCGCGCTCTCGGCTCCATCCTCACGCGCAGGGTCCCCACTGCCGGAGCTGGAGCCCTCGTCTGCGTGGAGCCCGGACAGCGAGTTCCCGTCGCCAATCACCCCACCGTCGTGGGCGCCACACTCCTCAGCGCCAGCGTGGGTCCCGTCAGACGTCGCAGAGGAGCATGGAAAGGGGCGCGCTTCGGGTCTTCGATCGCGCGCCGAGCCTGTCTTCCGCTCTGAACCCGCCTTCCACGAGGCGACGCGGGGCCTCCGGGCGACGATGCCGCTGCGCCTGCCGCAGCCCAAGGCGCGTCATGCACAGCTCTTGTGTGGCGAAGCGAGCCGCCCATACAGTGAGGCGAGGGCGCCATACGGCCAAGGACGTCAACCGCGCGACTTCGATCGGCTTCCGCGCCCAGATGCCCGCCATTTATTCGCAGAAGCGCGCGGTCCGTCCTTGTCCGTGGAGGCGCTGTACCCCCGTCCGGACATGCGCTTCCTGCGCACCGACGCACCGCTGCTCGACACCAAGTTCAACTCGCACGTTGCCGATCATCGCCCTCACGTGCGCTCGTACTCGAACATCGACCACGTGATCCTCGACGACGATCCGCACCACATTCCAGTCATCCTCCACGGACGCACGCGAAGTCAGATCTCATTCCTAGACTGTCTGTAGAGGATCCGAAGATTATTTATCTTGACTCCGGGTTTTTGTTGGGTATACCGTAGACCGTCTGTCAGGGACTTGTCTTCTGGTTCTATGCTTGGACTCTTACACTGATCTCTGCTTCATCATTTGCTTCATTCATCGCAATACTCATATACAACTAGCGCTACCACCATGTCATTACTACTGCTAACTTATTTGACAACCTGTATATTACATCGGTACTGATACATATTGATTGCGTTTGCCCGACGATCGTGAGGTGGCAGTTCTGCAGTAGACCGAGTCTCCGCCATGACAGGAAACGCCGCAAGTCGGAGCACTTCTTGCACTCCGGGGTAGGCCGCTGCTACGTCGCCCATTGAGCGGGCAGGGTCTTTCACCGAAAGCCCGCCCCGGGTAGGCAGATCCTTCGCTTAGAAGGGCCTGCAGCGTCCAGACTGCAGCAATCTTAGGGTAAGATCCCTGGATGCTCCTTGCGATGCTCCGACCCCGCTTCGTCCGAGACTGTCACTTTCACCGCTTCGGCCAAGGCTCTCACAACTCTCCCTCGGACCGGCGATTGATGACAACAACCCACTCCCAGTGCTAGCATTGGGATCCCAAGAATACTACAGGCTACAGAGGATTGTAAATAAATGAAGCAATAAAAGCGCCGCCGCCGTCAAGACAGCATCGAGATCGTCAAGATCGTGAAGAAATATGGCGGGCACCTTCCGCAAGCTGAAGCGTGCTCCTAGCACAAGCTGAAGCATACATACCTCTCGACAACGTGTTTGAAGCGCGCGCCTCACAAGAAGGCTCAGTACGGTCACTAAACCGTGAGTACGCCCATGAGAAGGCGTCCGTGTCCGCCTCACAGAAGCAGCCGCCCGAACTTGCCGTCCCGCTTCGCGCGCGAAGCCATGTTGTAATCGTACGTCGCGCCGGTCATGCAGGTGTCCTTCGCCGCGCTGCAGCCCGTAAAGTCGGGGTTGGGCTGGGAAGCGGCGAGGCATTTGTTGTACTCTGGGAATGAGATTAGTTTCAGCGAGTGAGAGGACGGGAAGACTCGAGTGGGAAATGCGGAGAGAAACACAGTGACTTGATTGGCAGAACGCAGGGTTTCGAGGGTGAGAACGCAGGGACTCGGGTGGGAGAAAGTGGCGGCCCATGTAGCAATGTAGTAGCACCAACAAATGGATGTTAAACTTGCCATTCATGCAGCAGTTAGCGTCGACGATGCCCTTTGCATTTGCCGCACAGGCGCTGAGGCCAGTCGGCAAAGACGCAGAGGAGGTGGACGCGGACGTGGCAGGCGCGGAGCTTTGAGCCGCCGAGCTTGTAGTGGCGGCCGAGGTGGCAGGTGTGGAGATTTCGGCGGCGGATGTTGCCGCTGCCGAGGTCGCGGCGGCGGAGGTCGCTGCAACGGACGACGGGGCAGCGGCACTGGTCTCGACAGCAGATGTGGCCGCCGAGGATCCGGCAGCGCTCGTGGAAGCAGCGGCGGAAGTCTCTGCGGGCACTGAGGACGGCTCAGCGGACGCAGAGGTCTCGACGATTGAGCTCGAGGTCTCGGCGACTGAGTTAGAGGGGGCGGCGGATGAGGTCGAAGGAACAGCAGATGAGGTTGAAGGAGCAGCAGACGAGGCAGCGACGCTAGTAGACGCCACTTCCGAGCTCTGAGCTGCGCTGCTCGATGGGACGGCGACATTTGTAGAGGTAGGTGCGACGGACGATGAGGCGGGGGCACTTGTCGCGGCCTCGCTGGTAGCCGCAGCAGACGTGGACGCCGCCGCCGAGGTCGACGCCGCCGCGGACGATGATGCAGCAGCGGACTGAGAAGCAGCCGCCGAGGTCGAGGTGGGCGCAGACGAGGAAGCAGCAGAAGACGCGGCCCCACCCGACGACGCACCCGACCCAATCGTCGTAGTCGCAGGCCCACTCTCGACGTACACGCCGCTAAACATCCAGTCCTCGGTCACATCCGCCGTGCTGAGTTTCAAGACACCCAAGTGCCAGTCGGCCGAATTCGTCGACGTGGACGCGGAGACGGGGGAGACGACCTGGGTGAGCTCGTCTAAGCCGGTGGATGCCCAGAGGGCGACGGTACCAGCGGAAAACTATAAGGGGGTGGTAGGTAAATATCGGAGGGGTGAGGGGAAGGGTGGCGGTTGTGGCACTCACGTCAATATCATAGGCAAAGTTGTACCAGGTGCCGGCGTCAAACGCGGTGCTCCACTGGGATTGACCACCGACGAACCAATGCAGTTGATCGTCGCCGACGCCGTACTTGAGCTCAGTGAAGTGGCTCTCGAAGAACGCGACCTGATGTTCGATGGAGGACTACGCAGGCCAGATGGTCAACAATTGCCAGTCTGATCAGCTACATGAACTCACATCAGGCGCATTCGTATCCGAGCGCGACACGGAGAAGTGGTAGAACAGGTTTCCGGTCTGAAAAATCAATGTCAGCACTTCAGTCTCAGTCGCAGCATAGTCTGCGGGGACTCACCCCAAGATTCTCGCTCGTCTGCGGGATGAGCTCGGTGCGCTCCATATTCTGGCCGTTCCAAATGGCAGTCCCGTCAATCGTGACCTTCAGCCCATGCGTCTCCGAAGACGCGGGGTTCTTGAACGAGGGGTCGAGGTTGAGGTACGTGGACGTGTCGCCGCTGCCGTGGATGTACTTCGGTCCCGTTAGTTTTGTACTTCATTGGTCCAATGATTGACCCCACTCACCCACTGATACTCTCCGACCTGGTTGGACCAGGACCCTATAGCCGTGTAAGCTTTCGAGCGTAAGACTCGCACCCTCAGCACCACGCACACTTGTCAAAGTCCGCCGGCGTCGCGTACGCGTCGAAGCTACCGTCCCAGACCACGGTGCCCGCACGCACGGTCGAGGCGATCAGTAGGGAAACGAAGGTAACGCCAATCATCTCGAAAGGCTACAATGAACGAAAGTGAGGTGAAGCGAGGGGGAGGTGAGCCTGAGCCTGAAGAGGGACAGCTAAGCTTGATTACAGGGAAAGCTGAGCCTGAGCACGAGAAAGGGAATGAAGGTGAGAGAGGAATGTGAGAAGGATGAATTCGGGAGACGGAGATCCAAGAACATCGCTTCATGTTGTTTATAGCAGGTCTAGGCACGGGTTGTAACCAGGAAGACACACGGATCACTTGCGGCGGGGGACGAGGATAATTGTCGGAGAGCGTCCTGGAGACGGAAGATCGCGCGTAAGCGCCGAGAGCGACCCGCATGTGCCGTACTGGTGATGGACCCACAACGTTTGACCAACGTTCGGCATTGACAAGAACAGATATTCAATATATTCCCCTTCAACCCTTAGATACCGCAGAATAGTGGTTACATCCATGAATCCCATCAAGCAGCAATCGAGGTAGTGATCGGCGCCTCCTCGACGTAGACGTTGCTGAAGTACCAGTCCTCGACATCGTTCTGGGTGACGATGCGGAGGACACCAAGGTGCCAGTCCGCCGAGTTGGTGGAGGTGGAAGCGGAGACGGGGCCGGCGACCTTGGCGAGCTCGTCGCCGTCGGTGGAGGCCCACAGGGTGACGGTGCTCGAGCCGAACTGGGAGGGGGAGTAGAGGTGAGCAAAGGGTGAGGGAAGGGCGAGGATGCAAGGTTAGGGTGAGAGGGGAGACGAAGGCAAAGGAGGGAGGAATAAGAGGGATAACTCACGTCGATATCGTAGGCGAAGTTGTACCAGGTGTCCGGGTCGAAGGCGGTGCTCCATTGGGAGGTGCCACCGACGAACCAGTGGAGGTCGTCATCGCCGTTCACTCCGTACTTGAGCTCCGTGAAGTGGCTCTCGAAGAAGACGACTTGGTGCTCGAGGTTGGTCTGATGATCTCGTCAACAGCCATCTCACGAGAACACTGACATTCTACTCACCGCAGGCGCATTCTCGTCCGTGCGCTTGACCGAGAAGTGGTAGAGGAGATTGCCGGACTGCATGCCCATGTTAGTCTCGTACATCGCGCACCCTTTGCCCCAGAACGCACCCCAAGGTTCTCGCTCGTCTGCGGGATGAGCTCAGTGCGCTCCATGGTCTGCCCGTTCCAGTTTGACGTCCCGTCAATCGTAACCTTCACGCCCGTCGCGTCCTTGCCAGCCGGGTTGGCGAAGTCGGAGCCGAGGGCAAGGTAGTCGGAGGTGGCGCCGGGGCCGTGGATGTACTGAGCGGAAGGTCAGCGTCAACCTGAGCAACATGTTTTGCAAGACACTCACCCACTGGTACGGCCCAACCTGGTTCGACCAGGACCACTTGTCGATGTCAGCGGTCGACTCGAACTGGTCAAAGCTGCCGTCCCAGAGGACGCTGCCCGCGCGGACAGTCGCGGCACCGAGAAGAGCGACAAGTGAAAGTTGGAACATGGTGAACACGCTGATTTTGTGAGGAGAGAGCAAGGACGAGGAAGAGGGTGAGGTCGACGAAGAAGGTGAGGCCGAAAAGCCCTCGACCCCGTCTTTATACCTCACTCCGAGCGCGCCATACAGCCCCGCGGGCAAACCATCCGCGACTCCGCGAGAATTCGCCGTCCACGGATACGCGGGGCATGCAGATCAACGGAAGGGGAGAATCGTCGGTCGAGAGCGTCGTCTGCAGGAGATGCGGCGGTCGCATGACACCAGAGAAGCTGAGCGTGCCATAGTATGAAGTGAAGCGTGCCATAGAGAAGGAAGCCATGGCAATGAGAATGAATGCTCGGTCAGAGGCTCTTACGCTGTATCGTGCGATGGCCAGGCCCCTAGCAGCAGAGTCGGGGCCCGTGATACTGCCGAAGTGACGAGTCGCCTCTTGTAATTTGGCTTGCGTCCGAGGCGGCCCCGGGTGGAGGGGTATATCCCGAGGATCTTTGAGGGCGTACTTAGAACCATAGCACCCCTTGCTGAGGCATATTCGAAGTCAAGACAAAGAAATGCCATGATGCAAGTTGTGTCCAAGTTTATAAGCGTGGGAGGATCTCGGCAATATTTTGCCTCACGTGGTTGGATGGTCTGCTTCAGGAAGGCTTTGTTCGTACAGCCACCACGTACTAAGGACGTTGTCAGGTTTTGCCAGGACATGGAAGCTGGCATTGTCGGAAGCGGTTTTCGGCGCCGATGTTGGTGCTGTCCTATACGCGTCGGGGTACGGTACGCATGTCGGACCTAAGTTGTCGGATCCCCACTTGATGAAGAGGCAGAAGTTGGGCAGTCGACAATCGTGGGTCCATACGAAGTTCACTGGTCATGCGACAGTCCTTCGTGAGCTTTGACGAGAACATCGGCTTCTCGACGGGTCCGTTCCACAGGCGATCCTTCGCCCATTGACAAGACAAGATCGGCGAAGAGGACTGCACGTCATATTCCCAGAGGGCTGCCAGTGGGGAGGACGTCGCGGACGCAAACAATATTTCGTGTTGCGAGAGCTGAATCTCATTGTTCGGGTATGTGGACATGGGCCATGTCGGAATGTCGGTGCCTCGCATGTCGCGAGCACCGATGTGTGGTCGTCCAAATCTGACGGCGAGCTTGCGGGAAATGCGGATATATAGCGCGATAAAGCACTGAAAAGGGTAAGCAGTATAAAGGCCAGTCGAACAGACAGCCAACCTCAGCACTCAGCTCTGCACACCTCTCTTGCAAGCCCTTCGAACCCTACTAGTCATCACCATGTCGCAGCCCAAGACTACCTGGGAGGACCTCGCCCGCCTCGGCTGGCCCATCTACGACGTCTACAAGAAGGCCAACGAGTCCCGCGGCGGCACCATGAACGGCATAGGCGATATCTTCCTCAATTCTGGTATCGCTGCGGACTATCAGTGCGTACAGTCGATCGTAGCGCCCACCTACGCGCACGCTCACCGAAATTCGTCTTTCCCTAGGTGGTGGTCCTACAACACGACCATCGGCAAGCCGTATGTCCTCGGGAAGACACCGAAGAACATCAGCCAGGAGGAAGTCGCCTGGTCCTACGACAACACGCATAACAACCAGGAGCATAACGAAGAATGGACGGAGTCGTGGACCAACACGAACTCTGCGACGCTCACTGTCACCAACAGCGGTACGTCGCCTTCGATGACATCGGAGGCGATGGGGTGCTGATGAACTTGCCTTGCCTTGCAGTGACCATCACGCTCAGCAGCAGCATCACCATCGCGAATGTCGCGTCGTCGGGCTTTGATATCAGTGTCTCGCTGGAGGCGTCTTCTAGCAAGACCGAGGAGCGGAGCTACACCCTGACTCGCAGCTGGCCCATGAAGTAAGCGGGCCTTCAAGTCATTGTGCAATATATCCCGTGCTGAATTGTCGTCAGTGTTGGTCCCGGGGAGAAGCTTACGCTGTACCGCAACATCACCACGTTGGCGAAGTCGTCGAATATGGTCAGGTGCGTCTGTTCTGCTCGCTTTCCGACGCAGATTGCCTGATGCACGTTACTTGTACAGGATTTTGGCATCGCGAACGGTAGTCTTCTAGGCAGTGAGTTCCATCATCTATTTAGATCACGTAAATGCGCGACTCACCTAACCCTCCACAGCCAAAGGTGACAAGTAAGTCATTGACCTCTGCGTTAGTTTAAGGTCAGTTGCTTATCGAGCCGTGCAGGTACGGCGACCACTACTATTGGGGCCGGTATGTCAACACACTGTGCAACAACCCACGCGGGCGCCTGGACTTGATGGGCAGCAGCAGCAACATCACGTACGCGTTCAGGCTCGTGCGCGAGACGGCGGATAGGAGGAAGGTGGTGACGCCGCTGGCCGTCGACGTCTACGAGGCCAAGGACGCCGACAATGCCCACGAGAGCAAGGACGACATCGGCGTCCACGACTCCAAGAGACACAGCAAAGGAGAGAAGGACTCGAAGGCCGTGCGCGGCGTTGTGAAGGCCGTCTGGGGCGATGGGGAGGCGCAGATCATGGTCGCTGCTCCCGATGGCGAGTAATGTCAATGATGGATTGCTCCCGATGGCGAGTGATGATGAGTCGAGCGATAAGCAAGCGAGATAGACGTCCAGGGTAGCGCTATAGAGCCCTTGAATGAATGTGATCCTGTAGTTCTTTGTTTTGCGTAGTTCGTTGTGTTGCGTTTCCTGTGTGAATGTTAAAGCCAGAAAGCCAGAAAATGAACGAGGATGGTCTTTGGGAGTGAATGGGACCCAGTCACGACCGTGTCTAGCCCAGCCCCATCTATTACTGCAAAAAATGGAGTATCAGGTAGCCAAGGAGACGCAGTAGATTCAAAGTAAGACCAAGGACAGGCCATGAAGCATGATGAAGGCTACAGTCAAGTTCGCAAGCGTGAGAGCTTCTCGGCAATATAGTGCGCCACGTGGATGAAAATTCTGCTTTAGGAAGGCTTTGTTCATACAGCCACTGGTGCAAGCTCGTCATAGGCCGTAACAAGCGACTGTATCTTTCCTGTTGGAGGCTTCTACCTTTCTTCCTACTTATAGGTGTGATGCGAGTCGGCATAATCGCCACATATGGTTGATTATGACCATGGAAAACCTATAGTCCACGATGATACACAATATATACCCTCTAGGATAGCCATGTTCGACCAGTCAGAAGCATCGCTGAACCCTCTGCATCACATATAGCAGGCGCCCCGCCGTGCACAATTGCAAAGCCAACTGCCGCTACCCCTCACCGCGGCGCCTCCGACTCCTTCACTGCAATATCTCTCGGGTAAGAAGAAGATCATAACTCCGTCCCCTCCACCTCCTTCACTGCACATCACTCTGCCTTCTTCACCTCCCCCCTCTTCAACCTCAATCGCGCCTGCTCCAGCGCGCGGTACAGATCCGCCTCTGCCGAAGGCTTCAGGTTCAGGATCTGCAAGACCGCGGGGACGGAGTCCTTCGACAGTAACAAGTCGATGTCGGGATTGGCGCGTGCCTCAACGATCTTGCCCTCGGCCTCCTGCGCCTTGGTTGGCTGTTCCCGTGGAGTTGGACGGTAGGAGCGGTAGAGGATCTCGAGGGCTTCGCTGGGCTCGGGGTGGATTGCGCCGCTGTCGATGAGGGATTGGAGGTATTGGGAGGCGCGCCAGGCTGAGGGCGGGCGTAAGTGAATGGGTAGCAAGACAAAGGGTATGATAGCGGCGCACCTCGATAATGCGACCACGAGCGCCAGACGCAGAAGAAGAACGGAAGGTTGGGGATGATGGCTAGGAGGTTGTCAGAATGCGGAACGCGACAAACGCAAGCTCAGCACGCACGAACGATCATGAAGGGTGCAGTGAGCGGCGCGGCAATCGCCCACACGATGCAGCCCTTCTTATGTCGCGGTGCTCGGTGGTCGACCAGCGACTTGAGGTGTGCCAGAGTACCCGGGCCAGTCAAGACTGACGGGGGATACAGCAGAGGTATCTATGGGCAGTGAATATCAGCGCAATATCAGGCAGACAGAGTGGGGAACATACGCTTTCTGACACCTTACTGCCGCTGCTCTCGCTCCCGGTAACATCAGGATGAGTGATCGTCGGGCCAATAGACGGGTCGATCCCCTTCAGCGCCAACTCCTCAAAGTCGATGCGGTCCACCAGGCGCTCCCCGTACTCGTACACTCTCACCTACACACGTCCCTCATCAGCCTCCCTCTTCCTTTTGCACTATAAGTACAACGCACCTGCCACGACCCCTCCTTCGCCTTCCCGAACCCCGCCCACGTCTGCGCCGCCTTATTCGTCACCCAATCCGCCCAACCCTCCTCCGGCGTCGACCACCAGTGCGGGCGCTTCTCCGCCCCCTGGACGTCCGCCGTCTTCTGCCGCGACGGCTTCGGCGGCTTCGAGATTTGGAAATGGTAGTACGTGAGCATCGTACGCGGTGCTGCCGACTTGAGCGTCGCGTCGCCCGCGGGGCGCGTGAGGGGGATAGCGACTATGCGCATCGCGCGCGCGGCGGTGGATATGGACATGGTTGAGGAGTTATCGCTATGGTCAAGGGGGAAAGGTGGAAGCAGGATGGAGGGGAGGGAGCAAGGACTGCAATGGATGGCGACGCGTTGGCCCGGCACAGGCGACCTCTCCAATGACGTCGCGATCGCTGCCGCGACTGGGCTGCGCGGTCACGTGAAAATCGGTAGCGCGCTCTTCATTCTGGTTTCTGCACTTCGACGTGACGGTTTCGAATACAACAAAGTGGTTCAGAAAAGAGTAAGCAAGCACTTCTACGCAAACAAGAAAGGTCAAGACTCGTACAGTAGAATATATGTGAGTAAAGTATGGGCTCAACGGCGAGGAAGGAAGGAAGTGAGGGAAGACCACGGTCCGCATCATACAAGTATTCTAGTTCACCGCCCTACGCTCGGGATCCGACATCCTATGCACCTTCACCGAGTCGGTGATCGACACATTGCCCATATCCTGCGGCGTAATCAAGATGTACTGCTTCCTGTCCGACGTGTTCGCCGTGTCGATCTGCAGATCTTGTTAGCTCGCGCCCTCTGGCAGCGCATGAACCACACCACTCACCATCATCTTCATACTGATACGCCTATTGACGGCGTCCATGAAGACGTCAAACTCGTCCAAGCAACGCAGCGGGCAGCCGATAGACTCCCAGAGCGAGAGCAGCAAGCAGATCGTCGAGAAGGACTTTTCACCACCACTCAGCACGCGCGGGTCCTTGTCGCGGTTGCCACCCGCGGCCTTCTTGATGGCCTGGTCGTCAGTTTGGACCTGTGTGAACTGTCAGCCCCACCATCCCACAGTCATCCATCAGCCTAAATTACGCACCTTCAACGACAACGTGCCCTGCTCATGGTCGAAGATGACCTTCCCATAGTACCCACGCTGCGACAGATGATACTGGAACACATACTTGCACCGCAGCGCAATGTGCCTCCTGAACTCCTGCCACTTCACCAACCGCTGCGACAGCGATGCCTTGAGTTGCTGCAACGAAGACATTAGACCAAACGAACTTTTTTCAGGCTCTCGAACAGCACCTTATTCAGCCGGTTCATCGCCTTCAGATCGTTCTTCAGCTCGTTGACCTTCTGCTGCGCCTTGTTGACCTCAACAGTCATCTCCTCCACGCTCTTCCCGTGCCGCCGCTCGCGCTCCTTCAACGCGGTCGACATGGCCTGGATGCTACGCTCGATTTCGGCGACCTTGCGCGGGTTCTCGACACGCGGGCAGTACTCGAGCGCCTTCTCAGTCCAGCTCTGCATCCAGGTTAGCGAGCACTCACTTCTGCTTTTCTCAACTCTACCTTGAACTCTGTCTCGAGGACTTCAGCCACTTCTTTCAGTGCATCAACGTGCGCTTGTGCCTCAGCGCGCTTCGCCTCGAAGTGCTCTCTGTCCGACCCGAGCTTGACGCGCTTCTCCGCAAGCGCTTCCATTTGCAGCTGTGTCCCATCAGCACACGCACGCATTCATCCCGCGAACCTCACGTACCCGAACTCCTTGACTGCCCCGAGAGAGTCTCTCTATCTCGTCCCTGAGCGTGTTCTGCTGCACAGTCAGCTCGAGGAGCTCAGCCTCGACGGTCGCCTCCTGCTGCTTCACGTCCTCGAACTGCTCCAGGAGCCGGCTCTTCTCATCCTCCGCGGTCTGGAAATGCTTGATCAAAGACGTACTGCATCACACCAAGACCTACTCACCTGCTTCCCCGCCTGGAGGGCTCCGATGTCAGATGTCTGGTCCTCTTGCTCAGCTTGCGCGCGAAGACCCGCCAGCCGACCGTCAGCCTGCCGGCGTGCCGTGCTGGCCTGGCGCAATTGACTCTGATGTAGACGATGAGCGCTGAGCAGACAAGCCTAATCTACGAACAAACCTTGAACGTCTCTTCTGCCCGACGCGCGTGATTGTACTCGTTCTGGAACTGTTGAATCTGCTGCTGCAGCGCCTGGTACTCAGCCTCCAGCTGACTCTTCTGGTGCTGGATAGCACTACAAACCATGTCCGTCAGCTACCCGACGCGAAATTCATTAGCAGGACACGCACTCGGTCTGATCAGCAACACTCGTGCCCGCCAATTTCATTCTCGGATTGCGCATCTTGATGGGCTGGGATTGACCACCACCCCGCCTGCGAAGCGTCGTTTAGCAACATGTCTAGACAACGTCATACAAACTACGCACCCTCCGAAAGTGCTGACGGCGAAATTGTCGAGGGTCCAAGCCCGCTGAGCGCCATGTAGAGTACGCAGCAGCTGGTCAGCTTCTCTACGTGTATCCGTGAGGATCATTCGCTCAATGCTCGAGTGGTTGATCAGCACGCGAACGACGAATTCGTCGGTGATCTGTATACGAGCGTCAGAAATGCACCTCTCGTCAGTTCTGCCTACATACCTCAAGCGCACGAAGCACGGTGAGGATGCCTTCGGGGGGCTCGCCATTACTGTAGTCGAAGATATCGCGCTCGGTGATGATAATCATTGTGCGACTGCACCTCGTCAGCAACGCCCAATCTCATGAAGAACAGACAACACGCACTCATTCCCATAACGAGACAGGATACTCTGCATCTGCTTCCGGTCGCGCTGGTCAGTGACCACAAACGCATCCAGCACCCCTCGCAACTGCCAACTAAGCAGTATGCCCCACTTGCGCGGGTCCTTTGCCTTGACGTAGCGGCCAATGGGGCCGATAGGCCTCTCCCCATACCACTGCGCACGCTCGACCTCCTGTACGACGCGTTGAATCTCGCGCCCATAGTTGACGAACTGGTCGTGGTGCGCCCGCTTCGCGCGATCGAGCTCCGCGTCGCAGTTCTGAATCTCCGTCTTGAGTTGGCTCTGCCGCCCCTGGAGGTCCATTCCGCGCGCTTTGGCCTTCTCTGCCTGGCGCCGCGCCTCGTTCGCCTGGTTGGTGAGGTCGTCGACGCGCTCGCCGGCGGCATCGAGCTCGGCCTTGACCTGCTCGATCTGGTCGAGGATCATCTGCCGCTTCGCCTGCGTGTCCGCGGCCATGCGCTTATGCTCATCGGCGATCTGCTTGTCGAAGTTCCGGATCTGAGTATTCACCGCCGTCATGGCAGTGTTGATGCCCTTGATGTCGTCTTTGATCGAGTCCATCTCCGACTTCTTTTCCCTGAGCTTGGCGTGGACCGCGCGGCGCTCCTGCTCCAGCGGCTCTACGTTCCCCGCTGCCTCCAGTTGCTGTTTGCATTCGACAATTCCTTGACCAGCCGCCTCGAATTCGACCTGCGGATAAGGTTAGCATACGTTTCTAGAACAAGTGGCAAGGCATCGACGAACCTCGATCTCCTGAAGCCTCTCGATGATCTTGGGAAGCTTGCGCTCAGCCCTCTGTACCTCCTCAAGCTTCGCCTCGAGCTCGAGCTCCTTCGTCTTGACGTGCGCCCATGCCTTCTCCTTCTTGAGCTCGTCAATCTTCTTCTTCTGGTCGCGGGCCCTCTTCGCCTCTTCAAACTTGGCCGATACTTCAGTCAGATGCTGCTGAAGATCCGGGAGGGCTTCCTTCTTCGCTGCGAGGATCTTGCTCGTCTGATGGATGTTCTCGAGACACAACTCGTACTCCTCCGAGAGTTGTTGTAGTTGAGTGCCCTTGAGGAAGAACTGCGAATGTTTCAGGCGCTGTGGAATCTTTTGCCACGCATGACGTACCTTGTACTTGTCCTGGGGATTGGCGGCGCTGAGGAACTGGCGAGCGGCGTCTGGTGCATGTTCAGCATCGAGCGGCGGGACAGGATTGACATCCACTGACCTTGCGTAAGGACGTTCAGGGGATTGTCAACCTGAATGCCCATGTGGTCGCAAATCGCGGACAGCTCGTCCTTCTTGGTGCTGATGACTCTGCCATCCTTGGACTTGATCTTGTAAGAAGAGTTGCCGTCCTTGGTGAAGCGCCGCGTAATGACGATCGACTTGCCATACTCCTGCGGCTTGTACGCTTCATCGCCCTGGTTCTTTAGCATGATCGTCACTTCGGCCACTCTACGTATTGTTAAAAGGCATTGTCGGCTGCAAGAGGAGAAGCACGTACGATTGGCCCTCGCGAATGAAGGACTTGAGACCAGCTCCACGTCCAGTGGAAGCCGTCTTTCCACCGAGCGCGACTGTAATGGCTGACAGAACAGCACTCTTGCCACTCCCATTGTGGCCTGTCGGCGCGTCAGACGAAGTGGTTGTATGCGCGTCTAAACGCGACGTACCGATGATGAAGTTGATCTGGGGACCAAAGTTGAAAGACAGAAGCTTGTGGCACATGAATTGGGACATCTCAATGAATTCGATAATGCCGTGCTCTGCTATGCCCTAAGCGCGTATGTAAGACAATGAACGCGTCGTATTGACGCGACACATACCGCGGTGTGGTTGTGGCGCTTCTCAATACTCGCACGGATCTTCGCCTGCATCTGCGCCTCGAAGTCCTCATCGTCGATATTCTGTGTGGGTGGGGTGACCGCGTCCCCGACGTCGAAGTTCTCGTCGTCGTCGTCTTCCGGCTTCGCATGATGAGCCTGCGTCGATGAGCCTTCTCCCTTCACCGAGGTTCGCGCGCGCTTCGTCGCAGGAGGTGACGCCTCTGCATGCTTGACCTCCTCGTCTTCGTCGTCGACAACGCGTCGCTTGGGCGCCATGATGGTAAGTAGAGAAATGAGGTGGCACGTGACACGCGTTTCGCCACCGGCGGCGCGACTCGTCACACCGGTCACGGTTGGTCTGCTCTCGCTCGTCTTTCGTCAAATATTCATGGCGTCGAGCGAATGCAGGCAAGCGCAGAGAGGGAAAAGATCTCAAACCTCTCGAACCAAGGTCCCATCTAGGGCTGCTTGCATCAATGCCTTGTCGACAGTATGAATCCTTCACCTTCCCTCGCTTCGACAAAACCATCCAGCTCATTTCGAGGGCGTGCGACAATTCTCATCGGTATGTAGCTCTTAGGCTTCGAGAACTGGCAAGCACGCACCTGGTCAAGCTACTCAAACGAACCGCTCAACAAATCCTGATATTATCGCCTGTAATCCTTACCCGCTTGTGGCGGTGATAGTCAAGTCAAGGGCTTCGAAACGTCCGATTGTCAGGCCTGATCCCAGAGAGCTGGCTTCCAATAGCCGGCGCAGCTGGATGAGTCTTAGCGCGTGTGATGGAAGGCAGCACAACTGTACTGTACGTCTAATAGGGATTGGGCACATTAAAGCGACGATGAATGCAAGCATGAGCGCATTCGAGGCAGTTTGGCATGGGCACTGCTTTGAGGATAATGAGTACACGCCAGTTAGGTATGTCGCCCTACCAACCCGCGCCGAGGACTCAGTCCAGTGTTGTGGGCGCGATGGTGAACCAATGATCCGAGCGGAGCAACTCGCACGTTGCAGACGGTCGCCCGGGCAGCGCTGTGACAAGCGTTACAGGTGTTGATTGGATTAGGCGTCCTTCTTTTCCTTCACCTCCATCAACGCTGCTGACCAGCGACGACAACAGGGCAGTCGATCCGCCAGCGTCGACAGCACCCTCAGCTATAATTTTCAGCCAACCGTTGTTGGCATTCTAGACAAACCAGCTGGTTTCACTCTTTATTCCCCCACATTCTTTTCTCTGATCCCGCCATGCCTCTCGCATCCAAGCCGCCCTTCGCGACAGACCTCCCCGACTCGGCTTACGCCTCGGGCAACCCCCAGCGCCGCCAGCTTGCCGCCCCCGCGAACCCGAACGCGCGCTCCTCAGCTTACGACGTGTGCGTGCGCTCGCTCCATCACGTTTCGCCGCAGCTGAAGTACTTTTAGATACGACAACTACATCGACGGGAAAGACGGCCGTGGTCGCAACTCGGGCGTCGAAGGGCTCGGGATGGGCTTCATGAACGGCTCGATGGACGACGACGAAAGTGACGACGACCACTATGGCAGGCCGATGGACCCCCACATGCAGCCTGCTCCCATGGGCATGCCCACCACCGGCAAGAACGCGGTGCTCGCCAACGCCGCGGGCGTCAACCGTACGGACTACGGCAACGAGCCCCCGCCGCCCTCGTACATCGCAGCTCCTCGTCCGGGGTACGCCGCGCCCATCGCGCAACTCAACCTGGCTCGGCCCGAGGCCGCGGCGGCGCCCGGTGGCCGTCAGCCCGGTGGGACTGAGCCGCTTCGGGTGCAGCCTCCCCAGTCCGTGAACGCTGTATCGAACCCCTTCGCGACACCCTATGCTGGGACTCCGGTACCCGCCTCGCCCCATCCTCTCCAACCTCCTATGACCCCCATCACGCCGGTCTTTGCTCGCCCGCGCGCCGCGGACGTCAAATTTGCCGAGGACAAGGGCGAGATCATGCGTGGTGATAAGGAGGATGTCTTGATTCCCCGACGCGGTCAACAAGGCGACGACTTCTGGAGACGCTTCAGCATGGTCATCAAAGAGGACGGCAAGAAGCGCCCGGGCGAGAAGGAGAGGTACGCCACGTTTCACCGACAGCCTCGACCTCGCTTACAATCTTCCGCAGCTCTTGGCTCAAGAAGACTCAGGGCGGTACGACAAGCCTGAGCCGCTGGGTGTTCATCATTGGCATGGTTCTGCTCATTGTGCGTGTTTCGAAGCGTCCAGCAATTGCCACCACTGACAATCCTCCAGTGCGCTGCTGGTGGTATCGGCCTCGGGTGGTACATCTCGCGCAACAACACAGGGTCTAGCGCGCCGAAGGCCATTGGCGGCTCGGCCAACGAGATGAACACCGGCGACGGCGAAGGCGCCGCCAGCATGCAGAGCAGCATTCGCGTCACCCCCACGTATACCGTCGACAGACGAGCCGTCGCCACCGAGGCGGCAAACACCAGCTCGCCCGTGCCCATACAGGGCAAGGATATTCACGTCCACCGCAGGATACGTGACCATATGAAGAGGAGACTGTAGAGTATCGTATCTCGCGTCCAGTTCTGGCCTGGTTCCGAGTCGTCGATAAACGGCGGCGTCCGTCCATTGCATGCATAGGGAAGAGAACATATTTCTACGCCCGCCCCCACTACCCACCGGCGTTACGCCCCCCTGTCGGGATCCCCATGTTCCCATCCACTCTTTACCGGATCCATGCTTCCCTCGTCCCCGCCCCATCACATCCCCCCACTGGCAGCGCTTATGTACTGACAGGTTCAACCTCCTCTTGACATTCTATTCACGTGGATATACCCTTCGACTTCAATTGTACTGTGTTGGATCCCTGTCTGTCACATCCGCTACGCATCAGCATCCCTCTATTATTCTACTAGTCGCTCCTGGCCTGCAATGCGACGTTGTCAGTGCTCACTAATGTTCTGTTCGTGTATATAAGTAAAAGGATCAAGTACTTGCTTTCATTTTGTCCCCAATGGCGGCGAGGGCCGTGTGCTGCTGTCCCTTGTTCCTCCGCTCGAGGATGAACAAAAATAACTGAACCTGAGGTCGAGGGCTTTTAAGATGATCTTGTTGATTTTGTACCACTAGGCGCGGCTGGGCTACAGCTGCAGGACGCCCGTAACAACGCGTAGTTTTGAGTAAACGACAGTGATAGACGGCTAGTGCACGTAAGTAATGGTACTGAGCGGCTGCTATAGTAGAGTCCTGCTGGGGTCCGTGGTCGGGGCGGGGGCGTAATATGTACAACCAGAAGGGACAAAATGAACAGCGCGTGAGTGGTTGCCGAGAGCCGTTGGCAGATTGCAATGACAAGTCAAGGCTAGGATGCAAAGACAGAGCATGCACTGGCGGAAGTCGACGACACCAGTCTGGCATGCGCAGGGTCGCCAATAATGTTATATGCACAGGGGCGACTTTGTACTGCGCTCGTGAGGAAGACTGGTGCGGAGGAGGAGGAGGTAGGAGTAGTAGGAGCGTCCGAGAACAAAAAAGGGGAAGTAACAAACAAGACCTGCGGTCGGCTAGCTGAACAATGCCAGCCTGTCCGCATTCGTCCAACGGGCAAGACTCTGCTCAGAACGCACACGCGAGTACTCAAAACGCGCGCGGCACCCCAAGCATCGAGGCATCCTGCACGTCGGAGTCCCCGCGGCTGACGACGCTCCCGTTGCGCTCGTGCTGCTGCAGCCGGCGGCTCGCGAGGCTCGCGAAGCTGGGCGGCCGGCTGAGGTTGGCGAAGTCGAACGCGGAGAGGCCGCTCGCGTAGGGGTCGCGCGGGACGTCGGAGGGCGGGCGGAAGTGGCCGCGGCGCGGGGGCGAGCTGATGACCTGGGTGGGCGAGTTGTTACCCTGCGTGGGCGAGCCGTTGACCTGCGCGGAAGATAGTCCAGGGGCAGGCGGCGTGCTGGGGGCGACTGCGACGGTGTAGTCGTGGGAGCCGTCGCTGCCTTGCAGGGGATTATCTTCGGGCGGCGACGCCATGTTGAGCATGGTCTCGATGTCGAGGGACTGCATCGAATTGCGGCGGGCGACAGTCGGCTGTAGTGAGGGCGCCTGCCTTGAGCTTGTCGCTAACGGCGAAGGCGGAACCGCAGAAGGTATCGCGCGCTCCTTCGTGAAGCTCTGACGCCCAGGTGAAGCAGGCGGCGAGCTGAACGCGTAGGACGGGTTCATGACAAACGCTTCATTGCCAGTAAGGAACTCCGAGTTGTGCTTGACAGGGAACCACTTCATCGGCGACGGACTAGCCGGCTGCGACGAGGAGCTCGCAGGCGTGAACGGCGTGCGCGGCGCCTCCACCGGGATCGGCGGCGGTACGTATGGAATATACGACTCGCGAGGCGCCGTATCCGGGGACGGCGTGCCCTGCATAAAGGACGGACGGGTGGCGCTCATCGTCGCAACGTTCCCCAGATCTCGCTGGGACATGTTGCGCATGAGATTCGCGGTGGAGGAATTTACTTCCGAGGGGTTGGGGCGTTCGTAGAAGCCGGAAGCGTCGAGGACGGACTGGGCGCGGCGCCGTGCGGGGCCTTGGTCGGTGTGCTTCCGCTGCTCGCGGCAGAAGTAGACGACCATGAGCGCGGCGACGAGTCCGACGATGCAGCCACCGACGGCGAGACCGATGATTGCGGCACTGGGAAGGGATTTGAGGATGAATGTGGGAGGGTTAAATGGATGACCTACTGCGAAAGCGTCGGCTTCGTGTCGGTGCTTTCCTCGGGTTCGTCTTCCATGTTGTCCGTGTCGTTGGGCAGGCAACTGGCGTCGGTCGTGTCATCGCCCAATACTGACGCGAGATAAGCGAGGATTTCAAGTCCGTTACGTTAACGTAGACGTACCCGTGAGCAATTGCGAGGCCTGGGCCTGGCCGATGGTATTGTTCGCCATGAGTATGACTTGCGATCCGTAGGCGACAGCAGCGGTGTATGTCGCCTCTACGTTACTGGCGTCCGTTTCGTTCAATGTGTACGCCGTCTGTCCCAAGCTGAATGCGCGGACGGTCGGTGCGTCGGTGGAAGCATTGTACTGGACCCCGTAGCTCGTGCATTGCGTGATGGCCGTGTTGAACGTGTAGAACGAGGCTGAAGCTAGGGGAAGGCAGCTACCGTCGCTGGTGTCGGATGGCTCAACGGTAATCAGGTCAGTCACATATGCGACTGCATTCCCGTCGGCGTCGTCAAGGGAAGCAATGAACTGTGTACCCTCGGGGACCGGGATGAAGGTGATGTTGATGCCTGCGAGGAAGTTGTCCGCCACATCAGGGAGAGGGATAGTCGCCGGAGTCGCGTTAACGGGGACGATGGTCAAGTAGGTCGGGATGCCAATGTCGTCGGAAGTGACATCAGGAAAAGTGAGCGAGACTGGCTCGCACTCGCGCACGGCAGTGAAATTGAAGGCAAAGGAGCGTGGGCGTGCGCGAGCGATAGGGAGGTGTGCTGTGGAGAAGAGAATGCTGGATGCGAGTGCTGCGTAAAACATGGCCGGAAGATGGACGGGCTATGGGCGTGCACCGCTTGCTGGAGGGTCGATCGCGTCGTGTCCGGGATGGACAGGGGAGACGGTGCGGGGCGACCGGTTCAGAGCAGACTCATCGTCGGGGGGACGATGGAAAGAAAAGGAAAGGCACGCCAGCGCGCTTTGTATGAGAGCGGGACCTAGCGAGCACGCCGAAGGCTTGGAATGATCGTCGCCGGTCGCAAGCGCTGGTCGCTACTAGCATCGGATTGAGCGCGTCCTGATGGCGACGACGAGCCGGCGGCGGGCAACGGCCCGCACTACAAATTACGAAGATCGCCGGGGACTTGACTTCGGGCTCCTTCACAGCGTGCAACAACGCAGGTACATGTCGCCAGCGCGCCCGATAGCGCAACACGAGGCATGGAGAAGCAGCAACCCATCCCCGAGCGGTTAGAATAAATCGCACCCACTCGCGCTCCTTCCCACCGTTTCCACCTTGCTCATGATGCCCGTGTAGATCACTTTCTCAATAGAAATTGTACTCTGCGGCGGAGATATAGTGGGGACCTCTTTCAAGCGCGCCCTCCTCCCCATAATTGCCCGAGAGCCCGTGGACGTTCATGTTGAAGTTCATTTGCGCACGTGGAAATTGAATGCCTCCGAGTTCATGATCCGCGACCACGTGAGCGACGATGGGTGCCGTCACCCGCGTGATTGACTGGAGTGACAAGCCCCGCGCGCCCCGGATCCTCTCCACTGCTCTTGCCTCCCACCACCATGATCCGTACAGGCGCTCGCATCGCTGGTCAGTTTCTCCAGCCGCGCTCGGTGGCGACAGCGGCCCAGCGCGCTGTTCCTCACGTCGAGGTCCGCGTTGGACGTCTTCCCCAGTCCCAGTCGCCCTTCGTGCCGAAACTGCAGTTCTTCAATTCGGTGACCGCGACAGGACAGCAGATCCCGACCTACAGGGTTATGGATGGCTCAGGTAGCGCGTTGGATGGGTCCTCGATGCCAGAGGTACGCGCCACACACACCTACGTCGTGGCCCATTGTCCTGACCCACCCCATAGATCGACGAGGCAACTGCAAGGAAGATGTATGGTGTGCAGTCGCGTCGAAATTGTTCAACCAATATTCACGTCCCTTGGACAGCTATGAGCACATGGTGCTTCTCCCCACCATGGACACTGTCCTCTACAACGTCCAAAGGCAAGGCAAGATCTCGTTCTACGTGCGTACCCCTTCCTGCGCCTCTGTACCTTCAATATCGCTAACTTCCCACCCTAGATGACCGCGGTAATTTTTTTTCCACCTCGCCCCCTTCCATCAGAATATTCTCATGCCCCTCCAGTACGGCGAAGAAGCCACCGTGGTGGGAGCGGCCGCTGCGCTCGAGCCTCACGATGAGTACGCCCCCCTCCTCTGCATCAGCCGCAACTCCGCCTCATCTCGTCCTGCAGGGTCCTCGGGCAGTATCGCGAATCTGGGGTCCTTCTCTGGCGCGGGTTCGGGCTGGATAACATAATGGGACAATGTCTAGGCAATGTGGAAGACACTTCGACGAAGGGGAGGCAGATGCCTGTGGTATGTTGACCGCCTTCTCTATCTCTCTTTCTTTATCCGGCGCGTCGGAGAGTTAACGGAATTTACTCGATAGCATTTTGCGTCGAGGGAGCACCATTTTTACTCGATATCGTCGCCACTTGCGACACAAATCCCCCAAGCGGCAGGCGTGGGCTTCGCCCTTCGTCGGACGCCTGGGCGGCAGAACTCCATCGCTGTCTGCTTTATGGGCGAAGGCGCTGCATCTGAAGGAGGTATGCTCACCCCATCTCACCGTCTGCTGAGGTGCCACAATATTCTTCGCCCAAAATGCTGACCCACTGGCAGATTTCCACGCCGGCCTGCAGATGGCCTCCACCCTCCCCTGTCCGACAATGTTCATTGTGCGCAACAACGGCTTCGCGATCAGCACGCCGAGCACGGAGCAGTACCACGGCGACGGGATCGCGAGCCGCGGGCCCGGCTATGGCATCGACACGATCCGCGTCGACGGGAACGATGTGCTTGCGGTGCTTTCTGCTGTAAAGGAGGCGAGGAAAAGATGTCTCGAGCAAAGCCGGGCGGTGCTGGTGGAGGCGATGACTTACCGGTATGTCGTTCATTCTTACGGGCCTGGGTGATCGTGCATGCATCGTTCGGCCAGAGGAAGATCAAGGTTCTGACGCTGACATCTCCCTCCTAGCGTCGGCCACCATTCCACCTCGGACGACTCGTTCGCGTACCGCGCGCGAAGCGAGGTCGAGGACCGGAAGAAGATCGATAACCCGATCTCGCGCATGCGCAGGTTTATGGAGGAGCGCGGGTGGTGGAGCGCGAAGGAGGAGGAGGAGTTGAAGGCGAGGTTGAAGGTGTGTTCAGTTCTTTGTGCTGTCTTGCGCAAGCGGCTATACCACTATGCGCGAGTGGCTACGCCAATATGCGCGAGTGGCTATACCAATATGCGCGAATGCTCACGCACTCGCAGGCCGACGTGATGAAGGCCTTTAAGCGCGCGGAGGGTCTCAGCCGGCCCTCGTTAACAGAGCTCTTCGACGATGTGTACGCAGGCCAGGAGCCGTGGACAATCGTAAGTGTTTGCAAGACTTTCACGTCTCTTAATTGCTCACGATCGTCACAGAAAGAACAGCGGAGCGAGCTCTTCGGCCTGCTCAAGAAATACGGCCAGGCATGGGACCCCTGGAAGAAGGAGCTGGGCAAGTTTAAGAACGGCGGGCAGGACCTGATCGATGCTGGGAAGTAAATCGACGAGCAGGATGTTCGCTTCGAAGTTTCCCTCGCTGCAGCGGTTCCCTGCACCCAAGGTATTCGTAAAGAGGAGGCTTGGAAGGCCTTGACGGCCACAGCCTACGTCTCGCTGGAATATTTATTGGAAGCATGTACCCACGTTTGTATCATAAGGAATAGGAAGGAAGTCACAATCGTCACGTCGTTTCATGAGATCAGGTCGTCGTAAGCCGGCCTCAAGGACTCGCTCCGTCGTTGGTTCGCTTCTATAAGGCACGTCTGGTTTGCTTCACGAGTGCACATCTGACGCGCTCAGGAGTGTACATCTGGTTCGCCTGGAAAGACACGCCGAGTTCACCGCAGGAAGACATGTCTAGTTCGCCCCGAGGATACAGGTCGCGAGAAAGAGTCCTTGAAGTCGGCGGCGAATACTTCAAGCCGCCGTCGCCGCCGGCTTCATGAAGTACTCGGAAATGTACCGGAAGTAGTGTGCCTGCACCATGTACTCGTCGCGGAAGAGGTTCTCGTGGTTGCGGTCGAGCCATCTGTGGGACAGGATCAATTATTATGAATGCATGCGACGACGCGTGAGATAGATGAGGGCAGATGCGAAAGACGAGTGGGAGATGCGGGAGACATGGGAAACATAAATGCGGGAGACAGAAACCATAAGTGCGGGAGACATAGAAACCATGGGTGCGGGAGACATAGGAACCATAGACGCGGGAGACAGTGTTCAAAAGAATAGGACACAGGGGACCACATACCTGAGAAACTCGTTGATGTAGTCGGAGATGACGTGGATAGACGGCGGGTCAAGATCGGAGGTGGCCATGTATTGGGGGAAGTTAGCTGGGAGGGGGAGAGGTTTCGTCAATAACATTCGCATAATTGCAGGGGATGATCCCCAACAGAGGAACATCAGCGCACCCATAAGTCGGAGCAGATGCATGGCTCCATAAGCCTCGCTCATATCCTTTGTTGTCTCCGGCGTGACGTGTTGGCCCTATGATTAAGTCAGTTAAAGCGAAGCGACTTTGGAAGGCGAGCATACGGTCTTGAACTGCGTCCGCCAGCCGCTGTACTGAGCACGTTCCGGTGGGTATAGTAGGTTGCGGCCGATGGCCTTCTCGAAGTACACCTTTGCGCGATGTTAGAACAGGGCGTGAACGTGATGTGCGCTCACTTCTACCTTGATTCCGCCAGTGATGATGGAGGCGTAAACTTTGGGGTCACAGAGGCTCCTGAGGGGGCCGCATCAATAGTCGGCGACACGGTATGGTGAGAAGGCGCACTCGTCAAGCGGTTCCGTCTCCAGGTACGTTTGGAATTCGTGCAAAATCTCATCGACGTTCGGCGTACAGGGCATCTTGATGATCTGCGCACCAATGCTTCTCAGTCTAGTTCTCTTCATCGATGCAAATGAAAGCTTACCAACTGTTTCTTCTGGACGTTCTCCCAGTCGTCGACGAGTATCTTCCTCAGCGACGCGGGCATATCCAGCTTCATAGGCTGGGGTATGGCTTTGGGTTTCTGTTTTACAGTTAGTATGGGATTCGTATAGCGCGTACAGCGGTGAGTTCGGGCAGCTGTGAGCTCATACGGCGACGAGCATGCCTCTGCCACCTACCTTGTGCCCTTGCCTGCTGTCATGCGGCGGTGCCGTGACTGACACTATCCCGGCCTTATTACGATTCCGAGCTTCACGCCCCCTCGGAGCATGCCCACTCCCGCGTGTGGGCGGATTCGCGAGCAAGATGGTCTTGTTTTTGAGGATGGCCGTCAGTGCCTTCGGTCCTGCTGACGTTTGCTCGTCACTCGCGGTCACGAATCGGTGCAGCATCCACGCTGGTACCCATTCGTCGTGGCTGTGAGCGGGATAATATCAGCCTGAGGACGCAGAGCATGAGGCGCGCGGTGAGTAAGTTTGGATCAAACGTACGCGGCATTGAAGTTCTCGTAGTGTATCTTGTACACTTTGTACGCCGCCGCGTCGGGCCGTTCAGCCATCACGGACGCCTCCTTGCTCGCGCGTGCTTTCTTCACCTCCCTCGCGCGCTCTCGCCACCCCTTGCCAAAAGTCTTTGGTTTGCCAAAACTCGACAACCCCGCCCGCTTGCGGGACTTGACCGGCCCGTCGAGTATGAAATTGCTCATCTCCGCCTCCAGTATGCGCACTTTATACCAGTCTCCGCCTGAGTTGACGAGTGCAAATTGGTTTACTTGATAGAGATGCACGTTGAGTTTGGAGGGCCCTGGAGAGGGAGTGGGGTATTGGCTGTCAACTGCTGGCGGAGAGGCGGTTCGCCATTCTGGTTTCGCGGACAGGCTGTCGTCTGGCGCGGGTTCGGAGTCTCGTCCTACGGCCTCCGAGGGCTGAGAAAACGACGCGTCGTCGAGTACTGGCTGTTCCGACATGAATAAGTTGCCTGTGGCGTGCCGGTGTTGAAGTTGAGAAGGAGGAAGGGCGGATCACGCGACGGCCAAATTGCTCTCACGCCGGCGTCGGCAATCACCGAGAAGCGGACAATGCCTACCAAATCCGGCAACAATGGCACCTTTATCAGCCTCTCAATGTTGCGGGGATGGCTTCGTTGCGAGCATGGAGCCTTCGTTGCGGGGATGGGGCCTTCGATGAGATTAGCCTATCTCGCTCAACGTTTACTATATGAACGACAACATGGATTGTGATTAATCCACGTCTAACACTCAGTATGCCCAATTCATCGTTTCCACCCAGCCGCCTTCTTCGATAGATACACGCAGCTCACCCGCTTCACGCGCTCCTTTAGCCAAGGAAGATGTTCCGCCTCGATTTCGGGGCAACCATCGAGTATGAGCTCCGAGATGGGTCTGATCGCAGTGGCCTCTGCAACTTCGCTGTTTGCAGATCGTTCGACATCCGAAGTGGACTCGAGTGGTTGGAGTCTCTCGACCATCTCTTTCGCTTCGGCGTCCTTGTGTAAAGCCTTCGGGTCGGTCGCAATCAACTCTGTGGCAGCCGGGGGAGAGGTATGCGAGAGCCCCGCTGCCGACAACCTGGAGCCAACCATCCTTACCACCGGTCCCGTCTTCACGTCCGGACAGTTGGGCACCGCGACCCTCCGCAGCTGTGGGCACAGCACCACATCCGACCGCGTCTTCCTCCCAGGACGCGGAACCTCGAGGTGCTCTAGCACATAGTTTGCCACATTCTCCAGCCCTCGAAGCTCTAGACCGCGCAACAACGGCGAGGCGCGAAGCAGATCGACGACCGAATCTTGCATGACCATGTACGAGTGGATGGTGAGGTGAGTGAGGGCCGTGTGGCCGAGCAGGGAGGTCCTTGCTTGATTGCACATATACATGAAGCCGCGGTCGATGTTTGCGAACCCGCGCATGAGGGACAGGCGCTCGAGCGCAGGTACACGCAACCGCATCATTATAAGGTCGGCGCGGAAGGCGCCTGTGAGCTCGAGGCGTGTTAGGGCGTGCATTGCATGCACGTTGATATCCGTCAGGGTTTCCACCGCCCGGGAGGTGGCTTCGACAACGAGCGTTTGAAGGTCGGGGTTGTTGCCGCAGATGTTGGCAAGGGATTGGGCAGCGATGTTGTTACAGCGCAGCTCAAGGTGTGCGAGATTCCGGAGGGACCATAGCCCGTCGAGTAATGGTTGGGTGATACATATGTTGAACAGGCGGAGAACTCGAAGCGAGTGAGTCTCCGCAAGGAGAGCCCCGCGGTCCGTGGTGTTGTCGGTTTCCAAGATCTCGAGCTCAGTCAGGTCTCCCAGAATCTGTCTCTGACCTATCTTTTCGAGAAAAGGCAGCGGATCCCACGAGCCAATGCGCAGAGCACGCACGCGCGTCCAGTCGAGTATGGAGAGCTCGCCGAACGCCCACTCGAGGTTGAGACCCAGCCCCGGCGCAAGGCGTACGTCGCGGATCCGGTTGCGCGAGCACGCCGCCCAGCGGCGCAGCTTCCACACCGGCTTTCGGTTGTGCAGGCTGAGCACCGTCCACAAGTATGGGTTCCCCTCCGCCACGCGACGCCACCGCACGCAGACGAGAAGAAGCGGGAGGAGCGCGGTGTGGTCAGCGTCGACGAGGAGTCGGAAGATCTCGTCGAGGATCTCGACAGGAAGGCGAGCTGTGTGGTCCTGAGTGCGCCGACGCTGGTCAAGCGCATTATGCCTGAGCGTGACCATCTCCTTCCGCCGGGCGGTGTCGCCGACAGGAATGCGTGCAATAGCACGGTCGGCCATTTTCGCAGCCTCGTCGAACCGGCTCGCACGATGAAAGATCCGCGCAGCACGAGCATACCCTTGCCACTTTTCTGACGCAAGACCGATGACCTTCTTCGCGTCAAGCAACCCCAGCTTGAAGTCGCCGAGCTGCTCGTAAGTGGCGGCACGTGCATCGTAAAGACTGTGTTCCGCCTGACCTCCAGCCTCTATAGCCTGATGCAAGTCAGAGCAGCAATTGAAAGTCAGTGGAAAGGCTTACCTTGGTAAATAAGGCTACCGCCTCGGTATAATTGCGCTTTTTGTACTGCTGAATCCCGTCCTTGCGGAGGTCTTCCCAGGACATGGCTGCAGTCAAGGTGACCTTGAGCTCTGTTCCAGATAGCAGAGGGAGCAGCGTGCTAGCGTCGCAATAGCACCCTATTGGCGGTCGTCGTGGTCGCGGAAGAGACGCGTTCGGACCGAACGCGACGCGTCGGTCACGTCCATCATTGTTGGTGACAAATTCCCTTTCGGGACAGACAATGCTTGCCAAATGCGGTGACAAAAGCAATACCTCCGGATCCCTGCAGCCAAGAGGGTTACGGCTTGCCTGGAAGCTTGATTTTCAGTTATTGTACCAGCAATACTTAGTAGAACTAAACTCAAGCGATACTCCAGATCACTACCCCGCGTACCGCCGCGCTATCTGATGGACGGGAGGATGCGCCAGCGCGAATACCGTGTCTTGCATTGAGCACTCACTCAGTCTACCTTGAGCATGTCCATCCTATTCCAAGTACTTGCCTTTACTGCGTCAGATAGGTATATCCAAAACCGCAAGGAGGGTAACGACATAACATCCTTGGACGAAGCCAAAGTCACTGCTGCAAAGAAGTCGTTCACTGAACAAGGCTGTCTAGGGTACTTCAGAAGATGTCCAGTCAGAACTCAGTCTGAGCTGACCTGTCACCCTTATCAGCGTCTATCATGGACTTCGCCTCGAGGATGGCACAACGGGGTATCTCTTCACAGGTGAGCTGAGTCCGCCAGTTCCCAGACTCTATACGCCTTCTTCCACAAAATCCGCACCTTGTTCGGATATCTCACTATTGATTCGACAGTCTGGAAATCTCTCGACCAGCTCCGCGCTTCCACCTCCGCTATAACCGCATTCGTCGACATCCTGGGCTCCGTGCCGCCCCTCTCACAGCAGAGCTTCACCATCACCGGCGAACACCCGCTGTCCGCCCTGCACGCGCCTGTCACCGAGCTCGTCGTTCTCACGCCGCACAAGAGGCAGGACGGTCTCACGGCGCAGGAGGATAACGGGCTCACGCCGCACGAAGTCGAGGATGGTCTCACACTGCACAAGGCCGAGGATGGTCTCACACCGCACAAGGCAAAGGCGCTCAAGGAGAAGGACGGTCTCACGCCGCTCGAGGAGGCTGGTGCGCAAGCTCTCGCCGGCATGCGCACCGTCGCCTCCGAGCTCGCCAAAGTAGGTGCCGAGTCGTTCTGGGGCCCATGTGTCGAGGAACCGCAGGTCTGCGGCATGATCTGCGGGTGGGAGAGTATGGAGGTGCGTTATTCAAGTGCTATTTCTCTCTTCGGCAATGGATAGGAGCGCGTGAAGGAGAACATATCTTGTCCGGGAAAGAGGACATTCCCTCGTCCGGGAAGGGGAAGATTCCCTTGTCCTGGAAGGAGAACACCCTCTTGTCCGGCTAGGAGAACATTCAAGTTGTCTGGGACGGAGATTATTCTGCTGACCAGAACCACACAGGCACATCAAGCGACAGTGGGCCAGCCGCCATTCTCAACGCTCATCGGGTCGATTGCAGCTATAGCTGACATCGGCTACGGGCACGCGAAACTGGAGAAGATCGCTTGATAGGGTGTCGAAGGAAAAATGAGATGATAACGAAGGAAGGATGAAATGAAAACGAAGAAGGATGAAATAACAACGAAGGAACTTCTATACGAGTACATACAGTCGCAAGAGTCCTAGGGCGTATGCGCGCCCAGATGAATGTCCGTCGGCCCCTCTAAGGTCTATATGGCCGTCGCTCCTCTATTTACTAAAGCGCCTTATGAATCTCTATACCGCGAGGTGCGCCGAGGGCTGCAGGTACATGTCAGAAAAGCGTTTGCATAATGAAGCGGAGATGAACCATACCTGTCTTAAACGCGTCGTACATGAGGAACTGAGACGACACCAGACCCGCGGTCATAATCATACGCGGTCCCAGCCCAGCGAAAAGGCCTCGGAGGCCTGCTTCTTTGCCCAGCACGTACAGGCGGTGGGTCATTGAGCCAGTTGGGCCATGTCCCTTGTTGATTTGGCTGAGCAGCGTGTCGGCGGGCTAGAGGTGCATACGAAGGTTAATTCCATACACGCGTGCAGCAGTGAGGTAAAAGCGGCGAACCTGACTGAGAATGGCTGCAGCGAAGCCAGCGATGATACCGCAGGACAGCGAGATACCGAATTTCGACGTATCCGAAAGCGTGCGTTTGGTTTCCTCGGACATCGCGCGGTTGACTGCTTCGTGGCAGAACTCGTTCACGGTGAACTGGCCGATGGCGTATGGGATTTGTCTGAGGAATGGCGGTCAGGCTGGTGGATGGATGTTGCGTGAAGCGCAGGCGTACTTGCAGATGATGGGTAGGAAGCCCGCGTAGAGGTCGCGGACGCCTCCTTCCCTCGCGATGCGTGCAAAGCCAGACACCAAGCCGGTGGCATAACCGCGCTGCGAGACTAGACGAATGCGAGTCGCCTCCAAGGGCGTCAGAAGGATATCCGCGAAAAACCTAGTCATCAACAAATGAGCTCCTGGCCTTCCATCGACCCCAAATGCAGGTCAAACATACTCAGCCACACTCGACGCCCCCAAATAGATCGCCGTCCGATACTTCACCGCCGTCTCCTGGTCGCCCGCGATCTGCACGAATCGCTTCTTCCAGAACTCGTACCCGGCGAACTTCGCGCCGCCCTGCGCGAGGTATCCGACCGCGGTCGGACCGAAGCCGGTGAGGAGCGCGGAGGCGCCCTCTTTGGCGATGAGCTGGCGCGTGCCGGATACGAAGCCGTGCCCCTTGAACGTCGGATCGACCTGTATGCGCGTCTTGACGACGTCGATGGCTGCACAGAGGGTGTTGAGTGATGGGTGGGAAATCGGAGAGGAGACTTACGAGTCATGGCGCCATGGCTGAGGCTGCACGAAGAGGTCAGTTAGGACGAGGCTACTGTGGAGACCCAGCAGAGAGGGTATCTCACGTGCAACACAATGCGCCTGTCGTTACTGGTCAGTCGCTGCTTCAGAAGGCTTGAGAAGAAGAACCCCACCCGATAAGAAGAAGCTCGAGTACTCCTTCGCGGTGAAGTTAGGCACCACAAACGGCTGGCTTCCAGTGGCATTCTTCGACATGGCGAGCTGCTTGTCGTTCGAGCGGGCAGATGTCGTTCAAGGGGGGCGGAGGAGAGATGTATGCACACGAGGATGAGCGCAGGAGTCAATATATGCGCTATTTGTAGGCGGTATCGCCCCGGGAGGCGGCGACAGCATGACGAACAGCGATGACATCGTCAGCGCTAAGTCCCACAAAGCCCCGCGCCTGCCGGCATCTGCCGATGTAAATCGAACAAGACAAACAGAGGCAAGCACTCGGTGCGCTCTATCAATTTGAGAGCTGTATGAAAGAACTGTTGTCGTTCATAACGAGTAGCTATGCACTGCGATCGATTCCACGAGACTAGGATAAGTACAACAGTGCGGCAATATTAGTGAGGAATATTTAGCGGTCGCGTGCAATGGGATGTATGCGGCATATGTACAACAATGGTCCTACGGTCGGAGTGCGAGTCATTTTCCTACAGCTTCGAAGCGAGTATTTCAGCTGCAAGAGTCAGGATTTTGTAGACTGCAGAGTCAAGGCGACGCACCATCAAAAGCGTTTTTCATGCGTTGAGCATTATAAGCAGCGGGCAATAGCAAACCAGAACAGCAATCAATCCGCCTCCAGACTCTCCCCCGAGATATTCCTCTCCCCGCCCTCATCAGGGGGAATCGAAAACTCGTACACAACCTTCGAGTCCTCTACGTCCCGCTCCGCGATCTCGCTCTCGTCAATGGTGACGACCGACAGAATTCCATCGCTCGTAACGCGCGCCGTGAGCGTCTGCAAATCGCGCAAGGGGAGAACCAAGTCGGCCTCGATCTCCTCCTTCATCTGCTGAATCGGATATATCTCTTCCACCGGCCGGTTGTCGATGCTCGAGCGGATGTGGCAGTCGCCACAGTAGACGCAGGGGTCCACCTTCAAAAGATTCGCGCAGTGGAAGCGCACGGTCAGGGTGCGCAGGCGCGTGAAGAGCGCCAGTTCTCGCGCATATTTGGGCTGCGGGGGGTGAGGACGGAGTATACGAATAGATCAGGGGACGCGTACGAGGGGAGGGAGGAGCGGCATGTCGAGGCTCGTAAGCTCGGGGAAGGAGGTTGCGAGGGCTTCAAGGTCCTTCGGGGAGAGGCCTTTCTGTAAATGCTGCTTCATTTTCTTGACGTGTGGGAATACGTGCAGGGTGCGGAGGCTGGGGGTGGGGGCGAAGGATAGACGGGGCGATATAACGATGCCTAGATTGTCACGCAGTATGGTGAGTTCTTGAAGTGTACTGTGCGATCCGAGGAAATTTCTGCAGAGGCACTCGTACCCGCAGAACGTGCGGAGATGGGGGAGCGAGTGCGCCAGGTCGTCCGCTAGTGTGGTCTCCATGCGGAGTTTGAGGTGCTGGATGGCGGGGTGTGCTTTGAGGAAGTCACTGGGATCTGCGGTGGGGTAGGCGCTAGGGAGGGGGCCATGAGACACGTGCAGGTCGAGGGCGCGTAAGGAGGGGAGGCGGAGCGCATATATCGTGGTGAGTAACTGTTCGAAGGAGCCGGGGCAACATGAGCTTGAGGCGGGTGAGTAGACGTCGGAGCTGAAGGACAGTCGAAGCGAGTGTAGGAAGCGGCAGACATGTGGCAGCTCGGCTACGGCCTGCATCAAAGGCGCCCAGTCGTATCCGCGGCCTACGGGAACGGACGCGATGAATAAATGTCTTGAGAAAGTATCGCCGCACGCACCATTGCACACTCGGTACTCGATACTCAATTTCTCGAGCCCGGGATTGAGGAATATCTGCATGCGATGAGTGCACGCGCCGCCGATCGCACCGACCCACGCACCCGCATGTTAGACTTCGGCGCCGCATTGAACATCCGCCACGCAAATCGCAGCGACATCTCCTTCAAGCAAGGGAAAGCAACGGGATCCTGCAGCAGCAGCGCAATATTCGCGGGGACCTCGCGGATGTCCCATGTAAGGGCGCGCAGGCGCGAGCCGACGGACTTGTCGGTGAACAGGGACGTGTTCTTGAGCGTCGTCTCGATCGGGCGGGTAGACTTGCTGTGTGTGGTATTGAGGAAGAGATCGCGAACGAGGGAGGCGGGATGGGGGCCGAGGCTCGCGCTGCCGCGCCGCGAGGAGAGGGTGCGGAGGAGTGCGGGACAGACGCTGTCGTGCTCGGTGAGCAGGGATTTGTAGAGGACGGGGTTGAAGAGGAGGTAGAAGGTCCTAGAGACGAGGCAGAGCCTGTACACCGCGGAGCGGCTGCACCAGGAAGCGATATCGGTCCAGAGCTCGACGGGGAGTCTGCCGGCGACGTGCTCGGGGGCGCCCTCCGCATCGGGGGATGCCTGGTAGTCCGTTAGCAATCATTCCTTGGGTAGTGTGAGCATCGCTTGCCGTAGATACGCGTCTTCTCTTCGCCATAGTCGGGACGGCACGATGGACGAAGCGAAAGAGAATTCAATTTCCTCCTTCTCGAGAGGTCACAATCGTGACACTGTGGCGGAATCAATCGCCCGGTCCGAGGCCGCCGACGCTCTCGTGGCCTCTCGTGGACCATCATCACCGCGCGGTATACAACTGCTCCTACGTCTTGACCTTCTTTCCAACGAATGTACCCTGTTATTCTGTGTCATCCTCTTCAGGAGGAATGGGGGAACGAAAATTAGCAGTATGAAGAGCTCAACTACACGGAGGCAGCTTCCTCTTTTTAAAGGCATCTTCCTTCTACCCGTCGACGCCGAGTCGCCGACCGCACCGCATTCCTCCTCCTTTCCGTCTGCATAATGTGCTGCTTTATGGCTCGGGTCTCAGGGTCTGCTTCGCGGACTGCGGACTATGGCGAGAATATGTTTTTTGGCCCAGGGCCTGAGGAAATACTAGCGCCGTTCAAGAACGGGGGCGCGGGGTGGGCACCTCAAGGCCATCAAGTAAACACGCAGGAACTGTGTCATTTCCTAACGCCAAACGAAGATCGCACTGCCTGAGAACGCTACCCAGCGTCGCCGTTTTCGGCGGCTTTCCATTGCGCAGATTGACGACCTTCCTGATTACCGGGCCACGAGCCATATTATTCTCGCTCCTAATTTTTAGAGTGAGGATTAGGGCGACGCAACAGCGGACGCACTCGCGATCGAGGTCACCTCGACACCGAGGCAGAGCACCTTCCTTGGCTCAATCAGTGATCCAGGTCCGCCAGCTGCATCTGCACAAGACGGGGCCAAAAAGGTAGTGCATGCTTTCATGCACGCCTGGAAAGGCATGATATATCATATCGCTAACCTCCAGACCCAAAGTTTGGCAACTTCATACGATCTTGAACGAGCCTTAAACTGGCTGTACAGATTGGTGTAGTTGTCCGCAGGAATTTATTGCATACAGACGACTTACACCTGCAGAAAGACAGCGTTCAAATTCTCTACACATGTTTGTACAGCGCGAAGATCCTTCCGCTTGAATACATCGCAGGTTGTGGGTCCATGTCCTTAGCGTCACGTGAAGCTCGGATATATCCGAGCAAACGCCTACTCACTAAACCATCACCACATATTCGACCTTGAATATAGGAAATGCTGTTCCAGCACTCAGCTGTGGAGTATTCCTTGCCATCGGCAGCTGTCCCCGGGATGTGTAGCGCTAGCAGGCGCTCGAATGGTTTATTGCCTCGGAGCTGCTGCCGGTGCCTCGGCACAATAATCATCACAAAGGGCCCAGTCCCGCATTTGTAACTTGCAGCAGAGACCTTCACACAGGGCGCTCTTCCGCCTCCCTCGTACTGTAGGCCTGCTGCGTTTGATCCAGGCTTGCCTTACTAGGTAGGGGACTTGGCGTCTATATTTGCGTCAGGTACGTTTGCAGATGCGCATCGCCCTCGCTACTGGTTAACGGTTTGAAACATATATAGCAGGGATTTGACGATCCCTCACATCTCTTTACATCCATAACCGCCCAATGGCACCACCAACCGGTCCCTACGTTCGCGAGGCCAAGCTCCCCGAAGAGTTTCGTGAGCTCAGTCTCGTCGCGGCACGCGCCTTTGCGTCGCACCCTCTGAAGAACTACTTCTCGCATCAAAAGACTGCCATCCACCTGCAAAAGGGAAAGCGAAAGGAGAAGAGCCTTCGCCAGCTCGCGAACTTTGAGGAAAGTATACTACTCTACGTGAAGCTCCTGGGCGGACGCATCATGGTGGTCGCTGTGCCGGAGGAGGATGGGAAGGAGCGTCTGGCGGCGTGCGCGGCGTGGACGCCACCTGGCGCGTCGGAGAAGGAGAGCCTTATGGTCATCATACGTGCGAAGTATCATCGGACGGTCCGTGCATGGGGAATGGTTGCGCTGAAGGTAGGATCGCGTTATCTTCTTTCGGTTTTCATTTGCGGACTTTTAACCCGCCTGGCAGAGGATTGTGGGGGAGTTCACGCCAGTTCAGGAGAAGCAGAGGGAGAAAGCGGCAGAGAGATATGGGATCAAGAATAACGACTACTGGTACCTCGAACTGCTCTTCACGAATCCCGAGGATGAGGGGCGTGGTTAGTTGAACTTCATTTTCCAGCGCCTGTTCAGGACTTATTGTTGACTTAGGGCACTGTGGAAAGCTACTGAGAGAGTTTGAAGCATATGAACCGACCAAGCTGTTCATGCTGAACGCCGCCTCGGAACGCTCCATTGCCATTTACCATCATTACGGGTGGAAGGTAAGTGCGCGAGTCGGATTATGTATGCTTCACTGCGACTGAATATGCCGCAGACCTTCGACCAACATATGCTGGGCGTTGGGAAGGTTGCCGCAGATGGGACCGCCGCGAAAGGAGAGCAGGCGAAGGGAGTGCTTCTCGAACTCATGGTGAAGGTGAGTGATCATGATGCACCTCAATTCCTTGCCCCTTGCTTGTGCTGATTCCGAGTGCTAGGAGCCTGCAAAGACACAGTAGGAGGCTTTTCGGCGGCACAAATATACCCTGTACCTGGATATAATAGCCGGGTTCTTTTGGCGCGCTACCTACTACCTATAGTACCCGTTACGGAAATAAGATCGTCTCACGATGTTGTGGGCGCATCCACTTCCTGGCACGTGCGCGGAATGGCCGGCTCGAATTTAGCAGTTCGGAACTCTTATCCTCGACCTTCAATATCATCACCATGAGCCTCGGAATCCGGGCGCTTCTCCATTGATTCGACCGACCATGGTTGTGTCTCTGGGGTCTGCATTCTTCGGCTGTCCACGAAGTTGAAGGTCAAGTTCATGGGCGCATATGCATGAGCGCTTCCCCTTCCGGAATTCGTTCCGATTACGAGACCAAAGGGATACCCAGACCAGGAAAGGCCAGCAACGAATAGAAATGTTTGACTCTGAAACAGTCAGGTTTGAGAACAGCGCGCTTGCCACCGCCCTTCGTCACCATCCATTGTCGCGAAGACCGACACGGGTCGGAACGCCATCTACTGCGCCTTGCGGATCGCAGCTGCAACTCTTGCATATAAACGCGACGAGAACTCGGATTTTTGACCATTCTCTGACCCCTAGAGTCTACTCTACAACATGGTGAAAGACGCTGCCGCTGGCGCCTACATCCGCGAAGCCAAGCTCCCAGAGGAGCTCGAGCAACTGGGCAAGATAGGCGCCCGCGCCTTCGCCTCGCACCCTGCGAAGAACTACTTCTCGCACCAGACCACTGCGATGCACCTGCAGGAGGGTGAGAAGAAGGCGAAGAGCTTGCGCCGACTGGCGTACTTCGAGGAGAGCACCCTGCGCTCGGTCATGCTCATCCACGGCCGCATCATGGTCGTCGCCGTGCCAGAGGCCGACGGCAAAGAGCGGCTTGCGGCGTGCGCCGCCTGGATTACCCCGGAGTCAGCTGAGTTCGACAGCCCCTGGGTGTTCGTCCGAGCGAAGTTCCATCGTGCGCTTCTCGGGTGGGGTTATACCACGGTGAAGGTAAGACAGGGCGCTTCACGGGCGGTAGTTTTGTTTGACCCCCTTTACAGAGGATCACGGAGGAATACCTTCCAGGCATGGCGAAGCGCAGGGCAGCAGAACTTGAAAGGCAAGGCATCAAGAACAACGACTACTGGCACCTTGAGCTGCTGTTCACCAACCCGGACGATGAGGGCCATGGTTCGTGAAATCTGCTCTTGCCTGCAAGTCAGCTGACGTTGCTCGAAGGTTACTGCGGGAAGCTTTTGAGGGAGCAGGAGGCGCACGACCCGACCAGGTTGTTCACCCTTGACGCCTCATCAGAGCGTTCAATTGGGATTTACCATCATTATGGATGGGTGGTAGGAGCGAACAGAACTTGAAGAATAATTGTGGCTGACGCGTTCGCCAGACGTACGATAAGTTTAGGCTTGGAGAAGGCAAGGCTGCCGAGGATGGCACGACAGCCAAGGGGGAGAAGGCCATTGGCGTCCCCGTTGAGCTGATGTATAGGGTGAGAGGATTTCGGCTTTCGTTCTCGCCCCATGTTGACTCCCTTATAGAAGCCCACGAAGCCTGAAGCAGCCGCATGATGGGGTTGCACATTGTTCGCGATATTTTGCTATGAATGGTATTCTGGATATCTTTTTCACTGGCGTTCTGAAGGGGGATGACACGGATGGATTGTCCTATTGAGCTATGCCCTATAATGCAATTATACGAGTATACCATACGATGTCTGCTCCTAAACGGCTTCCACGATTTCGCTTAATCCTCAGACTCCTTCCTCAACCTCCGTTCTATCCTATCCACCGCCTCCTTCCGCCTCTCATTGTACCCCTTCCTCGCATACCCCACCCGCGCGAGCTTTGCCGCAAGGATACAACGCTCCCTCTCCCGCTTACTCCTCACATCTGATCCCACCTGCTCCTCGCTAGGTATCGGTACGAGTTCAGGATGCGACGCTTGCGCCGGCTCGCTATGCGACAGCTTCGCTACCCCAGGGTGTGCTGGCTTCGCCCTCAATGGACTAGCCGTCGCATGCCTTCGAGGCGTCGGCGATGTCGGCTCGTTGGGATCTCGAGTGCGTTCGGCTAGCGGCGTCCTGCGTTCAGCCAGCGGCGTCCTGCGCTCATCGAGTAGCGTCCCGGTCACAGGCGGCCTCTTCGACAGCGGGGACGCACGCAGCTCCCGCCGTCCTGGCATGCGATACCTTGCTTCCGACCGCGGAGACACCGTCAGCACGCGGTACGTGCCGAATGCAGAAGGTAGGCGAGCGCGTTGTGGCGTCGACGTCGAGGGGGTTGTCGCCGACGAACGCAGGCGGCGGCTCGATACGGGGGACACAGCTTCCGCCTTGACGGCGAAAACGTCAAGGTCGGTCGTCAGAGGGAGACCGTAGCTGGTGATGGGGCGGAGGGTGGGCGGCTTGTCAGCGTCGATCGCGCGCCGTTTCGAGGCTGGCGAGGGCGTTTGCTGGGCAAGCTCCGCCAGTTTGCGCTTGGCAGCAGACGACGGCGTGCGCGGCGCAGCGCGCGGTCGCAAGGGCGAGCTTACCGGCGTCATCCGGTTTGCCATTCCTGCACCTTGAGCAGGCCCGATGTCCCACGCCCCATCTACACCGACACCCTCACGAGGCTTGTCTGGACTGGGCATTGGCTTCGCCGGACTGGAAAACACAACGGACGCCTTCGCAGGGCTGGAAGGGATAGCGGAGGACTTCGACGCCGGCGACGACGACAGCATAGCCTGCGACCTCGTCATCCCCGCCTGCCGCCAGAACAGCTTGTGCATCGTTTTCTCGCCCTCCTCGTCGTCCTCTGTCTCCTCGTCGCTTTCGAGCACGCGCGCGGGTTGCTTGCCTAGGGCACGCGCAGATAGACCGGGCGCAAGCGGAGCACCCTGAGCGCTTGGCTTCTGGATGTTCGCTTTCGCAACCCTTGAGGCATCGCCTTTGTCCATCGCGGTGAAGTCAAGCGGTTTGCCGGTAAGCAGCCGGTCGATGACCAGGACCTCATCATCTGTCATATATTCCGCCAACACGCCTATACGCTTGCGCAAATGGCCATCCCTCGCCCAGCGCGCGGCCGCGTCGTCCGCGCCGGCGCCAACCAAGTTCTTGAGTGCGGCGTCGCCTTCTTCGTCGTCCACGCGCTCCATTAGGTTCAACTTGACGCGCGGGTCGGCGGTGAGGGGGAGAGGGTTTGAAGGCGGCGAAGCGAGGCAGTCAGCGAACATGCGGTCGATGCAAAACCAGTCGAGGCCATGAAGGTCGGGGGTAAGGGTGTTCGGAACGACGCGGCGAGGACGGAAGAGCTTGACGAAGGCACGCAGCTCAGGAAGCGGGGAGTGACGAGACAGTGGAACGAGCTGGGGATGTGGAATAAGCGGATGCTAACAAGCGCGAATGACAGGACGGAAATGAGAGGGATCCAGACTCTCACCAAAACACTCGGAGCTTCCCCCTTCTCCAATAGCGCCTTGTGCTCTGTCAGGTAATCATCCCACTTCTCCTCGTCCATGCTGACGGGGTTGACATATACGACGCGCTTGCCCAGCCGACTGATCACCTTGCGCGGCTTTCCGACCTCGTCGTCCACGGCGACATGGTCGCAGCGATCGAATCGCTCGCAGGCGTGAAAGCGTGTCGCAGCTGGGTCTGAGGTGACGATTCGGCGTAGGAAAGAGTCGCTCAGGCACTTGAAGATGCTGTACTTGTAGCGATCGAGGTGGATCTGGGTGATTCATGAATACGATGTAAATGAACGTAGAGGAAAAGGGCTTGCAGGTGTATCAAACGCTTGCGCAATTGCTTTGAGTATGTCCTCGTAGCCCCACGTCCAGGAGTTGATGAAGAAGTGCGTGGAAGGCGGATAGAGCTTCATAAGCTCAATTAGACCAGACGTCGCTCGAGCCTGTAGATTGGGTTCAGTACTACAGCGAAGGAAGATGTGGGGACTGTACCTTCGAAGGCACATTTAGCTGGGAAGTGACCGTTGCTGTATCAAGATAGATGGCATCCAGAGTCTTCAGGACAGTACTAAGGGCAAGGTCTTCCGGTGATAACTTATTCAGGTATCCGTTATGGATATAGGGTTGCAGAGAGGGGTGTCGCGTTAGGCCATCGAGGAACCAGGGTTCGGCACGAAAGTCGCCCGTGTGCAGGATAGCTCCTTTATTCCCTTCGATAAGATACCTGCAGTTCGAGATCAGCTGAAGAAGATTATGTGGTAGAGGTTGGTCTTACATTACAGCGCCTGGGCAATGGTTGGCATCTATCAAGGTCACCGTAACCTCCTCGTCGGCGGATAATTCAAACTTTGTAGCTGTGTTGAGAGGTATTGCTCTCTGAGAATTGGTAAGCCCATTGAGCCATCTCTGGAAGTTGTGACCGTACCAGGAGGTCCCTCGATCCCGTATAGTACATAGTGCCATCTGGACATTGAATCGGGTCGACCTTCAGATGGGCGAAAGCGCGCGTCTTCTCCGCACGGATGTCCATCGCAAGCAGTGCGCGTTCCTTGTAGACTTCGTATCTTAGCAACATTTCCTTCGCGTCCGGCGAGCAGATGACATTGTACCCGAACGACCTGGAGGCCAAGCCGGTAATGTGGTCGGAGTGGGTATGTGTAAGGAGATGCAGGAGGGGCGTTATGCCCTCCGTGTTGCTGCCCGTAAATTCATCGACGCGAATATGATATGGTAGGATGAAGGACCCATACGGCGCCCCGGGAGGCATGCGCGCACAGGCGGCGGCGGTAGTGGTGGCAGTCGGAGACAAGGGGCGCTGACCGCGATACGGGATGCCGGGCCGGAGTCCGGACAATGAGCAGCGCCTCCTCGGACTTTGTGGACATCGCCACGAACATCCATCACTCCCATTTCACAGCCCACCCCAACGCTTCGTGGATCCTGTATACTGCTTCCTTACTCTTACCGTCATGTCCAAGGAGGAGCGCATCGGAACGCTCATCGTCGTCGTCTTGAAGGCGAAGAATCTCATTGACAGGCACTCGTTCTACAAGCAGGATGTGTTCTGCCAGATTTCCCTAAACGGTGCGCGCTCAGTGAAGGGTGATGGTGTTTAAGGGACACTGACATCCTCCCAGGTACCGATAAGCGTACGAAGGTGGATGTGAAGGGTGGTCAGCACCCAGTCTGGGACGACGAGCTGCGGTTCCCAGTCATGAAGAACGCGACGGGCAAGTTCAGACAGCTGGAAGTAACCTGCTTCGCCAAAGAATCCAAATCGGACGACTCCCTCGGCTCGGGCACGCTCGATATCACAGAAACACTAAAGACGGGCGAGTTCGATGGTGCGTCGCTCACCGTAGTTCCCAGACATCCACTGACAACACAGCAGACTGGATTCCCCTCAAACTGGACAACACCCAGCGCGGAGAAGTCTACCTGGAGATGACCTACTACGCAAACGCTCCCGCACCGCCCAACTACAACAACCTCCAGCGCCGGCCCTCCAAGCTCAAGCCTAACGATCGCCTCGCGCGCCCGCCCGTGACACCGCCCAAGGGCTCGCCGCTGCGCAGCGATGTCCCCCTCCCATCTCAAAGCCATCTGATGCCTTCAAACGCTGCAGCTGGCGGGAGGCAGCGTGTCGTCAGCACCCCGACGCCCTCCAGGCACGCTGATGCAGCTGCTGTCACACCCCAGGGCGCTGGACGAGGAGGCACTGGGCGGGGAGTGCCCTCGGCGTTGCAGCCTGGGGGTTCGGCCTTGCCTGGAGGTCACGTACCGTCCATCTTGCGGCCAGGGAACCCAAAGTCATCCCCGCACCCCATTGGCCACAGCCGTCATTCGAGCGCGGACCTGCCGCCCATACCGGGCGAGGAAATCGATACGAGCAAGTACACTGGTGACACCAGCAAGTATACGGGCGATACGAGCAAGTATACAGGTGATACCAGCAAATACACCGGCGACACAAGCAAGTACACCGGCGACACTAGCAGGTACACGGGCGCGCCGAGTGTAATATCCCAGCAGCGCCCGACCTTGTACCTCGCTCCTTCCATCGCGCCATCGTACGCTCCATCGCAGCACTCGTATACCCCCTCACAACAATCCTATGCCCCGACTCCATCGGAGAGCAACGCCGGAGGCTTCTCGTTCCCAGTGCCAGGCATATCTGTAGCACCTTACGACGGCAACCCCACTCCCACCCCCGCACCCTATGCAAATGCCCCCGCACAAGCGCCCTACCAGAATGCGACCACACCTGTCCCTTACGCAAACCCCTCCACGCCCGCTCCGTACGCAAATCCCTCCACACCCGCACCCTACGCAAACCCGTCTACGCCTGCGCCGTATGCGAACCCCTCCACGCCAGCGCCCTACGGCGCTGGACCGCCTCCCCAGCAATACCAAGCTCATGCACCCTATACCAACGGCTACCCGCAGCACTCATACCCCCACGTCGAGCCCTATGCCGCGTACAACGCACCGCCGCAGGACCGAACCACCCCGCCGGGCGGCTATCCTGCCTCGCCTCCTCCTTCGACGCCACAACCATTCGCTCAAGGCCCGCACCGTCGGGAGTCATTCCCGGACCCATATCTGCAAAAGCGCTACCAGACGCCACTGCCGCTACCGCCGGGTCACGAAGAAGAGGACCGCAAGCGGGAGGAGCAACGGAAGCGGGATGAGGAACGGCGAGCGCAGGAGGAGCAGCGCAAGCGCGAGGAGGAGAAAGCCCGCGAGGAAGAGGCGCGGCGCGCAGAGGAGGCGAAGCAGGTCGAGGAGGCACGGATGGCTGATGAAGCACGGCGAGCGGAGGAGGCACGGAAAGCAGAGGAGGCGCGGTTGGCCGAGGAGGCGAGGAGGGCAGATGAGCTCAGGCGAGCGGAAGAAGAGGCCCGCCGAGCGGAGGAGGAGCATCGTCGCGCAGAGGAAGCGCGCAAGGCCGAGGAGGCTCGGCGCGAAGCTGAAGAGGCCCTGCGGCGCGCGGAAGAGGCGCGCAAGCGTGCCGAGGAAGCACGGCTGGCGGAGGAGCGCCGCCTCGAGCAGCTACGTCGGGAGGAGGCGCGTTTGCGGGCGGAGGAGGAGGAGCGGCTGCGGCGTCTACGCGAGGAAGAGGAGGAGCGGCGCGCGCTGCTGAAGGCACAAGAGGAAGAGGAGCGCATGCTGCGGGAGGAGCGTGCTAGGAGGGCGAGGGCGGAGGAGGAGGAACGGCAGATGCTGCTGAAGCTGCAAGAAGAGGAGGAGCGCGCGTTCCGTGAGCAGGAGGAGAGGGATATGGAGATCGCGAGGCAGTTGGATCGCGAGCTCAACCTTGCTGGAAACTAGGAGCGTTATTGTGACCGAGACCTGGCGCCGTGGGTCGGGCGAAGGCCCTTTATGGCAAGCAATTGTTACGAAAAAGGAAGGCTTTGAGAACGTTTGGGGTATACGCGGACCCTTTCAATTACCGCTTATGGATTCATTTCCGTGCATTCCCCCGCCCCAACCTTCCCCCAGTTCATAGCGCCCGCGGATATTCCCCAGTACGCCGGACAAGACCACCCGCGAATAACCCCAAATTCGTGTTAGCCGAAGCCCAAGGTACGGTACCGCGACACTGAAATCAAAGCCTCCAATCCATCCATTGCACATATTACAATGGTAAGTCCAGGTCAATCAGGTATGTGAGGAGTCAGATCCGGTGAAGAGAATCAGATCCAGAAGAGAATGATGATGGCATAAGTAGTACAATGCACCCCAGATACAGAAAAGAGCGAAGGAAGAAAATCCACGGGGCTAAAATACAACGAGCGACAACGCAGTTGTAGTCGTGCGGTAGGTACTGTAGCAGAATCGTTAGCTGGTCGTGTGGAGGGGAGAGCGCACGGGCACGCCTGGGATATCCATGTGCAGGCTTGGGATATACAAAGCGTACGACGCTGGCGCCATCTACAAAGGGAATCATGCGATTGAGCCCCCGAACGAGTGTGTCTTCCCAGTGTGAGGGGATATCGGGGAGAAGACGGTTGGGCTCTCTAAGCTGAACTCGACCGTGGAGCCGTTCCTCTGAGCGTCGAAGGCGTCGCGGCTGTCGTAGAAGCCGCCGTCGTCGCGCGTTCGGGTCGGGTTCACGCCGGCAGGCATGGAGACATGCGATATATGTCGCAGTGCGCTGAAGTTCACAGACACGCTACCGCGTGAATCACTTCTCGTCGTCGTCGAGCGCACGACTATCTGTGAGAACTGCAGGGAGGGAGCGAGGTACGCGGTCAGCCTGTGATTCCCTTGAAGGTGCGAGCTCAACTCACGATGATGGCCGTGACCGGTGCGTACTGAGATGGAATGCATAAGCGCGCGAACTTGCCATATGCTGGAGTCCAAACTTACCATGTCTGCCATGAGGGGGTATACGGCGGACGACGATAAGGACGAGAAGAACATGCCCGCGAGCCAGAGTAGGTTGACAGCCGCTGCGCGCCGCTCAGCATACATATCACCACAGCGGTGCGGGCACAAGACCTACCAGACTCGATGATGATGGCGCCGACTTTCAAGATGCGCCGCGAGTGATCTGGGACGGATTTGTGGGACATGCCGCGGTGGCTCCTCCATAGGCGCACGGAGATGAGCACTGGGAAGGCGTGTGTGAGCGAGGGAATGAGGGGCATGTAGCAGGGTGGCACGTACATGTGCAAAGGAGGTTGATCGCGAAACATGCTGCCCCAAATCCAACTTGAGGGTGCGTGAGCTTTGGCACATCTGTTTCCAGAGCGCTCAAACTGTGGTCCGTCATGAACTCGCAGTACAAGCTCCAGCCCAAGAGACCTTATGGGTGGTCAGGAACGCTTCGTGTGAAGCTCAACGCGACACATACCCAGTTCCCCAACAAATACCACGAAGGGAAGTACCAGAAGCCAATAGTTCGGCCGCCAGAGTATGAAACTGCGATAGACCTGAGAGCGTGATTAGACGAGGTGCTCAAGGTTACATGTGGTGCGCCACGCACAAGAAACGCGTCGGACACTGCGACTGCCACCAACGTGCATGCTACGTTGATGATGTGCTTCAAGTTATACCCAGAGAAGTCGATCCTCGGGCCCAACTCCTCGCTCGTCATGCTTGCAAGGAATGCCATGTCAGAGCACACAGCCTGAGCAACACGTTCAGTGGCGCGAAACACTGCAATGCGGTAGTGACGTACTGTGGTTGTGAGCATGAACAGGCATATACTTGTCCATGACAAGTAAACGAAAGTGGCAGTGGAGGTGGAGGAACGCTTCTCGGCAAGGAGATGCGCATGCTGAATCGACGTGCAGAGGTAGACTCCTACGTTGACGAAGTCAGTCAAGTCGCGCCACCGAGGTAGGCATGTACTGTTCACCGTAAAGGAGGACCTCTAGCGCCGTGCCTATGGCAGTGGCTTTGGCGATGGTCAGCATCGTCCCATGCAATGGAGGGGCGGAGAAGGGGGGAAAGGGGAGGGGAACGGAAGTGAGGGAGGGGAAGGAAGGCGGGGTGCGGTCCGGACGCCAATATAAGCACCGCACACTCACCAGAAGATCAGATGCTATACGGAGGACCAACGAGGCCTTCCGCGGAATGGAGTGACAGTCTTTGTTCCCTCGCAGGAACACCGGCGATCTGCTGTGCCATGGCTACCTATCAGGCCGAATGCGGTGTGCATGAGAACGGTGGCGGACGCATGGCTAAAGGCGCCGACCACGAGGGTGTCCCTGTCCCAGAGTCGGGTACTCGTGAGGCTAGCATTGTGAGAGGAGCGCCGCGTATGACGCGCGCTATAGTTGAGCTCGATGTTGACAGATGCGCTCGCGACTGTTGTTCCGTAGTCGTGAGCGCGGATGGCGACCAGCACGCCCGCAAAGCTGTCCGCAGGGGGTGTGCAGATCGACACGAGTGCGGTCCGATGATGGTGACTTATCTAGGCCTGATCGCACGGTCGTTTACGCCTCTGGACATGTGAACTTGCTCGCCGGCTTGGATGGAATAGGACTGGGGGAGCGCCCTGACCTCGACCGCGGCGCCAGCCTGTGCCACCAACTCCTCACCCACCTTCAATATCCGTCGATCTCGGTTGGCGTCGGGCGTGAACCGTGATCATCCCCGAAATCATCATATTCTGCCTGATGCCGTTCCTTATCGTGGCGCTCGCTCTTGTATGATGATGGTCCACAATGAAAGAGCTATCTCCATTGAGACAAGCTCATCGATTCGGGGCAACATCTTTTTGTTGCAGAGCGCGAAAGATCTTCAGAATATCGGATGGGAATGGAACGACCTTGGTCAAGTTGATAGTACGGGAAGGTGTACTGCGCTCGGTGGGAAGGCTGTCCATTGCAGTGTAGGTTAGCGTGTGGGCGAGGAACTGGGTCGGCCTCATGGTGTTGAGGTCAGAAACATGTGAAAGGCTGTGTTCAACTGGAAGACACGTGTAGCGCACGCGGACAAGTTCCCACGTTGCCACAAAATCCTCGTCGCCCTTGAGCGCAATCCTTCTTTCGACCGACATGCAGTGGGAGTGGTAGCAGGCAGCGATGTCTTCACCGATCCGAAGCACTGCTTACAAGCTTACATCTCAGGCTTAGTCTCGGGTCCCTCCGCGAGGATCATTGAAGTATAATAAGGTCTCTCGCCGCCAACTTAGCGCTGCACACTGGTCATCGGAGATACGCAAAGTCCTATGTCCGAGTATACCTTCGACCACTCTTCTTTCTCTGGAAAGCGCACCTTCCACGATGCTGAGCTTTATAGGACGCAGGAGAATTATACCTCACTTTTCTTCTCCAAGATCTGAAACCCATCAACCCCAGTACAGCAGTACAACCTTTCCTGTGCGGCAGGTTTGGACTTTGCTCTTCAATGCCCAATAGCTTCGTCGTCTACCCTGTTCCCACTGTGACTAACGTCTCCATCCGACGCTTATCCAACCCAGCCGACACGGCTCATAGACAGTCAGCGTCGTCATACGTCAGGAAAATGCCGCCGGAAGACATATAAGGCGCGCGGCTCGTACTGCCTCCCATAACCGTCCTTCAGCGCATAACTCATCTCGCCCAATGTCGTATATCTCTGAACTGTTCGGTGTTGAAGGCAGGGTCGTGGTCATCACTGGTGAGTAGCCTTTGAACGCTTCGGTTTTCCTCATGATTAATCATTCATTCCAGGTGGAGGCAGCGGCCTTGGCTACCATATGGCCGAAGCGTTCGTGAAGAGCGGCTCAAAAGGTATACCTTTACCCTTGCGCTATCCTCCACCATCTCACAATTGGAGTAGTCTACATCACAGGACGCCGCGAGCACGTCCTGAAGGAAAGCACGGAAAAGCTGAACAAACTCGGACCCGGCACGGCAGCATAGTAGGCAGTCCACCCGCCTTTCCTTCATTGACTGACAGATAACAGCTTCTCTGCCGACTTGACCTCTCCGGACGATATCAAAAAACTAGTCGCCCACATTGAGAGTCGCGAAGAAGTCGTGGATGTTCTCATCAACAACGTTAGTCCCGGCTCGGGGGAAGTGCAACTGCAGACATCCATCTAACTTTCTGTTCCTACCTCAGTCTGGCATCGCCTTCGCCGACCCCGCGGTCAGCCATATGGATACGATAGAGCGCCTGCAAGGAGTCTTCAGCAATAGCGATCCCGCTGCCTGGGACAAGGTCTACCGCACGAACGTCTGGGGCCCCTTCGCCGTGACCATCGCATTCCTCCACCTACTGGCCGCCGCTGCGAAGGCACGACCCAACGAGGGCCGTGGGTCGGTCATCATGATCTCGTCGACCAATTCGAACAGCTGGAACCCCTATATGACCACGCTTGGTACGCAGGGAGAATTCGTGCAACTGTTCCGTGCTCATCGACTCCGCCAGCGTACAACTCGTCGAAGACGGCGCTGAACCTGGTCACGAAGATCCTAGCCGCAAAGGTTTACCCGCACGGCATCCGCATCAACATTCTCTCTCCGGGGCCGTTCCCTACGTGAGTCGTGCCGCAGGGCTGCTCCTTTCGCGAACGTGCGTGATGATTCTCTGCCCATTAGCGACATGAACGACCCGAACTCGGAGGAGGGCATGACGAACCCGAGCAACTACCACCGCCTTCCAATGGGCCGTCCCGGCAACAAGGACGAGATTGCCGGTAAGACGACATCGTTGGTAGTCATACGAAACGATCTCTGACGCGATCCACAGGCGCGGCGCTGTACTTCGCGAGCAAGGCTTCCTCTTTCACGCACGGGGCCGACCTCCTTGTCGATGGCGGGCTCGCCCTCATCCAGAACGGCACCAACAAGATTCAGCCGTAAAAGGTGCTTGCATATGTTGATGATCTGCTTTTGGAATCTAGGGGGCGCTGTCATAGACCGAGGGCGTTCACTACAGGCGAGCCTGCTGCGCTCGGCAAAGGGCTGTGGATGCATGAACAATCAAGTAGACAAAACGAGGTTGGTACGAAATGGGAAGAAAAACTCAGTGACGCCAATGAATCAAGACTGAGCTCAGCCCTTTGAGGGCAGTGATAATTGCCGGCGGAAAGCAAGTCGAACGGTGACTGTCACGGTCACTACGCGTTACCGTAGGACGGAATTTGCCGATGCACGCTGACTTCGACCATGTTCCACCTTCCCTTTCGTCTGAAGCTATGAAACGTGCTTACACTCCAAGAACATCACTTCTCGCAAATCTCTTGACGCTCGTCACTGCATTCTCGCCAAGAGCGCTCAATATTGTTTGACGGCCCGAATGCGAATAAATCGCATCGGCGGCGCGCGAGGCGTGGCGCGGCCGTTGGAACCGGGCTGAAGTCAATGAACTTCGGTATGAACTCAATGGACCCTGTGCTGGACTGAATGGACTGGTTGAGCAAGCTTCGAGGGAGCTTGGGAAGCCGCTCAAAGCCGCCCGATGGTAAGCGTATCTCGATTCTGAGCAGCCCGATGCAGTTTAACTGACAACAGCTTCCTTCAATCATGCCAGGCAGGTCTCTCGGAAAGAGTCTGTACATTGAAGTCATGTCCTGACTCCCAGATTTCCCTCATAGGTGAGTCTCCAGTGTATGGGACGAAATAAGGTAAGAGAACAACTCCAGCAGCTCGTTCAGCAAGTGAATTAGCCTGAATTTACCAGGTCGTCATCCCGTCGCTGGTGCTTTAACGACATCAATTCCCATTGCACCCGAGAACAAGGATAAGCTTGACGATCCGGATGACTGTAGCACGCCGTGAGGCATGCATGGTGATGCCACTCGGTACGCCATGAGGACACCGAGCACTTACAGCAATTGTACCCGTCCCTTTGCACCCTCACGCAGGTCAACGACCGAGCTGCCTGTCCTCCGGCGCCGTCGGGCCATCATCTACGCATTCATCGTCGCGGGAGCATGTCCGCGGTGCACGATGCGGCACCGCGGTTATCCTTGCCTTTCGCGCTGGTGGCGGCGCCATTCCGGGCTCGTCGGCGGGTCGCTGCAATGAGTGAAGGACGCATCCAGTACAGATGGACTCTAGGACATTGCACACTGGCTTATGACCAGTCAAAAAATCATATACCATTTGTGCTGCATATTAGACAGCGAGGAGCGACAAGACAAGGAGGAAGCATAACAATGCGGTCAGACCAAGGATACCGCTACACACTGTACGCCGGTGTCATCCATGAAAGCATAGAGAAGTAAAGGGAAGTACAGGAAAGGAACACAGTCTGCCAGAGTCCGTATCAAAGCAACACGTGTGGCAGAAGAAAAGGTGTCCAGCAAAAAAGTACACGATTGTCCCTAGGTATACAGATGAGCAAATAGATTATCGACATTGAGTCCCCTCAAACATTGTTCATTGCGCCAAACGGAGCTGCACCGCCAACTCGCGCTCAGCTGCCGACGATATCGACGCATACGACACCACAGACGACCCGCTCGACGTCGCGCTCGCGCTCTCCTCCACGTCGTCCTCGTCTTCTTCCTCTTCCTCCTCCTCCTCGTAGCGGAACGTCGACACCGTGACCACCCTCCCGTCGGGGAGCGCCAGCCCGTTATCCACTATACATGCCAGCAGCGGATCGGTGACACGCGCGCGCGGGCGGTACTTGACCGCCCACCGTATGTCCGTATGGTAGACACGGGCCTCGATAAGCCCCTTCAGCTGCTGGCCCGTCGCGTTCATGCGGAACTCCTCGAGGTTGGGGAACAGCAGCGTGCGCGGCAGTTCCTCCGTCTCGGGCTCCTTGCCTTTCCCCTTGGCCGGCGACTCGGGCGGCCAACTAAAACCCATCTTCAGGAGCTCGTACACGGTCCTGCCGTTCTCCGGGTCCTTGACGATAGCCCGCTCGAAGTCTATATCCAGCACGCGCACGTTCGCGCTCTTCTGCAGCAGGAGGAGCATGCAGGAGCTGCGGGTGCACTGTAGCGCGGCGATACGGAACGTGTGGAGCCCTTTGAGGATGTACTCGGACGACGCCGGCATGCGCTCTGGCGGCAGGCCCGTGATCGGGTTGGGCGTCGTGGAGGAAGCCGAGTTATGTAGCCCGGATATCAAGCGCATGAGGGGCGCGAAATTCTGATCGGCGAGCTCGACGTGCATGACGCGTACGCGGGGGCAGGTCATCCGCTCGAGAATGAGGCAGGCGTACTCGGGATCGAGGTCGATCACGCAGAGCTCCTCGAGAGCCGGCATCAGGATCTTCTCGTTTGGCGGGCGCCACACGAGGTCCGGGTTCGTGCCGGCGGATTTGGGACCGCTGTAGTGGAGGGTGAGGCGGCGCAACGTCGGGGAGGCGGCCTTGAGGACCTTGCCCCAGAGATCGTACGGGATGCGGATGTTATTTGGGTGTAGGGCGAGCTCGAAAGAGGTAAGGGGATGCTGCAGATAGGGCGACGTGGCCCATGGTAGATTGACACCAATCATGGACACATGCTGTAGTCGAGGCAGGTTGTTGTCGAAGATGGGTACTGGTGGCCGGAACGTCGCGTCATAGAGGTTTTGCGCGGTCCCGTAATCTTCGAAGTGATATAGCTGTAGAGTTTCCAGCTGGGGTGCGGGCCCACATCTGGAGAGATAATGCCGAGCCGCGAGCTTGCACTCCTTGTCCCTGACCTTGAGATGAAAGGACCGCCAGCGCGCTGCGTGTGGACAGACAAGCTGGAAGATGCGCTTTATCTCCTCCCTGCACAGTGTGACGTTGGGTATGTGGTATTTCTCCTGCACCGTGTCGATGAGGATATCGAAAGTGATGTACCCTGATTGCTCGCAGCGTGCGATGTACTCCTGCGCGCGGTCGATGTGCGACGGCTCGCGGAAGAAGAGGAATGACCAGAGGGAGGGTGTGGCGAGCGCAATGCTTCTCCAGTGCGAGCAGACGGCGGATACGGTGAGCTGAAAATTGGAGGCTGGTGCAGGATAGTATTCTGTGTTCGGGCGGAGTAGAAAAGGCGAGTGATGGTAGGGGAAGTCGTAGTTTGCGCCGAGAACAAAGATGCGGGTGAGGAGCTCGACTGGGAGGGAGTGGATGCTTGCTTTCTGCGGGCGATGAGGCGGGATCGGCGGCAGGCGGTGATGGGGGCGCACCTTGACCATGACGGGCGTAGGCAAGGATGGAAGATTCCGCTCGGCCCTCCAATCGCCCAGCCCTCTATTCTACACGTGATGCGTGACGGCGGCGGCGACCTGCCCTGGGTGCGGGTGACCAAGCCTTCCACGAACGTCGGACGCGAATAGGTCGCCTGCGAAGCTAGCCCTTTACGGAAGAACCTTACGGGAAGCCCTGTCGTTCACTTGCTCACTTCTTCCAGTTCTTCCCAAGCTGCAGAAGTCAGCCCATTCAGCTTGAAGGGGACATACGGACACGGGTGGCAGGACTCGACAGGCGCATGCGTCCCCGCTTTCGCATGTCAGACGCGCCTTCTCAGCGAAGCAGGCCACGCAGCGATTCGAACCAGCCCCTTCACGGGTTCATTGCCTCTCACGGATCTTGCGTATGCGGCACGATATCTGCGCGAGTGCATACACTGTCAAAGAGGAATCAGACGCGGTGGCAATGAAGGGACGCACCGCTCAAAGTCCAGCCGAAATGAAGACTTTCCGGGCAGCGTAGGTTCGGAAGACTTCCGGGGTTCCGTTGAACATTGTAGAAAGAGGGCTGCGGTCAAAAGGCTATCCGTTCTATTCCTTGACCATCATCATTCATCGAGTCAAGCGGGAACGCTCCAGTGACCATTCAGGTAGTTGCAGCCCAGTTCAGTCGTGTGAGCGAGAATCAAGCAATTCAGCCAGTCTCTTGCGTGAGAGTTTGCGCGAAGATGCAGAGATACGCAGCGCAGTTGTTGGAAGTACGGAGAGACCAGTGGAAATGACAAACAAACGGTTTCTGCTTCTTCGGCAACACCCGGTCACACCATGTCACCGCCTGTTCAACTTGGCGAGCTCGATGTTTCCGGGAGGATGAAGGCGTGGGCTTCGAGGTGCCCTCATCCTCGGGGTTCAGAGCTCACAGGAACCATCAGGCTAAGCAAAGGACACCACAAGTACCGATATTATTCATGAGCGGGGCCCGCTGTAGGATAAATACAATAATTTATATCCCAACACTTGGCCCATTCGCGAACATGAGGAGTTCGGACGCCCACCCTCTAGCAGAAGGTGACCTCGAGGTTGACCTGAGTGAACAGTCAGCAAGGTGATCGTGAAGGAGTCGATAGCTGTGATACGCACATCGTTAGCCTCGCACTGGACCTGGGCACCGTAGTCGTCAGTGACGTGGAAGGCCTCGGGGCAGTCAGCAGAAGCGCCTGGGAGAGATGTCAGTGGACAGAACGTATTTGAGTTTGAGAGTCTACGCACAAGTCTTGCCCTGACCGTCGCAGCCGTTCGAGTACGAGAAGCCAGTCTTGACGGAGTAAGTGTGGGGCGGGATGAGCGAGACGTCGACGCTCGAGCCGGCACCCGGGGAAGTGGGGTTCTGGAGGGTGAGCTCGAGGAGCGTGCAGCCATCCGCGCTGCCACCGCAGCTACCGGTCTGAAGGTAGCTGAAGGGAGTGTGAGTTGGAGTGGAAAGGATGAACGGGGAAGGTACTCACGCGATGGCCGCGGAGAGCGGGCCGTTGTGCGTGTAGGAGCCGTCACCGGAGTGCAGCGTCTGGAAGTTCTGCTCAAGCTGGGGGGTACCCGAACCGCAGCTGGAAAAACCGTGTTAAAAGTTCCAACTCCCAAGATAGCAGTAGGGAGACGCACTTGTTGTGGAAGGTCACAGTGTGCGACTCGGCAGCGACGAGCGCAGCACCAGCGAAGAGGACAATAGCCTTGACAACAGAGAACATGGCGGATGATTAGAGCGAGAAGCAAGAGACGGCTGTAGGGTGCGGAAGAGAAGTGAAAAGACGAGACGAACTGAGGGTCCTACCTCCCCAACCACCCATCTTATATACCCCTTCGACGCCCGCGCACTGCACCGGTGTGCCCTCGCGTTACGACTCATTCTACAAGTGGCCAACAGGTCAGCGACAATGGCCACCCAGCCCGTCCTGATCAGCGGCAGTGACCGCCCGCCGCGTCCGCCTCCGCTCGCGCATGCTGGTTAGCATCACGACGCCGAGTACGCGGCGTGGGGCGAGGAATATAGCAGCGAGCATAGAGTAGGCGGTCTCCGCTGCGGGACGGCAGCGAGCGAAACAGCAAGAGCGCAGCGCGAAACGAACATCCAACCTGCGGCCGCGACGGCCAGCATTTTGCTGAGGAGCCCCCGCCGTCGTACCTCGGCAGTCTGCCTCCGAAGGGTTGTTCTGGCCGTCGGAGATGCTCCCTCGCTATGAGTTGGCGTTGTCGAGGTGCTGGGGTAGTTGAGACTTGTCCGTAAGCGCGGGGTGTTTGACGATCCTTCGATTGTGCGCAAGGCTCAGTCTCCGGTCGATCTGTGGTATAGCACAGCATCAGAGAGAGCGAGCGCCGAGGTCAGAGGCTTCAAGCTTCAAGGATTGGTCCTTGCATAGTCAAGTACTATAGTAAGCCTGCTACGCGCCTGTCGGAACAGTCAAAGGTGGAAGATGATCTGCGGAAGGCAGTGTTCCCGTAATCATCAACCGTGACATGTATGGCCGTCACACTTTCGCGCACTGACTACACACTGAAAGGGAAAATGTCAGACAGCGGAACGAGCCGCACGCAGAGTGTACTGTCCCAAAGGACGCTCCGCGCGGGTCATAGTCGCTTCTAGATCGATATTTCGAATATTCATACTTATGGCCAAGGCGTGAGTTTACCCATGAAGGGCGCACCGAGGCCATCCGAAGCATTCGAATGAGAGCAGGAAAAACAGCAACGGTTTGAGCACACAAACTTACGTCGGACGATACGGGCATTGAGCCCGAGCAGGCGGCCGTCTTTGCGTTCGCAGACGACAATTTTTCTTTTTCTGAGCTCGCTATCTGTAAGGACGTCAGTGTGTTCTTGTTGCAGAATCCTGGTATTACGTACCTCGCTTCAGGACAGAGGCAAGCTCATTCGCGTCAGTACATTGTATGAACCACGGGTACACTCTTCGACCCGACCTTACTACCCTAACCTCGCCCGCAATCCTGCCGACACCAGCTCCTTTGGCAGCATATCCCTCACCTGTGACTTGATAGTCAGCACGCTATTCCAGCACAACCTTTCCCGTCCACTCACCTTCCCTGCCAAGTCAGCGCCGCCCACCTCCCATCCTCCTTCCGCCGCGTATAGAATCACACCCTCCACCAACCTCTCTACTAACGCGCCGACGCCAAAACGCTCCTCGGTATACCGCCGCCAGCGCAGCATGTTCTGCAAGAGCTTGACATGGCGAGCGATGTAGCGCCGGCGTGCAGGGATGGCCTCGGGGTCGAAGGGCCGGGAGTAGCCATGAGCCTTGTATTGGACGAGCAAGCCCTCGGCGGAGGCGACGGCGCGCTGGAAAACGGTGATGACGGCCTTTTGGAGGATCTAGGAGGGAGTGTCAGTTACGTGAGTATATCGAGCACGAATAGAGTGAAATGGTATGCATACCTGCAACTTGATGCTATCCGGCTCAATGCTCGCCTCAACCTCTTCCGCCAAGTCGATGACCCGGCGGACGTGCTTTTCCGAGTACGCATCGAATGCACCACCCTCAAGCACCTTCGCCAGGCGAGGAATGACGGCGGTGGTAATCATCGACGACACCAGGTCACCATCTGGACCCAGGTCGCGGGACTCCACCTCCCCCTCCCCTGGCCGCGCGTATTCGTACAGACCCTTGTACCACTTGAACGCATCAAGGCTGCGCGAGTTCTAAGAATGAGGATTGAGCACATGCACGGCATAATTGAGATGAGAACCAAAACACATACCTCAACAGGATCCCAGTCGGCCATCTCCAACCTCACCCAGAATTCCCAAGCGCTCACCACACCCAGCCCACCCCATGCACCAACATAGGTATCCGCATAGTGCTCCCGCCAGCTGCCCCACCGGCCCCTCCCGGGATCGCGGAACTCCTCCGCGCGCACGTCCGCCAGCACTTCCCTCCGGCTCTTCTTCAAGCTCGCCACGGCGTCGTCGTACGCATTCGCATCCTCCTCTGGCAACGATGAGTCCGTGGAGTATCCCTCCTCGTCGTTCTGGATGGAGGTGTCACGAATATGCCGCCGCTGCCGCCGGGTGAGGCGGGTGGTACGGCGCGACTGGCGATCAGATTTGGCGGAGGGCTCTTCGGTAGTTTGGGGGATAGGACCGAGGAAGGTGGCGAGATCGTCGATGTCTTCCTCTTGTCTGCGCTTGGCAATGATACCAGACCGCTCTTTGAGGAGGACAAGTTGATCCTCTTCGACGCGCTCGAGAGCTGGGTACTGAGGGAAAATGTCAGGGTTGGAACAAAAGGACGATCATAGTATGTCGACCTACCTTTTCATCCAAGAAGCCGGCCACGCTTTCCACCCACTCCCTGAACTCATCAAACCATGCCCGCTTCGCCTCTGCGCGCTCGACCATCTCGCGCATCTCCTTCTCCCTTTCTTCAATCTCGTCTCGCTCCCTCGCAACTGCGTTCAGCGCAGACGTGGTGGAAGCGTGAGACGCAGTCAACTGTGAAAGCTGCTGCGTTAGCCGAGCGAGTGCCGGCGCCAGCGTTGGTATAGGCGTAGATGGAGGTACTGCCAAACGTTCAAAGTCTGCTCAACGCCCGCAATGACATCGAAACGTACTTGGTGCAGGCTTATAGACCGCTTTGGCGGGCTTCCCAGGAACGTCGGTGGGCAACTGTCCGCCTCTTCGTATCTGCTCTTGCTCCCATTCCATGGCTTCTTCGTCTTCTTCCTCCCTGAAGCAAAGTTAGTAAACGCTCTTTCGTGGCACTAAGTACTTACGCATCAGCGATCAGCTCCTGAATATCCTCTCGTCGTTTCGCGGCTTCAGCCTTGCGGGACTTCTTGCCGAGTGCAATGCGGTCTTTCGCGCTCGTATACTCAGCAAACTCTGCCAATCAGTCAGTCCTGTATTCCAGCGCATTATCTGCCAATGACTTACCATCATCACCTTCACCCAAATCATCCTCCTCTCGCATAAGCCGGCTTGTTGGATGGGGGCCTTGGTACTCGGTTTCCCGCTGCACCAACGACAATGAGATGAAGTCCTCATCGGCAGGCTGTCCTGTCTTTCGCGAGCGCTCTCGCCGCTCTTTCGCAGCCTTAACCGTTGACTCAGTCGGAATCAGTGGTGCGGGCTCTGCACGTTCTCATCAGTGACCTATAAAACCAGCTTTCGAGTAGTCCACGCACCTACGGGCTCGTCCAGGGCATCCACGTCTATGACAGATACTGCCATATCGGTCGAGTCAACGTCCATCGCCATCTCAGGATCGACATCTGCGGCGAAGGTGGGACGCGCCGTAGGGGTGTTTGCCTTGAGTTCATTCAGGTAGTTCTGGTCGTACTTGGGAGCCGAGCTCTGAGGTGTTATTGATGCCTGGTCTAAGTTGGGTGGAAGAGCACTTCTGCGTACACGTCAGACCGCGTCGTATCCGGAAAGGGAACGGCACGAACTTGTTGCCGTGCGAGAGCTTCTGACTGAGCTTCGACTTTTTGACCTTGAACTCCGTCCCTTCACTCTCCTGTGAGTACCATGAATATCGTGCATGCGGCCTCATATGGAATACACACCTGTTCCTCCGCTCCAAAGCTCAGCGGCGTCTTCACCTTTGCTTTCTTTGCCTGTTTCTTCAGTTTCGTTGCGATCGCGCTGGGGGACTCGGCTCCTGCGCCATCCTCGTCACCAGCGGTCTTGACAGTGTCATCCGCCGCCACCTCACTCAACCGTGGCTTGAATGCGGGCTTGGGACCCTTCTTCTTGAACAACGACATGACGGAAAGAGGAAACAGAGGCGCGTATGTTCTCACGTGTGATCAGCGGGGGTTGTGCGATTGCCGACTTTCTGATCTTGTCCCGAACCGTCATGCCGCCCCGTCCGCGACCTAAGCCCCGCCCCAAGCCTGCACCTGCGGCCTCGTCGTCCACTAGCACACCGCAAGATGAGGACGAGTTCTTCATCAAGCACCGCTCGGACAAGATGTGGACGCAGCTGAACAAGTTGAGCGAGAAAGGTGCGGTGGCGCGCATAGGGAGCATGTACAGCACTAGTAACACGATATCTAGAGGAAAAGGAGAATCAATCTCGCGACAGCAGTGACGAGGAAGACGAGGAGGCCTCCCCTCGCAAGCGCAAGAAGCGTACAAAGGCTCCCGACGGCGACTACACACGCCCGAAGTGGGAGCGCGACAAGTCTGCGCTGAGGTATGTCTGCTGTGCGGCTCGCGCCAATATATGTTTACCCATCGCAGAATATTGTCAGAAGGTCTTAGCGATGATGATAGCAGCGACTCGGGTATCGAGATCGTTGGGGAAAGCGGTCCGAGCAATACGCAGGGCAAGCGCAAGCGGCAGGAGTCGAGGGCGCGTAGTCGATCCAAATCACTCACTCCCCCACCGATGCTATCGCGCGAACGCTTAGAGGCAGCGCGAAAAATCATCAGGTGAGTATGCACAAGCTTCCCTACTGTCCCTCCTATCCTCGTTTACAGATCACACTCACCATGCACACATCCGATCTCCCCTCTATGCCCCCTTACCGCATATACTCACCCTTCACGCTAGACAAACATTTGACGCTACGCGCCGCCCGACCTCGCCTTCGCAGGACGACGATGACGACGACTTTGACGCCGACCTCACCACCGACACCATCGTCCTCGACCCTGAGCTGGCAAAGGCCGCTAAAGCCGCCAAAGCTCGAGCTGCGTCACGCGCATCGTCAGCCACACCCTTTGATGGTTCGGACGATAAGGTCACCATCTCGGTGACCTGGCAACCACATCCGAAGGACCCGCAGGGCAGGTCAGAGGCGTTCAACTTCGAGGTCGAGAGGGTGAATGCTATTTCCGAACGGCGTTCTAGCTGCACGGTAATGCTAACGATACCCTCAGCACAAGTCTCTGCGCGAGGTGTTCGAAAGCGTCGCGGATGAGATGGGTATCCTCTCCAGCAAGCTCTACATGACACACCAAGGCGTCCGCATCTTTGGATCCGTGACAGCGAATTACCTGCAGGTGGGGAAGGCGGCGTCATTAGGTGAGTACATGACCTCCAGATTATCTATCCACTTTGTTCGTATATGCGCGTCGAGTGCTAACTCCGCCCTTAGTTGCCTGCGAGAAAGCTACCTACGAATACCTTCGTGAGCAAGAAGAGATTCAACGCCGCAGCTCCGTACACCCACCATCCGATAACGAGGGCGACGATTCAGACGACGACATTGTCGTCCTCCATGACGGCTCCGATGACGACGCTCCTGGTCCGCGTGCCTCCTCACCCACCTACACCTCTGGCTCTACGACTCGCCCATCCTCTAATTCTGCTCCTCACACCAAAGCTGCCACACCCGCCCCTCAAGCACCCGACAATGACGAGGGCGACGATAAGTTCAAGATCATCGTTCGTTCTTCGTCGTTCCCCGACGTCCCGCTAACGGTGCGCCCCACTACGACGTGCGGTGCCATCGTCCGCGCCTTCCTCAAGAAGGTGGGCGTGGCGGAGCAGTACCCGAACGCTGGTATCGCGCAGCCAGAGCCGCCAAAGAAGGGCAGAGGGAAGAATGCCGCTGCCGTCAAGGACCCGCATCTTGAGATAGACGGGGACAAGATGGCTCATACGGCGCCCATTGACGAGGCGGGGCTGGATGATGGGGATGTGGTGGATGTGCATGGGTTATAGGCGGTGAGCCTTGGCTACAGCTCTGCATCTGCCACTGGCTCTCGATGTCCTAACTTATTATTCGCTTTGTGCCCACTGCAGCTTCCGTCTGCTAAGGGCTTTTCATGTACGCCATTCCTTTTCTTCGTGCATTGATACCTTATTACAGCCTTGGTATACTACAACAATTGATTACTTCGGGCATCTTGAGGCACTTGTTGCTTACACCGCGAGCAGCTCTTTGAGCTTGCCAGCCCGGTGTGCGGCCTGGGTGTCGTCGTTGCCGCCAATGTGCTGCTTTTCTGTAGGGCAAGCACGATTAAGTAAAGACTCGCCATGGTGGAGGCACCGAATACTGACTAACGAAGATGTTGGGGACGGTCCGCTGCCCGGTCTTGTCCTCGAGCGCGTCCTGAATTGTGGAGCCGTCTTCCAGTTGGTCGAGCCTGAAAGTAAGATGAATTAGTACTTGTAGGTTGGAAAGGCGTTATGATCAAGGGCTGGGGACGGATAATCTTTGGGATCGTACAGGGAGGAGGTTCGCGATGAGAGCGAGAGAGTATACGCACTCGACGATCTCAATATCCTGATCCGCGTACTCCTTCTGTAGCAGGCTCTTCGCGCTGCGACAGTACGGGCAGTACGACTTCGAAAACACGGTGATCGTGTGCTCGTTCACGAGCGACTGGGCAAAGCGTCAGCGAATCAGCTTTGAGAATCAGGTTAAGCGCCCATGGGCGAGATGCCGAGAGATGTCAACGAGTATGCCTATGCGAGACCAGAGTAGATACAGCGAAGACTGGCAGGGTCCCGTGTACCACCGCGGTACCCGATGGGTATAGATATGACCTCGATGAGCACTCACATCAATGTACTCCTGCACGGACACGCCCTCGGGGACGCCCTTCGCTCTGGATGAGTTGGTGCCCATATCGCTTTTGTGTGTTCGTTGGTGGGAGGGGAGGAGGAGATGGAGGTTCCGGTTAAGAGCTTACGGTGCCCGAACGGCGATTGTTCAGCGGTGTAAGCTGGCATGTGACGTCAGAAAAGGTTATCCCACGTGAATCTGGCGTGATCACGGCAAGTTTGATTTTCGACGGACAAATATAACTCAGAAGGCCGTTACACGGCAGGGCCCGCTACCCAGCCCCAGTGAAAACAGATTATGACGGGGTCAAGCCTGGTATGTCAGGATGTGATGAGACGCCAGCGTGGCGCTGGCACATGTGATCAGATCGTACCGCTTCGGATGTTGGCGTTTTCTCGACCCTCATCTAGTCCGACTCGCTGCATCAATTAGTTTCTGAAAACATGATTTCTGCTGTGCTACGTTAGGGATCCGATGAGCACAGAAAATGCAAACCTCGAACACGCTGGATCGAGGCGTCGATTTGACGCAGCCACGCACATTTCCTGATCAAGATCCTCAGTTCCCTTGTACTTCTCCCTTGTACTTCTCGCGCACAACACAGCTCCTCGTGTCATGGCGAATGAGATATTGTGCTTCTGCTCTCGTCGATGTGGTGGTCCGGGTGGCGGGGGACGTCTGAAAGCGCCCAAGACGGTACAAAAGCATGCCCGGGAAGAACGGGACTATCAAAACCGTCAGTTATTGGCTTCGACAAGCGAGCCTAACAGGCGGCTAGTCCAGCTTACGACAGACACCGCGGCCTCCGATCGTGTCAATCCCTCGACTCTGGATTTGCTCGACGTAGGCTCAGCCGCCAACACGCGCAAGCGCCAGCCACAACGCGAGCCAACTCCACCTCATGCGCATCCTCAGGACAAGCGGGCGCGCCTGCAATCACATAGAGATCCCTCTGAAGATGAGATCAGCAACCCTCAGGTGAGTTTTAGGTATAGCATGATAGCACGGCATACTAATTTGACTTATAGCAGCCCCTTGACCTCGAAGAATATGAGGTGCCCCCGCCAGGTACTCCACGTCCCGAAGGTAATGCTGACATTACTTCACATGATGAGCTTGCTGATGCGCAACAGATGTCGATCCCTTGAACGAGGAGGACTACGAGCGTACGAATTCAGAGAGAGAAGACGCACGCGCGTCTGCTGTGCCCGAAGGACTTCAGGATGTGGAGACTCAGGCGCCTCGGTTCAACCCCGTCCTGCACGATATCCAAGTATCTCTCCGCTTCATTGAGCTGCTCAAGGAAGCGGCACTGGACAGTACCATTGAGCCGCTGCCTGCGGACGTCATCAACCAGATCCGGAACCCGCCACTCGCTGTTGCAGAGGTCGATGATCCAGACACCCGCTATTCGCTGGAACTATTCTTCGCCCTGACCAACGCGTCCAAGGACGAGTACAACAACTCCCGAGCAGCCTACCTTCGACGTCACCCTGAGGGGAGTGTCCTTTCCTTTTATGCGGTGAGCCACTTCGACTGTGCGGTCACTGGTCTCCATTCTGATTCGTGATAGGTCAAAAAACTCGTGCGCGAACTGAGCGGTATCGTGGAGGTCAAGCGCGACATGTGCGACAATTCCTGCATTGGGTACACCGGTGCCTATCGCGAATTGGATGCATGCCCCTACTGTGGCGAGTCCCGGTACGAACCGTGCCCTCAATCAGGTCCAGGATCTCGCACAAAGCATCCTCGAAAACAATTCACCACCCTTCTGCTCGGCCCCCAGATACAGGCGCAGCGTCGAGGGCCCGAGACGTCGCATCTCATGCGGTACCGGCAGCGTTGCACGGAAGCGGTCTTGGAAGAGCTAAACGCGAACGAGGGGGTGAGAACCTCACCCTACCGTGATTATATCGATGGCGCTGCCTATCTCGAGGCGGTAGATGACGGGCGCATCTCTCCTGATGATAGCGTCGTTGTCCTGTCTATGGATGGCGCTATGCTGTATCGCAACAAGACTTCCGACTGCTGGATCTATATCTGGCTCTTCATGAACTACGACGTCGATGTGCGCTACAAGAAGCGCTTCGTCGCCATTGGGGGCACCATACCAGGCCCGAACAAGATACGCAATGCCGATAGCTTCCTCTTTACCGGCCTGCACCATGTTGCGGCTATCCAGAAGGAGGGTCTGACGGTGTGGGATGCAGCTACTCAGCGCACTGTTACCGATCGTCCCTTCCTCCACCTCGTAACCGCGGATGGGCCTGCTATGGCCTATCTGGATGGGTTTGTTGGTCATCACGGGCGCATACACTGTCGCTTTTACTGCCCCATTGTCGGTCGGCACAAACTGGGCGGTCCTCACTACTATCCCGCGCGTCTCCGTCCACACAACTATCAGGTTACTGGATGTGACCACGATGATGTAGACCTTGTCGATCTGCTGGCTAGTCATGACTCGTCTCGGGCAGCAGCGCGGTACAGCGCGAATCTTGTCACCGTCGTCAACTCCCCGAATATGTCCCGCTACGAGAAGAATCGACTGGAGACCGGCATTGTCAAACCGTCGATCTTCAGTGGCCTGCCCCCGAAGCGTATCCTTGGCATTCCCGCGATGTTTGGAGGCGATGCTATGCACCTGCCCACCCTCAATATCCCCGACCTCTACATATCGCTCTGGCGTGCGACCATGGACTGCGATACTCGAACTGATGACAAAAGAACGTGGCCTTTCGCTGTGCTGAAGGATCCCGCACACTGGAAAGTCCATGGCAAGCATGTGGGCGATGCTATACCATTCACTCCAGGCTCCTTCGACCGTCCGTCTCGCAATCCTGCTGAGAAGATTTCCAGTGGCTATAAGGCTTGGGAGTTTCTCCTCTACTTCTACGGTCACTGCCCCTGCTTGCTCTTTGGATTGCTCCCAGAAGCGTACTATGTCCAGTTCTGCAAGCTTGCCCGTGCTGTGCGTATCCTCATCGAGGAGAACATCACGCCGGAGGAGCTTGCAGAATCGGACGAGCTAATGACGGCGGCTTCCAACGGATTCGAGGAGCTATATGTCCAGCGACGGGCTGACCGCCTTCACTTTGTGCGCGCGAGCGTGCATGCCCCCTCGCATATGCCTGGAGAGACGGAGCGCCTTGGGCCAGGCATGATATACTCGCAGTATACTATGGAACGGACTATCGGCAATCTCGGTGAGGAGATCAAGCAGCACTCGAATCCCTATGCGAACCTCAGTGAGCGCGCTGTCCGACGCTGTCAGATCAATGCCCTCAAGGCGCTTGTACCCGAAATCGAGCCCCCAACCGCTGCAGAGTTCCCAGCGAGCGCGAGAGTGCTAGGGGACGGGTATGCTCTCCTCCCGCGTCGAGACAAGATCACGCGGCCAACAACTTCTGCTGAAGGGCGTGCCCTCTATGCATATCTCGAGGCACACGGCGCTTTGGAGGATGAGCTGGCCAGTATCCAGACGACAGTACCAAAGGTTCGTCGATGGGCTCGTCTGCGACTTCCGAATGGACAGACTGCTCGCTCGCGCTGGAAGGAGGAAAAGATGGGCCTCAAAGTGCGGATGTCTCGCAACGTTAAGGTACATTTGAGCTCAGCTAGCATCCCCTCATGCGCACGCTCACTTACGTTACTTGCAGATCAACACGGCGTCCGGACAGCGCTTTGGGGAGGTGCACTACTACACCCTCATTTCCGTCAACAACATTACACACCCAGTTGCAGTTGTTTCGCTATACGGTCCGCCACACGAGGCGATTTATAGGCTCTCTTCCAAGATGTATGTCACCATGCAGCACCATCGGGATGTTGATGTGCATGTTGTCGACGCGCGGAGCATAGCTTCTGTGGTTCTTCTTGCCCCGGATCCGCGCTATCCCCTTTTCTTTAAAGATGACTCTGCCCTAAATCGCTACTACTTGGTAGAGAGACCAGGGTTGGGCATGTTGAGCAGGATAGGCTATAACTACGAGGCCCCCGATGACGGTTCCGACAATGAATTAGATTAATTTACATCTTGTTCTTTACCCCTGTAGCCGGGGCTGAGATCACCTTCCTTATGAGTCTCCTTGTCTACATATACCTATAAGTGACCTTCATGATCCTCCACAAGCAGAATATATGAATAATCAAAGGACAACATATCTTGATGCAGTCAACGCGCGCAGGCTTCAACCGTTGGAACTTATGTAAGCAGTTCCAACGGTTGAGCTCGGCAGATGCCGCAGCCCACATTGCTCATGCGGTCAGAGAAACAGGAAGACCACGATCAAGTGGCTCTAAGTTGTTTGGGTGTAGTAACGAGTCTCCTAGCACATTACTGGCAGGCAAGGTCCTAGTGAGGGGGAGTGATAACTTGGAAACAACGACTCGCCGTTATTTCTCCCGGTCACGTGATCATGTAGGTCCAACGGGGTCCAGTTGATCCTGTCGACTGACTGGAAGGTTCATTGAACGACTGCAGTTCCAATTCTCGGTAGCAGATGTTATGGGAGTTTTCCTTTCTATCAAGAGTATATGGTGTGCTCAGCCAGAGGGCGAAAAGGCAGTCTTACCCTCAAAATGGGCTTGCCAAACAGAGCCACACAATCCGCGTCGCGACTGCATCTGGGGCTCTGCCATAACGATAGGTCTTCTAACAACAACTGCAAGCAGGTTATGGACACAGAAGGCTTCGGGAACATAGGTCTCGACGAGTCCCTGCAGTCCAGCTCTTCGACGGGACTGTTGGGGTTGCAGTCAGGTAGTAATATGTCGAGAGCATCGCTGGCTGACATAGAACAAAGCCACTGGGGCGGTAGTACGTCTACTCCCTCTCCAGGTATAGAAGGGATGATCTTTGGTAGAATGCAGGCGCCCTCGCCTTCCCCAAGCTTCCGGACAGCCTCGCCAATGGCATACGACTTCCAAGGCCTCACGAATCCGACGGCAACGGGTCGCTTGCGAGAGCTGGAGCAGCAGAACACATTGTTGATGCAGCAAAACTATCGGCTACTAGGGGAGAACCAAGGAATAAAGTGAGATAGAGCTTGGGCGACGTGAGACCTGACTTACAAGCACAAATGCAGACAAGCGTATGACGCGCTACTCCGGCGTCTCCCACCCACGGGCCAGAGTCTCCCCAGCGCTCCTGAAAGTCAGCCTTACACTCCAACTCCATCCACGGTAGCAGAAGCAGCACTGGCCGCAGTCCGCAACCCTCCTCCCTTCGTCATGCTACTGCAAGAGAACTACCCGAAGGTACAATTCTGGCACGCCCAGCTATTTGGCCCGTATCTTAAGGCGAAGGAGGACGCACTGAAGTTGAACAACAAATCCGACCCAGACCTGCCATACCACTTCCTCGAGACAGAGGATGGACAGCCGGTCAACGAAGTGGACACGAAGATGCGAGCGAAGATGTGCGCGACCTTGTACACAATTTGGCATGGCTTGCTGGAAGTACCTGGACTTCTCCCGAAGACCTGGGGTAAGGCGAGTATCGCTGTCCATCAGTACGTTCTTGCCACCTTAGAACACGCGTACCCGGAGCTTCGGTTATGCGACGGTCATTACAAGGCACATAAGCTGGCGACCATGATCTATCCGGCATTCGCCAGGACGCACAAGGCGCAGCACGAGAGCCAGTTCTTCAAGACGGAGGACAGCGCGGAGACGACAAGTACCGACGTGAAGGAGGAGATCAACGCAGGATCTGTCGTTGGGCAGCAGCGCTCGAAGCGCAGCGCGGGCGAAGAGCTGGTGAAGGGGGAAGGTCAGGTCAAGAAGTTGAAGACACCAGTGCGTTGTACGGTCATTCGTCAGTCGTGAATTGACTAACACAGACAGATCGTGTCTGTGCTCAACCGACGGAAGAAGATCCAAGCGTCCTCGCCGCTCTCAACTGTGACGAGCGTCACATCCACTGCGGTGATCAACTCGCCGACCGTCTCTTCCCAGGCCACCATCCCATCAAGCACTCGGACGTCTCCCTCCGTCTCCTCGGACCCCTCGCTAGCGCCTACTACCTCTACTCCCCCACTCCCCACCTCTCTACCTGAGCTTCACGACGCACCTGATACCGATCAACCACCGGACTGGAATACAAGCAGTAGCAGCACGGACGGCCAGACGCTTGAGAGCGAAGAGGTGCGTTTTGCTGCCATGTTCATATCACCTAGCTGATGATTGCGAGGGAGACCCCACACATATCAGGCGGGAAGGCGAGTGACACGGCTCCCCAGAGTGTCGCCAGCAATGCACTTCAAGACATTGATGTTCCGCCGTCTGCTTTCCGCGAACACCCGGCCCCTTCCGTCAAGCTCCCTCCATTCGTCTATCCTACGCCCACCCCGTCTATCATCAGTCCTGCCTCTGCTGCTCTACCCGAAAGCGCGGTACCCATGCGGCCAGTGACCGCGCCCTCGACAGGATCCCCCTCGGAGCCACCCTCTATCCCCACGCCCACGGATGCAACTGCCGAGCCATCCCCGACATCAGCCCGTTTGTCCAGCAAGAGTGATGTTCCTTTCGACCCATCGCAAAGCGGCAGCGTGTCCGCACGCACGGGTCAGAAGCCCATTGCAAAGAGCAGCAAAGTCACAGCTTAGTAAGTCCCCCATCGCGCGCGTATCCTCATCGCCTCATCGTTCACATAGCCGCCTGTTCCGCAAGGCTTTCGAGCAAGAACATACGGGTCGCATTCGAGGTGGCACGGAGATGACAGCCGCCGTCAAAGCAGACTGGAACTCTCTCTCCCCACAAGGCAAAATCGTATGTTGCTATCCTGTGTTGTGTTTTGTTGTGCGAGGCTCACTTCCGCTCGCAGGAGTGGGAGGAGAAGGCAAGACGAGCAAACAAAAGTCTCGCGCAGGTGGGTACCATTCATCGCGCTGACGTTGTCGTACTGATGCGACACTCAGGCTGCAACTTCCCAAAAGTCAGGCGGTGCTTTGGCTTCCTCAACATGACCTGCACGCGCGAGCACGTCGTCGGGATTTTGTATGTCTGGCTGACAAGTTAGGCGTAGGCAGGGCACTCCATTGGCGTTGCGTGCAGTTGTGCGTCGTCTTACTTCATCTTATAAGCTACGATACCCTTGTATACCAGCATTTTATAATCGGATGCCAGTGAACCATAACTGTCATGTTACGAGGCCCATTATATTCGCAAGAGATCGATCTCGTCTGATGGTGACATATCCCATTCGAACTAAATAAGATGAAGGTCGCTTTTTCGAGGATGACAACGGTTTCCGTGGGATCATCCGATCTCATCATCTCAAGTTTGACCTCGACATAACCTGTTTTCACTGGGACCCAGCAGGGATCTCCTTTTACTTTACTCAGTGTCCGAAAAAGTCGACTTAGCAAGTCCAAGCAAGTAAAAGGCGATCCGCGGGGTTTTTCCCCGCGACGTGCTCATACCAGCAACATGACCGCGCCCAAACATGAGAGAGCCGCCCATTTGACCGTCGGCAGCAGCAGCAGGCATGAAGGGATAGCATCCACTACAGCGTCTCCTGGCGCAGATCGGTCGAACAAAAACTTGCGGTCGATCATCTTGCGAATTTCGCGCTTCTTGTGGTCGACATCGAGATACCTCGAGCGGATTGCAGACAGGTCGTCGTTGGTGAGCCGCGGCGTGTAGGTCGCATTGGTATCGTCTTTGGCGGGACCAGAGGATGGAGAGTGGGCATCAAGTCGCTGGGCTTTGGACAAGCTCCCACTGGGAGCACCGCGTGAGGCATAGTGCCATTGAGGAAGCATGCTGTAGTACGCGGACCTATGCGCCGGCAGCAGCGAAGAACGACGACACCAATAGTCCAAGCCCCCCGACCGCAACGAGAGCCTTCCCTTCCTCCTCGTTGTCGCCACTTCTCGTCGTCGCCATGATCTCAGACGGCAATTGCACCCGCAACTAGCAGAACATTTGCACGGCTACGCACCTTGACGGAATATGTCCGACCCAGCTGCCGACCTTCGTCGTGCTACTCAAGGCTTCAAGCGCCGTTCAGCGCCGGATGTTAGGGCTTCTGTCTAGCGACCGTCCGAGAGCAATAGGGCGGCGCAGCTTCGGAGCTCACGACATGTGCCGACTGTAGTCCTCAATTTAGTGCCTTTAGTCTGAGAGCGCCAAGGTGTCGACGAAGCGCGGCGTTCGTATAATTTTGCGGGACCCTAGCCTGTTGCTAGACAGACGCCGCAGTAGGTCGTAGGAGTTCTTCGGGCGACGCTAGCAATTTGGTCGTTGAGGATGTGAGGGCAGGCAGGTAGCCGATTGCCAAGTGGTCGAGACCTCCGCAGGCCTGGACATGTGCAGTTCACGTGACAGTCCTCAAAATCCGTCAGTCTCGGCTAAGAGCGGTTTTGCGTTCCGTCCCCAAAACCCACTACCATAAATGGTAGCGGGAATTTGTTCGTTTCGAGTTCGACCTTTGCCAGCGACTTGTGAGGATGGCTTTTTTGCTTTGTTGTGTTTACAGGACTATATACCTATATACCGAAATAATGTACAATTGAACAGCGAAGTCGAAGGTATTCTAAGGAGCGTCGCTAGAAGTCCCTGGAGGCTGCAGCAGCGAAGGAGCGTACGAGGGTACGGATCACAAAGGATGCAAGCGGAGCACAATCGGAACGCGGATGAGAGGCAGATAGCGTGTAGACAGGACACCGGGTCCAAGGGTAGGGCATAGAGCCCGATACAACCTATAGTCGCGCTACAAGAGACGAATCGGATACAAAAACAAAAACTGTCCAAGATGTCAGCCCCTGGGGGTAGCAAGGGACGGGAAAAAAGAAACGAATCTGCTAGCACCCATCTTTCTTTTCTGGCTACGACGAGGGTCACCTGAATGACTCGACGATCGCGTACACCACCCATGCTAGTCCACCGAGGCTCGCAGGTACCAGTACACCGCAAACCAGGACATCCCACACCAGACGCCGCTTCAGCAGCTTTAGCTGCAGCGCGTGTTCCTTCCGCTGCAACAGCGCCGACTCGTCGGGCGTCAGTGGCGAATGCGCGCCGTCCGTAGACCCTGGCAGCGCACGCGGCGTCTGCGGCGCGACGATGGCCATTGGGCGCTTGATGAAGTGCGTCGTGATGTGCAGGATGGCGGGGAGGAAGTACATCGGCAGCGCAACGAGCACCAGGAGTGCGTCGTTGAGCGGCCAGCGCAGGGGGACCAGCGCGACAAGGGCGATAGCGAGAACGGTGAGCACGCGCGAGACAACGGATGCCGGCGGTAGCGCGCGGCGGAGGGACGCTGGCGTAGGGAAGGCAAGCGTGGGGATAGAGGTGAGAATGAGGGGGATGCCGAAATAAAGGGACAGTGCGCCGGTAAGCGCGATGACAGGATCGGGCGAAAATGTCATACGGGCGGCTTTACGCTCGACTCCGGCAACCAGCATAGCGATAGGTAGGGTGAGACCGAGCGAGAATAGCATCGCCAACGCAGATAGCACTTTGAACGAGCTCCACTGGAAGTGGAAGCGCGGCTTCTTCGTGCTGATTCCGGCGTCGGAAGTGGTCGAGGCGGAAGTAGGAAGGCGAAAGTGCACATGATGCCGTGGTTTGACCTTGAGCGAGGCGTAGAGGGAGAGCAGGGGGCCAGGCGTGGTTGCGTAGGCAAGGAGTGGGATAGATAGGGGGTTGTATAGGACGCCAAGTTGTTGTGGCTCCACAGGACCGGTCGAGTGAGTGAAGGTGTAGCACTGGAGGGAGAACCAGACGATGTAGCTGAAGATGGAAAGCACGGTTGTCGACTTGACAGTCTTGCTCGCGACGTTCGCAGGATACATGACGAAGGGGACGACGGCGCATGTGAGTAGCACATTGATAAGGATGGGGTGGATGGCGATGGTGCGGAGCAGGCATGTGGCGGATTCTAGACGATCGTGAGCATTACCCCAAGGTCTATAGCCAGGTCTCACTCACCTCGCACATAGACGCCCGCCATGAGCACGCCCACGGTCCACCTGCATATCCTGAGCACGCTCTCGATCCTTCTATATCGCCGCCGCGCGAGCGTCGAGCCGCGCGTGCTGGTGAACGCGTGGATGATGAGCCTGCCGATGTCCCCCTTCGCGCCCTTCCAGTAGTAGCGCGTGAGCATGTACCACACATGCCGCGCGATCATGGAGAGCGCGGCGCAGGCGACGACGGAGGTGACGCGCCTGCTGAGCGTCGTGCCCGCCGTCGCCGGCAGCAGCAGCGCGCCAAGCTTGAGCCCGGGGGACAGCAGGTACACGAACGTCATGAACGGCGAGACGGCGGGCTGACCCTGGGGGACCCCATCGTCGTCCTCCTCGTCGTCTTCCCCTGACGAATCGTACGCGAAATCGAAGCCTGTGTCCCGTTCTTCCTCGTCGTCGTGCACAAGGATGAGCGCGGCGGTCGAGTCCGAGGGTTCAAAGCCGGGGGACGCAGGGGGACTCGAGCTGCTTGACTGAGTATCGGAGGTGTCGAGGGGCGGGAGGTCGCCGCGCCCCCTCCGCGGCTGATCGAAGCCCGGCGCCTCCTCCTCATCGCGCGGTTCTGTGGATATGGACACACGTTGGGACATGGTGGAGGGCGTACTGAGATGCGAGACTGCTGCCAGAGCTGGGTTCCATCCAAAGGGAATGCCGAGACAAGAGAAATTGAATTGCTGCGCCGGACCCTGAGCCTGGACAGGCACGTGGTGGACCCACAACTGGTCTTCCCAGGTTCTACTTACCACTATGACTCGCGAGCGCCGAAAGTTGAAGAAGCGCGGCTGAGTGAGTGTCGAAACCAAGGAAGGCTGCGTTATGTAGCACAACTCCAAAGATTGATTCGTCCTTGTTCTCAATTGCCTGTTTGAGCTACAAAAGACTTTCGGTGTTTGCCGATACGTCCTCCATTCAACCATTAATTGAAAGTCAATAAAGGCCGCAGCATCATGCTTGCATCGTGTGCGGTACCGTATCGCAGGGTGGCAACCTCGAGACAACTTACCACGAGGACCCCGCTTCATGAGCCTCAAGTTTACCGTGAGTATGTTCCTTATGGAGTTCATACTGTTGAACCTTTTAATGGCATCCCCTAATGTCGTCTACAAGGGCAGAAGATGCCACATCGCGCTAAGTTGCCAAAACTGCCCTCCTTATCAAGGCTCACACGCGTTCTTCACCAAAATTCGCGCATTGTTCACGAACACCCGTATGAGCTCGTTGAACCCGCTCCGCTCGACCTCGCTCGCTTTCGGGTCCCCGCGCTTGGCGGCGAGCGACATGATGAGTTCGGGCCGGAGGATTTCGAGCTCGAGCTCGTGACAGAGTTTGGTCTGGGAAGGTGCGTTGAGTTGTGTACATAGTAAGGAAGAGATACAAAAAGAGGAGGGGTTACGGTGTCAGGACCGAGAAGAATAAATGGGTTCGGGGGAGGATGGGAGGAGGAAGTTGTAGGAGGTATGAGGGAAGAGGGAGGAAAGCAATTTCTGTGGAGAGGGAGGAAGGTGCCAAGGAGGGGAGGAAAAGGAACAGTACTCACTGCACCGCCTTCGGTAGCGTGAACTTGTGTAAGGTCGACAGAGAACTCCTCGTGCTTGTAGCTTAGGCGGTCCTTCCGTCGGGTGTGAACTGCGGGCTCGTCGGGGAGAGGGACTGGAGAGACGGGTCAATGGTTGTTACACAAGCAGTTTTAGCAGAACGTGATTGTCGCCTTCAATTCTTGCGGCGAGAGATGGAGGATGATTCTGACCAATGACAAAAAGTGCATGTAGCAAGGGCCTACCTGGACATTCAAGGCTGACCGTGACACGCCAGTCCACTGGCCACTTCGGGCAGTATATCTCAAGATTGGCGAGCTTGATCTTGCGCACACATTCGACGACTCTGTTGTCGGCTTTCTCGTCTCGGGTGACGCGTATTTTGGCGTCCCTGAAAAGATGCAATGTTAGAAGGAGGAGATAGCCCGGGACGAGTCGACGATTGAGGGATAGGCTAACGCGTAAGAAGTCGGTGAACGAACCTGTCATTGCCATAGAACGAATCGACGAGGTAATGGTGCGCGTAGCCGACGGGTGAAGAGGGATGTCCAGGCTCGTTCGACAAGGCATGCAATTTGTTGAGCTGATGGTTGAAGTGCTGATGTTGTTTCTGGAAAGCGACTCATGAGGACAGGCAGTAAACCTATAGCGCCGTTCGGGCGTACCATCGACATGTTGGACTCGAAGTGGACGGCAAGTGCCCCAGGGTCTAAGACTTTGAGAGTGTTAACTAAGGTGGAAGAAGGTATGAGATGCGTGTGCGCACCTGTTTCGACCAGCACAGGCAAACGCAAGCGCATGTCCATCCCTCTCTCTTTGATTACGCCTATCTTCGCTTCCACCTCAATTCTGCTGCCTGTGACGCCTGAGCCCAAAGTTCAGCCACTGATTGAAGCAGAGCAGAGCAGCTGATACTTACGCACCCAGATCGTGGTCGCTCGGACGCGTCATTATTGTGTGGTGGATGAAGTCCGCGATCTCGAGGATGAATTCGTCTATCGGCTCGACGCCAAGGATGGATAGGGATAAGGGGGGAAGTGCGCTTGACATCTTTGAGGTCGCTAAATGGGCTGTCCTTGGTCTGAGTAGAATATATGCAAGCAGCAGAGTCTTTGATGAGAGGAAGAAGTAAAGCACTCAACGCCACAAACGCCATGCCGTGACGGCGCATCAACACGTGCGCGGCGTCACATCGAACATCAACTTGGTCTCGACCACGACTCGAATGGACGACCACGCCTGTCCGCGGACATCATGCCGTTGTGTTGTATGCGATTGCGCAAGCGATAACACGCGTTTTATTCTCTGGAATATTCTCTGTCGCGGGCAGCGACTAGCAGCTTCCGCAAGACCCGTCCTTGCCGGCATTCTGCAGTGGCGCTTGCAGGTCCAGAGCCTGTCTGTACGGCTCCTCAAATGTCCTCTTCTATCTAGCGGAGATACATCTGCGAATCGCCGGCTTCAGGGGCCGCAAATAGGAGCGGAGCCCCGGGTTTTCACGCATTCAAAATTTCCCAGGTTTGCCTCTGCCACTTTGCCTCGCACCCCCAATCGTCCCGCAGGCATTGCAGCCGCGCGCGTTTCTGACGTAGCTATTGGCTGAATACAATAACCAAGGTTTCCCTTACGCGAATGGCTGGATATTCAGTCGAGCGCATTGCTTCCCAAGTTCAGTCGCCGCTCCACTCACGATGTGCAGGGCCTGGTCTGGGCCGCTGACCCCAGAGCCGATGGCGTCGTCCCCGGTGCGGTATCCATTGCCAACGGAACGGCTCTCAAACGCGTGCGCGCGCGTGCTTCGCTGGAAGCATTAATGAGCTCAATTCCAGCACTCTCCTTCAACTTTCATCTTCAGCCAACAACATGGACGTCTTCAACCTACAAATTCTCGACGCGAGTATCATGCAAGTCGCGTCCCATCTCACGCCTAACCAGAAGGCCGACCTTCTGCTATACGCCCTGCGCGGTCTGCCACCCGGAGGGTACGTCATGATCACTGACGCACGATTTGCGCCCTGCTGATTGGGGCGGCCAGCCGCCCAAAGACGGTCGTCGAGAATGCCATACAGGCTTGTCTGCAGATCCCCTCCCTCTCTCCCGAGAACATTGCCAAGGCGCGGATCTTGCGCGCGCGGTCAAGGCTCGCTGCCGGCGGACATATCAGCGCGCAGGAAGGTACAGCACGTATATATTGTCACATCTCCTTGGGAGACCCACGCCTTTCATACAGACCTGCAGGCAGCTCTTGAGGCTGACCCCGACAACCCGGAGGCAAAGGCCTTGCTATACCAGCGCTCCGTCGCCGTCGAGAAGGTAAAGGTATACTGTCTTCCGGGATTGTACTTCTGAGCCTACGTGCAGCTGCTCTCTCCAGCGACGAGCCACTCGGAGCGAAGGACTCAGTTCTCGACTGAGATATGGAGGGAGATTGCTCTCTTTCTACCTCGCCATGAGCTGAGGAATCTGCTTTTCGTCCCAAACGTCCTCTCGCGTGTCGCCAGCCAGCTGCTGTTCCGAGACGTCGACATCCACCTTTCTAGCCAGGACGACCCGCGGGAAGACTTGGTTCCCAGCCAAGGATATCCTCCGTTTAGGAAGAGCGACGCCGAGAGGAGCGCCGATATTCTCACCAGAATAATCACGGACCCCGCCTTCGCGATTGTCGTGAAGAAGCTGAGGATATTCGCGGCGCGGGATCTGCGGAGCGGCCCGCTCGACTTCGCGATAGGTGAGCTGAATGACTTCTTTTGGTGCTAGTTCTTCAACGACTGACGCGGTCTCACCCTCAGGAATGCTAACCAATGCACTCTCCCATCTCCAGAATTTGCAAGAGATAGAGGTAACTGCGGGTTATGACAACCTGACCACGCTGCTGCGTCTCGTCCAATCAGCGGCGGCTCGTGTTCACTGTCTGGCAATTGAGTGCGTGTATGTTTTGCGCGTATGAATGGCGATCTCCAGCCTGACATTTCGTATAGCTCGTACGATGGCCCGCTTGATTTGTCCTTCCTCAAGCTTGGCCACCTATCGTCCTTCTCTTATTCGTGCCGGCACCCCATCTTGGCCTCGACGGACACCCCAAACCCCGCCTTCTCGTCCGCATCCACTATCTGCCGTTCTACCTCCGATTTCCTGTTCAGAAATCGCCATAGCCTACGCAAGGTCGCCCTTGAAACGTCCCTCTGGCCCTTCCCCTCCGAAGCGCTCGCCATCCGTAATCTCACCCACCTCTCCTTCTCGGGCCTTTTCGCGCAAGATACATCCGCCTTTGACGATATCCTCACCCACGGCCGGCAGCTCGAGTCCCTCGCCCTCCGCTGTCTCCTCGACGCGTGCAGGCCCTCGCACGCCTTCCGCGCCCATGCAGACGCCCTGCCCTTCCTCCGCCACTTCGCCTTCTCGGTCCGGGCCGCCGTGCACGGCAACCGCGCGTCCGACCCAGACCTCTTCCCCGCCATCGCCGACTTCCTGCGCGACCGCAAGGACATGCGCGCGGTCGAGCTGCTCGTGCCTGAGGACCCCGTCGTGCAGCGCGAGGTAGGCTTTGGCGCCGCAGTGTGGGGCATGCTCCCCACGCTCGTCGCGCTCAAGAGCCTCTCCATCACGTACCCGGCGGACCTCGCATCCGGTCTGGCCCCGTGGCTGGTCCCCAGATCGGTCGAAGCGCTCGAGCTGGAAGGCGTGGCGTGGACGATGCCTGATCCTGGGCCTTTCCTGACTGTGCGTTTTAATGAAGCGAAATTAACGGGGGACTTTACTGAGCTTGCATCGCAGCAATTGGGAAGTGGCATGCCCTCAGGGCTACGCTACATCGCATTTTCCGACTTTCCCTTCCGTGCGGGACCGGGGCTGATCGTGTCGCGCGGGTTCCAAGCGGTCAGGGTTATTCGCATCGGCGGAAATTACTACACAGTGAGGGAGGTGATGGACAATAGCGGTAATCCTACGCGTGAAGTGGAGCTGTGGCCAAGAAGACGTGCACTTTATTACGCCGCGGACTGGCTAGAGTGGCACGGATGTTTGGCCGCCATGGAATATTGCGCCCGGACGCTGGGCTTTTGAATATTAGTATACCTGAACGAACAATAGAATACACCGTTTCGCTATCACTCTGCTTTTTTCGCTCTGTATAAATTGATTACAACGTTCTCGTCGACCTATGTATTACTGTTGCTCGTACATAAGCTAGTCTAGTACAATGATATAACCGAACATGAAGGATAAGCGACGGGATTGCCGAAAAAGTACGAGGAAGAAAAATACAATAAAGCAGCGAAAGCAACGACGCAGGAAGACCGACACCAAAGCACAAAATGGTCCAGCAGGTAAGCGTCCCAGTGTTCGTCACCTCTTCGACCTGGGCGCCGCTTTCCTACCCCCGCCCTGGCTACCCGTCTTCGCCTTCGACGCGGACGGCGGAGGCCCGCTCACCTCCACAATGTCAATCTCAGAACCCGACGAGTCCGACTCTACGGCATCCTCTGCCTTCTTCTTCTTCGCCTCCTCTCTCTCCCTCTCCTTCTGCGCCTTCGCGACCTTGTAGTCCTCGGACTCTTTGCGAATGATGTCCCGCAGCTCCTGCCGCAAGGTCCCTACTTCATGCTCGCGCCAGGCCCGCTTGCGCTCGTTGTGATCGCCTCTATTCCTCTTGCGGTCCGCCTGCCGATGATAGATGAGCTGGCTGTATGTCAAGCGATTATTTCTACGTACGCAGATCGTGCGCAGGAAAGACTCAGGATCGCTCAGGAAGGTGCGGAAGAAGTGTATCAGGTACACGCCGCAGTCACAGAAGTTAGGTTGCACGGGAACCTTGAATACTAGGTAAGCCAGCGGCAAACACGCATGCAAACCTTACTTACCGAAGCCATTTTCCCCTTGACGTCCGACACGTTCTCCACCTGTTTCTTGTCACGAGCCTCGAGCCCGAGGTAAGCGTTGAGTTGGTTGATCGCTGAACGATGTTGACTTCCGAGCGAGTCGAACGTTATGACAAGCGTCCTGGATTTTGCAAATCAGAAATGTCCCTGCCATCGTGCACATACCACTTACTGGTCACTGCGCAGAAGCTCAGGTTCTGCCACCCCATCCTGAACCTCGACGTCGTCCGACGTGGCATCAGGCGCGGCGCGTTGCTTCCCCTTCGCCTTCTCCGACCTAGCCTGCTGGTAGGTGCGCGTGGCCTTCTTTTGCGGGGCGGTGCCATAGAACTGCGCAGCAGGAACACCGCCGGTCCTTGCTTGCACCTCGTCGTCGTGGACCTCATAGACGGTGGAAGATCGGCCTTCACTTGGCCCTTGCAGGGTTTGCTCGTCCTCGTCGAACAACGTAGTTGGATCCGGCTTGGGCGAATATCTGCTGACGTCCTTCGTGCTGTCGTTGAGCGCGAGAGGATCTGGCGACGTCGAGCCGTCCCTGCGATCCTGACCCTCGCCGAGCGACATGTGTCCCATGCCCTGCGACATGTCCAAGTCATCCTGCGAATCGAGAGCCTCCTTAACATCCTCACGCACATTACTCATCGTGATGTCCCCATCTTCATCGCACTCGTCGTCGCTCAGAAGGGACAGGGGCGACATGTCCCCCATACGTATGTCGGTGCCGACGGTCCCAGTGTGCGAGTACCCGCTTTGCGACCCCGGCAGAGCCGACGCAGATGAAGGACGAGAAGGCGAATTCCCTCTCGATGGGCCAGGGGAGACGTGCCCCGAGAAGTTGAATGGCTCGTCGCCGTGCGATCGGTATCCCGCAATCCTCGACTCCTCCTGTCCGTCATCTTCGAGTAGCTGATTCGACACCTCCCTCTCATCGTTCCCGTCGCTGAGGACCTGCGACCTCGAGAAATCCGGGGTGACGTCGCGCGGCTGGGCGCCCGAGATATCGTCGTTATCGTCGCTCGGCTCTGGTGAATGCCGTGGAGAGGGAGTGGGCGGGACTTCTTCTCCTGCAGGACCGTTCGGCGTGGTGGAGGGCTTGGAAGGAGCAGGTGCTTGTACTTCAGCAGCTACGATGTCCTTGTTCGATCGCAAGCTCTGTCGTCTTACTTCGAGGGCCTCATTAACGGGAGGTGGTGGCTTGAGAACTTTCTCTGGCCGGTATATCAGAGCCATATACCAGTGAAGGCTAAGAGCATGCTGTCAGTAGTTGCGCATGTTGTTTGGCGCTTACTCGCTTACTTTTCGTTGATGGGTACGAAGATATAGTTCTTCGCAAATAAGTCGAACTGCTTCGTCCATTTGCGCACGCTCTGATAACCTTCTGCAAGACCCTCCCTATGCAATAGCTGTTAGCACCACACGCAATGCGGATCCCTATATCTCCACTCACCCTTTCTTCTCTGTAAGCTTCTTGAAGAAGAAAGAGCTAAACACATGGACTTGCTGCGCGAGATCGGGGTGCTCGTTCTGCAGTTGTACAAGATAATACCTGCTCGAATCAGTACGAGGGTTTTGCACGAGAAATGGCGAAGGACTCACTTGAGCGCGAACTCCAGTATCGTGTCGTTCAGATACTCGCCCGGTTCTAACCGTGCAACATCCGAGTTTGTGATATTGACCGCGCCGGGGACGCCAAAGGGATAGGATAGGACGCTGACGACGACAGGGTCAGCTACCACGCAAGCAAACACCTGAAGGCACAGAGCCTACTCACACTTCGTCGGGATCCAGAACCGGTCGTCTTCGCTCGCGCGACGACTCCGCTGTGCCAGCGTTCTGCCGCGTCGAGCGCCGCGGTGGCTGCACAATTGCCACCTCTTCCTCTTCCTGCTGCTGCTGCTCCTTCGCCTTCTCCTTCGGCTGCAATTGCGGTTGCGGTTGCGGTGGAGGCGCGGCACCCTGCGCCGACCTTGCTCGCCGTCCCGTCTGCAGCACCGATGGCACCACATAGCTCGTGGGAGCAGCGTGGTTCGTCCTCCTCGCAGCAGAGGGCCGCGGAGGCGAATCATCGATGGGGATGGGAGTCGAATACGTTCGCTCGTCCTGGATACGACGCGCCGACTCGGTGATGGCCTGCCAGAAGGCCTTGATGGCGATGACAGTATCTCTTTTGACGATGATCTCCCTCAAGCGCTGTAGCAGCCTCTGGTAGAGAGGTAGTTCGCCCTCGCTGAGCGCGAATCTAAGACATACATGCCCTTCGGCAGTATCACTGCCTCTCGGGGTATCAGGAATATGGACGTGAAGTACAAAGGTGAGAAATATAACACACCCTGGACGAAATGCCCTTGAGCCGTTGGCGTCTTGATAGTGGTCGAGCCATTCGGCCGAATCTTCGTCACAAGTTTTAGGACATGGATGAATCGGTCGCCCTCCTTGTATTGGCGGGCCCCGCTCGGGGGCTTTGGTTCAGAGTACTTTGCACCTGCGTGAGCGCTGCAGAGATGTAAGCAAGCGACCTGGACTCACTTCCATCCTGTCAAAATCACGCTTGATATCCATGCACTCCATGCGGGGGTTGTCGCCGTCCAGTACGATCTTGATCTGGTTCGTACTCCATTCAATTCTGGAGTCCTCCTCGACAAGCAAGGTACCGAGATAGTACGCGGCCACTCGCAAAGACTCGTATATCCTCTGGTTCTCGACACGGTTGGATGGCGCAGGGCCGGGTTTAATTGCAATGTTTGCTTTGAAGGGATCCTACATGACCGTCAGGTTAGGCAAAGTCGTGCACGTCAAGGCGACATCATGAACTGACCTTCCCCTTCATATGATTCTTGACACTGGTGGTTGGCGCCAACTTCCTGAAATCAACGATGGGATTTGCATTTCCTGTGGTGGGCGCGTTGCGATGATTTTCCAGCTTTTGCACCTTGTCTTCCTTGCTTAGGTCCTCATATGATTTCACCAACTTTTGCACTCTTGTCCGAGGCGCCCCACAGATGACATCTGCCGCAGGAATATGTACCTGCTCATCGTTCATCGCGTTCAGCCCAGGGTACGGTTTTCGAACTGGACCTGGTGGCATATATGGCGAATCGTCACGAGGCAGGAGCTCGAGCTCCTCGTCCCCATCCACCACGATAGGATCGTCTTGATCTTCTCCGCGCACCAGAGGTGCAGTATGACGCGGGGGCGCGTTCTCTCGTTGCTTGACGCGCTGTTCGACGCGCTTGGTCGTCGGTCCATCGGGGCGTAGGAGAGGCTCGTCGAATTGATGGGGCTTCCTATGGTCGATTACGAATGGGGAGGGGTCGAAGAGTTCGGGGGATGAGGAGCGCGTCGTGTTGGCCGGGTGAGATGCCCTGTCTAGCGATGGAAAGGTCAGCGAGCGCGAACCATTTTACGGGGTGTATTACGCACTATCAAGCCGTGGCCTCTTCGTTGGCCGGTCCGAGCGCGAAGACCCCGCATGAGCACGATTCACAATGGTGACGGTCTGCGGATGTTGTTGACTAGAGAACTGGCGCTTTTGTCCGGCCTGCTGCTTGGTAGTGGAAAGAGTGTCGCTCAGGCGACCCGCATAAGGATTCCGAACGCCCTCCAGCACCGTCAGCGACGACGCCTTGTTGACGATGGATTGAAGACTGTACCGTGCTTGTACTGTGATGCGACCTCGGTTGCGGCGTCGGAATTGATACGCTTGCTTTTGTCCATGGACTAAAACAAAGTAAATAGACGCGCGCCACCCCTGGATTCTCGGATGCTCACTGCCGTTCTCTCTGGGTAAAACCAGTCGAGGATGACGCCCCATGATCTAAACCGTGCAAAGTATACAGCTGATCCATCTCTGACGGCTTGGGCATCCAACAAGAGCTGGCGCCAACAGCGCGCCTCGTGCAACGTAGCGGTTATGGACAAGAGTGATGAGCGCGCCAGATGAACCGCGACCTTGATCAATGCACCGGCCCGTGCTCCGACCATCGCCTCCTCCCCGGAGATGGCTGATCCCCCTGCGCAGGAGATTCTAGAGAGGATATGGGGGAATCTACACTTCGACCTCACAGCAGAAGGATTACTCAGAAACCGTTCATTATCCGAGATGGGCTAAGACAGTGTTTGTAGTTTGTAGATGACTTCAAATTCAGTAGTCTTCGATCCAGTATCCAACCTTCCATACTAGTACACGCGCGCAGAAGTCCTTCGTTCACGCCTCCAACACACGGAAGACCTACAACACAATCAGCAACTATCACCCACCACACCAGCAGCTCATACACACCTTAATCGTCCCGCTCTTCAAATCATCCAACCGATAGCTCACCGACTCCACCGTCTGCTGCCCAACGTGCTGATTCGCCTGGAACACCCGCACCTTGCTCTTCTTCCCCTCAAACTCGCCCACGATCCCCACCACGTCCTCGCCCTGCCCCACCGACAGGCTGTACGCCGCGAGCCCCTTGTGCCCCTTCAGCTTCGCGTCGCGCAGGAGCACGACGTCACCCGGCATGATCTCGCTCACGCGCTTCTGCACCGTCTGCCCCTGCTGCGCGTACACCAGCGCGCCGTACGCCTCGGGCGGGGCGACTGCCTGGGCGTTCGGCACCTCGTGCAGGGTGGCGGCAACGAAGCCGTGGAACGAGCCGTCGCCGATGAGGGATTTCTTGGACTTGTCGAAGAGCGTCGTCGCGGCTTCACAGATCTGCACACCGACGCGGCCCCAGACGGCCATCAACTCGTCAGGTGTGAGCTCAGGAGGAGGAGCAGGAGGTTGGGCCTGTGGTGGGGGCTTGGGCTTCTCTTCCTGCTGCCAGGAGAGCGAGAGGTCAGGCGGTTGATCGAACTCCATGTTAACACCGCCCGGCGTAAGTTCCCATTGCGAAAGGGTGCTGTCCGACATGCCGGGTTGCTCCTCATGCGGTGGCGGCGGAGGGGGTGCAGCAGAGCGCGGAGGTGGGGGGCGGCTGCCTCGGGGTGGCGGAGGCGGCGCAGGCTGATCCTCTTCCTCAGGTTCACCGCTCTCCTCGACCATCACGTACTCGCTGGGAGCCGGCTTCTGGGACGCTGACTTGGTCGTATGGTCCGACCTGATCGTCTGCTTCGACTCGACGCTCGCTACCGATGACTTGCGCTGCGGCGGCGGGACATGAGGCACGGGAGGTCTGCCGCTAGGTACCGACGGCGCTCCCGGCTGCGACGCCCGTCGTGGCGGATGCCCACCAGCGCGCGATGGAATAGGCGGAGGCGGCGCCTCTTCCATCGCATCTTCATGCCGCACCTCCTCCATCTCGCTATCCTCCGCCTCCACCTTCACGCCCTCGCTCTCATGCTCCGAGTCCAGGTCCTCAGGCGGTGGCGGTGGCGGATGCGATGCAGGCGGCAGAGGCGGCCTCCCCGAAGGTGGCGGGGGTGGTCGTCCCAAAGGCGGAGGAGGGGCGCGCTCAGCCGGCGAGGCGTGAGCAGCCTGCGCCGACTCATCTCGCTCATCCTTCAGCACGTGCGACTGCTTCGGCGGCATACCCATGGGCAGCATCCCGAAGCGCATCCCGCCCATGTTCGCTAGTTTTGCCGCGATGCGCTCCTTCCGTGCGCGCTCTTCCTCCTCTTCCGTCATCTCCGTGGGCTCAGCAGTTGTCGCTTCAGCTTCCTCTTCAGGTGCGCGAGGCGCAGGGGCTTTCGGAGCTGGCATTGGCGGCGCCTGCCCAAACTTGATGCCCCCCAGCTTCGCCATGCGCTCTGCGATCGTGCGTCGACGGGCGGTCTCCTCGTCCTCTTCAGCCTCAGTCGGCAGCGCAGGGGCGGCAGGCGGCGGCGGTGAGAGGTCCTCCGGGCGAGGTTCTGCGTACGAGTTTCGACGGCTGGGAAGGAAACCGGGGTCAATGGGATCTGAAGTAATGATGTTAGACAAACCGTGTTCATACCCTTCCACGTCATACTCGCCTCCCTCATCCTCATCCAGAACTTCGGAGCCACCATATGGGGATTGTGGTTGGAACCGCTGGGATGCTGCACCAACTTCAGTCCACCGCGACCAAATCAGGGTTTAATGAACTCACTAGGCGAAAGGAGCCCCGGCGATGGATCATGCGTCGGGGCGCCCGTTCGCGGCGGGATGTAGAGCGGCGCCTCACTTGGCGCAGGAGAAGCCTCGACATCTGCCCTGCGAGGAGGCGTCGGCAGTGCATCTTGCGCATCCTCGTAGCCCTCGCCATCCTCTTCATCGCTCTCCTCGATCTGAGGTGGAGGAGGCGGAGGAGGCATCGGCCTATGCGGAGCATCGACATGCGGCTGAGGCTGCGACGTCCGACGTACGGGCGGAGGCTGAGGGCCACGTTCCTCCACAGCAGACGGAGGAGGTGCAGGCGGTACAGGGACAGAGGCCTTCCGCGAGGACTGCACTGACGCCCGACGAGCGGGTGGAGCAGGCTGCTCTTCTTCCTCTTCCTCTTCCCTAACGTGTAAGGGAGGGAGCTGCCGGGGTGGCAGAGGCGTTTCTTCCTTTTCCGACTCTTCGGTCTGTGCCGGCGAAGCCGAACGAGGCGGCGGTGGAATTGATCGACGAGCCGGAGGAGGTGGAGGTGCTTCCTCTTCCTCAGGTGCTGGCGAAGGCGACCTTGGCGGAGGAGGTATGGAACGTCGAGCAGGAGGTGCTAGTACCTCCTCATCATCATCCTCTTGCGGCGGTGGCGACGGCTCCCGTCTCGCAGGGGGCGGCAGCGTCGTCCTCCGCGCTGGCGGCGCGCGCGACTGCTCCTCCTTGACCAATTCGCGATCCTCCCCCACCGACTCTTGATCCTCTTCCGGCCTAGCCTGAGCCGCGATGCCGCTTCGAGGAGGCAGCACATGGACGTCCTTCTCCTCGGAATCTTCCGCAGGCACCTGACGGGTCGGCGTTTCCGCACGTTCATCATCATCGCCGGTTTCGCTGGCTTGCAAATCGTCGTCGTTCGCGACTATAAAAAGAGAACAATATTGAGCATATATCCAAGCACACCAGGGCAGTTGTACAGATACACATTTGGATTAGATAGCAGAAGAAAGATCATTTACCATCGTCTTCGATCTCGTCGCTGGGCATCGACACTGCGCTCGCCTTGCGGGGAGGCGGGATCGTGCGCGGCGCAGGCGACTGCGGCTCAGGTGGGATGGAGCTCGAGGAGTCCTTGCGCTGAGGCGGAGGTGGAGCGAAGGGATTGATGCCACCCATCTTGGCCATACGGGCAGCGACGCGCTTTCGGCGAGCGTCTTCGTCGTCTTCCTCCTCCTCTGCAGGTGCTTCTGGCTGAGGTGTGGGTGCGGCGTCCTGAGCGGGAGGGTTGGAACGGTCGCCTCCACCGTCTGACGGCGTCTGCTCGTACAGCTTCGCCTTGCTTTCATCCTTGAGCACAGTAGGCGATGCTTTGAGTAGTGTGGGCGAAGTCAAATCACCTTCTTCCGGGTCAGCTTCTTTGGCAGCGTCGTCGTGCTCAGGGATAGCAGATGCCGGCGGCCTGTCCTCGACGATATCTGCAGACACGGGGGGCGGCGCGTCGGGCGACGGAGGTCTGAACTCGTCCTCCTCAGCCTCGGCCGGAGGCTGAGGAGCGGCTTCAGCAACGGAGGACTTGCGAGAGCCTGCATCAAGCGAGGGCTTCCGCGCGCTGTCGATGGAGGCTTTGCGCTCCACGTCGACAGACTTGCGCGTGCTGCTGATAGACGACTTTCGCTCAACATCCATCGACGCTTTACGCTGAGAGTCGATAGACTTGCGCCTGCTTTCGTCGATGGACTTTCTGCGCTCCGCCTCCGCCTCCGCTTTCTTCTCTGCCTCGTTCTCCTCTGCCATCCCCTCCCGCGTCGCATGCCCCGGAGGCAGCGATAAGTCCGTGTCTGCCGACTTCGAAACCTCGCCGACCTCTTCCTCTACGTCGCCGCTCTTCTGAGCACCTTCGACGAGGATGGAGCCAGGCGAGACCACAACACCGTCCTTGAGCACCTCATTGGACTCCACGATAGTGTCGGATGTGGGCTTGTTCTCGTCTGAGTCAGTGGTAGCCTCCGAAGTGACCTTGAGGGCCTCTTCAGGAGCAGGCTTGGCTTCGTTGTCTGCAGATTCGGCCTCCTCCGCCGGCTTCGCAGCTTCCTCTCCTGCACCTTCGATGGGAGGCGGTGGCGGTGCGGGCGACGGTGACTTTGGCGCCTTCCTTCGAGGTGGTCCTGCCCGACGCGGGGCCGCTGGCATGGGCATGGAAGCAGGCGGCGAGAGCGCAGTGCCTCCGGGGGTGTGCGCTTCAGTCTGAGGTGTACCACCGGGCGACAGCGAGTCCTTCTTTGCCTCTGGCTTCGTCTCCTGCGAGAAGTAATCTGGGTATATGCGTGAGTAAGGGGTGGTTGCCAAGGGTAAGGAATCGTACCTTGCGATCCGCGACGAGCACTCTCGGCGGGAGATCGCGCTGCAGAGGGAGATGATGCTGGATGGGACTCTGGATGCACGGTCAGTCGTGAGTTGGGATCCGCTATTGGTGACATACCGGGCTTGGGCGACGCTGCGGGGATAGCGTCCTCCCCAGCCTCTTCTTTGGGCTTCGCAGCTGGCTCGGGCTTCTTCTCCGGCTTCGGTGGTGCACGACCAAAGATGGGCGGGGCCATACCCACTCGCGCGCCCCCAAGGCGCGCCATCCGGGCGGCAATGGCTGCGCGTCGCTGCCGTTCCTCCTCTTCCGGATTTACCTCCTTCTCCTCGGCGCCTTCGCCTTCAGCAGCGGGTTCTTCACCTTCAGTGTGCTCCTTCTCTTCATGATGTTCGGCTGATGGTGATTTGGCGCCTTCGCGGGCCTCCTCTGATGGCGCGCCGAGCTCCTTCTTGGCTTTCGACGCTTCCTCATCCTCGTCCGGAGTAGGCGAGCGTACTGCAGGCGGCGGCTTCCACTTCGGCTTCTCCGTCGCTGGCTTCGGTGCGACAGGCGGCGCAGGCGCACCGAACGCACCACGCCCTTGCAGCGCTGCCATTCGCTCCTTGAGACTTCCTCCCCTCCCTATCGCTTCCTTCGCATCCGCAGCTGACATTCCTGCACGCTTCTTCTCCTCAGCCGTCTCCGTGGATGCTGCCGCAGGTGGAGGTGATGGCGAGCGTGGCTTCCAGTTCGACAGCCCGCCAGGCTTGGGACGCGGTGCCGGCGGGGGTGCGGGCTGCGGGGCAGAGGCGCCCGACTTCTCGAAGGCGGCGATCCGGTCGCGCAGGGAGCCAACCTTACGAGGCGGAGGATCAGACATGATGGTTCAGGACGAGAATGTTATCTTCCAAAGATCAGTAGAGGCGCTCGACACCGTGGCCGGCGATGAGCACGCGCGTCGCACCGCGAGGCAACAGTTGACGTCCGTTTGGCATGTCGGTGATCGGGCCGGATCTCCGGCAGTGTGTCGATCGGTGCTTCCCTGATCTCTCGAACTTCACGACTTGTTCAGAGCCGCTATCCGCCATGGGGAAGAGCGCCAAGATGTGCAAGCGGGTCGTGCGCATCTCTTTCACTGGTTACTGGACGCAAAACTGACCTTACGCATAGAAAAAGACCGCTTCCTCTGTTTCACAGGTAGCCGCACAGAAGCCTAGCGCCGCTCCCCCCTCTGCCGCCGTGCAGCAATCTAAGAAGAAGGCAAACCTCAAGCAAAAAGCACAGCAGAGAGGGAAGCATGCTGATGGACCCGTACTTGGAGGCGCCGACTATGTGGACCTCATGATGGGCAGTAGGAAGAAGGCGAAGGAGCAGGCTGCAAAATTACCTCCGCCTGAGTGATGGATCGTCCCAATACCCTTTTTCTCGTGAGTCTCGCCCGTTGTTTTGAACTCGCACATTCTCACCTCACCTCTTCTTACAGCTGATTCTATGCAGGACACTGTCCGATTCTGGCGCGCCGTGTTCTGTTTGCTCCAGCAGTGATCAGCGACAAGTGACAACTCCCTTCCGGCCCATCGTTCGTCATCGGTCCTTGCGCTTACCTCTTCAAAAGGACCAAGCTCTCATGCGAACGACGTGACACAGTAGTGGCAACATACCTATGCCCTCCATTGCGATACCCAACCGATATTGTGACGGCTGTTCAGTGACTTCAGTTCACAATCTTCTGGTCGCCTTCTGATTGACATCACATCATGAGGTTTATTGTCATGAATGTACATTCTTATCCTTCCCCCTCGTGCCAGCGGCCGTTAGGCCCGCGAAGTCCTCGATCAGCGGCATTTATCCACCGTTGCCACAAATGCGATCGTAAGTATGAACTGTCGAACAAATCAGCATGCCAGATCATCAACACGGTAGCATGAGGGAAGCCCTACCGCTCATTCAAGATCAATATGCATGACATAAGGGAGGCACCTTCGACATGTAGGACTCCCTTCGCCCGCTTCCGCCGCTGGAGGCGCGACAAATAGGTTAGGACAAACAGGATGCCCATGGCGTTCGCACATATGGCAGCGAACGAGACGGGTATATGTGTGGCGTTGTCCAGGAAGACAACGATAGGGCAGCTCGTGCTGCGCGCAGATGGTGACAGACCTCGAAGAGGTGAGTATACGCGGAGGGGCTCGATTGAAGTAGCTCATGATGAGCTGGGCGATGTCGGCGTCGTCGATGCGACTGACATCAGGCGGCATGCCCACGACAACTGCATCACAGCAGACGGACGACCACTCTTCGTAGTCCTCTGCGGATAGGGGACCAAATCTGTAGAAATTGTCTTGGCCGGTGTAAAGCTCAAAAATGGTCAAGGCAAGCGCATGGTAATCCTCGGCGAGAGTAAGCGGCTCTGGATTGAACCCATGTCGGAGCATCCGCCTCTGAGAGATAAACTCCGCGGTCGCCTGAGTGGCCACGTATCCATCGCCGACGCGCGATGCACAGTCAAAGTCTATGAAGCGGAGAAAACCATTCGCGCAACGAACCAAGTTCTGGCACTTCAGGTCACCGTGGACGATATCTTTCTGATGAAGACGCTCGACAAGGTCGCAAAGCTCGTGTATAATGGCAAGGCGCTCGTCCTTTGTAGCGATGGAGGCGGGGTCGAGGGGAGTCTCTAGGGGCATCACGTACCCCACCATCGCGCCGTCGTCGAACACACGGCCCACGATGGGGACGGCACAGTCCTCAGCCTGTATGCATATCTGCATCTGGCGGAGAACGTCTTCTTGAGGCACAGGGTCGTACCAATATTTGAGCGCATATGCTCCGTCGTCGGTTTTGAGCGACTTGACTGTGCGCGTTACCCCTAGCATGAGCGCTTGCATGATACCAGGCTCCAAAGACTTGAGCTCGATATCGGTCGTCCAAGATCCAAAAGGCGCATTGACTTCTGGCATGTTGGTTCCAGGCGTGCAAAACGAGATGGAGGCTGGAAGCAAGTTAGCGTGAGAAGATGACCGGCGCCTATTTTGATTGCGTGACGCACCTTGCTCAGGACTCTCACTCTGGCGGCTCTCGAATCACCGTGCTGCAGCTGCCTATATACCCCAGTAAGCGCTGAACTGCACAGCTTATGCAGAGCGCCCAAAGAGAGCGCCAGGCGCTAAAGGCATACCCGAGTCTTCGCCGTAAAGCGGTTCGACATTCGAATTTCAGAACGATGTGAAGGTTCGCAGCGCTTATTCGACCGTGTATGCGTCGATGTGGATGCTGACACCTCATGGCATGTGCGTGGCGTAGGACCATACATACAACCAATCCGAGGTTGGCGGAGGATGCTTCCCGCCGGATTGCGCTGTGTGGCACATAAGGCAGCGCTTGGGGCAATATTACTGGCGCCCTCTACCAGCGCACTCATCTCTTTAAACGCTCTTCCGACGACCTCGCACACGACTAGGCATGCAAGACCCTGCCGCACCTTTTGGCTCGTGGGATGTCGACCTCGACATTCTCGTAGTCCAGGAGTCGAACAGCTGGACGCCACTGCACTTGAACAGTCGGCGCCACGTCATGACGCACCAGACAGAGTCGGGCACGTACGCGGTGAAGTGGTGGTACACTGGCGAAGAGGATGCCGACGTGTTGCGCCAGCTCTGTGTGGGCCTTCAGGCCGGCGACTGCGTTGTTCCCCCCGTTGGGCGAGTCTTCGAAAAAGACACCATCATCGGATACGTGATGCGCCAGGAAACGACGTTCGATCCTCGTCTGATTACCTCCAAGGATGACCGCTACTTCGCTATCCGTGAGGTCTGCGACCTCGTGAGCCGTCTTCACGCGAAGGGGATTGTCCATGGCGACGTGAAGCGCATGAACCTCGTACGCTGTGCCGATGGCGCCCTTCGTTTCATCGATCTCGAGTGCATGTCCGTGGTCGGCGACGGTTTTGTGGCTTCTGTCGCTACCGACCAATACATCTCGCAGCAGCGGCAGTTTCGCCACGGTCATAATCCCGAAGCTTTATCCTTTGACGAAGATTACCACTCCCTCGCCCTGCTCATTTTCGAGATCTCCACCAGGCACGATGACTTCTACGGCTTTGGCCTAACCTCCTCGGAGAATCTGGAGGATTGGTCGACTGCCTGTACTGACGTCTCACTGGCGGGCATGCCGCCGGATGTCAGCCAGATTGACGACCCGGAGATCGCCCAGCTCATCATGAGCTATTTCAACCGAGGACCGCCGCGTATACTATCCTTGGATAATACGGAGACCATCTGCGTGCTGCATGAACTGCCCCTGCGCTGCATGCCCGGAGCCCGCCACACTTACACGCGCCTTGTTCAGTGCTTGACCTGTTCCGACGGCGCCCGGACATCACCTTGTCCCAGACTCTTCGTTGCGCCACCTGCAACTGAGGAAGAGAAAGGCAGTCCTGCATGCGTTCAATGCCTTCCTCATATCAAACATACCGGACTCGACTAGCAAGGGAATAGACGTTCACGATTTTTATATTTACTAGCGATTGACGTGTTGCTCCTGTAGTAGATATCGCAGAATTAAAGGAAAACAGCGGTATAGTCCACTGCAATCCTGATCATTTACCCCCATGATTCTCCTGACTTCTCGGGAATTGACGAGGCGAGCACAGAAGATGGACCTGCAGCTTACACCTTATATCAACATGAGAGCGGATGGTCGGAGTAGGAAGGACAGACTGGCGCACCTGTTCAAGCTCTATAGATCTGTTGTCTGTTTGGCGTTACGTCGGTACAGAAAGGACAATTGAACCCGGTCCTCCCTGATTTGACATCCGACGGTAGCACAGGGTAGTACGGGCACCTGTCCCTCGTGGTGGCGCACCACTGGCCGTTGGGGCCACCACAGCAGAAATCTTGATAAAACATGTGTTTCGGCCTCGCCCTGCAATTTTTGTAAGCGCGGATGGAGGTGCAGCACATTTTCTGTATCATGGAATTATTGTGAAGCCCTTGAAGATGTGCATGGCGTACCGCAAGTTGAGGAGAGCTCTCGAGAAGAAATTCTTGTGCAGGAGCTCGTGGAGGGGTAAAACCGCCGGGGAGCGCTGATAAAAGCAAAGAAAGCGGCAATTTATTGCGAGTATAGTGTGGCGTACGCTACAGTTGACGCCATTGCTAAACGCGCGTTAAACGAGAACGCGCCTTCCGAGTCAGCGCCAAAGTTGGGGTTCTGACTGCCAGTAGGCCAAGCAGTGTCCACCCTCTTGTCAAAAGTTTACACAAGCGCTGCGCGCTTGATAATTATCAGCAGAGCTCACATCTGGCATCAGCCAGGATGAGCGAGCGTAGTTCGTCGCGGCCATAAAATCTGGTCGCACGTGCGCAAGCGGCATCCTCCGAATGGTCTGTGATCCGCGAAGGTCGTGAGTCCCACCGACTCCGCAGACGACACGAAGGTGCTTGAGCGCCCGAGCGCTCGAGCGTCTATCGATCCTGGGCCGCGTATGGCATGGCGTCGAATGAGGCCCCCAGGCTATGTCGACTACACCGAGTAGACTCGGTGGATGTTCACTACGGTACCCATCCCCATGATCTCAATTTCACTGATATGCATGGATCGACGCCCATGGACACACAGAGAGTCAGACTCCAGCGGTCGAACTATGTTGCTGATCACGGCATCCGATTACTTGGGCGCCTTCCCCCTTCACCTTCATAGGCGCTGGGCGTCAATGGTCATCGAACATTTTCACTGCGTCGCCACACTTCACACCTGAGGCGCCGACTCGCCCTCACATAACTAGCTCGATCACAACAGCTTTCCGTCCACAGCTTTCTTCTGACGCCCACCTCGTCCTGCACCCACTCAGTCGTCATGCAAGATACTGACTCTCCGTTCGGCTCCTGGCCCATGGACGTCGACATGCTGTCCTTCGAGACGCACGAACTGACCGCACTCCTACTTGGCGTGGACCGTCAGGTGCTATCATTCGAGCGAGACTCCAATGCCTACGTTGTCAAGCTCTGGTATGATGCTTTGGAGGAGGCGGACGTTCCGCGTCAACTCCGCATATGCCAACTTGCTGGGGATTGCGTAGTGCCCATCGTCGGCCGCGCCTATAGGCATGGCGTTCTCATTGGCTATGTCATGCGACGAGAAACCCCACTCGACCTCTCCCCTACATCTTCCAAGGACGAGCGCGTTGCCGTGATCCGTCAGGTCTGCGAACTAGTCGACCGTCTTCACTCCCGTAACATGGTCCATGGCGATCTCAAGCGCCTGAATATCATGCGCTGCTCCGATGGCGCTTTCCGCTTCATCGACCTCGAATGCATGTCCGTCGTCGGGGATGGTTTCGTGGCACAAGTTGCGACCGCCCAGTACATGTCGCAAAGGCGTAGCCTTCGTCCCGACTCGGATCGCGAGCCGCTGTCGTTCAGCGAGGACTACCACTCCCTCGCGCTTCTCATTTTCGAACTCTACACTGGCCGCGACGACTTCTACAGCATCGGGCCGACGTCCACTGAAGACCAGATAATATGGACTGATGTTTGCTGCGATGCCGCAAACATAGGCATGCCTCCAGACGTCCGTCGCATCGACGACCCGATGGTTGCGCAGCTGGTCATGGGCTACTTCCACCGAGGGCCGGACCGGCATCTCACCCTAGACAGCACTCTGCTTATTTGCGTGCAGCATGAGATGCCCTTCTGGTGCGTGCGCGGCGTACAGCACACATATACACGCATAGTACGTTGTTATGCATGCCGCGATTCTGAGCGGCAGTCGACATGCCCAAATCTTTATGCGGCTCCGCGTGCTCCTCGCACTACGAGCAGTCCCGCCTGCACGACGTGCTTGCCGTTCATTACGCATGCTGGTCTTCGATGGTATGTTGGATGAATAGTCTTTACCCACGATTCTGACTGTATTCCAGAGGCACATTTTCTTCGCTTATTCTTGTGCGGTACCAATTCCTGTCAGTACCGGGGAACGCATCCACAAAGGTTTGCCGTCGGTATACTGTAGAATGAGTTCACTATCATATTCGGGACTCCAATGCTATTGAAACACAGTATATCTCGCGCCTCCTTCATACACGGTGACCCGTATCTTTTACGCGGACGATAAATCGACGAAGTTACAACTGCACTAAGCACTCCCAGGCTGCATTTCCCGCAAGGCATAGCCCGCTAGATGTGAGTGGTATCACCATTCGGTCAAGTCTGTTTATCTGTTACTCTCATCAGGCTTCTTCGAGCTATGTAGCAGTGACAGCTGAGCTTCTGGTCTCCCTCTTGCCGCGAGACGCCCACTTCTGTTGTAGACAGTTCTCAATTCCATCGAGTGGAGTCACGATTGCACACCCTGCCGACACTGCCGCCCACAGAGCAAGCGCCGACATGGCAAGATATAAGTGCGTGCCTGAACGCCCACTGAAGCTCTCAAGCCCCAACCTGCTCTACACTCACGCCCTATACTCTAGTCGTTCCTCAAATGTGCGCTCGTTTTCTGTTTACTTGGCGCGCTAACCGAGAGGATCCAGATGTGCTGGACCTCCCTTCGAGCTTTCTCAAATTGCACGGCGGGCCGCAACAAGCATTCGTACTACGAGGATATACGCTGCCGGGAGAGAGGTGGTCAATGGTGCCCTCGCCAGAGCGCCACAGTCCCTCATTATCCGCTCTTACCATCGAACGTTAAGTCTGCGAATAATTTGGACTGCCCTACGTGCTGTGGCACGAGATACCACACTAATTATCATTTCTGGTGAGTAAAGGGTATTTCTATTGTCCCTGCTTTATATGGGTTTTACTACCGCTCCCTCGCAGATCCAGTAATTCACTGCACCGCGAGAACCACGTCCTCATCTACCACGGCGGGCTAATGGGTGCGACATCATCAAGCTTTGATAGATATTCTATACTCCACCCTTCTTGATTTGCATTGTCTGCTCGCTCATTACCGGGATATCGAGGTCAAGGTCACGGTTGTTTTGGTGTCACGGGTATTTCGTCACAGGCGGACACGTGCACAACACTCGAGCTTGCTTCCAGCCCTCATTGTGAAACTCACCCACTAACCCAGTGCTCGTTGACAACGGCGAGAGCGGTCACTCGGCTGAATTTGCTCCGTGGCTAGTTCCTTGTTATGACGGAAGACTTTCTGCCGATGATGTTAACAGGGAATATGCGGGTCCTGCTTTGACGCGCTTGCCTTGGAGAAATCCAAACCCGTTTGCAGAGAATGCATCGTGCATGAATGAAGAGGGTCCCCTATGGCATCAGATCTCCACCTGCACGGCCACTAGAACCCGAAAGGTACGCGCCTTCCTCCTTGACACAGTGCAGCAGAGTTCTTTTTTTCATTTCACGACGAACACCTTGAATTGGTGGGCGCTGAACTTGGAGACGAGCGAGGTGCTAGAGGCCCTCATAGCGGTGTTCAGAGACCTACCGCTCTACGCATCCACTCAACCTGGCCGTGAAGACCGTGTTGATCTATCCAGAGTTCTCGACGGTCTACATTCATGCACTGCCACGCCCCAGCTTAGCGGCTAGCATGACCGTAATTCAGGAACATCCATGCCCATATAAGCTCGCGACCACTCCCTGTGACCCAGATACTACAAGCAACTACCTTCAAGCTCATCCCCATCGTCACCAACAATGTTCTCTAAGGTTGCTCTCCTCGCTTCCGCCCTCTTCTTCGGTGGCGCGGTCGCCTACAACGGGATTGGTACATCTTGACTGTCGAATACGGCACAAAACGATGCTCACAATCTTCCAGCGTACCCCTACAACCCGGACGGCGCAACTTTTGAGTGTGGACAGGCCGTACAGAACGACGCCAACGTCGTCTTTGTGTCTGCCGCGCGCTTCGACGCGGCGCGTTGCGGTAAGGAGATCCAGGCGACCAGTGTGTATCACTCTCCTTTGACCCCGTCTCGGGACTACGCTCCTCCCTGTGTCCCCCCGAGCTTCGTCGCTGACAGCTACCCAGACCCAGGCGGCCTTGGTGACACCATCTATCCGACGCTCGCCGGTGTCGTTCGGTGCAGCAACTGCACGGAGAACGATATTCAACTCACCCAAGCTCCGTATCAGGCCCTGACGAAGCGGCTGCCCAGCCAGCCCTACACCACCGTTGTTTGGGGCAACTGGAACTGAGGGAAGGTGTTGACAAGCAATATGGGGTGCCAACGGTTGAGTTGAATCGGGTTAATTGGTCTTCGATATTTTCTGTCTAATGCGAGGGTTGATGAGCCGTCTTGCATCACCATCGTTCCAATGCTCCTCTGGATGGTGTTTCCGCTGCTGATCATGCGCGTCCCCTTCATCTCTATGGCGCAGCGCTCGATTATCTCTGCACACAATTCGTTCACTGATGACAGCACCTTCAGGTGACTTGTCGCTCAGCGTCTTCGTGCTGTGCATGAGCGCTTGAGCAATGAGTTTGAGGACCCAGAGGCGATGGGGAATTGCCCGTGGGTACCGGTATGCACGGATCAGTTTCTTTCTTGCCGACTCACTGCCAAGTTTAGTATCAATACCCGCTGTATGGAACCCACGAAGACATTCGGCATGTCGTCCCTTCCACACAACACTACACGCGCTCTCTGCCCGATGCAGATGGTATGGACCCATCTGACCTGGCTGTTACATACGTTCTGGTCAGAGATTGCATCATTTCCCCAAGTTTTCGACGAGATCTTCAACTGATTGAACGCCTTCGAGCAGCATGGCGCCGCGCGCTTCTGATAACCCGCTATATAAGACCCGGATCGCAGAACGCGGTCAGGTCCTACCCTCCCAGTGACCAGCCATGCTCCCGCCGCTGTTATCTGCGCTGGGCTTGACCATCGCGGTCGCCGCCGCCGGGATTGCTGACGCGCGCTCCACGAATGGTGGTTTCCGGAAGGGACTTGGGTTTCGGGAGGCACACCTTCGCAAGCTGAACGCCGCGGTAAAGGGTATACACGAACCTCCGGCGCGTCGGCAGTACGATGAGTTCCCTGAACAATGGTTTGAACAGCCGCTCGACCACTTCAATAACGAGACCGGAGACACGTTCCTGCAGCGCTATTGGTTTAGCAAGAGGCACTACACACCTGGCTCTGGCGGTCCTGTCATCGTCCTCGACGGAGGCGAGACTAGCGGAGAGGTGAGTTACGGCCTCAGCTCGTCATTTGTGAATTTGCATAACTGACGATGCCGAAATAGGGCCGTCTACCCTTCCTCGACACTGGGATAGTCGAGATACTGACCCGTGCCACTGGCGGCGTTGGCGTCATCCTCGAACATCGCTACTATGGTCAGCCAATTTCATTGTACGTCGGCGATGACTTGAACTCACGGTCGCAGGCGAGACCCAGCCAGTGCAAAACCTCACAACTGATTCGCTCCGCTTTCTCAACAACGACCAAAGCGCCGCTGACAGTGCCTATTTCATGGCTAATGTCAAGTTCGATGGCATTGACGAAGACCTCACTGCTCCCGGCACGCCGTGGATTTATTACGGAGTACGTACTTTCCGCGACTTGCTCCAAATTGCCCTCAGATGCTTATGCCGTACAAAGGGCTCCTACGCAGGCGCTCGCTCCGCGCACATGCGGGTACTATACCCAGATCTGGTCTACGGAGCGATAGCGTCCAGTGGTAAGGCCCATTCTCGCATGTTGTACGCCCATGCTCACCCTTAACAGGCGTCACGCACGCCATCATTGAGGACTGGGAGTATATGGAGACCATCCGCAAGGCCGCGCCCGCCAACTGCTCCCTCGGCCTCGAGAACTCCATCCAGACAATCGACGACATCCTCACCGAGGGCGGCTCGGCAGCAGACGACCTCAAGGCGCTATTTGGGCTCGCAGGTCTTGAACACAACGACGATTTTGGCAATGTGTTGCGCAACCCGGTCTTCAATTGGCAGTCCAAGTGCTGGAACGATGAATGCGGCGACGATTCGTTCGATCAGTTCTGCGAGGCGCTGACCAAGGCGCCGAACAACAGCGCAGTCGCTGATGCAGCTTATGGGGACCCTCGTAGGTCGGTGAACGTCACCGACAGCTTGGCGGTGGACTATGTTCTCCAGAACTATGCCAACTTCATTAATCAGGTTTGTCTCTCTTAATGAAGGCTGGCGGTATGTTCTGATGATTGCTCCAGACGTATGCGGCTGGATGCGCAGGCCACGTCGAGGAGGTGAGTCGTCTTCTATTTCCGTGCATCCATATCCTCACCTCTCGCAGTGCTTTGGATCTTACAACGACACCGACTACCAGGGTACTGGTTTAGACCAGGACTGGCGTCTCTGGCAATTCCAGGTCTGCACACAATGGGGCTTCTTCAATGTATGCTGGATTGAGATCCGCCGCTTGATTCCCGGTCACTCAACTCGCTGTCCCTTAGGTCCCCCCTCCCGACCTCGACCAGCCTCGCATCATCTCGTCCTTCATCAGCCTCGAGTCAGAGTCCAAAATCTGCAAGCAGGCCTACCCGCCTGGCGAGCACTTTACTGTGCCCGCCGAGCCCAACATCACCGCCGTCAACGCGCTTGGAGGCTATGACATCGCAGCTGACCGGCTCGCCATCATCGACGGGGAAGGTAAGGACTCACCTGCATCCGTCTTGGCTGACTTAACTGACCTTCTTCGTAGTTGATCCCTGGCGCCCCGACACGCCTCACTCTCTGGACGCGAAGCCTCGCGACGACACGACTATTAGGCCTTTCAAGCTCATTCCAGGTGCGTGCGTAGCCTTGATGCCTTGTATACCCAGCTCACGCGAACTTGCGCAGGGGCCGTACATCACTACGACGAGTATGGCCTCGCCGACCTCTCGCAGGAGCCGCCCGAAATTCAGCAAATCCACGAAGAGATGATTGCCTTCGTCACGGAATGGCTGAAGGAGTGGAACCAGACCAAGAGCACGTTGTAAGGCCTAAGGCCCAAGGCTTAGTTCGCTGGCAGACGCGCGTAGCAGACCTAGCTCCGTCCGCGTTTGTCCGTCGTTCGTTTCTTGCCCTCGTTCAGGCTGTATAGTAGCAACGTCGACGCTGTGTCGTAGGGGAATACAGTACAAGCCTTCTGATATCTACAGGGCGAAGTCCATGCACCCGCGCCATAGGACGCGGGCGGATAAGTATACAGCTATATAGAGGTAAGGTATATCATCATAGCAATTGTGAAGCACAGCACAGCATAAATCGTGAGTAGGGTGATTCGAGCAAGAGCGTCAAGCCACATCGAATGGCCGTATGAACAGTAGGTTATGTGCACCCATCGTACTTGGAGTTGCGAGGGAAGTTGTAACCGGCCTCGGACCAGGTCGTTGCGTTGATATTATCGTAAGCGGATCCGTGACTGGGAAGGAAGGTGAGCTTGACAATCTCATCGTCATATGCAAAGACCCACTTGTCGATGTAGTCCGCCGTCGGTCGGTTTGGCGGACTGCAGGTCACGCCATCTTTCAGCCCTTCGCGCTGGTAGACGCGCACATAGTCAACAAGCATCTGCGCAGGGAACTTCATATGCTCGAAGTCCTGCTGCTGGAAGCTTGGCGCCATGCCCAAGTTGATGATCATATACTGCGCCGTGCGTTAACACAGCCATCCATCGCAATACAAGCAAACGCACTCACCATCGGCTCCTCAGAGATGAGTCGCGGACCCATGTCTATGCTCGAGTCGCCCCCGATCGTCTCCGACGTGATCTTCCAGGTCTCTTTCCCGTCGAGATACCACGTTATGTATCCCTCGTCACGGTTGTCCGGGTTGCTCCACCACTCGACGCCGTACGTCGTGTACGAGCCGCTGTACCCGCTGTCCGGGATGTATGTCAGTGCGGACACCGCCTGCTGCCACTGCCCGCCCTTGTACGTGTTGTACTCCGTGACGCTCTCATCGTATATCGTCGTCGCGGACGAGTCGTTGTCGAACTGGTACTCGCGGTTGAAGGGCGCGATTTGATACGACTGCGACGCCTGCCCGCGCCAGACGTCGACGTCGACCTGCGCCTCAAGTAGATCGATTTCGGGCACGCCGCGCCCGTAGCTGACGTCGGGTCCTGGGTGGTCGCTGCCGGGGCAGGTGCAGGCAGACAGGCGCTGACCCGGGAGGAAGCTGAGAGGGCCACCGGAGTCGCTGGCCGTGGAGACATCGGGCGAGCCGTTCTTGTCGGTCTGGTTTGGGAACGTGCCCGCGTCACATGAGTCGTACGTGTACGGCCAGTTCCCCTCCGTCGTCGCTCCATATCCCGCGCGGCCGAGATTGCCCATCGTCCACGCGCCGGGCCAGAAACCGGGCGTCTCGGGGCTCCCGGGCAGGCTGATGCGCATCTCGATGTACCCCGTGGTGAAGCAGACCTTGTTCCACGACTGCAGCATGCCGCTCACGAAGTTCAAGTCGTTCTTCTCCTCTTCAGTCATCGTGATCACGAGGTTGCCGTCGCGCGTGGTAATGGCCTGTGGCGCGGTGAGCTGGCGATCGAGACGGATATAGGTGGGGAGTGAGGGTACGGACCTTGGGGTCATACCACTCGATGTCACCGGTGGGCCAGTAGTGCAGGTCCACGGCCTCCCAGTATGGGTCATCGCCTGGGTTGAAGGTCCGGTCGTTCTGGTTGAACTCGTCGCTGAACACGAGGTTGTATTTCTTCCCATCCGAGCCGGTGCGCTCTGTAGCGTCGTCGGGCGTGTCGCCGTCAATGAGGAGCTTCATGTGAAGGTCCGGTACCTGCCCACTGCCGTTTATACCGCCCTATGAAAGGTTGTTAGACGAGCGTGCATGCAAGTGCCAGTGCGCCACACACCAGGTTGTATCCGCTATAGGACACCTGGGGGTGGCCGAACTCGTAATACATCGGGTAGCCCAGAAAAAGCATGAGCAGGCCGCAGACGAGGATAACGAGCGCGGTGAGATTGACCCATCCGCGTCCGGAGAACAGCGTGAAGTCAAAATACTCCCGTCGCGCATCGGGGTTATGCAACGCGTCGTCGATCTCGGGATCTTTTTCCCAAAGGTACTGGGGAACGGTGTTGGTGGTCATTGGTGCTGCAATCACGGTCGGGGGAACTGCAGCAGCAACGGGAGGAGCGGCAGCAGCAGCCGTTGTCGGGGGTTTCTCTCGTAGTTGGGGTGGGGGTGCTTCCCCTGCGTAGCCGTTCGTAAAGCGCGAGCTGGTGTGCCCATTCGCGTAGCCATTTGCGTAACCGTTCGTGTAGCCGTACTTCCGTTGCGGCTCTGGTGGTGCGTACTGCAATTCTCACTCAGCATGTAACTATATCCCAATGAATGACCACGTACTGCATACGGGCCATATCCTCCCCCAATCGCGCCCGTCGCTACACCTTGCGCAATGGTTCCCCTCCCGTTCGTCGCTCTGTAAGCACTGCTCGCAGACGGTGTGCGCGCGTGCGTCGGTGCTCTCTCGTACTGGTGTGTATGTGATCGTGAACTCGTAGCTGGTTGTGATCGTGAGCTCGAAGGCTGCGCCCGGGAGCTAGTAGGTTGCGTTCGTGAACTAGAAGTATGCTGTGCTCGTGAACTCGTAGTCTGTCGTGGTGGGCTCGTCGTTGGTACTGCGCCATAGTCGGGCGTCCTGCGCGATGAGCGCTCCCGCTCCCGCTCTCGCTCGCGGTCGCGGTCGCGGTCTCGTCGCTGGCCTGAGTGGTGGCGGGAGGACATGATGGAGGAGATCAACTCTGGAGTGACGTCCAATCAACACGCGCATGCGGCGCGGGGAACTCAAGCCAGGGCTCGATGGCTGTGCCGGCGCTTATTTCTCGGTGATGCCCGATGCAAGTTCAACTTCGACTCGGGCGCAAGTCGTCCGGCTCTTCTCTCTGGCTTCAGCGGTGTGCCGACAAAATATAGGCGGAATCTCTTGCGTACATGGGCCACATCCTTCCAGCGGGCTTGTAAGCCGTTGACATGGCGGCCGTGCTGAAATGACTGCACGTGTACAGCGCGCGCAGTCCTGAGGGCTATACGTACGGCAACCCTCGGTGCAACCGAGGTACATGAGTATGTCTGCTAATTGCGACAGTGTATACAGCTCTAGTCATCCAAACATCTCAAGGGACCCGTGAAGAACGGAGGTCCATGTACTCGAGGGCAAGAAGGGTAGTATAAGAAACCTCTACACTCTCACCTCCTTGCTAACCTAAAGTCTAACCGAATCGTTCTGAAACTGTTCATATGGGTAGTCAGCGGGCGCTTTACTAGGCCACAATGATGTCGAATAGGCAATGCAAGTCAGCTTACAGTCAATATCCACAGCCCAAAAATAAAGCCAAAAAGTCACCAGAAATTCGGATTTTCGCCGTACCTTCCGCTTCTTGCTCCCCAATCTTCGCTCCCTTCGTGGATGGCGCGCGAGCCAAAAGACGACACCAGCAGGATTCGAACCTGCGCCCTCAGAGAGGAAGAGATACAGGTTCAAGTCCTGTTCGAATCTCTCGCGTTAACCACTCCGCCATAGTGCCCTGGCAAAGGGAGACTTATGCACAATCACAGCTGCTTGCGCGCGCACGGCCTGCTGGTGCTATGGAGCATGGCCAGTCAATGAACGGAAGACGCCCTCAAGGCCATAGAGAGCGCACCATCAAGCGTGGAGGGACTGTAGAAGCATATCGCTGCCAACGCGTCGAATGGTTCCCTCTTGCGCACCTTGAAGGGGGTTTGATGCCGCAGCATCAAGTCAGCGACGGATACCAGGTCAGCAGCATACCTTAACGATGGACAGCGGCGGATGAAGAAGCAGAAGCACGAAGGGAAGGGTCATGTTTGGACTGCATAGGCAAAGTGGGTTCGCCCATCGCGCAGGTTATCACGCGTTGTTCCATTGGCGTACTTCAAGTTGTGCTGCGTGATACTATCTACCTAGTGGACGCGTCAGTGAACTCCATTCCGACCAATTCCTCGATGAAACGTACCAGTACCATAACTTCTTCAAGTACTCCTCGTGCTACTCATCTTCCCAGCATACACATACTTCCCACTTCAAGTCCTTGTCGCATTCCACTCCTTCAGCCACTCCGTCACGAAAAGGATCATCTCGCCATGAATCTGCTGGATCTCGGGCGGCTCGTCAGCGAGGTTGAGGTAGCCGTACTCGTCGTAGTGGTGGACGCCGTCTGTGAAGAAGGTCAGCCAAACCGCAGCTTATTTGTTGGCAGGAAGGCAGAAAGCACAAGGGGACGAAGGCGTAAAAACACTCACTCGGAATCAATTTGAACGGCTCGCTAATCGTATCCTCCCTCTCAATTGCATCCTCCGAATGCGGCGTGTCCGGTCGCCAGGGGTCGACTGCATAGAATTTGGTCAGCACCATAACCGTCCCACATCGCTAGCCAACATCGCAGGCGCGCATAGCCAACATGCAGAGCATCAAATCACCACTCACCCTCCCCATCAATAATCGCCAACCTCTCCGCGCGAATATCAAAGTCGCCCAACATGTTCACCGCAGTCACATTCGGCATGCTCGGGACGGTGAAGTGCTTGCCGGGCGGGAAGGCCTGCTTGCAGATTTTGGACTCGTGCGCGAGGGTGATGAGCTTGGAGAGGATGCGCGGGTGGGCTGGGTCGGGCGGGGCGGTCTGTGATGAGAAGTGTCAGTGTGAGGAAGGTCGACGTATCGTTCATTGCGAGGGTCGAGCGAAAAGGGCATAGAACGTACAGTGAAGTAGCCCCATTGCGTGCAAACCTGGAAGAGCCAGAGTCTCCATGTTTGGTCGAGGTCGGTCGCGAGGTATTGAAAGTCGTCGTATGAGCCGAAGCACTTGTTTGTAGTCAGTCGAAGATACAGATGGTGCAAGCCAGATGGCATACCTCTTCGACAGTGTTGTCAGTGCAGCGCGAGACCACGTTCTGCTCTATGTCAGCCAAGCCCACATACACATAGGACCACTTCACCCACCTCCCGAATATACTTCGCATAGTTCAACACCGAGAAATCCAACGCCAACCCATCCCCAACATCCACCATCCTCTCCTCATCCCCATACTCCAACGCCCCCAAATGCCCAGCAGGCGCCTTCCCCAGCACCTCGCAAAAGTCCTCAAACGCCGTGCTCCCAAACTGCGGGTCCCAGCACTTCGCCTGCCAGTACCCGAGCGGCGACGACAGCACGGAAGCGAAGTCGTCGTCGTGCTCAAGGCCCGAGAGCCCGAACAGCGCTTTCAATGCGCGCGAGGGGAAGCCGCCGCGGGCCAGGACGGCGTCGATGGTTTGGATGGAGTTCTCGAGGTGGCGGGCGCAGGCTTCGGGGGCGGAGCGGCGGATGACCTCCATGTACTGCCAGTTGGTGATGTCGGCGTGGGTGACGGCTGGACAGAGGGGGGGATTGTGAGATGGGATGGCTCGTGGTGAAGAGGATGTATGCGCACCGCTGGAGGCAATAGCACCGAAGACAAGGTCTGGGTAAAGTACGCGCATATGCGCCGCGCGTGCACCGGCGTACGAGCCCTGTACGGATGATCAGTCGTAGGTTAGAGCAGCGAGCGAGCGCGCATACGCACCCCATAGTAGATCCATGGCGTCCCAGGCGCAGTCAGGTCCTCGTCAATGCCATCGAACTTCACATTCGCCATGAAGTTCGCGCTGTCAGCCGCGCTCTGCTCGTTTGTCAGGAAGCGCAGTGAGTCCGTGGTGAGGTTCTGGACGGGCTTGGTCTCTCCTGGAGGACGTAGGTCAGTTCAGTACGGTACAGATAAGACAGGACACCTCACCATAGTACCGATGCTCGAGGACAACACCCACGCCGCCGGTGGCGCGCGTCAGGATCTCGACTATACCCGTATCGAGAAAGGGCAGTCTGTCCTACATAGACGCGCACAGATTCAGTGTCAGCTCTCCTCGCACGCATGCATATACACGCACCTCTCCACTAGTCTCCCCTCCATCCAGCACAATGACCGGCGCGTTCGTCCCGGGCACGTAGTGCCTTTTGTTCACCCAGTACCGCTGCCCGAACGTGTCCCCGGTCTCGTTGTTGAAGTGGTCGAGCGGCTGCTCGAACCACTGGGCGGGGAACTCGTCGTACGCTTGGTAGAGCGGGTCGTCGGATGCCCCGCCGAACGGTTTCTGTGCGGAATTCGACGCGTCCGCGAGCGCCTTCCAGCGCGCGTTCTGCGCGTTCAGTTTGACGAGATGGACGCCCTGGGGCCCGAGAGCGCTTATGAGGCCCGCATCGTGGGCGGCAGTGACGCCGGATAACACAGCAAGAGTTAGCAAAGCCAGAGGGACGCCCATGAGTGTATGGCGGTCCCGGACAAGAAGTGCGGGGGCTGATGCCGCGTGGAGACGCGGTCACAGTGGACATGGTCATCACATCAATGACGCGCTGCATACACGCTCAGAAAAGTCTTCGCGAAGAGGTCGTCTATCCATGTCGTGTAAGTACTAGTATTCTACCCCAAACATACATAGCAATAATCAGTTCGCGCATATACATACATCTACGCCGGACACAGTTTCTGCGCCACCTCCTCGACCAAGTTCCTGACCTCCGACTTCGACACCCCATTCTCCCCACACCCGCCCTTCTCCAGCTTGCCCAGCAGAATACTCTTCGCCTGCAGCACCTCCAGCAGCGGCACCACCTGCGTATCGTAGAACGGCGACAGCCTCAGCAAGAAGGCCAGACACGCGGTCAAACGGTGAACTAGTAGGCAAATAGTGTTAGCACCCAACCATCTTTGACCTACACCAAGAAGACGATGCCAAAGGAAGAGGATATCTCAAAAGAAGAGGATATCAGACACTCACCAACATCCTCCGACGCCCTCTCCTTATCCAGCGCCTCCACCACCGCACTCACCATCTCAATCTCCCAATCCTCATCCTCCCCGTCCGCATACCCTCCCCCACCCGACCTCACGCTCTCCACCCTCGCCCGCTGCAGCGCCCCCGCGGCATTGAACGCCACGCTCGCCGCCGCCGTGCGCACCCCCGCGTGCTCGTGCAGCAGCGCGGGCACTAGCACCGCGGTGAACTCCGCACGCGTCGCGCCCGACACGAGCGAGCGCCCCAGTGTCGGATGCGCAAACGCGTTCGCGAGGAGTCGGAGTGTAGTGAGGAGCAGGTTGCGCGCGCCCGGGTCTTTTTGGTGCGCGCGGAGGAGGGTGGTGATGGGATCGGGGGCGCGCGAGGCGATGGCGCTGGCGCACCAGGTGCCGGCGGACGGGTCGAGAATGACCAGGCGCCAGAGGTCAGCGAGCGGGAAGAGTGCTTCCGCGGGGAGGATGGAGGTAAGCGTCGAGGTGGCTGACGTCCAGGCGGTCAGAGCAGCGGGTTGCGCGGTGACATGCGACGCGGCGCCGTTGGGCTGCCGCTGCTTGAGGTAGATGAGCATAGTGCCGAGGGCCTGTGTGACCTGCGCCATGGTCATTGGTGCGTCGGCGGGCCAGGTGATAGTCGTGACAACGGAGGACAGCTTGGCGAGCACTGTCTCGAGCGCAGGCACCTGCTTGAAGAGGATAGGTTCCAGGGATAGCTTCTGTATCGCGGGAAGGTCAAGCTTGGTGTGTGGATGGGCTGCGATCCCTCAGTCAGACGTACGACGCGCGACAGGAATGAGGACTCACGCGGATACGCCTGGTACAGCAGAAGGTCGACTTCCGAGCGCAGTGCGGCCGCGTTGGCGCCCTTCACTTCACTAATCTGATGATAGGTGCCGTCAGCACAGAAATCACCTGCGACAAGCATCCTTCCACTCACCTTCTTCCCGTCTAGGAAGAACAAGAACGTCGGTGTAGCCCTGATTCCATACTCTGCCGCCAACGCCTGACCCTGCCCCACCCTGATATCGATCGACGTGAACGCCGCCCCGCGCCCACTATGCCCCGCCCGTACCCCCTTCTCCTCCGCCAGCCGCTCGAACTCGGGCGCAATCGCGCGGCACGGGCCACAGTACTGGTCCGTGAAGTCCGCGACGACCGCCCGGTGCGTCTTGAGGAGGTTGTGGAAGGAAGCGGGGTTGGTGCAGGGGTGGATGGGTGCAGTGAGGTTGTCAGTGGCGTGCAGGGGTTGTTGGGAGGGTTGGGTGGAGGAGCCTGCGCCCCCGGCAGCCTGCGAAGCAACTGCTTGCAAGATCGAGGATGCAAGAGCGGGGTTAGAGGCGAAGTCGGCGGATGGTGCGGGAGCAGGTGCGGTGGGTGCGCCGGGAGTAGGGCGGCGATACATATTGTCTATGGTCGGGCGGAGGGCAGCGCCGAAGGGGGTGGAGAGGAAATCACTGGGGAGATCTAAGGAGGGGATGAGCCTTGAATGAACCATAGATATGGACAGCTTTATACCCTTAATGCGCTCTGGTATCGACCCTCCAGTGAGGAAGCCAATCACATCGTTGGTGAACGAGTTGCAGTTGAAGTCTACGCCAGTCAGTCATCTGCGACGGGGCTTGCGGTCTCTGTCGCGACATACCTAGGAGATGATACTGCAGCAAGAAGTCAGAATCACAAGCAGTACGATGGCTACTCCTGAACGCACCTTATCCGCCGTGTAATGCTGCCTCATCTCCTCAAGGTATTCATTGAAGGTTTCCTCATCTATAGCCGTCTCGCCCATGTCTATCACCTCTAGCGGTTGTCCATGCTACATTCAAATATCAGGGAGGGTACCCCATCGAGGGGGGAATGCACGCACATGCGATCGGCCTGGCTGTGTGATGCTGATGCCTTGTCCGTAAAATATCTCCTTGCCGAACACAACGACAGAGGTATGCCTGAGTATTGGGATCAGCCTGACATCCTAGTATGCGCGCATGTATACGCACCATATCCCGTCTATTTGCTTCCCTGTAAGCTGGAGGGAGAGCTGCTTCGCGAGACCGTTGCTGAGATCGTAGACGTAGAGCTTCACTGGGGACGTCATGTCACCGGTAGAGTTGCGGTTAGATACTGAGGGTATTCAAGCAGAGTACTGAAGTGGGGAAGATGAATGTTATTGGGACAGGAACCGTATAAGTACAGGCAAGTGTAGAACAGGATGGAAGTCGAGAGAAACAAGCGCCCGCGGGACAATCGCCGCGTCAGCTCGGGCCGCGTCATTGTTCGCGGTCACGTGGACGATTGGACCTGAACGCGTCGCGTAGTTGCCTTAAGAACTGTACGATTGCAATCTTGGCTCCGTGCGAGTACTGGACGAATGGAAGAAGAATTACATTCCGTTCGCACAGGTAAAGGACATACGGTAACAAAGCAGGTCACGGAATACAAAGTACAACACCAAGCGTACCAACACAGAGCAGAGAAAGGAGCAAAGTACACGGTCACGACTGTCGAGAGGGTCGGGTATGTATGCAAAACAGTCTTGGAGGAGAGATCACAAGTACGCCATGAAGATACTACTGTCCAGTACCAGGTTCGGGTTCAGCGCTCCATGCTCCAGGTTGAACGTCTCGTCATCGAGCACGCGCGACGACGAGGGCACAAACGGTGTCGGGAACGCCCTCGCCACGCCCGTATATCGTTCCTCGACCGAGATCCCGTTACTGTTGAAATTATACGGGTCAGGCATCCAGGCATCCTCGTCGCGCGTGCCCCGATGGTGCCCTACAACCGGCTGATGCGAGTGCTGGTGGTAGGTCTGATACTCGGCCGGCAGCATCTCCATGGGGTGGTAGAACGTCGCCGTCTGGAGTGTCTCCGCGAACTGCGCGAGGGCCGGGTGGGCTTCTGCGAAGAGCGGCAGACGCATATCGCAGAACTGCTGTGGCGCGCCAGACGCGGGGACCACGGCCGCCTGGCGCGTCTTGTGGCAGCGCTGGAGGACGTTGTCGAGGATGGGCTGTCGGGATGGGTGAGAAAGACGGCCAGGCTTCACCAAAGAAGACTTTACCAGCGTTCGGCCACTGAATGGCAGGATCTTCGACGCGCGGCGGAAGAGCAGAGTGATGCGCTCCAGGTCCCGCAGTGCATGTGGGACGATCGACGATGACGGTACACGATGTATAAACGCTTGAAGCGTCATCTGAAGAAGGTGTTAAGCTACCTCGAGGAAAGCCGACAGCGCACTCACAGCAGCACTGAATGCATTGAACCAGAAAAACAGGAAGCGAACGCTGATCTCGGGCTCCCACTTGAAAAGGTCCTCGATCGTGTCGATGAGCGAATTCGCGGCCAAGTATGTCGCAACAACAGACGGGGCATTTTCGTGCCTCAGCGTGAAGCGCGCGGCATTGATCGACATCGCATCGGAGAATGAGCGCCGATGCAACTGCAGGAGTGCTGGCAAACAGGTGATCAATCTCAGCAAAGGACGTTCTTGAAATAAACACACCAATAGCCCGAGCCGATGATACTAAAGCACGCTGCATCTTGATGTACCTTGGCGACGCTGGAGTACAATGTTCGAGTAGCGGCGGAACGTGAGATTCGCGGACCCGGTGGTCCAGTTCCAAGACGCGCGAATACCCTGGCTGATCCTTGCCTATCATATACTCGAGTATCGGGCACAGGCAATTCTGCAAGAAAGTATTCTTCCACTCGTGGTCTGCAGGGCGGACTCGTTCAGTCACGCAGGGGCGAAAGCGGTAGAAGAAGTACGTACAAACCATCTCATCCGCCGGCAGGAACGTGTTGGGCGCCGTATACGATGGCGCCTTGATAGTGACGTGCTGGAGGCTTATCGAGGGCGGCCTGCCCAGCGTCAAGCTCTGCCAAGCAGCCAGTCAGCAAATGCTAAGCGCACAGCACGACAGGGCATGCGCTACATCGTCCCCGCGTCAGACGCTCACCATCCTATAGTCCAAATTAAGCAGCTCCCAGAAGATGTTCCGCCGCCGCTCGCTCTCCTCCGGGATGAGCTTGGATGACCCAGACGTCTCGCGATCTGTTCGGGTGGCCCACGGCGTTAGCAGCTGCTCGTTCCCGGGAATGAATAGCATGCACTCACGGAGGCCGAGCTATTAGGCAAATCAGAAAATTCGAGCGGATAGCGCTGGTCAGCCGCGGTGCCGAATAGGAAAAAGAGCGCTAGACGTACGCCCTGTACGAGCTTCGCCACAAATCCCAGGAGATTCCAGGCGTAGCCCAGGGCCTTGCGGTTGTCGGAGAAGATGAGGTGGTACCATATCATGAAGAACTACGCCACGGTCATACATCAGCTCCAATGGGATCAATGAAGAACGGCTGCTCACCAGCGCGTGCACGGTGTCGAAGTCGGGCTCCTCCATGAGTGGGATCTCGCAGACGCTGGCGCGCGCGAGGTGGTGATATGCTTCGGCGGACCTTGGGGGAAGATGAGTTTGTGCTTCTCCGTCTGGGCATCGATGAAGGAGACACACAAATAACCCAATGGCCGCTTGAGATCGACGAGCGATCCAATGGATAGAACCATGAGCAACAACGCGAGCCTTCGCGGACTTAGCTCGTTTATGGGCATGGTATAGCAGTATTGCAGGAGGTTGGGCAAGAAGGTTTCGGATGAATCAAGGCTATACCTAGAGCAGAACGTCAGCGTACAGAATTGAGTGCAATTCACTGAGACTTACTGCCACAGCGCGTTGCGGCGGGCCTCCTCGCATATCGCTTCTGCCTCTTCGCGTCGAGGTAGAGCGTTGCGAATCCGCTGCCTCACCGACATGTCGACCCTCCAAGGGAAGGGGAAGGACATGCTGAGCTGCAAAACCCCGGGCGGTACCTGAGGGATACCGTTCTGGTCGACAATTGGTGTAGTATCCTACGAGATGCAACATATGAGTTTGGGTATGAACCCGTCTACGCAGGACTTCAGACTCACGTCTTTGCATGTCGGAACACAAGGCGTAACGGGTGAGGCGATGGACAGGTTAGATACGGAGGTGTGCAGGCTCTCTTCCTTCGTCTGTTGCGTCTGTGACGAAGATGCCGTCGCCCCAGTAGGACTGCCTGGAGCGTTCCCGGCGGCATGGAATTCTTGTGCAGTCTTGATGAGTAGCAGCTCAGAAGCGAGGAGGGGGTCGTCAGGGTTGTAGCCTTGCAACGCTTGCTCGAGGTTGCGAACGCGATCGGAGAGTTCCTGTATCTTTGTGTGCAACTGCTCGGTGTTGGCGAGTATGAACCGACTCCCGCGCCCGCTAGTGAGACTCCCTGGGGGGCCATCGTCGTGTGTGCGCTATGCGCGTGGCGTGACCGACGCACCTTCGGGACATATTTCCGCGCATCCTCGTTTGCAGCACGACTGGGGATGTGTTCAGCTTGTTGTCACTTTCTTGGCCGAACAGCAGTGACCCACCTGGCACGGGAAGACACGATCACACTGTCGAGATGATTGTCAAGGTCAACATGCGATCATCGACGACCTTGCCTCTCACCTTCAGCTTCAACCTGCGCGTCGGCCTCACGTTGAGTGCTTCGCTGAAGGACGGCGTCTTGAGACGTACCTCCGGCACTCCTTACACGACAACTTCCTCCTGTCGTCCTTCTGCTGCGTCTTCGGCGCATCATGCGCGGATGTCGACGCTTCGTGGCGCATCTCGTACTCTCCCGACCACCCAAGCGGCCCTGTTGAATGCTCGTACTCACTCCTCTCGCCGTTGGGGGACCTTCTCTGCCTCTTCAGCGGTCGTTCTGGGGACGGCGGCGGCGGGAGCATGGGAGCTAGGGCGTTGGTCAACATGGTGCGAACAGCGTCCGGTGTCTTCGCGGCGGGGCATGCCGCGCCGTATAGGTACAGACCATATATGCGTCCGGTAGACATCTGATCAACCAACCGAACCTAATGGCGCAGGCGAAACGCGCGGGATCGGGGAGACTGCGCCTATACTTTGTTAGTGCTCGTCCTGCTGTAACCCGACCGTCTTCTCCGCCGACAGTTGGCTCTCGTCCATACCTGGGAAGCGCCCTCTCGACACGACACGACCGTCTTGGCACCAGTGCTGGTCTCGCGCAGGAGGACATCAACTTCGTCCTTTTTATACTTCCCCTCGCTTTTCATCTCCCTCCCCGCGGGAATCCCCGCTCAGCCAATTGCCGGGAAGTCAACACAGAGATCTCTCAGCCGATTCGGACAGTCGAGTGCTTCGTAGCTGCCGGGGGGCGGCCGAACCTGTCGGATCGGAGACAAATTGAGCGTCGAACGTAATAGTGCTAGGTCGCGCTACAGGACCCGCCACTACCGCTCTATATCTCGGCTGCATACCAAGGACGACTTGAGAATAACTCGAGCTCAACGCAGGTCAGAACAAGGTCAGAACATGTCTAGGCAGATTGCGTGGATCTATGTATTCTGATCGGGTTTGCCACTAGAACCCCAACTGGACGATGGCAAATCTCTTCGCAGTCCAGCGCTTCATGTCGTCTTTGTGAATTCCTCGAATGCCTGCTACGCTTGAGTGACTGCTCACCAAGGTGATTCTAATCCCTCGGGTCTGTAAGCTCTGCTTGGCCTCGCGCTGCAGTCTTCCCCGGTCAAGCGGAACAAACCTCAGCGTCGCGAACAACTTCCATATTCAGTGATCAAAAGCTCTTCGACCGCAGGCAACGCCCTGTGGTCCGACCGAGGTACCCCGTTCTGACCGGACTGTCCTCCGCTTCCCTCGCGCCCATCGTGTGAAAGATGCAGATTGCGCCTTGGTCATGACTTCTGCGTTGAATGGATCATGACGAGGATACCTGGGTGCGCATGCGCGCGAGCTTCGGGCTTCTCCAAAGGGTATATACCGCGGATGGTAGAGCATCTATGGATTACGACGAGGTTTGAATCAGACACTATATAATTCGCCAGGTCCTTCAATGAAGTACGTATGTGCTACCCGCGTACCCGCGTCCAGTTATTCATCGGCAAGCTCTTGTAAGCTGGGGATAGAGTACAGAAGCTCTACAGGGAGTGACTCACGGACGTAACTATGCGCAGCAAAGACGACTAGATGCACACCCTCTTGATGTATGAATGAGGAGGTAGTCAGCGAGGGGACGCCGCGCGAAGGTTCACGGACACTGGCATGACGACTACCGTGGGTTATGCTGGGTAAAAGTCGCCCTTGAGGCAGGAAAACGAGTTTATCTTCTCGCCCTCGTTGATCCTGCAAGATGCGTACACTCAATAGAGATTGGAGGCCGTCGAAGGGGAAAACGAACTTGATTGCATGTGACTCGGCAGATGCCGTAGACGTTGATCACGTGAGTTGGACCTACAACTCCAAGCCTCTGCTGCTTGTTCATTCCTGTGATGATATCAAAGGTTCAACGCATGACGAGAGCCTGCGGATCATAGTCCACAGATGCTAGAGCGTACGAAGAATCGTATGAGTGCTCAGCGAGCCCAACAAATTTATACCTCTGCAGTGCAGGTCGCCCAAATGAAGCTCCTGATAGGTGCTCCAGCCAGGCTCCTTCCATTGGCTTTCATGGACGTTGTAGTGAGCACCTCAGAGCGATGTATAGGCGAGCGGATCAGGGCGAATACTGCATTCGTAGCAATGCCTTATCGCCTAACCCTCGGATACCTGCAAATACGACGTCAATCCCACCGATACCACATGAATTATAGGTCCTCAGAGAAAAAGGAAGGTCTGCTCACCTCAACAACAGCCGCATCGATGCGATGATCGCCTCTCCCGCGGTCCGCCATCACGCGTCTTCTGCAACGCCCGAATTCTCTATACATCCCGCGCATGGCTTACGTGAACCAGAACGCGCGGGGGGCTGGGGGCGGCGCATGGAGATGGCGTACAAGAGGCCGCCAGCAGCGGTGACGCAGACTATGGCGTACGCATGCGCGGGGCGGAGGGGAGGGGTCAGGGCAAGGGTTGTCGGAGAGACATCCAGGGACGAGGGTACACGGCGGCTAGCAGGCACGCGAGGTGGGCGGTATGAAGGTCGAGTACGATCCCGAAATTCGAACTCCGTGGACCTTCAGCCTGGCGGGGTAGAGTTCAAAGTGGCGTCGACACACAGGCCACGATCCAGTCAGACACAGCTCGACGAGCGCCAGAGACAATTCTAGGCGCCGCGAGTCTCCAAACAAAAGCCCGCGAGTGTCCCTTGAGCTCCGCGCTCCATAGCGAGGGCATCCATGCACCGTCCACGCACCACAGGCGGCGGCCCAATCCCAAGGTTCGTTCCGAATGTCATCCGAAGTCTGGAGGCCGCTTCACCCACGTGCAGCCCGCCCCGCCAGCGTATAAAAAGCCCCCGCTGGCGGGAAACATACTCTCATGCAGAGAAACTCCCCCAAGCGAGGACCACGGTTCCCCTCGCTCGCTCCATCCAAGTAGGCCCGCTCCCTCCTATTAACCTGCCAGCGCAGGACTCTTCCCTATGGATGGCTTGTGATCGTCCTTCGTGGGCGGTGGCGCTCGATTGCTCGCTCCCGGGGCCACGAGCGCGGTCTGGCGGCCTTTGAAGTCGGCTCGAAGCTTCCTCGCGACGTCCTGACCCCGGCTAGCGCGAGGTCTCGCCCACGGCCCCGAGGCCTGGCGCACGCGCGCGTCCCGCGCCAGAGGCAATTGAACCGCTGCTGAAAGGGAGAGTCGAGCCGCTCTTCTCGAGAGAGTACCCTGACTGCTCCCATCGGTGAAGAGACCGACTCACGCGTCGGAATACGCGGCAGTCGATTTTCTGAGACGGAAGCAGCCAGCCTGGGTCCCCAAATCGTCAGTGTCAGCTCGTCCAACGCAAAATGAGCCTCCGGCGACCGCCAGGGCCGTAGTCCAGCGTGGCGCCGCCGCTCATCTGCGTTGGATGACTGCACTGACGATACCTAGGCATCTGGTTTACTGGCGATACCCAGGCTTCTGGCTCCGGCCAACAAGCGGACGCGTAGAGGTGCCCTAGCTCGGGCATTAGCCTGTAGAACACCGGCGAGGGACAGCGCCATAGGCTTGCCGGGATAAGTCCATAGGCACGAGTGAAGGCGAGGATCGTCCACCGCGGAGGTACCGTGACGGGCGCTTGACGGCAGTGGCTCGAGCTACGCGCAGAACAGTGGTGATCAGTCGAACACTGGTTCGATCAATGAACACTGGCTCGGTCTATGCAGGACAGACGTGCGCTATCCCGGCCTACGAGGATTGCAAGTCAATGTGGTGCAGCAAATCTAATGGAAAGCACCTACAGTGGACGAAACAACCGACGGTCGCGATCAGAACATGCAGATCCCATGTCAAACTAGCAAACATGAGAAGGCGGACGGTTAGTATACGATTCACGAGACATCCTCGCGACTCCCAACCCTATCGTACCTCGAATGATAGTCAGTCAACGCTTGGGAGTCGCACGCTGCAATAAAAGGAACAATAAATTGAAAAACGTGTCTGCTGTTGTACATACAACCGGCACTGTGAGCAACCACGCCCAAGTCCATTACGTTGTAAATGCATATCGCCCCCCATCCATCCCCACGGCTGCTGTGGTATCAAAGCGCTTACTCGGCGGCAAGCTCCATCTTGATCTTTGCAATGGCCGCAGCCGGGTTGAGACCCTTCGGGCAAGTACGAGCGCCTAAAGTAGGAAGTAAGTAACGGGCACTCGCAGGATAACAAAGCAGGCGACGTACAGTTGAAGATGGTGTGGCAGCGGTATACGCTCATCTCGTTCTGCAGTCTCTCCCTGCGCTGAGCGCCGTACGAGTCCTATGGCGAGGTGAGCATGATGGAATACGTATGTTCTCAAATAACATACACGAGAGTCAGCAAGCCAGCGGTACGCCTGCATGAGGGTCGCAGGGCCAAGGTACTGGTCCTGGTTCCACCAGTAACTCGGGCAACTGGTGGAGCAGCAGGCGCAGAGAATGCACTCATACAAGCCGTCAAGCTTCCGACGATCCTCCTGCGACTGCAAGAACTCGCCCTCCGCGGGCGGGTTGTCGTTCTGGAGGTAGGGCTGTATCGACTTGTACTGCTTGTAGAAGTACGTCAGGTCCGGGACGAGGTCCTTGACGATGTACACTAGGAGAGAATGTGATGTCAGGACATGGAAGTACGGCGCATGTGATCGGGCGTACTATGCGGAAGAGGGTAAATCTTGGTGTCCTTGGACTCGTCGCGCTCGATGCGGCAAAGGCAAGCGAGCGTGTTCTGTCCATTGATGTTCATCGCGCAGGAGCCGCAGATACCCTCGCGGCAGGAGCGACGGAAAGTGAGTGTCGGGTCGATCTCATTCTTGATCTTGATGAGTGCGTCGAGGACCTGGGTTCCGTCTGAGCGTTCTGCGCTGTCTAACCCTCTGCGACCTATGACGCACCATAGGCCCGCACTGGTTCAAGTCGATAGTGTACGACTGCAGGGTCGGCTTCTTCGCTGGCTCATCCGGGTTCTGCATTTCCTGTCAGCTTCTCTTCCGCCTCTACCGCTCGTCCTACGCACCCAGCGATAGATCTTGAACTCCTTCGCCTTCACAGGCTTGTCCGTGGGTACGGCCTGCGCACGAAGAGCGGAGGTAGCAAAGCCGCGGGACGCTCTGAGCGCCGCCGGGGCACGGCGAGAGGAGGAGACGAGAGCCTGCATGGTGGGCGGGACTGACACTCGCAGCAGCGACGACGAAGGGAGAGACAAGAAGGGTGAATGCGGAGAACGAGTTTCCCGCACAAGCGCGTGAATATCGCCCCGAACAATCCGAGCCAATCAGATTGGTCACAATGTAAAGGCCCGCCGGCACATCCGGCTTCGGTTGGTCCCGGCCCGGCACTGGCCGTGCGCGACCTGCTCCCAACCATGAAGGTTTCCATCTCCCCCTCGCGCCGCTGGATCGGCAGAAGCACCGCTGAAGCTGCTCGGAGGGTCTGCGCTACTCTACGGGGTCCCCACGATTTTCTGACTGGAATCAAAAATCCACTTCATGTCGACAAAGGCACTTACTGTCTGTCGCGACTCAGCAGGACGTCTTCATCTGCAGACGCCGACTTCACCGCATATTTTCCCGAAACCCACGTTTCTTTGTACTACTGTCTTCGGCTGCGACTGCACGAGAGATTCGCGCACTGGATGACTGCGAGTCTGCCATCTTTCAGCCCTTTTCGACGAATCGTCCTCTTTCTCTTGTTATAGGACGTCCGACTAGCCTGTACGTCTACTTTGCGCGCGACATCGTCATCGACATGAAGTATGCTCTAGTCCTCGCCTAAGGCCTCCGTGGGTTTCCTCATCGCCTTGCAACGACCTGTGGGAACTGACTCATAGTGTAGCTTCAGCGCTCACTTCTTTCGCCCTTTTGCCGCGCCGATCCCTCTATGCTTGTGATGGCACCAGACGAGCCCAAAACGAACTCACTGACCATATAGAATAGGCATACATACAGAGGCCTCGGTTTCCACCCACCGAGGCCCGCCCAGTCAACATCGTGTGCTAGACCTACCGCAATGTCAGTGTCATCCGAGAACCGCACGGCTGGCAACAAGCAAAAGTGGTACCGGCGCCTGACTACCAGCTAACGTTACACGCACTCCTATGTCCCGATTCTCGATGAACGGATCCCAGGAGATAGACGAAAGTGACAGTTGCCCATGATGTCAAGCCGTTCAAGGTCACTGCGAGTGGCCGTGCTACATGCGCTGTAGCATACTTGGATAATATGTACAATAGGATTTTTGTAGAGGAATCGATTGTGTTCGTATTCCTGGAACGGGCGTGAGTTCGAAGATTGACATCGTTGGTCGAGCGGGCCAAGTTCCCTCTGTTGACACGTGTTTACCGTCCATTGTTTCCATTCGGCCACCATCACGATACCAGTCACCCCCTGCTTAGAGCTCGCCACCCGCGACGATGGGCCACATACGGGATGTATGGGCACAAAACCTCGACGCGGAGATGAAGAACATCCGCAGTCTCATAGAAGACTATCCCTATGTCGCCATGGTTCGTGCGCGTCTTGTACTTCCCCCAGCGTGTTTTACTCACTATCCGCCACGCAGGACACCGAGTTCCCCGGTGTCGTGGCGCGCCCGATAGGGCAGTGGAAGTCGACGTCGGAGTATCACTACCAGACGATGCGCTGTAACGTCGACCTGCTCAAGATCATCCAAGTCGGCATCACGCTCGCGGACGCGGAGGGGAACATGCCACCGGAGCCAAGTACATGGCAGTTCAACTTTCGCTTCAGCATCAAGTGCGTGCTGTGGCTCTCTTGAAGTGATAAATGGCTGACACGCATATAGCGAGGACATGTACTCCCCGGACTCGATTGATTTACTGCGAAAATCAGGCATTGACTTTCAGCGCCATGAGGAGCAGGGCATCAACCCAAACGACTTTGCCGAGCTTATGATCACCTCTGGACTGGTCCTGTCGCCAGACACGACATGGATATCATTCCACAGGTGCGTGTACATGCGTCCCCTCCGCCATCACATACTAATGCTTAATGGTCTCAGTGGTTACGACTTCGGCTACTTCGTCAAACTCCTCACCGCAATATCCCTCCCCACCACTGAAGACACCTTCTTCGAGCTCTTCCGAATATGGTTCCCATCCGTGTACGACATCAAGGTTATGATGCGCGCCTGCAACGGCCTAAAAGGAGGCTTGCAAGAGCTCGCGGACGATCTTTCTGTACGCCCTACATCTAACCCATCCCTTCTCCATTTCACCTCCATCCAGGTCGCACGCATCGGCCCCTCCCACCAGGCCGGCTCAGACTCCCTCCTCACCGCCTCCGCCTTCTTCAAGATGCGCGACATGTACTTCAAGGAGTCCTTGCAGGACCCCGAGAAGGCGGAAAAACTGCGCTCAGAATATTCTGGCAAGCTCTACGGCCTCGGCCAGACGTTCTCCATCGCGAACGGCATCGCGGACCCAGGGCGCGGCGGCGCGACCATCGCTGAGCGAGAAGACCGCACTGTGACGCGCGAGCTCTCACAGACGCCTGCGCCAGGGCCAGGCCAGGGCGTCAGCCTCGCTGGGCAGGCGGCGGTCATGGGCATGGGCGGTGGTATGGGCATGCCCACGCCTGGGTACGGCCCACTGGCCAACGGGCCGTACATGCGGACACAGATGGTGGGAGGGGCGCGGTGAGGTGGGCATGGGGAGGAGGGGTGTTTGTCAGTATTCGCCTTGCCTGTATTCCTGCTCCTTGCTTTGTGTATAGCTCTGTATCATACGGGTGTGGACTTTATTGTATCGATTTATTTCTAATTGCTCTTCTCTCGTGTCGATGGCAGGGTCGAGAAGCAGCTGACCCAACTGAATGAATGCATGAAGGCAAGCAATTGCACACAGCTCGTCTGTACTTCACATGGCTGCCCAGCGGCCTCTGACCGTAGGTCGCCCTGCTCGTCGACCTCTCATGACGCTCGCCACCGACGACACGTTGCACAGTGACGATGCGGGGTATGCGCGCAATCACATGTAGTTAGTCCGGTCCGGCGCACGCCCCAGCCTATACCGGCATCGGGCACCTTACCCTCGTCCTTCCCATCTCTCCCGACCTCGTACTTATACCTACCAGGTCGCTGCGCTGTCCCCCTCACCCCGCGGAACCCCGCCCGACCACTACACGCCACCCCCGCGCCGCGCCATAGACTGGTTCGGATCGCCGACGCACTTGGCGGTACCCCGCAAGTGATCACCTGAGAACGGAGAGCTGGCTGCAGGACAAGCGGGACCTTTCTGCGTCTTGCTGCTCCCCAGCTTGATACACCCATCCTCGACGCGCCTGGGATGCTGAGAATATCGTCGAACGTTGCGCGTTCAGCTCGTTTGGTGAGTGGGCAGGTTGGTGGATGGGAGGTGTGATCGGGGCTGATGCGCGCTGCAGCCGCGGTCGCAGATTATGTCGCGTTCGCTGAAGTCTACGGCGAGGGCCGCAAATGCGGACCCGCCCCCGGGATACGCTATCGATCCCAAAGCTACACCTATGCTGCGATACCAGGAGTCTCTTCCTCGGCTCCCCGTACCCACCCTCAGCTCGACTGCCCACAAGTACCTCGAGACTGTCCAGCCGCACCTTACACCGGAGGAGTTCGCGCGCACAGAGGTCGCGGTGAAGGACTTCCTCTCCTCCCCCTTCTCTGCCGAGCTCCAGAAACGCCTCCAAGCCCGCGCCGCCGACCCCTCCACGAAGAACTGGCTCGCGGACTGGTGGAACGAGGCCGCGTACATGGGCTACCGCGACCCCGTCGTCGTCTTCGTGAGCTACTTCTACGTGCACGTCGACGACAAGCTCCGAAAGACGCCCGCCGCCCGCGCCGCCGCGCTCATCAAGGCGATGCTGCCCTTCCGGGAGCTCACCGAGAGCGGGCGCCTCGAGCCGGAGAAGGTCAGGGGTGCCCCGCTGTGCATGGCCTCGTATAAGTGGCTCTTCCACTCTTCGCGCTATCCGACCAAGCCCTCGGACACCGCGCGCAAGTTCGACCCCGCGGCGCACAACCACGTCGTCTTCGTCCGCAAGAACAAGTTCTTCACGGTCCCGCTCGCCGACGCGTCGGGAAGGGAGTACAGCGCGGCGGATCTGGAAGCGCAGATCAACAAGGTCATCCAACTCGCGGGCGATGCGGCGGACCCGCATCCTGTCGGCGCCCTCACCTCGGACAACCGCGACCTCTGGACAGACGCGCGCTCTGCGCTGCTCGCTGCTTCGCCGGACAACGCGAAGGCGCTCGAGGCCATCGAAAGCGCGATGATCGTGGTCTGCCTCGACGACAAGAAGCCCGTCACGCGTGAGGACATCTCCTGGCAGTGCTGGGTTGGGGATGGGAAGAACAGGTTCTACGACAAGCACCAGCTCATCGTCTTCGATAACGGCCGGTCCGGCTTCCTGGGCGAGCACTCGTGCATGGACGGCACGCCCACGCTCCGCATGAATGAGTCCGTGCTCGCGTCGCTGGCGCTCGGCAAGGCGGACCTGGGTCCATCTGAACCATCACCGTCGCTGCCAGAGCCCACCCAGCTCAAGTTCACGCTCAACGACGAAGTCAAGTCCGCCATCAAGGCCTCCGAGAAACGCTTCGACGAGCTCGTCGGCGCGCATGATCTGTACGTGCTCCACTACGAGGGCTACGGCAAGAACGCGATCAAGAAGTACAAGGCCTCGCCCGACGCGTGGGCGCAGCTCGTCAAGCAGCTCGCCTTCCAGAAGATGTACGGGCGCCCGGCGGTCACCTACGAGAGCGCGCAGACGCGCAAGTACCAGCTCGGGCGCACAGAGGTCATCCGCAGCGCCTCGAACGAGTCGAAGGCGTGGACGGAGGCGATGGCGGACCCCGAGCGAAGCGACGTGGAGCGCGCGAAGCTGTTCCGCGCGGCCGTCGCGCGGCACCTGCAGTACGCGGCGTGGGCGGCGGACGGGCAGGGCGTTGATAGGCATTTGTTTGGGCTGAAGAAGGTGCTGAAGGAGGGCGAGGATCTGCCTGCGATCTACAAGGACCCAGCGTTTGCGCGGACGTCGCACTGGGAGCTGAGCACGAGCCAGCTGAGCTCGCCCTACTTTGAGGGCTGGGGTTATGGAGAGGGTGAGTCTCGTACTTCTTCGACTGATTTCGCGGGAAATTGCCGTTCATTTCCTGCCTCCTTGAACGCAAGGCCTTTGTCTTATGTCTTCCATCTGCTCTTCTCCCGTTTGCAGCGCTAACCACAACGCAGTGGTACCTGACGGTTACGGCCTTTCATACGCGATTGGCGACGATTACATCCGGTGGACGATCACGAGCCTTAAGCGCAACACCGCTGAGCTTCGGCACTATCTAGCGGAGGCCGCGACGGAGACTCGCGTCATGATGGACAATGCCCTCGCCGCTGAGAAGGCCGCAGTGGCGCCAGCGGCCAAATTATAGTAGCGGGCCAGGTCGGGGACGAAGTAGAGATATTGCTGGCTTGTATGTATCGATGCTACGCGATGGTTATCGGCGCAGCACCGCGCCCGCTTGAGTACCAATGGTCCCCCCTTCGAAAACCAAGTACGCAAGTGCGAGGCTGGACCCATGAGCGCCCCAGGGACGTACATTGACACGCGGTTTCCCGATTTGGGGGGTATGAAGCTCACTTTCGCACATCTTCGTTTAGGCGCCCACGCCGCCTATATATACAGTGCCGTAAGGGCCTGTCCTTTCCTCTTTCCACCATCGCACCCCGCATCGCGGATATCGCCTGCACACAGAGCTCACTATCATATCGAGAAACATGCCTCCGAGAGGCGATCGTGGTAGAGGCGGCGCCGGCGGGAATCCGGGCCGTGGTGGTCCAGGTGGCGGAGGAGGAGGGGGAGGTAGAGGCGGGGGCGCCCGAGGTGGGGGCGGTGGTGGTGGAGGCCCCGGTCGAGGTGGAGGCAGTGGAGGCAGTGGTGGTGGTAGAGGTGGAGGGGGCTGGGGTCGCGGGGGGCCGCGTGGAGGAGCCCCACCGGGGTCGCCGACCCCATCATCTGCTCCCAGTGTAAGCAGTGCGGGAGGCGGCCGTGGGAGCCGTGGCGGGGGAGGTCCCGCGATCCGCGGCATGGGACGTGGGCGAGGTCGTGGGCAGACGACGGCACTCGCCTCTCAGGCGACGACGACGATAGATTGTAAGTGATCTATAATCTATATATCCCCCTCCCACCTTACAGATCCCTGATGATGCATTAGCGTCTGTCGTGGCCGTCGGGGTCAAGCGTCCCAATTTCGGGACGTCAGGCAAGATCATGCGGGCAGTGGTCAACATGTACAGGCTCGAGATCCCTGATGGGACCACCTACCACTACGATGGTGAGTATTTTGTGTCGCTACACGGTCTATGTGGCGCTAACAAACATTGTAGTTGGTGTGTAGGCGCGACTCAGGCCCCACGAGTATAAGCTTATCTTTTTCCGATGCATAGACCTGATCTCCGAGAAAACTCTGCCCATCCGACGCAACATGGAGTTGTTCAAGCAGCTCCAGAACGAGATTGCACCCAATGTCTTCACGGACAAGGTTTCCTACGACGGGCGCAAGAACGCCTATGCGTCGTACCGGCTGAACATACCCAATGATGCCGCAGAAGTTCGTTCTTTCTGTGACTTTGCGCGACCGAGCTCTGATTGAAATACTGCACAGTTCCAAATCCCCATCCCAAACGGAAATCCTGACCGTCCTCCGCGCGTCTACCGGATTAAGATCAAGCTCGTCAATCAGATCAATCCGGAGTAAGTTCGTGACCTTCTTATCTACGCCGAATTTACCGTCTTCCCAGGTTGCTGCTACGCTTCGTCGAAGGCAAGCAGTCGAACGACAATGAAGCGATCACAGCCATCCAGGTCGGTGTTCTTCCATCCACTGCAAACAATGGTGACCACACTAACGATAATTCCAGGCTCTCAACGTCGTGCTCCGCATGGAGCCGACGCAGAAGTATCCGTTTAATGTCCGCAGCTTCTACACGCCGCAGGGCAAGAGGGAGATCAGGGGAGGAATCGAGTTATGGAGGGGGTACACCGATATTAACTCACACGCAATGGCAACCGTACACTGACTCCGCGCTCCCATAGGTACTTCCAGTCGGTCCGGCCAGCTATGCACAGTACGTCTCCGTCTTGGTCAGCCTTCTTTCCCACTCACCATCGCGATAGAGCTTGTCGTGAACGTCGACGTTACAGCAGCCGTCTTCTACCAATCGGGGCCGCTGATAAGCCTATGCCTCAAATTCCTCAATCGCGACCCTGGCAATCCCGGATACCTGGAGAGGCTCCAGGACCGCGAGCGGCTCGAGCTGAAGCGCTGGCTGACTGGCTTGAAGATCTACGCTGGTGATGGTGGCGGCGGCGGCAATGGCGGTCGTCGCCCCCCTCGCGCGATCACGGGACTATCGCGCGAGTCAGCGACGACACTGTCCTTCCGCCTCAAGCGCGAGGGCCAGCCGGAGCGATCCATCACTGTCGCGCAGTACTTCCAGACCATCCTGAACCGCCGATTGCAATACCCGAAGCTTCCGTGTGTCGAGGTATTTGATGAATGGACTGGCACTTTATTCTTGCGCTAAGGCAAACTCAGGTCGGTTCAGGCAAGGCCATGCTGCCCCTGGAGATCTGCACGGTCCCCGAAGGCCAGCAGATGCGTAAGGCGATCCCTAAAGGTAAGTATAACATCCCCTCCATTGTCATTCGAGGTTCAATCCATTCTCGCAGATGCAACGCGCGACATGGTCGAGTTCTCCGCGCAGCGACCGGATGCCCGCTTTAACGCCATCCAGGGCTCTCTCCAGGTCCTCTCCTTCCCATTCAGCCGACGAAGCGTCACTGACAGACCCATGATAGCTCCTTGGATATGGCCAGAGCGAGTACGTCCGCAAATTCGGCATGTCGGTCGCGACACAGATGCTCGAAGTCAACACGCGTGTCCTTGCGGCACCAATCATGCAATATGGACCGGGGTCGCGCCAGAAGACGGTGGTATGTGCATAGGTTCTCGTCCTGCTTCCCGAGCGACTCACACGACCGTAGCCCGTCAGGAATGGCGCCTGGAACATGTACGACGGTCTCCGTGTCCTATCCTCTCGAGTGTGTACTCATACACTCATGTGTAGGGCGGACAAGCACTTCTACGTACCGATGCCGCTGGACTCGTGGGCCATCATGTGCCTCGACAGCGAGCGATTCTTCCCACAAGGTGCCCTCGACTTCACGGTACGCTTTCCACTTGATTTCATGTATATATCCTGACAAGTCGCTTTAGGTTGCTGGCCTCAAGGATGCAGCCAGCAAATGCGGTTCGTATACACGAATCTCCTGTGGCCTCGAACTCACGCTTTGATAGGCATGAGGGTGGCAGACCCCGTGCTGAAATGGTCTGTCGTCCTGTGTCGTTCTTCGTACATCCATTGACTTCTCGCGCAGCTACCGCCCCGCGCAGCGCGGTGCTTATGCCGTGCGTGCCGATACTGGATGTTGCATGTTCATCAGTAGGCTGACCACCGGCTAGCTGCTCAATGAGCTGCTCGTTGAGCTTCGGAACAAGGGCCTGGCCGTGAAGATGATCGTCGTCATCCTTCCCATGAACGGTGACCAGATCTGGGAGCACACGAAATTGTATGTACCCTTCCGACTTCACCAATAATACCTCCGAGCTCATGACATCGTAGCTGGGGCGATATCGACGTGCGTGGTTTTTTCTCTTCTTTAAACCAAGTTTCTGACCCTGTACCACAGAAAGGCGTCGCCACGCAGTGCCTGAAGGCGGATAAGTGCAGGAAAGCGAACATCCAGTACTGGGCGAACGTCTGCCTCAAGTGAGTGTGTCTTTGCGCAGCTTTGGTGTTATTACACGTACTTGGACGCGCTGCAGCGGTCTCGGAGTCGCTACGGCGCGCGGTCTTGAGCGATGCTAACACCACAACAGGATCAACGGCAAGCTCGGCGGCATCAACGCCATCGCGGACCCCCAGTCCGCCGCCGTGCTCTCCGACCCGCACCACTCGACCCTCGTACTCGGCGCGGACGTCATCCATCCGAGTCCGGTGAGTTTTTTCCTTCTATTCAGCGGTTTCTTGCACCTGGTCTCGTATGAAGCGCGGTGCGGCCTGGCCCCGAGCGCGCCGTCTTCGTGCTGCATATCAGAATCATTGTATCTCACAAATAATACTCAGGGCTCCGTCGGCCGCCCCTCCTTCGCCGCAATGGTCGGCAACGTCGACCGCAACGCGGCCAAGTATATCGCGACGAGCCGCGCACAGCGATCGCGCCAGGAATACATCACGGACTTTGGGAACATGGCGAAGGTGAGTGGCTCTTGTTCTCTTGTTCTTATCGATGCCGGCTGTCACCCAAGAGTCGTGGGCTGTCCCCCAAGAGTCATGGCGTCTCGTTCTTTGTTTACATAAGATTGCGACTCATTGCGCTATCACAGGAAATCATTTCCTCGTACGCGAGCTACCGCCAGGTCAAGGAGGGCAAGGCCGGTGCCGCCGCCTGGCCGAGCAGGATCATCGTGTACCGCGGTGCGTGGGATCTTCGAACCAGTTGCCAAAAGTCTGATCATTGGTGTAGACGGTGTCTCTGAACCTCAGTTCCCGCATATCAAGGAGCAAGGTACGCTCAATGTGGAGGACGTGTTGTGCATCCGGGCTCTCAGAGTTTGACTAACCTGTGGTTTTTCTATCTTGCAAGAGCTACCGCTGCTTCAGGGTTCGTTATCTTTCTTGAGCGAGTAATTCTGTGTCTGACAAGCTCCCAGAGGCATGCACGGAACTCGGCATCAAGCCCAAGCCGCAGATCACCTTCATTGTGCGTATCCTGCCTTCATTCTGCTCGGAGATACGCTGACCCTGCCCCCTTTCCAGATCGTCGGCAAGGTGCGCGAGCTCGCGGTTGAGTTGAGGTGAGGCAGGGAAGGTGCTGACCGAGATTCTGCGAAGCGCCACCACATGCGTCTGCTCCCCAAGAACCCCGGCGACGCGGACAGGAGCGGGAACATGCCCGCGGGCACGGTCGTCGACGCGGACATCACGCACCCCGTCGAGTTCGACTTTTACCTGCAGAGTCATGCTGGGCTGAAGGGGACGAGTCGGTCCGGGCATTATTCGGTGAGGTGTAGAGTCTCTGGTGTGCGGTTTGTAGTGCTTACAAGCGCGTTGCATAGGTGATACACGATGTGAGCAGATATTCGCGAGGTTTTGGATTGCTGCTGACTCTGATTGCTTGTTGTAGGATTACGGGTTCAAGTAAGTGGTCGCTTTTTGTGTGAAGATGAAGAGGGACTGATCGTCTTGCAGCGCGGACACGCTTCAGCACTTCACGTACATCTTGTGCCATGTATACGCGCGGGCGACGCGCAGCGTCTCTATCCCTGCCCCAACCTACTGTACGTGCTCCTACTGCTTTTGCACCAATCCAAACGGGACACTGACGCGTCACTTCTCTCCTTCTAACACCATACTCTTCCGCCTCCCGTGCACTGTCATTCCCTCCAGACGCCGACATCGTCTGCTCGCGTGCCAAGACGCACTACAACCCGGGCGTCGACATGTCGGCCGCGTCCGAGACCGCGTCGACGACAGCTGGCGATGCTGCGGAGCAGAACCTTGCGAGCCAGTTCCGCCAGGTGCATGCGACGCAGAAGAGCCGGATGTACTTCCAGTAATCGTTCTAGGAGTCACCAGGGGTCACTGGTGTGCATTGGTGGGATGCTCTGCGCATAGTCGACGGGCATGCTTTGTCATCTCTGGCAATTGCCCCTGATGGTGCTCGCAAGCTGCTGTCTTCAGCTCCGATCCTACTTTACCTACCTTTGAATCCTCACATTCGCAGAGTTTCTGCCATCTTTGTACCTCAATGATTTCTGACACCATGCTCCATGTACTTGCATCTCCTGTAGCATCCCCCCATCTCGCATTCACTCGCTCTACAACCGACTACACGTATGAGATAGCTACGATTCTGTCAAGGAAGAAGTTTGAATGTTTTAAACACTGAAATAGCGAATGACTTACCAACGAGCGAACTCAACGGACTTGCACAATGCAAGTTCAACTTGATGCCCTCGGTCCCGAAAGTCACGCGCACGGCCCGGCGGTCGCTCCGAAGTCCGCGTCGAGCTCTTGACCTGCTCTTGCCTTTCCCCAACCACGAAGTCTCCTCCAACATCCCTACCCCTACAGCGACAACGGCCATGCCCTCCTATACCTTCTCCGACGACGCGTACCTCAAGCTCTTCTTCCACTGCGCGAAGTACCCCCACCGCGCCGTCAACGGCGTCCTCCTGGGCACCGAGGCCGGCGACGAGGTCCAGATCACGGACGCGGTGCCGCTGCTGCACCACTGGACGCATCTGAGCCCGATGATGGAGATTGGGTTGGATTTGGTGCGTATGCGAGTCTAGCACGAGTCTTCTTACTCGGAGGGCGCACTCGGATAGCAAAACCAATGGCTGACTGAACGCGCGACTCCAGGCAGCAACGTACGCGGCATCTGTGGGTATGAAGCTCGTTGGGTATTACCAGGCCTGTGAGCGATTAGACGACACGGCGCTCACGCCCGTGGGGGAGAAGGTGGCGAGGAGGATTAGGGATTCGTTCGCTAATGCGGCAGCGTTCGTGGTGCGTGTTGTACAGTCTCAACGTCCTATCCTTAGTGCTAATCGTCGTGCGTAGATCGACGGCGAGCAGATTGGGACGGGAAGTGCGGCGTTGGTGGTGCGTGTCGTCCTCCCTCTCTCATTGCATTCTCCCACAAGCCGCCGACACTAACGTCCTCCTCACCAGCCCTACACCTTCAACACCAGCACATCTTCCTGGACACGAAGCTCTTCATCCTTCACAGAGGGCTCACCCTACCGCCTAACCTCCACGGACATCCCCCTCCGCGCCGTCAAGCTCGTCCGGCAGGAGCAGCGGGAGAAGAAGTTCGGCGACTTTGACGATCATCTGGAGGATGTGACGATAGGTGGGTGTCATCATCTTCGTGCTGGAGAGTTGTCTCGTCTTCGTTCTGGATAGTTTTCTCGTCTTCGTTCTGGAGAGTTGTCTCGTCTTCGTGATGGAGAGTTGTCTCGTCTTCGTGCTTGAGAGTTGTTTGGGGGATTGTCCTTGCCAATCGGGACTCGCATGTGGGCTATGCTAACGCGCCCTCCAGATTGGCTACGGAACAAGGCCTGCTTAAGCTCGTGAACATGAATGATACCCACTATTGCTACACTTCATCCTGCCCTTACAAGCCGTGGGGGCCAATGCGCGCAATCTCTTCAGACTGCAAGTCCATGATGGTAAACAAACTGATCTCAAGGCCACCGTCACACAAAGCAAGATGAGGACGAGGGCGCTGCACAGCAGCCCAATCTAGTGATCATTATGAACGAAGCAAGGGCGAGAGCAGCAGGGGGAATAGTGAACAAACACGAGGGGAAAGAGTAAACGAACACGAGGGGAAACAGTCAACAAATACGATGGGAAACAGTAAACGAGCACGAGAGGAACCAGTCAACTTCAAGCACGAGAAGGAACAACCGATAGGTAAGAAACACGAGAGAGAAAGAGACACCACAACGATGTAAGTAAAAATACAACCAAAGGTATCGCAGGCGTTATTCGCCCAGTATCACCAGCGCCCCGCATTATCGGTGGTGCAGTTCCGAGTCCTCCATCCAATATCCATGAACAATCCATCCCTTTGACCTTCCTTACATCCCCGCCTTCTTTCTCATCGTCCTGACCTTCCTCTTCATCCTCCTGACCTTCCTCTTCACCATCCTACCCTTCCTCTGCATCATCCTTCCGGCAGTCTCCTGCCAGCAAAGCCACCAGACCCCTCCCAGCAAAGCCAACAAACCCTCATCGCCCAGCACCCTGCCTCCTCTCATGCATATACCGCCCCACAAACCCAAAAAACTCGCGCGTCATCCGCGACAGCGTCCCCTCCGAGTACGTGCCCAGCATCCGTTCCACTTCCCTTTCCTCCTCCCTCTCCATCGCCCGAATCTCGGGCGCGGACATGTTCCGCTCGAGGACGCGCGCGCGGGTCCAGGACCCGCCCAGTGAGCCTTGTGGCGAGCCGCGGGAGCCCTGTGAGCCTGGGGGTGTCGAGTTTTGCGAAGACGGGTTTCGCAACCCTTGCGACGACGGGCCTTGCGACGATGGGCCCTGCGACGGAATCTCCTCCTCCTCGTCCGACGGGCTCCTTTCCCTATCGAACGCCTGCCACACCAAGCCATACGGGTTCGGCGCGTAATCGTCGTGCGCGACCGTGCTGAGGGTGTCCTCGACGGGGATGCGGCGGGTGGTGGTGCCGCCGGGGAGGCGGGCGAGGTTGTCCGCAGTGAGAGAGGTTGGAAGAGGGGGTGGTAACATGCTGGGCGAGGACGCGGCCTTCTTGACGGGGCGCGTGCGGCCTGCGTTGGATTTGGTCTTGGGCAGGGTGCTTGTCGAGGGGTTGGCGGAGCGAGATGACGAAGGGGTACCAGAGCGAGATGACGATGCGGCTGGCTGAGAGGATCCGCGCAAGCTCGATGGTCCTGCAGTGGGCCGGGAGGAGGGACCCGCCAGCATCGGTGGCGGCGGCATATCCGGGCGCAAGCGCTTCTGCGCAGGCGATGAGGTGTCCACCGGCCCATCCTTCCGCTTCCGCGTCGTCGTCCCCGGGAACAGCGGCGGCGCGGGTAAGGAGAACGGCAACGGCGGCTGCGGCGCATTCAGATACGAGTCGTCATCCGCGTCCATCCCGTCCACAACTTCGCAGAAGCGTGCCACATTCCGGGCAAGGTCCTCCGCGCTCTGCCCGGGCATGACGACGCGGCGCGGGGTGTACGCGCGGAGGGCAGCCTTCATGCGCTGGAACGAGTCCGTCTCGAAGGGCGGGTTCTGCCTGTCGTCCTTCGAGCCGCGGTCGATGCGGGGCTTGTGCGTGTAGTCCATCTGCGCGCGGCTCAGCTCGTCCTGATTCCGCGCATGCCGTGCCCTCCCTCTGGCGTATTTTTCTTCCTCCGCCTCGCGCGCGTCCTCGAAGTCGAGCAGGTACTTGACGCGGCGCATCTCGAGGCGGAGGTCCTTGGACGAGGCAGCGCGAAGGTCGACGGGCTTGTGCGCCGTAGCGCCGCGGGCGTGGTGGAAGTGGGCTAGGGTCACCCGCCCATCGGCGCCGATGAGTATGTGCTCGAGCGCGACGCTCGTCTGCGCAATACCGCGCGCGTGCAGGAGCTCGTACGCGCGCACGACGCGCCGCTTGAGCGCGTGCGGCATGTCCGGCGACGCGGTGATCCAGAACGATGCGTGCGGGGGCTCCATGACGACGTGCGTGCCGTAGAGGGAGCTCACGACGGAGATGACGTTGGGGACGATGATGCCTTGGAGGGGGCGTAGTTGCGTTTTGAAGAGGTAGAGCTGGGGGGAGGGGGTGAGTTGACCGCAGCACGTGGTGGCGACGGCGGCGACGTACCTCGGAGAAAAAGCCCTTCCAGTCTTTGTCTCGGGTCCATCTGGGGGATCGTTAGCGAGGGTCAAGAATGTGGCAAGGGGGAGCATACGTCTTGACCCAGAGGTGCACGTCGTCAGCAACTAATTTGGCCTTGTAGATCGACATGTTGTAGTTCGTGCTGGCTGTAGGCCTTCGATCAGTTCCTGTCCCTGCAGGGTTGCAAGTAACGCACTCTTCAATTCCTGCACCGGCATCGCATTGTAGAAGCCCCTGCCCTTCATGAATGCCCAACGTCCCTCGGGCTCGTACAAGTGGGCGTCTAGTGGATGTTGCGAGGGTTTGTGGACGGTGCTGTACGGTGTTCTCGAGACTGTAACCGTCGTGTTCGTCGACAATTGGATGTTGTTGCTGGGAATGGGTGGGGGAGGGGGCAGTATGCTCGTTGGAGGCAATGGGGTATCGATGTGTGGCGCCGCCAACGCCTGGTAAAACATGGAGAACTTGCTCATGGCGGTGGTCGCAAAGTTTGCCCAGGGGGCAGAAGAGGTAGCCATCGTGTATGTGCAGCGATATGGGAGGAGATGGTGGTGGTAAGAGGTAGAGGTGCGGGGACCTTCATTTCTCCGAACTCGTGCATCACAACGCAAAGACCATTCTTCCAAATCGGGAAACAACAATCGGTCACATGATCAGACGCGGCACGAGCGCGTTGCCAAGCAACGCAACTCGGAAGAATCATTTTCTGGACCCCTTCGGACGTTTGGAAAGCCAGCCAAAGGGCCCAAACGATTTTCCATTGCGTATAGTGATGCGATTCTGGTATACTATGCTTTGCGACGGGACTATACAATACCTGAATAACCTATGCATAACGAGAGTCGAGACAGAAAAAAAGAAAGCATAGCGCGCATACGTAGTACGAGCCCATCGTCCACCTCTTCCATCCTCCTCACACTGACCATGCTTACACCTTCGGCGAAAACTTGAACGGGATCGGCGTCAAGTTCGTCGGCAACATCTTCTTCCTATGCCTCGCCGCCAGCCCCTTCGTCGGGCTATCGTCCACCAACTCGTCCTCCTCGTCCGACTCCTCGTACTCGTCATCATCCAGCGGCTTCTTATTGCCCCTCGTAGGCATCGGCGAAATCAAATGCCCTGGCGTAACCTGCCCAATATGCGGGTCGTCATCGGACGATGGCATCGACGAGTCCGAGGACGGGATATCGTCGCTCTCGGGGTCCTCCAGCCCATCGAGGCGCTCGCCAAAGCCGATGTCCTGCATGGTGGGCTTGCGAGTGAGGGTGCGTGGCTTGAGGGCGTTAGTGAGGCGCGGCTTAAGGTCCTGCATGCTGGGGCGCCTAGGCGTGAGGCGCCGACGCTTGCTCGCAGGCTCCTCCGTCGCGGGCTCGGGCTGCGACTTCGTGCGACGCATAGACCGGCGGGTTGGAGTAGAGGTCTCCTTCAGATCGCCGCTCCACCGACGGCGAACAGTGCGAAGGGTAGGCACCTCGACGGCGTCAAAGACGAGGGACGGGGAGGAAGCCGAGGACGAGGAGGCGGAAGTCGAGGTCAAAGCAGAGGCGGAAGTAGAGGCAACCTCCGCCTCAGCAGAAGTCGCGGCCGAGGTTGAAGCAGAAGTCGACGCTGCTGGCTCCTCCTCCTCCTCTTCCTCCGCTTCGGCAGACAAAAGTAAGTCTTGCACCACCTTCTCTTCCTCCGCGTTCCTCGCTCCGCTCAGCCTTGCCGATCGCCGCAGGCGCTTCGTCGGTCTTAGTTGCTCGTGTTGGTCATCGCTAGCATCCTCGCTCGCCTCCAATCTCGGCCGACTCGACGAAGCCCGCTTGCCCAACGCCACCCTCGACAGCGACGCATCGCGCAAAAGTGCAGCGCCGAGTCGGGATACTGTCGCCGGAACGCGCATGGTAGTAGCCAGCGCGCGCACGTAGTTGGAATCTGCAGCAAGCGGCGCCGACAACGTCCTCTTCCTCGGCTTCGAGTTCTCCTTGCTCTTCCGCTTCTTGACCGACGAGGGATTGGAGTAGAAGGTAGAGGTCGGGACACCCAGAGCTTGTGGTTCGTCACCCAGCCCTTGCGGCTCCTCATCCGCTCCCTTGCCTGAGCTCTCGTCTTCTCGCTTGCCAGGGCTCGAGAACACCAACCGTCTCGCGATGGGCGAAGCCATGGTCAGCCTCGGGGTCTGCGGCACACGCTTAGACGGCGACAACGGAGTACGAGTCGGTGACATCGGTATCCTGAGTGGCGATTGCGGCGTCGTAGGCATCGTCGGCGGTACGCTGAAGGCCGGCGTTCCAGGCGGCGACGAGGGCGGCAGAGCATCGCGCTCCGGAGTCTGCGGTACAGCGCGCACGAAGGGTGAAGTAGGCGTGCACGGGCGCGGCGGCGGGGTCGATGGTCTGACAATCTCTTCCTCTTCCGCGTCGACGTCGATGATCTCAATCGGCGCAACAAGGGCTTCGGTCGCAGTTTCCTCTTCGACCTCGGGCACTTCCTCCGCAGGCGCGAGACCGCAAACCTTGAGGCACGTCTGTATCGAAGACGACCATCCCTCCTTCGGTGCCTCCATCTTCGCATACGTCTCCTCCCAAAAGTCGTCGCGGAACAGCGAGATGTACGGTTCCGCACCGCCCTTTGGCCTCAGCAACGGCGCCTCCAGAATGCCCGCAACCCTGTCCAGGGTCGCCAGCTCCTGCGGCAGCGCACCAACAGACACGAGAATCATCCCATACAGCATCGTTAACTGCAGAACAAAGCAAGTCAGCTTCCTTTCTTCCTTTGGCGTGTTTTGACAAAAATGTGACTCACATCCTCCCCATGCCCCATCGCATCCTCCAACCACACACAAAGGCCGCCCTCGAGCGCCTCCAGCACGTCCATCATCATCTCGCCCGGGCACTTATCCAACACGTCCGTCAGGCTCCTCAGCATCCATGTGCACCACGCCTGGTCCTGTGTGTGCGGCGGGTACGCCGCGCGCAGACACTCGTTGACGAGGTCCAGCAGCGCCGCGGGCACCCTCGCCTCCGCGGACAGGTCGACGCGCGAGAGCAGCAAGTCAGCCGCGCGCGCGTTGTACATCGAAGTCGGGTTGAAGTGCGCATAGATCGTCGATGCGACCCTCTCGAGGAAGTCAGCGCTGTCGCACCCGTCGTCGAGCGCACGGCGCATGGCGTGCTCGAGGAACTCTTCCCAGGTCTCGAGATCCTCGCTCTCCAGTTCCATCGCCATGACGTCGCTGTAGCCAGATGAGCCTTTGTTCTCGATAAGCACGATCTAACGTACGTGAAAGGCGCCGCAAGCAGCACGATGTCCCCATCCCACGATGCTTCTCCATCCTGTCGCCACTGGTCGACGACCTCACGCCACACCATCTTGCGCACAGCATCGTCCCAGCTCCACGACATCCGCCTCGACGACAAGCACCAGAAGTCTCGCGAGTCTTCCGAATCACACACGGACAGCAGCCTCGCGCAAAGCGTCGCCCACGCCTGCCGCGAGAAGTCGCTCTCGCAGAGCTCCTCCTCGCTATCGATGACGGCCTTGAGCAGCCGTGAGGCATCGGCAGCAAGATGCTCGCGCGGGATGTTCTCGCAGAGCACGAGCCATAGATCGGCAATGAGGCGCAGCTTAAAGACCATTGGCACCAAGCGAGGGTTGCCTTTCATCTTCTTGGTCATGATGTTGATATCGGCGGCGGCCACGACATTCATCAGGATCTCGGTGAAGTGCGAAGCAATGACAGCGAGTTCGCTCTCATCACCAGACTCTGCAGACGCGGGTCAGGAACAGGTCTACTAGTCGTTCGTACAACACCATCCTTACCTTCGCATTCCGAAAGGCGAACCTTCAGCATCAACGTCCACACATTGAGGTGCTTCGTCTGCGTTCCAGGTCAGATTTACCGGCATATATGGGCCGACAATACTCACCGGAACCTCCGAGCCTTCCACCTTCGCATGCTTCAAGGATTCCATCCAGATGCCCTCCGCCGCCAGCAGCACCCACGGCTGTAACACCTGATCGCGAGCAAGTGGCTGGATATCACTCGTCCTCGGCGCCTGCGTGCACACCATCTCCACCGGCTCCTTCAAGTCATCATAGTCCGCCGTCAACAAGCCCGGATACGCGCAGAACAGGTCCTCCGAGAGCAACAGCGTCGGATCCCACGTCTTGATACTCTCGATGGGCGCGCCAGAGTCGAGTACGCGCTCCAAGAGATCAATGCAATCCTGTGCGAGGTTCGGCTTCTTTGCGATGGCCTCGATGACATCGAGTACGCGATGCACGTCCTGGTCGGTGGTGTCCTCCTGGCCGAGCAGCGACGCGCAAAGTGCTTGGCCAATAGCGGCGGGACCGCACGCAGCGGCATAGCGCGCGACCGTCCTCCAGCGCTTCTCGTCGTCTTCCGTCGACAAAGCGTGCTCCGCCAGACCCTCGTCTTCCTCGTCGTCCGGATGAGGAAGGAAGGGCGGCTGGAACGCAGCCCAGATAAGCGCGCGGACAACGACCATCGTCAGGACGCGGACGGACGACTTCTTGACCTGGCAGGCCATCGCGATCTTGGACGTGACGACGTTGTACATCTTGCTGTCAGTGAAGACGGCGGGCCCGAGCAGTACAATCACGCTAGCAAGCGTGCAGAGTGCCCAGATGGGTGACTGGCCGATGTGCACGACGTCGTTGGCGGCGCGGAGTGTTGTCCGGATCGCCTTTTCCAGAGGCGACTCCTGGATAGGCGGCGTTGTTGGCGACGCCGACGTTTTATGGGGAGATGCAGGAGGCCTTTTGGTGAGGTAGGACATCATGGTGTCCGAAAGGTGTGTATGGACATGGTCGCGCTGCACCTGGCTGGTGCCATATGCGAGACCGCCTAGCGCATGACAGGCGAGTACACGGAAGTTGAGACTGGGTCCGACCAATACATCAAGGATACAGGGTAGGATGGTGGAGAAAGCAGGCACGAAGATGTCGGGTTGGTATGTAGCGAGATCATGGACAGCCTGGAATATGATGAGCAACCTGCAAGTGATCGAGAACTTAGGCACGACGAACCTTGAGACCGTCACTAATAGCACCCTTCTTACCCTCCTTGCCAAGCTGACCTTCGATGCCCCGACGAAGAGCATACGCAATGCGGTCAGCGGCGGGGCTAAGGACATCGGCGGGAAGACGTTGGGTCTGGATCAAGGCAATAGCGAGGGCGCAGGTCTTGCGCGCGTTCAAGGTAGGTAGCTCTTTGCACAGGGGGATAGCAAGCACAGCGGTGAGCATCTGGCCCAATTGGGCGGCTAATTAGAGGCGTCTAGTCAGTGGAATGCGCGCATATATGGATTTAGAAACGCACTGGTAAACAGGTACATGGTTGCAGGGACAGTGAACATGAAGCATAGCAGCTTGATCACGGCATGGCACACCATGGAGAAGTCGCGAGCGTACTTGACCTGCTCGGCGGACAGCCCGCCAGCGGTCTTCTTCGTGGGGCTCTTCTTCGGGGAGGGGAGCGCACTCGCCGTCTTCTCCTCAAATGCAGTGGGGTCGATGCGCGCCTTGTTAAGGTCGCGCACTATGGCGTCCGTAAACGCCTGGGGATCGGCGCGAATAGGCTGGAACAGCGGCCAGGTCGTCTCCGTATCCGTGTCCATGGGCGTCGACGACCGCAGGCGCGCCGCCAATACGTTGTATGCCTCTATCAGATCGCGTAGCGTAGACTCTGCTTGCAGCACGGTCCCCACAGAGCGCGCGAGATACTCCAAGTCCATCAGCGGGTCCGCTGGCTCCGGGGTGGCCTCACGCTGCGCTGCGGGCTCGCCGACGTCGAGCATCTCAGCGTGTTTCCGCTTCTTCAGGATCGAGCGCGCTGGCGGCAGCCGCGCCGCCGTCCTACCCGGTATCTTCAGCCCGTCGAGCGCGAAGATACCGCGGTACTCATGCGTCGCGGACCACGACACGGTGCGCGCCGCAGCGGCGTCGAAACGGTTCTCCTTCTCGGCGCGGTGCGACGTCTTCGGGGGCGTCGGGAGCGACATGGCGGGGCTGGGCGACGCGCGCGACGACGTCGAGAGTGATGAGAAATGCTGGATGACGAGGTCGACGATTTATCGAGCGGGCCGTGACGGGTCACATCATCGTGACTGGGGGCGTGAGCAGCCAGTCAACGCGCCGACGCGCCAATTAGGGCACGTGGGCGCGTCCGCATGTGACAGACGCGTCTTGTCTCCCGCCACGACCATGACGGTGAGCGCGGACTTCCCTCCGGCTGTCGTTGGTGCTCATGGGTGCAGGATCTCACGTACTGCTACCTGCATATGACCAAGAATGACATCCTTGTCCTGGACACACTGGAGACGAATGAGTACCTCGGAGACGAGCTGATCAACAAAGGGGACAGCGGGGACGAGGATGGTGCGTTCCCTCCTCAATAGCCTGCGAAATCTTCTCTCATAACGCAGCCGGATAGAGCTCGACATACCGGAAGCCCTCATTCCGCCGAATCCTGAAGACCAAGATCGTGCGTTTGCCTTCCTCTAGCGGCAGCACTGTTCCCTCACACTGTCCAGAACTGCCCGATCAGATACACCCTTCGTACCCATACGGTAACCCACTGAGCATCAAGCATCCCTCGTCCAGACCCCAAGAGGCCAATGACATAACCAAACGCGGCGTCTACGAAGCTCTTGGATATCCAGGCTATCATACAGACCTGCAAGAGTCGAACGTATGGCGAGAGTTGGCTTTAGGCGCGTGGCGATCATTAAAGCTACACATACCTCATGCTGAACTTGCCGCCTGCAGACGAGCTCTTTCCCGTCGACGACGCCCACGAGATGGCCGCGCGACAAACTCAGGCGCGCAAGATGGCCTCTGGCGCAACGGCGCAAGGTTCTGGCAACCCAGCACCCGCTCCCCCACTGCCGCCCAGCGCCGCCGAGGGCGAAAGTGCCTCGGAAGAGGAAGAAGATGACGAAGTCGAAGAAGACGAGGACGAAGAGGTCGAGGAAGGCGATGAGAGTGAACCGTGAAGGGCCAAGGCCGCCCGTCTCCTCTCAAAAGCGTACCCAATCTGACTGTACAATGTACAATATCTACATACATCGAATCCATGCTCATCGACCACCTAAACACCCCACCAATATATCCCCAAATTCAGGCTTCAACAGATCCCCTACCGCCGGTGCATGCGTGAGCGATAACTCGTACGCCTCCAATATGAGCGCGTCCGTAAGCGGGACGTTGTGCATAGCCAGCGTGCGTATGATGCTGGACACTCGGGAGATGGAAGCACGAGTGGCTGCGGGGATGTCCTGGAAGAGGGTGTCAGTGAGAGCTTTTCTGATACATCCTGGCAAGCGATGCGACAAAGCCTGCCGTCCACTCAAGCCATCCCGTCCACTCAAGCCATCCCGTCCACTCAAGCCATCCCGTCCACTCAAGCCATCCCGTCCACTCAAGCCATCCCGCCAACCTCCCACTGCTTGACTCACATCATTCCGATTTGAATACACCGCCTCCGCATCGAACCCCTCCTCCCCCACTTGCTGGCTCGCGAGCACATGCTTGCTGACCCAGATGTACCCGTTTAGCCCGAGGATGAGGTCGACGTCGCAGGGGAGGGTGATGAAGTGCGACTTGAGGCGCTTGACGAGGATGGGCGGGACGGTGACGAGTTGGCCGTTGCGGAGCTGGGGGGTCGCAGAAAGGGTTAGTGGGGTGTGGGAGGGCTGGGGGTAAGGTTCGGAGTGCGAGGATCCCGAGGGGGGGGAGGATGGAAATAAAGGAGGGAGGAGGGGAAGGGGGATGGGGAAGGAAGGGGACTGCTCACCTTCCCGTAACGCAGAGATCGTGTATGCAAACTCATCGAGCCGTCTCCCATGATAGCCTGCACCTCGGCAACAAGCAGGTCGCCCTCTTCGAAGAAGGTGCGCATTTGGAGCTCGTCGGATTCCAATTTACGGCGCTAGATGTGAGGTGTAAGCTACATGCTGATTCCCTTTCTGCAGTCTTGGGGGAACAGAAGAGGAAGAAGGGGCTAGAGGGCGACACTCACCTGCACGCCTCCAGGCAAGTTGACCGAGGCCAGCATCAGCGCCGCGTCTTGTCGTGAGTTCGCGTCGACCTTCCATCGCCGCGGCTGCACCTCAGTGACGCGCCCAACGACCAGATCGCCGACTTCTGGGTTATACCTAGAGAAAAGATTGGCAGGGAGGGTGAGTGACTTGTGAATAAATTAAATATGTCCAGATACCTTGTTCGCACGGGTCTGACGGTGACGAGCTTGTTCACCCTCTCAATCGCGCCTGCTACTGACGCAATGACTTGCTCTCCATCCACATACGTCCCATGTCCACTACATTTTGATCTCGTCAGTATATCCCCCTGTCATGAATCCTAGTCATACACGCACCGCATAAACTCTTGCGTACTCGTCAAAGTCTCGCCAGGGTACGTCAACTTCGAACCGCCCGGCGCGTACAGCTCCTCGTTATCAAGGTCCATCGCATAGTCCTCGTCATCTTCTGTGATGAATTCCTTGTCGGCGTCGTACACATGACTCTCGCCTTGATGAGGGAAGGACAGGAAGTTCAGCACCATGCTTTGGAAGGACGAGTTGACAATCCTCTCACCATAGTTGGCGCGATGCCGCGCGTCATACTCAGGTGCACGACGGAAGCTGTTGATCGTGATCATGTTGCGCTGGGTACCGGGTCTTTGTGTGGGTAAGGTGAACACGCCGCCGCGACGATCGAAGTCAAGAACAAAAGATTCCAGAAAAGGAAGCGCGCATCTCGCGGGGAAACGGCCCGATCTGCCGACGCGTCGCCCCACACTGCACAGCTGGCGAACGTGGGCTTGTTCAGTTCCTACACCCTCGGTGGACACGTCTAGGGCAGGTTTTCTTGTGCGTATGACTCTTTACCTGCGCCCAGATGCGTACTTACCTCTGGTTGAGCGGCCCCCACGCACAGCCTATTCATCATGGCGATCCTCGAAGCCACGGAGCCCAAGTCCATCTTCACGCTCACCTCCCTGTTCTCGCTGCTCGGAGTACTGACCCTCGGGACCGTCGCATATGGCTCCTCTCGCAAGTTTCTGCCCAAGAATGCGGGCTCAACGGAGCGCTTCACGTTCATCTGGTTGGTGAGTGCGATCTCTTGCTGGCGAGTGGGCAGCGCCCTCCTCAGAACTCTGCATCTGCCACGTTCCCTACCCCCGGTCACCCTGTCTTTGAGCTTATCCTCTTTACAGGCGTTCGATGCCCTCATTCACTTCTTCTACGAGGGTTCATTCCTTTGGCTTTCCATGTTTGGCCGTCAGGTGAACACGAGTACTGGTCCGCTCGCAGAGATGTGTAGGTCCCCTGACGTTCTCACCACCGGATGCATGGCTGATAGTGTATAGGGAAAGAGTACGTCACGTCTCTGTCACCTCTACCTCGCTACACATCTTCCCCTCTATCTCCTCGTCTCGTCCACCACACACTTAACCCACCCCCAGATACGCCTTCGCCGACGCCCGCTGGGGCACCGCCGACCCCACCGTCGTCTCCCTCGAGCTCCTCACCGTCCTGGGCGCCGGCCCCCTCGCCTGCTACATCCTCACCCAGCTCGCGCGCAATGACCCTGCGCGCCACTACTGGATCGTCGTCCTCTCCACCGCCGAGCTCTACGGCGGCTGGATGACCTTCTGCCCCGAGTGGCTCACGGGCAGCCCGAGTCTGGATACGTCGAACCCGCTGTATTTATGGGTGTATCTGTTTGTGAGTGGAATCGGTTGAAGGATGGAAGACGGGAAGTTGACTGACGCGTGTGGTGCAGTTCATGAACACGATGTGCGTGAAGACGATGATTTCCTCGTCCAAGATGCTGAACTGGCTCTTAGATGGGTTGTCATCCCCGTCTGGCTCATGTACGACTCGTACAACCAGATCGCGAGGTCCTTGCGCGCCCAGCAGGCTTTGGCCGCCCTCAAAAAGCAATGATGGTACGTCTCCGTGTCACTACGCTGCAATATTCAATCCATTGAGGTCTCTGTTTCGCTGATACCGTCCTCCTCGCAGTGCACCTGCCCATCAAGTTGCTCGTTACGAAGACTCATATACGCGCTTATGCGCGCCTGCGGCGCGTCGCTACCTGCTTGATTTACCTCCAGCTTGCGTCCGTATATCTGAGATCTGTATATGTCGCAAAAATAAATTCTGGTTTCTGCGTACCTCTCTCATTGCCTGGCTTGTCTTTCGGAGAATGTAAGCCGGTCAAGTAAAAGACAAGTTGGACGTGCGCGTGACAACGACTGAGTGTGACCACCTTGCACAAGCTGTCACGCGTCGCGCAACTTGTAAATTACGGTCACTGGTAAGGCAAAGCGGCTACGCTGGTAACATGTGCTAACATATACATCGACAAGCTACCCACTAAGACTCTTCTCGCGTCTCTTGAACAGGTCACGTCCTCCACAATGCTTGATCTAACTCTACGAGAGGAAAACGACGAACTTCGGAATGCCCACCGGTCTCGCTTCGCACCTGATCCTCACGAGACAGACGTAGCTGTTCAGCGCATACTTGAGCTGGAAGAGACGGAGAACCAGCTCGAGCTCGAGATTGCTACGCTCACCGCACGGTGCGAGCTCCTCCGCACGCAGAAAGAGCTGAGGGCGGCCCTTCTATCCCCGTGGCGGCGCCTACCTGCGGAGCTCTGGGCGCAGATCTTCACCGATGCGTTGCCGGAATACTGGGCAAACTCACGTGCTGGCAGACGCAGACTGCCCTTCGCCGAGGTGTGCCATGCGTGGCGCGAGATGGCCTTCGGTATCCCGCACATCTGGGACAACATTCGGATCCATTCCATACACAATACACCCTGTTCGTACGAAAACGCCATACGTTCCGAGATCGAGAGGCTACCCGCACAGGCGGCCTTCAACCTCTCTCTTGATATGCATCTAACGCCCGGCGACCTGAACGAGGGGCAGGAAGCCGACTTCGGATGGAGCGACACCCTCTGGTTCTACCTCTGCACACAGTGCCATCGCTGGCGAGATGTGCATCTCATTGAACTACCTCGCCGGGCATACAACTCGCTGCGCGGTCATGTGTTCACCAGCATGCGCCGCCTTTCCTTGGACCCATACACCATCTCAGACAACACGATCACTGCCTTTGCCAACGCGCCACGCCTGACTTCCTTTTGGACCCTCCTCTACAGACCTTATAAGGTGGAGCTGCCAGACTCCTGGACCCTCGTTGACCTGCAGATCGAATGCGGGTCCGATGAGGAGGAAATTTACCAGGATGTAGTCCCGACTGTCAGCACTGTCCTCTCTTGTCGGCAGACGCTTCGATCCTTGTCCCTTCTCGCAACGTCTACCCTTCCCCCGGATTGCCTTGGATTGTTACGTGCCGAGCTCCCCGTTCTGGAGGAGCTCGCGCTGGTAGAGGACGCGATCGATCTCGCTCCCCATATCCTCGCACCCAGCCTTCAAACGTTGACTTTGGTCGGGGACATCACCGGCCCCGTAGACGATCACTCAAGCACCTTCGATATATTCTGCAGCTTCATGGATAACTGCGGTGGGCTGAAAAAGCTGCGCGCCCTCGCCCTCCTGGATGTCGTGGTGGATAACGAGCGGCTCGTCGATCGCTTACGCCGACTCCCGTCCCTCAAATTCCTGGAGGTCGGTGAATACGCCATGGAACTATACGATAATGTTTCGCCCCCCAGCGAGCTGACGTCGCTGCTTCATCGAAACGACTCCGCTGATTCTATCAGCCTCCTCCCCAACCTCTCTCACCTGGTCATCGGCTTCTTCCAAACGCCGAGCCGCCAACGTTCGTCGTATCGCGTGCTCTCCGTCGCCTTCAACGCTACCGTGCTCTCGAGGACGAAGGGGCGCTCGGGTGCGTCGGGTGACGCGAAACTCGCGAGCCTCACAAGCTTCGCGATCCGACATGATGTGACCTCCCCAAACTATACTCTCAAGTCTATACAGAACAGAACGCTAGTGCCATTCGCCGTTCGCGATGAGGACAGTTGATGTCAGTCGGCATCCGCTCAGATGCACTCGACGTGGCATAATCGAGCGATTGTGCGCTGTGGTGGCCTGAATGTCGTACATATAGTTTCATATGTTCCACATATATCCCGGATCCTGTGTCATCGAGGAGGCTGTTGTAGCTTGAACATCTTCGCCCTGTACTCGACGTGGGACGTAGCAAATCAATTGATTGCGGTCGAATTTCTGAGTTCGGCAATTCCCGCCAACTTCCGTGCCTCCCTCTCAAGTGTCGTATCCGCTTGTGTACTTCCTGCACAGCTTGGCGCAGACAATACTACAGCCAAGGTCGACCACGACCGCCTACAATCAGCCCGACATGACTCAGTACCCGCCGAATGATTGCCCCACAGGCTGCTCGTGCGCCACGTCGACGTCGACGCGCCCAAGTTTCGAGGTCGCCTTCCAGACGCACAGAGCCCTTGAAAGATGCCCCTTTTCTCGTAGCGACCTAGACGGTACTACGCGCGAAGGATGCAGGGATATTATCATGGAAGTTTGATAGGGCAAGACGGTGCGTCCCGGACAAGCATAGCCCGTAGGGTCGAGGCTGAAGATCCCCCTGCAGCGGCAAACCCTCAGAGAGTTAGTATCGAGCATCACAAGAGCGAAGCCATATTCCCTCGTCATGCAAGCTATCCTCACCGTTGTGGACCTCAACCAGGAGGAGCATGCCCCTTCCCCTCTCACGCGAACTCCGCGACCTCCTCTCGCTAAGCAGCCCAAGACGCCGTCCACGTACGCTACACCTCCAATACAGACAGGGACTCCACCACAAACGTGTCGGATCACCTCGTTCGCGTCACAGTTGGAGGCGGACTGTGCACGTCAATGGCTGCGCGCCCCTCGGGCGGTGGTATGGCTTTGGGTCGATCTCGAGAGATAGGTGCACCAGGTATGTGCTCCGAACATAGACAGTGCGTTATCTGACCAGTGGGATAGAATGTCACCCTCCGAGAAGCGCGAACAATTGAACCTTTGCATCTATGCCTGAGGTACTTCCGGAAGACAAGATCGGACAGCCCGCTTTGAGAGAATGATCGCCCCGGTCTCGCAGACGCCCGTCCTCTGTCCGGGGGGCTTGATAATCTGTCGAGACTGATAGGACGAACGTCTAGCTTCATCGTTTTGACGTTCAGCGTCGCCTCTGAGGACAATACGCCCCGCAGAGATGGCGTCGGCGCGTGTTCAGTGGCCGCGACTTCAGGGAAATCACGAAAAAGAAGCCAGTACCTCTAGCAGGCAGAAGGGAGATGGCGTCGAGTCTTGTAGCGTCAATTATGTCGCAACTACGCGTCAATGACAAGAAGGTTCTGTAGACGTGAGTGCGATGGATGAATATCTGCGACGATGGCTCACCTTTCATCGACAGTTGATTATAGCTAGACCGACAACTAGCTTACGAGTTTGCATTCCAGCATCAGATCGCGTCAAGTGTTGTTATCAGATGAGAAGTGCTCGTCAGGATAGGTCACTGGTCGTACACGATGCAGCGCGGCGCGCTCTTTCGCAAGCTTCCGTATGCGTACGATCCTTCTGCTTGTTGCAGGCCTGCGGCAGTCGGCGATGCGAACGAGTTCCCTCCGTACTCGGAGCGTCAGTCAGCTTCGAGCTACACTTTGGCGAACTAGAACAGCCTTCTCTCTGCTAACGTCGCAATGCTGTGGTACAGCGTGGTCTGCCAGATCATGTTCACATGGCGCATACTCACGAAGAGTGCGTTGTCTTCCTGACTTGTTCCCAATCAGACAATGACATACACTTCAGATCAATGCAACACCTACCCCGAAGGTATGCGCGTCGCTGTTTGGCCGCGCAGGGAACCTTGTACAATATTGGCGGACGGTGGACAGTTTCAACAAAGCAAGAACGCCGTCTCGGATCTCCGGCCCGTATGTTGCGAACAATAACAACATAGTTCATTGTTCTCCTAGTTCGGCGATGAATGATGACGTTTTTGCCGCATGTTTATCGGGTCCATGCACTGCGACGCGTCTTTCCCAACAACCACCATCATCTACTGCCACCCGCGTATACTCGCCACACAGCACCCTTGCGTCCTCCACAACTATAACGAAGAACGCGTCATGGAGTACCGCTACTTCGTGATCACGCTTCCCTATGGCTTCAAGGTGCACCTGCGCACCGCGGTGTCTGGCACCCTCTCCATCATCCCTGGGCCCAACGTGGTCAGGACCAAGGAAGTGGCCGGTTTCCTGGAGGATCGGATACAAATGGACATCCATATGGGCAAGGAGCCCCAACAGGTGCGTGGACCGTCTTCGCATATGTCGAGTGGCCACTAACGGCGGAGCCAGCCCTTCCCAGTGCAGTTCAAAGACCCCACCGACGCAGCCCTGCCACACAAATTGTTCGGGGAGGGGCTGAACCCGTCACGGCTGCGCAAGTTCGTCGCTCGAGACGGATTGCGCGCGCACGATTATGCGTTCCCTGCCACCTATCCTGCAGACGTCGACCCCATGCCCGAAATCAGACTGATCCATAACTGCTTCCCTGCCGTGCCCGAGTCTCACATTCCCGACGCCCGCAACGTGGAGCTGATGAGCGCAGCGGACTATCTGGGTATCTATGAGAAATCCCTGGAGTCGCGGGGGAAAGCACGGGACATTGGACTCTGGGCCATCCCGGGAAAGATCCTTCGACGTCTCCTCGACCTTGGATATACCACCGAGGAGGAGTACGAATCCCGGCTTACGGGCTGGGATCACGCCTCGCTGGACCACTATGATAAACTCTGCCAGACCCGTCTCAGGTCCGGTAGGCAGGGCTATCTACCAGATGGGCAGCATCCTTGGCGAATCGTTGAAGCTCGCCCGCCGCAACTGCTACCATCGCGCGAGGAGGTGGTTCCTCGCTACGAAGCGCTAACTCCCGAAATGACGGCCAATTTCAAGAGGAGGCTTCTTTACTTCTTCCCTCCAGCTGTAGTCGCCGAGGGCAAGGATATACAGTTCCTCGAGAGGGAGCTCAGGGCCGCTTGGAATCGGGACGATCAGGCAGCAGCTAATCGCCTGCAAGCGCTTCTCAAGCCGTTGTACGACAAGAAGGAGAAAAGAATGTTAGAGGACGCGGCGCGGACACGGCGAGAGAAACAGCGACAGCGACAACAACAACAGCAACGACAGCAGTGGCGACAGCAGCAACAACAACGACTACGACAACAACGACGACAACAACAACAACAACAACAACAACAACAGATGGCTCAGGCGGTTTCCGGGATGGGCACGGGCGAACTTGCGCTCGACGAAGCGCAGGCGGCTTCAAATGCAGTTGGGGGCGATGGCGAGGAGCCTCCGACGGAGCGCGTGCACCTAGGGGACTCGCAGCAAGACGAGATGGTGGTCGACACCCCCGGCGCCGGTCCTAGCAGCGGCGTGCAACCGCCACCCGCTACTCAAGCCAGCGGTGCCGCCACGGGACCAGCTGTTTTGCCTCCCCCTCCCGCTCCTTCGACCCGTCCCGCGCGTCGTGGTCGTGGCCTTGGCCTGATGCGCACGGAGACCTTCGAGAACGTCTTCGTGGCCAACGGTACCAACGAAAGGCGACATCACATGCGAACTACTCATCGCTGGTTGGCCTCCCGGTCCTCCCCTTCCCCTCCCCCTGGTCCGCCGCCCCCCGCGGGCCCCATTATCGTCGATGGCCCGAGGCTTCACGTCGCAGGACCTGAGGAGATGGACATGGGCGGCGATACTACGGATGAGGAAGACGACGACGCAGAAGTCGAGCAGACGGAGGCCCAGGAGGCCGAGGCCGAGAGGACAGACACCGAAGGGACGGATATGGAGGGGTCGGAAACAGAGACAGACATGGATGAAGATTAGAAGTCTCGAGCATTGCCGAAGCGCGGTAGGAGATCTAGCAAGGTCAGCCTTCACTGTCACACTCACCACACTCGTATTGACGCTATACCCAGATTCCTTCGTGAGCCCGGGCACGCAACCGCTCTTGCTCTTTGGAGCATTCAGCTACACTTTGATCGTTCTCCCGCGCTACCACGCAGGGCCCTGGTCTGGAGGTTGAATCGGACGTTTTGCATGTAGGACATTCGTTGCCGGCTAGTATATAGTGGCTTTGCTCGTTGTTCCTCTCATCTTTCTAGTCCCTTTCTACGTACTTTCACTTGCTGCTCCTCGCTTTCTACTTGCCTTGATTCTTGGTTCTCTCTGCACCAATTGCATCCTCGGATTTGGGGTACGCGACCCGACGAAAGGTTCACATCTGTGATCACCCCACCCATTCAGTAAGGTTTGCTGTACGCGAGGACGAGTGGTGGCCACGAAGACTTATTCAAGCAATTTCGGGCGTCCGTAATCACAGCGGTCTACGAGGTCGGTGGCTACTCTACTCAATTGCCTGATTACCGATGCGATTGAGCCTTCGGGCGGATCTCAGTCAGCCAGCACGAAGAGAGTCCGCGCCAAATGCGAGCGAACATGCTTCCTGCATGAGCAGAGCACGCAGAAGCGGGTAGAGCAGCCGTTTCGCAATGGCAGCTAGTTGTGGGCGCCTATCTGATTCTGCGTGCGAGTTCCATGGGATAGACTCAATGAACGGGTGGTAAGAAGCACGAATTGCGATGGTGAAGAAGAACTGGCACTGCATATGCCAGTCAGTCGGCCACTGATCAAGGCAGGATAGAACCTGGATCTGTGGGCGTCAAAGCTCATAAGTCGTAGATCGAGGACGGCGTTGCTAAACAGACTCAACGGACGTCGAGGGGTACTTGGGCTATCGGAATCTGCCGCCGCACGGAGTGTTCGATGTTCAAGGTCCGCTTCTTCGTGCAATATGACCATACGCTGCTGGCGAATGATCAAGTTGCTATCCCCGGAAAGCACATAATGAATTCTCAATTGGGAACAATGGCCGGCGCAGAGTACGCACTTTACGTGTAGTAGCAGTGGCCTCGTCACCTTGAGACGTGTTCACGAGCGTACGAAGGCCCCGCCATGTCACAGCAACAGAAGAGAGAATTAATCATCTATAACTGTCAAAGACGATCGCCCCTTGGCCTGTCGAGACGAAGGCTCACCGTGAAGAGTGGCGAGGTATTCAGTAGACTGTGGCAGTCTCACGGGCACACGAGCTGTGTCGCATGTCGAGGGACCGGCGGAGAACACCATCACCGATGGCGGAGCATGTCATGACCAAAAGTTCTCGCACGTACGAAGGACCAAAGTGGAAGACTCGGGTGATCGCACGCAACGACGGTCGCGGACGCACACAAAGCAAGCCTTCCAAGCGAAGTGTATCGCGTCCAGGATTACGGGTGGGAGCGTGTAAGAACCACCGAGAAGCTGATCCGTCAGACCATAGGGACCGAGCACATGCATCGGGTCGTGGCCAATGCGATCCCGCCTTGGGCGACATTCGAATGGCGAAGGCCGTCAGCGGCAGATATCACAGCTCTGTTTACCACGCAGAACATCAGGAAGAGGTGACTCAAAGCCTCCTTGGAAGCGCCCGGTGCTGTAGATGTGACAAGGTAAGCGCCGTGAAGTGCCACACAGACGCTCGATAGTCTGTCGACCGGACGTCCGCGACGCGTTGACCAACAGTCGTAAGAAGGAACAGTAACCATGCGGAGAGTAATCAACGGCTTTCTGAAGACCAGAGCGTCAGCACGATTTTTCCCGGAGAGGAAGAAGGGCCTTGCCGTTTGCGGACTCATGCCCTTTATATCCACGCTGCTTCAGGGTTCGTGGCAAGCGCCCTCCTGCAAGCGCGCAGATATAAAAGGGACGAGGGCCATGCAATCAAAGCAGCGCCTCTTGCAGATCGCTCCTTGCCACAGGGCCCACCCAAAGGATGCACCACTCATCGCACTCCTCGTCGTACCCGGGCACCAATCTCCCTCGCACACTCCAGCGACCACCGCTGCCTAGAGTGCCCGCGGAAAGCATAGGGGCCATCGCCCCCGAGCTCGCCGGCGTACCTGTCGAATACGTGAAGCGCCATCTCGCATCCAATGCCAGGCAGTACGTACCCTCTCTCGGGATCGCTGCGCAGCGCTAATCTCCCTCAGGATGTTGGCCGGCAGCGCTTCGCTGTCGATCCCTTCGCCGACGAAGGGTCATCTACCCGCGTATCTGAGTGTCGGATGTCGCCCTTCGCGTGGCGCAACCTACCCCACACATCTCCTTGCGATCGGCTGCAGCAAGGTCAACGCTCACGCCGACCAGACCATGATGTTCGTGCCCACCCATGCAATCGTCCTCGCCGCGCACTGCTCTCGTACGCCGCCCCTTGACGCCACAGTGTCCCATCCGAGCGAAGACAAACTTCGGCTACGCATCGTGCGCATGATGATTCCATCGCCAGCCGCCTTTTCCATCTTGCACAACTACATGTATAATCTTCGACCGGACGGCGTTGTGCATGCGTTGTTGCCGAGGTTGCCTGCGAACATGATCAGCTCGCTGAGGACGCAGGAAGCGATACGTGCCACTCTCGGATCCGGGACGACGAAGCATCAGCTCGCGTCGGCCCTCGCGCACGGGGCATCGTACAATTTGTCCCACCTGACATCATGCGCCGCCCATGCTAAGGAGATGTGGCACGATATGGTGTCGCTGGGGATGAACGATGCGCTTCTGTGGGACACCCTCGACCTGTGTTGGGAGATCATCCTGGCGGCGCTGAACCTAGCGTTCTCGAGGCAATGAAATGGAGAGAAAAGGGAAATTTTGCGGATCGATATTGCGGCGCGCGTCAGCCGCGCGCTGGACACGACTTGAACGACACGCTCGTATTCCTCATGTATCGGATCATTTGGGTTGTACCTTGTACCATAGTGGGTTTGTGAGCACGAAATTTCACGTATGAACAAAATCCTAGTCTACCTCCTGGTCAGGTCTGCGTGCAGGAAGATAGCGAGCATCAACCCAGCGTAGAGCTCCCTGAGCCTGCAGTGTCCGAGACTTGTGGATAAGCGAGCACGTACGACGATCGATGTACGCGTCACGCACGAGGAACTTGCTTGAGATTAGGGAAGGGAAAACAGGCTTGCGACTCCCTTGAAGCATGTAGTCTCACTCTCTCGGATGAATATCGTCCGGAAAGAAGTCCATGCCTATATGGTGTCGCATATCAATTTCCGTTGGCGCTGCGCAGGTAGTGGATGCTATCAGATGACTGGAGGTGATTCATTGAGAGACCGAGGTATCTGCAGCTCCAACATCCGAGGCGCGAGTCGCAAAGATATCCTTTTGAGATGCGGTAAGGGTCAAGGCGCGACCAGAGTAAATTAGCGTCCACGTTGGCTTCCGGCAATTGCCGACCCGGGACCCACAAGTCCAAGGTTAACAGTTACCTCGCAGTTTGTCAGAGGCTCTTCTGCGGTTGTTGAGCCGATGGATCCCTGGAAATAATCACACACTCTCAGAGCAAAGTACTGAGTCGGGTCGCACGGTTGTTCCTGCCCTACTCAAAAATATTGAGACCCGTAGGTCTACCACTCCGGAAAAGCGTGTCATCCTTGTGCAGGGGCCATGCTAATCTTCTCTGTATCGTTCCAAATTTTTCGTATGTCACCCCGAAGGGGACATTGCCGGTAAGGGAACGCACAAGGTCATGGGCAGAATTTTGCAGTATACTTTGGACCGGAGGGTTGGCACGCGGTGACGCCACACGGTGCACGCAGGATGCCAGCATCGGTACACGCAGGATAGCAGCATTGGTACGAAAAGGTCTTGCTCAAGGTGGTATGATTGGTGTTTGGAGCAGAGCATTCATTTCATTCGCCGAGCATATCTTCGAACTCAAGTTCGAACTACCTATGCGAACGTCCCGCATCCATAGCACTGGAAGCCTTCCCTCGTGAACGTGATGATGTGGTCTGAACAGCCTGTCAGCTCTCATTGTCCACATAGCATCGATGTTCGCTCACCTCCCAACGTCCTCGTCGTGAACCCGACTTCGCAGTAGCAGTAGTAGTCTGTTGTTCACGTCAGTTCATAACAAACCCCCAATTGATCGCAGGGATCCTCAAAACTCACATAACCACTTCCGCCTGAACACCTCTACCTCCACCTTCCCCCTCTCCCCACCCATCACCTCCGGATGCTCCTTCCTCAGCGCCGGTTCAACCACACTCTCAAACTTCTCCAAAAACCTCCTCCGCCACTCCCTCAGCGTGCGCGCGTAGTGCGGGCCGATGTTGCTCACGGAGTCGACGGTGAGGCGGTTCTGAGAGCCCGAGGTGAGGGATGCGAGGACAAAGGTGAGGGTGGGGAGGAAGCCGCCGGGGAAGATCCATTTGCGGATAAAGTCGATTTCGCGGATGTAGCGTTCGAAGCCTGCGGCTGTATGAGCATCAGCGAGGAGAGGAATGAGACCGACTTACGGGCTTCGGGGATTGTGATGCATTGGATCACGCCGCAGGCGTCCTTGAGCTTCAAAGCCCAGTGGAGCTTGGCGAAGTACGTAGGGATAAAATCCTGCCCGACGGCCTCTGTCGATAGGTTAGCCTCAGTACGCCTCCGTCCAGAGAAAGCCCTTCGACAGAGAGAACGACGAAAAAGACTCACCTAGCATCTCGATGCTAACGACCCTGTCGAAGGCGTGCTCCCACTCCAATGGCATGTCCCGATAGTCCATGAGGTGGACGCGGATGCGGTGGGACAGACCCGCCGTGGCGATGCGCTCCTTCGCGAGTACGAGCTGCTGGCTAGAGAGCGTGATGGTGTCGATGGTTGTGCCGGGTACGGTCTTCGCGATGCGGATGGCCATGGAGCCCCAGCCTGCGGTCTACAGTCAGTCCGAATGTTTCACGTTAAACAGAGCTTCATTTGTGTACATACCAGAGCCGATCTCAAGTACACGATTGCCAGGCCAGATGCGCGCCTTCTCGATGACATGATCGAGCTTTCGTAACTGCGCTTCGTACAGCTCATTCGATTCTTCCTGGTCTCCCTGTACCTTCGCAGGCGTACTCGAGCCCGAGGACGTGCTAGATGGCTGACGGCCATGGGTACCGGTGGCTGGGCTCGCGGACCCGTCCAAATCGCCATCGAGGTCGGTAAACATCGCGCACGAGTAGGTCATATCCTTCGAGAGGAAACCAGCGAACATGGCGTTGGAAATGTCGTAGTGGGCAGAGATGTTGGAGCGAGAGTTAGAGATGGTGTTGAGGAAGCGATACGAGGTGAGCTTTTGCGGCAAGGAGTATAGGTAGGATATCTTCGAGTCGAGGTTGACGAGGTTCTCGCGGTTGTCGAGGAAGATCTGTGGGTTGAAAGCTGGACGCTGTCAGGTCAACGGAAGCAGGCGGAGGGCGTACTTGGAATAAAGAAACGAGGTCGTCGCACTCGACCTCAGAGTACATGAACGCCTCGGAGAAGCCAAGGTCGCCCATCAAGCATAGACGCAACCAAAACGCGTCGTTCAAGACGCGTATCTCAGCCGTGCGCTCGTCATACTTGGCTGGTGCATCTGGAAACTGGTACACCCGGTCTTTTGTGACGACGCGTAGCTGCCCTTTGTCGATCTTCTGCATCATCCTGCGCGTTCGTAAGCACTCTCCAGGTCGCGAACCAACGATCCACGTACGCAACGGCCGCGTTTTCAGCCAAGCCCAGCAAAGGGCGCCATCCTGCGGATATGAACGCGTTCGACGCGTAATTATATGCGCGGTCGGCGAGGCCGGTGAGCGAGAGCGGGTGTGGCGTGTCCTTGGAGAGCACTTGACTGTCAGGCATCGGGGAAAGAGGAACGGAGGGGCAGCTAGCGCCCCTCTTTGTCACTCCTTATATGCTGGCTGTCCATTGCGATGGCGGCTTCTTCGAGCAAGATTTGGATGCGGATCGCCGTTGCCTGGATGACGCAGGCTATCGTAGCAGGTCCTTAGCTCAGCGCCAGCCACTGGCTCTGCGAATCTTTCGTAGAGTCCCTCGACACCGAGTCTGTTCTATCACTCGCAGCATCTGCGAGAGTAGTTCGCATACGTTGTGTTCAGCTTTCAGAAACCGCAGAAAAAAAGACGTGGAATATGTTAGAATCTGAGGGGGTCGGCGATCCGACCATGACAGGATGATGCAAGTGGTAGGAAGATCGAAGCAACGGATCGGCAAGGCAGGCACTTCCCGATTTGGATCAATTGCAGCTCCGAGTGGACCCACAACGCACGACAGGCACACACGATTCAGTAACATACTCGTCCTCTGACTGATCTCCTACGCCTGAAACTAGGAACCCCCAATAAATACGCATAAATAAGTGTCTAGTATACAATGCAGCGTTCAATCCACACGAAAAGTCCCCACAGCAGCATTAGCATTTGATCCTTCATCGCCTCCGCCCACGCAACTGCTTCTTCAACCTCTCATTCAGCTCCGCTTGTATTTGTATCGCCAGCTGCTGCGCCTCCATCAGGTCCTCCGTCGGCGTCTGCGAATCGCTCGACATGATCGCCGAGTGCGCTTGTCGAAGGGCAGCGAGCTTCGCCGACGACCCGCCCTCCGTAGCCGCGCGGCGAAGGGAGGGTGCCTCCTGTCGATGTACTTGTGAGAGGACCGGCTCTGTCTGCGACCGATCTTCAAGCTGAGGTCGAGGAACGGGCTGAGAGGGCGGAGGCATGGACGAGCGCAAGCGCGTGACTTCGGCGAGCTCCTCTTCGTCGCTAGGCAGAACCTCATCTGCGGACTGGTCAGCGTCATGAACGCGATACGAACAGCAGACGCACCATCTTCCTCCTCTTCCTCTTCCTCCTTCTCATAACTCGTATGCTGCCCTTGCGTCCCAACACCCCTCTCCCATTCATCATAATCCTCCTGCGACGATCGAAGGCTGTCCCTCCGCTCGTCCCGCCGCACTTGCATCATCGTCGGCACCTCCACCGCATCTAAAACCAATCGGTTCGTCCTCCTCGTTGGACTAGGCGTCGTTGGCGCTTCCTCCGAGGTATCCATCTCGTCGCCAGCCAACCTCTTCCTCTTCAACGCCGATGCAGGCGACTCGCTCTTCACATCCGCAGCACCGAGGGTCTGCTCATCTCCGCCCTTCAGCGAGACCCGCCGCCGCCGCTTCGGCGTACAAGGGCTCAACCCCACAGACGCCTTGCGCTTTTGCGCGTGACCGGACACCCGACGCGCCATGCCTGTGGGTAGCCGCGGATGGTCTGACGTGGACAGTGTACCAAATGGTTGAGCGGAACGTTGCTGCCTCTCCGACCTCCGAGGCGACCTCATCGGCGACGAGTCCGTCCTGAACGCGCTGGCCAGCTCAGCGGGGAAGCACGGATCCTCCTGGCTTCGTCGTTTCGGAGAGATCTGCGATTCCTTTTGCGCCCCCGTCCGAACGGACTGACTCTGCGACAGCCCCTGCCCCAAACTACCCCCCTCGCACTGGTCCAGCGCAGCCAAACAATTCCCCAGCCTCTCCGAAATATGCGGGTAAAAGCTCGCGTCCCCATGATACGTCTTCCGCCAGAACGCCTCAAAGTGCATGGGGCCGTCACCGGGGAAGGGCGCGTAGAAGACAGAGGAGAAGAAGTCGGAGAGAGCATGGAGGATGTCGGTGAGGGTGCGCGATGTGTCCGTGGAGGGTTGGAGTATGTCTTCGGATGTTAGGCTCGAAGCGAGCCTCGTGAGGGCGGCAGCGTACAAGGCGATGAGCTGAGAAGCGGATATCAGCGACGGATAAGTAGAAAGGCGAGGGACGGACTTACATGACCATTGTAATCCTCATCCGAGATCGCTTCGTCTGTATTTTCCAGCCAGCGACATAGACTCCGGTTCATCGCTGTCAGAACGGAGACAATAATCGCAGGCGCCGCCTCTTGCACGATCCTCGTCATCTTGTCCAACATCGCCTGGCATGTCGCCATCGTATCCTCCGTCGGTGGGTACATGCGATGAAGTATGGTATCCATGGCTTCGAGCAACACATTGACCTCCACCGGCAACGAGAGATCGATATGGTTGAGCACCGCGAGGATGAGTCGAGGGTTCGAGAGGAAGGAGTCGATCCACAGATCCTCTGCGCGGTCGACGAGCTCGAAGATCTCTGCGACCATGATTGTCGACTCCACGCCTGCCTTCTGCGCAGCCACCTGCAGAAGGTCTACCCATCCCTCGCTCTCTTCGCCGTCCATGCACCAGCCACTACGAGGGAGGTCAGTAAGGCATACTTCGACTCCACGTAACAGAGGAACTCACTTCAACGGCAAAGACAAAAAATACGCAAGGTCTTGCCACCCGACGCAGCTGAACGACGGCGACCCCGCGATCGCCGGCCTCTCGCCCGCTGGTCTTCCTCCTGTACACCCCCTTGCTACCTCCGTCCAAATCGCCCTCCCCAGCAGCGCGTCCACCTTCCACGTCTCGAACACGTGCTTCACCAATTCTCGATGTCCGGACGCCACCAGCGCCGCTACGCAGCGGGCAAGTGCGACACGTACACGGCCGTCGGATACACGGCAGCCCGCATCGAACACGGCGTTGAGGACGGCACGAGCGACTCGCAAGAGCCAAGGCGCGGAGTATACGTTGCGGACGACGGAGTAGAGGGAGGCGATGAGGTGAAGCTGCTTGACTTGCTCGTCGACCCGCTTGTCGTCGTCGGCGCCTTCTTTGTCCTTCTCCACATCGACAAACGCGACAATCCTCCGCGTAATATCCTCCACATGCGCCGGCGGGGCCGTCAGATGACCCATCCCCTGCGACAGATGCGCCTGCGAGAGCAGCAAATTCTGCCACGCGTCCAGCACGTCCTGCTCATGCGCCAGCCCCGCCTTCGCCACCCTCTCCCAACAGCCGGCCGGCCTGTCCCAGTACGCTAACACTTCCCCCTCGCCCAGCGCCCGCACGAGGCCCATATCGAACCCCTTCAGCCCAGTGGCTAGCGCTGTCAACCGCGTGTACGGCGTAAACAGCACACCTCCCTCCAGCATCTCCTTGTCCACCAACCCGTCCATGCCCACGGTCCCCTCCTCCGCCTTAACACCCGCCCCCAGCATGCGCACCAGCGCCCCCGCGGCCTCCTCACGCACCGCGTCCTCCTTATGCGCAAGCATCGTCTCAACCATCCCCACCGCCCGCCCCACATCCTCCCCCACCCCCGACATCAGCATCCCCGCCACCACCCCCGCGCCCGCGCCGAACCGCAGCTCCTGCGCGACGAGCCGCCAGAGCCTCTCTCTTGTGCGCTCCCTCGTCCCCGCGCTCGCCTGCGCCGCCGCCCACGCGAGCGCGCGCCACACCCTCGCACCCAGCTTGCGCGCCGACGACCGGCCGTGCGTGCTCGCCGCAACGGCCACGGCGACGATCAGCTGCACGGACGCGGGGTGCGCGAAGAGGGCGGGGCCAGAGATAAGGATGAGCGCGAGGACGACGACGGTACCGAAGATCGGGCCGTCGCCGCAATGGGTGGGACCGAGTTGTTTGCAGGCGGCTTCGAGGGTGCTTTGAAAGGTGGGGAACGTGGGGTCGGCGGGTTTATCTGCGATGCAGGTGTGGAGAGCGGTGCAGGCGCCGGAGAGAGCGAGTCCGGAGGAGAGCTTGCCGAGGGCGAAGCCAGCGAGAGCGTGCGCGGCGTATAGTCTGCGCTCGGGTGACGAGGAGCGGAGGTAGCGCAAGACTGTCGGGAACTGCAGCTCGAATTCCGGCAGAAAGAGTGCGGGGTGTAGCTTCGAGAATTTATGGAAGGCCTGGAGAGTTATGAGCTCGCGAGGCTTGTACTACGGTTGAAGAAATACACACCTTACACCCATCTGAGATGGTCATCGAGAGGCCGACTTCGCCACGGATTGCGCGCCCGAATGCGCATGCTAGTTGGTTCTTCTGAGTGGCGAGTACATCCCACGGCAGGTTCTGCGCATATAGCGCCCACACCGCGATGGCGCATGTTTGTCTTGCCTTGACAATGTACAGTTTCCTCGCCAGGATAATATCACACAGATCGTTCATCAGCAAGCATAGGTCGTCATCTGTGTGGTGAGTTAGGCGCGAGTGCAGAGAAAACTAAACCCGACGTACCAGAGAATAATTGGTACAATCGCCAGAACGCCATAATATCCGACACCACACGCATGGCGCAGTGGCACACCGTCACCGAGTCCTCCGCATTCCGTATCTCGTCCTCGGCGAGTCTCCCACTATCCAGAGGTACCGATCCCCCAATCTCGTACTTGAGAATCGGCTCCAACTCCTTGCTCAGCGCCAGCCGTGAATGCACATGCAGCAGATGCGCTAGATCGCCAGCGCGCTTGCGGATGGCATCCAGGGCCGGGTACGACGCGCCGTCCCGCTGGAGCGCGCGCGCCTCGGTGCGCAACCGTAAGGCGAGGAGTGTGTATGCTTCGGCGGTGTCGTGCAAGGTGCGCGGGATGTCGTGCGAGTCGTCGAGGAGCATTTCGAGGGGGACCGTGAGGTATTCGGGATGGCAGAGGTTGGAGGGCCGATCGTCGGATTCGGTGTCCCGTTCATCGGCGGTGGGGTCGTGTGGCGTGTCGTGCGTGGGATAGGCGAGCGTAGAAGGGCCCGGTGCCCTCGGCATATCGTCGAGGGACTCGGCAGCAGCGTCGACGTCGATTTCGTTGCGCATATTGGCGTTCGTGAAGCTCGTGGGCGGTGTCGCGGGAGGAGAGTGCAGCGATGCAGACGGTCCGAATGACTGTTGTCTTGCCGTGGAGATCGGCTTGTCGTTGATAGTTTTGTTGTTCATCAACTCGGGTGCCACATTCATAGCGCAGGACTAAACCAGCTTAAAGCTAGCGGATGACTAGATGGTGGTCAGAGGTCAACGACCGAGCGTGACAATCAACATCACATACCAAATAACACCACCTGGCCAACCGGGCTATGTCAAGTCCTGATTGTCCTCCGGCGCCTACCAGCGTCTAACAAAGAAAGTCGCACTCGAAATTCACAGATCCCCTTCGACTGAAAGGGAGAAGATGATGGTCAAGATCAACCCATGGGATCAGCGCAGCAAGTCAGAGCCGGGCCTGCCTCGCGGCTGGCGTGCGTTAGCCGAATGTGGGCGTCGAGGACAAGAAGGCGACAATGGAATTGGCCAATGGCCATCGAAATTGCAAATTCTTTGTTGATCGATGCACGCGGTCACGTGCAATTTCTCCGAAAGCGTGATTGCCTCGAGGCGGCGTCGAGCCGGGAACGGCCGGGCCGCGGTTGGCTTGCATGTAACCGTCACAATCGAGTGTCGCCTGAAGTCCCCCTGCATCACGCTCGCCCCCGCCCCTATACCGTTGACCAGAAACAGCAACGCCGTCGGGAAGAATGAGTCTTCCAGTGGTTTACTGCCGCCCGATGCGGATGCCTGTCTCATAGAATCCCGAGCCGTGGATACCTCTGCTTCTGTCTCTGCCTCTCTGCGGTCGACGGTCGTTATTCTGCCTCCACCTGAAACCTCTCTAGGCAATATAGCGCTTGATAGAAATTCCTCGCCCCACCGTGTCCATCGCCCGCTTTCAGACCAGCGGGATGTTGTCTCGGTAAGCCCCCGTGCGCGCAAGGATTATAAAGGGTGTATGGGTCGCTGTCGCTCGCGAAAAACGAAACCCTGCATCTCTACGTGTCTCCTCCGGCGTCTGCGATGGCGACCTCTATGCGCAATTACGTCCAACGCGCCTTCGTTCTCGCACTGGCGCTTGTCGTCGCGCTCTTCCCGCTCTCAGCCAGCGCAAACTGCCTCCCGTGTCAACGCCCGGAAGTACTCCCTCGCAGCCTATACAACGTCTTTACCGCCCCTTTGGGAGGTGACCTTGTCGTGGCCGGCCAACCATTCAATTTCAGATGGTACGTTCGGAACTTGCCTCTCCTCTACCGTTCCAACTAAAGAGCGAAAACTTCAGGATCAACCTGGATGGAGAGATCATTAATCTAGTCCTCGTAAAAGGTGGTCCCGATGACCTCAAAACAGGTGAGGTCAACTTCCTCCTTTCTTTGTGTTCATGCCACTGAACTCCTTCAGTCGGCGCCCTCGCAGAAGCTGTCCCCAACAAAGGATCTTACACAACAGTCGTGCCGAATAGTATCCCCGCAGGCAACGACTATGCTATCGAGAGTGAGTAAGCTACTTAGTATCTATATCACCTACAGTGCTGATATCCTGCGTAGTGCAATGGGGCGCTGAAACAACGTACACGCCTTTCTTTACGATCTTGAATCCCTCGTACGCGTAGTCGTACGATGCCATCTCGTTCGATCTTGCTGGTGTCCACCTTGTATCCACCTACGCTCGTGCTCCCTTGGACCGCCTCCGCGTATCCTTCCCGCCGCACGTTACATTCAAATGTACTATTGCCACATAATCAAAGATGGTTTCTATCGCTCGACTGAAAACTTGATTGTCCTCTTGGCTCTTTGCATACCTTCCTATGAGTCTAGCGATGGCGAAAGAAGCACTTCACTCCTCTCGTCTGAAGCAAGTCCTCGGGTCTTAAAGCCAACTCATAATTCACCCGCCCTCGAATATTCCCCTCGAAAGGAGCTCTAGTGCGTCCGTTTCCTCCGCGCTACTCCTTACTACCTCTACACTGTACAGCCTCCGGCGCCCACCGCAACATGCACGACGCAAGGTCCTCTAAACCCCCACCTGGACGACCCTCCGCCGTTCTACGCCGCCCGGAGCTCCCTCTCCGTACCGCCCTCACCCCGCTCGAGGACGTATAGCCGCGGATGTGACGGCCTCAAGGACCTCGAGGGCGGGGCGACGGACGCAAAGGACACGCTGGCGGACACAAAAGACGCGCTATCCCCAAGGCGCGTGGACTCGACCTGTCAAGCACGCTACCCGCGATCCGCCTGTACGAGTATAAAGCCTAAAGCGCGTCGGGCAGGTCAGCCAGTCTGCCTTTCTCTCTCTCTCCCTTTCCCATTCCCATCGTCAGCTTCGGGCGTCCTCGCCTTTCCCGCTCTTTCCTCCCTCAAAGACATCCGCACCTCATCTTTCCACACCACTCAAAAGATGCTGTCGTCCACGCTCTTCGCCCTCTCCGCCGCCCTGCTCGCGGGCCTCGCCAACGCGGCACCGTACAGCAAGCCGCACGAGCTCGTCGTCTGGCGGCCCAAGATCATCTACCCCGTCGGCGAGATCGACTGGCAGGTGGGTGAGCCGGCGAATGTTACTTGGGGTGAGTTGTTGCGCGTAGATCGTTAAGCGTGCTTTGGAGCTGACCCCTGGAGCCTACAGACACGTCGGACATGCCACCCAACGTGACCAACCTGAACGGCACCATCCTGCTGGGCCACCCGGATGAGGAGAGCGAGCATCTCAACTCCAGTACGTTGGGCGATTTATGGTCATCCTGCACTTGTAACGTGGAATTGACCACTCGTCTAGCCCACCCGCTCGCCAAGGGCTTCTCGCTCAAGGACGGTGTCGTCTTCTTCACCGTCCCAGAAGTGGAGGAGCGCTGGGATTACGTCGTCGCGCGTACGTTTTCCCTATCCTCGCTCTTCCCCCACACCGTCTAACGCCTACCAGTCCTCGGCGACTCTGGCAATCTCTCCCCGACGTTCCATATCTACAGCCCCATGGCCGACGAGCAAGCCGACCCCGCGGAGGATACCGCGTACGAGGAGTAAACGACTCGTCACTTCCGCCATGCCAGTGATGTCCTCGTACGCCGCTACGCCCTCCAACGCCGTTACGCCGTCATGCCTTCCCTGTCCACGACACCGTCGCCCGCATAGACACTTTCTCCCGACTCGTTCCTTCCACGACACGCATTCTCTGGCTCTGGACTTTGCGTACACTATCTCCCGCCTTGCCCCTTCATGCCGTACCTCACTATCCCCCGCCCCCGCGGCGATAATCTTCCTTGGTTTCTTGGATCTCTGCACACGGACTTCCACTCCTGTACTTGGACATGTCGCTTCCCACTACTGTAAACACGGACCCGCACACGGACTCTGTAATTCTCACCGCCTACTACTGCCCTACTCACACTCGCTATCCCCCGCCTGCTGTCTCGGACCTATCTTCCATAATCATGGTATTTGCGTTTGTGTACACTGTACGCGTATACAACGCGCGCGGCTGTACACGATGTGTACGGTCTACGGTTGTACATACTCTGTGTGTACGGTCTGCAAATGTACATAGTACTCTGTGTGTACTACTGCGAAGGGATTTGATGATGATATTTGTGTTGAACTTGCTGTGGGATAAGCGCGTCAAGACGAGAAGTTGCCACAAGTTTTCGCGCATGATCTCGAACTTCTGTTACTGGCATACCTCGCTGGGTGGCAGCTCAAGAACATTGGATGGGACGAGCGTGGATAGATATCCCACAGGGACACAGGCACATTGCATTTGAACGACACAAAATATGTAAGGACGAAGAGTCCGGCAGTGTATAGGGTCCAGCCAATACATGAGATATGGCTGGACAGAGCGCCAGGATTGAAGAGGAAAAGAAGTGGATAACAACATGACTAGAAGGTAGAAAGAAGAGGCAATAAAACGAGGTCAGATAGATAGGCCAAACAAGGGATAAGTACGAACGAAAAGTGTTGAGAATTTATTGATGAAAGGGAAAAGGGGGAAGACATCGTGCATCTGGGATTGTTGAAGAAAAAAAGGTCCTGAACGCAAGGTAACAAGGTAAACCGAAAAGAGACCGGAAGCGTGACGCTTCATTCGCGGTCCCGCGGTCCGAGGTGGCTGGGTATCGTCTCGCTTGAGCGGGATGGAGCATCTCGCCCAAGCGAAGATGAAGCCTCTCGAGACTGGGCCCGACGTGCAGGCGGGGACGCGCGAAGGCGTGTGGGCTGGGACGCGAGGTCGCAGCAGGCCCTCCGGAATTGCAGGTCGGTTGCTACCGGAAGGGTTTGCGAGTTTGCTTTGCTTGAGTGTGAGAGGAGGGTGTGCACCTGAGTGGCGGCATCAGTAAGAGTCCTTAAAACAATTCAACAGCGGCTTACCTTCGCATGGATCCCGCGTCGCATACTCTAGTTCACATGAGCACGCCCCAAAAGGGCTCGTACATGTCCGTTAAGGGCTTAGCAGGGGTAGGAGATGGGGTGGGAGCTGGCGTGATAGGGTCGGGGTCGTCGTCGACGAAGGGGCTGTCGGGGTCCTCGATGGGATCCTCGATATCGTCGCGGACCGACGCGGGCTGCGAGCTGAACTGCTCGATGCCGTCGCTGAAGAGGTCGATGCCATCACCGAAGGGACCGACCCATTCACTGAAGGGGTTGGCACTGTCGCCAGATGGGTCGGAGGGGTCGGCCGGCGGGTCGCTGCTCGACGAATCGCTGTAGTCGGCGCTCGCCCCAGCCTCCTTGTCCGAGCGAGGGCGGCCAGAGGCGTCGGCCGCGGCATCGAACTCGGCGTCGAGGTCAAAGCTACCGTCACCCACGCCGGACATGTCGTCGAGTCCGAAGGTGATGCCGCCGGCGCCGGACAGGTCGCCGAAGTCGATAGGGTGCTCGATGGGCTGCTGCGATGACCGCTCTCCGTCGATGTCCCATCCTTGGCTGTAGTCTTCGTCGGCGGGCGCTTGCGAGCCGAAGGGGTCGTCGTTGGGTGGCACCTCCTCGTCGAGGGTGCTATCAGCGCCAACGTGGACGAGGGACGCGTCGATGGCAGAGCCGTCGTTAGCGCGCAGGAGCTTCATGGGGCGTCTTTCCACCGGCTCGCAGTGTTTGAGGGACCGCTTCTTCGCCTTGGTGCTGTCGTCCTTCAACCACTCGTTGTATTCGTTGTCCGCCCCGTCCTCTTTCTCTTCTTCTTCGTCGTCATCATCCTGGAATCTGACCTCTTCCTCTGCATCCTCCTCGTGCTCATCTGGGCGGCGACGCTTATGCGGGACTTTGCACGCCTCCGCCTCCGTCTTGTACTTCAACCACTCCCGCTCCGCCTCCGACAGCTCCCAGTCCTCCCACTCGTTGCCCTTGGGTGGAGGAAGCCTCAGCACAATCCTCTCTAGTCGCCTGGAGTCGTTGTGCGCCTGCCTCTCGGTTTCATCCCAGGAGTGCCACCACCTGTACTCGTTCTTAAGCATGTTGATCTTCAGCGGGCTGGCCTTGAGGGGCTCCGGGTCACAGTCCGTGCGCGGCGGGCGCTCGGGCATCAACATCGGCGGGCGGATGCCCGCTGTCCGCCAGGGATACTGGCCGTCCGGCAGGAACCCCGGCTTCCCCGACTTGATGCGCGTGCGGCACAGCGCCTCGTAGCGCGCAAACGACTCCCAGTCCAAGCTCGTCAGCCGCTCCCGGTACTCCTCCATCGTCGTCCAGCCTATCTCGAGGAGGCGCTTGAGGATCTTGCCCGGGATGCCGAAGTGATCCTTCTTGTTCCTGTATCGCTCTCGTGCAACCTTGGGATGCGTGCTGTGCTCGTACAACGCCAGGTAGGCATAGACGTTGAAAAGCTCCGGTGCGCCGCCCGCGACGCCAGAGATACGTTGGATGGGTACGTCGGGGTATCCTTCGGGGATAGGATCGTTCTCAAGGATGGGAAAGTAGTCGGAGTCGAAGGCGAAATCTTGGGCTGAGCAGCCATGTCGCTTCATAAACTTGGTTAACAGGCCTGGGACGGGCGCTGGCACCTGCCAAGGATCGAAGTCGTAGGGCTGACACTCTGTAATTCCCTCCCAGGGCTCGTTCCGCTACGAGCCATCATCAGCGACGCGGTCCGTGCACAAAAGCGAACATGGACGCACTTTGGGTTTGCCATTGCCCATCCGAATTCGCATATGGATGCTATCTTCGGGTTGTCCTTCCATACCCGCCCTCCTAGCCATTCCAGGCGCGGGCACAATCTTGAGAGTGCCGGCAACCCTGGTTTTGAAGTGCACCTTGTAGCCCTGAGGCGTCGTGATCACGAAGTAGCGGGTAGTCATCGCGAGATCGACGGGTGGGTTGTGGCAAGAGAGGATGCGAGAAGGAAAGCTACTGCTCGTCACAAATGTGTGGTCGCGGTCGCTGAGGAAGAGAACAAAACGATGGTTGGACCCGCGTACACGCGACGCGTGATTGCAAATTCCACAAGCGGAGAACAATGGATGGTTGTCGGCCGAGCGGGCCGGACGACCGACGATTGGGTCCACTTGAGCCTTGAGGTGATGGTCAGCGCTTTGCACACGACGCTCACTCACCAAGATGGTATAGGCAGGCCTCTTCGCAAACTTCAACCATATTAGCGGTCACATTTAAGCCAGATTGCCGGCAATGACCGGGGTTCACGAAGCGCGCTGACCTAGAACGGCCAGAACAAGACGCCATCAGTGGCGAAGGCACTCGCCAAACATAACCTGCCGGACGTCCTGCTGTCGCGCAAATGGGTTGATGGCTTGACGAACCCTTCACAGCAGCTCGTGAGTAGATTCAGAATGTCGAAGATACGGAATCATTGCTGACGAAAGTGCTCGAGTTGTTGCAAACTGTTCTGCAAGGCTTGGATACTACGATGAGTGACGCGTACGCACCCACGGGGATACTGGACTTACAGGACAAAGGGCTGCTGCACCAATTCCATGCATGCTCGTTGGCCTGTCGTTTGCCACTCCCGATGAAACTTGTACGCGGCGTCCCGACAACGCTGGCAAAGGTGAGCCACCAGGATTCTATACCCATCCAATCCGCCCCGAGCCATGCAAACCCATCGAAGCCCTGTCGTCCCTTCCAAGCTTGTTCAATACCTAGACCGTGATGCTCGTCTGGCGGTTTGACGCATTCTGCCTCAGATGGTGCACAAGCCCTTCTCAGAAGGTCGGGTATCATTTGACTGGGTATATTGCTGTACTTCACTAGCCTCCGCGTCTCTTCTTCTTGCCTCGCGTCGACGTGCCCGCGCCGCGACCGCGTCCTGGCTTCGGCCCTGGCTTGCCGCGTTTCTTCGGCGCAGGGGTCGTCGACATTCCTATACCAGTCGTAAGCATTCCGATGCTAGGCAGACGAGATCCCAACGCACCCGCTTCCTCATCATCTCCCGCGTCCGTGCCACCATCCGTGCCCGTCACCCCGCTGTCCATCGGCGTATCCGCCGTCGGCTCCTCACCGCTTTCCTGCGTGAGCTCGCTGATGTCGCTGTCGTCTGTGCGTGGGCGCTTGCGGGTGCGGCCCTGCTTGGGCTTCTCGCGCGTCGTATCGGCAGGCGAGGCAGCGGGCGAAGACTGCGTCGATCGCTGGGCACGTTCGGCAACGCGCAGGTGGTAATCGTCATAGTCAAGCAGGTTGAACTCGTTCTCAAAGAAGGGATGCGAAGCAAGAGCATCGTCCTCGGCTGTTGGCGGTGGTACAGACGGCCTTTCTTCCTCAAGCGCTTCGCGTTGCTGAGGGCGGTTCAGACGAAGTCAAAGAAGTATCCACCGCAACCACGCACCGACTTCTCAATACCTTCCAGGTCGTACATCTCTCGTAGCTTATTCCATATTGCGGTCGTTGATACCCAGCGACCTGTATGTTCGTGGATGACATTGCGCATTGCGAGGGCGTTGAAGTCGCGGTGAGTCCCGAGGGGTATCGCACGCGTTATGGCTTTGAAGAACGCGATCTCGCCGTCGACCGAGTCGAGCAGCTCGCTGTACTCGACATCGCCAGACATAATCGAATAGTTCTCCGAAGCAAAGCGAGCAGGGGGCGTGCAGACGTACGGTACGGCCATACCAAGGCCCCCAAAGGGGACCAGATCAAATTCTATTTCCTTTTCTGGTAAGTTTAGGGCGGGCGCACACAACTCGCGATAGGCAAGCGCACGACGCAGGCGACTGCAGCATTCAGGTAGACCGACAGTACATGTCTTGTATGTAGAGTGTCCCTTTGAAGCCATGTCTAAGAGAATCAACGTTGCAGCCTTCGGCGAGGCTCCTGTTGGCTTGCCCAGAACTCAATGGTGGCGTAGAACTCAATGGTGGCGTTGTACTGGAGTGGCGGCCGAAGTACTATTCGCCTAGCTTGTCCATTGCCCCTTCGAGCATAGATTGGTCATCTATATATCGCGTGAGATATATAGCTCGCTACAGCGTGAAAATGCTTACCGTCACGTCAATCGCTACAGAGCGGCACGTATATCCAAGCGCCTCGAGTTCAGCGCGGAAACCAATGGAGATCGCGCGCAGTGTCGACAGGATTCAGACACGCAAGCTCCTCCCCGTCGGGCGTGCAGGGTATCGCCCTGGATGAGATTGTTTTCTCTATGAGGTCTTCCAGGCAAGCGTCCTTCGTGCGGCCGAACCTGATGGCCAGCCGCTTGAGCTTGGGAAGCAACGAGAGTGAGTCTGGATGCGCAGGGTTGCGCCTCAGCATCTGCACCAAGTCGTGAAAATCGTCCAGCGTGTTAATGCTACCCGGCTGGTTGTTGGTATCGGTGACGACCAGTGCGGTCAACTGTGGCAGGCGCCCCAGTGCGACCTCAATGTTGCGTATGGAGGCGTCGGACAACTTGAGTGCCTGTAGTGAGCAACATCCCGATGAATTGTACAGCAGCATTTTGAGCAAGTCGAGGGTGCTCAGTTCTTCGAGATCCTGTAGATCCTGGCATAGCGCCAGGGAGCACAGGTTCGGTGCCCTCAAAAGCTCTAGCAAGAGCAAGCCACCCTCTTCGAGGACGAGTTCTTCGAGGGCGGCGAACTCCACGAGCTGACCGCGGGCGATTGTGTCAGGACAGGGTGAATTGATTCTGCACCTCGGAAGAGTCTGGCTGCAGGCTAACACAGCGCCGAATGCGGGAAGGCCGTCGAAGTTCTCCGAGAAGTAGTCGTACTGGAAGTTGAGGGATGTGAGGCGCCAGGTCGAGGGCAATTGGAATGCAGGGGACACCCAGGCGTCCCCGGGACCCAAGACGGATAAAGCGGGGGCATTCGAGAAGACGCGCAATATACGCGCGAAGTCTTCGCCTTCAGGAGCTGGGTCTTCCTCCAATCGAAACCGCAGGGAACGCAGGATGGGAAATGATTTGAAGGAGAGCGCGGCGTAGGAGACGGGCGGCATATCGCTTAATTCGACCGTCTCCCATCTATCGGTTGTTTCGCACAGCTGGTCCCATAAACGCATGCCTTGATCGCTCGCGAAATATTGATCAGATCCGCGCCAACCGAAGGTGTGATCGACGACGCGGATATGGAGGGGGTGCGTTCTTGCCCTCCTCAGGCACGTAGCCACTGCCTTCGAAAGTCCCAGCCTCAACGGTGGCTTTTCCTCGTAGTCGTCCCAGACCTCGACGACGATGCTCGACCACAGGTGTGGTATGCGGAGAGCGAGCTCGCGCCAGACGTGACAGACCTCCGCAAGCGGTAGGTGTCTTCTATCAACGGGACAGGAGATCCAATCTTCCGACGGCGAGTAAGAGAAGACTTCCGACCATAGTTCCGGTGGAAAGCGACGCCAGGGAGCGAGAAGAGCCTGTGCGAGGGCTATCTGCTCGCGGAGACGCTCCTGCTGCGCTATCAACGCAAGAGATGACCCAACTAAGTCCTGAGATAGCTGCTTGAGTTCGTGAATGCGTCCGGCGATGATGGCTGCCTCGTGAGCGCTTGGGGCGTAGTTCGTGCGGTGCAACTCGACGAATCCCGTGAAGGTAGTTCGCGCTGCTTGAAATCTGCACTGTGAGATACATAGGCGATGTCCTTTGTATGTTGTACGCACAAGTTATGTGGACCATAGGTAGGTGATTTTGACACGGCAGACACGGAAGGAGCGGATGACCAAGGCTTAGGTTGTATATGTGACGCTTTGAAACGCATGTCACAAGACCGTGACGGTGGTAGTGGCGGTGGCCATTTTGTCCAAGAAAAAACAGTATCGTACTCGGGGTAGATCAAAAGAGGAATAGGGAAGTACACTGTTGTTATATATCAAGAAAGCAAACTGTAACTGTCCATCAAACCGGCCCTCCTAATGTCCACAGTCTCAAGGCAGGCAAGTCTTTTCCCGTCCAATGTGTAAGGGCTCGCAGGACACCTAGACTGCACCGACGTTTGGGCAAGCTCCAGGAAGCTGTCATCAAGGGCGAGCCTTTCATCGAGCGAGATATAGAGGCGTGCAAGAACGGGCAGGAACGACAGTGATGCAGGCCTGTCGTTGCTGCGCTCTAGCGCTCGCACAAGGTCGATGATCTCCGCCATGCTGACCCTGACGTTATGATCCTCGATGTGTAGCGAAGTGAGCTGGGGAAGGCAGCCCAGGATGTGCGATATGCCGTCGATACAGGTGTCGATCAACCTGATGGCCAGCAGCGCTTGACACCCGTGCGACGCGTCAAGCAGTCCTCGGAAGAGGCTCATCGTGTCGATGCTGAACCAGGATTCCGTCTGAGCGCGCATGCCAAGGTCCCTTTCGTTTATACTGATGAATCGAAGAGCGGGAGCACTGATGTGCGACATGAAATAGACACCGCACTCCTTGAGCGTAAGCTCTTGGAGGAGAGGGAACATGGCTGGCTGGGTGTCAGGAAGAGGGTGCTCGTGCCCAACCCAATCCGAAGCAAATGCGAAGCCGTCGATCGCGCAGCTGCGCAGAGTTTGACTGCACGATAAGACCGCAGCAAATAGCGTTGACTGCGACTCGTCGTCCCAGTCATTATAGTAGTCGATGGATAGGGACGCGATGCGGGTCCACGACAATGGCAGTCTGAGGTTGAGAGGTGCCCAGGAGCCATTGAGGGACACAGTCGTTAGATTGCGAGCATTTTCGAAAGCTTGAACCCGTCTAACGAGTTCATTCACAGGCCTTTCGGGGTCAATGTCGCTCAAATGCATGTGCGTGAGTGAGTGAAGGATTGGGAATTGCCGATTATGGAGGATGTCCAGTGACTCGTCTGGGATATTCCGTAGCTCGACGGTTTCCCAGCGATGAGTGGACTGGCAGATAGAGGCCCAGACTTGACTCCCCTCCTCCTCCGAAAAGTAAGACAGCGGGGAACGCATGTCGTCGTCCATATGATCGATGATGCGTATGTGCAATGGCTGGTCCCCAGTTGCCGCTAAGTCCTTCTTCACCACTTTTCCCAACCCCGGAGCGGGGGGCGGAGTATCATACACGTTGATCTCGAACACGAACGGCGCGCCAGCCCACGACGGGATGTCGTCTATGAGATCGCGCCAGGCGCGGCAGACTTCCGCAGCGGGGTCAGGCAAGTGATGTATGCGTGTGCCGTCCCAGACACAGGGAACAATGAGTCGAAAGATCTTCTGCCAGAGCTCCGGTGGAAGTCGACGCCAGGGCGCAAGCAAGGCTCGTCCGAGATCAACTTGTTGATCGATGCATGCCAGTACCCTCCTCATTTCGGAGGAAGCAGCACCCAGTCTTTGAACACGTTCCGAGATGCCAGCAGCCTCTCCAGGGCTCGGCGAATAGAGGGCGCGGTGCATATTTGTAAATTCATCATCCATCTCCTATGGCAAACAGGTGTCAGTGGCGCTATAAGCGCGGGAGGGCACTCACCAGGACAGGATGCACTCTAGCCTGCGCTAGCGAGCAGAGACTGTGTTCTCGAGTTCGGAGTGAGAGGGAAGCGACGAAATTTTGACCGATGGACTTTGCGCGGCGACCAAACACTCGCAACGCAACGAACGGTCACGAGACAGACAAGCCGTTTTTGTGGATTGAGAACATTTGCAGACCACCGTGAACATGCTACAGTGGATGCAGATAACCCACTTATGTTACATGGAACTTCAGCACCGCGGCGACGGCCATGGGCCAACGCCTGTAAAACGGGATTCTTCTAGTTGACGCTCTGTGCATGCTTTCGCTTGGAGTTCCTTCCCAGGTTGCTTCAATTGACGTCGCGAGAGTTTACGAATGAGAGAGCCATGAATTGGTTCGGGAAAGAGTTATAAAGCATCTACGTGACATACCGAGACGCGTCTGTCACAGGACCGTAATACTGATCATGATAGCTGGGCGCCATCATACAAGAAGTTGCGATATGTACCGACGAGTCTCCATACTCGGTCATGTATGCAAAGACAGTCTGCCTATAAGACACTGCGGTCGTACTTTCCCGAGAGATGATATGCCGATACTACTCTACTTCAGGTGATCACATCTTCGAGAAAGGCGAGCCTCTGCCCGTCGAGCGTGCAAGGGTTCTCCGGCGACCTTGACCATGTCAACTTCCGGACGAGGTCCGCAAAGTCACTGTCAAAAGAGAGCCCGGCGTCGATTTGGATGTATAAGCACGAGAGGTTGGGCAGGAACGCCACTGAGTCGGGCCTCTCCCTCCGGCGTTCCAGCGCCCGCGCGAGGTTGACGATATCGTCCCCGATGCTCGTGATGCGCCTGTACTCGATCTGCAAAGATGCGAGCCAGGGGAGGCATCGCAGGACATCCAATATTCCCTTGATGCAGGTATACTCCAGCTTCAAGGACAGAAGCGACCGGCATCCGAGCGAAGTGTGAAGGAGCTCCTGGACAAGGCGCAGTGTAGTTATGGATACGGATGGGGCCCTTCTGGCGCGTTCTCCGATTTGGCCCTCGTTGAGGGTTATAGTCCGAAGACTGGGGGTACTGATGTAGCACATGATGAGGATACCACACTCTTCGAGATCGAGCTGCTCCAGGACAGGAAATACTACACGCTGCTCCTCAGCGAGGGGGCGTATCGAAGGAATCCAATGGGCGTCGTGCGTGTAACCACGTATCGTGCAGCTGCGTAGAGTCTGACTGCATGCCAAGACTCCATTGAAAGGTGTAGCTTCTTCATCCCAGTATTCGTTGTATTCAACGGAAAGAGAAGTGATGCGCGTCCACGATGACGGTAGCGTGAGGTGCAATGGCGCCCAGAGGCCATAGATGTGCACATTGGACAGATTGACCGCATTTGTGAAAGCATCCATTCGACGAAGCAGCTCATCCGAGGATAACCAGTCATTGACGTCGCCGTAATGTATGAGCAGAAGCGAGCGAAGAAGGGGCAGTGGTCGATCACGAAAAGTGTCCATTAGCACGTCTGGTATATTTTTCAGCTCGGCCGTCGCCCAGCGGTGACTTTGCTCGCAGATGGAAGCCCAGACAGCGTGCCCTTCATCGTGAGAGAAGTACGGAAGAGGTAAGGACATGTTATCGTCCGTCTCTTCGACAATGCGTACGTGCAATGGGTACTCTGCCATCTGCTCCAAGTCGGAATTGATGACAACGTCCAACCCAAGGGCCTCTGAATCGGGTAGCTCTGCTGAGTTAACCTCAAATTCGATCTGTGCGCCAGCGAGCGGAAGATTGTGAACGATGTCGCGCCAGGCGCGGCAAACTGCGGCGATGGGCTGACGCCAGAAGTCTACATGTACCCCGTCCCATATGTAGGGAAGGGCGAGGTAGAGAATCTGTTGCCAGAGTTCGATTGGGAGGCGACGCCAGGGGGCAAGTAAGGCTCGTCCGAGAGCGGCTTGGTGGTCAAGGCATGCCAGTAGCCTCCGCATTTCTGTGGTAGCAGCGTCAAGTCGTTGCAGGCGTTCTGCGATTCCATCGGCCTCTTCGGGGCTCGGCAGATAGAGTGCGCGATGCATTTCCGTGAACTTGTCCATCTTCGCCCTTCAGACCTGTAGCGAGCATGATTAAACAGCTTTACCGGCGTCGCATTGGCAGCTCACCAGCGCAGTGTGTGATTCAGTATATGTTTTTCTGGGTAAAATCGCGTATTGAAGATGACACCAGGTGGTTGAGTCGAAGGAAAAGAACAAGAGGCGCGCCAGCTCCCAGCGTCTCTTCGGGGCTGACGGTCCGGCCCACGAAGCACCGGCCCGCACTTCCCGGTCCGATCGTGTATTCCGCCGCCGCTTGAGCCTCTCCTTCATATACTTCAACTTGTTCACTAGCATTTGTGTCTCTGGCATTTCTATGGGGGCCGGAAACAAGGGGGAAGTCAAGGAAACTCACGGGGTGAAGCGCAAGCGGACTAGGCCGCAGAAGCAGGTAGCTATCACCATGTCTGATCGAGAGGAGCACTTGTCCTCACAGTGCCCAGGAGATACCGCTTGAAGTGAAGGTCGCGCACAAGATTGTGGGTCTAGGAGGATGCATCTGATTTTGAGTTTAGCGCCTTACATGCATCATAGCACCACGACGCGAAGGAAATCGTGAAAGCGGCGAAGAAAGCGAAGACTTTCGAGACGCAAAAGCTCATCAAGAAGTTGAAGGGGTTGCGGTGCGTTTTTAAACCCCCCTTGTCTCTATCCTTGCTGATTGTGACCGTAAGCTCCGCAAAGAAACCAGAGACGGAGATCGCAGAATGCGAAGCCCAGCTTGAAGCGCTGAAGGCAAGGGACTGCCTTCCCCCGCCCCACCCCATCGTCTCATCCTTCCCAGGCGACCGACTATCATGCTGTTGGTACGACAGTGCTCCAATCCAAGATCAAGAAGGACAAGGTGCTCGCTCAGCACGACGCCGTGACGTCTGCGCTGCAGCAAGAGCTCGCCGACCACCTTCTCACCCCTGCACCGGCTGGAACGCCAGCGGCCAAGGTTCACGCTCGGCTAACTAGCCACAAGGCACTCGCTGCAGAGGCAGTGTCCGCCGTGCAGGCACTGCATACTCTGGTACAACCGCCGGCTAGCGAGAACGCCGACGATGAAGCAAGCGATGAGGAGGAAGAGGATGCAGCTCAACGACCAGCGGCGGCAAGCAGGCCAAAGAAGGAGAAGAAAGTGGCCGCACCTGCCGCTGACAGCGACGACGAAGAGGCTGCCGCCGACGGTTGGGAGTCCGGTACCGTCGACGAAGACGGCGATGGCTGGGAATCCGGCACAGTGGATGGCGGGGACGACGCTCAAGACTCCGACGCCGACGATTCAGATTCGGACGCGGAACAGGCACCACCAGCGAAGAAGGCGAAAGCATCGGCCACCCCAGCCGCCGCGTCGGGCAGCTCTACCTTCCTTCCCTCCCTCTCAGTCGGCTTCGTTCGCGGATCAGACGACTCCGATATCGAGGAAATCCAGGACAAACCAAAGAAGAACCGTCGCGGTCAGCGCGCAAGGCGTCTGTGCGTATCCTGTTCTTCCTTTCACCATTCCTTCATCTGACTAACCCATCCCTCTAGCATCTGGGAACGCGAATACGGCAAAAACGCCAACCACAAGAAGAAAGAGCGCGACCAGGCCTTCGAAAAGCGCCGCCAATGGGAGGAGCGGCAGCAGAAGCGAGCCGCCGCCGCCGCGGCGCGAGAAGAGAGGGAGCGCGCCCAGGCGCAGGAAAAGTCGCGGCCAATACACCCGTCGTGGGAGGCGAAGAAGAAGCTGAAGGAGAAGGAGGCGGCGGCGATGGTGCCGAGCCAAGGGAAGAAGTTGGTGTTTACTTGAGGGTGGTATATTGTACGATGGTGGTGGTGAGTGTATATCTGCTCGGGCATCGTATTGTATCCGGCATCGCTTCCTATGTTGCAAGAGCCCAATTCACATACTTGGCCACGGATTCTGCAGTGAAGTACATCTCACTCGGCTGCTTTGCCGGTGCGCCTTCTATCACACCATTGCACGCCAACCGGTGAAAGCCCCGTCTGCCGTCTCACAATCTATCAGCCCCGCGCCGCCACCTTCCGTCCTTCCATCATATCTGATGCACGTCTAGTTGCCTCGCCGATACATAGTGGTCGTCTAGCAGCTGGGTATAGCCAGGCCATGACTAGAAGAATCTGATGCGAGGCGAGCTGCGCTAGCTCATGTAGCTCAACAAACAAAGCCCGCTGCACCATATCTACCCGTGACGGACAGCAAAAAATCCGATACATTATAGCGCGGCTTTCGATGGTCATAGTACATGTAACAAAAACCAGATTATACACCGAAAGATACAGCAGAATAGGGATAGCGCGAGCAAACAAAGAGGAAGGAAATATCGACGCTAGTAGTTTGAATGACGGCCGAGCCTCGCGGATCAAATGTCCATACGGGAGCCAGCTGCTATGCCCCCTCACTCTACTCCGAAGCCTTCCGTTTCCCTGGGGTCGTCAGTACGCGCTCATTGCCGGAACAAACAGTTCACTCACTCGATCGCATAAATCAACTTCGTCTCCAGGCTCTCATAGTCCGTATACGGCGGCAGATCCAGTCGGTTGAAGCACGTATGGCTCCGCGGCAGGCCCGCCGGGTCCCCCGACTTCTCAATCGTGAACCGCCGCGGGCCGTCCGAGCCCTGGAGGTCTTTGAAGCCGTTCACCGGCACGCGCGACGTGCCCGTGGTGAACTGCAATAGGCGCGACTTGCGCTCCGCCGGCCAGGAACGAATGCACTGCCAGAACCACTCGATCACCTGGTCGGTCTTCTCGTAGCCGCGGTAGTCGGTGAACTTGGTCCAGTCGTCCCTGCGGAAGGAGGGTCTAGTGAGTAAGAAGAGGAAAGAAGGACGGTAGGACACGTACATGTCGATCTCGGACATTCCGCCAATTAGGAGTTCCAACTCACGCTCGTCGAAGACGTGCAGGAGGTCCATGGGGATTAACTAGATAATCACCTCGTCAGCACGACACTCGTGCACAATCGCTGACATACGAACCTCTAGCAAGCCCTCCATGAACGCATCGAACTGGTCCTTGACCCGTCGCGAGATGCGGTAGTCGACAACGCAGTCGACGTACTCCTTCTTGTTTGCCTCCGTCACCTCCAAGTTTTCGCCGCCCGGCTTGAGTTCAATTGTCACCAACTCGCCGAAGCGATCCTCTGTAATCGAGAACGTCTCCTCCAAGACGTCCGTGATGTCGTTTGTCCTGCGGTACCGTCAATGCCCATAGTCCCTATCCACCGAGGACAAGATACTCACAACATCCAGTTCAACGAGCGGTGCAAGTCCGCGTCAATGCTCTCCAAATCCGCCAGTGTCATATGCTTGCCGAGGATCATCTTGTAGATACTCGGCACAAAGTACGCGTCGAGGAACCGGCGATGGAAGACGGTCAGCCCCAGGACACGGCCAATGAACTTGAAGTAGCTCAGATGGTCAGGGTTGATACCGGAGGCGGGGTTGATCTGCAGCGTGTAGTTGTCGTGTGCAGAATATTCGAACAGGCCGTAGCTCGGGTTGAAGATCTCGTGCGAGATGAGGAAGAACCACTCTCTGGTTAGAAAGTCAGTGCAGATCCATACAACATGAAGCAAGTCACGCACCTAGACACGCCACCGTAGTCCAATCCATCTTCCCCCTCAAAGTTGATCATGAGTCGGCGCTTCAGGTTCTCGCCCGAGTGTTGCATGACAGCCGCATAACTGTCCTCCAATATGTGCGATCGCCGGACTCTGATGTCACACTTTCCGGGCAGCACCCGCATGCGCGGCTGGCTGCGGAAGTAGATGAGCTTTCGCCTGTAGTCGCGCTTGTACTGTGGTGCATTGTCGTCCACCGAGCTCGGCGCGCGCGGATCGTCCCATGTCGTAGTCCGGGTGTTGTGATCGACGAAGTACACACGCCCAGTCGAAGTCAGCCGCATCTCCCATCCCGACGGCAGCGGGCCTAAGTTGGGGTTTGGCGTCTGCACAGACGTTGTCGGAGCGGTACCCGGCTGGTTTCGTCGGGGGTCGACCCAAGTCGTCGTCCGTGTATGGTGGTCCACAAAGTACGGCCTTCCCTCCGGCGTCCTACGTTCCTCCCATCCCAGCGGCAGCGGAATATCCGCGTGACTGTTCTGCGCAGGCGCGGCATTCCCGATAGGCGGCGGCGCACCACCGCTCGCCGTGCTCATCCGGGACGACACCGACGGGTTGCGAGCTGCGACATTCAATGGCTGCGGTTGTGCCGGCATGGGCGCCTGAGATGGGTGATGTTGCCCTGCGAGCGGCGGCCGATGCCAGGTTGTGGAACGCGTGTTGTGGTCGACGTAGTATGTACGCCCGGTGCCGGGGTCCTGGCGGCGCTCCCACCCGAGTGGAAGGGGCATCCCGTTCTCATCGTCCGTGATGCGCTGAGGGACCGTACTCAACGGACGTGGGGCGGGTTCTGTCGCGGGAAAGCGTGACGGGCCGAGGTTCGCGTGGGACGACATAGGGCGCAGGGAGTTGGCGGGAGCACCGTGAGGGCGAGGGACAGCAAGTCCGGATGGGGGACGCATGAAGTCGTCTTGGGAATGCGGTGGGGGTTGCTGTGCAGACTGCTGTTGCGCCGACTGTGGGCGCTGCTCGGGCGCTCCCTCCGTCTCCGCGATGGCGTTGGGCGGTGGTTGCGTTGTGAGGGAGAAACCAAAGAGCAACTTGCCGTATACGGAGAGATTGTTCGCTGACATGGTCAGATCGCGCGTAATGATATCTATGGGCGTGATTAGTCAACAGCAGCCTGCGCATGGGTATCGTGCGCACCGCGACTGTCGGCGGCGTGCGCGAGCGCTTCAGATGCGGGAATATTGATGACGCCGAGGAAGCCTGCGCGAGCTGTGTGAGCGGGGGATCGCCACGGGTGCGGGGGACTGCCTGCCTTGATCGCGTTTCCTGAACTTCTTGTGATCAAAGACCTGGATGGCAAGCATAGATGACTGGCGAACGGTGCTGTATGGGGGCATTCATGAGCGCGGGCACATCAGGCGGGGACATCGACACGCACACATCGAAATGCTCATTCCATGTCGGTGATAGCGTCCGCCGTATCACAGCGGTCGTGCTCGTCTGCTCGCCATCGACAGTAAGGACTGCAAATGGATCTGGGAGCGCGAGGAGATCGCGCTTTGCGAGGCCGCTTGCGCCAAACACTTGCGGGGAATGTCAGTGCGAGCGGGACATGACATGCGCGCGACTCACGAGTTACCCTGATCGTCCTCTCTGGGTCAGTGAGTCTAGGAGGGATGGTGAGTGTCTGTTAGAGGTGGTTGCTGGGCGCCTGACCTGCTTGAGCTCGCCATGGCCGTTGATGTCGAGAGCGTCTCCGGCAAAGTGTATCCCGCGTACTCCTCGATGCCGACATGGTCACAGAAAGCTCGTGGTCACACCCAACCGTGACACTATCATGGACCCACGACACGCAACTCACCGTCTCACTGGCTTGGTAGGAGTGGTGAGAAAACTACAGGTGGAAATCCTCACAGCATGGCAGATACACCGCCAAAGCCTGGAGCTTGACAGGCTCCTGCATCAGTTTTCGCCTGCCAATCCTACATCCGATTATGCGAACTTGAAGTACGTCCTTTGAGACTGTCCGAGTCCTGGCCCCGTTCGCCCTGCAGGTACTCCCCTCGTGTCAACCTCCACGGACTTGCAACCCAAGCACCATTTGCATTGTCGGAGAACTACAGAAACATTCGTATTCGTGCCTTTCACGACTCGAAACCCAAGAGACAAAGACCAGGATTAATACAAAAATCGTTCCAGAAGGCAGTCTACTAGTGGATATACCGAAGGTAGCAGGTAAAAAGAAATCCGAGACAGTAGTACAGCGGTCACATAGTCTGTCGCAAGAGCCGGGGATAGCAGGTGGTAGAGAAGAAAGGTAAAAGGAAGTAGGAAAAAGCAGCCAGGGGTAGAGGAGAAGAGAAGTAAGTCGAAGAAGATCACTGGTCACGTATAGGAGAATGGAAGAGCGCGCGATAGCAGTACAATACATTGATCGAGACGGACGGAATCGGATAAGGTATGCAGGTGCAGATGCACCCTCAAGCAGCGGTGCGGCACGCGTGCCGTTTTCCGCCGGGCATCCTGCACTCGCGCGAGCACCACTGCTGGCTGCAGCGCGGGCATTTGGGGAAGCCCTGCCCGGAACGACCGCACGTCGCGCAGCTGACACCCGCGCAGATACGTGAGTCGCGCTCGAGGCGCGCAAGCACGGGATTCAAATCGCTGTCGGCCCTCTGGCGCGACGTGGGGTGCGGGGGCCCGTTGCGCAGCCCGGCGACGCGGCTGGGCGGGGCCGCGCTCCGGGTCTGGTGATGCTTGCCACCGACGTGGGCCTCGATGCTCTTGGCGTGGCACCCGTCGGGGGAGGTGACGATGGTCTCATCAAGGAGCGTTGTCGTCGAGCTGGCGGGCGAGTGCGAGCCGTCGGTGCAGGAGGAGGTACGGCTTATAGACGGCAGGGCGGGGGACGAGGTGTACCCGCTGTCGTCAAAGCAGTCAGGGATGGGCCGCCGCTTGCGCCAGAAACTGCGCCGGGAGGACGCGTGCAGATAGCGCAGAGCGTCGCTTGCGGAATGGGTGGGTGTGAAGGCGCCATGGGCGTGCGACGGCGGAGTGTTAAGCGACGGCGGGGCCTTTGGTATTTCGATGCTCAGTCTTGGAGCGCCCATGCCTGACGACGAGGATGCGAAGGAGGCCATTGAAGCCATGGATATGGTGCGGGTGCGCTGCGCTCCGTGAGGACGCGTGCTCTATCAGGGAGTATGTCGTCAGTAAACACCACAGCGATCATGGCAGACGGTCTACGCACCTGCATTGACCGTGTGTGAGACCTTTCGACTTGAGTAGACATGTAGGGTGTGATGAGAGCCAGTGAAGGAGACAAAGGGAGGCTCTATAGATGGTCGTGTGCCGAAAAGCGCTGTGGCGACGGGCGGAAGCGATTCGTGAGAGCTCTGAGTGATAAAGGCTGAGTCTTCTTATAGACGAAGGGATATCTATATCGAGACGGCGTTTCTATCAGGAACGAAGCAGGAGGCGGGTAGCGCGGCGCGCGTCTATAGATTCGTGAAGACGGGAGGAGGCAAGGGAGGTGAGAATCAAACTCGCAAGCTCGCGATCATTCAGTGTGATCCGGGCCTTTTGTGGCGTAATCCCCTTTGTCAGCAACTCCTCCTTTCGGACGTCTCGTTTTAAACAACCGGAAAGCGTGTCGACCAGTGTGCACAGTCTTGTTTCCATCGTGTGCGTCTGCGGATAAAGCTAGCTCTCAGGATTGCCACGGAACTCTGCGGTATCAAAATGGCTTGGGTTGGGAGATTCAACGTCCGATCACTTTTCTACGCCTACCTGCCGATTGAGGACGATTGCCATGGAACTCAAATGTCGAACGTTTGAACTCTGACCAGGCGATGCCCCTCGAAGCTCTGTTTGCTGCAAAGCTACCGACGCCTCGAGTCTCGACCTTTCTACAGGCGCTGCGTACGATCTCGGTCCCCTTCAGAGGGCGCTCCTCGTGCGCGCTAAACAATACGGAAGCACGACCTTGCTGTGTCAACTAAATGAACGCAATGATGGAAGCCTTGTCATGGGACCATCGATTTACCTCGGGGTGCCTTTGTTCGCTGGACCACTGGCACTCATCGCGCCAAAGTTTCCTCTCCCGCTTTTGAAGATGACGGAGTTGCCAGACTACGACCTCCTCGAAAGGCTCGCGATGACGGCTGAAGCACCAAAGGACTCCATGGAAAGCAGCAAGGGAAGACCGGCCTTCATGAGGATGATATACCTGGGGCCGTGCTCTCATCGCCTCCGCGTCACTTACTTCCAGCGCTCGCCATCCAGACGGATTCGCACTCATGTCGTGTCTGCAAGTGCCGTCACTTTGTTAGCGACCCAAACCATCAGGTGCGCTATATCTGTCCGCTCTGATGGTGTATGCTTGTCATCGCCGTTAGTCCTATAAAAGCACACCTTTCGTGACTTAGTCCCGAGGATGATACTAGCCGTTCCAACGAACGCGTGCAGGGCCGATAGCCCTCATTTCTTAATCTAAGAAGGCAAAAATCATCTCTGAACTTTACTGGGTAGTCTGGTGACCAAACCTCCGCTCCGGCACATTTACTGAGCAGCCTTGGGCGCGCCTCGCTAGTGGTCGTCACTAGAGCGAATCCAGACCTACCACTTGAAGCCCTCTCTATTGCCTCCGGCCCGCCAATCGATGCTATACACTCGCGCACGCGGTACAGTGAGTTCAACGTCTTCGTGGCTTGCCTCGATGCCGCCCGCCATTGCACTGTGGATCCTCATAATGGCGCAAGACAAAACAGCTATCTCTCTCGGAACACCGTCCAATATGGCAGTCGAAGCCACGGCCATTTGCACCTACCGCCTTGTGTGCTCAAAGATACGTCTCTCTCGGCCTCCTCAATCGGCCTTTCCTTGGAGGCTTGCAACGAGGCAAAGGTCAGCACGCTGTCGAAGACGTCGGCCACGCAGGCAAACCTTTGACCGCCGACGCCTTGTACTTCCTTCTCCTCCTCGTCTTAGCTTCCTCCTCCCTTCTTCCACCTTCTCCCTCCATTTAGACACCCAACAGCGCGTCATCTCACCGACAAACAACTTCGCCAGGTCCAAATCCCCGCGGATTACCCAGCATCCTCCTCGCCCCTGCCCCGCATCCAGTCTAGCGCAGAGATCCCGCCTTTGACGATCGCCTTCTGTATACCTCGCACGCCCTGCTGTAATCCTCCGTGCCCTTCTGTATTCCTCGGAGTCCCAGCGCCTCGCTCCTGCATCAAAACTCGGCCAATTATCGGGTCAGGCGCGCGGGGGCATGAATGGCGGTCCCAGTCCGGTGACGCGCCTGGAGGTGCCACAATGCCCCCGCGCGGGGGCGGGTGAATGCGAAGTGGGTGCGCGAGCTTCCTCTGGACAGTGTTCCTGGGTCAGACGGGCTGATCTCATCCAGAGGTATCGGGACTTGGCAAGGACTACATATATACCAGCGCTTCCTATGGATGGAATAGACGTGCCGTCCTTTTCGGGTGGACGACGTTACATCTCGTCCGTGCAACAGTCCGACGACCAGAGCATGTCAAGGCAAGATATCGAGCGCATGAACTCGGTGACGAAGGATGAGGAGGATGGGCATATCGAGGACTTGCCGAAGGGCAAGGAGCCCTTGTCGCCAGCCGAGCGGCAGGAGGCTTTCGAGGCGGCGCTGAAGATCGACCCCGGGGTGAAGAGCTTCAGCTGGCAGGCGTTGCAGGTGTGTGGTTTTCCCTCCGCCTTCGCCTGGACTTGTACTCTGGCGGTATGTTCCCGAAAGACTGACAAGCAGCGCAGATGTACTTGATCACGCTCGTCGCTTGCTGCTGCTCCGGAGACACGGGATTCGATGGCACGGTCATGGGTTCGTCGGGTCGCTTTCTGTAGGCTTGCGCGACGCTGAGAACCCTTGCAGGCGGTATCAACTCCATGTGGCAATATCAGCAGTTCTTCGGTATGACGGGGACAGGGTCGAAGACAAGGTGGGTCTCCTGCTTCACAGATATGCCATCTAGCTAAACGAAGGGTTTAGTATCGTCTTTGGTATCTACACGATCGGCTCGCTATGGTGAGTATGCCCTCGTCAAACGCACAGATGGATCGCTGATACAGTTCGCAGTGGCACATTTCCTGCATGTACGTCGAACCGTAGGCATAAGTCATCTTCAGATGCTAAACAGCTTGCTACCAGCCTACCTCCCCGACCGCTTCGGCCGTCGATTCTCCATGTTCTTTGGCAACACCCTCATCATCATCGGCGCCGCCTTGACTGCCAACTCACGCAACGAGGGCATGTTCCTCGGTGGCCGTTTCTTGGTGCGTCGCCTTCTCCCTAGCCCGAATATCTAGTTGACGGGTCTACCATATAGACTGGCATGGGCGGTGGATGCGCAGGCGCCAGCGCGAAGTCCTTCCTCGCCGAGCTCGCGCCGCCCAAGTGGAGAGGTGCATACCTTGGCTTCCTCAACAGCTTCTACTATATCGGGCAGATGGTGGCCACCGGTAGGCTGAATTCTTTCTTCCGAAGTGAAGAGATTGCTTACTGAGCCTCATCTAACAGGCATGATGGTGGCGACCGGTCGTTGGGACAGCGAGCTCGCCTGGAGGCTGCCGCTATACATTCAGATGGTTCCTGCGGCGCTCAACTTCTTGCTGGTGTTCTTGTGCCCGGAGTCGTACGTCGCTCGTTTTTGTTGGGTGATCAGAGGCTGACACTGGACATAAGACCGCGTTGGCTCTACAGCGTCGGAAAGGCCGACCAGGCCCGCCAGGTGCTCGCAAACCTTCACTCTCGCACCCGCGACATCAACTCCCCGCTCATCGCCCTCGAAATGGACGAGATCGAGGAGAAGGTCACGATCGGTGGTGCGGACAGTGCGTTCTTTTCAATAATCCTACTCGGAGACCCTCACTGACGATGACCTCTCAGAGCGCTGGTGGGACTTCCGCCCCCTCTTCCGCACGAAGGGCGATCGCGCGCGCATGATCCGCGTCGTCACCGTCGGCTGGTTTGGCCAGCTCTCGGGCAACGGCCTCATCACGTACTTCCTGCCTGTGCTGCTCAAGCAAGCGGGCATCACGGACCAGAATAAGCAGCTCACATTGAACTTTGTGAACAGTGTGACGTCGTATATCGGAGGTGAGTGATGGGATTTGGACCTTGGTTGAAGGCAAACGTGGTGACTGACATCGTTCGCAGCGCTTGCCGGCTCGTTCACGGTGGACCGCTGGGGACGCCGGAAGGTCCTGTTTTACAGCACGGTCACCATTACGGGTATTTTGGCCATCGTCACCGGCTTGCTGGGCAGCAATAAGGGCGGCAACCTGATGCAGGCCAACGCTGGCATCTCGTTCATCTACCTCTTTATGGTAGTCTTCTCGTACGGGTGGACGGCGATGTGAGTACCGCATATACCCGCTTTGTGGCCGTTCCTTTTCGTCGTGCTGACACCTTGATCTAGGCAAGCGCTCTACCCCGCGGAAGTCCTGGGATACCAAGCCCGCGCGAAGGGTCTCGCATTCTTGGGCATCGTAACACAGGTCGCGTCCTGTATCAACACGTTTGGTCTCCCAGTCGCGCTCGACAAGATTGGCTGGAAGGTGTATCTGATTTTCTGCATCTGGGATCTCTTCGAGTGCGTCGTCATCTGGTTTATGATGGTCGAGACGAAGGTACGTTGTTTGAGCTCCAGGTGATTGAACAGGCGAAATGCTGATCATCCCACAGGGCCTGACGTTGGAAGAAATTACGGAGGTGTTCGAGCAGAAGAATCCTGTTGCATACAGCAAGGAGCTGCTCAAGCACCACAATCAGTCAGGGCTTGCTTGAGCGCATATCAGTCCTATCTTCCTGTATACTAGTAGTCAGCAGCGTATTGAAGATGAGTGTGATACGGTCATATCAGAACTGTTGAGCAAGCCATACAGCGCTGCGTCTGTGTCCTTCAGTGCAAAGTTTGCCTGCCAACCCACTTTGGTAATTGGCTTTTGATCGGAAGCAAAGGTAAAAGTGATCGAGAGTTGGATTTCCATGGATTGGCGGAACTCCAGCGATTTGGATTGTGCAGAGTTCAGTGGAAATCCTTGGAGCTCCAAAAAAGCCGAACCCAGGCGATTCAAGGTGGAGAAGCTTGCACTTCGTGATATAGGCCAGAATTCTTGGCTGTTGATGCCTCTTCAGTCCAGTGGGTCCCTTTGGTTTACTTACACGTGTGCGCATCTCCTTTCGCGGTTGGCCTCACGTGCCGGCCGCCGCATGCACCTCCGACGCGACGGCGACGCGAGAATGTTCTGTGCCGCCTTCCTTCCTCTCCGACTCTCACCGTCTTACCTTCACCATCGACAGTCTTCAGTCTAGCCTCACATCCCCTCCCCCCCTCATGCTGAAGCGAATCTAACTGACTCGCGCTTCTGTGCGCTTTCCGGACGTGATCATAGTGCTTGCTGGTTGTTCTTGCCGACACGTCTGAGCCCGAGGCTGGCTTTCCCGTGACTGAGAACGCTGCCTACGTCTCGGTAGAGCGTATACAAGGTGCGTGTCGAGTCTTGTTATAAACCATCCCACTAACGTGCCCCATGCCGCAGTCTTGAGCAACAGTACCCCCATCCACCTTTCCAGTGCATCGGCTACGCAACACCACCCAACGCATCCTATACGGATGTCCACTACGCGCAGGGCACGCGCTCCGCAATCTTCCATGGACTTCACCCTCGCACTTCCACCAGTCGCTGACGTTCTTCGAACCTTCGGACCCGCTTAAGTTCGCCATAATGAAGAACTTTCTGCGCGCATGGTGCACACGAGAGTACGCACTGACTGCCTCGTTGTTTCGTTCCTCGCCCCGACTTCATTTCCGAGAGGGTACGAGGCGTGTCAAGATTGTTCTTTGTCCTTGCTATCGTCCCCCATCCGCTTGACCGATCATCCCAACGCTGTCTGTCCCGTTCAAGGTCGCGCAGGTGGGTCCCCGTCATCTGCCCCGTGCTTTCTATTGATCAATTCTGTAGAGATGCCATCGTCCTTGCTGTTGATCTCTTTGGACCAAGCTCGGAGTTTCTCCGATGCTACAGTACTGGATGACGAGTACATGTACAAGGATGTAGTACTACCTGTCGCTCCCTCGAGCTGTGAAGGATGTAGATCTGCCACATCGAGCCTGGCACTAGATCAGGGCGCCTTGGAGTTACCGTAATAGGGACAAACAAATGATATCGGCTTGACTCGCTTTGCTCCGCACGCGTAGTCAACCCGGCCGCTCATCATCACCGCGCCGCCGCGCGTCTCTTCCTGAACGCCCATCATCATCCTCTCTTTGCTCGCTCTCGGACTCACCTCTCGGACTTTGACGCGCCCCCTGGACTGCTAATTAACGGGAAGCAATGGTGTGCAAAATTTCCGGGATGCTCGTGTGCAGCGCAACCCTTACTCCGCCTCTCTAGGGTCAAACACTATCGTCTCCGGGTGCGTGGTGGCCCAACGCGCCACCGAGCTCTGCTCTGATCACAGATCCTACCAGCGACATGGAAAACCTCCGAATCTGGCGCGAGCTCGCGATTTGCGTACGCAGTGACCGAAATGCAGGGATGGCGAATAAGTGCGTCGCGCGTTCCCCGCCTCCCCGCCGCAAAGCTAAACCACTCGCGTAGCAATGGAGGACGCACACGCCGCCGTCCTCGCCCTCGATGAAGGCACTGATCAAACCAACACCTTTTTCGCCGTGTACGACGGCCATGGCGGTGCGTGAGCGCCCGTCCGATCAACACCCTCCCGCTCACTCCCCATCAGGCGGCACCGTCGCCAAGTTTGCGGCACAGAACGTGCACAAGCGCCTCGTCAAGGAAGAGGCATACGAGAAGAAGAACTACGAGGAAGCGCTCAAGCGCGCCTTCCTTGGTACCGACGAAGACCTTCTCGCAGGCAAGACGATCAGTGCCACTCCCCGCCCACACCGCTCATCCCCTTCCCCTCACAGACCCAGCCCATGTCCGCGACCCATCCGGGTGCACAGCCGTCGCTGCGCTCATCACCGCCGATAACAAGATCTACGTGGTCCGTGTGACTTGCGCACGCGCTCGGCTATCGTGCTCACTGATTCCTAGGCGAACGCGGGCGACTCCAGATCAGTCATCTCCAACAAGGGTGTTGTTGAGCCCTTGAGTTTCGACCACAAGCCCACAAATGAGGGTAAGTGCCATTTCTTTTGTGTTTACAAAGCAGACGCATAGTCGGGAACAATGATCGGGCGTCTGGCCTCGTACGATTGCTGACCGTGATCTATAGGTGAACGGGCCCGAATCACCGCAGCCGGCGGCTACATCGAGTACGGTCGCGTGAACGGTACGTGAGCAACATCTGGTCTAACGTATGGCGTGCTTACCGCTGTTAGGCAACCTTGCTTTGTCCCGGGCTATCGGGGACTTTGAGTTCAAGAAGAACTACAACGTGACTCCCGACAAGCAGGTCATCACTGCGAACCCGGACGTTAAGGAGTACCAGTTGACCGACGAAGATGAATTCGTCGTCATCGCTTGTGATGGTGCGTGCCTGCGCGCATGAGCGGTAGACGATATTGATCAGGTCAACAGGAATCTGGGACTGCTTGACCTCGCAGCAGGTGGTGGACTTTGTTCGCTTCCAAGTATCGGAGGGCAAGACCCTACAAGAGATCGGCGAGATGATGTGTGACCACTGTCTTGCTCCGGACACCTCTTCGGGCGCAGGTATCGGCTGCGACAACATGACCGTCCTCATTGTTGCGATCCTGAATGGCCGGACTCAGGAGGAGTGGAACGCTTGGATCACCGACCGCGTCAAGAAGGGATATGGTTATCAAACCCCCACTACTCTTCCCCAGCTCTACGCGCAGTCACGCATCATGTCCTTCCGTGCAAGACGCGAGGCACAGGAGGCGCGCGAGCGCTCGAGGCAGGACGGCGACGACAGTGCCGCCAGCTTCCTCGTTGGGTCGGGTTTGGGCCCCTTTGCGCGCGTCCTCGGCAGCGCGGGTGGCATCTCCTATAGCCCGGCGACTGGCATCCTGTCGGACGGCGGTGCGCTCATGTTTGGCAGCGACGACAGTGAAGAGGATGACGACAGCGACGAAGAACTTCGCAGCTCACGTTCCTTCTTCACTGACCAACTCGGCATTGGGCGTGGCGACAGCCCTGACCCAACCGAGAGTCTGAAGGCAAAACTGGACGCGTTCGAGCAGGCGGACGATGAGACGGACGATGATGGCGATTCTCATATGGTCGATGCTTTGGAGGAACAGGAGACGGAGGAACGGGAGGAGGACGTCGATGGAGCAGCAGCCGCTGCGCAGCGCGCATCGACCCCAGGTCCGGCCTCCGCGACCGATTCCAATCCAAACAGCGCCGAGTCAAAGCCAGGTCCGACGAGGGGCGAGACTCCCCCGCCGCCACCTCACCTGCCTAACGGTGACGCGAACGCGGAGCCGCCAAAGCAGTTCAGTTCTCAACCTGGCGGTGACGCTGCGAGCCCTGCGGTCAAGGCCGAAGGTCTCATGGACAAGAGCGAGGACCCGATGCGGGTTTGATAGGGCGCGCGGCGCCTTCGCCCGCCGCCCTGGGGGCGAACTGGGCGCAGCTGTAATTCTGTCTGTAGTTATCTGGCGACGGACACTCGTGTATCGTTTAGGTAGTCTCTTGTGCTAGTGTTTCCCTCCTTTCCCTTCCCTCATGCGCTGTCCCAATAACCATGGTCTGACTCGCCGTGGCCGCAGCATGCATATTCACCATACCTAACAATTATTCTCGGGTTATCACTACCGTCCAGCTGGCGAGTCGCGGCTTTTACCCCTGTCCATGATATCGTGTAGTATTGTACAATCTCACTATCGGCGTCTAGACGTAGTACTGTACATAGTTCGTCTTCTTCATTATTTGATACTGGCTAGGCGCATAACACGGGGGCCTGCCAGCGGGATCATGGAGTTTGAAACGGAAGTTGGGCAGGTGTGCTACAAGACGCTCCTCAGCAGGACGAGCTCCTTCTCAGTGAGGCAGAGGATGACGGGACCGTGCTGGGAAGCGTTGACGAGGCCGACGCCAAGGAGGCTGCCGCTACCGCCTTCTGCGACCTTGAGGATAGCCTGCTTCGACCAAACGGCTTTACCCTCCGCGACGCGGTACAAGTAGACGTTGCTGCCCCGGTCGCGCGTCCCGCTCTCGAAGGCCATCGCCGCACGCCCAGGAACGTGATAGGTGAAGCGCGTGTCCTGCTTGGAGGCGAGGACGAAGGAGAGTGCAGAGAACGTGCCGACGTGCGTCCACTGCGGGCCATTCTCGTCGATGGCCAACGAGAACTCGGCGCCATCGAGCGCGTTCTTGATGACGAAGGAGGGCGCGTGCGCCTCAGCGCTCGGTATATCCGTCGACAGCAGCTGCACCGGCGCGCTCGACGTGTCAGGCACGCCCTCCGCGGTGCTGACCCACGTCACGCAGATCTCGCGGCCGACAGCGGAGTCGATCTCCATGTCCATCTCGCCCTCGCCAAGGCTGGGGACGCCGTGCCCCAGGCCACCGCCCACTTCTGCGGTGTACTTTTCCAGCGCGTCGCGGATGCCCGCCAGCTCGCTCGGGTCGCGCGTCTCCGGTACCTCCGCGTCCTCCCAACGCAGCGCATCGGAGGTCGACTGCTCCGCGGAATGGAAGACGTGCATCCAGTTGCGGTTCTCCTCGGCCTTGTCGAGGGTGAGGGTGAGGAGGCCGTCCTCGCTGTCCCACGTCCAGTAGGTTGTTTCGGGGCGTATCTTGTCCCAGAGGCGAGCGGAGGTATAGGTGGGTGGGTGCAAGGGGGTGGAGGAGGGAACGTTGTCAATGGAGAGGGTGAGTGTGGTGCTGGTGAAGGCGACGTGGATGTCGTGCTTGGTGGTAGTCGGCGGAAGGGCGAAGACGACGGTGAGGGCATCGGGGGTTTGATACCAGGAATATGGGGGTGGACGAGGCGGTCCATCGGTGGCATCTGAGGGACCATCAAGGTTCTCTCCCGCTCGTGGGATGGGAGCGAGCTCGTCGGGCTTAGGTTCGTAATGATGTGTCGGTGGAGCTTCGAGAGCCTTGTAGACGGAGCCTCCAGCAAGAAGGGTAAGGTGGCGAGCGGGATCGTAGCGCACGTAGGTCGGGACGAAGTCACCGCGGCGACGGAACACAGTCGCAAGAGTACGCGGCTCTTCGGTGGAGGGTGAAGGTCCTATGCTGACGGCTCGGACCTCAAATGTGGGCGGTGTCTTCTTTCCAGAGGTAGCAGGCTGAGACTGGGCGCCATAGCATCTGAAGGATACGATCGCAAGGACGTGCCCCTCCGGAGTCGATGTAGCTTCATGCAGGCGAAAGGGATGATGGCTTGCGTCCTCTGTAGACAGATTGTACACTTCCGGCTCCGCGGAGGGCTTGTCTTCGGAGTCTAGCCGGAGAACGTGCACCGATCCACGACCATCTGATACAAGGAGGACATTGGGGGAAGCAAATAGCGCAACAGGGAACTCCGGGTGCATGTCTGAAGTCGCTGAGGCGGAGGTTATAGTTTGCGGAAGTTCATAGACGACGCTAAACCTGGGTTCGAGCGTATCCTACTTGAGGTGGAACGCATGAGTGATTGCGAGTGTACGAAAGTGTACTGTGCTTACCCTGTTCATGTCCACCAATACAACTTGAGATACGCTGTCAACATATACACAGCGACCATGCCCAGTGTAGAGATGATTATGGTAGATCCTGCTCTGAACTTCTGGGAAGGACAAGGGCGAGCGAGATGCAATCTCTTGGGATAGCGCCTCCGGCAAGGGGAAACGCGACACTACCTTCTCCTGGTCTACTGCGTCGAGCTTGTAGCCTTCGAACATGGGGTTCAGAAGGCTTCGTTGGACGGTGAACTCCATCGTGGTGGTGAAGGTAGGAAGTAAAGTCCAGTATATTTCACGCTCGACGTCCAGAACGTTCCGCTCAACGGCGCCGGCGTCACCTGGCGCGCCCGCCGCCCGATGTCGTCGATTTCGGCCCGAAGTGCGAGTGCGCAAAAGACGCGGCAATCTCCGGTGCAACTGCATATCCAGCCACTGCGTTTGTCCTGTCACATGATTCTGCACGTGCGCGGACCCAAGATTGATTGGGTTCCTCGCCGTCGTGCACGACAACTTCAAGACTCTTCAAGATGGGTAAGTGCTGCTCGTCCTCGCTACGAACTCACGAAAGCTCATGACCATGGACAGTTCGCTACGCCGGCGCCGCTTTTGCCGCTAATCCCGAAAAGAGTGCGTTTCTGGGCGATCTTTGAGTGAAGGAGGACGAAAGACTGATCGTGCACCTCAGCCTCGAAGGCGCGCGGCGAGTACCTCCGCACGCACTTCAAGAACATGCGTGAGGTCGCGGCTGCTTTGACTGGTGCGTCGCATATCGAGATCGGAGGTGAAGGGAAAGCTGACGATCGACTTTCAGGCTTGAAGCTCCAGAAGGCGTACAAGTACCTCGGCGATGTCACGGAGCACAAGCAGATTATCCCCTTCCGCCGTTTTGCTGGTGGCATTGGCCGCGCATCGCAGGCGAAGCAGTTCAAGACCACGAAGGGTGCGTTCAGTCGTTGATCGGGATAATCCCCATACTCACATCCGTCTCAGGTCGCTGGCCGGAGAAGTCCGTCCGCTTCATCCTCCGCTTGTTGAAGAACGCCGAGGCCAACGCGGATGCCAAGAACATCGACGTTGAGGAGTTGACGATCAAGAACATCGTTGTGCAGCAGGCCCCCGTACGTGTCCTGCGAATTCTATCTACCATCCCTTCCTAACACCACTACCAGAAAACCCGCCGCCGCACTTACCGCGCACACGGTCGCATCAACCCCTACCTCGGCCACCCCTGCCACGTCGAGGTCATCCTCGCCGCGGGTGAGGAGGAGGTTGAGAAGAGCACCGACAAGGTCGCCTCGACCGCGCTCACCGGCCTCAACCGGCGACAGGTCGCGCGCAAGCGCATCGAGGCTGCCCGCGCATGAGCGCGCCTTGATCTCCCCTTGCGCATCCAGCGTCCCTGGTGAGGGGCGCGCCCACCATATCCTGCGCATGCCCACACTGCAAATACGCCGTATGCCCACTTCATGTACCACCTCAGCCATTCATATGCGTTCTATGCTATGCATCGTGTTCACGCCGGGACTATCTGTTCAGCCTTCGCTGCATCCAACCAAGCTTTGTTCTGAGGTTCGTCATGTCGCGCTCGGAGCCTCCGTCTCATCAACAGGTGCCTGTTGTTCTTCATGAGCATCAACGTGCACTATTATCGCCATCAACCTGGCAGCATTTCGCTGCATATAGTCAGCATTTCGATCGACCGCGGCGGCGATGCGCTATCGTGAGCTCCAGTCCTGCGGTGGATGGACCATGGTGTCCAGGTTGCATTAGTGTCTTGCCGCTCTTCAGGCTTCAGGCTCGGTTGGCGTCTCGTTTTGGTGGGCTGGAGATCGCGCTTTGGTGAGATGCGAAGCTCCTGCATGACTTGAAGCGTGACCATTCGAAACCGCGCGCCTCGGAAAACCACAAGTAGTAGAGGATCTTCAGCCGAGTAGACCTCGCGTTGACCTTGCCAATCTCGATGTGACTCTTGTCTGCCTCGCAACCTTGGTATTCGTCGTCAAGTGTGCCTGCGAGGCTATCTTGCTGATCCTGGGGTCTTCAGGACAAAGGCTAAACAGCACGCTAGTTTGCCCCTCCCATAAGGAGGAAGAGTTCGCTCTTCAACCAGCCTGGCACCTATTCCAAGGGGTCCTGAGGCACACATTCTTGAAGCACGCGTGTTGAGTCTTTCTCTTTGCCCTCACTTCATGCGCCCAGGGAACGTTGAGAAGCAGCAGACTCCAAGTTGAGTAGCTGGAATTAGAAGTCGGTCTTGCGAGTGTCTTCGTTGGAGCTGCCGTCAAAGGTAGATCGCATGAGCGAAAGCCTGTCTTGATGTTGAGAGCGCATCTGCTCTTAGGCCAGAGCGTCGATGTGGGGCACGTGTGTGTAGATGTCGAAGACTTGTCCGTAGAATTAACGCGCCTCCGGGATGTCGTCGGTGTGTCCTAATACTGAAAGGCGTCGAAGTGGGAAAATACAGCTGGCCAGCGAATGAGCCCTTTCGCCAACGTCAAAAGGTTTTGAAGTTCTTGGACGCGAACTCAGATGTTGATGAAGAGGCTTGATGACTTTGACGTTGAACTGCAGCGAGAATATCTTCGAGAGCGATTGCCTTGAAAAGTCGATATCTTTGTGGTCGAGGGGGTTCGCGGGTAATGGCAATGACGGCGGCAAGCGTTGGTAAAATGAGCAAGTGTCGCAGATGTGTGTGAAAGCTTGCAAGGGCCCTGAATAGGATCAGTGCGATGAGCAATGATACAGGCGGCGGCAACGCACCTAGTGGGGAATGCAACGTAGACGCTGCAGAGCATCTTTAAAGCCATAGCCACTGATCACTCAATCCATTGGTGACAGGCTTGAACGGTCGGAGAGCGCCGATCCGCAACTTTGTGGCGGAGGAAAAAGAACGACGACGCGGGACGAGCGGGCAGGCACCAGTAGGTAGAGCGTATGTAAAGCATAGTACAGAGTAATTTGGGGGAAGTTGTCCGTGGATCAGGAATGCGGTCTTCGACGATGAAGGGACACGGCGGGTGCTGTTCGAGCAGCTAGAACGATGGACACGCCACTCATGAACAGTACTAGTTAGACAGCGGGGAAGGGAGAAACACACCAGGGGGCTCAAAAACCACACGGATGAGGTGGTGGGAGCAGAAGAGAGAGCTGTGAAGGAACAAGCGAAGGCCCTTGCCTTATATACGCGCCCGGGCCGATCGCGCACATGGATATCACGGGATCAACACGAGGATGCACAAACGGAGGGTCAAGCCACAAACGAAGGCGCAGAGCTCGGTTGCCGTGGACTGCGCGAACCGACGTGTTGGCTTATGTTGGCCAAGACCGACCCTTTGAAGCCGCAAGCTTGCCTATGCGTGAACTCTGGTTCGGCCTCACTCATCTAGCAAGACCACCCCTGGTGATAATCATACGGGATGGATGGAACAGATAATCAGCGGAATATGCCATGGTCCATGCGCCTTGTCAAGGGATGTAGAGGCTCAATAATCCGCCTATGAAGGCGATACGATCATGAGACCCTCCATCAATTCTGTAAGCGATGAAAGCGAGTTTTTTAGACGCAGTATAGGCGCTACCTTCTGTACACGCCCCAGTCTAAGCACGATAATTCCCTAGGCAGGATACGCTACACTGACGTCTGCTTTGCTGTGAGCCTCTATACAGATCCGACTAGCCATGCTCCAACTTACAACGAGCGAGAGCGCTGATCATGTAGTAAGTCATCGCCCTACGTCGCTCAGAAATCGCGGTGGAAGGGATTGTCAGCTTTCTCAGGCCTGACAGAGCGCCCGGCGAGCGTCAAAGCCATAGGTTTCCGCTGCTACTACATTTCCGGCTTCCGAGCGAGCTGGACGTCTGAAGAGAGCACGAATGGCCGCAAACCCGGTGGCGGCCCGCGTGATTGGGGACATATCAAATCCCGCTAGCCCGATCACAAAGTGGGGTCTGGCGTCGAGGCGGCGCTCCTGTCTCCACTCTCGCCATCGACAACAAAGGCCCGAAGGTTTTTGTCCTCCACCTATACCTCGCGCGTCGATGCCTGCTTGAGCTCGCGCTTTCCTCCAACCTAGTCACCCGTGAACGTTCGTTATGACCCCCGCCATGTTCTATTCCCCTGCTATCAGCATGTTCGGGAAGCGCGCTGCCCAGGAGCAGGTGAGTGTCGTGGGTGGCTGACGGAGTGGTAACTGACGCGTTCCCCTGCAGGGCGGCCTCTTGTCTGGCAAGGACCCAACCGAGTTCAGCACGTCGGACCCCATCCGTCTATGGATCGTGCAGATCGGTGAGTAGGACACTCGCTACTCTTGTGACGTGCTGACATCGTGTAGGTGTGATCGTGGCGACCGCCAGTCTTCTTTCCCTCGGTTTGCGCAAGATAAGACAACCGAAAGTCATCGCGGAGGTGCTAGGAGGTATCATACTCGGTGCGCCTACCTACAGTCCCCCTTTGGCCGCGTCCTGACGCCCATCGTTAGGTCCCACTGCTTTTGGTGCGCAACCTCGCTTCACCTTAGCTCTACAACACTGACCACCCCACAGGTCGCATACCCGGCTTCACCGAGCACATCTTCCCCGACGAGTCGCGCCCCTTCCTCAGCCTCACTGCCACCATCGGTCTCTGCCTCTTCCTCTTCCTCGTCGGCCTCGAGATCGAAGGCGCCGTCATCAAACGCAATGCCAAGCTTTCCCTCACAGTCGCTCTCGCTGGCATGGCTGTCCCCTTCGGGCTCGGCGCAGCCATATCCGTCCCCTTGTACAACGAGTTCATCGACCCCAGCATCAAGTTCACGCACTTCATGCTCTTCGCGGGCGTCGCGTTTAGTATCACGGCCTTCCCGGTCCTCTGTCGCATCCTGACGGAGCTGAAGCTTCTCGATACCACTGTCGGCATTGTTGTGCTCAGTGCGGGTGTGGGGAACGATGTCGTAGGCTGGGTGTTGCTCGCGTTGTCCATTGCTCTGGTGAACGCGGGCAGCGGGCTGATGGCGCTGTACATCTTGCTCGTCGCAGTCGGCTTCTCTATCTTCCTTCTCGTACCCGTACGGATGGCAATGCGGTGGTTGGCGGTCAAGACGGGCTCTATCGAGAACGGACCTTCACTGTTCTTCATGACGGTGACGATCCTACTCGTCTTCGCGTCGGCGTTCTTTACGGATATTATCGGGGTGCATGCTATCTTCGGTGCCTTCCTCACTGGATTGGTCGTCCCTCGCGACGGCGGGCTGGCCATCGCGCTCACGGAGAAGCTGGAGGATATGGTGTCCATCATATTCTTGCCTTTGGTAAGTGATTGAACAAGAAATTCTAACCTCAAGCTAATCTGTGCTAGTACTTCACGCTTTCTGGGCTTTCAACGGACCTCGGCCTGCTGAACAACGGCATCACTTGGGGCTACACGGTCGCCATCTGTGCTCTTGCCTTCATTGGCAAGTTTGGAGGGTGCACCATTGCGTCCCGTTTCATTGCGGGCTTCAACTGGCGCGAATCAAGCACGATTGGCGGGCTCATGAGTTGCAAAGGCTTGATCGAACTGTGAGTCTTTTTTCCAGAGCTTATCTTTGACGAGGTCTCACCTCCCCCCGCAGAATTGTCCTCAACATCGGTCTTCAGGCGAAGATCTTGACGCCTCGGGTGTTCTCAATGTTTGTGTTGGAAGCGCTTCTGCTCACATTCATCACGAGTACGTGACTACCTTCTGTGTTCTACTGCATGCTGACACCCTACAGCACCTCTTGTGACCTTCCTGTACCCACCCGAGAAGCGTATCAGGGCCGCCGGCACGGGCGCGAACTTCAATAACGTGCCAGACCAGGAGGCACTGCCTGATACGGCGCCGACAGACGCCGAGGGCAAGTTCAAGTCCAGGTTCCTCGTCGTGCTTGACCGTCTGGAGCACCTTCCGGGCATGATGGCGCTGGCACAGCTCGTGCAGCCGGCGCAGGCGTTGATGGAAGCCACTGCCGTGCGCAACTCGGTCGACGAGAAGGGCAAGCAGGCGCCCTCTCCATCGCTCGCCCCCGCACCGACCATCGAGGCCCTTCGACTCATCGAGCTGTCCGACCGAACTTCGGCAGTCATGCGCTCTAATGCGCATGCGGCGGAGACGCTCGCGGCAACGGATCCTGTGCTGTCCGTGTTCAGGATGTTTGGGCAGCTCAATGGGTTCCAGATGAACTCGGCATTGAGCATCGTGCCCTATGATGACCTAGCCTACCGCGTCGCGGAACACGCGCGCGATAGAGGGGTCGAGATGATTATGGTCCCGTGGCTGCCGTCCGTACCATTCCCGACTCAGGAGGATGGAACTGCCCCGACGACCCCTCGGGCAGCCACTACGCCTCGTGCGGCTACTGCCGGCCAGTTCAATCCTTTCGACGCGTTGTTTAAGTCGGCGAGCAGCGCTCCGAGCGCGTCGGCGTCGGCGATACACGCGACGTTCGTGCGCGGTGTGTTTGCCCAGGCGCGCGTCGATGTTGCGCTATTCGTGGACCAGGGTCACGCCAGCGGCCCCGCACACGCCGGAGCGGACGTTCATCTATTCCTTCCTTTCGTGGGTGGCCCGGACGACCGACTCGCCTTGTCCTTCGTCGGACAGCTCTGCGAGATGGGCGGCGGCCGGATACGTGCGACCGTCGTGTGGCTGAAGAAGACCGAGGAGGGCGAAGCCGAGCGCGTTGTCTCGAACGAGAAGGCCGACGAGGCGCAGCTGACGGTGGCATCGCAGCATCACGTCACGGTGGGCTCGACGGTTGCGGGCGGCGCGTTCCCGGATACGGTGTACGGCAACGCGACGACGCAGACGCGGCTGCAGAGCGAGGCGGCGGATGCTATTGCGTGGGCGCGGGCGACTGGGGAGCGCAACGGGGCCTCCATTAGTTCCTCGGTCATTGCGCGTCAGGACTTCCAGGAGGTGGCCACGCCGACACCGTTGCGCACCGCGCTGGACCTTGCGCGTCAGCACGAGCCCGCGCACGGGAGGCTGATCGTGGTGACGGGAAGGTCGCGGAGGCTGGCTGTCGAGAATCATGCCAAGGAGCTGAAGGAGGTGATGGAGCGGTACACGCACGTCGGCGTGGAGGTGCGGAAGACGGTGGGCGATGTTGCGACGGCCTTTGTGTCAGCGGATAGTGGGGCGGGTGTCGTTGTGGTGCAGGCGGCAAACATCGCTGTCGAGTGAGAGTATCGCCGTGAAGTGAGGAGGTGGCGATGGTGAGATTTGTTACGACTTATACCTGTAATGACCCGCAATTGTTCGACATCGTTTGGCATATCACTGTACACACATAGTATCCTGGTTACGACTGCATTTACGACTGTACATATAGCATACATACCTGTGCATGGCTCTGGATATTTCTTTGACCGACTTTTCGTCGACTTTTGAGTTGTGGGTCCGCACGGATCTTCGGTCCGGCGCCATTCATCTTCTGGTTCGTACCGTCATGTCGCATGCGCCGCGGTCGCCGACGCCGTCGAGGAGCCCTGCGCCGGCGCTATCGCGTGCGACACCCTCGAGAATTGCAGTCCCTGTGCTTCAGTCTCAGCCCTCGTTCTCCAACCTGAATCCGAATCCGAACCCCAGCCATCTATCGAGCGCGCCTGCGGCCGCGCTGGACAGCTATGCGTCATCTCTCAGCAATGCAGACAGCGAGGGGATCATACTGCAAGACGAGGATGTGGAGGACCCGCCGGAAGTGGAGGAAGTGACGGCGACAGCGACGTTGAATCAGCAAGACTCGAAGCAAGCATTGCGGGAGCAGCTCAGGAATACCCTGAGCCATTCGTTCACCAGTGTCGGTGCGTGCCCCCCTTTCATCCGCGAGTGCTCATTCTGACATGGATCAGAAAGCTCGACACCGCGCCAGAAGGGAAAGCAGCCAGCGATGGCTGATATCCCTCATGTACCAGGTGCGTTCGCCGCGATGGCATTGGCGAACTGTCCTGACTAGTCAATAGCCCAGCGCTATCCGCGTAGACAGTACTTTGTGTTCAGTGATGCAGGGAAGCCGGTCTTTGTGAGGTGTGCAGCATCATGACTGCTATCGTGTATGGCACTGAAAGCCCTCAAGCGCCGACGGGCCCGACGCAGAGCGCTTCACCACCACATTCGGCATCATGCAAGCCCTCATCTCTGTCTTCATCGACGATGGTGACAAGCTGCGCTGCATCAACGCGGGCGGTACGCGTATCACCTTCCTCCAACGCGCGCCACTTTACTACGCGTGCGTCTCCGCATGGGGCGAGCCAGAGTCGGTGGTGCGTAAATGCATTTCACATTCAAGCCCCCTCACAGTCTGACGCGAGCGAAGGCAGACGCGGACGCATCTCGACTACTTGCATCTGCAGATACTTAGCATCGTTACTGCTGCCCAGTTGCGGCGCATTTTCGAACGAAGGACGAACTTCGACCTTCGGCGACTGCTTAATGGCGCGGAGGGCTTCCTATCGTCGCTACTTGAGCGCATGGAGCTTGATCTGGCTTTAAGCACTTCGTCGCTGTGGTGTCTGCGACTCGACCTCGGGCTACGAAAACGGATCGCTGAAGCTTTGATACCTCCTTCCAAGAAGGTAAGGTCGAAATTGCGTGTCAGGGCGATCGAACGCTCAAATTCTCACAGGAGATCCTCTATGTCGTGCTCATGGCTCGCGGGCGCGTCGTTACGCTCATACGGCCACGAAAGCACTCCGTGCATCCTGCAGGTGCGTCTCGCGTACCTGACGAAATACGCCCATTCACAGCCTGCCAGACATCCATATTCTTCTCAACACTGTCTACGCCCCATCAATCCTCAACGCACCAGCATCGACATCCTGGATACCCCTATGCTTGCCCAAGTTCAATCCGTCAGGCTTTGTCAATGCGTATATATCCTTCCTGTCAAGACCGGACAGTCCACCGGCTATTATACCAGTACAACCAAGCGGGAACCCGGAAACCGCTTCTCAGACTGCGTCGATATCGTCCCCCCCTCCATCTTCACAAGCATCGCTACACCCTGATCAAGCCTCGCAAGAGCCTTCGCGGGCACCTACGCCTTCCTCAGCCTCTGTCGACGATGTGTCGCTCTCAGAGAAAGCTACGTACGACGATCCGAATGTCGTGCTGGTTTGTATAAGTGGGGGCGCGGAGTTTGACGTTGTGCGCGGATGGTGCGACTCAGCTTGTGAAGTACGTCCATGTCCTCCACTGTCCCCCGTTGCGCATGACTCATACGTACCCCCCAGCGTCTCGTTGCCGAGGGCTCTCTCTCGTCCCTCATATCTGCCTGCACAACCGATCAACGGACCGAGTACAGCGTCAGCGAACTCGGCATCCCCGGCCTCCGACACTTCATCTACAAGGCCCGCGCTCAAGTCCAAGTGACCATGCCCGCTTTCGAGGACCCCTACGAGGGTGTGGACGAGCGCCGGCGGCTGGTCACTCTATACCAGAAATTGCACGACGCTATCCACGCGCGCTCGGGGCAGGGGGAGACGCTGAAGCTGCAGTATATCAAGACGGAGAAGGAGAGCGTGATGGGTTGGGTGGGTGCTGGGTGGTTGTTCTGTTGGGAGGGTTGGCTGACTAGGCCACGCAGATCACTCAGCCGTTCGAGCTCTACATCGCGCTGTCGCCCTTGCTGCCGAAGACGGCGGTGATCAATGCGGCGAATGCGGTGACGCGGTGGATAAGGAAGGAAGAGACGAAGCTGTTCTTGAGAGATGCGCCTGTGTTCTAGATAGTTGGAATAGATGTGGATGGATTTTTCGACTTATACCGTGCGTGTCTAATGTCACGGCAAGTTACGCATGTCTACTAACTCCTGAAATAGTCATACAGTAGACGTGGACAAGCAAATGATGACTCAAGAGTGCTTTGCCGTCCGAGTTTGCTCTGAAATCCACTTACACCTTGATTTATCGATCGGATACCTCGATTGACACTCGAAAGGGCTACTGTATGGGTTTGGCTTTTGCCTTCAGGTCCTACTCGCCTGGGCTTGAGTGACTGGTGAATAGCTAGCGCACCGTGGGAAAGGCTTCCACGTGCCATTTCGAGTGCTATTGTTATCCGATATGGCAAGTCATTCAATCTTGTCCACCTCCTGTTCAAGTTGACATGCTCTTCCGTGGGACCTTCGTCCATTTCCCAAGCCTTGACTCTCTAGAAATACTGCGCGACCACGTCCTGCGTAAGCCTCAGCCCATTGACAGCTTCCTGAATCCGTCTTGCCAGTCTAATGCGGTACTCACTTCACGATATCAGAGGTCAACGAGGAAGGCTTCATCGCATACATAGGGCATGCGGCCCATGAACAGTCCCTCAGGCTGTTGCACTCTCAGAAAGACCAGCTTGTCAACCTCAAAGACGGCGAATTTCTGCTCCCCGCCTTCAATGACCTGTCAGTAGCCCTTTTAGATGTGATAGTGTTCTAACGCCTGATAAGCGTTCTCAAAGACACCTTCACGCCCCACAGTATCTATACGCCGGCAATGGCTTGGACCTCCCACTCATGGAATGGCTCGACAAGTACACATACAAGGCCGAGGAACGCCTGGACGCTGACCCGAAGCTCGCCCGCGCTGTATACAAGCGCCTAACACAGCGTCTCATTGAATGCGGGACAGGCGCAGCGTTGTTGTTTGGCACGATAAAGGCGGAGACCAAGTCAGCTACGTGGCTGTAAGTAATGCGATACACGAGCTAACAATGCCCACGCCCAGCATTATCCTCGCACAAGCGATGCGCGAAGCGGGCTTGCGGGCCTTCGTAGGCAAGCTCTCCATGGACATCTCCTCACGCAAGACATACGTCGAGGCATCCTCCGACGAAGCCCTCGCCGCCGCGCGCGGGTTCATCGACCGATGCGAGGATATCAACAAGGAAGGGACGGGTCCAAATGTCGCCCCGGTCATTACGCCCCGCTTCGTGCCGACGTGTTCTCCGGTGCTGCTAGATGGGCTCGGCGCGCTGGCGAAAGAGCGCGAGGTTCGAGTGCAGAGCCATCTTGCCGAGGCGCACGACCAGGTCGAGTGGGTGCGGGCTGAGCGGGGCATGGAGGATATCGAAGTGTTCGATAAGGTAACAAACGCGTACATCAAGATGCGTCCGCTGACGTGCCTTTTTAGCATGGCTTATTGACCTCACGAACCGTCCAGGCTCACTGCACGTTCCTCGACCCGCCGGACCTGGATTTGCTGCAGGCGCGCGGCTCAGCCGTCGCCCATTGCCCGCTCAGCAACGCATACTTCTCCGCGCGCCCATTCCGCCTGCGCGAGGCCCTTAACCGCGGTGTGAAGATCGGCCTGGGCAGCGACGTCGCGGGCGGGTACGCGCTTGACCTCATGCACGCCATGCGGCAGGCCGTCATCGTGTCCCGCATGCGTGAGGGTGAGCGCATCATCCAGCAGCAAGACAAGCAAGCCGAAGCTCAAGACCCCAACCTGGCCATCAATTGGAAAGAAGCGTTATACCTCGCGACGCGCGGAGGAGCCATCGCGCTCGACCTGCCGCAGGGCACGGGCTCGTTCGTCGTGGGCGCGCCGTTCGATGTTCAACGAAGTGAGTGGTATTCCAATTATGCGGGCCTAAGGTAGATCTTGATATTGCGTAGTACGGCTATATGACGGGGATAGTGGAGTGGGCGTCGGAGCACTCGACTTCTTCGACCTCGAGCTGGATCCGGCGGCGCCGCGCTTCCTTTCAGAGGAGATGATCGAGAAGTGGTGGTGCCTGGGCGACGCGAGGAATAGGGTAGCCATGTATGTGCAAGGGAGGTCCCTGGTAGCATAGACAAAGAGGCGGAATGCGCCCGCCATTGCTATGGGGATAGCTCCTCTGCCTCTAGCTGCTCCCACGAAGGTAGACAGCATTTGAGGGGTAGCTCTTTCCATAGCTGCTCGCGGTGCTCCTGCACCTCCTGCTGGAACCTCCGCTTGCAGGACGTACATGTCGAGCTGTCCTCGGAGAACTCGGTCACGGCTTGCTTCATGTAGTGGAAAGGGCCGGTTCGCATCGTCCATGAGCGCGATAATCGCGATGCGAGCCTGTTTAGCGCACGTTGACAGACGGTCGATTGGCGGCAGTCTGGCGCTACCGTGTGTTGCGAGCAGAAACGGCGGACGAAGTCTAGGATGATGTCAATCCGGAACTGCAGGATGAGTGCGTACTCCTTGTAGTGGAAGAACTCCGCCGAGGGCTTCGACGGGTGCTCGGCGACCGCCGCGAGCTTTGGGTGCTCTCCGGACATGATGTCGTCGAGGCGGTAGAGTGAGAGGAAGTACAGCGCTGAGGGCAGAACGATGCGCACGTTGACTTCGTGACAGAGGTTGAGGACAAGAAGTGGGTGCGCGTAGGGGTACGAGATGTTGTCGACGATCGGAGCGTGGAGGGCCGTCTCGACCATATCGTCGTGACCCTTCAGTGTGGTGGCCCAGGTTTGGACCAGATGTCGAATGGCGCTAAAGCGCAGGTGCCCGATGAAGTACTTTGTCGCGAGACGAAGTATGCCTGCCAGGTAGAGGAAGTCGGCGACAGAGTCGTTGCCGAAGTGTCTACCGGGGAACATGAGCGCGCGCGTTTGGATGTGGGTGTGCAGAACACGTACGGGCCGTCGTACAACGCCTTGATCAGATGGCCCAGCTCGAGCGGCAAGTCGTGCATGACGACGACCTGGCAACCGTCCAGCATTTCAGCTTCGTACTGCGCCGGCGGGAAGGCGAACATATCTTGAAAGACTTCGGAATGTCGAGCGAGGACGCCTCGGTGGACTTTGAACAGGGTGGGCGTGTCGTGAGTTGCTAGGATAAGGTTGCCGTCCTCGAAATATGGCTGCACGATGTTTTGAGCTGTGGTCCATCTCAAGCTATTCACCACGTACCTCCCCCTTCGTGAAGATCCCACTGAGAAGACGCGATTCAACATCGGACATGGCGTTGGGAGATACACGTGAGCGCGTCGCTGTTCGTGCGTGCAATTTCGTTCTTCTGTCTCGGTAGATGTAAGGCACCAAGGCAGTCCTTGACGCAAAGAGGGTGCCAGTAGCTCGTAAATGGCAAAAGACGGGGAGGATGTCGAGGATGATGGTGGTTGCGGATAAGCCGACAAGAACAATGGACGCATCTGTTTGTGTCCATATCTGGCATCACTACTTCCTCGGTGCGTCATTAACCATAGAAGCATCAATCAGAATGTTGTGATATACAGACCCTACATAGTGAGTCATGGAGGTTACAATTGGGTATTCTGAGTGTCTATCCTGACCCTTGGTCTTCGGATGCTCGCCATGCATACGATATAGCGTGCGCAATTTCAACGGCATTCGTCGCCTCGAGTCGGGATGGCGGTTACATCAGCTCGACCTACATTTCGAGATCAGAATGATCCCGCTTTGAAGGCAAGATTCGACTCACGTAGTTGCTCGGGAATATACCCTTGCGTCCTTTCGCATCAAAGCCTGAAGACGAGGCTCAGTACTATGCAGCGACAAAGGCCCGGAATCCCAGTTACCTTCCCACCATCCGTCACCGTAGTTCTGACCGCCGGATGGTCCGCTAGAGAGCTCGTAAAGCTCGCCGTCCTCGAGCGGAAGCTCGTCCGAGCCGCCAGCCTGATAATCGTAGATGGCTCGGACTGAGCAACGCATGAGATACAGACCGTAGTGGCGAAGCAAGGGCAAAATTCACTGACCATATTTGCCGGACCCGTAATGCTGCTGAGCGGCAGGCGTCGCCACCTCCTCCTCCTCGGCCGCCTCGATATAAGAAGCCGGCACAAGGCCCGACTTCCCGCTCCCATCCGCAACCTTGACCCATCCAGACCCATCATCCGGCTCTACGACGCTAACCAAGGTCCCCTCTGTCAGGTCATAAGCAAGGAACGAACGTACCATCGCCAAACACTAGCACTTACCCCTCACAGCCAACTCAAACTCCGAGGAGGGCGTGAAGTCGAACACGACGCGCGCGGTGGGGTACGACTCCTCGTACGTCTCTTCCGTCCGCACGAATGAAGACGGAGACTCGGGTGGTGGCACTGATAGTGATAGATGACATCGCTATGAGTGCGCGACAGGCCATATTAGGGCGAATACGTACTCTTGCTCGCCCGCGATGCCACACTGGTGCGCGATGAGGCGCTGGCCTGGGACGACGACGTCGGGGAGCGACCCAGGGTGGATTGCCGGGCGCCTTTGGACCCGGAACAGTCCGAGGGTACCTGTGTCGCAGATGAGCGTATGTCAGGCTAAGCCGGCCAACAATCATACCTTCAATTCGCACTTAGCGTGTACCGACAAGCCGCACGCCTTGCACGTCTTCCCTTGCTTGCTAAGACCCCAAATAGACGACTGCAATTCGGGAATCAGTGAGAAGGGATGACGACAACAGAAGAGTGCTCTATACCCACCTTGCAATAGCCGCACTGAGTTGGAATAGAGAATGACGAGCTCTTGAACGTGTGAGGTTGCATAGCGCCAGTATCGTCTGCCCGCGTCATTAACTTCGACGACACAGAGTTATGTCACACACGTACTCCCGACGGCGGCGACAATTGTGTCCACCTCAGTATTAAGGATCGCCTGCGATGTCGAGAAGAACACGAGCTGATGATAGGCCTCCAAGTAATTCTGAAATGAGAGCGAGGTTTAACAAGACGTAACAAATGCACACTCAAAGAAAGATGAGGACAAAGATAGAGAGAGGGATGCTGAGACGCATATGAAGAGGAAACACGTACATCAGATATATCATCGATATTACCCAGCGAATGATCAGCGCTATACGCGCCGACCAGGTCGCGCAGTTTCTGCGCCTCCCGGCGCTTCGCGTCCACGACCGCGTCCACCTCCGCCAGCTTGCCGCGGCTGCGCACGAGCTTGTTCTGCAGGTATATCTTGGGCTGCTCCTCCACGCTCATCTCGTCCTGCCAAACCCATGTGAGCTCAAAGACCCATGCGAGCGCTAACCGCGACACCCCACGCCGGTACCGAGCGCCCATCACGCGCGGGGCGTGTCTGCAGCTTTACAGGCGCACTACTTACCGTGTCGTAATAGTTCGTGCACGGCTCGAACTTGAAGTCAGGTGGCGCCGCGAAGGGCCGGATATTATACTCGATGAAGAGCTGCTGGTCCGCGCCTGTGTCCACTGCATTGAACGCGGCCTCGACGGCGCCCACGCGGCCCTTGAGCGTGTCGAGGTGCGCCGATTCGAGCGCCTGCGCGTGCAGCAGTATCTTGGAGAAGCGCTGCACCAGGCGCGTTAGCAGCCCTTCTGTTGGGGAGTGAGCCGAGGGTGCTGGGCGCCTGTCGAGCGGTGGACCTACGGAAGACCTGTGGAAGTTGATTAGCGGTGAATGGGATGACGATGAGCGGCGAAGGGGGGTGCGTTTGGTGGAGACTCACGTCTTCGAGGCTGGGCAGATCTTCTTCGAAGAATTTGGCCTTTGCTCTGTTGGCCACGGCGGTTGCGATCAGGTAATTGCTGGGCAGCGTTAGCGTTTGGGGTGGTGTCAATATATCTAGCCGCCCCTACTTCTTGCTGTTCAGCATGTCCACGCGCTGCTGGTCCGCTTGTCGTGCGGCCCGCTCTGCATGCTTGTCGTCTTGTGCACGACCCTGCAGTCACATCAGTTTTGCTTCCTCCAATGCCAATAATCATAGTTCACCTGCTTCTGCCTGTGAACGTCGACTTCCCCGCATTCTTCGTCGTACTTCGATAACAATGAGAACGAGAAACACCCCGGTAACGCGATCTCATACCTTGTTCTTGTTCTAAGACAACACAGCGATGAGCGAGCGTCAACTAGTCTTGTACCTTCATTCTTACCTTGATCCTGTCGTTGTAGGTGCGGTCTCTGTCAGCCAAAAGTTTCTGGTAAAACGCCATTTCCTGTTGGGTTCCAATGAGAATCAGTGGCGTACTGAATGGGAGGAGCCAGTCTTACCTTCTTCATGCTCTCCTCGTTCTTGCGCTCAAGGCCCTTGAGCACCTCAATGACCTGCGTGGACACCGCGTCTGCGATGTTGACATGATCCTGCGCGGCATCCGTCAACGACTTGATGAGAGCATCGTAAGCCGTGTTCAGCGTGCTTCATCCGGCAGGCGTTAGAGGCTGATCTCCGTCATGCGGTCGATGAGGGCTATACCTTTGGCGCATCGTTCGCTCATCCCAGGCCTTGGTGGGATCATCCCCGATGACAACAGCTGTCTCCGTTTTGGCCTTCTTGTCCGCGGCTTTCTTCGTGAGGACCTGCAGCTTTGCGGCATAGTCACGCTCGAGTGCGACACGTTCCTTGTATAGTTCGCGAACCTAGCAGGGTGGCGTGTTAGGCCACGATCCAGGTGATATCTGTCGTCCTCACATCGTCCACGAGTATCAGGTGCGAATTAAACAATCCCGATATCCGCTCGACTTGGTCCTGAGTTGTGGGTGTAAGTCACGGGATGTCGAACATTATCGGAGACGGATCTCAACTGGAAGAGACTGTCCGAAGCTCGCCATCCTTGCTCAGTAGACACACAATTATCTCGTTACTGTTCCTCTTGGTCTCGATGCCCAAGGTGAGGCCACAAACTCGAGGCTGGTTGGCAGTTGGAGGACGGCGGCGTCGAGCGCACAGCCCCGGCGATGCGATTGGTTGCCGTGCGAGGTCCGGCCTTGGGCACGTGATTTGCATGCCCCTTGCCTAATCGGGAAGGTATTCGTCACCGAATCGAACGCTCTCCAACCCTCATTTTTTCCGCCTCAAAGCAACCTCCGATTTTTCCACTTGTCATCTGAGGATGGGGCTCTTACGACAGAAATTCCTCGACTCTGACATGCGCCAAGTGGACCGAGAGCGTTTGGCAAGGATCACATCGTGTGTTCAACGAGGCGAAATTTTACTGAAAGCCGACCTCGCCGTCGGGATTCGGTGTGAATTCGGGTACGGCAGCGGTAGGCGGCGCGGCATCGAAGGTCAGCGAAGGGCTGGTGGTAGCGCTGGACGAGCGTGCTATACGAGCGAGAGCAATATGCAGCATTGCGAGCGAGCCTTCGTCTCTTCCCTTCTCTTCCCCGCAATTGCTCATAACCTCCTTGGCTGCGCCTACAATGAAAATTCTCATCGGTGAGGCCTCTGTGCGCTCATCGTCCACATGGACTCGCAGGTACCCAAGCTCCGCTCGTTCCCGCAAGCGCCGCATCTTGTCAGAATTGTACCCTCATTCGCAGAAATGCCCTCTACCCTGCTCGACATGCCGACCTCTGTATGTCGTGCAACAAGGCGTGAGTCATTTATGATTCATTTCCGTCCGCCTTGTGTGCGCCGCGAGTTATTGACGAATGCCGTCCGCAGTTTTTCTTACGCAACCAATTGCATGGTTCAATTGACATCTGCTGAGGATGCCACCAGAATGCCGCTCCTCGCCCCCCTTCCAGCTTTGCAGTCAGGCAATTTTACGCCATCTCACGAGCACGCTCGTCCTTGAGCGCTTCTCCGGTCGTACACCCACCGACGAGGCCCGGAGCCTTGGCCTCCCGTGGGCCCTCAGCGTCTAGCATACTCTACGACGTGGTAGGCCTCGGCTATTGACCACTCCGAGTAAGCATTTAGGACCACCCTTTGCAATACTTTAAAGGGTACTGAAAACTTATAGCCAAGTCAGGTCCGGGCAGTAGCCGCGTGCTACCACGCCGCCACCCGAGACAAGATCGGGACGGAATCTACGCGCTTATTCTGTTTCCGTGTCACAGAATCACGTCTATTCCGCGTTGTCTTCGGCAGGGCGGTGCACCTTTACTGCACACTGTCACTCTCGAGCCGCGGATGTGAACGCGCCACCCCCTGATTAGATGTGATAAGATCACATGGGGGGCCTCGGATTCACCACCACCTTCATCCCTTTCGGGCAACACGCGGGCGAAAGCAAGGTCAATATGCGCTCCGGACATATTCGGGCGTTCCTAAAGCCCCCCAGGCGCGCAGCTCCCACCACCCACCGGTCACACTCAATTTTCGGTCCCGCGCGGAACGTACCTTATTCCTCTCTTGCACCCCCGGATGCCCCTCCATGCGGTCTGTCGCCCTTTGTCCCCCAAGCCAATACCTCATTCCGCGCTCAAGGCCCGGGCCTTCTGTGACGATCTGCATCTCGGAGTCCGCCTCGGAGCACGCCCGCACCCTCTTTTCGCGCGCGGTCCCCCAGATCTCGACGAATGCAGCCTTGCTGGCGGTGGCTGTTCGTCGCCAGGGGTCATTACTTCTGCGTGGCCTCGCGCTTAGCGCGCGGTACGTTAAAATTTAATCGGAATGCCGTTCGCGTATAAAAGGGTGGGCGAACAGGCCAGTCTACCTCGCCGAGTTGCCTCCCACTCCCGCACCCCTACCACCTGCTGTTCGCCCGGTTCTCGCAGATCATCCTCTCGACTCTTAATCTCGACTCTATCTTCTGCACTTCACACATTACCCCGGCGACAACAATGGCCATGACCCGCGCTATCCTCTTCCTCGTCTCCTTCTTCGCCTTCCTGGCGGTCTCCTTCGGCGCTCCCATCGCGGAGGCGTCCGAGGTCGACAAGCGCATCGTGCACCACAAGGGCAGGGTGAGTATCTTGTCTGAAACCGCTATCCCTCGTCGTACTAACAATCCCCTCAGCTCACCTGGTACACCCCGGGTCTGGGTAACTGCGGCAACTACGACACCGAGAGCGACATGGTCATCGCCATCTCGAAGGACCGCTATGAGTACGTTCATCTCCGCCTTTGTTCCCCTGCATCAGCGCTAACATGCATTCCAGCAACAACAACGGCGGCAACTGCAACCAATGGATCAAGATCAAGAACACCGCCAACGGCAAGATGGCCACCGGGCAGGTCCGCGACAGCTGCCCCGGCTGCGGCTACGACGACCTTGGTACGTGTTCCCGCCTTCTAGCTTCTTACGCTCGGCGCTTACCCTCTCGCAGACCTCTCGCCCGCCCTCTTCCAGGCGCTCGGCAGCCTCGACGACGGCGTTCTCCAGTCCTCGTGGCACTTCCTCAACTAAGCGCGTCCGCGCGCTCGCCGGCCCACAACCTGACCGCTCGCGCCCGGTGCGCAGGCGCCGCGGTACTGCGCCGGTGCCCACTCGTTCACGCGATGCCCCCCGCTCGCTCGTTTGACCTCTGGGCATCCACCTCCGACAACCTATAGAATTTGTATCAAAGAAGAAATGGTCCTGGGTCTCTGGTGGGCCCCTGTTGTATCGATATCTCATGCTGTCCTCTCCCTCTGACCGGCGTCATCTACCTCTTACGGGCTGTCCTTTACCTTATACGAGCTGTCCTTTACTTATATGGTTTCCTTATCCCGTGTACTTCCTTATACTTCGCGTTGTACGTACGGGCGGCGGCTTCGACAGCCGCTGGGCAGTTTTACGCACATATCGATGACCGGCACGTCGAGATGTCAATGGGCTCATACATAACATAGAGTATGCTGTATTCGTTTGGGTCTTACGTGTATCAAAAAGTCTTTCGTCTTCATTCCGGCGCGATCGTGTCTTCACTTGCAAGTTCGGTCTAATCGCGACCCGTCCTTTGCGCGATTACGAGCCAGGCTCGTCGCTTGAGGGCTCGCGGACAGCTCTTGGACTGCATCTATCATGTCGAAGACTGATGGGGAGGATAGGGAGGAGCCTAGTGCTCGAGGTCGCGGGGTCGGCAGGCAGGCAGCGCTGAGGCGGCAGGCGCGAGGGCGGCGGCTTCGACTTGCGCGTGCCCAACGCGCGCGAGCGTGAGTTGCGTGGGAATCCACGTGACAAACGCCCTCAGGCGCCTACAACTTATTCGCCAAATGCTCGGGGGTGGAGCCTACTGCGCTATAGGCTTCTACTGCAGCAGTCGCAAGCGTAGTCCTCTCCTTAACACACTCTGTACCTGCATCTCTGCAAATACGAACAGGGTAAACAAGTACAGGCGCTTGGAAGTAGCAGAACTCGATTCGTCCCCGCCAAGGGTGACTGCTTGCAGTGCGGCAACGGCGAGATGATCAACACCGGCACCTTCCAAAACTAGATGCATTGCATTCCGAATCGTCCTACTAGTACTATACATGAAGTGGTTAAGTGTTCTTGGTTAGCTATGGAGACCAGACAAATGTCACTGGGTCGTAGATGATATGCCTAGTCGTAAAACATGACGATGCGCGTGGTTAGTACGCGCATACACTAATGGTGTTGTAGATGAGTTATCGTAGATGGGTGGACATGCGGACGTTAGTCCGGAGAGAGCAAAGCGGTTCCACGAAGGAAACAACGTATGCCGTGCAAGAAAGCAACGTAGGCCCACGCAGTGAAGGGGGGGCTACATTGCGGGCAAGCAACGAGCTTGCGGAGAAAAGTAACATGAGCTCGTGCATGAAGCAACGTAGGCTCGGCGCCTATTCATTGCGGATAGTAGATTGTCGATGGGAGAGCGTGTGTCGTGAGCGCATAACAATCGACTTGTCCTCGTTAGAAGACAAGGGCGAACAGGATGGTCGCAGCGCACAGCGAGGACGCCGTGGACGTGCTACCGGGCAACATTCGCAACGCGCCATTGGAGGGCTCGGAGTCCGCTGCCGCGGAGGTTCCACTCGCATTGGCAGAACTTGAGGACTCTGAAGACGACGAAGATGCGGCGGAGGACGCTGAGGTTGACGAGGGCGAGGAAGACTCGGTCGTCGTAACGTCGGACTGGGTGACAGTCTCGGCGGTGGTGGCTTGGGCAACTGACGTCTCCGTCACGATAGTGCCGGAGGGAATGTTCGCAGCAGAGGAGAGCGACTTCGTGCCAGTGATGGGGATGGGCGTCGAGATGATGCTCGTCAGAGCAGTGACTTCGTCCGATGCAGTCGTCTCCCTGGCCTCATTCGCGGTCGTAGTGGGCGCAACAGACGAGCTGCCGGGCGAGAAACCACCAGTGATCGTGAACTTGGGACTCGAGTTGCCGGAGTCACCGAAGACTGATAATCTGTCAGTATACGTCCAGGACCACATACAAAAGCACCACTCACGAACGATGATATAGTCCGAGCGCTCCTCCACATCCGGTACCGTGACGTTGTACGACCCCAGCGTGATGGAGAAGCCCTGCGCCAGTGGGTTATCTGCAAGCTTCGATCAGCCACCTGATGCAGTATGCATGCGCTGGCAAGGCCCCATGGGAGCGTGCAGGCGGGCAGTACGCACCATACTGAAGGTGCATGCTATCCTCGGTCTGGTACCCCAGCACAATCTTCCCCTCCTTGTTCGTTATCTGCGACTCAGGAGGCAGGTCCGACGTATCCCTGCGCAGGACGTTTAACATACTGCACGACCTTCAACACAGCTCGGACCACGCACCAAGTGACCGTCACCGTCTCCCCAACGTTCCATGTCGTCGACGCATTCGGGGACGTGATGGGAGGCGCGACGACGTCGCGTCCCGTGAGTTGAACCGCCGCGAGTGGCGCCATGAGCATGGGCGCCGCGCGAACGCTCACGACGAGCGCAGAGACGGCCGAAAGAACAGTCGTGAAGGCGTACATGGTGAGGAAACGTCGTAAGATGGGAACAACGACGTGGACTGACGAACGCGGGAGGCAAGCCGTCGAGCGATTCCCATGTCCGCGGCCACTTTATATTGATTGACGGAGCCCCACGTGCTGATGTCAATTAAGGGCCCCGGCCCGCAGCACTTCCCACGGTTGAACTTCGTCGGCGTGCACGCAGAAGTATGGCACAATGACAAATTGGGAGGCGTACAGGGACATTGAAAGTGATTTGAGACTGATACAGACGAGGGTATTATTATGACAGTATCGGTAGAGTAGAAAGTCCGTACTAGGTAGCGAGAAGTCCATGGTACAGCGTGAAGTCCGAACGTGGCATGCAACAGAAGATTATGGTAGGGGAGTGTCCGTATGGCACCGAGAGTCGTTGATATTGTACAGGGACTTATGTGTGGATCTTGAACTTGGGGCTCCAGTTACCCGAGTCGCCCATCACTGTCAGAGAGTAAGTTTCAATGGAATAGGCATAGAGATGGTAACGCACAAACAAGCTGGTAGTCGCTGCCAGGAGCGACGGAGGGCACCTTGACAACTTGGTGACCCTTGAGGATGTCGAAGTTCTCAGCGAGAGGATGACCTGGAGGATTGTAAGTTAGGTGCTTCTAATAGTGGTAGATATTGGCACTCACCGAGGTCGATCTTGCCGGCGTGACGTAGGTAGATATACCCCACCTTGTTGGTGATACGCTCAGGAGGGGAAGAAGCATCCCTAGCGACGCGTCAACGATGAACCACGCGCGGTCGGAGGGGCAACATACCAGGTCACATTGTGATATTCGCTGTGAAGAGCGTCAGAAGCGAGGATGGAGCAGAATAACACGGTGTACTCACCCGACTTTCCAGACAGTCTTTGCATGGGGGTACGTGATAGGGGGAACATAGACTTCCGCGGGTGCGGCAAGGCACACGGAGGTTAACGAGAACAGAGCGAGGACGAGGGAGAACAGCGTGGCGAGCATAGCGTTCATGATGACGGCGGGAAGAGAAAAGTGCGGAGGAAGTATGCACAGAAGCGTCGACTCGGAGAAGAAGAGAAGATGAGAGGGGGGATACTGAGGAAGAACAGCGATACGCGCCTGCTTTTATACGAAGGACTAGTACGAAAATAAACGGGGATTCGGAACGCGATGCCCGTTCATCTCGGCAGCACTTCAGGGGCTGGGCAAGGACGCGCAAGCTCAAGCTTCACTCCCAGCCCATCGAGCAGCCACAACGCGCCGCGAGGACAGCATGACGCGACGCGTCCGCGCCCCTCGCGGTCGTGTGGCCAGCTGCCGCCGGTAAAGCACGGTGGGATTTGCGCGAAGGCGCCGCACGCAGAGGCTGCACACCTCCATGTCTGTCCAAATGTCAGGCCCCGAGGACAGGCTGAAGACAGAGGAAGAAGCGCACGGGAGGGCTAGCCCGCGCGCTGCTCTCCGCGCGGCAGAGCGCGGGTATTATGCGCGGGCAAGGCGTCAGGCGTGCGGATGGAAGGCAGGGAGGGCGGTGGTGTGAAGATCCCTAGGCGTATTGGGTGAATGGCGATGCGACTCTTGCTCGGCAGCTCCGTCTCGTGGGACGCATCCCCGCATTCCCCGATAGCAGATGGAGGCACATCTGTGCTGCTGACGCTGATTCTGGCCTCGATCGGAGGTGCGCACGCAAGGTGCGTTGGGTTCTACAGACATGTTTGTCGTATACGCCTGGGAGGACAGATAGCTACCAGTGCTAGTGACGGTAGGAACAAACGGAAGACCTCTTTCCGGACGGCCTAGAAAATCCCGAACCAGACTATGTGTGAGCTAGCGCAGAACAGTGAAATTTTTCATACAAAGGTAGTCAGGGAACTTTCTTCTCCGAAGACCAAGGGCCTCTGCGACAGATGCGCGAGGGAAGAGCGGAGGAGACCCGGGCGACTTGACCTGTGACTTGCGGCCTCGGTGGCAATGGGAGCAGCTATACGCGCGTGCGGCTGACAGCAAATGTACAGGCGCGGCGCGTAACTTGAGCAGGGTATCGCGGAAGTTACAGGCGGCTGGCAGCCACTGCTCCATGGAAAGCCCTGCGAGTCTACCAAGAAAATCTATGGGCGATTTCGAGGCAACATTCCAGGGACAGCGATACGACGAATAGACCTAAGTCACAGCCCTGGTGAGCGCTAAGGTGCGGTTAAGACTCTCGACACCTCGAGGAGATTCAGATGGTAGCAGGAGATCACTTGCTCCTTGCTGCCGTGTCGGCCGACCGGACGTGACACGCAGCTGTGACATGTCGCGCTAGGGCAGATTCGCGCTTGTCCGCTCCCATCATGTCCTCGGTCGAGAATCTGCTCAAGCGCGCCGCGGAACTCGGAAACGTGCAGACGCACCGGAGCACATACACGCCTACGACTCAGGACGCCGTGATCCTCTCCGAGCAGCTGCGCGAGTTGCAGGAGGCGGAACCTCGAGTGAAGTCGGGCACCTTGCGCAACGCCGTCCACACGCAAATCCAGATCCACAGCGCTCTCCTCGCCCCCATTCGCCGCCTGCCTTTCGAACTTCTGTCGCGCATATTTTGTTGCGCATCTTCGAACGCGTCCTTTGTGGAATGGGAACACTATGATGCGAGGATCGTCCGCACCTTGACGCAAGTATGCTACACATGGCGCGAGGTTGCGACCCAAACCGCTGTTCTCTGGGCACACATTAGGATCTATCCGACGGCGTGGCCCAGTCTCCACCGATTCAGACGCAAGCGTGCGACTTTTGAGGACGAACTCTTCACTCGCCTCTCTCGCACCGCGGAATCCCCTCTCCGCGTGGAACTCTTGGCTCATCATGCGGAGGCGATTCGAGAACCATTACTGTCCCTCATCTGCGGTCAGTCGCATCGCTGGGACAAGGCGTCTATCTGCGGAATGATCACCCCAGACTCAGTTGGCCAGCTACGCCGCCCATATCCGATCTTGCGCGAGCTCCGCCTCAATATCTGGTGGGACGAGGAGGACGATACCTTTGACGAGACTATACGGGCCTTCGAGGACGCTCCGAGCCTTCGCAGAGTATACCTCGCGTGTTCCAACAACATCCCTCTTCTCCAGTTCCCTCCTTCCTGGACGCAGATTACCCACCTCGAGATCGACCGCACCATCGAGAACGAGGGGAGTGCGCCATTTGCACCCTGTATACCCGCACTTGCTGCTTGCGCTGGCACGCTCCGGTGGTGCAAACTATTCGCATGCAAGTTCTTCGGATTGGAAAGTCAGTCCTACAACAACATTCACTTTCCTGTCCTCGAGGACCTCTTCCTGCGTGGGAACTGCGTCAAGCTCTGTCGCATGATCAGCGCGCCGAAGCTGCGGACCATCGAGCTCAAGGAGACGTATTCCAACAGCAAGCTTGCGCACGTTCGCGGCTTCCTTGAAAGGTCGGGCGGCTGCACCGAGCTGCGCTCGGTCAGTCTGATACATCTCGACGAGGACGTGCACACAGTACTGGATTGCGTGCGCTCATTGCCGCCGTCTGTGCAGAGCCTCGTCGTCAAGACGGAGGGAGGCGAATCCTTGGGCCCGCTCGTCACGATCGAGCTCGTTCAGCTGCTGACACGTGCTGGGCCGTACGATGGCAGTTTGCGAGTTCTCCCGGGGCTTCAACATCTGGAGTTGGACACGGTGGATGATGATAATGAAGATAATTTCGGGGATGGCTTTCAAGCAGCTGTGCTAGAGATGCGCGCTTCGCGGATGTTGTCCGGTTGGACACTCAATGACGGAACGAGACTCGAGACTCTGATGACCTTCGTATACGACAACGCGTACCATGTACGGGACGGCCAGCTACTGTCTAAGCCGGTGCACAGAAGTTTTTTTGGGACATATACATTGACTCACGATACGTAGCATGAGTGAATATGAATCTTGACATAGAAATGCGCATCGGGCTGTGTTTGTACGGTTATAACCAGTCAACTTGCCATTGTTCCAAATGCGGACATCAACGTTATGTCACATGACCATTGCAGAAAGTTCGGCGCCTCAATCACTTTTGTTCTGACCGCCATTGACAACCACCATCATCGAGGTCACTGGAGAAAGCTGCATTGCTAGTTATGGTGCATACTCAGCATACTCAACCTCCGGCTCCACCATCGTCCTCTCCGCTCGACACGAACGGCATTTCCAAGTTGTACGCACTTCATTCGAGCTCGCATTCACTACTGACCCATTGACGCAGAGAATCTGCCACCGAAGACCTGCGAACATACGAAAACCATGACTTCTTGTACCTGCATAGGACCTACTACGCGCCAAGTCCATGGGAAGCGTCTGCCATCGCAAAACGCGTGCGCGAGCTCGAGGCCATCAACGCAGAGCTTGCGAGCGAACATTCCCAGCCCCCGCTACGTCAACACGAGCTTCGTCGGGAAGTGGCACTCGGAAACGCCCTTCTCTCTCCCTGTCGTCGCTTGCCGTCAGAGCTGTGGTCGGAGATATTCTGCCAGGCCAAGCTTTTCTTCCCTGAGAACTACGATATTGACGACAAGCGGTTCCCTTTCACTCGACTTTGTCACCTTTGGCGCTCGATTTCGCACGAGACGCCGGAACTCTGGTCGGACATCTGCATCACGCTCGGCCTCGGCTGTCCAGATGCAGGATTCGAGGAGCGTGCGTACGCCAACCTAGCGAGAGCGGGTCAGAGCCTGATTGCGGTCACGATTGTCCTGGAAGGAGACGACGTGCACCCTTATTTCCTCACAGGGAGAGGCAGGAAGCTGTGGGCCGCTATTTGCGACCTGTCTTCTCGGTGGAAGAGTGCATATCTCGACAACATGCCGTTGAGCGCTTACAAAATGCTCTTTCGCCGCTCGTTTCCTTCCCTCCAAGAACTCAGAGTCAGCACGAACAACGAGGATCTATCAAGAAGAAACGAGGAAAAGCAGCTCCTCGCCTTCGCGAACGCACCCAACCTCCGTGCCGTAGACGCCGAGACGATATACGTGCTGCGCGACTTCAAGACACCGTCGTCCTGGCGTCTGACCCATCTGTTCATTACGTATGATGAATTAGTGGTGGGCAAAGATGGTCACCTCTTCTCAGCGGTCATGAGCCTGAGCCAGACCCTCCAAGAGTGCTCGGTGAACGGGCATACACCGGTCGTCCTGTCGCCCGCACAGCCCATCACGACTTTCCCCTGCCTGCAGAAAATCTCGCTCGAAAGCGGCGGACTCCACTTCTTGTCCCTCATTAGCGCGCCGAAGCTGCAGCGTCTGGTGCTCTCGGACGACGTCGCCCGGCAATGTATCAGCGTCGCCGACATCCTCGAGAAGCTTCTGGACCGGTCCTCTGGCTGCCCCGAACTTCGCTACCTCTCACTCAGAGCAATCCGAGTGGACGACATGTTGCCCATCATGCGTCGTCTCCCGCATCTAACGGGCTTCGAGTTGGAGGACAAGGGTCGGCCATATGGAAGGCCACCGCTCGAGTTTTACCTCTTCGTGAAGGAGCTGACGCGCACTAGTCGGCGGCCTGCGTCCTTGGAGCTTCTTCCCAACCTCACACATTTGGTGATCAAGGATGGACGCCGCCCTGACAAGCGCTGTCATGCAATGATTGGGAAGGCGATTGAGTCCAGATCAACGCGCAGACCACGCATGCTCAACGGCCAGCCGCTTGCTTGTCTCCGATAGTCAGGAAGGCGCGTTATACTGGCTTGTGTTGCCCGGGGACCAAAACTATCAGCGTATACTTTACCCATAGGTCCTTTGTGAAACGCACATCCATCATGGCAGAGCATTTGCCTTCTTCATCTAGTCAACTCAAACGCTCGTAATCACTAGGGAAGGTTTGGGACCCTACGAGGGTTGCACACGCTGCTTGTGACTCAAGTTTATCTCAGCTATTGCATGGTCTGTTGCCGCAGAGGATTCATGTGTCGCCGAGATCTTGTGGCGTGAAAGTACTATGTGACTGATAGACAAAGGGGTGGGCGTGATGCCCGACGCCATATTCGGTAGGTACTCCGCGGATTCCGTACGTAGCATCAGGTCTAAGTTCTAATGGTTTCCAGGATGACAGGCCACAAACCTGGCGAGCAAGGTGACAACGATTAGAATTGAATTGTTGAACATTGATATTAGTCACGTTTCAGTCACGTGGAACTTCGCTTATTGCCGGCGAATCTCAGTCTTGACCTTCGACCACCAACATCGTCTGTCGACCTGCGATACTCGAAGCGGACTATGAACAAGCACTACAAGAAGCAGCTAGATGGCGTCGACAAACTGCATGGCTCAAGTGGCCGAGGCAAGCAGATTGAAAGCCGAGTCGTCAAGTCAACTCGGAAACCTTCGATGCCCAAAGTTGCAAACAACTTGAAGAGAAAGGCGCGTCGCGCAAACTTATGAATACCAGCGTAACTCTGACTGTCATATTACTACAGCGCGCCCACGACGACGAACAAGTTCCGGAAACTGAGCCCCCCATTCGCCGAAGGTCCGCGCGACTTGCTGCTCGTGCGAATGTTCCCGTGCATCGGCTGCCTCCAGAGATCCTTGGGGAGATATTTTTGCACTTCTGCCAGCTGGTCCTCCAAAGCCCGTACTTTCCCGACCCCATCCCAACGCTAGACACGACCATCACTTGCGTCTGTAGGCGGTGGCGCCAGATCGCGTACGGGACTCCTCAGCTCTGGAGATACATCGCCTCCCCGACACGGCGTATCAAGGCATACCTGGAACGCTACGTGCCTCTCGCCAAAGGGTGCCCCCTTTTTGCGCAAGGGCCTGACGTCTCCACTGCCTTTCTGACCTTCATGAAGGAGATCCGCCCTCATGCATTTCAACTCGATTCAGTGATCCTAATGGGGATGTATGAAGACTTCGAGCGGCTGATGCCTTTCGATATGATCAACCTCAAATATGTGCGCGTCAGACCCTGCCTCGGTCGCGCTCGACCCGGACGCGTATACCCCCTGGCCTTCATCAAGGATACTTCGCGGATAGAGTCGCTTCACCTCGATCTTTTCGACGTGTATGATTCCGTGATTTCGATCCCCCCGATGGCCTCCTTAACGACCCTTAACATGAGCATTTCCCTCGGGAATGTATCCAACACCCTCATCCCCCTCCGGCAATGCCACCAGACGCTGATCACGCTCAGATTAACCTTCTACAGTCCCGAGGGCCCGGGCGATATCGCAGCACCATACGAACCACTTGAGTTTCCAGCGCTTCGAAAAATGCACCTCGAGTATAATTCTGGTGGCCTGTTGCAGTACGTCGCGGCGCCGAGCCTCGAGCAGCTGATCATCGATGGCCCCGCTGCAAACATCCCGGCACTGCTACTAGGGTATCTGCGCCGCACGCCATCAACAACCACGCATCTGCGCCTGCTCGACGTGCGCACCGTCCACGTAGAAGAGTGGGATCGTGGCCCAGCGCACGAAGTACTTGCAGAGTGCTTCGTTGTCCTCGAAGGCCTGGAAACCCTTCGTTTCTCGTCCTATATGCCGCCCAGACGGCTCTTCCAGCGCCTCATGGGCGATACGGACGCATTACCTCTTCTACCGAAGCTCAAGCTTGGGGTCATTGGTGGGGCCCCTCTTGATCAGGACAAGCAACCGAGAGCGTACAAGGAATTCGTGCGTTCTCGCGCCTCGCCCAGGTCGGTGGGTGGGATTATAGTGCCGGCGGCGCAGATCAAGGAAAGGTACCGACTCCCGGGTAAGCTTGACAATGATTGTCCTCCTTGGAGCTTCGGGTGACAGTGTCACCAGTCGATGAGTTTTAATGACGTCCAGAGTGTACTCTCCGTAATGTTTCTTTAATCTTGTACCTAGACACCATTCAACCTAAAGCAATTGACCTCTTCATCCGTTCTTTGATCATGAACGCTCGTAATCAATAATGCTAGAATCCGTACAGGGTATGACGACAACATCGCGCGGAAATTCACTAGTGCTACTTGCGTCCGTCCTCCCGACCATGCACGCACAAAGGGGCATTTGCTGGCGTATAAGAGGCATGTCGAGGCGTTACGACTTGCGCATCAACGCGGTCCGCTTCAAGCATCGATGAGCTTCTCCTCTTCCGCCGGCGCCTCCTCGGGCGCCTTCTCCTTCCGCGCGCCCTTGCGCGAGTAGTACTCCGCGATGATCTTAGGGTTGATGCGGTTGAGCTGCTCTTTGGGGAAGATGCGCAGGAGGGACCAGGCGAGGTCAAGGGACTCGAAGATTGTCCGAGACTCGTAGGCGCCTAACGAGGAACGGTAAGCTCAAGATGCGGATGGGCAGGCGGATAACATACCCTGCCCAACGAAGTTGCGCTCGAACTTGTCGAGGAACTCGAGCGCGAGCTTGTCCTCCGACGACAACGCCTCTTCACCGACGACGGCCTTCATGGCTGCTGCATCACGGCCGATGGCGTATTTCGCGTACAGCTGGTTGGACACATCGCCATGGTCGCCGCGGGTGAGCTTCTCGCCGATGGCGCTCTTCATCAAACGGCTGAGACTGGGCAGGACGTTGATGGGCGGGTAGATCTGTCGGTTGTGCAGCTGGCGATCGACGAAGATCTGGCCCTCCGTGATGTAGCCCGTAAGGTCAGGAATGGGATGCGTGATATCTGCAAAGCGAGTGTCAAGGTCGGGCTACACAAGGTGACAAGTGAGAAAGACGCACCGTCGTTCGGCATGGTCAAGATGGGGATCTGCGTGATAGAGCCGTTGCGGCCCTCAACACGTCCAGCACGCTCGTAGATCGTTGACAAGTCCGTGTACATGTAACCCGGGTAACCTCTGCGACCCGGCACCTCCTCACGCGCAGCGGACACCTCACGCAGCGCGTCGGCGTACGAGGACATGTCGGTGAGGATGGTAAGCACGTGTTTCTCGAGCTGGTACGCGTAGTACTCGGCGGTCGTAAGCGCGAGACGGGGGGTGATGATGCGCTCGATCGTGGGGTCGTTCGCGAGGTTGAGGAAGAGGGTGACACGGTCGAGGGAGCCGTTCGACTCGAAATCCTCCTTGAAGAAGCGCGCGGTCTCCATGTTGACACCCATGGCGGCGAAGACGACGGAGAAGTTGTCTTCGTGGCCATCGTGAATGCCCTTGGAGTTGCCGGGGCGCTTGACGAGGCCGGCTTGACGCACGATTTGCGCGGCAATCTACAGGATGGGTCAGGCAGATGAGTGCAAAAGAGGCAGGGCACGCACCTCGTTATGAGGGAGTCCAGCGGCGGAGAAAATGGGGATCTTCTGTCCACGAGCAATGGAGTTCATCGTGTCAATGGTCGAGATGCCAGTCTGAATCATCTCCTCGGGATAGATGCGAGAGTACGGGTTGATGGGAGAGCCTGGAGTGTATGCACTGTATGAGTACGTGAACACACATACTAGAGATCGACACGCACCGTTAATGTCCAGGTAATCCTCCGCGAACACCTTCGGGCCCTGGTCGATGGGGTTGCCGGAACCGTTGAAGATGCGACCCAACATGTCCTCCGCGACAGGGAGACGCATGCTATGTCCAGTGAACTCAACGTGTGTGGCCTTCACATCGACGCCAGAGGTGCCCTCGAAGACCTGAACGATAGCCTTCTTCCCCTGCACTTCAAGCACTTGTCCGCCGCGCTTGGAGCCATCCGGCAGCGTGAGCTGCACGATCTCATTGTAGGAAGGGAACTAGAGCTTCGTCAGCACACTGTCTACTCTGTAAAGTATACCACGCACCTTGACATTGTCCAGCACAACTAGCGGACTAGGAGGCGTCATACAGTCATTACCACTGAGCGATACCTGCAACTGCCGTTGCACTCACCCGTTGATCGCAGACACGGTCCTGTAGTCTATACAACCCGCCTTCGGTCAGTACATGCGCGGCTTCGCGGGGAATGCATGATCACTGACCGAGATGCGGCTGAACGCGGTACTCCTTGGTGACCGCGGCAGCATTGATCGCTGCCATTTGGGCGTCGCTCATGCGTGGATCCGCGACCATCTTGCTCGGCGTGCTGGTTGGTGAAGGGGGAAGGAAAGGCGTGCACGACGTCGGGAACGACGGCGGGACTCAGGGCGCTCAATGCGCTCGTCATTTCCCACGGCCACAGGCGCTCCACGTGCTCTTGTGGGTCCATGTTTAACTTCAAGTTCAATACAGCATCAAAACTAAGATTACATTGGTTCCACGAGATGTGTACATGAAGCAGGAGCCCCTATGCGCGTATCAAAACCAGCGAGCACTTATCCCTTCAAAGCAGCGATGACCCTCGTCTTCGCATCCTCCAGTAAATTCTTGTCGGGCGATATCCTGTCACGATCTCAGCGCGAGTCATGGGAACATGGATTAACCGGGCCTACCATTCTGTTTCGAGGAGGACTTCTTCTACAGCCTCTTCTCTTCCCTCCAGGTCTACGCCGGGCAAGAGTTGGCACATATACTCTGCTGATGCTGTGCGGATCTAAAGGACGAAAGTCAGCATGTTCAATTGTAAGGCTGTGATTATTGTTACTGACATGAGGGAATTCGTGAGTCAAGAAAAAGGTCAGCGCTTCGACGCAAAGGACATAATCCTCTTGATTCGAGAAGGTCAGCGGCAGCAAATTGACAACGCTACCAGCATTGTGAGTATAACCTCTGATCCCATAGGCCAGTCGCTTACATCTTCATCGACTCCTGGATCCTCTGCACATTCTTCAGCCTGGTGATATTCTTCGTCGCCAGCAAGCGAATGGCCGATAACCTAAGTATCGCTTCAGCTACAATATCTGTAGATCGCGCTGACGCAATGCTCACTGGTTAGACAGGTCCTTGTCGGATAGCGCGTCTTGCAACTTCTCCGAGCTCAGAAGGACGTTCAACGTCTGAAGGACCGGCACAAAGACCATGTTTGACGTGAAGTGCGCCTTCCCGTGGTCGAGCACGTCCTGGAGGAGCTCGTAAAGGCTATACGGAACGCTGTCCTTCGGTGTCACTGGTAGAGATGCAGCGTAGCCAGCCAAGCTTTCGCCCATCGGACGGGTCTGAAGAAAGGTACAACTTCTGAATTGAACCTGAAGAGGTGGGACGCACGATGCTCTCCGAACGACTCCCCACACTGAGTATCATGCCGGACAGTACTTGCTTTCTATACCTCGCCACGTCCAGGAGCGTGGCCGCCTTGGGGAAGAATACTGCGCCATCGCTCCAAGGGACAGGTTCCCTGAACACAATCAGCCTGTAATTGTAACCCAGTAAGTACTCACTCACCCTTGCAAAAACATCCTCCGCATCGCATCCCCGCCCTCGATTGCATATTCCTCATTCGGCGGCGAGATCATCAACAGGCCAAGCATACAAGCGCCAGCCTCCGCCCGGACATTGTCCAGCCGCTCGACGCCCTGCTTGAGGATGCCAGCGACCGCGGCGTGGTACACGTCTGGGCGCAAGTACGAAGGGAGCAGAGCCGGCCTCTGCAGGAGCATGATCGCGCAGTCGCGCAAGCCCTGGATACTGCTGATGCGGATCCACGAGCCCACGTCGCCGCGCTCGTCCATGGTGTAGTCCTCAAGGCCGCGAAGAAGGGCTTGCTCCAGCGCACCGACTTCTTCTGGTGTCAAGACTGATAAACATGTTAGATATGATATGTACGCAGCAATGATGCACGCACGTTCGGGTAATCGATCGACGACAGTGCCGAGCACGCGCGATATCGCCTCGTAGCAGGTCTTGCGAGCCTCGACGTGGAACTTTGCGGGGGACTGGCGGATAGGTAAGGTGTCGGTAAGGGTTTACAATATGTCGAGGCATACACTCGCATCCACACACTCCAGTAGGCACTCCACGACCTCCTTGAGCGCGTTCGCATGCTTATCGTATCGCAGCACGCCCAGCATCTTTCCCAGTGTCGGCCGCGCACTCATTGTCGTCGTCTTCAGGTCCTTGATCAACGTGCTGCAGAGTGTCAGCCCACTGCCCTGCATTTCTTTCGCAACCACAAAGCACCATCCACATGGAAAGCCAAGATGAAAGGAAAATCAAGCACTCATCTCTTGACCGTATTCGAGCAATCCACCAGACCGCTCAACGCCGCCATCGCTGCCGCCGCCTCATCCTGCACCGCCGCGCTCCTGTGACAAAGACCGCCCTCGACGACCTTCCGCCAGTGCGGGACGGCACCCTTGTCCTTCAGCTCGACCTCGGGAAGGGTGAGCGTACTTGCGATGAGCCGGCAGGCTTCGGCGGTTATGAGCTCATTGCGGTGCGCGGTGAGGGTGGCGGGCTTGACGAGGGCGAGGCGGGAGAAGATCTGTGTAGGGCATTCAGGGATTAGAGTCGGTGGGTTTCAACAACATGTGTGGAGGAGATGTACCTCACGAAGACGGCTTTCGAGTTCAGACCCAGAGTAGCGCTCTTTGTACGCTGCGGCTACTTCCGAGAGGGCCAGAAGGCCACCGTGGATATCCGTCCCGTCGACGGCTTGTAAAAGTTTGCTCTGCAATTCAAGCTCATCAGCCAAAATATTCAGCGTAGGCAAAAGGCGCCACTCGCAGCCTTCTCCACCGCCTTTGGTCCCAAAACGTCCAGATCTAACAAACAGAGCAACCTCAGCGACTGCGAGCCCAATCGCCGCATCGACGGGTCCCAGTGCCTGAGCGTGACATCCAGAAGGTGGTCGAAGAGGAAAATGCGGTACTCTGGGTGTCTGCAAGTTTGTGAGCCTTCTGCAACAGGGTGGGATGCAAGGGATCAGGCGCACTCAGCGGTCTCCGGCGCGGCGACCAGAAAGGCGTTCTTTCGCACGCTGACGGCGTAGAAGTCGGTCTTCCGGAGGACGTCGATGCCGTGGGGGAAGAGGCCCTGTAGATCGCGTTTAGCATACGTAAATAGAAATATCAACGTAGACAAAAAGGAAAACACCCACCGTCCTCCCAACAAATTCCTGAAACGCGGCGCTCGCGGCGCGCCGGATGGATATCTCGCGATCGTAGACGGCGACGGTGACGAGACTCCGCGCGAGGGCGAGCGCATGCGGGGCCAGTAAAGCGGCGTCGTGGGCACGAGCGAGCGCCCACAGCACGTATGAAGCCGAGTCGCGGACGTTGGACCCCACAGAGTGCGCGCCTTTACGGAGGTCGAAGTAGAGGGCCTATACGATACACGGTCACCTCTCGTGATATGATTAAATGAGAATCAGTCTTTTCGCACCTTGTCTAGCCAGCCAATGAGCTCTGGCAGCTTGTCCGCGGTCACCAGCCCTCTCCGCGCCATCTCCGCACAGGCGAGGCATGCACCGTGCCAGGTGCCCTCTGCGACCGTCGGTACATCGTATAGACTCGCAGACGCGACGGAGTGGATAGCGAAAAGTCCGAGGACGGTTTCTAGGACCTGTTCGGCGAAATCAATGGGCAAGCGCTCCGCGATGCGGGCGACGCCCTTGGCGGCAGACCAGCGGACCACGGTGTCCTGATGCAATGTGTCGTGAATATCAATGAGTCCAGTCGATAGTAAGAAAGAACGGGACTTGCCTTATCCTGCAAACTCCCAAAAAGCTGCTCAAGCGCTGTCTCCACCTCCTCCGGGACATCGATCTCGGGCTCAGTTTCCTCTTCTACCTGCCCTTCGGCCCCTAGCTGCCTGCCTTCGGGCAAGTCAGGATTGCGCGACTACCAACAAGGTCAACACACGTTCCTTTGCGCCGGGACCGTGGTGGGAGCAAGCGCAGCGCTACGCGCGCGACGAGCTTGGTTTTGTATTTGCGGAGAAGCATGTTCTTGGTGAGAAGCTCGGCTTCGGCGAGGGCGAGGAGTTGGGGTGCGGATTTGCGGATAACTTGCTCGGGACCGGACTTGACGACTTCGCAGATGACTTGTAGAACACCGAGTGACTGACAAGAGGCGGTGAGTCTGGTAGGCGATGATAAAGCAATTCAACCTACTGTAAAAACGTCGTCAGAGTTGACTGCGTCAGTGGCACTCGTGAGGAAGGGATCGAAGCGATGTAACATGTCCCGTCTAGCAATGACTGTGAATGGCCGCTTTCGGACATACGCACATCTTTGCTAACCTCATGTATAGTCGAGCAAGAAGGGAAGCAGCGCCCTCTCGTTCGAGTCCTGCGCGATCGACATATTTCTTGCCCAAGGTATCTAACAAGTCTGCGGTCCTTCCGACCTGGCCTTCCTCGTCAAACTGAGCCAGATCGAACGGGATCATGCAGATCAGCGACAACCAGAGGAGCACGACGTATCGCAGAGCCCATTGAGCCGAGTCTTGTGTCGGACTGCCTTCCCGTGTCATGTAGTCGATGGCTATCGCAAGGTCAGGCACTTCGTGAGGGAAGAATCTTGCTATGAAGGGCCATTTGGGTCAGATAAATCGAGCGAGGGCCGAGTCGACCTACTTATGGTTTTCGAGCCGCGGAATTTGACATAATGATAGAGAAGCGAGGAAAGACGGAAGATCCTGGTCGTAGATTTGGCCGCCGGAGTCCGTGCGTGCGCCTTGATGGCGTCCACCACTGGGCTAACGAGGTCCGAGAGGAAAGGATCAGCAAGGTAAGGCTGCTCTTGATATTCATCCAGCTGTTGCGCGTGTGACATATTCATCTTGAGTAGGAGAGCGAGGAGCTTACTATGGCAAGCAGCTTTCCAAGCATGCGACCCTCCTTCATCTCTTCTTCCGGAGTTGGGTCGGCATTGGGATCTAAAGCCAACAACTCCGCCTGGGTCTTGGAGAACTCATCATACTTGCCAAAGTTAGCGTATACTTTGCTATCGGCTACCTCTTCAGACATGGGGTCAGCGCAATGGATCTGCGGTGCAAGTCTGGATCGACTTGAGCGTGCAAGTTCAAGTCCGATTTAGCCTTTGCCCATGGGAATTCAACCACGTGGATTGAATGCACGTGTCTGATCAACAATCCTCGAACAAAACAATGGTCAATAGACGCCCGCTGCCCTCGACGGCGAAGGTCGAATCCTCTCAGTACGCCTGGAATCGAAGCTGGACTTCCGACAACAATCTGCGGTCCTTATGAAGACGTATCAAATTTACTAGTACGAAAGAAACTCTTAACGCTGGCGTCTGCTAGCTTGTTGCATGTTGAATTTCGGAAAAGCTTGCAGACGTGGCACCCCTCGGTTGTTCTGCTGAGACATCTTCAGATAATCGATGGACTAGTTGATGTTTCCTTGCAGAAAGACACCAAACAGAGTACAGCCTACGAGCGGCGAGCGCGGTAAGCTGCCAGCTCATCACCTCCATCATTGCGCGAGCCAGCCGAGCGCCTGAGACATCAATTGGCAATGATTGCCTAGACAGGCCGAGCCGACGGCAACGCGCTTGCGGGGCCTGCGGGTCCTCGCAGCGGGTCGATCATATGTGTTCCGGATACCCAACCACAAGGTTTATTCCCTCTTCCCTTCTCTAGTCTTTCTTGCCTTTGGTGTCGAACGCGAGGCGCTCATCCATTCTACCCTACAAGAGCTCGATAATACGCGGCATCACTCTCCGCAGTCGGACTTACACTGTCCGCACCGCACGCACACCGGTGACCGGACAATCCTTCAGACTAACGGCGACCCCCTCGACGCGTTAGACAGACTTCCGTGCCAGCAGCCATCGTTTCCCTACCCTATCAGCTACTTAAACGCGTCCGATCACGCATTCCGCGTCAAGGAGGGCCGCACGATGTCTGCGACAGGATTTCCGCGGCAGCCGGGGACAGGTCACCGGCAGCTTCACGACATAATTGAACGACCAAAAGACGAAGGTGCACAAGTCTCTGTGCACCACGAATACGATCAGTCTCCCCTCCTCTCCCGGCGCGTCTCCGCCAGCCCACGCATCCAAGCTTTGCAGCAATCGTCCGCCTATGTCTTCCCCTCGTACCCTTCCCCAATCTTTGAAGAGGATGTCCAGCCCGCAGCTAGTGCGCAGGCGCACAGCCAGCAGGCTAAAGCCGCTATGCTTGCGGTCGAGGGGTCCCCCGACGAGCTGCAGGTGCCCGAGCCTTCAGAGGGATTTATCATACCTGGCAGTCCAGTGCGTGATGATTCCCTCGCCTCATACCTTGCGCTAACCTTGGCATATTCTTCAGGTATCGCCTGCTACGCCGAGTCCACCGAGCCCCGACCCTACAGCAACACCCGGATCGGCGGTGACATTCGACATGCCCAGCGCGTCCCCTTCCCCTATATGGGACGCATCGGGCGCCAAGCAACGCGTCCGCGGGCGACAGCGCTCAAGCGTCGGACCCAACACGAACTTCTGCCTCCCGCGCTCCTATAGCTCCGGCAATCTGCGCCCTGTAGCCATCTCTGGTCCGGACCGCCAGCCTCTGGCGACGATCCCCTCACCAAGGCTACTTCCCGATCAGGAGCCAAGCAACGCATCAAAGCCACCGCCCCTTTCGTCTGACCACCATCTGCGGCGCGCGAGGAGCGCGAGTTGTACTGCGACAGGGGGCGCCTCAGCATCTGCAACTGGCGCGGTTCAGTCCGCAGGGGTGGTCGGTCGCCAGCGGGCCGGCAGCGTGCGCAACGCGGTCTACATCCCCGACCAGCACGCTGCGCCCGGGACGCTCGCGGTGAACGCCCCGAGCCCTGAGCCCGAGGTCCTACGAGTGTCGACGTCGACTGAGTCGTCCCGGTTTTCTGCGGTCACGTCGTTCTCCGCATACTCCGGGATGACGGCGGCGAGTCGCTATTCTAGCGACGTCCCGCTCACGCCCGACGATGCCTCCGAGCAGGGGACGCACCTTCAAAAGCTCTATCGCAAGTCGACGCCCCCGCCATCGACCCCGGTTGAGGAAGTGGATGATATCGATAGGGCTTCGATATACTCGACGCAGACGGATGGGTCGACCGCCTCGTCGGCGTATTCACTCCTTGCGCAGGCTTTACCGGCAAACATATCGAAGTCAGTGAGCGACGGTTCAAAAAGCCGCCCGGCGTTCATATCGCTCGACGAGGACTCTGTAGCAGAGAACAGTCCCTTAGAAGGCCCCCAGCCGACGCCGGACCCATTTTCTGATGGTGGATATCTACTCTTCATATCTTCCAACTTCAACTGACTCCGATTCACAGTGCGCTCGTCTTTCTCAGGCGGGTCTCGCAGAAGGACCAAGAGCACGCCGCGTCCACCGCCCATCACGACGCCCTCGCGACCTTCAGGCCTGCCCAACATTGAGATCGAGACGTACCCGCCGTTGCCAGAATCGCGACCGGATTCTCGCGCGAATACAGAGCGAGGTTCGCAAGCCGGCTCTCGGCCCGGCTCGCGGCGCTCGTCGCGCACGCCGATGCCAGCAGCGGCCTTCGCGCTACCCGAGTCAAGGTCGTCTTCCTGGTCGCGGCCTTCTTCGCGCGATAGTCTCCGGCATGCGTCTTCCTTCACTCGTTCGCCGCGCGGGTCCGTTTCACATGCGTCGGCGCAGGACACGTCTCCCTATCCACCGGTGTTGGCCTCTCCCTCTCTGCGTCCTGGGCACCAGCCACGATCATCGTCTGTCTCGTCGCCGCACTCGCCACGGTTTTCAGGCGTGATGCACTCGCCGCGCTCTTCGTCGCTTTCTCATGTGTACGACGATCATCTGCAGCAGCAGCAAGCGACTGCTCCTCGCCCGTCGGTGTCGCGCCAGACATCGGCATCGCGTCTATCTACGCTGCCGCCCCGTCAAGGCTTCGCGCGACATGCATCCACGCCCGCGCTGCGGTACACTCCCAGTCCCTCGTTCCCTCGCGTCCGCCATTCGCCCAGCCCCTCGTATAGCACACGGCACTCGCCCAGTCCCTCTTTCAATGGGTCAACGCCGCCTAGATCAGCTACGCGCTCCCCAAGGCCACCCTCTTCAACGGCTTCGCCTATGCCGAAGCGGACCTCGCTGCGGCCATCAGCGAGCACTATCGCAGCGCTCATGTCGGCGCGGTCCTCGCTCGTTGTCCCGCAACCTGTCCAGCCTCAACGAGCAACCTATGCTCGATCGCGGACGGATTCCGAAGTGTATGTGTTACACCTTGACGACTCAGAGCAATAGCTTATACCCCGTTTCAGGAATTACCTGGGTGGCGATGTCATGGATATCAGCGCCCACTCAACGCCTCCATCTGTCTCGGAAGAGCAGGACGACGCGAGCGTGTACTCCAACGATGACGAGGGCATGGATGAGAAACAGCGGCAGCGCCTACCGCCATGGGTCACGTCGACCCCGCCCGTCAATGTTTTGAACGTCGACTCAGAGATGGCCGAGCCCTTCCGGCGCGCGACGCCTGACCCGAACGCGCGCTTGACGCTCGTGCCGCTCGAGGAGGTCAAGCCCGGTATCAACGTCACGTTGGTGCCACCCCCTACCGAGGCTCCTAGGCGCTCGAGCTTCGGAGACATCAGCGACGATCCTTTCGCGTGTCTGAGCAGTGGTGCGACGGTCGTGAGCGCTGCGTCGGGCGACGGTGGTATGCGCCCACCATCGATGTTGCACGCAGGGTCGGCCTCGCGCCCCTCTTCGCTTGTCAGCAATATGACAGCGGAACCCTCGAGAGCGCGTGTAAACTCGACCTCCCGACTTTCTACAAGCCCTTACATGTCGCCCTCCGGGTCCAAGTCGGCCTCGAACATGGCTACTCCGGATGTGTTCTCAGCCTCTGCGGAAAGCACCTTCTTTGAAGAGCCGAAGCTATTGCCAGCACCTCATACGCCCCGTCCTCGAGCCTCTTCTCGTGCCGATTCTGCACGAAGTGTGCGGTTCCATGACCTGGATAGACCAGGATCTTCCGGCACAACTCTTCAGGCGACCACGCTTGCTCCCACGGCTGGGTACGAACCTTCAATCCTATCGTCCAAGGCGCCGTCATCGATAGCTGGTCGTTCTTCGCATCGGGTGTCCTACCGCCCATCCACGAGCGACTCGGGCAAGAGCAAAGACCCACCCAGGTCTCCGCCGCCAGACTTCCTCAACTCACCGCTGTTCGCGTACCAACAGCGACCGCACTCCTCGCGAGCCTCCTCTTCGCGAGGGTCACGAGAGAGCAAGGAAAAGAAGGAAAGGCTGAAATCCGAGGAGCGCGACAGGCCGAGCACTGCTGACGCCGTCGTTGAGGACGTCCCGTCGTCCGCGCGAAAGACGGGGTTCTTTGCCAACTTTCGGATCCGGCGCAAGCACGATTCGTTCCTGCCCACTCCTCACTCGCCGTCGCCGAAGGCTCAAGGAAAGCAGCGCGCCGACGCTCACGCCCCTGCCACGCCAACCTCGCCACCCGCCAAGGGCAAGAGCGGCAGCGACAAACGCAGCCATTTCTTCTCCTGAGACACTTCTACCTAATCACCTTCGCCTATGACATTTACTACCTACTCTCGTTCTCGCCCCTCCCCACCGACCACATCGTTTATGAAGCTCACATCTACTTTCATTCTTTCTTTCGTGTGCTACGCGCAAGTATTTATCTGTCTGTATATCTAATTTTACGGCTCGACCTATATGTGTCGGCCTTCTGGACATCGGGGACACGCTCAAAAGGCGTGGGGTTGTTAGATCGGCTGTACGCGAGTGAGATAGTATCACTGGTAGTGTCTGTACCCTGCCCTCCTCCTTAATCGTAGTTGTATTCGAAGTCACCGCCGGGGCATAGGGTCGTACGCATGTATACTCGCCACCGGCCTGACTGGCATCACGCGAATGCGCACCCCGTCATGTCGCGTCGTAGTTGTAGACAAAGAGCGAAACAGGAATAGCGCGTGCGGGCCGGTGGATCCGGGAAGTCAAGTGATGGCCACGTTTTAAGCTGTTTACGTCATTTGTGGGCGAAAAACGAGGGTAGGACGGAGTTCCTCAAGTGCTGTTACTTCAAGCAAAGATGGAGGTCATGCAAGGAAGCAACCACATGGATAGGTTGTAGACGCGTTACTAATTTGGCCCTAAGTCCAGTAGGATCGGTACACTACCGGTCAGCAGTCCGGGCAGCGGTTCTCCCCTCCAAAGCAACGGCTTCCGCCTCGAGCGCAACATTTCATACACATCCCGAGCAAAAAGGACGTCTCCTGTGTAGAGTACCAAGGACCGTCTGAAGTCCAAATGAAGCGTCAAGTCGGTGAGGTGGGGCAGAAGAACGTGATTTTCCGCGGCGCCGGTGGCCACCCGCCGACGCGTGAGCGCCCTGATCACTTCCTTGCTGATGAGGCGAACATCGGGTTTTTCGACAAAGTCAAATTCTTGGAGCGTGAGCGATACAAGGCCCTGCATCCGCCACAGGCAGTTAATGAGTTGGTACGGATCGACGTGCATGAACTCGAGGCGTAGTGAGCGCAGGGACGTGCATCCAGACGACCTATCGATCATGTCCGACAGAAGGGCAGCAGCTGGAGACACGCTTGGCGCGCCAGATCCACTCACAGACAGCGACTTGAGACTCGGGGCGCTCATAAAGCGGCACAGGTGAACGCCAGCGAGCGAGAGTGTGAGGTCCTCCAGCAGCGGGAAGTCCATGGCAGGGCTCCGTTCCGTTAGAATCCCTACCTCGGCGACCCAGAGGGTGCACTTACGCAGTGTCTGACTGCAGGACCAAACAGCATCGAGGCATATTGCGAGAGGTGGGGTTGTATCCGATATCTCACCACCGCAGCTGATGTCAAGGCTCTGCACTGCCCATGTCGTAGGGAGTTCGATGAATCCCGGGTAGGGCAGGGGTAAGTCCACCGAGTCGATATTAACCGTGCGTAGCGAAGGCGCATCGACGAAGAAGCGCAAAGGCAGCTCAACAGGATACCCGTCCAGAGGCGGTAGCAGCCCGATCGCCAACTGACGCAAGAGAGGAAACGACGGTGCTGGTCGCCAGGCATACATGTAGGGGTACGATCGCTCGGAGCTGTAACTCAGCCACCTGTGCGATTGCGAACAAAGGAGTTTGAAAGTCATGTCCCACCACGGCATCGTAGAGGGGCCTTCTTGGTATGGACGCGTCACCGAGTCGAAGCAGATATACAGTGGCGCATCCCCCGACCGTCTGATTTCTTCCTGAATGCCTTCGTAGTATAGAAACGGAGGGTTTCGGTCGGCATCGATGTCGATGATGTTCCACAGATCTGGCGTATCTTCGAATGCGATCTTTCGCCACGAGAAACAGACCTGAGCCAAGTTCAGCGTCCTCCTTCCGCAGGGCTTGATGTTCCAATGCTCAGGCTCAGCACACAGGAAGATGTCAGACCAGATCTCGGGTGGCAGACGACGCCAGGGAGCGAGTAGAGAGTGGTCCACGGCAACGATCTTCTCTACCATAGTCCGCTGAGATTGAAAATCAGAGGAATCGTGGTTCAGTCCGTCTTCGAAGTCTTGCCAACGATGGAGCTCGGTGCGGAGGATGGTGGCATTCAGACCCAGAGGAAAAAGGCTACGATGGATCTGCAGTTCGCGAGCCAAGGTATGCTCAAGGCATACTGCGAGAGCGACATTCCTTCCAACCGCGCCCTGAGCTGCGTCCGTTACCCTGTCAGTAGAATGAATCATGACACAGCGCGCAATTGCGCACCTTGCGAGGCCCCTTCGGTTCCTAAAAGAGTGTCGCTCATGAAGCAGTCTCACTCTGGATCGAGTATAGGGATGGTGGTGTCAATGATCAGCGCCGTACGACGTGGTGAAAGGGAAAGGCAAGGGAGGATTCTGCTTCAGGCTCTTTCATGTAACGTCACAAACAACCCTCGGCAATGGCCGGTCACAGTCCTGCCACCAACGACGTACAGGAGAGGCTGGGCTATACAACTAACCGGTGACGGTCGCTCATTCCATAGGGTAAGTGAAAAGCCAAAGTGCTCGCACAGTTCTGGGTTCGATTAAGAACATAGAATCATTTCTTTATCAGTCTTCGTCGCTGCTATCCTCATCCTCATCTTCATCTTCCTCGCCCTCGTCACCATAATCGCCCTCGTCCTCGTCCATAGAGCTGTCACTGTCAGCATAGAAACATCCCCTGGAGGCGGCTGACGGCTCAAAGAGCCCACGCCCCACCTCTCCCGCACCATCGTACGGACCCCACTCCTGTGTCGCCGCCAGTCCCATCATCCTCCCCACCTGCCTGAAGTTCAGGTCGTTCGCGCACCGAGGCAGCGCAACCAAATTATCGTCCTCCTCCAACATTTCCAACAGCGACCCGTCCGCCATCCCCTCCTTCGTTGAGTACACGAGGTCGTTGATGGCGTACTCCGCCTTGCCGCCCTTCGCGAGGTAGGATTCGACATCGCTCACGGCCCACCAGTTGGTGCGGTTGGTGACCGCCTCTGTGGTGATGACGTCCGGCGTAGGCAGCCCGCCGCGCTCGATGACGATGGAGATTGCACGGTAGACGCCGAGGAAGCCCTTGTAGGCAGTGAGGTTCAGCCGGGCGCGAACATCGGATGGAATGCAGTTGATGCCGTCTAGAAAGGCGAGGTCTGACGCCCTATCGAAGGGAATGGTCTCCGCCGTGAACATGGCGTTGTCGAATGTACATTGCGCTTCCCCTGAGTGAACGTCAGGCCTTCTGAACCGCGCCATACACACAAAAACATACCATGCAGCAGGTACGCCATGCGCGGCGACAGCCAGCCACCACGACATTGGCCGCAGGAGCAGCCGTAGCGGCGCTTCTCTGAGAAGTCATACACCGTGCCGACATCCTCGCCCATCGCGCTGCGCAGTACCCAGAGCAGATGCAAGGCTCTGTGCTTAAACAAGGGCGAGCCGGAGCGCACAATCTCCTCCTGCGCCTCAATCGCGTTCTGGTCATCAATGTTGTCGCGACTGAGGATGTCTGCGCGACAGTCGCCGAGAGAGAGTAGCTTGTCGACAACAGCCGCATGGCCCTTGATGACGGCGACATAGATGGGCGTGTAGCCGCGCTCGTCCTGAAGGTGAATCGACTGCGAATCTCTGGCGTAAGCAGCTTCGATAGCGGCGTCCAGTTCCCCCTTGGTAGGTGGCAGAGGTCGCATAGCTCTCGGTCCATCCATACCATTCAGAACCCCGGTCATCGTGCGCGGGGGGTCCATGAGCGTCTGCAGTGGATAGTCCTGCCTCAGCTGAGCACCGATATCGTCGGCCAGGATGCCATTCCTGTGCGAGTACTTGAACATATCGACGTCTTGGTCTTCTGAGGCGGGCAGGGAGCGAGAAGGGTGGCTTCCGCTTGGAGAGTAAGCAAAGAACGTCGTGCGCCCAACGCGACGAAAGTCAAGCTGACGTAGAGGAGTTAGTTCGCCATAGCGTACAAGGACAGGAGCGGACTCAGCACCTTTCGGAAGAAGTCGATGATTGGCGGGTCCATGCGACGGCTATCCTCGCGCGAATGAGCCCAGATGTGTGAGGGCCAGCTATACACGATGGTGCTCTTGTCGACATTCTTCGGCGAAAGCAACTCGCGGACCAAGCGTTGTCCGACGCCCTGGCGCTGGAACTTGTGGACACGGGTGTGAGCACATCATTTGCAGTTCAAAGTCGGATGGCGCACCGGAGGGTTCACAACAACCGATCGCACGTACACGATGCGCCCCTCGTTGAGCTCATCTCCCCAGCGTCCACTACCCTTATGGTACTCGTCATCCACAATCTTCCTGTAGACGTTCATGTCGTTGTCAAGAATCCTCCGTCCGAACTCCGCCAGCTCGTCCGACTTCGCATCGAGAAACTCGTGGAAATGAGCTTTGAGGGTATACGTGCGCTCGATCTTGTACGCCTCAAGCGTGCCCAGGTTCCCTTGGTGTGGGTGCGACGCATTGAGGCGAATGTGCTTGACGAATCGCTTGCTCGCAGGATCTGTCTCGCGGCACTCGATGCGTACATCGGCGAGGTTGAGCTGAGGGCCATCGGGCCTGGTAGCCATGGTGGTCAAAGGGGAAGAATACACGGAAAGTCGGTGCACTTTGAAACGTGTCCTGTCAGCATCAGGGAAGAGGCTCGTGGGTTGACGAGGACCTGACAGAGACCATGTCATGCTGCCAATCTATGCGGATCCCCTGAGGAAGAACAACGACGACCAGTATTCCGCCAGCTTCCCGGCGTCAGGAAGATCCATAGCGTATATAATTCAGTCTATCAGAGCGCCATTCTTTCTCGTTTGGTCTGCTGCTCGATATGAAGCAAAATGAGGTGTCCGAGGCAGGCCCTTCCACGGCTCTTCCCTGAGTGCGCGGACAGCCTGGAGCTGCGGTACAGCTCAGCTCATCAAAGCCTGTCACTTTCTTACTATTGTCAAGCTTCGTAAGAAAGAAGACATATTGTGCGAGCTTCGCATGATGATGATGGTGGAAGGCAAGAGATCCTCTGCGTGAGTCGTCACCGTCGTCACGTCACAGCAGTCTCCTCGGCAACGGCCGCGGACTTTATGGACAAGTGCGGAAGAAATTGTAGCTGTTACAAAATGCCTACACCGTAGGTCAAACAAGAAGCTGGTATTGGTTCGCGATGAGTGTCTACACCCTGCGATGCGCAAGAAACTTTCTAGAGTTCGGGTGCCCTCAGATTTACCACCCAGTGGCAGTTCTCGTCAGCCTTCTCTTCAAAGATCCGACACCGTCGACGAGAGCAGTCCAAGGCCGCAGACCACCTCCGCTCTGATCTCGCTCTACCTCTTCGGCGTCGTCGTACGGGCCCCACTTCGCCCTCTCTGACAGCCCCATCAACCTCCCCACCATCTCGAACTGCACGTCGTTCTCGCATCGCGGCAGCCTCGCCCATAACAGCCTAAGATGCTTGTTGTCAAGCGCCTTCTCATCCGCCATCCACTCCTCGGCCGAGTGGACGAGATTGTTGACAGCGTGCTCTACCTTCCCGCCCCTCTTGAAGAACGCCTCCAGGTCCCGCACCTTCCACGGACAATTCGGGTCGTTGTTCATGAGCAGCTCGAGCCCGATGAGATCCATGGTAGGCTGCACGCCGCTCGCGATGACGTCGGAGATGGCGCGGTGGAAGCCGAGGAAGCCCTTGTATGCTGAGTGATTCATCTTCGAGCGGACGGTGTACGGGATACACTGGCCGCCAGGAAGCATAGCGATCTCGGCCGCCTTCTTCGTCGGGAAATCGACCTCTGCCGCAGACCTGCCCCTGTTAGCAGTACGGCTTGCCACAGCTACGCGAGCGTCAACAACGTCAAGCGCGCAGGTCGATGCGAAAACGTACCCCGAAGCGCATTCGACATGCGCGGCGACAGCCATCCCTCCAAACACTGACCACAGGTGCAGCCATAACGCCTCTGCACCAAAAACTCGCAACAGCACTTGAACTTCTCCCCAGTCGCCGTCCTCAGCTTGTACAGCAGCTTCAAAGGTTCGTCCTTGTGACCTCGCTCCGCCGCCCGCACGATATCCTCCAGCGCTTCGATCGCATTCTGATCCTCGACGTTGTCGCGGCTGAGGATGTCCGCACGACAGTCGCCGAGTGTCAGCAGCCGTTTGGCGATATCGTAGTAGCCTTTGATAACCGCAACGTAGATCAGCGTGAAGCCGCGCTCGTCCTGCGCATGGATGATTGCAGGAGATTTGCTGTACAGGTTTTCCAGAACTTCGACCGACAAGTCTAATGGTTCCGCGACTTCTGTCGACGAGATCGGAGGAGGATCCATGGCAAAATGCAGGAGATTGTTCAACTCTAGTTCGTAGTTGGAAGTGAACACTCCCTTGGTTCGATGCGAGAACTTCAGCAGGTCGACGTCCAGGTCCTTCGTGGCAGGTATAGACCGAGAGGAGTGCGAAGCCTTGGGGGAGTACGCAAAGTGAGCGGTGCGCCCCACACGGCGGAAGCCGAGCTACCAAGCAAGTTCAGCTAGCGAAATGGTATGAGTAGAGTTTACGCACCTTTCGAAAGAAGCCAATCACTGGCGGGTCCATGAGACGATGGTCATCGCGTGAATCTGCTCGCAGGGCAGAGGACCAGCAATAAACGATGTCCGGAATTTCGAGGGACTGCGAGGAAAGCAGGTCGCGGACCAGGGCAGTTCCGATCCCTTGCTGTTCGAACTGGACGCCTATCAACAGCCGCTCACAGACGGAGCTTGCAGAGGCGCACCGACGGATCCACAACGACAGATTCAATGTAGACAATGGCACCCTCGTCCATTTCCTTCCCCCAACACCCCGTGCCCCTGTGGTACTCGTGTTCTATGATCTTGGAGTAGACATTCATATCGTTGTCGAGGATCGTCCGCCCGAACTCTGCCAGTCTGTCGGACTTCGTGCTGAGGGCCTCGTGGAAGCAACCCTTGAGCTCGTCTGCGCGGTAAATTTTGTACGCCGTGAGCGTGCCTACGACGCCATGCTGAGGGTGCGTCGCGGTGAATTCAAGGTGCACGATGAGCGCGCTGTTCGTGGGGTTGGATTCTGAGCCCTCGCGCTCGATGCGAACGTCGGCAAGGGCGGTGGTCACTTTTTGCGAAGGCGTGGCCATGGTGGACGCGAGAAAGGAAAACTGAGCGCCACCGGCCACGCCCTGTATATGAGGAGATGCACCGTGCCGGCACCTAGAAACGTGCATGCCGTATACCTCTGCGGATACTCCAAAGTGAGAGTACGACCGGCACGACTATTCAATACGTTCGGTAGCTGTCGAGGTCAGCAGTAATCCAGGAAAGCTTAATTTCGAGATATCAGTTACATTCGTTCGTGTTTTTGTCCGTTATACTGCAGTGTGAAGCCTCTACTGGCCCTTCACCCCTACCCACTGGTCGAACCAGCGGAAGACCTCGTAGTGCCACTTCAAACTGCAGCAAGAGTCAGCCTGATCAAGCCCTTGTCATCCAAGCTCAAACGCACCTATTCCCATGATTCAGCACCCAATGGTTCTCATCCGGGAAGATGACCAGCCGACTCGGGACACCGCGTCTGGAAGAATGGAATTCATGAGCCAGGTTGCTGCACGCCTGTCAGGCACACTTGCACTCACTGCTGCAGCGCGTGGAAAGCGCCGATACCATCGGTCTCGGGCAGGCGGTAATCCTTGCTCCCGTGGATGGTGAGCTGTGGTGTGGACCATTTGTCGACGAATAGCGACGGGCTGTACTTGTCGAGGATCTCCTTGCTGTGCTTATCCCACGGGCGGCCTCCCCATTCGTGGTTGAACTGGGCGCGAGAGGGTCAGAACAATTAATACGAGCAAGTTGGGCACCACATACGAAGAAGAGCTCGTCAGTAGAGTAGCCGTTGTACGCGGCGTCGAAAACACCATCATGGCAAACCAAGGCCTTGAACCCGAACCCGAACTCGGGATGACCTTGAATGTAGTTGATTGCAAAGCCGCCCCAGCTTGCACCCGCCGCGACAGCGCGGTCAGAGTCGATCTACAGTGGGCATCAGCATCCATCGAACTTTTCAACCCGCCAGTCACATACCTCGGGGTACTCCTTCAGGATGTAATCCCAGCCGGCCTTCAAGTCGACGAAAGGCTTGCCACCCCAGTCGTTCTGAATGGCGTCGGTGAAGTCTGCGTTCACAACTGGTCAGCATCAACACGAGCGCTACCTCCACCTAACACACCTTGCCCGAACGTCGTACTCCCCGTAGGGTTAATCGCCAGGACCACGTAGCCTTGGTTGACGAACACATTCGGGTTCCAGCGCGTCGACCACTGGTCCTCCCATGCGCCTTGAGGGCCTGTCGATGGTGCGTCAGCTTCCATCTGCATCACCTACCAGCTCATGATGATTGCGCACCCCCATGAATCAACAACACCACCGGCCAAGCCTTCTCCTCGCCCTTCTTGAACCCCTTCGGCTTCAAGATCCACCCCTGCACATCCCGGTCCTTCGCGCCCTTGAACCAGAACTCCTCACCCTCGGCCAGATGCTTGTTCGCGAGATCGGCTGACGTGAACTTAGTGATCTGGGTGATGGTAGGCGCTTTGGCGAGCGTGTTGCCCGCGCCAGTGGGCTCGATGCCGCTGATGACAAAGACATCATTTGGCGAGGTGAAGGACGAGCGGCTGAAGAGGACGCGACCGCCGATGAGCGCCTGAACGCCGGATGCAGCACCCGTATTGGTGAGGGCAACGGGCGTGGCGTAGTCTTGCGCTGTATGTGGTTTTAGCAAGCATTCTTCGTAGCATGCCCAATTGTAAGCTTGTCCAGGGTGTGGAACGCGCTTTCGAGGTATCAAGGCTCACCCGCATCGTTCGACGTCGGCGTGGGGGGCACTGGAACGGAGAAGACTTTGACCTTCGCCTCGTCACCGGCAGTGAAGTAGAGCGTCTTGTCGTCTTTGGAGAACTGCAGATGTGTTAATCAACTCTTCCAGGAGCCCTTGTTTCGCGAACGACTTACCGCAAGCGCATCCGGGGACCGGTCCCAGTTGTCGGTGATGGTGAAGCGAGCATTCTGCGAAAGGTCGTACAGAACGACCTTGAACCTGTCATGATGCTCAGCCCAAGGAGTCGCGTAGCTCTTAAACATACGCAACCTACTTGTCCGCCTCATAGCCATCCTCCTCAAGCTCAAGCCATGCGACCTTGGTACCGTCCGTACTGAAGACGGGCGAGTGAGTCGCGCCTTGCTTACCCGAGGTGAGCTCCTTAGGCTCGGAAGCGCCGGTGATGTCGACAATGTAGATCTACGGACGCAGAATGAGTAGGTTGAAGTTCCTACCAAGGTCGTTCCTTACGTTCTGCTTCGTGTGCCAGGCCTCCGGGAGCACAGGGTCCTTGCTGGTGTACACCACGTGCGTCTTCGACACCGCAAAGTCGTCCGTGCCGCCGAAGGGCGCGACGGGGGAGCTCTAAATGTTCTGTTAGTCACACAGAACCTGGCTAACACCGTGACAGCACGTACATGCCCTGTGCCCTTCAGCAGATTCGTCCACTTCTGCTCGAACACCCATTCCCTCTCCGGCGTCTGGCGCAGGGGCGCCGAGAACAAGACCGCCGTCTTTGGGCCCACATACGTGTCCCAGTGCCGTACGTACGTCTCATCGTATACGAACGCCGTGTTCCCGCGCTCCTCCCATTCCTTGTCCAGCTCGTTCACCGTCGTCAAATCCCCGTCCTCGTACACTTCCGCGGAGAACACCAAGTGCCCGGAAGCGGGGTTGTAGACAAAGTTAGTCGCGCCGGTGGTGGGGAAGGTGCCGATGAGGGTAGGAGGCTTGGGCGTGGTGAGGGCACCGGGAGAGGGTTCGGTCTCGAATTGGATGTCGATGGCGTAGAAGGCGAGGGTCTTGTTCTCGCCTTCGACGACGTGGCCAACGGTGCGTGTGTCGAGCCAGAAGGCCTCGCCGCCCTTCGCGAGCTATCGAGATAGGTGAGGATGCAGTAATCAGACGTTTACGCGTCCACTCACAGGGATCTCGAGCGGCTTCACCGTCGACTCGATGGGTGCGAGGAAGATGGACTTCTTGTTCCTACGCAGTGTACTAATCAGCGCCATGTAGCACAGTTGAGACTCGACGTACTTCTTCTCCTCAAAGTCGTACTTGCTGAACGACACCAGCACCAGATCGCCCGCAACGTTCGCGACCCCAGTCCCCGGACGTCCCAGTCCGACCAAGTCCTTCGGCGAGAACACATCCTCGCCCTCCTTCCACTTGAACGACGTCGCCTTCTCCTTCCAGGTCGGCTTGCTCATCGTCGTTAATTGTGGTGCCTGCAAGGGTACTTGTTCCGCCAGCAAACCGCACGGTAAGTATGCGGCCAAGAGAAGTGCCGCCCACCGCATTGTGGCTGAATTCGTCTCAGCGTCGCGTGCCCTTCGCTATACGCCGAAGAAGGGTCTGCTGGTTATCGATGGAAGAAGGGAGCAAGGCGCGTGCGACGCTGGTCACGAATGTTGCGCGATGGCTGACGCGCCAGGGACCGGCCCGAACTGCCCGATGCCCTCTTTACTGCCGAAAGCGGTTGAAGGTCCATTGTACTCGCGGAAGCGACCGTAGGGCTTAGAGGAGGATGGAGGGCCCATCCCTACCTCTGGACTTGTATGGATCACATACAGTGAAGACATCAGTTCAGTATCGCACCCACAGTAACCCCACCCATCGCAGAAGCCAAAGTACATGTCAATTCGGAATGATCACTAGATCCCGAGCAACTACAGACATCGCTGTGAGACGTAGACCGTATATATTACAAGGATGGATACAAGTAAGAAGCACAAACAGGTCAGTCGCTCATTGCCTCATCGCCACTCCCCTCGGCACCCTCCGCTTCAACCTGCGCGTCTGCTATCCTCGGGCCCTCGATCTGGGTAACCTCGCCCGTCTCCGCGTCCCATCGCGCGAGTAGGCCGACCCTAAAGGTGACCATCTTCTCCCCGATGAGCTTGAGCAGCTGCGCCTGCTCCGCGGTCAACTTGTGACCGGCCTCGCAAATTTTGTGCGGCGCGTGCAAACTCGGCACGCCGCGGTTCATGTACGTCGTCAGCCCCAGCTTGCGCAGCTGCGGCTCCTCGTTGTGCGGGAACGGCTCGGGCGGGTCAGAGTGCCGCTGCATGACGGGGCCGGCGGGGAGCACGACGGTGCGCGGCGCGGTGTTGCCCGCGCGCGCGAAGTCGGGCTGCTGGAAGTCGGCGAACCACTCGGTGACTTCGGAGGGTGGGGAGTTGGTGAAGAAGAGGCCGACTTGGCCTTTTAGTTGCTGGAGAGGGGATGAGCTTGGGGGGACAAGGGTGAAGGAAGGGGAACGCACCCTAGCGAGCTTGGAAACGCCTGGTCGGTGCTCGGATTCTGGGGTGGTGCCGAGGGCTTTTGCCATGACAGTGCTTCTGGCGAAGACTAATCGACCGGAGCTGCAATATACGTTAGTTATCGAGGAAGGGGGACGCGCCGATCACGCACTCTTTCCACAGTTTCCGTACGGTCTTGAGATGGGCATTCCTCATGTTGCCCACCTCGAACAGCCAGCAGTACTGCCACTTCTCCACATTCTCTTGGATCTAAAAGGGATCAGCATCTTCCTCACGAAGATGGGAGACATCACAGCGATAGGTGTTCCGATGGGTGGGGAAGTAATGCATACCTGTGTGATCAGCTCTCCCTTTTCTTCCTTCGTGCGCTTGGCGACTTTCGTGAGGGAGACTGGCGATGGATGAGTTCCCCTGTTTTCCCTTCAGTCAGACACCTTCCTACTCACCAACTTTGGCACGCTTTGATTTCGGCATGATGAAGGTGAAGAATAAGGGAAAATTGCCGAGAACAATGCGACCTTCCGCTTTCAGCAGCGGGGCACCGGCCCGACGTGTCCGATGAACATCGACAGGGGAAGACCATTTTGAACCGTGCCAGGTCTTATTGTTGACTGGCAGGCCTCTGAAAACACTCGTCCCATCTTCAGAGTGGAGACAACAACGGCCTGATGTCGTGTGTAGGTTTACGAGGTGTCATTTCAATGGCCCACATATTTATTGTACGCACGGTCCGTGTGTTATCCCCTCCCTCCAAGTCTTGCTTCAGAAGAAGTTCACTGTAGATCTTCCATGTCCTTAAGTGATTTCTATTGAGAAACGCGGCCAGGAATTGGAAGAGGGACCTTTGTGGACTCGGCTTCGGAAACTGCCGAACCGATCTAATCAATCAGGCAGCGTGCGAAAGCTCTGATCAACAGCCAAGTCCCGCCAACCTTTGCGTCCCTCGTCACCACCCTCGCCCTCGGACTCCCTCGCTGTCGAAATGGTCAGTACAGCGTCCCAGACGACCTCCTCGATGCACCTATGCAGAAGTTACGCGCGATAATGCCGCGTACGCGCTGGATTGGCGTATGGCCGGCCAGATGACGATCCACGCACTCAGCGGAATCTGCGCCCCAATCCTCCCCCTTACCCAAATACGCCCTCCAGCAATCTCTTACGCATTTCTTTCCCTCTCTAGGCCACCGCAGAGCTCGCCGCCACCTACGCCGCCCTCATCCTCGCCGACGATGGCGTTGAAATCACCGTGCGTGTACTTGCTATCCAAAGCGTGATAAAGCGATCTAACCCGATCTCCAGTCCGATAAAATCCTCGCCTTGACGAACGGTGCGAACGTCGAGCTCGAGCCGATATGGGCATCGCTCCTCGCGAAGGCGCTGGAGGGCAAGAACGTCAAGGACTTGCTATTGAACGTCGGCTCCGGCGGCGGTGCGCCCGCATCCGGCGCTGCCCCGGCCGCTGCTGGTGGCGCTGCCGCCGCGGAGGCACCGAAGGAGGAGGAGAAGAAGGAGGAAGAGAAGGAGGAGTCTGACGACGACATGGTACGTCTGCGTATCTCTGGTGCGCTAGAAGCTGGGTGCTTACACGCTTGCGCAGGGCTTCGGTCTCTTCGACTAAGCGTCCCGTCCTCCCTTTCCTATCTATGCCCTTCATGTGCTCCCTTTTGCCACTACCCATATGTGCATATGCTGTCGTGTAACACTGCAAAAGACCTTAAAAACGGCAGCCCTGGTGTGATTATAAGTGGACCTCGGAGTGCAGAAGGCTTCGACTTCCTTGTTCGCGCAGCCTCGGGACCCTTTCCCTTCTCTGATCGGGACGGGCTGCAGGGTGATGTGCCCGACGAATCGTCGACGAGCCCAGTGCTCGGATGGAAAGCTTACGCGCTTACGGGCGCTGCTTGGGACGTAACTAGCCCGCACAACCAGGAACTTACACCCGTGCGCAGCAGAGGCCTGCCCAGTTCCTCCTCAGCGAAAGGGTAAATGGCCTCGTTCAAACTTCGAATGCTGTGAGACGTCGCGCTAGCCAGCGAGCGAGGCGTCTGAAGGATTTTTCGGCCTTGAGAACGGGCGCTGATTGGCGCATCAGCGCACCACGCGGCACACGTGATCCGAAAAGTTGAACATGCGCCCGAAGGCCTTCCTTTCTCACCATGGCGTTCATCTTGCACAGTCTGGACTGCTGTCAGAGAGCGCACTGCTATACGCGCTCGTCGGAGGCGAATCTGCCTGCCAACGCACAGTCTCACGTACTCATCGAGGCCTGCAGTCTGCTCCCGCGCAGTCTAGACCTCGGACTGCAGAGCGACACCCGCCCGCATTTGTAGTCGTGTGCCACTGCACCGTGCATTCCACTGCATTCCAGGGCAATTTACGGACCGCCGCGAAGATCCCGCCAGCGAAGGGATGACTCCTACGTGCATCACAAGGCTGCCCGGCAACCAAATCCTTGGCTTGCCCTGATCGATACAATTATCCTTCTACCAATTCTCTCCCTCTACCAATTCCGATGGCAGCACAAGCGCCGCTTCTCATCCTGGAAGCACTTCCTTCAAAAGCACCTCCACCACAGCCGGCGGGACCTCCCCCCAGCTAACCGAGCCGTCCACGAGGAAAGCGCCAAGCCTTTCTGCTACCCCGCCTTACTCCACGGTCGGTCGTACTTCTCATGCAACGCGAGTCATGACGTTCTCACATCTTCTGCTGCAGGCTTGTTGCGTTGAAGCTCCTGCTGCGCTCAACGCGTCGGACCGGCGCCGCCACGAGAAGAACCCCAACCCACCTCGTATCTTCCTCGTCGTATATACACGAGGAAATTGTTCCCAATGCCCTCTTCCGCTTCCCACACTTCCCCCTCTGCAATGGCATCCCTTGGCACGGCGCCGGACGATGTGCTGGCAGAGATCATATACTGCGCGACCGCACAATGGCCGGAAGCGCCGGCGCTGCTGGCTGCCGTCTCCCACTCGTTCCATCGCGTTGCGCACTCAACCCCCTCGGCGTGGAACCGGTTGGTGCTGCATATGAAGGCGGGCAACGACGCCCAGACGCTTGGCAAAACTGCGCTTTGGCTGGACCGATCACGGTCGTGTGCCGTCGATGTCGAGGTGTCGCTGGAGGCGGGCGAGGAGGGGGTGCACGTCCATGAAGCGGTGACGTCGCTGATCCGCGAACACAGCGATCGAATACCCTCCATGAAGGTCCGCTGCCCCTCGCAGGCGGCGGCGTCGACCTACTTCACCTCCCTCTTCCCCGACCTCGCCACCGCGCCTCACGGCCTCCACCACCTCGTCCTCGAAGTCGCTCCGGAGATCGGCGCATCCTCAACATCCCGCGCCCCGTCATTCCAAATATCATTACCAACCTCCCTCCGCACCCTCCGCCTGCACACATCCGCCGTGCCCGCCTTCCCCTCCCCCCTCACCAACCTCCGCAAGCTGTACCTAATCCGCCCCCTAGCCGCAACACCCCTCACTCTTTCAGAATTTGCGTGCATCATCGAAGCCGCTGCATCCCTGACAAGCATCCACATCAAATCACGCGTATTCGGCGCGCTCCCTTGCGATCCTGTCGTCTTCCCTGCCCTCCGCACCCTCACCCTCTGGGCCAACAACCTCCCCCGTCTCCTCGACTTCTTCTCCGCCCCCATCCTCGACGTCCTCAAGCTCAACGACCTCGATTCCAAGCGGCCCCGCGCCTCCGCCGAGTCCTGCGATGCCATCTGGCGCCTCGTCATCCGGAGCGCAGGGCGCGAGACCCCGCGCACCCTCGGCCTCACGAACATTGCGACCGGCGAGGATGACCGCGAAGCCCAATGCCGGGGCTGGGTGACCTGCCTGCGCCGCCTGTACTCCCTTGAGGAGATCCGCCTCGCACACGCGCCCGTCGAGCGCATGCTCACCCTCCTCTCCTCGCGCTTCCGCGTCGCAGAAGAAGAGAGCGCCGAGCAGGACGGCGAGTTCCTCTGCCCCCGGCTGCGACGCGTCTGCATTTCCGCCGACCCCTCGGACGCCGCGGCCCGCCAGATGCGCGACGCACGGCCCGAAGTCGAGGTAGTGCGGTTGGCTGCCGAGCGAGAGGGGCTGCTGAAGGCGGAATCGATATCACGGATGCCGTCTCTCAGGGAGCTGAACGAAATCATGCTGCACCAGCGGACACACATACCGGGGGTTAGTGGCTTCGGGTTCGGCTCGGCTTTCGACGTAGCGCGGAGGAAGAGGACTAAAAGTGGCGAGGAGGCCAAGTAATGCTCCCACCACACGGACTTCAATGGACTGTTCATTTGTACTGGCCTTCCTTCCTAGCCGTACATACACACTTTACCGTACGCATGTAGTATTCTACATACTGTACTCCCTGCATATCTTGGAGACCAATCATAATGATACCTGGACATACAAATCACAGGCTTTTACATCTGCTGCGAGGACGAATAGCTAGCATTCAGCCACCGCTCTTACTTCGGGCACTCTGACGAATCTCACAGGTGATTCTTGCGTACTCATACCATCGATGGGCAGGAGAAGAGCATCTAGCGTACAACAATATCGATAGATACGAACAATCCAGTTACAAATGGGACCCTCATCATACACTCATCTTCATAGGTATTGACGGATGTGGGTTATATCCCTCCACCACAAAGTCCTCGTACTTGAAGTCCTCGATGTCCTCGATGTCATCCCTCCCCCATCGTAGCTTGGGGAACGCCCGCGGCTCGCGCTGCAGCTGCGTCTGCAGTGCCTCCACATGATCCCTGTAGACGTGCGCGTCCCCCAACTGGATGATCAGCTCGTGCGCGTCCGTGCCGGTGACGTGGGCGATCATATGCGTGAGCAACGCATAGGACGCGATGTTGAAGGGTACGCCGAGGCCCAGGTCCGCCGACCGCTGGTACATGAGGCACGAAAGCTTCGGCTTTTGGGTGTCGGGCGCGCCGGCCGGGGGTAGGTGGACGTAGAACTGGCAAAGCAGGTGGCACGGCGGGAGGGCCATCAGGGGTATATCTGGCGGCGAAGGGAATGGTTTGTAAGGAAGGAGATGCGCGTGAGACCGGTAGTGGCGTACCTTTGGGGTTCCATGCGCTCATGATGATTCGGCGGTCGGTCGGGTTGTGCTTGATTTTGTGGATGCACTCGCGTAGCTGATCGACGCCCTGGCCCGTATAGTCCGCGTCCGCATCCTTGTACTCTGCGCCAAAGTGTCGCCATTGGAAGCCATATACGGGACCGAGGTCTCCCTCTCTGCGGTGTCCCAGTCCACGCCCTTCCAGGAACTCCTTCGATCCATTTCCGTCCCAGATCGTGACCTTCTTACGCGATAGGACGGTCGAGTCGGTGCAACCGTGGATGAACCAGAGGAGCTCCTCCACTATCCCGCGCAGAAATGTCCGCTTGGTAGTGATGAGGGGGAGAGTCGAGTCGGCGAGGGAGAAGCGCAGGTTCGGTGGCGCGAACAGCGCGATCGTGCCAGTACCTGTTCGATCTGCGCGCACTTCCCCCATGTCCATCACGCGTTGGATGAGCTCCAGATACTGGTGCTCGTCGTGTTTCGAGCGCTCTTCGCGTTTGGTCTCGTTTGTGGTCGACGTCGAGGCGGACATGGTTCAGGACAAGCAGTTCAATTATGCGTTACGAGACGCGGACGTGACGTGACGGGGCGTGTCTCTGCGCGCCACAATTGAATGATCATTTGCTCTTCTCCAGTACAGACGCCAACTCCGTGAAGGAGTGTACAACTAGGTCAACTTCCCCTCCCTCAGACTTGGTTTTCACATCTGTGGTCTCATCGGTAGGCTCCTTAGCGTTGCGATGGACGTAGATGGTCTTCAGCCCATTCTTCGCCGCTCCCCTCAAGTCCCACAGATGACACGCGACCATGGCGCATCTCTCGGGTGGCGCGCCGAGGAACTTCGCTGTCTGTAGGTACATCTTGGGGTTTCTGAAGAGGGACTGAGCCCTCATCACGAGGAACAACTGCGCAGAACTCACGGCTTGTAGGATCCGATGATATCGCCAGCGAGTACAGCATCCCAGGGAAGGTCTGCGTGCTTCGCCTACTTAAGGTGAGCACGTAGATCAGCACGAGATGGTCAAGCACTTCACCATATCGACTAGCAATCGCGCATTTCCGTTTGACAGCGAAGCAATGATATAGTCCTTCTTCAAGGCGTACAAGCCCTTCGAGGTATCCGGCCAGCCTGAAAATGATCAGCTCTTCGTCATCGCTCAGACGTTTATATTGTCTGCGCTCACCTCCGAGGCGATGCCAGACCGTATTGAGCCGCTCCCGTACTCCAGTATCCCAGAGCTTGCCGATATGCGCCCACTGTTCTGAAGCGAGCATGTTCTCCAGCGCCTATAGAGATACAACAATCAGCAATTACCTTAGGTATCTATCCTCACCTCCCGATGAATCGCATCCACATTCGGCGTCTTCTCCGGGTCAGTCGCCGTCTGTGAATATTCTCGGCTGCGATACTGATGAGCATGCCACAACGCCTCGACTAGAGTCCCCACGTACGTCTTGTCCATATAAGCCTTTCGCCACTGCTGTGCGAAGGTATGCCAGTCTTCCGAGCCTGTGCATTCCCTTGTTCAGTCAACGCGCCTAACTAGTGTGCGTTGGGCATCTCTCACCTGAAGGTCCTTTCGTCTCCCCAAGGGCCTTCAACTCGCTGAAGACGGTCGTATACCAGTCAACCGTCGTCCCAAAGACATCGAAGATGAGTACTTCTACGTTCTCCATGGTAGCTGGAATGGTAGCAGAAGAAGAAGGACTCGATCTGTATTGCAGTTTTAGCGGTCAAGGAAGACGCAAGAGGATTAGAAAGCAACATCAACTGCCCAGACGCTGATGAGGTCACGATAGGTCGCGGTCATGTGCCGGCGACGTTCAACTTCGCTGGCCCCGGAAGGTAAGTGGACGCGCCCAGGCGCACAGCATAGTCCTAATCTTGGCTCTATCTCCTACCTACGGGACACGCGGGAAGACGATTGACCACTTCGCAGTTGTCATATTCAACGGATCAGTCCTCACAACTGAATGGGTGGCCTCCTCCAATCGTTCATACACCCTCCCTGATCTTCCTTAACATACCTGCCAACTCCACCAGCGAGTCTACCACCACATCCACCTCTCCGCCCTCTGCCTTGGTCGTCACAACCTCTGGCTCAGCAATCGGCTCATTGGCCTCAGGCCTGCGAACGTAAATCGTCTTCAACCCATTCTTCGCCGCCCCTCTGAGGTCTTCGATATGCATGGCGACCATAGCGCAGCGCTCGGGCGGCACGGAAAACAACTTGAGAGCGCCGAGGTAGACCCTGGGGCTCCTGCGATGGCCTTGATTAGCTGTCAAGAAGCGAGAGAAAAGAGATGGGAATAAAGGCGACTCACGGTTTGTACGACCCGAATATATCCCCGGAGAAGACAGCGTCCCATGGTAGGTCGGCGTGCTTGGCCTATGCAGCGCGTTAGTCATAGAATGTACGGATCCCAGTAAGATCGCTTACCATGTCGACCAACAATCGCACATTGCCGTTAGACAGCGTTGCGATTATGTAGTCCTTCTTCAAAGCATATAATCCCGGGCTCGAGTCCGGCCAGCCTATATTGCGTGCGATCTGGGTATTGAGAAGATAGACACGTTTGCGTAAAAAAAGGGCGCACCGTCCAACCTATGCCATACGCCGTTCAGCTTGTCCCGCACATCTTTGTTCCAGCATTTGCCTATGTGAGCGTATTGTGGTGTGTCGAGGATCTCGTCTAGGTGCTACTAAGGGTGCTCAATGGTGCATATAGCTTGTAGAGACGGGTTGCCCACCTTTCGTTGCATCTCGTTCAGAATCACTGGCAGCAATCTTGTCTCTGTTGAGCCCGCCGACGAATTTGAGCTCATTGTTTTATTATGGCGTGACTGGCGAGTCTCACGTCTTCTCATCATACTTCCACCTCCACTCCATGGCGAAGGAGTGCCAGTTTTCCGAGCCTTAAAGTGCGTTAGCGGCGAGAAAGAAAAAGCAGGTAATCGCATCGGCAGACCAAGACTTACCCGAAGGACCATACACCTCGCCCGTCCGCGCCAACTCTGCCTTGATCGTGCCGTACCAGTCGACGATAGTGCCAAAGACATCAAACAGCAGAACCTCCACGTCGTCCATGACGGTTCAAAGCGAGTGGGAACTGACCTTGTCTCATGACTTGACATTATAACTAGAAGTCGCGTGCATTACCAAAATCCCAAGTCAGATATCCCGGGATTCCCTAATGCGTGAGAAACACAGGCTCAGCAGACAAACTTGGATATGATCTACGGATCGCGAGGATGACAAGGACATTACCAGCGACCAGCTGTTGTCTTCAGCACTCGCCCCTCCAATCACCGCCCTCAATATCCATCCCTCCCAAAAACCACTCCATACGCCGGCCCACCCCTCCCAAACATCGCGCGCAGATCGCCAACAAGCGCCTCCGGCTTTTCGTGCGCAGCGAAGTGACCACCGCTCTCGTGGTCTGCTTCGAAGACGACGTTGCCGAGGGTGTGTTTCCATCTGGGTGTGTATGGGTGATGCGATGAAGGTTACGAGGAAGGAAGCATAGCGGTGATGAAAGAAACGAAGAGCGAGAAATATCACTCACGACTTCGGATACACGTAGATATCCTTCGGAAACTGCGACATGCCCATCGGGATAGTGGGCGCGTTGGCCGGGTCGGGCGGGATCTCGCGGTTCAAGTATACGGTCTCGCCATTCGCATCGACGAACTCGCGCTTTGGGTAGACGGACTCGCGGTAGATGCGCACCGAGGCGGCGGGCCCGGCACGCGAAAACCAGTAGATGCTGACCCATGTGAGGACTGAGGGACGTTAGCGTTGGTGATTTCCCGCTTTCAAAACCGCAAGACGATTAAAGACGATCCGAAAAACTAGAAACACCCGCCTTCGTCATCAGTCCAGGGATACGCGTCCGTCCACGCCACCAACTTCTCATATATCCACGCCAAGAGCCCGACAGGCGAGTCCGCCAGCGCGTAGCCGATAGTCTGCGGCTTGGTTTCGTGAATTGAGCCATAGGCGCGCCCTTTGCGGTCGATCTCGAGGGTGCGCTCGAGCCCGGCGCGTTCGTCGGGGCGGACGGGAAGGGAGGTGACCTTGGGGTCGAGGAAGTTGGGGCTGGAGGTAGGCGGTCAATGAACGAGGAGACGTCGAAGGATGGAGTCATGAGTCTGAGAGGGTAGGTAATCAAAGTGGGGGTGACGTACCAAGGCATGTTGTGATGCCACGCCATGCAGTGCTTTCCGCCGTAGTCCAATGCAATACGTTGGGTGATCTGTTGTTCATTCAGTATGCGAGTTCCAGTCGAGCAGAGATGGGTTTGCGTACCCAGAATCCCCAGTCGCCTCCTATGTCGCCATAAGCGTCGGGAACATGTGAGATACTCACACGAACGTACCTTGTACGACTGCAAGGACGATAAGTCATGGGAGCGGATGAGTTGGCGAACAAACTCACCATACTGATCGTATCCGAGCGCGAGCATCAGTTTATGGCCAACCTAGGAACTCCAGTCAATTATGTGCGGGGTAGCACGTCGCCTGGAATGATAAACTACCTCAGCCATTTTGGCGACGCCAAAACCTTTCTCCTTTGTCGCCTCTGAGAATCCAAAGCCAGGTAGACTGTAGGCGACAACATGGAAACTAGGCGCAGATGGGTTGTTCTGCGTCAACAAGGGCAGTATCTTCGTCACCTCCAAGAAGCTTCCCGGCCCTGTCGACATCAACATTAGAATCAAATCATTGAAGGAGCGCACGTACATCCATGAACAAATAGTAGCGGAACGGCCCCCTCAACGTCGCTCTTCTTGTGCACGTAGTGAATGTTGAGCTTCCCGTGCCTTTCAACTTCAATGTCGCGCGTGAACTGCGGCAGCGCGTCGTTGATAACGCTTTCCTGTTTCTTCCAATCGAAGCCGTTCTTCCAGTAATCTACAAGACGCTTCATATCGCTGAGCGGTGTTCCGTAGTCCCAGCCCGCGTCATCTACTTCGTCGGGAAACACTGTAAGTTCAAGCTTGGCCTTCAACAGCGCAATCTGCTCGTCGGAGACGTTGATCTTGTAGGGTGTTTCGCTAGTCATGTCGAAGGTCCCGGTAGGGCTCAAAACGTAGGTGTTGGGCCGGAAGGACAAGAAGATAGTCGAATCGGTCTCATGACCTCAGCGATATAAAGGCTGTCGGCCCCGCGCGCGTGGCTTCGTGACTTGCCCATGAACGAATGCTTAGAAACAGCTTGACTCAGAGGTTTACGAAGATATCGTCCATTGAATAGATGTGCTTGATAATGCGCTCCAGCTTGCCGGAAGATGAGGGCAGAAAGCAGCCAACGAGCGGCGCCGTCCGGCGACGCGTGGCTCTGGACCGGCATGTTCGGCCCGAATCACACGCCTCCGCAACGCGGTCACGCGCAGGTTGTCTTCAACACGTTCAACTCGCGAGTGGACTTTGCCATACGCAGACCGCGCAATATGCCCCCGCCACCACTCTCAGACCGCGTCAACTCGCAACTGGACAGAATACAAGCCATGCTACGCCAGGGGGCGCAAGCACAGAAAGCAGACCAAGACGCAGTCAAGGATTGGAGCGCAGAAGAGGAGCGCAGGCGACAACAAATGGAGGCCCAGTGGCAGGATTTATCGGACCGATTAGACGCTCTTTACGCGAAGGTCAATGCGGACGCAGCAGAGGGCACCAAACTGGGTATGCATCGAATTATCAGATGGGACGCGAGCTGGATTGACAGTGGCGCTTTACTACAGACAAGTACACCACGAAGGACATCCTTACCGTGATGAAGGAACAGCACAAAGGCGCAATGGACGAGCTCATGGAGTGGGCTAGAGGTGAGCGACGGCACTTGTTTGTGGCGCGCACACGCTGATGATGTCTTCGCAGCATTACAAGACGTTCATCAGAAATTCAAGGACGAATTGATGAGCATTCTTTCGGTTGCGAGCACGCCCCAGACATCGAACGCCAGCTTACATTCCAATAATTCGTAGATATGCGGTTTATATGTGATTATCTGTTCCAGAATCTCGGCGACTGCCCGAACGATGCAATGTCAGAAAAGAGATATGCACAATTGTTTTCTCGCGGATGCTACGAGCCCGACGTCGTCGATGCGCGACTGCTTGTAACAGCGCGCTCTCTCCCGACGGTTTCAGATATCGACATCTTCGGCCGCAGGGAGCGAGCGCGATGGGTGATCCGGGTCAGGCGAGTACCCGAACCACACCGTACGACCGACGCGACGAAATCCGTTCTGAGCAGTCGTCAGCAAGATCCTTCATGGCAGTAAGAGCACAGACTGACGTTGCGGAATAGATTGACAACTTGGTGAGCGGCCTGCACGTGCGCTGCCGTAGGCCAAGCGTACACTATCGTATCCTCGGCGACGAGAGCCGAGGCCATTAGCTCGCTCAAAAGTCGCGTCGCGATGCCTTGGTTGCCGAACTAGATGACATGAGCAATGAGTGTGAGTCCATGCAGACGCTGAAGCAAGGGGGCAGACAGCGCAACCGGAGAGCTGACCACGCATTCGGGGGAGCAAACAACGCACCTCTTCCGGCACCTCCAGCGTATGAACACACACAATAGCTCCCTCATCCATCTCCTCGCCCCAGCAGCGATTGCCCCTGTTCACGATCCTCCGGCTCACGTCCATGTATGGGTCGAAGACGCCATTCGCGAGCTCCGCCAGCTCGTCCGTCTCCTGGTACATGTATTCGACGAAGCAGTCCTGACGGTCGTCGCGGAGGATCTGGTGCCCCTCCAATCTGCCTACACACCCGTGCTCCGGGTGCTCAGCCTTGATGAGGATGGCACTGAAGCCCGGGGATTTGCTCAGCGAGGGTGTAGTCTTGACCTTGAAGGTGAGCTCGTCGAGGGCGATGGTGGTCATGGTTGCGGTTCAGATGGAGGTTGGGTAGAAAAAATTGCAACCCGCCCCAGGCATTTTGAGCAGTCAGACAAGCTCATCGCGAACAAACGTAAGGCATTCAGTGAATTCAAAAGGTGGAGGTTGGAGGCGAGAAAGAATGTTCGCACGTGCGTGGACGGAGATGAACGCGGCACGCGTTCGGCAGTTGCCGGACAAAAGATACCTAATCCGGAAGTAATCCATCACAAGCACCAAACGAAGCAGTATGATACTTGAGCCCTACACCGATATATCAGTGTCAAGCACAAAGGCATACTTCAAGATTCGCTCCCGTTTTACCAGCTTCATAGGCGAAGAAGGCTGCCATACTATGCGGAAGGTCCAAGAAAATCAAGAAGATACCATGATAGCAGGCTCCCCCTCGCGCGAATATCCATGCACCTACACGCTCAAGAACAAACTTTCAGCCTAATAGTGCACGCGCTGAGCGTCCGACATGAACTTCTCCAACGAAGGAACCTCCTGCCCTGCCGCCTGGCGCAGCATGTAGGACACCATAAGCTCCTCGTCGGAGTACGTAGTCTTTCGGCGCTCCCATATCTGCGTCTCCAGCCTTTTATCCATCATCGCACGGTCGAACGCCTCGATGGCATTCATATGTTCTTCGCCATTGTGATCCCGGCTGAGTATCTCCTCCGCCGGAATACCATACTCGAGCAACGCGCGCAGAGCAGGCACCGCTCCGCCAATCGCCGCTGCGTAAACGGGGGTAAAGCCCTGGTCGTCCTGCACATGGATGAAGGCCGGGTGGCGAGCGTAGGCGTCGTGCACGACAGCGACGACTTCCGCCGGAGTGGGCACATGAGGCTGCATATGCGCCGGCGCCATCGCCAGGGTGCGGTCGAAGGGTGGATCGGCAGCGGTTTGTACGGGGAAGCGCTGCCGGAGAGCCGCCATAACCGCCGGCGGGAAGGCCCAAGGCTTCGGCGCAAACCTATCCTGGTCGATCGCGATTTCGGCGGACAAGGGCACTGAGCGCGATGGGTGGGCGTGGTTTGGCGAGTAGGCGAATATGGCCGTGCGGCCGACGCGTCGGAAACCGAACTGGGTGAGGGTTAGCTGGATATTGAATCAAGGTGAGATCGGCAGCTGCAGAACTGACCACACGCAGGTACGGCCTGGCTTGCGGGCGCGCTACGTCGCCGCTGTACACAATCGTGTCCAGTGTCATGATGCTCAAGGACAGCAGCTCCTTTAGGAGGGCATACTCGACGCCTTTGTTGGCGAACTGGCTCAGAGTAAGCCATACACGAGGACGAATGGAAAAAGTGCCAACACACCTCTGTGACTATCTCCAGATCGTGCAATAGAACGATGGGACCAACACTCATCTCATTCCCCCAGCACCCTGTGCCACTATGGTGCGGGTCGCCGACGATCATCGGGTTCACGTTCATGTTCGGATCGAAGATCCTCAATACGAAGTCCGCCCACTGGTGAGAATTCTCCTTCAAAAACGCCTGTAGCGCAGGCGAGCGAGAAAATATGAGAGCCTGTAGTTTTCCGATGAGTCCATGCTGAGGATGCTTGGCAACGAGTTGGATAGAGTCCTCCTGCAAGCCATCGGAGGGAGTCTCGCGCGCAATTTGCACATCGGAGAGGGAGGCAGCCATGATGGTGGGTGCGGTTGAAGAGCAGCTTGCGTGCAGCCCCAAGCATTTTGAGCACTCAGATAAGCTCGTCGTAAACACACGTAAAGTATTGCATCCGCGCAATGGGTGGAGGTGAGAAGGAATGTTGGCACGTGCGTGAGCGGAGATGAACATGCTCGGCGTTTGCCGTTGAGCGGTACAAAAACTGCCTGATCCGGCAGATATCAACTTGCTTCATAAAAAGCAACCAAGAAGATGAAACAAGAGAGGGTACCTATATGCTATAGTGACTCGAAATCTTTTTACAGCCGTCCAGGACGTCCATCAGGAATTCAAGCACGAAATGAGCAGCGGTCTTTCCGTCGCGAGCACGCCGCAGACATTGAACGCCAGCTTACATTTCTATTACTCTTAGATATACTGCGATATATGTGATGTGTGCCTAATAAACGGTCAGACGCCTGCCCGAACGATGCGGCGCCCAAGCAAGAGATACGCACGATTCTTTTGTGTAGACGCCACGAAGCCGGCGTCTGGGAATCGCGACTGCCTGCGCACACATCTGCTCATATATCGATATCCTCGGCCACAGGGAGCGAGCGCGATGGATGCGTTGGGTCGGGTGAGTAGCCGAACCACACCGTACAACCCACGCGCCGGAACCCGATCTGAGCAGGCGTCAGTTTCAAGGTACGAGGTACAACCGCAGGAGGGCAGACTGACGTTGCGGAATAGATCGACAACTTGCTGAGTGGCCTTTGCGTGCGCTGCCACCGGCCAGGCGTACACTATCGTATCCTCGGCGACGAGAGCCGAGGACATCAGCTCGCTCAAAAGTCGCGTCGCGATGCCTTGGTTGCCGAACTAGATGGTATGAGCAATGAGTGTGAGTCCATGCAGACGCTGAAGCAAGGGGGCCGACAGCGCAACCGGAGAGCTAACCACGCATTCGGGGAGCAAACAACGCACCTCTTCCGGCACCTGCAGCATATGAACACACACAATAGCTCCCTCATCCATCTCCTCGCCCCAGCAGCGATTGCCCCTATTCACGATCCTCCGGCTCACGTCCATGTATGGGTCGAAGACGCCATTCGCGAGCTCCGCCAGCTCGTCCGTCTCCTGGTACATGTATTCGACGAAGCTGTCCTGAAGCCGGTCGTCGCGGAGGATCTGGTGCCCCTCCAATCTGCCTACACACCCGTGCTCCGGGTGCTCAGCCTTGACGAGGATGGCTCTAAAGCCCGGGGATCTGCTCAGCGAGGGTGTAGTCTTGACCTTGAAGGTGAGCTCGTCGAGGGCGATGGTGGTCATGGTTGCGGTCGAGGTTGAGGGGAATTTTTCGCCCCACCCCGGGCAGAGTGAGCCATCCAGAGGGCTCGTCGCAATCAAACGCAAGGCATTCAGTAAGTTCAATAGGTAGAGGGTAGAGGTGAGAAAGAATGTTCGCACGTGCGTGAACGGAGACTTTCTCGATAAAATCGCCGGATAAGACCGGCGACCATTTTCCTCTCGAAGCGGTGCTAGGGGAAGAGATAGAATGTGATTTGATAAATTACCGATGCACCATTGGGGTCAATATATTCCCGCTCAAATTGCCCCCATCCTCCGCCCAAGTCCCATCATCCTGCTCACCAACCCAAATTCCGCATCATTCACGCACCTCGGCAACGCATTCCACTCCTCGTCCTCCTCATACATCTCCTCCCACGAGTAGTCCGTCATGTGCTCCTTTACGACATCCAGCACGCAGTTCATCGCCCACTCGACCTTCCCGTTGTGGCTGAGATAGTACTGCACCGTCTGCAACGAGAGGACGCCCATGGGTGATTGATCATTCATGAGTTCGAGGAAAATGCGGGCGGCGGTGGGGAGGAGGCCAGCCTCGACGACGCGCGCGAGAATGCGGCAGACGGTGAGGAAGCCAGTGTAGAAGGCGCGCGTCGTAGATTGCTGGAGTTCGTCTGGGATGTAGTCGAGGCGGGGCAGCGCGAGGATTTCGCTGGGGTCGGCGCCATCTGCGAAGGTGTATTCGGCCGCTTGCATGCCCATGTCGAACGATAGGTCCCCCATGGCTATGAGAGTGGTCAGCCTATCGTTACCAAAAGTCAAGGAGACGTCCCGACTTACCGATCAATGCATACTGCATGCGAGGCGAAAGCCAGCCGCCCAAACATCTGCCACAAGTGCATCCCCAGCGATTTTGCGCAACATACTCGGAAAGCGTCCTAACCTCCAGCCCAGCGGCCTGGCGAAGCCTATGGCTGGTAACGAGCGAGTCGTCCGGATATCCTTGCCACGGACCGCGCGAGAACAGCGCGGACATCTTCCTGTCCTCCAGCAGATGCTGCTGCAACGCCTCCAGCACATTCCTGTCCGCAGCATTGTCGTGGCTGAGGATCTCGTCCGGGGAGACGCCATGCGACAGCAATGCGTGTATCGCGGGAAGATTTCCTGACTTAGCAGCTGCGTACAATGGGGTGAAGCCCTGATCGTCCTGTACGTGAAGAAGGTTAGGATCGCGTACGTGCATCTCCTGGATGACGGTGGCCATGTCCGTGGCGCTGAGCTGGCGAGGTGCTTCGTAGTCTGGGTTCGTGAAATTGTCGCGATCCAGAGGCGGGTCGAGGAGCATCTGAAGAGGGAAATTGGTACGGAGTCTGACCATGTCCTCCGGCGTATACGTGATGGGCTTCATGGGGAACTTGTACGGGTCGAGGTCGAGGTCGTCGGCCTCGGGTAGTGCGCGAGAAGGGTGCGCGGGGTGGGGAGAGTATCCGAAGTAGTTGGTGCGCCCAACTCTCCGGAAACCGGCCTTGCGACAGACATGCGTGACGCGCGGGATCTCTGCCTTATGTTCTTCGACTGAGCGCGTATCCACGGGCGTCGGCCAGCAGTATACGATCGCATCTTTCTCAACATGCTTTGACGAAAGCAACGCCTTCAGCAATCGCGTCGCAATCCCCTGGTTCTCAAACTGCACAACCTGCAATCAGCACACGAATTATACCCGCCAAACTGAATCACGCACCCGTTTCTCTACCTGCACGATCGGCACATACAGCGCATTCCCCTTATTCATCTCATACCCCCAGACCCCCGTCCCTTTATGATAATCGTCCTCCACGATCTTTGGGTACGCATTCATATCGTTGTCCAATATCTTGAGGCCAAAGTCGGCCAGCTCGCCCGATTCTTCGTCGAGAACCTCAAAGAACCTGCCCCGCAGGGGATACGCGCGAGGGAACTTGTACGCATCGAGTTTGCCGAGAGTGCCATAGACTGGGTGAGTCGCGGTCACGATGATACGACCGAGGCCTCGAGAGGTTCTGCGCCGGGTTGGCGCCTGGAGCTTGATCTTCACGTCGTCGAGAGATATGGCGGTCATCGTGGATGGAGGGCAAGGCCAGAATAGGGCGCAGCAAGCACGGGAATGCGGGACAATAGCTGCATACTTGTGTGAGACATCTCGGCTGGACGAAGACACACTTAGACAGGAGATGGATGAGAGCAGGCCGAGCCGAGCCGCCGACGGAAGTACGCCACCGGATCAATCGCGCCAAACAAGACCTTCCGAATTGGGGACAATGCCGTCCTCACTGCTGCGCATAGGTTACATTGTTGTAGCCCTTGGCACCCAGATAGGTGGTCGCAAAGCGACATATACGAGTGAGATATACTAGACAATCAACAGTACGGTGTACGTATTACTAGACAAACAGGATAAACGAGCGACAGAGTACAACGAAAGCAAACAGGACAGCGAATTAGGGACACGACAGTTCCACATGTACAGGTGAAGAGAGAGTAAAGCCAGCAGCGAGTGAGGCCAACAGGGAGTGAGGCCAGCAGCGAGTGGGTGTGCACCAAGCGCGTTCGGCGGGCGAGTGAATATACAACTGATTCAGTAGGTACAGTATCAGTTTGGCTAGGCGACCGCGACTCAAGCACGGTGCCACGGGATGCGGGAGGACAGGATATACATACAAGGATACAAAGACGCGTGGTATCGGCGCGGGAGGGAGCGAGCCCTCAATGCCTCGTCGGCGTCGCCGGCACCGCCAACAACGCCCCCACCACCGCCCAACAAATCAAAAACCCGAACACCGCCGACCGCACCACAATCTCCCACTGCGCGCGCACGATCACCGGGCTCCGTATCCGCGTCAGAGGTACCCCGAACGCGGGCACGGCATGCACGATGTTGAAGCCGCGCTTGATTTCGGTGGGCGTGCGGCGTCGTTTGTCGGTGTCCTCGCAGCGAGTTTCCGCGGTGTGCAAGTGCGTCTCGTTGCAGTGCGTGGTGCCCTTCTCCAGATCACCCACGGCCCACGGCAGAGTAGGCGATCCCAGTTGCGGAGAGTTGGTAGCCCACGACGACGCCTCCGCCGCGCGCTTGTTATACGCCGCCCGAAATGGCGGCGCGGTATACGACCACGAGTTCGCCGGTGCGCATATCGTCTGCCCCCTCGACACGATTGGCAACCACCGGCTCCTCTGCGCTGTGCGAGCAGCAGCCGGCGGCGCCATCACAAAATCGAGCTCCCGCCCAAATCCCCGCCGCGGCAGTGGATGTATGCGCGGCGGGAGCTTGTCGAAGTCGAATGGGGACATCGGCTGGTGCACTTCGGCGTCTATGCCTTCGTCGCCGCTCCCTCCCTCCTCGAGCGTGCAGTCAAAGTCCGAGATGGTATCGAAGGCGTGGATGAAGGCGGCGGTGGGGACGAAGGTCTCCGCACCGGAGGACATGGAGAAGTCGGCTGGGTAGCCACGGTCGGGCTGAGCGGGGCCACACGTCGGGTCGTCGTCGTGGTAGGCGGGGGAGATCTGGATAAAGGGAGGGTCTTCGGAGACGATAGACGAGCCAGAGCTGCCGGATGTTTCTGAGCCAGAGGTGTAGATGGACGAGCCGGAGTCGGATCGCTCGGAGGATATCGAGACTCGAGGGGGTGTAGGGGATGAGGGCAGGACATTGATGGAGGATTGGAGGGCGGACGTCTTGGCTAAGGGTTGCGAGATGAGATTGCGCTGCACAGTCAGCGGCTTCGGCCTTGATATCGGTGGGCGCGCAAGCTCAAACTTGTGCAGCTGTCGTAGGTCACCAAAAATGTAGACGCCAACGCATACGCCATTCATCGCAGAGAGGAGAACAATGAGTCCTATCCACATCCCCGGGATCGCGGTCAAGCGCAGCCATCGCGTACTGTGCACGAACATGTTGTATAGGAGGGGAAAGACGCCACCGATGAGGCTGAAGATGGCGCCGGCGACGATCCCGCAGTAAGCGCGCTGGTTGCCAACATTGGTGAACTGAGCCTCCTTCAATGAAAGTTAGACTTTGCGGGGAAGTAGGGGGGACTAACGTACCACGAAGCGGTTCAGGCTTTCTTGAAGCATGTCGCGGACCTGGATGGCTAGAGGGGCAAAGGTAGTGGGATCGGGGTACGGAGAGGAAGTCGGGGCATGGAAGGGAGCAAGTAGGTCGGAAGGAACGTTGAGCTCGAAGTCGGCGTCGGGTGTGAGGAAGGTCTGCTTGGCGCGAAGGTAGAACATGGACAGCTGGGGCGAAGTCGGTAGCCATTGATCGGCTACGGTTCCAGCGGACGTGACGGTACTTGACTTTGCTTGCGCAAGCCAATGCTGGTAGTAGATGGTGTACTCGCGTAACCAGAGGGTAAAGTACCTGATATATGCATGAGGGGGGAAGAGGCTCGATGAATGGTCGGGCTCACAGGTTCTCGGGGCTCTTCTCGACGTATAGTAGCCATTCCTCGAAGTCTTTGAGACCTACACTGGGGTAAGATGCAGTGCGAGATGTGACTGGTCGAGCTACGCACCTAAGGGAGGTAGGTGCCGGCGGTTTAGCACGTCTTCGAGGCGTATTCGGAAGACAGGGGTAACTGCACATATCGTTAGCAATGGTCGACTGTGTGCATGGATGACGCGCCTCCAAAGGTCCTGAGCTCCCCTTCGACGCGTGGTGGACAGAATATGCGCCGCTAAGCCATGGTAAGTCGCTTGCAGTGCTCCCGAATGCACTACGCACCGGCAAGGAGAGGAGTGCTCGCAGCGAGACATCGAACTCCCTGGGGCGCGTCTGTTGCGGCGCCTGTGGCGCCGTCTGCATAGGCAGGTGGAATGGTGGGCAGAGGGAGGTGGGGGGAGGAAGAGAGCCTACTTGTTGTCTGGCGGACAGCTCAAGTCCAGTTAGCCGCGAGCCGCGACGTCAAGCTGTCAGCGGAAGCCCCGATCGCGCCAGGCGTCCGCTTCGAAAGACTGAATTATTCCAAATTACGTCCTCCCCTTAGCTCCCCGGCGCGACACGGCGGACGCGCCCCTCGCCCGTTGCTGTATTTTCTGTGGCTGCTGCCCCGACGTCTGTTGGTTTCGCTATGTCGCGCCACGACTGCTGGTGCTGACAGTTTTCCCTTCCGACGAGTGTCGTCCGGAGGATCCAGTACACTCAGGCTGGCTCGGAAGCGATGTCGCGTCGTAATGACTTCCGTGTTCATTTGCTTGACAGTGCGCCCTTCTGGCCGCGTCGCTCAATGAGCGCTCGCGCCCTCTTAGCAAGTCGGGTGTATCTAGCGCCACCAGCTGTCGAAGGCCTGTCGGGACGTAACGCATCGATATGCTTTGTATAGCGTCTCTCCTGAGCTCTATTGAGAACATCCCTCTGTTGTCGGAAAGCCTGAGCATCGTCACGCAGAAAAAGTCCAACATGAGCTTCGTGAAGGTGTTTGAGCAAGATCCGGCAGATGCCGAACGCCTAATTGCACGCGAGAAGTGATCCGGCCCGCCATCCCGGCACTTGTCCCCAACCATCTCAAAGTCCTCACGTCCACATCCTCGACGTCTCCCGCCGACAGCTTCGTGGTCAGCGGTCCTTCAGACCCGCGATGCTTCCCCTCCGATGGCTTGCTTGAAGACGTGTATACCGTTGCCGCATATCCCAGTGCTCCATGGGAGGAATGTACGATACTTACGAGAATGCCAGGGTTGTTGCAGTCACCTCATTCGACATGCCCTCGTTCTAGAATGTCGTCACCTCGGCTGTTGGTAGCTGTCGGGTCCGACCAACGGTCATCTAGAGGACCGTTAGGTTTGGGTTACTTTGCAAGTAGACCCTCGTCTGGCGAAGAGAAAACAATTGCAGGTCTCGTATCAACGGCCAGCTTGTCCTGACAGGTTCCGGAACTAATCTCCGTCAGCGCGCGACGTATCAGTGGCTGTAATCGGGCTTGAGAGTTGCGCATCCGTAGTGGACGCCCTTCACTTGTCACTCGGCGCCCTCCTCATCCGCGCGATCATGCGCCTTCGATATGCAGTCTTCATTCGCCTGAATTAGCCGCCCGAACAAGGCAAGCACGCGCATATGGACGCCGACAGGCATCCAGTCTGCTATGTATGTCTATCCCCGGATTAGCCTCAGGGCGACGTGTGCCAGCAGTATTGCAGGTAAGCCCGGATGCGCCGTATAGCTGACTCTCTGTGTTAGACCGTCAACGTACGCGCTCAGTGGCCCTCTCTATTCTAGTAGAAGCAGCTTCGCGAACTCGCGAGGTGCAGCAGAGTGAATGAAGAGGCTAATGCTGGAATGAGTAAGGCATAGTCCTTTCTCTGCTTTCGGCCCACGGACTCTACTTACCCGTTTTCCAGGGCAGATCATGGCCCAATGCTCTGTGTACGGACTTACCCTAGTGTTTTTACTCACACAGTAGCGTCAACTCGACCGCAAGCACCGGCCGGCGCTCAAAGCCTTCCGAAAGCAGCAACACCTCGCCCGACCGGGCCGCTTTCCCGCTGAATGCGTCGGCCACTGCAAAAGTGGTCAGTGAATGGGCCGCCCTGGCACGCGGGCTTCGCGAGCGGCATTCCCTCTTCTACGCAGCCCAATCGCGCGACCTCTTCTCCCGATACCCATACATAAGCCTGGCGCTTGCGGGAGGGACTGCGACGATGCGGGGGTCGGCGCTCCTGCTCTTGACCGCTTGTCTTCCTGCGGTAACTTTAGTCGCGGGGGAGCAAGCGCTCTTTCTCTCACGATCTCAAGTCAGCTTGACGACTGGGGGGAACTCAGCGACGATGGGAAAGCAAATTTGGGAGCAGCAGGCGACGGACTTCGCCTGGAAGGAGGGCGAGGGTGTGTTCTCGCCGAATGACCTGGTCGGGCTCGGACGCCCCGGTGCTGGGGTGGCGAACGATGCGGGCGACTTGTTGCTCGTGCCGTACAGCAAGTACGACTTTGAGGAGAAGAAGTGAGTGGTCTGAGGGATGGGCGCTTGGGCAGGCACTGACCAGGGCGCGTCCTGTAGGAACAAGAAGTCAATCTTCATCGCCCCCATCGAAGACCTGACTTTCAAACCGCTAGAAATACCTGTATGGCTACGAGACCCTTGTCGCGCTTATCAGTCTAACTTGCTTCAAAAGCTAGAGAAGGGCGGCGAGGCATTCTGGCTCGACAAGCGCACCATCGGCCACGTCTTCGAAGGAGAGAACAAGACCCTTTCCTTCTACTCCATCGACATCAAATTCTCTTCCCCCTCCAGCATCACCTCGCCCGATTCCCCTACCTTCATCGGTACCTTCCCCACCGCCAGCGCCGCGAACTTCGTGTACAGTCCGGAAGCCAAGCGTCTGGTATTCTCCGACGAGGTATACGAGGACGGCGACCTGACGACGGTCAACGAGCAGGACAAGGAATGGGATGAGCGCGGGAATACGGCTTTTGTGTATGATGCGCCATACGTGAGGCACTGGGACAGGTATGTGGGGCCGAAGAAGAGTGCGTTGTTCTCGGTGCCGTTCAGCCAGAGGCTGGATGGGAAGTGGGTGCTGGAGCCGGAGTGGACGAATTTGTTGAAGGGGACGGGGCATGTAAGTGGGTGGGGGTATGCCGAGGCTTCGTCGCTGATAGTCCTTAGAGCTCGCCGGTCGCGCCGTTTGGCGGTACGGATGACTTCTCGGTGTCGAAGACGCACGTCGTGTACACTGCGAAAGACCCTGATCTTCCGGAGGCGCTGCATACGAAGCAGAACGTACGTATTTCTCCTCTTCCCAGGTAATCTGCGCTGTACTCACGATCTGTATCTCCAGATCTACACTGTGGACATCACCGGCGCTTCCCCGCCGCGGGAGATCACCATGGGCAAGCACGGCGCCACCCACGCGCCCGTGTTTAGCACCAGCGGTACGAAAGTAGCATGGCTGCAACAGGATGAGGATGGGAATGAGGCGGACAAGTGCGCGGCGCTCCCATCGGATCTTCGCATATTCATTCGACAATAGAACCAAGGTCGTGATGTACGACCTCACGAGCCATGTCTGGACAGCAGTTCTCATGAGCTGGGATCGCTCGCCTGAGGCGGTTGTGGTAAGGCTCGTTTCTCTATACATTCGCAACACATGATGACCAGTTTTGTAGTTCTCAAAGGACGATAGGATGCTCTACCTCACGGCCGGGGACGAGGGCAGGACCAAGCTTTTCTCGTATCCGTTGTTTATGATGCCAGTCCCGAGTGATGATGACAATGGTACGCGCTCGTGTCCTTTTCGATGTCTAGATGCTCAAGCACCGTTTCACAGGAAAGCCTCGTGATCCTGTCGCTCTCACCAGCACCGGCGCAGCCTCCGGCATCCAGGCCTTGCCCGACGGCCGTATCCTCTTCAGCCGCTCGTCGTTTACTTCGCCGAACAATGTCTTCGTGGTCAGCGGGAGCGCTGCCGACCCTACGAACCCTCCCGTCGTCACCCAGCTCACCAACTTCACGTCCGACGACTTTGAAAGCAAGTTCCTAGCGGACGGCGAGGAGTTCTGGTTCAAGGGCGCACTGGACCGGGATGTGCAGGGCTGGATATTCAAGCCAAAGGGATTCGAGAAGGGCGAGGATAAGGCGTGGCCGGTGGCGCTGTTGATACACGGAGGTGAGTAGTCGGCGTTCGGGGCGTGCCGGAGGAAGGGTGATGCTGATACATGCTCGATAGGCCCAGAAGACGCGTGGAAGGACCAGTGGTCGACTCGGTGGAATCCGAATGTGTTCGTTAATCAGGGCTTCGTGGTCGTCATGATAAATTCGACGGGGAGTAGTACTTTCGGGCAAGGTGCGCATAAATTCCAGAGCGTCTTTGCCCTGAGCGGCCTCTGACGCGACGTGTTCTCAGAGTTCTCGAGCGGTATCAAGAATGATTGGGGTGGAAAGCCCTTCGTTGATCTGAAGAACGGATGGGATTATATGCTCGCGGAGTACCCTGAGGTGCGGATATTGAAGGAGCTGTCCAGGAAAATCCTCATGTGATCATACAGATTGACGCCGATCGCGCCGTCGCTGCCGGAGCAAGTTGGGGCGGATTCGCGGTCAACTACATTCAAGGTCATCCCGAGCTCGGGTTCCACTTCAAGGTGAGGGTATACTGTCTGCGGTGACGAGCGGAGCTAGACATCCACAGGCCATGTTTTGCCATGATGGCGTCTTCGACATCGCATACCTCGGCCACTCGACCGACGAATTGTTCTTCGTACGTCTGTCCCAATGCGATGATAGGGACGTTCAACTCAATTAAATCCCCAGTTCAACTACGAATGGGGCGGCCGCCCATGGGACAAGGAGACGAAGGAGCTCATCGACAAGTACAGCCCGTCACAGTTCGTCGACAAGTGGTCGATCCCGCAGCTCATCGTGCACGGGAGTAAGGATTATCGCCTGGCCGAGACGGACAGCATCGCGGCGTTCCATGCGTTGCAGCAGTACGTGGAGCTCTGGTCGAAAGCCGAAGCGATGTTATTGATCTGGCTCGTGGCAGATTGGGTATCCCGAGCCGGCTGGTCATTTTCCCCGACGAGAACCACTGGGTGTTAAATCATGAAAATAGGTGCGTTGACCTCGCTGCTAGCCTGTGTATGGAAGGAGCTGATGGATTGCTGCAGTCTGAAATGGCATCACGAGGTGTTCCGCTGGTTCGACCAATGGGTCGGCACGACGAAGGCCCCATAATACGATGTCCCACAATTGTTTCACGTCGTACGGTTGCGGTATATATCATCTTCAGCTTTTTGGACCCACTAGGCTCACGGCGATGCTGTGGACATCTCTGCTGTGAGAAACGATTTTGTGTCGCGCCGTGTACGGAACAGAGGGCCGCGAGAAGTCGCTCCGCGTAGCACTATCGTCATGCTCCCTCTCCCTTTTATTCCTTCCTTGATGTTGACATCCGCGCTTCCTCCATCAGGCTTATTTCTCGCTCTCATCTGCTCGGGGCATCGAAAAATTGGGACGGGAAACACCATTCCCGTTCCGGTATGCAGGATCGATAATCTACGCGCTGGGGTCTGTTGGCTATCCAGCTTCCATCTCACAATTAGGCTATTTTACCACGATCTTCGCCGTATTGTCTGACGCCGAGCATTACAGGGGCATTGGATCGCTTATTGTGCTGGTGCTCAATAGACCCAGAATATCCTTCCCACAGCGACTGGGCCGTGAACGAACAGCAGCGGCGGATAAGTACGGGCGCGGATTCCCCACAGGAATTGTCGGCCTCTCACACTCTCTGCGTCTTAGCACCAAGCACACTGTGGCAACACTTGTCCGACGCGTCATTCTCTATGTATCGGTCCTGGTCGTCGGATAACTCATCGTCCGGTGGACAGTCGAGGCGGGCGTCCACCGCTGATCAGTCAGCAGACGACGAAGTACGTTGTGGCGGTAGATACCTCGGGATCGAAAGGCTGACAGAATCTCCAGGGCATCATCATCAGGCAGCTTCTGGACGAGACGGCGCCGGGCTCACAGATGCAGGAAATCTTTCATCCCACACGGGCGCCAGGTAAAGCTACATATCAAATGCTACGCAAAGACTGACACAATTCATGAAGGACTGAATGTCCGTATCTGGGCCATCGTCAAGCCAGAGTATAGAACATTGAGTACCTCCCAGTTCCCCTGGGAAGCCATCCTTTTCGCGGATGACCATTGTGGCGAACTCAGTGGTGTTCCGCCGATCCACCGGCTTCCTGCCAGGTCACTCAGCGAGATCTTCCTCAATTGCGCCGAGTGGCACGCGGGCAGCATGCACGAGTTGTCATTCAGTGGCAACTCCGTTCCTTTCGTGCTCAGTGCTGTGTGTGGTCTATGGAGGGACGTCGCACTCCACGTCCCTGAGCTATGGAGGTCTATGTTCCTGCGGCCCTGCCAGGGTCGAGGTCACCAAAGGATGGCGAATTTGTTCCTCCAACGTGCCCGGGGTCGGTTTTTATACATCGGTTACAGCGAGTCCTCGGATGCAGGAAGCGCTGTTGCCGGGAGATGCACCTGGGCGATAGACTTCATTCGCCAGAACCTACGCCAGATCATCTGCCTCCACCTCGACGACATCACCGACCGGACGGTCTCACGACTGGCAGGTCTTTCGAGCGGATGTGCGCCCGCCCTCGCCAGTTTGCACGTCAAGATGCGTCCCGGCCAGTGTTCGCAAGAATCAATGCAAATCTTAGCGTCGCTCTGCACAGGATCCCCTCGACTGGTCACGCTGGACTGGCATGCATCAGTCTTTCCCCTGAACGTCCATTGGCCTCAGATCACCCGGATCGAACTCAAGCACTGTCCTGTGGACTCTATGACAGTGCTGCACATCATACAGTCTGCCGTACTATTGCGCGCTCTGGACATCAATATTACGCTGGCGCCGCGTCTGCCAAATTCCCTTTCGGTGCTCTATCCGGCTGTCCGAAACGCTTCGTTGAAGAAGTTGGCAATCGCGAGCGACGGTTGGGCTTAGGACGAGCTATTCCGCACTCTTGACTTGCCGCATCTGCAAGAGCTGGAGTTGAAGCCATATGACAAGAATGCGCCTTCTGCTCTTTGGCCTTTCCGCGATATCACTGTTTTCTTGAATTTCCTCCGCCGCCTGCAGGATGGGCTGAAATGGTTTCGACTATGTGAGGGCGGTCGCGTTTTCGACGAAGCTGCCCTTCTCCGAGTCATTGGCATGCCGCAGATGTCGACACTGATCGGTCTATTCGTAGACAGCATAGCTGGAAGGGTGGGCGATACTTTCTTCAAGCGACTGACTTGCGCTTCGGGATCATGTCCTCTGCTCCCAGCCCTCGAACAATTGCGGATCTACAGATGCTCAACAACGGACGGTGTCATTGCTCGTATGCTTTGGTCTCGGCGCAACCATTCGTATCCACTTGATATGGTTGCTTTTGGAGTTGGCCTACAGGAAAGTCGTGCACATGTTGATGACCTTGATGCTCTCTATCATCTCAAACGAGCTGGGTGGCTTGTAAAATGGTACGAGGTGCGACCTAATGACTACTAGGTCGTCAGGCGAAAGGGAGTAAAGTCGTAGTCAAGGAGACGACTTCATGTAGTTATGCAGCATATTTGTGGCTCTGACGTTTGCACTATGTCTGCAACTCAGACCGAGGTGTTGTCTTTGCCTATTTTGGTAATAATTGGCCAGATCGAGCTTTGAGTTGTTAAGTCATGTATGCGCATGTGTTGCATCGACGCCTATGGGAATGTCACATACAAGTCACGCCTCTTGTCTGCTCCCACCATCATGCAAGGAATTTCGGAATGCTAAAATATACTCGTCATCACAAGATACGCCACAGAGACGCATCGTGACGGACGCAAACGCGTCGTCGTTGTCAATGACGCGCCCTCGGGAACACCTGTTTCAAGCCGGGTTCCGTTATTCGGCAGCCTTCATACTTCTTTCCTCCCACCATGACCACCGCCATCAACATTGCCGACGTCCGTATCGAATGCAGGGAGTCGGCATCGGCCAGCAAGCGCTTTATCAAGCATGTCCGACTCACGGCAACTCACCCTCAGTACGGGACTCTGGGCACGCTCGAGGCGTACAAGATCGAGCGCGTATATGCGCTTAAAGGTCACTTCCTCGAGTACCTCGACGCCAAGTCCGCCGAGCTTTCCGACTTCGGGGAGAAGGTCCTTGACGAGAACCTGAACGTCTACTGGAAGCTCATCGACCACGAGTATCACAAGGGTACGGGCTGCTGGGGTGCAGAACTGAATGACGGAGACATTGTCTATTTACACTCGGTTGAAGTCGGTGTGGAGGTGTGTTTCTCAGCTGATATATGCGCGAGAAATCACCTTAAAGAAGATACAGCACGAGCACCAAGGTATCGGTACACGCTTGGTTAGCGAGCTACTGTCTCCTGCGCACGTCGACAAGTACACCATCGTGTACAGCTAGCCTTCCGCTTCCAAGGCTCGTTCACGCGCGGAATGCCGTGTCTTGAACCCGCCCATCATCAACTTCTTTCGGAAGGTATGCGCGCGATATCTTCTAAGTACTCCGTCGGTGTTGATTGTCTGCGGCAGCTTGGCTTCCGTCGCATTGGCAGGACAACTTACTTCGCCTACTCTCCCGACGCCGATCATCCATCCCGCTCACTTGCTGCCTTCGAAGACCTGAATATCGATCCATACAAGTACGCGCAGAGGACGACCGGGGCTATCCAAGACCAGGAAGCCGCCGCTCTGAAGCAAGCCTATCCCCTGCACACGCTTTTGGACCCTCCCTTCTCGATGACGGACCTCGTGAGGGGTCTACACCCCGGGAGTGAGCCGCGAACCCCGCCTCCGACGAAGGAAGACGTAGCCGCCGCCATCGAGGCCGCATATACGCGCGACCCGGCCTCGATACACGCCCGCGACGAGCGCGGCTTCACGCCCCTCTACATTGCCGCCACCAAGGGCCACGGGCTCGCGCTCGAAAAGCTCTTCGACCTCGCTGACTGCCGCGAGGATATCCTCAGCCGCGACAACGTCGAGGACCAGAATGCCATCGAGGCGCACCTCGAGGCAATGCGGCTTTCGAACAAGATGATGGCGGTGCTGGGGCCTGCGCCGCTGGGCTTTTCCGATGGCGGCCTTTCAATGAATCACGCGCTGAGGAAGAAGGCGGGCGAAGATGTTGGCACGCTGGAGGACTTTATGGCGCGGCAGCGCTACGACTGCTCCTGCGGCCAGTGCCGCGGTGGATGGCTCTCAGCGCGTATGGCAGCCGCGCTCGTAGGTAAGCTGTTGCTCCGGGTATATGCGCGCACGCGGTTGCTGACCAGCGGCATCTATAGCGGAAGCTAAGATGAACTTCGCCGTGGGCACCGATATGGCGTATGACAGTTTCTCAAGACGTAGGAGGGATTCCTTCGGCTTGGACTCGGAGCTCGACCTCCCAGGCGTTGAATTCATTCCGTCCCTACTTCGCCAACGCCTGAATCGAACATTCTACCAAGGCTTCCTCGGCGTCCACCGCGCTATTGCTTCCCTCATCGAACGCGGCGTCCTCCCCACGCCAGACGCTGTAATCAACGAAGCGATACACAACCGCACGGACGGATACGATCCCTTCGATGTGCAGATGTACCTCGCCAGCGGTGGCACGGCCGAGTTTGCGATCAACTACCTCGTCTCCGCGACGAAGGACCAGATGTTGGACGATTCGCTTCTCGAGATGGTCGAAGAGAGCGCGGACTGGGACGCGCTGCCGCGGTGTACGAATGACTGGCAGTTTGCGCTAGCGGGACGAATGATGGGGCTTGTGTCGACGCAGCAGTGGGGGCCGTACGGGGAGGGTGAGGGAGGGCTGTTTGAAGATGAATTTGGGGGGAAGACCAGGTTACTACTATGCTGACAGCGATAGCTCGAATGAAGGCGAGGTTGAGGAGGATGTGGAGATGGGTGGCGCAGGGCAGGCGGCCTCGTATGGTGTAGATATGGCTGCCGCGGCGGGGTTGTACGATGTAGAGGCGATTCTGAGCAGCCTGCGTAGGTAGCTCCGAAGGCATGCCATAAATTACCGCATTGGGGTATGATAGGCTACTTGATATCGTGGGTGTCTATAGGTCCACATCATCACAAGGCCAGCAGGTCAGCACGAGGCTGCCTCTCCTCGTTCTTGCCATTCAGCGCAAAGGTCTGACGTCTTCTCAGTTGGCTTTCCCCCGTAATTCTGCGAGAAGAGGCTGACTCGTGAGGCTATTAGGACGCTCTTTGGAACTTCATCAGTGCGTCTGCACCTGCATGGCCAGTGCTGATCATTCTATCTAACAAATGGGGAACAGAGATGGCTGAGCTCGACATCGATGTCATCCTCGAAAATATCAGAAGTGGTATGAATCAGGCGGTCGACGCGCATCGCAGGGCTACCATGCTAAGCACTCCTGAGCTTTCCCTCACTCGCGATCGTCTCCCTCCGATTCAAAATCTGGATGCTCATCTTTCCGCCGAAATCAAAAGGCTCCAAGCGATCCATTCGGAAGTCAAGCAGCGGATCGCAGTTGATTCAGCCCTGCTAGCGCCGTGGCGCCTTATACCATCGGAGCTCTGGAGCGAAATATTCCTTCTTGCCGTTCCGGAGGACTGGACGAAACGGAACGGATGGCGCGCGGGGCACAGGTTCCTCAGCTTTGCGCAGGTCTGTGCTGCATGGCGCATAATCGCCTTCAGTACCCCGCTTCTCTGGAACTATATCGATATTTCCATCTGCGATGCCCACGAATGTCCATCCGCGGAGGAGCGCGCTTCCCTCGAAGCAGAGATATCTCGAACGGGGCAAGCGCCGCTTGATCTTGTCATAACCATGTCTGAGAAGGCGGGACAGGTCGAAGAGCAGTACCTGACTCCACAGGAGTGCCAGCAGCGCACCGATTACTGGGCTGTACTCCGGGCACAGACACATCGATGGAGGGATGTGACGATCTATGGGTTACCGCGCCGCCTATACGCTTCTTTGGCTGGCTGCTCGTTCCCTATTCTGCGGAGGCTGGGCTTTGGCCTAGAAATGGAGCGTATCGATCTCCCGCCAGTGTCACCCTTGGAGATTTTCCGAACTGCACCGATGTTGCGCGCAATCGGTGTCTACTTCATGGACGTCCCGATCCCGCCTCCAGGCTATCTCATCCTTCCCTCATCATGGTCCAATATCGAGGAGATGGACTTGCGACGTCAGAACTCTCGTGGACCCATTCCCGAGTTCTGGGTCTACCTGGACGCTTTTTTCTCTTGCAGCCGCACGTTGCGTGTATGCAGGTTGAACGCCCAGCGACTCGGAGATATCCCTCGCCGCCTAGCCGTCACAACATTTCCGCGGCTAGAGGTGCTAGAATTGCTGCATGCGGCCAATCACCTCCTGCCGTACATGATCACTCTTAGTCTGAAGACGGTCACGCTGCGAACGGACAGCGACGGAGCCTGCGATGTCGTGACCCTGCATTCCGACCTACTCGACAGGTCAACCGCCTGGAATTCCCTTCAATCCCTCGGCCTGCTATATGTGGTGGTCGATTCGGCACAGCTGGTTGGCTGTCTCAGACGGCTGGACAATCTTACGACGCTCACACTCAGAGAGCGGGACTGGCGCAATGCGCCGGAGACGCGACTCATCAGCCAAGCTTTCGTCGCGGCTCTGGCACGCGCCGCGCCCGCAGATGCCGACGAAGATCAAATTTTTTTACCGCGTCTCGAGCGATTGACGCTGTCGTTCCAGTATGCCAGGGACTACGCTAAGGAGCATATGATATTCAACGTCTCGTTCGCACGAGCTTTGCTCGCCGCACTTGAATCGAGGAGGCGACCTTTGGTTTGGAGAGGCGAGAAACTTCCGGGCCTGCAATATTTGACGATGCCCGTGTTGTACGGTCCGCACTGCCAAAGACTGTAAATGCGCGCGAAAGTAGACATGAATCTGATCAATCGTCTACAGCATGGCATTACTGCTTGACAGGCGAGTTGCTGTGGAGATCCGTACCAGGTTTACACCGCCGTCTCCCGTCCTGCAGTCGCCTGGATCATCGCTATCGCCTCCTCGCTCCTAGGAACATACTGGCACTCGAAGTGTTCCGGAGAGCTATTGAATTTGTGTCAGAACCATCTACTTCATGTGCATACTTGGTACGAAAACACGTACTATAACAGCGATGACTTGTACTCGCGTACTGGCTCGATAACGGTCCCGTCGGGCCGCTTCGCCTTCTCGATGTTGTACACGCGCAAAATCGATGCGATGGCGTGCCAGACAGACGAGAGGGCCATATGCCGCCCGGGGCAGATACGACGGCCGAACTGTAAAATGATCATCAGAATAGCGAAGCAAGAGAAGGAAATGGCGCATACACCGAAGGCGTATAGGCTGGGATCCCGGACATCGGGGTTGAGCTTGCCGTCCGCGGTTAGGAACCTCTCAGGCTTGTAGGCGTATGGATCGGGGTACATTTTCTGTAGGATGTCAACGGGATGAATTTCCGAGAGGCGCCTGTACTCACTTCATCGTGCGCTAGCGCCCTTTCGATCGTGTCAGCAAAGGAAGTAATGACAAGTCGAAGGCTCACCAAGTATTGGGGATTAAGAAGGCACCTTTAGGGATTAGGTATTCACGATAGACGTCATCCGTCTTCCCGCTATGCAGATGTGGCAGCGCCTTTGAGGATTAAGTCTTGCGCTGAGCTGGACGTGGCAAAAGAAAACCCACCATCGGCGCCACCGGGTACAAGCGCATCGTCTCCTTCATGATGGCGGTGATGTAGGGCAGTCGGTCCTCGTCGCCATACTCGGGTAAGCGACCAGGCTCCAGGACGGAGTCGAGTTCCGCTTGCGCGCGTCGTTGGACCTCGGGGTTGGCGAGCATATCGAGCGTGAAGTTGAGGATCGTGGCGACGGTCTGCGGAAGGCATATCAGCTCAAGGCCTCAGCCAAGGCCAGAGATCCCACCGTGTCCATGGCGCCGATGTAGGTCAGCGCAGCGGTGTTCCTGATGATGGTCTCCATGTCCTCCTCGCCGTCGCCTTTCGCGCGGGCCTTGCTCAAGAGAAGGGAGACGAAGGACTCTCGGTTCGGGTCGGCAGTCTGAGCAACGATGTCGGTCAGCCTTCGCCAACAGCCGAGGGATCGACGAGTTCACCATCTGCCGTTTTGCCTCCTCGTACGGCGCGTTGATCATTTTCATGGTGACCTCCTTCCACTCCTTCGCGTATCGCTTGAACCCAGCCCCTATTGATCCCGTCAACACACGCCTCCCAATGATTGGCAATGGGTGGAAAGTAGGAAGTAAGAAAGCACGAAAGCAAGGGGTGGAGACTTACCCGGCATCCAGTCGGGCACGTTCTTCAAGAACGGGAAGATGCTGACCAAGTACGCGCCAGGAATGCCTGCTTTGGCGGCTTCGCGGAAGGCGATGTCGGCCGTGTCGATGTAGGGGTCGTGCTCCGGCTTTGCGTCGATGGCGTAGGTGATGTCCATGATGGTGGAGCCAACCATACTGACCGAGGGGAGGGCAGAATTAGTATAGAGTACTACAGAGGACGTGTGCATGACGTACTATCGCAGCTCCTTGTCGAGAGAGCTCGGGGACGCGTTGAGCATACGACGGAGGAACATCTTCGTGGCCTTCGCCTGTTGAGGGAGGAAGCGTCGGGCAGCATCGATGTTGAACGCGCTATGGAAAGCACGTCGATGCGCTCTCCTGGGATTGGTTAGCTGAGAAGCACTTCGAATTCTCTTTTCCTTTACCAGTAAGGACCTGGGGATGGATGTCAGACCGAGAGAGTAACTCAGTTGACGAGGTTCACTCACCGTATTTCATCGCCGAGAACTGGAAATCCCATCCCATCAGGTCGAGCATTGGGGTGTCGACGCTGTAAACGATCGTCAGGCTGCAAGCCGTCCTGCTCAATGAAGGGTGCCCACCGACTTGAGTAGATACTTGATCTCCTCTCAAGGAGGTCAATGCACGCCTCGAAGGACTGTAGGCTAACAATCGCCTGCCCAGCGACATTGATGTAGATTAAGTCCGAATCTGCGGGGCACATGTTTCAGTGCAGCTCGACGCACGCGACCGTGCACGCACCGTACTCCCTCGCCCACTCCGCGAACTTCTCCCACTGGAAGTCGGACGGCGCGTCGAAGAGGTTGCCCACGATAGGGAGTCCAGGCGGTCCAGGCGGCGTGGGGAGCTGCAGCTGGCGCCGGCGGCGATCATACAAGTAGAGCCCGCCGTAAAGCGCGACCAGGAGGGGGATGACGGGCGAGTTGAGAGAGGAGCCCAGCGCCATGGCGGAAGGAAGAGCAGTGGGAGGAAGATCGTCAGCATCATTGGGATCGTCGCTCTTTAATACATCGACACATACCATCTATCACAACATGAGGCGGAGGTGGGGCAGATGACCTGGCTAGAAGGGTGCACTGAACGCAAACCCTGAGAAGACTTCATTCATCGGCACAGTTGCCAAGTCTACCGTGACGCGCGAGGTCATTCGCACGCTGCAATGGCCATCTTTGGTGGCACTTGTGCTGCTTCAAAATTTCGCGGATGTAAATTACAGGACGCTCTCACCTCGGTCTACACGACCTCCTCGTTGCGTACATGTACAAGGTCATGGGCAAGTTCAGGAAGGGGACCCTCATGTTCATTCTGGAGCTCTTCAGACCCTTTTTCATCAGCGACCCACCGTCAACGACCTGTCAAGAAGGGTGAATTGGTGATCAGCAGGCGCGGGCGCGCGCCGCTATGTTCCCAGGAGGTGATCGTCATTTTACGTGGTGTGGGCGCTCGGCAGCCGGCTTGACCATGTTGACGCTGAGTTCGACGCCTCAGGCAAAGAGACCACAAAGCGAGGTTTGCACGGCACACATGGCCTCCATTGAGTGTGCTTGTGGGATGGATGTTAACAACAATGAGCCCAGCATCGGGCTGTACAAGGTCCGACTTATGATAGATTCAGACGTTGGCGTCGCGTTGGCATGTTGCATGTCTTGACACAGGATATCCAGTCAATTTTGATAACTCTAAGCCACAAATTCCAGTGTGCGTGGTGACTGAGGATTCGACAGGCTCACAGCGAGCGAGGCAGGAACAAGGAAGGAGACAAGCGCCGTACCGGAGCTTTCCGTGACATTAGGGACTTTATCCCACGGTCACCTTTCGGTTGGTTCGAAACCTCGTCTTCGGGTCAGACAGCTGCAAGGCCCGACAAAGAGACCTCAAAGCCCAGCGATTACAGTAGGCAAAAAATCAGATGTCCAGAAAATATAGGATATAGCATTAGATAGATGAAGACTACTGTACAACTGCGAAGCGCGCGGATACCAAGTGGTATATAAGTGGAACTCAATCCCGGACGACGTTCGATGGTTTACATTCCTGTAGTAGATTCATTCTTTTGCATGCCCTACGAATATCATGATAAGCTTTCTGCTAGTAGCATGTAGCGATGGCGCTTACCATTAGAGTGGCTGCCATTTGCCTTCCCCTCGACAGGTGAGGGATCGTCAGTCTCGGCATCGTCGACGGTCTCGGCGGTCTCTGTATCGGACACGTCCGCTTGCTCCCGTCCAAAGGTCTTGAAGAACTGGATTAAGACGGCCAAATCTTCCTTCGGGTGCGCGTCGCGGTAATCGTGGTCCTTCCACGCCGTAGCTCTTGAGCGCAGTACAAGCAAGTTTCCGCACCTGCGATATCAGTTATACTTATCATAGCTCGGTGCGAGATGCTTTTGAGCTCACCACTTATGCGCAGTCTTCCCATTTGTGAGCTTCTGGATGCACTCATTGACGGGTGAACCGTCGGTCAGGAAATGTGCGTTATGCACAAGCGCCAGCCGCCGGTCTTCAGGTAGCACAATTGCGCCATTCTCGCCCGGCAGCGTATCGATGTACATGTTGCGCACGGCCACGTCCTCCGCGAACCACTTGGGCTTCACGTGGATGTTCTGGTAGCCACCTCCGGGCGCATCGACGTCGACGATCCACTCCCAACTAAGCTTGACCTCCCGCGGCTCGGTGGCGTCCGCGGGGAGGAGGAGGGCGCTGACGCTGTTCTGCGGGTGCCAGACGTCGGAGTAGACGGCGTCGGAGTCGGCCGCTGGCTTGCTCTTTAGCAAGCTCTGCCCGAAGGCGTACATGCTGTGCTGGATGCGGACGCACTCGGCGTTGTGGCGCTTGAGGTCCTGAGAGGAAATTCAGCACGAGATGTAGGGCAGTAGAGGGGAAAAGCATACCGTCTTGTAGTGATCTTCGCTGCAGTAGTAGACCCTGTGGCAGTTCGTGCAGCGCATCGTCGTGGGAATAAGGCATACATTGCAGTGCGTGCCTGCGCTCTCGAGCAGCGGCACGGGCGGCTCCTTCGCATGCGAAGAGTGACGCTTGGTCTTCGTCGGCATGGCTGGCAGCAACAGTGAGCGACGACGAGCAAGGGCAAGCTTGGTCAGTAATTTGTCGGGATGTGGCACGCAGCGCGCGCCGGAGTCGTTATATGCAGGCGCAACGATGATATCATATGTTGCTCAAGGCCGCCGTCCAGGCTTCACGATGGTTCTACAGGAACGCCGCATGACAAGGGCCTGGGTATAGTCGCAGAGTGGCCCTCCGAAGCTGAATCAGCCTAGCTGACGATGTAAAGGTGCCTGCTTGCGAGCATGCGTCTCGTCGAGTCTCTCACCGACCCGAGAAACGTCGCATGGCAGCGCGTGGGTCAGGCCCGGGTCGGCCCCGACAAACAGTGCGGGTTGGGTATCGTGCCATACTATGCTCTCGCGCTGCATTCCCCATAGACGACCAGGGCGGGGTCGTGGCGAGAAAGGTGAGGGAACATCGTGGTCGAAGTTGAACTTCCGGGAGCAGGTTCTACTCGCGTGGCATACATCACCGGCAACTGCCGGCGTAACTCAACCCGAACTTCTACCTGCGTGTTTTCGTAAACTCGCTCGCCGGTATTTCTCTGTCGTTGATGGCTCTTGTCAATAAGCTACGCCTCATTTCTAATGCTCTGTGCTGAATTGGTCTATCTATTTGGCGGTCCGAGCCCGGACATAGCGCTGCGCGCGGGCCCCATGAGCGCTCCTTGTATTGCTGTGACCTAGTATCACACTTCATTCAACCGTATGTGACTTGCCTCCTAGAGGGATATATGCCGCGCCATTGATGTATCGCCGCCCTCGCGCCTTCGCCTCATCCCCCACGGCCATGGCCTCAGCCCGGACGCCAACGCTCGAGAAAGTCGAGAACCATTGCCGCGTCTGCGGCAGTCCAACGTCCATGCGCTGCTCGCGCTGCCGCGTAGTATACTACTGCAGCAAGGAGCATATCGCGCAGGTATGACTAAAGATCCGTTGAATACAAGGCCTTTTCTCTGACAAGGGCATCGTACAGGACTGGAAAAATCACAAGCCTGGCTGTAACCCCAGTTCTGCAGTAGTCCCGCCTGAGGGTCTGACCGATGGCCAAAACATCCTCCAGGCGATCCTCCTTCCCGTGAATGAGGATACGCCTCGCATGATCGACATGGTGAGCGAGAGAGTGTACGAGGAGGACGGCGCTCCTTGGTTTTCTCTCAAGGAAGACCACCTCTATCCCAAGAAATCTTTTGTCCGCGATATGCCCATTCAGACAATGGGAATCAACGGACCTAGGCTGGAAGATGAACGGTGTCTTTCTATAATCCACGACGATAACTCCCTAGTCAATGGGTCGCCGATCAATCGTTGTGTGCAACGCCTCACCAACGGTGAGCCTTCGTCGTCTCCGACGGTACGGTTGGTACTAAGGTACTTATAGGGAAAGCTCGACACCCATGGTCAGGAAACTTGGTAGTCCTTCGCCTGTATCCCTGGGACTTCAGCGCTACAACGCACAGAAGCGCGAATATGAACGAGGATATCGACACTGTCCGCCGCTACCTTGAGGACTATCTCGTGAGCTCTCATTATCAGACTCAGACGTCCTGCATCGCCCTGAGAACGTCCCAATTCCAGACCGTCATGCCAAATTCAACCCTCTTTTAGATGCCAGTGTGCACCTACCTCGATAAATCCTCAACTGCTTATGAGAGATATGTTGTATTCTCTGGGCGATGTTCTGCATCGTTATTTGTATGATTTGCAGGGCAGTCCAGCCTTCAGCTTGCTCGCAGACGGCAGAGCGCTGTCCAATAGAGTCCAAGTCGGTTCCAAACCACCTGCTTGGTGCTTACATGGAACCAGAACGCTCTTAATAGGCCCCTTCCATCGGCACTATGACCGAGTGGTTAAGGTGTGAGACTTGAATGCTCATTCACATCTCATGGTCTTTGACCGCGCAGGTTCGAACCCTGCTGGTGTCGTCTTTTTCTGCTCCTGTGTGCGATCACAACCTGCGAGGGCTTACAGTGACCTGAGCGCGAACCGGCCACAGAAGAGGCGTGTATCGAGGTAAGATGTCCCTGAGATTGACATCGCTCCCTCAGGTTCTACACCGCGGAATTGCGTTCCAGTCTCAGCACACCCTCGCATAGGAGTACAGTACATTTGCTTGTCATTTCCTCAGTACAACACCGTACATGTCGTTCTGCTCATCTATGATAAAGTAGAGGTTAGGCGCCGCATAAGGCGCGTGTACAATTGTTAGCGTCCAAACTACAGGCAACACATCCAGAGCGCATTCGTGTGCTTCTTCTCTTTCTGCTTCTCCTGCTTCGTTTTCCGATCCCGCTTCTGCGTCTCCTTCCCGCATCAGCTTTCCCTGCTCCGCCTTCGTCTATTAATAAGAATACAATTTTGCGACTGCCTCGCATTTCCCTCCCGAACGCGACGCCGAGATCCCTTAGACGTCCGCGAAGATGCCCTTATCCTTGCGAATCTTGGTCATGGCTGGCGCGAGCGTTAGCTATGTCGTCCAGCAAGCGCAAGACGAAGGAACTCACCGGCGATGATAGCGCTGCCCACACCGCTTCCATCTTCAGCGTGGTGGGTGACGACTTGCCTAAGGGACGAGTCAGCATCCAAGTCTGCTTCGTGAGCGAATGGATGACACGTACTTTCCCTTCTCGCCGAAGATGTCGACGAGACCTTCGTGGACGCGCTCGGCGAACGCAGGGTATTTCTAGATGATAGTTGAGATGCAGGCCACAACATGAAGCAACGAGACCTCAACGCACGTTGTACAAGCTACCGTCCGAGCCGACGCCGATGATCTCGCCCTCCTTGAGCTCGTCCAGGTAACCCATCTTGCTGACGATGGAGGCGATACCGCAGGCGGAGAGACGCGCAGCGCGACGGCCTGCCGGACAAATCAGCAATCGTAAGACAAGTGAAGGGGCAAGCGAGTAGATGGCAAGAGAACGATGACTCACCGATCAGCTTCGCCAATGCACGGAAGAATTGGCGCTCAGCCAGTGTCGTCTCAACCGCGAAGAAGTGCGAGAAGATGCCAATGATCATCAGGAGCTCGTCCGTAGGGTCACTGCACGGAGCGTCAGTCACTTTGAAAGGCAATGTCGAAGAAAAAACACACCTCTCCATCAAACTCAAGAACGCCGTCTCGAAGACGTACGGCGACTCCAACTTGTACCTATCGTGCGTCGTCAGCCACCTCCTTTCGCCACTGTGCCCCCGACAAGACCAGCGACTACTCACGTCTCCTGCCCAAGGAACAGCACACCATCATCAATGAGCTCGCAGATAACCAGGCGCATGATCTCGCCGAGGTAGCGGCCCGAGATGAGTTTCTGTGCGAAGTGAACGAGGAGGTCAGTAGATAGACGCGTAAATCTACGTTCTGTGGCACGGTTTGACATGCGCGTACCTCGAACGCCTGCTCGTGCGGCTTGTTGCTGGTCTCGTCGACGATGATGTCGTACCTGGAGGAGGAGGTTAGTGCGTTGTCCCCAGCATCAGTAGCGGGCGAGGGGATGCAATCGAAAGGTCATGCGAGGTCGTCCCATGACTGAGGCGGAATAGGTACGAGGGACACAGCGTACAGATATGCCTCATGTGGCGCCGACGATAGTTGTGATGAGGCTAGCGGAAAAGACTTCGCCATCACTTCATAGCGAGCCTTGAGCCCTTGCCGGTCGTGCACAAAATACTACCCTTATCCGCGGAAGACGAAGCCACGTAAGATGCAACCGCTACTCACTTTGTCCTCGGCAGGTGCTCGTGCACGAAACTGTCGAAGGCACCCCACTCGCAGTTGATCGCCATCTGCGCGTCGGCGGGCAAGCCCAAGTCCTGCGAAGCAGCGTTAGCAAGCCCATCATCGAAAGTACCCCAGGCAGGAATGACGTAGGGAAGAACGTATGCCTGTCGAAGTATGGAGGAGGAAGAGGTATGGATGAGGAAGTCCGATAGGCGTATGAGATTGGAGGTGAGACACCGACCTTGAGCTTCTCAATGTTCCCGATCCTCTCCATGTACGCCGCGTTGCAACCAGTGCCGAAGATGACGGCGATCTTGCTGGTGACATAGTCAGAAAGGGGAGGGTGCGAGTGCAGTTGGAGGAAAGCGAACCTGGACGGGTTGACGTAGTGACTCGCGATGAGCGTCCCTGTCGTATCGTTGATGAGGGCGGTCAAGCTAATGGGGAGGTCCTGAGGGTTGCTAAGACTATTGCCCGGGAGATTATTGTTAAGGAGATGCGCACGTATTTCTTCAAGCTCTCCTTGAACATGGCAGCGACATCGTTGCCCTCGGTGTTGGCAGCGCCGAAGCCCTGAGTGACGTCCGTTAGCTTCGAGTTCAACAGTCCGGATGATCACGCACCTTCGTCCATCGTACCAACACTCCGTGATCGATGCGCTCCTATTCGAGACGTTAGTGCATTGTCCAGTCAAACGCCAGGGCAGCCTATGGGGGCACAGACGCACTTGGATGCATGGGTAGCTGAACGTGAAGCCAAGGGGCAAGTGTAGGCCCTTCTGGCGTTCCTCCTCGTCGAAGTTCCCCTCAATGAACGTCTTCAAGCACTCCGCGCAGAAGTCGAAGAGTGCCTGTCCATCCCCTTGCTTCTGCTCCTCCGTGAGACGGTACTTGGACTGGGTCATCTCGAATTGGCCATTTCCCTTGAGAGTGACGAGGCACACGCGCAAGTTGGTGCCGCCGAGATCGAGCGCGAGGAAGTCGCCGGTTTCCTGGGGGAGGGTCAGCAGTCATCAAAGGCTCGCACCGCGCCACGCACATCTCCCGTCGGCCAGCCAAAGACGTATGTCGGAAACATGGGGACAACCTGTCCGGGCTTCTTCAATCCGAGATCGAGGGTGTCCTAACGCGCGATTGTAAGTCCACCGCTCTTCCCCGAAGCAACATCAGGCCCTCCGCACCTTGAACGCATCGACGATCATCCGCATGCGCTGCGGCGTCAACGTGAAGAGGCTCTCGAACTTCCTGAGGTGGTCCGCCATCGTCTTCTTCGTCGCGTGCGGGAGGTCCTCGCCGGGCTCTTCGGTCGTGCGGTGGTGGATGGTGATGCTCTGCCCCGAGGGGAGCGTCACGGAGCCGGATCCTCTGCGCGAGACGGGCATGGTAGTTGTTGTGCTGATTGTCGACGGCGAGCTCGATGGTCGACGATAAAGTCAAGATGCAATCGGCCCCGCCTGGGCTCCGCCCCGACGGTGATGCAACATCGGGCTCGGCCCGCCGCCCGATCCAAGAGAACAATACCTTCCAAATGCCGCTCAATCTTTGTTTCCCCTTTCGCGAGGGAAGCCCGGGAACGCGAGAGACTAGAGAGACACAGAGGGCTCGAGAACGAGAACGAAGTATATATATTTCGTTAGTGTAACTAACACCTTCCTCCTCTTGACCGCCCTCCACTTTTCATCAGTCGGGCCCGCCCCTCGGTCCAGGCTAAGATGCTAAGGTCGAGGTGTTCTGGCAGCACATCCAGCCTACTCCCCCTCCCTGCCGACCACCATCTTCGGACTAGCTCTCAGCCTTAACTTGAGAGTTTATGCCAATTTGAAGACGTCAGGCTGCCCCACGATGGACACAGAAGGCGAAAACGAGCATAAGAACGCGACCATCTTGACCCTATGTTGCATCAAGGAATCAGTCTGGCGCGCGGCACCGGAGACAAACAACAGTACGCACCTTGGAAACGACCTGAGCATACTGATAGCAGAAGCCCTACTCTGGATCGCGACCATAATCGTCATCCGAATAAAAGTCTTCCATGGGCGCGTCTGGCCATCCTTTCGACCAGTTTCTCAGACGGCCGAAGTTCGCGGGGCCGTTTTGTCCAAAGTCCGGGGAGCTGGTTTGTCCAAAGTTCGTTGCGTCGCTACCTTCACCACGTCTTGGACGCTGGCCGTGCAGACATCGCTGCTGCTGCTGCTGCTGCTGAAGACCGTGCAGATACCCCTGCTGCCTAAGCTCGCGGCACAGTGGGAGCAACCTCTCCACGTCCTTCCACCGGGAGTGCGTCATGTCACGGAGGCCGCCATCGCCCCACGCCTCGACCTCGCACAGGTTGGGAAAGACAGAGGACAGGTATGCGGCATAAATAATCGCATCGTTGGCACAGATGGTCGCGCAGCCGACCGCGAATTTGGTGACCGATGGGTTGCGGCGCCCGCCCTCGGGGACGGTACCGGACTGCGGCCAGGGTACATGATCCAGCGCATCAATAGAGAATGCGACGGTTTGCAGAGCGGGGCACTGCAGGGCGAATCCGACGACATCGTGAACCGTAATAGTCGGAGAATGATCGAGTCGGTGGCCCCTCATATCTAGAAAGCGCAGATTGCTCAGCGCCCGGCCCATGGCCAACAGCGTAGCACCGTCCAAGTGCACGGGACACACCGGTCGGAAGGTGAGACGGCGAAGGCCCTTGAAGCAGAGCAACGGCTCCACGAAGTCGCATGAGAAGGGGTAAATCGTGTGCGCGTCGTCTTCGTGTACGGCGTTATCGAAGAGGACGAGGCGTTCCAGCGTTTGGTGGTCCACTGCGGAGAGCAGTAGTTGGAGGATGTCTCGCCACTGCTCTGCCGAGACAGACATTCCAGAGTGAAGGTACATGTCCAACTTTTTGACGGGGCTGCGGTTCATCATGGCGAGCAGCCAAGTGCATGTTTCCGGGGTGCCATAACGCACGACGACCTGCTGTAGGGATGGGAATCCGCCGTGTCCTTCTACTTCCATCAGCTCTCCGACGATGGACTTTGGGTGAACGTATGACCCTCGAATTCTGAGGACTTGAAGAGAGGGGAAGGACGCAATCCGTCTTAGCATCGTCGTTTGAACTATCTCCAGTGTAATGCTTTGCAAATGGGTCCAGTCCGTAAAGATCACGTCCACTGCGTCATCAGGAAGGCCGGCAAAGGAGATGTCAATATGAGTGGGCTTGCATCTCGATGTGAGGAAGGTGGTGAATGACATGGCTTGCAGCGACTTCTCCCACTTGCAAGTAGTAAGGTTCAGGCGTTGGATCGACGGGCTGATGAGGAGGCGGCCGAATGACATAATCGAGTTGTCTCCTCCTGTGGGTTCGCTCAGGTGAAGCTGAAGAAGATTGGGAAAGAGAACGTGGTCGGGACAGGACATCGCCAGCGTGTCGTAGAACGTTACGTCCACACCACGAGGGTCAAAGTATAGTTCTTTGACGCGTTTAGCATAGTATCTTGGGCGCTTCCAGTCCTGGTGTCTTGGACAGCGGAGAACTTTCTGATGGCAAATGAATACACGGTGTTTTGCAGACTAAGAACCACGCACCAGCTTCCGCCCATCATACCAGTCCACCGTCTCCTCCTGCATCCATATATCGGGTGGAAAGCACTTCAAGAGGTGTGCAATGTTATAGACGTCGTGCCAGAGAACATCGAGGGCTGGCTCGAGGAATCGACGACAAGTCAGGGCCAGTCGCAGAACATCGGCGCTGCAGCTGTAATAAGGTCCCCCTGCAAAGTCGCATATGATGGAGATGAGTTCTGTGGTCTCTAGGGCTTTGTGCATGATTTAGCCTCTATCCAGCGCTGTCCACTGGATAAGTGGGCGGCGGAGGGTGGTCGACGCGTTCAAAGCACTCAGCGTCGGACACGCGTCTGTCTGGAACGCGATCATGTGGATTTTCCAAGTCACACCCGTCACGGTTGATGTTCGGCCGTTAGGATCGCCATTCAGAGCAAGCCCAAAGCTTCCAGCGCATGGAACTCTGAACTCTCGTGCACTAAGGAAGAAACACCTTGCATGTCGATACGCATGATACGATTCGTCCCGTATATACTGAGAGACAAAGGAGCGCAGTCCGTCTATGAAGGTCGATTACAGGGCGTAGTTCTGCGCCCTAACGCGACAGAATGTGTAGTGGGGGAAGTGCAACAGTCGTAAATCCATGTCCGATTCCTGATGATACTTGTCCGTCCAGCAATTTTCCTCAGGAGCCTGTGCATGTTGCCGTTGGGAGAGGGGCGTCTGTCGCATTCCATGCGCTGAAGTCCGTCAGTCCCGGACCCACAAAAAGTCATCATTGCACTCACTCAGGATACGCGCATCCAGATACCGGTCTTCCGTAGCGAATTTAAAGATCAGTCAACTGCGTCATCGAGGAAGATTTGTAGCACTCACACATACGCCAGCTGCGTGTCCGCAGTGTTGTTCCATCCCGTGCCCACCACCGCGGACGGCGCAGCCGTGAACGTCGGACCGAAGAGCGAATGCACGGTCCCCGTCGGCGTGTACGTCGGCAGCAGCGCTATCTGCGTCCCGGTGAACGACGGCTCCATGGTATGCGGCGGGAAGGCGACTGTTGAGGCGAGGGTGCCGTTGCCCTGGAGGTAATGTGAGCAAATTATCTCAAGTGGAAGGGAGAGATGGGCGAACCTGCCCAGTGGCAGAAGCCGGGTAGTTGCCGTCGAACTCCTGAGTCTTTCCGAGCTTGGCGGCGCAGTAGCCGCTAGCAGAGCGGGGGTCTACATCAGGATGATCCCCGTCAGAAGACTCATTCACATCGTATGCGAGATAAGCCACCCACCCTTCGGAATCCACCCCTCCTGCAGGCCCAGCTTGTAGTGCCACATCGGGCTGCTGGACGTGCCAAGCGTGGTCGAGTTGCCGATCTTCCATGTCCAGAAGAACCAGTTCTGGAGCGCGTCCATGCTCGCGAGCGCCATGTCGTTCAGGACGCCCTTCATCGTGTCGTTGTAGTTCTGCAAGCAGCGTAAGTGGCGAACAAGATATTCGCGAGGGGCGGTCGTCTACGTACGTGCCAATCGTCGAAGGGACCACAATCAGGATAGCCAGGGACGGAACCGATGCCGCTCAACCTGGGAATACTTGTCAGTAGCCAGACCGATAGGGTGACAAGTTGATCGCACCAGTAACCACAGTCGTTGATCGCCGCGCTGAACTCGCCACCGAGGGTGATGCCGAAGACCTTGGAGGACTGATTGGTTGCAATGGCCCAATCGCTGGATCATGAGTCAGTATTGCACATAATAGAAGACGTGAGGACTTGAGCGCACCAAGGCCTGTCGGCGAGAGTCTGCATACTATACATCGACTTCAATAACAGTAATAGTTCGGAAGTCAGACAGCTATACGCACGAGCTGGTGTGGTCGTTCTGGAAAGCGATGTACTGCACGGCGATGTCAGCCATCGTCATCTCGTTTCCAATGCTTATACTCACCGGGTGCTGGTCCAGAATGAGCCTGTCGGCGCCCTCCATGAAGCCCTCGAACTTGGGCGGCTGCAAGCGAGTATTTCATCAGCGAAGTCCAACCGTGAAGTAGACGGCCTGATTCACCCCCTGGAAGCCATCGTGAACGACGATGTACGGGCCCTCGCCCATGCCGGTAGATCTGAGGTGACAGTGTCAGTGTTCATTTCTTTGTCTGTCGAACTAAATAATGCAGAGAAAAAGGAGGCGCACTCCCTGATGGTGTCGTACGCGACCTGGTACCAGCTCTTGACGCCGGTCTCGCCGATCGCGCTCCAGAGGATCTCGTTGACGATGCCAACGATGGGAACGACCTCGCGGTACTGCGCCTGGCTGACGAACTCGACGAGGATACGGAGGTAGGTGAGCGTGCGCTGTGCATTCGCGAGGCCCATGGTGCCGTGCATGCTGGATGGAAAATTAGCCGACTGACGGATAAAGTTCTTACGTTGCGACTCACAAGTTGACCGCGCCCACTAGGATCAATATACGTTCAGTACACCGCATCGTGTAGGGAGACAAGGGACATACTTCTGCCCGAGTGATTCTGCGTATGTGTAAGAAAGATAGCATACGATACACGAAAGCACGTACCCAGCCATTTTGACTTCCAGGAAGCGAGTGCAAGTCCAGGTAGATGCGGATGCCGTACTTGCGCGCCCACTCGACTGCCTTGAGGAAGTAGCCCCAGCTGGTCCCGACGAGGAAGGGCTCGTCGTTGATCGCCCTGCAACTTGCATAAGTCTTGAATTCGTGTGTGGAAGAAATCTAGTTTACTCACTCGATAGCCCAGAAGCCGATCGGGATGCGGACCCAGTTCAGGCCGGCGGCTGCGCATATGTTGGAAAGGGGCGCAGAAGCTAAGCGACTGGGCTACTCACCAGCAATCTCGGCGAAGTCGCGCTCCGTCTACAATGCAGAATGAAATGGCGGAAGTTCGCTCTGAAGGGGTAACGTACGATGAAGGTCTTATAGTGACCCTCGAGTTCCTCCGCACCGTCGGCGCCCATGGCGAGGCACAGCGTCCACTCGTCCGCAACGTAGATGTCGGTCTTGTTCACGTACTTCTCGTAGAGTGCCGGCGACACGAAAGGCTCAGTAACGAGCCAGCCCCTGCGAAATTATGAATGTCAGTGCTGATGGATATATTTTAGGGGAATCCTCGACTTGCCCAAGGTTCACGCCGCGGATGATGTCCTTGCCCCAGGTCCATGTCTCGTTGCGACCGATGCTCGGACTCCAGGCCTGCGCACGACCACCTCCCTGGAAAGGCTTCTTGGGATCCTCAGACCACTCGCCGCCAAAGTCGTTCTTGTACGTGAAGATTGCGCCGTTGTCCATCTTGATGAGACTGCCCGTTTTCCCGGAGGTGATACTGGGGTCGTAGTTCGAGTCGTCCGAGCCGTCGCCGCCGTCGTCACCACTAGTCGAGTTGCCATTGTCGCCGCTCGAGCCAGAGGGGCTCGGCGAGGCACTCGGACTCGAGCTGATGTTAGTGTTCGACTTCTTGTGCCGTGTCAGGATGACAGCAGGGACGACCGCGACCACGACCACGATCAAGATGAGCGCGGCCACTAGGGCGCAGAGCAGCTTGTTCCGGCGCGACTTGCGACTCCGCTTCGCCGTCGCCTCCGTCGACGTCGAGTTCGCCAGAGTGGGCTGCCCCTCGGCCTTAGGCTCGAGCGTGGCGGGGTCGGACTTGGGCGGGGTGTTCATGGCTGAGGGAAGCGCGGCGGACGCAAAGTCAGAGGCAGGCCCGCCCTGCTACTTAAGCAGCTTTCGAGTTGGCAGTGGGTGGCGATGGAGGAGATAGAGCGGGTGGCACGTACTGACTCTTTGTCGCTTCTTACGATATAGAGGGACCGCTTCTGGTGCCCTCGCGCCAGCTCAGTCAAGACGGCGCTGTCTGAGCGCCGCCTGTACAAAGATATGACGACGAATTTCGGCTTGCCTGTTCAAATCTTCGGTTGGTGTCAAGACGCTCGATCGCCCTGGACGTTGTCAAGCGACAGCTGAGGAGGAAGGCATCGTGTTGACGGGATAAACGGTGCGAGATCCCCGCTACAATGCAGTACCCGTCGCCGCCAGCGCGCTCTCGACGACAGCTTCTGGTGCGATTACAACGGCAGCAAACGGCAGGGCGAACCACATATTAGCCAGGGAGTACGGACGAACGGCGGCCAGTTGCCGTTCTCTCTCGAACATCGCAGGACTGATGAAGGTCTGGGAAAAGATCCACACGTCAACTTGATTCATCTCGCGCCCTTTCGGCGGCTGCCGATGTGGACCCACACTGACAAACGCGCCTCTAAATCGCATTGCGGAAGTGCTAGGCTGGCATGACATGCTAGTATGCTAGTACAGAAACGTTCAATATGGGTACTTGAACAGAATTAGCGAGCCCGCTCAATCGGAGAGCCCATCCTGGCTGCAGCAATGTATGGAGGGCAGTGTCATTGGGGGCAGCGTCGATGATAGCCTTCCGTCCCAAAATGGCTCACCTCCCCCGCTTGTCCTTTTCGTGCCTAGTGCAGAGTACTCTCTGGGACAAGCCTACAATTACTCTGGATCCCGGAGCCGAGCAATACACGCAATCCCGAGAACGTGTTAGCCATGGTGCGTGAACATGTAAGAGTACAATGATTCTAGTGAGTACAACCAAAGCCCGAAGCTATGGTCAGATACAAAATGAGAGACGTGATAGATACAGACAGATAAAGCATCCCAAAGTCATTACGATCCGGGTATAAGCTGGCCTCACAGCATCGAAGAACAGACACAAAGTCCGGCGTACGAACCTCCTTCCAAACAACAAGCGAGGCCCCACCTCCCCCTCCCCACCCCATTCGGTTTGCCACCCTGCTGTCATCGGGCCTATCGCGCGACAGGCGCGCTTATGACGCCGTCCTGGCTGAAGGTCCCTGCTCGTGCCGGCACCGGGAGATTGCGCGCGACCGCGATCTGCTGTAGCGCATTACAACTGCCACCGAGTCGTCAGATATGCCCGCGCACGATAGTAAGCCGCCCGCGCGACGGATTCAGCCGCTCGCCATACTGCATCTGGTGCGCACTGCTGAATCCGTCGAGCGCGATACGGACTCCGCAGTCCACTCACCAGCCGCTAGCGTAGTGCCGGGTGAGCGCCATCGGCCCATTGACGGTGATGCCCTCGAAGCAGAGCGGGCAGAGCGTACCACTCCGCGTCTATGTGGAGGGAGTGAGCGAGAGTGCGGCTGAAGAGGAGCATAGGAGGGCTTACCTTCCAGTGCGTTAGCAGATGCTTGCGGAGGTTGGAGTACCCGTTGCTCTTGCCCCGGAAGTGGTACTCGCACCCGCGCCACGGGCAGCGCATACCGTGGCTCGCCCAGGCGTGCAGCTAAGATCAGACGCTGATGAGCATGACGAACATGGTGATTAGAACGATGCCCGCTTACCTGAACGTGGTCAAACAACTCCGCTGCCTCAGGCTCGTAATCAGGGTCAGGCCGCGCGCTCTGCGGCTCTGCCGATGCTGACGACCTGAATCCGCACAATTTCCTCTTGCCCTTGCCGCCCGGCGGTGAGTGCATCCCATCATGCGAATGCATTCCATTATGCTGCTGATGGTTCTCGCTCCGCCGATGCTCCTCCTTACCGCGCTCCTCCTGCGCCGGCCGTTCCCCCTCCCTCGACCACGCCTGCTGCCCATCGCCTTGTGGCGGCGGTATACTCCGCTGTTCCAGCGACAGCAGCGGAGTCTGCCCCTCCTTCAGCTCCCGCACCTCCACCGCCTGGTCCACGCCCTGCCCGTCCCCTTCTTTACCATTCTGACCAGGCTTCGGCAGCCGCCACCGCACCATGGACTGGCTATCCGGCGCAATGGGTCCAGCTCCCATCTTCAGAGGAGCCTGCCATCCGCCGTATTCTTCAGGAGTGGTCGGGATAGAGTAATCTCGCCGGTAGTAAGGACCGTACGGTTGCGCCTGCGGCTGCGATGGCCCCGGCTCAAAGCCTGGTTGAGAACGCGACTGAGGTTGACTCTGCGCAAGCGCGGGGACTGTGTCGACGTTGCGCTTCCTGCGAGCGCTCCTGGGTGTAGGCGAGCGAGCGTCCTTCTTCTTGGTCTTGCCAAGAACGGCGAAGCGTCCCATCATCGACTTCATGGTGGGAAGGGTGGGGTCTGAGGAAGTCGACGCCTGCGGATCTCTAGGCTGAGGCTGAGGCGGCGGCGGTGGTCCCGCAGATGCGGGAGCAGGGGAGGGAGAAGGCTGGGCAAAGGACGATATTGAAGGCAGCACGGTAGGTGGCTCCGGTGTAGGCGCGGGCCTCGGAAGACTAGAGAACGGCGGAAGGGTAGTCTGAGTCGTGCGAGGTTGCGGAGCGATGAGAGGTCGTTGTAAGGCATTCGGTGAGCGTGCAGCGGACGTTCGACTAGACTCTGCGTCCGACGATATAGCACCGCTTCGTATGACGGGGCTTGGTGGAGGAGACATATCTACGTCTCCGTTGGTTGTAGAGTCCATCCAACTACCGTGTGAGATTGTATCGCGTGGATTGACATGGCCATAATGCTCGGGAGGCATAAGTTCACGAGGCAGCGATGGGAGTGAAGGTGGTGGAATATAGTGATCTTTGTCGCGGTAATGGCGCGACGGGAATGGAGGAATGTGCTGTGAATATGCGCGGTCTGGCGGAGGAACCGATGGGTGATGCGAAGATGGATTAGACGAGCTGCCGTTCTGAGAGTACATGGAGGGTAAGCGGCTGACTGAAGGTGATGTAGGGGGTCGACCAGGTTCTACTGGATGTCGCGGAGATTCCGGTCTCGTTGTGGGACCTGGTATCGCAGGCGTTGTGGACAGTCGTGGAGACGATCCAGGATCTCCAAGTATTGGTCTCGACGAGGAGAACACTGGGTCCAAGGCCAACTCCGGCCTTGGGGAGCCCGAAGTCGAAGACGACCCTGGTGTGGGCTGGAGGCCGTTGCGCGATGATGACGCTTGTTGTAATTCGTTTGCATGGTCTTCGCCATCCTCAGCGAATGTATAGAGCCCTTCTTCCGTGAGGATGTCCGACACAGGCATGTCGTGCGGAGAAGGCGGCGCATCCGTCGCGCTCTGAGGCTCTGAGCGCTCGATCTTCGGTGCAACGCTTCCCTCGCGCATACTCCTTCCCTCCTGCGACGATCCCCCCGCGCCTCGCGCTTCGGATCCCTCAAACTTGTCAGGCTTCCTCCCCGACTCCTTCCATTTGTCCCAATCCATCTTGCTCTCCCACTCATCCGGATCTCCCACGTGCCGTGGCCGCGTCCCCCTCATCTCCAGCGGTGGACACATGCAGGACATCTCGATCTCCATCCTTATGACCGTGAGCTGCTGCCCCAGGAGCCCGTATATTCGCGCGATCACGTCCATGTCGGCCGGGAGGGGCACGACGCGCGGCGCGTCCGGCGGCGGCGGGGGAGGAGGCGGAGGTGGTGGTGGCTCGGGCCCGGGGATCGGTGGACCGGCACGGGGCGGAGGCGCGTGCGGGGTGTACACCTGCACGAACGGACCCTGCGCGCGCCGCGAGATGCGGCCCTTGCGTGGGGCGTGGGGCGGTCGGGGAGCATTGGGAGGTGGGTTCGCAGGATCGTAGCGAGGGAGGATGGGGGCGGGAAGGGTGGTGTGGGCAAACATGGCATTATTGTGCGCGATGGGGACGCCGTCTTGCGAGGTGAGAGGGCCGGCAGCCGAAAGAAACGCGCCAGAGGGTACGACGGGGATGCCCTGGGGCGTATAGAATGTCGGGGGACCGTGGGATACAGGAGGATAGGCATCGGGTGTGGGGGGTAAGCCTGGTGCGGAGAGGAGGGTTGGGTACGCGGGGAAGGTGGGGAGTTCCAGTCCCTTGTCCTTGGTCACGCTGCTGACGATCGCTTCGAACCTGGCGTAGTCGGGGGATGGGGGCCGTGCGGGCCATGTTGCGGGACGCAGGTTGCATGTCTTGCGTTTCCTATGTAAAGAGGGAGTGAGTTGGCGTGAAAGACGTTGACATCGTCACGCACCGCTGCCTCGAGCCCGCGCCACCGGTGCTTGGACCGGCCTCCGCGTCGTCTCTTTGATCGCCGCGCTCTTCATCGCTGCTGCTACTCAAAGACCATACATCGTCCTCGATATGAAAGTTGGAGTACTCTTCGTGCTGCTCCCTCGTCACTGCGTTCGGTCGTGGGTGCTTGGGGAACCCCGACGCGTCGTAGGCATCGAAGTGCGCGTCATAGCGTGCCTGATGGTGCGGGTCGCTGAATGGGTCGTATTCCGCGTCGAGCGCGTCGAATGCGCTGCAGTTCGGGTCGTTGTAGTCGCGTGCGTCGTCGGCCTCGGAGCGGACTATTGACAGGTCAACCAACGACATGCTCAAGGACCGCAGAACGAGGGCGTTGAGTTTCCCCCTGGTTCTCAACGACGGCGCTCTTGCTTCGCGTCGATTCCGGGCATTCGAGGAGGCAGGGAACAAAGGCTGTCAGAGTCACCGTTCAAGGGTCTGTGCTGCGTGGCTGTGTCGAAAAAGTCGTGGGTCCGCCGCCGGGAAGTGCGTGACTTTCGGTTCCGGATTTGCCTTTTTGGGAAGGTTCAGCCGTCGTGCCGGCGCCGAAGTTCAACATTGCATGCGCACACCATCTGGCTTTGAATTCGGCAACGAGGGCTTCCATTCGGCACACCTGTAGCTTCCTTTCAGGCTTCAATTGCCCCTGTGAACGTACTGCTTGCGCGGCAGGGAGATGCCGTCATGCTCTATTAGGTGTATTCGCTGATGGTGGGACCGCGGACGCAGCTGAAGAAGCTTGCAAGATAAGGTCTACTCTGCTCCAGTGCTGTGGTCTTGACTCCAGGTGACGGTTTGGCTCCTGAATCTCTGACTTTTACAGCCCTTAGAGTCATGCTCATTCATTGCAGGGGTCAAGTGAATGTTCGAAAATGCCCAGAATCCGAGAGGGTTGAAGTTCGCGGCCCGAATTTGAAAGGGGCGCCGGCTCCTCTTCCAGCCTTTTTCTGAGTCGCTACTCTAGTTGCTCGCGCAGGGGCCCCGCCGAGGTACGAGGCAGGGGAAGCGTGAGCAATATGTGTTCGCGATGGATGGGCTGGAGTGCCGTACAAACAAGTACAAATCACGGAACGCAACGCAACAAAAAAGCGCTCCGCGCCTTTCGACGCGCGCAGCGCGTTGAAACTTCAAGATAATGTTCTGAAATTCTGCATGGGAGGTCAATAGGGTATGGTGAGAGAGCTAACGAATTTGAACGGAGATCCTGGGACCCAAAGTGACTGAGCTACGTTCCCTGTCTGGCGCCAGCGCGCCGTAGGCGCGCGGTAAGCCCCTGCGTGAGCCACCGTGGGTTCCCCACTTAACTATTTTATACTAGTCCGCACATTACTGCGCACTTCACACCAGTGTACAACGACACCGAGCACCGCTAAGTACGGTGGACACCTGTCTCCTGACGGTCCAGGCAGTTCGCAAGCCCTCGCATCTACTGCTTCTTGGACCCGATACTCGCCGTAAGGCAACACAAGGACCCATTACACAATAAGAGATCGTCGTATCTCTGATGTGGTACCTCGGCTCCCGAAAAGCATCTCAGGCCATGATGATCGGGGATACCCGACGTTGTAGGTCCACACCACGTGGAGGTTGACAGTGATTGGTGTCACATCTTCTCCCGCATCAGTCCTACTTTCCTCCTCATCATCACCCGCGCATCCTCCTCTTCCCGCCTTTCCGAGATACCCTCAACATCTCTCACTACGGGTGCGCAGACAACTATATTGAAGATATAGTACTGATCGCTACATAGCAGACTCTATCGGGGCTACCCTTCCCATCTCGCCGACTTTCCTGCTCGCCTTCCGTTGAAGCATTCCTGAATCTATGGAGCGGCGACCACGATTTATGCTCTTCTCACCCCCGCGCACCCTTGCAACCAACGAAGGCGGCTTACCGTCGAAGGCTCACTCGGCTCCCGATGTCCTCACGCTTGCGCGCCTCGGTCAACCCATCCTACCGATTCACCGTCGGTGCAGCTCGGACTCCGCTTCGCCGGCTCGTACGCCCTTACAACATGATCACCACGGTGACCCGTCTCTCACGAACGATTCACGATTTCTCCACGACTCGCGCGCTGCCTCACGCTATACTCCCAAATCGCAAGCCAACTCCGTCGATCACTCCGAGCTCGACTTGTCAGGCCTCCCAATAGGCGGGTGTCCTCGCCCTCTCGATAGCGGTCTCGCTCGAATACTGGATAGCTCCTTCACGGCGTCCGACTTGCCCGATACCTCCTCGGACCTCTTCGCCAGCCCTATTCCCCGCCTTCGCTGGTTTCCTTCTCGTGGTAGCGGCCGCTCGACGACAACCCCTCAGGATAGCCCAAACGCTCGCGGATCGCCACTACGAAGCACACCCATTCGTGGCGACATGACTAGCTTGTCGTGGAATACTTCTCGCGAACACACTCGGCAGTTCACCTTCGGCGTCGCGCCCTCTTGGAATGGCGAGAGCAGTCAGGATATCTTCTCCTCTTCGCCTCCGCGGACGCCGCGGAGACCGCGCGCGTCGGTGGTTGCGGTCAAAGGAGAGGCTAAACATACTCTCGAGGCGACAGACGATGCCCTTGGCGCGACAAACGACGTTGCCAGCGATCTCGAGTTCGAACCCATCAGCGAGCTCGAAGCGTCGCGGGACGTCTTCGACATGTTCCACCTGCAAGAGGATTCTTTCATCGAGGGCGCCGCCGAATCATCCATGCTAGAGCGTGAACAGTCCTTCGTGCAGTCATTCCTCCGGATGGCCGACGACGACGACACCGACGACGCAGCTTCGGAGACTTCCAGTGAAGAAAACGCAGAGAGCCCACCTGAGGATACTCGTGCGATCTTGGAGCAGCTCTTTCCTGATGCTGAAGGAGCGGCGAATACCACTGGTCTTGCTCCGCGGCAGCGCTTGAACTCTTTCTCTTCTGCGCTCTTTGATGTTTCGCCTGTCCTCTCGGCGATGCCCAGCTCCGCGTCTCTTTATGCTGGACCTCCACCTTGGCTGAAGGAGGAACATGAAGGTGCTCCGATGGATCACGGCCTGTCTGGTGCCGCCGCGCCTCAACGGTCTGCCGGTGTACGCGAAGACAACATCGAGGAAGTGACGGGCGACAATCGTGCGAACCGACCGACCATAGTCGTTCATGGCGTCCAGGCAGAAACAGCGCCTTCATCGCTCACTTCCGGTGGAGCAGCTTCGACGAAGGAAGGAGACGCCGTGGATCCCTGTCGGAGCGATCATGTCACCGATACCGTTGAAAGAGGACCGCCTCATATTTCCGACGAGTCCTCCGTCGCGTCACCCTCACCAAGCTCTACGGCCCTGTCTGACGGTGTAGTGGGCGTACAAGCTCAGGACATTATTGTCCAACAATCGCCAGGGCTCCTACATGCGACTCCTCCGGCTACGGTCAGAGAATTAGACGAGGACCTGCAATTCATCCTCGCCTGTCGTTTAATCGCCTCTCAATCTGCCGTGCCGCCTCCAGTACCTGCAAGACATCCGGCACGTCCCAATAGTGGGACGCTAGGACGAAGCGCAGCATCACAGGGACCCAGCGCACCATCCCATCGCCGCACGCCAGACATGCACTCATCGTCAGGGCGAGAGGCGCCCACGCCACGACGTGCGTGGTCGACAACCATGCCGCATCGACCCCAGTCGCTCGAGCGACGCCCAGTAGACGGCCTGTTTGCGAGCGACCCGTACGCTGCCGAGCGCGCGCGAGCGGTGTCTGCGCCTGTCGGGTGGGATGGTCGTCCGTTGCGCCCATTGCCATCGAGAAACCTCCTCAAAGCGGCGACTCTGGGTCACGCGCAGGCACGCTCAGCTGCTATGATGGCTTCGAATGCGGCCTCCGTTGTGCCACTTACAGTCGACGACCAGATAACTCTCGCCCTGCTGCAGCACGGCGATGCAGATTATCGCGCTTCTGTTCGCTCTTCGGTGGGACCAAACGGTAGTCGACTATCGCATACTCAACGCTCTGAGGCCGGAACGGTGCGCTTCAAGGCGAGCACCATTCGCACTCGATCAATCGCGTCCCCACTACCGCAAGGTCGCGTCACGTCGTTTGTTGAGGGGATGACGATGGAGGATCTCGGGTACGCCCCGACCGTGCGTGTCTCGATGTGTGGGATGCGGACGAGGACGCTGCCATTCGGGTGTGGGCCGTTGACAATCGGTCCCATTCATATTGAGCAACGCGCGCGCAAATGGAAGCGTTTCTGGAGTGTGGTTCGTGGGCGGGAAGCTTGAGGTGATGCAGGTCTGATCCTTCGAAATGGGCATGCGTGGGTACGCTAGGTGCCCGCTCCACAGATACAGGCTTTTTCGGACATCCTATGGTTACAACCCAGTAATATGGTGTGCAGTAGGCTGCCCTACAAATATTGGAAGTGGATTATTGCACATGGTAACCAATGCTGGTCTACCCATGTGGCGGCATCGGCTCTGGCCGATGTGATCGTTCGAAACCTAATGGGAACAATTGCAGGTCGGGAGAAGACCACCATGAACGGAATGGAAGCGAAAGAAGACTCCCGCGGGCCACAGCATGGTATCCGCTTGCGGGCGACGGTGAGAGGAATTCTATTGCCTGTCGCCAACACGGAACAATTGCGGGTGCCGACATGGCCCTAGCGCCGGCTACTGTGCGCTGCATATAAGGCTCGCGCTTGCCATACGCTCAGACTCCAGCGAGTCATCTCCTCCCACCCTCCTTTTGCCTTCCACGTCTTTTTTCCTCTCGTCCTCACTCTCATCCTCTTCGCCACTGTCATGAACTTCACCCCGATTCAGCGTCTTCCTGCGGAGCTTCTGGACTGTATTTTCCAGCTTCTCGTGCAGCAGTGGCTGCATGACCAGATCCATCCAAGAAAGCGCGTTGAGCGACACATCCAAGCCCTGCGTCTGACCCATGTCTGTCGTCGCTGGAGAATGATCGCCTCCAGACTACCCAGCCTCTGGCAGCACCGCGTCGTCCTTCCGTGCGTTCATACTTCGCCGGATGCCAACTGCGCTAGAAGGACAGAATGTCTGCAGCAGCTCTTCGACAAACGGTGCAGTCGTACTGGCTTGGAGCCGCTGGTTTTCTACAGGCGACTTCGCCCAACGGCCTCCAATTTGAATTTGCCCTGCGAATACAAGCTTGCCTACATTGTCCAGCATGTCCTGCCTCGGACGTCGACGCTATGGATGTCCCTTGACGCACTGTCGGCTTGCGTATGGGCGAGGGTCTTGCCGGTCACGGTCGCCTCCTCCTCCTACTCTTCGTTGCGATTGATGACTATTCAATTCGACCAAGAGAACTCGCAAACCCTCAATCAAACTCAATGCAGGCCGGTGTGCAGCGCAACTGCACCGTGCATGACCCATGCAGTTTCAGCGCGTCACGAACTCTATCGGAAGCTCCGTGTCTTAGCCTACCAGCATGTGTGCCATTTTGTATGGTCCGACATCGTTCACTCTATGCCTCCGCAGATAACCCCAGTCGACTGGCATATCCTTCGTAGTGCACGTCTGAACGTGGTCCCTGTTGACTTCTTCATCGCTATCGCCCATGCAACCCATCCAGCTCGTCAACTAGAGTGTTTGAGGATCGGCGGCGTCTACTCTTTCCCGGGGCCATTTCCCTGCGGCACGCCAGTCGCCGAGAACGTGATCCTTGGTCCCCATACGCTTGCGCTCGAAGGCTCTGGCGATCTTGATACGATCTTCCATACGCTGAACCTGGAGGCCCTGCAGAGCCTGGAAATTCGGTGCCAGAGATGGTGCTCATTCAGCATTAAGGAACTCAACTCTTGCATCGGTCGTACCAGACGTACTATGACCAAGCTATCCATTGATCATCAGTACGACAACGAGCTTGACGAGGGCGACTTGGTAGCACTCTTGGCCAACCCGACCCTGCAGGACCTCACGGAGTTGCGATTGCACTTTTCCAACTTGAGCTTTGGAGACAAGTTTTACACGAAGCTCACAGCCGGCTTTGGACGAAAACCGGTCCTTCCTAAGCTGCGCGTGCTGGACATCGGCACATGCGGCGTCTACACCGATGGGAAGCTGGGACGTATGCTGCGTTCACGTCGTCCCGGAGGATACCTGCATCCCCTCGTCGATGTCAAGCTCGCTTTCAGCGATGAGGAAGTAGACCATTGGGGCGATGACGTTTATACCCTTTGGGTGGCCAAAGGGGAGAAGGGGTCCGAGGGGTACGTCAAGGATAGCCCCGTCGTGCAGCAACTGCCATTTGTGCACATATCGTGTTACGAAGTGACGGAGTCAGACTTGGAAGACAGTGAGGACGACGACGAAATCTCGATCAGCTCAGAAGTCGTTAGAGCAGAGAATGAGGCGTCATCTGTCACAGTTCAGCTTGGTGATGAGCAAGTAGAACTCCGCGGACTATATACTCAATAGTGGATGTATGACTCGTCGTTCTCCCTGGACCTCATTTACTCAAAACTCATACTAGTAGTACCAACGAACTCGCTCTCATTTACGACCACACATGACCTCTTATATAGCATCGCCTACGTTGTCTTTCCTTCCCCATCCCAGTAGGTCGCCCCAGCAGCGCCACATACGCTCAATGACACGCAGTTTCTCCCTGCGGCCAAGTTCTGGGTCCTCCAGATCGTCGACATCCTCAAGGAAGCCCTCGCGGATGCGAGAACCGCGCGGTAAGCAGCGCTCTCCGTAGCCACGAAGGTGCGTCAAGGACAGCAGAAGCAGACCCGACGTCAGAGGTGTAAGTTCATGCGCGACAAGGAGGCGCTCGATACGGCTGAGGAAGAAGGTGAGATATGACCTGGACATGGTGGGGGAATTGCTTACCGCATGACGAACCAGGCCTGGACGCGTTCGCTGCGCGAGCCACCAGTGCGCGAATATATACTTCCGCGCCGAGCATTGCCATACAGACGCCCGGTAACACCACCCAGGAGGTAGACGACGAGCAGGGCGGGCGCGACACCGACAAAGGCAAAGGTGAGCTCTTGAGACTTGAGTAGGCGGTCGATGCCCGAAAGAGCTTGGTCGATGTCCACCTGGCATGGCCGTCAGCTGGCCTGCAAAGACCCATCTAAAAGAAGAACGGACCTTTGCCTTCTGCACTTGCACAAATACATTACGAAGGAGGGAGCCCGTGAGGGCGGAGCGCAGCGGTCGACGAATCTCATCTTCGTACATCTCCATAACGGGAGTAAGGTCCCCTACGCGGACCTGAGCAGACAACCGCTCCAGCTGATCTTGCGTGTACGCGAGCTTGTCTCTGGCGAGAGCGAGCGTCATGCGTTCCAGCGACTAGGGCGGACGTCAGTACCGGCGGTTACCCATGAACCATGGACGAACCTCGATATCTGCTTCCACAGCCTCTTTGTGAACAAGCATGCCTCCACCTTCGCCTCCGGAGCGCACCGTGCGTATGACATCCTTAATCGGTTCGAGTAGGTATCCTATGAGAAAGCCTCGCGCGGTCTCCTTCGCGTCCCGCAGCATCTCGAGGAGTGCTTCGCGCGAGCGCCACGCGTATCCGCCCAGCGCCAGTAAGACGGGCGGCGCTGCAGCGAAGACGGGCCACATCCGTGTCCAGTATCCCGGACGCAACAGGCCAAGTTCGTGAATACGCATGCGATGCGCTGCGGCTTGGGCTGGCAGCACCGTTGTACACAAGGTCGTAAGCTCGGGAATCAGCTCGGCGGCGCTGGCGTCGACGGCAGCCTGCGTCTGTGCAGGTGAGCCCATACGACGGACAAGCGCGGCGAGTTCTTGCTCTGAGGGTGCGTCACGCAATGTCGTGCGCATGCCTGCGAGGACACCGAGCCTCTCCGCGCGCTCGTCGCGCAGGCGTGTGAGCTCAGCGCGCTTGAAGCGGCACTCCTGGCGAGTAAGAACGTGAGGAGCAGTGACTATAGTAGCCAACGCGCGAAGGGGCGCTGAGGCTGCGCGCATGGGGTCCGCTGTTGGTGTCGGGAACACAGAGGCGAGCGTAAGCGAGAGGGGACGCGCCTGGTGGCGAAGGTGAGGGAAGGCAGCAGTGAGCAGCGCTTCCGGACGAAGGGCGCGGGCTTCGCGAGCGAGGAGGTCCTGCACAGACGCGAGGCTGACAGGCAGGTTCTCGGCGCGGAGGGCGTCAAGGACGGTGCTGAGGACACGCGTCACGCGCGTCGGGAGGGTCTGCAAGAGGTACAAGGCGATGCTTGTGCTCGAGCGCGCTATGTCTGCCCACCACTCCGCGTCCTCCTCCGCCTGAGAGGCCTGCGCGAGATGTGCTTCCATCGTTTCCGCGTATAATTCGACCACGATGCGATGGACGACCGCCTTGCGGATGGCTTGTTCCTCTTCGTCAGAGGCGGCGACTGCTGCTACTCCGTCTGAGTCCAGACGGGTGAGAAGTTCCAGCTGCTCTTTCAGGTTGATCAGGGATCTAGGGTTCTTGTCCAAAGAGCCAAGTATCCCCTTCAGTGCTTGTTTCCGAGGCGTTTCCCTGGTCGCAACCGCCACCGCGAACTCGCGCTTCTCGTCACCCGGCGTCGCAGGCCGGCTAACCGTGAGCGGCTGCACATAATGGTCGATGAACTGAGTCGACATGTTCTGCGTCGCAGGGCCTGGTGAAGGTAAAGGAGAAAAGAGAGTCAAGGCCTCGTGACGTCACGGACGTTTTTGAAGCTTTTCTGGATGTAAGAATCAGCAAGGTGAACCACATAATGACATCCGTAGGACCCAGCCAGAAGAATTCCGCACGTCAATTGGAGTGGACGCTCACCGACACCGTGGGTTCGAATGAAAGCACAGGTCCAAGTACCTCTATTCGAGCGCGTGCCCGTTGTGCGCGACGGAAGTCTTAAGTGATAGGCAGATGCAGAGTGTAAGATAATAGCAGGAAATTCTCACCAGTACCAATCAATGTGTTCGAATGTTAAGGTCAACTTGAACTTGCCAGAGCGACGGTCGCGCGCAAACTCGGCGGCGCACGTGTTTGCTACTTATCACGTGTATCGGTGATCGCCGAAGTTCAGAATCAATTCGTTGCCCTGAGAAGTCCGTCAACCTCACCCTCAGCGCTTGCGTTAGTAGAGCACATACTCGCGTGAGGTCAGTCAACGGGCCCGAAGGAGCCTCATGCCAAAGAAGCAGAAGGCATCGTCGGTCGCGGTAGATCACGCAAAGACGCCGACAACGCGGCCCGACGTGCAATTCGGAGGAATCGTTGATTATCTCGATTCTGGCCTCTCATGTCTCTGGAGTCATATCTAATTGCAGGAGATATATGTTGTACAGCAGCACACTTGTTCGAGTTCATCAGCACCGACATACAGCAGCCTCAACATTCTGGAAAGCGTCCATAAGCAGCTCTTCGTGCTGGATCACACAGAGTTACAGGGTTCAGAACATAGAGCCCTCAGGCGGCTGAGGGAGCTTCCGGTTGTTGAGCGAAGCCATTTCCCTGTTGCGACGAGGTTAGCGTCGGCTCAAGCACGTGCATGAAATCAGGGCGCGGCGGTGACTCGACAAAGAGAACATGAAAGTCTACGTACCGCCGTATCTCAACTAGGATGCTCTCGATGCTGCAGCTGCGGTTCCAGTGGCTGAGGACGGGGAGCTTGTGTGGGTCGACGGTGCCGTCAACCTGAGAATCAGCGTGAGCATGCGTTCATTCCAGTTGGAGACACAGATGAAGGACGAGGGCGAGGGGGCGTGTGATAGATGAAAGGAAGTATGTAGGGAACACGCACCTGGTTTACGAACGGCAGGTTTACTCTGCTCAGGAATTGGACCTGTGGGGGCTTGTTCGGGTACTCGTCCCCGCAGGTGATCTTCAGGGAGTAGATGCGGTTCTCGTGGACGGTCTAGGTGGCGGAGAGAAGTCATATGCGCGGCAGTAGAGAGGTGTTTAGTGCGCGGAGGGAGGGCAGAACGAAAGCATCAGGTCAGTGAGTAGATCATTGCTTAACGTCGAATATACGCACATGTCCTGGCCCGATGATCGTGCCGTTCCACTTGCTCATCATCATGTCATCGCCGTCCTCGAGGCCGTACGAGCAGGAGCCATCGCCGATACCCTTCTCACCCTTCTCGAGCTCCTCGAGCAGGCGGAAGTTGCGCGGGACTGTATCATGTGTGTGGCGCGCGGAAGGATGTCGATGACCAGGTAGATGTGCAAAGATTGGAGGAGTGGGACGCGCGAGGGCGAGCAAACAGATCAGTACAGACGAATATTTCTGTGTAGAAAGTACGCACTTTGTGCCATCTTGAAATGTGTATCGGAGGTATAGATGGATCAAGGGTGGATGGGCGCAAGATCTGCGAGCATCGGAGGGGCCACATTAGCGAGCTCGTCAGACCACAGGAGACGAGCAACGCACCAGAAGACGAGCACGTTAGGTTAGGAGAGGAGGGTATCCGCAAGTCGTCACAATACCTGTCGAGCGCTGGTCAGCGAGATCGGGACAGTGGGCACGCGAATGCCGCGCGCCTTGAGCGAATGGTGGCGTACGGTCTGCACCACAAAGCTTACACCTTTGTAAGATCAGGAGCACGGCAACTGGTCAATGGAGGCGCCAATCCCTGCAGATAAAGGCTCGAAGATGGGCGTAGATGTGAAGCTATGAAGAGGCACGGCTCGCGCGCTGTTCCGGCTCGCGCGTGGCCGAGGGTATGCCCGATTGGGCAAGTCCAGCGGATTCCATTGTATTCTGCGCGATTGGCATCATACAGGGACCGAGCAGGAGCTTTGGCGCTTGCGGAGGAGCTGCTCAGGTGCAGAGGGTAGCTTACGGGCTTATCTGGGCAGAACTCCGGCCACCAACGCCTCCGTTCGGGTCGCGGCGAGCCGCCAGAGGGCCTGGAGGCCTTTACATTCTCAGCCAATGAGGTGCAGCTCCGAGGACGCCTTCCATCCATCAGAAGTATCCCCTCAGTGTTCCTTTGAATCGCTCTGGTCTTCCCTGGTGTGGAAGAGAGCGGGGAGACGAACTTCAACCTTGTCGCACGGACGTATGACGGCACTGACCGAACTTCCAAAGCAGGCAACTGAAAAATACAATGCCGATCAAAGCGTTCACTTTTCGCGTTCCCTCTTCCCCTCATCATGGCGCACAGGGACCCGCTGGCGTTCAACGTCAGGCGGCAGACGCAGGTTTTGCTGGAAGCTCTACCAGAGGACACAACCTTTGCAACAGAAATACACTCAGCGCGATCGCACACAGAACTCTTCGACGCGCTCTCTAGATGGCTAGCAGCCCCTTCGCTTACCTGGCGCATCGCGACCACATTCCGCCCGATTCTCGTTGATCTATGCGCGAGATGGCTTCAAGGCACACAACCAACCGAGGAGCAGCTCGTAGCTCTCTGCTTCCTCGTCGAAATCCATGAAGAGCTCTTTCCGTGAGTTTTGCCTGTCCAGTCACCTTGACTCGATAGCTGACGCGCGTATAGTGTACTCTACCGGGTACTATCAACAAAACGCTTCGAGCACGGTCCGCTCAGCGACATCAGCAGCAGCACGGAGCGCAGCCGCGTCCATCGCCTGCTGCTAGCATACTACCGTATCATGCAGATCAACCGCGAACTTCCCGGCCTGCAGCGGTGGTCCCTCAGCCATCTCTCCAAGTTGATGTGGAGCGAGAATCTCGACGGCGGCGCGAGACTGCTCGCCATCCGCTGCTATGCGCTGCAGAGTGGGATGGGCGAGGCGGAGCGCGAGCGTATCGAGAAGCAGATTTTTGGAGAAGTTGGTGGGCCGGACTGCCCGCTTGAATACGGAGTCGATGAGCAGGGCAACACCATCATTACCGACGGCTGGCTAATGCCGCTTCGCGAGCTCCAACGAGTGCAAAATGCGCGCAACGACATGGTAGCCGCGCCATACGACTATTTCGAGGGATCGGAGGACTCACCAGTAGATGAAACTGTGCTATGGTCAGCGACAAATTCTTCGGTGATTGTTCCTATCATACTGACCTTACTTCAGTCCGAACGTGGTTAACGTCAACGGCATACTCCTTGTCAAGGACGCGGGCACCCCATCCCCTTCATCCCTCATCCCCACGGACTCGGTCAATGGTGCTCTGCACGAGATCGCCACCTGCATGTCCTTGCGGTTACCCATCCTCCTCACATCGCCCCCTTCATCTGGCAAGTCCACGATACTCAAACATCTCGCCGGTTTACTTCACCCGACCGTTAAAAACCAGATTGTCGCAATTCAGTTGGCCGATACATCCCTCGACGCGCGCGCCCTGCTTGGGTCGCATGTCTCATCGCCAACACGGCCTGGTACCTTTGAATGGCGCGATGGTGCCCTCGTCCGTGCTATGCGCGCTGGCCGATGGGTCGTACTGGAGGACATTGACCGTGCCTCCGCGGAAGTTCTCGGTGTACTTCGCCCCCTCGTTGAGTCTCTGCGCGTCGACAAGTGGATAGGCGGACGTGCTCGCATCGCTGTTCCCGGTCGTGGGGAGGTCATCGCACACGATGCCTTCGCACTCTTCGCTACTCGTTCTGTGCGCGGGTCAACAACCCCACCTGCCTTTCTCGGCGCGCACAAGTGGTCGGAGGTGGTCGTGCCTGCACCTACGGCGGCCGAGGTGCACACGATCGTAGAGGCGCGCTTCCCCAGACTGCGGGGCGCAGCCGCGAATGGTTTTGTCGCTCTCTGGGATGCAGTACGTGCTCTTGGGCCCGCGGCATCTGCCCGCGACGTCGGTATGCGCGAGCTGGAGAAGCTCTGCGCGCGCGTTGAGCGTCTCTTGCCGCGCTCGTACGAACCGTCGGACATGATGGACGTCGACAATGTCGGCCTCCCAAGCCTATTCCCGAATCCCGCCTTCCGCGAGGACGTCTACCTCGAGGCGCGCGACATCTTCTTTGGCGCGGGTACTACCACTGCCGCCGCGCGTGCGCAGTCGGATGCCATCGCCATCGCCATCGCCGAGCACCTCGGCATCGATGCGGAGCGCCGGGAGTGGGTGCTGAAGGGCCGGGTTCCGGACTTCGAGGTCGAGAAGGACGTGAATGGGGAGGCCGTTGGTGTGCGCGCGGGGCGGACTTACTTGCCGGCAAAGGCGAAGGAGAGCAGGACACCATTGGCGCCCCAGAGGCCGTTCGCGATGCATCGGCCGGCGGTGATTCTGGCGTCAAGGTTGGCGACGGCGGTGTCATTGGCAGAACCGCTGTTGCTAACGGGCGAGACGGGAACGGGGAAGACGAGCGTGGTCACGCATCTGGCGGGGTTGTTGCGAAGACCTTTGGTGAGTATATGCGGCTTGATCTGTCGCGTCCGACGAGGATGCTAATGCATATACATAGGTCACTCTCAACTTGTCCCACCAGACGGAGTCAGCGGACCTCATCGGCGGCTTCAGGCCCGTGGACGCACGGATACCGGGCTCGGAGCTGCAGGGGCGCTTTATCGAGCTGTTCGGCGCGACGTTCAGTCGGAAGAAGAACGAGAAGTTCGAGACGGAGGTGCGGAGGGCGGTAGCTGAGGGGCGCTGGAAGCGCGCTGCAGGTCTTTGGAAGGAGAGCGTGCGGCTGGCGAGGGATCGGATACGGAAGCGGAGAGAGGATGAACAGGGCGAGACGAGGTGCGTAGATTTGCGGTCGGATCGAGCGTTGCGGCTGATGGACTCGGTAGCAGGGATGGCGAGAGTACGCCGCGGAAACGACGGAAGGTGGAGAAGGCGCCGGAGGAGCTTTGGGCGCAATTTGAGCATGATGTGACCGACTTCGAGGCGCAGCATGTGCAGGGCAACGGCAAGTTCGCGTTCGACTTCGTGGAAGGGCCACTGGTGAAGGCATTGCGGGCGGGTGACTGGTGCGTTATCATCTCATTTGTCAGGATCACTTTCTGACCTTCTGCAGGGTGCTCCTCGACGAGATCAACCTTGCGTCTCCGGAGACACTGGAATGCGTGTCGAGCATACTGCAAGACGCGACCGGCTCCATCACTTTGACTGAGCAGGGCGCGTTGGAACCCGTACCTCGACACCCCGACTTCCGTCTCTTCGCCTGCATGAACCCGGCTACAGACGTCGGCAAGAAGGATCTCCCTCCCCACATACGCTCCCGCTTCACCGAGATCGACGTTTCCCCACCCGACACCGACCGCGACACCCTCCTCTCCATCATCGAGAAGTACATTGGTGCAGCCGCTGTCGCCGACAAGCCCGCCATCATGCACGTCGCGGACTTCTATCTCGCCGTGCGCCAGATGGCGGAGGAGCGACGCATCGCAGACGGCAGCAACAAGCGCCCGAACTACAGCATGCGCACGCTGGCGCGAGCGCTGATGTTTGCGGCGGATGCGGCGCCGGCGTACGGGCTGCGGCGCGCGTTGTGGGAGGGGTACATCATGGCGTTCACGATGGTGCTGGACGGGGAGAGCGCGGATCTGGTGACGAGTGCGGCGCGGACGCATATCTTGGCGGGCGTGCGCAATGTCAAGTCGCTGCTCAATCGGGAGCCCGTGCCGCCGACGTCTGGGGAGCATCTCAAGTTCGGTCCCTTCTACCTGGAGGTCGGACCCCTGCCCGTCGACGGGTGCATGGACTACGTGATGACGCCGTCGGTGGAGGCGAAGCTCATCGCTTTGGCCCGCATCGTCACGACGCGCCGCTTCCCTGTCCTCATCGAGGGTCCGACATCCAGCGGGAAGACCAGTGCGGTGGAGTACCTCGCTCGTCGTACCGGTCATCGCTTCGTGCGCATCAACAACCACGAGCACACCGACATCCAGGAGTACCTCGGCTCGTATGTGTCGGACCCTATCACGGGCAAGCTGGCCTTCCGCGATGGTCTTCTCGTCCGCGCTCTCCGTCGCGGGGACTGGATAGTCCTCGACGAACTCAACTTAGCGCCCACCGATGTCCTTGAGGCACTGAACCGTTTGCTCGACGACAACCGCGAACTCGTCATCCCCGAGACTGGCGAAGTTGTCCGTCCGCATCCACACTTCATGCTCTTCGCCACGCAGAACCCGGCCGGTCTCTACGGCGGTCGCAAGGCGCTGTCTCGTGCGCTTCGCAGTCGTTTCCTGGAAGCCCACTTCGCGGACGTGCCTCGCGCGGAACTGGCAGAGATCCTGTGCCAGCGGGCTGCAATCGCGCCCTCGTATGCGGAGAAGATCGTGGCGGTGTTTCGGGAGCTGCAGGCCAGGCGTGGCGCCGGACGGGTCTTCGAGAGTCGTGAGGGCTTTGCGACTCTGCGCGACCTGTTCCGATGGGCGGGGCGCGGTGCCATTGGTTATCAGGCACTCGCGGAGGATGGGTATATGCTACTGGCCGAGCGCGCACGACGGGACGACGACCGGACCGTTGTCAAGGAGGTCATCCAGGACGTCATGAAGGTCAAGATTAACCAGGACGCTCTGTACGACTTCGACACGCCCGGCAGAGATATGCGCGAGTTCCTTGGTTGTACCATTCCCAACGACCCGAACCTGGTCTGGACACGTGCGATGCGGCGCCTGTTCGTCTTGACGGCGAGGGCGTTGCGTTTCAACGAGCCTGTCCTTCTCGTCGGCGAGACTGGTGCGGGCAAGACGTCGGTCTGCCAGATCCTTGCGGGAGCAACCGGTCAGGAGCTGTGTGGCGTGTCTTGCCACCAGAACACGGAGACAGCAGATCTGATTGGTGGCCTTCGTCCAGTTCGCAATCGCCATGCTATTGAGGCGGCAATTCTGGAGGACGTGCAGCAAGTGCTCGCAGGTCTGGGAATGGAGGAGACGTGCGACACCGTGGATGCCCTTCAGGCGCGGTTGGTCAAGATACTCAAGTCTGGCGGTCTGGATGCGGAGGCTGCAGAGCGCGTTCGAGGTCTTGTGCTGCGAATTACTAGTGCGAAGGCCATCTTCGAGTGGCGCGACGGGCCGCTTGTCGAGTCGATGAAGCGCGGCGACGTCTTCCTCCTCGATGAGATCTCTCTTGCGGACGACTCGGTTCTCGAGCGCTTGAACAGCGTTCTGGAACCGTCCCGGATAATTGTCCTCGCCGAACGCGGCGGTGATGCTATCGACCACTCATCCGTCACTGCGTCCGAGTCCTTCAAGCTCGTAGCGACGATGAACCCCGGTGGCGACTACGGCAAGAAGGAGCTGTCGCCTGCCCTTCGCAATCGGTTCACGGAGGTCTGGGTACCCCCTGTTGACGATCCTCGGGATTTGGAGTTGATTGTCGATCGGTTGTGGAAGCACGACGAGCTTAAGGCTTGGACGAAGCCCTTGTTGGCCTTCGCGGACGACCTGTGCAGACGTGTTGGTGACCGGACACTCGTCAGCTTGCGCGACATCTTGGTACGTGGCAGGTCAATAAGCCACTTATCTGTACTGACCGCCAACTAGGCATGGGTCAGTTTCTCCAACGCGGTCATGGACTTGGGACTGCAGTATGCGCCTTCCCCTCCTGAGATCTTCGTAAGTCGACCACAGTGATCCGTGCATCCTCCCGCTCACGGTATTATCCAGCATCATGCCGCGCGCATGACGTTCCTGGACGGACTCAGCGCTCTCCCCCAGCTATCGGCCTACTCTCGAGCCTCCCTCTCCGAGATCAAAGCCGGCGCCATCGCAACTCTCCATGCGCTCGCACCCATCGCAGATCACGTTGCATCCGCCCCCTCGTACGACCCGGCACAATACGTCCAGCTGGGGTCCTTCGCCATCCGGCGGGGCCATAAGCCTGCATCCTCTCAAGCGTTCAACCTACGTGCGCCGACCACTCAGGACAACGCTATGCGGGTGGTACGGGCTTGTCAACTGCCGAAACCTATCTTGCTAGAGGGTAGTCCCGGGGTGGGCAAGACCAGTCTCATCGCCGCCCTTGCAGACATCTCCGGACATCACCTCTGCCGTATCAACCTCTCAGATCAGACTGATCTTATCGATCTCTTTGGGTCAGATTTGCCAGTTGAGGGTGGCGCGCCGGGAGAGTTTGCGTGGAAGGACGCGGAGTTCTTGAAGGCGCTACAAGAGGGAGACTGGGTTCTGCTCGACGAGATGAACCTGGCACCGCAGGCCGTGCTTGAAGGGCTGAACGCTGTCCTCGATCATCGCGGGTCCGTGTACATTCCGGAGCTGGGGCGCAGCTTTGTTCGGCATCCCAACTTCCGCATCTTCGCCGCCCAGAACCCGCTGAGCCAGGGTGGTGGGCGCAAGGGCTTACCCAAGTCTTTCGTCAACCGCTTCACCAAAGTTTACGTCGAGGAGATGACGCCTAGCGACCTCTTCCTCGTCTGTCAACACCTGTACCCGGACATCGACGCTGGTCTCCTTAACGCCATGATCGATTTCAACGCCAAGTTGAACGAAAAGCTCGCCACGGATACCACTTTCGCGCGCGCGGGCAGCCCATGGGAGTTCAACTTGCGCGATGTCCTGCGCTGGGGCGCCGTATTGAAGTCGCAACCCCCTGGTACCCACCCCGGTGCCCTTCTACGCGCCATCTACCTTCAGAGGTTCCGATCCCGTAACGACCGCGATCAAGCTCGTCAAATATTCGACAACGTCTTCGGCGTCGACTCGGCTTCTCTCGAAACCCTCGCCTGGTCCGTGTCTCCTGAATTCGCTCGCTTCGGCCGGTTCATCGCACAGAGGAGCAATTATGCGTCCTCTACACGTCCTTCGCGCGTCCTCAAGATGCATCTGGCCGCATTAGAGTCCGTCGGGCAATGCGTTGCCCAATCCTGGCTGGGAATCATCACTGGCGAGCGTCATTGCGGTAAGACAGAACTTGTCAAGACGATGGCGGCCATGACGGGCAACGAGCTCACTCACATCTCCATCAACCATGCTACTGACACCATGGACATCCTCGGTGGCTTTGAGCAGGTTGACGAACTCGGGCAGCTCAAGATTCTTGCGGAAGACGTCCTCAGCCACGTCGACACCTATCTTCGGTCAAATGATGGTTCGCATTCGAGCGTAGTCCTTTGTCGGGATCAACTGAGGACAACGATCGATCGGGGCGCTCCTGCGGACCAGATCATACACGTCGCCAGCGCTTTACAGGACTCCTTGGCGAGTACGGACGCGGACATTTATATCTTGCCACTGGTTCAGAGGCTGCAAGACACGGCCAGGTCTCCGCCATCGACTGGTCACTTTCAATGGGTCGACGGCCCTCTCGTGCAAGCTATGAAGAAAGGGACCTGGGTGCTCTTGGACGGTGCCAATCTCTGCAACCCCTCCGTCTTGGACCGTCTGAATTCACTTTGCGAACCGGGCGGCGTACTCACTCTCAGCGAACGCGGCCTTCTGGACGATCAAGTCGAAGTGGTCAAGCCTCATGCTCGTTTCCGTCTCTTCATGACCGTCGATCCTCAATATGGCGAGTTGTCGCGTGCAATGCGCAATCGTGGAATCGAAATTTGCTTGTCCTCTGGTCCGCTCGCGGACGACGGTGATATCCTTCAGCAATACCTCCGGCTACCCATGGGCGTCACAGACGCAATAGGCCCTGTTCGGAATTTCGACAGTATTCGTCGAGGTATTGCGACATCTCCGACGCCCCGACCGCCATCGCTAGTTTCTACTGGGCGAGCACTCGACCAAGATTCGCCGTTGTCATCTCTGTCCGATTGGTTCTGTAGCCCGACCGCCTCGCGACAAGACGCTCGCCAACAGTTCGTCGCACGCTCTACAATCCCGACCTACGCCCTGCAACTTCGCCGGAGCGACCCGTCCCTTGCGCCACCCGGGGAAGAGTGCACGCAGAAACTGCTCTCGAGCATGAGAGAGAAGTACGCCATTGTTTGGGGAGTGCCACTTGCTTATCTCGTCTCGCAGGTTAGCTCACGCATCCTCTCCTCCAAGGCCTTTTCTAATATCTATCATTTTGTATCTACGTCGTATAGCCAATGGATTTCTTTCTCAACGCATATCCGTGTGAAGGCAGCAAGCTCAAGGTGGACGGGTTCTCGGACCATCGCATCGTCGCAGCTGCGTTAGACGTCGCGACCACCTTGGGGTACGCGGCAACAGTGGATGAACGGAAACTCGCCGCGCTTCATCGGCAGTCCTCGAGGCACATACCCGTCATCGGTGCCGCAAGCCACCTCGTACAGTCGGCAATGGAATGCGGACGCTTGGTACTCGACAGCGCTTCGCCTTCGGTGGTAAGCAGCCTTTTCCTCTACCCCACGGGCACGCAGTCAATCTTACTCCCGCACAGATTAGCCTCGAGACTGTGTCTAATTTCTTGTCCATATCGCAGTGGCTGCGGTCAGCTATCGAACGCGACGTTTTCGATTACTCAGCCGTACAAATCGCCTCGCGATGGCTTTCACAAGCCGTCGACGCGGGATCACCGTCTTTCGATGCTCTTGTCGGAGCTGTGCAGGAACTGCAAGACTGCGTAGCTTTACAACGGGGAGCCGGTCTGGAAGAGTTCTGGTCGGGATTCCTCGTCCAAATTCCAGCGATTGACCGCGAGGCCGCCAGGAGACTCGCGCAGATGGCCAGCGAGCTCAAAGTGACAGCGCACGCGTACGGTAAGTGACATCCCGTCCTTTAGTCAACTACATAGCCTGACCGTGCTTGCAGAAGTACGGGCTCAAACCATGCGAGTGTTGGCCTTGGGCAGCCTCCCGGGAGTTGCTGATGCCCAAGACTTCGATCTCGCGTCCTTATCCCGCTTGGTACACGAAGCCGAAAATGTGTGTTGTTTTATCTCACGTGTCATTGGACGAGAGGGCTTACAGTCGCAGATGTTGCAGAAGGAGCACGACGAGCATCTCCATCAGTCCGGCGTCGATTTGCGACCATCGGCCATGCTCTCTCAATTGAACACGCTCTCGCACTCGTCTTCTATGGTCAGTTATTTCTCCCTGACGCTTTTCATTTCCCATCATATTCGTAGGACGTCGCATATCTTCTCAATACCTTGTGTCGCCACACTCGGACAGACGTGAAGACCTTGGTGCCGTATCAGCATTTGCAATGGGCCCTTCGGGCAGGCAAAGGTACAGACGCCATTGAATACCTTTTACTACAGTGCGCTCATAACATGCCCAGACACTACCCTACTAGCGACGTACGCCTTAATGCACTGGCTTGAGGAGCTGTGGACCGTCGAATTGTCCGATGTAAGCATTCTATTGTCCACGACATACAACGTATCTCATCGTTACGGTCATAGGAGTTGGCCGGCCCCGCGCTCGTCTTCTACCCAGTGCATCTACACGCGGTCATGAAGACAAGGTAGACCGTCTTGTATACCCACGTCCGTTTCTCGCTCATCAATCGTCGCAGATACTGGCATAAGTACTCGCTAGGCTCCGCCTCCGTTATGGAGAACGATCTGAAAACACAAGCGGGGCTATCACGTCTTGCGGCCAGGGTCCACAAGCCAAGGCTGCAGCAATTGTTGGACCTCCTAACTACGTCCCTGGCGATGGTACTTTCTTCCCTTGCATAATGTCCGGATCTGCTGCTGACACTTGTCAGGTCGAACGATGCTTCTCGTCGTCGATCCTGGAAAGGAGAGAACGAACTCTGGAGAACGTACTGGCAGGACTGTCTGCAACGTGTGGCCAGCATTTGCTTGATGCGGTCGAACAGAGACTGCGCGCTCCGTTGGAGGCTGTCGTTCATCAGGCTTCGCCGTCGCTTACGGAGGTCGGTCGCTGCTGGATGGCCGTCGGCTGGCTGGTGATCGATCTTTTTGTACCCGATACGCCAGTGGATCCCGTCGCGTGGTACGAGTACTCCAGGTCGTTTGTTTCGGACAAGGAAGCGTTTCTCGACGCGCAGATCGACCTTCATTCTCAGCTGCAATATCTCTCCACCGGCGAGCGGGGCAATGCGATGATCGACTATCTGGTCCAGCAAAGGAACGCAATGGCTGGCGCAATGCCGAAGAAGATATCGGTGCAGCGCAAGCCAGACGTCGGTCGCGTCAACGCATTCTGGTCGGAAGTCCACCAATTCCAGAACCAGCTCCTGTCCGAAAGTCGCCTATCGACGTTGATGGACCAGCTGGCACTTGGCGACCCACAGGCAATACACACGGAGGAGACCCTCCAGGGTTCGATGCATGGTTTCTACGAGCGCCTTGCCGGTATCTACACGGATCTCCAAGATCTTACTGGCCCGCTTCAGTTTGCCATCCTACACCTCCGCCTTGGGCTTCGACTGCTTGCTTTGGACGGCGCCCAAATGACTGTTCGACGCTCGCTAGGAGGCATTGGCGCTGCCGTCGCTTTTCCATCCATCAAGGCTGCCACTAGCCTGACCGACGACGTGGAGGCCGCGCCTCCGTCGGGTCTTCTATCTCAGCGCCTGCTGCTGTCATTGTCAGCCTCAGACTTTGAACAGGCGACTGGAATGCGGAACAAGCAGACGTTGATCAAGCTTGAGTCGTTGTTCGAGCAGCTCACGCGCTTGTGGCTCATCGAACGCGCCAAAGAGGCGGACGCTGAGAAAGCCCAAAGCACCTTGTATCGTCAGCACGCCACAACACACGAAGATCTCGGCGACGCAGAAAGGGAGGCGGCCGAGTTCAACGAGCTCTTTCCGCAGTACGGGGACGATGAGGAGGCCTCGACGCTCTCCGATCACGGTCCTCAGACCTCCAACAAGAGCGGCAACATCGGTTCCGCCGCCGACCTGCACATATCCATGTTTGCAGCCTTGCTCGACGGCAATCGACGGGCCGGCGTGGAGTTCCGAGCAGCGCGGATATCGTTCCTGTCGTCCTTGTTCGAGGTGGAACAGCACTTGCCTGGTACCCTTGACGAGCAGTCGACGATGCTACGCCTTGACATACTCACTGAGGGTATCACCCGACTCCAGCAGCGCGACGCCGGTTCGCAGCCGTACAACTTCTACACCGATCACAATATCTCGGAGACGAAGAAAGCCGCGGAGGTTGTCCTTGCCATGAAGGAGCGCATTTCGGAAGTCCTGCAGGAGTGGCCCGAGCAGATGGTTCTCGTCAACCTGCTCGGCCGTTGCGACACGCTCCTGGCCCTTGCGCTGGACAGCCCTGTCGCAAAGGTGCTCAGCGCTCTTGAGCAGCTCCTCGTTCAGTCACAAGACTGGGAGATGTACGCCAACCGCGAGAACACCCTGAAAGCACACCAGCAGAACCTGACGGCACTCATCGTGAGCTGGCGAAGGCTCGAGCTGTCCTGTTGGCAGACTCTGCTGGACTCGCAGGCTTTGTCCTTCGCCCAAGCAATACCCGAATGGTGGTTCCGGCTCTACGACGCGTGCGTTCGTGGCGCCTTGGATGCCGCATCTAGCGAGGATGCGCTCACGGAATTCTTGGTCAAACTCCTTCCGCTTGTCGATGACTTCGTGCGTACCAGCGCTGTCGGCCAATATGCGGCGCGCCTGCAGCTTTTGCGCGCCTTCGCAAACTACTGCGGCGAGTTGTCCGGCGTCAAGACGGGTCTTTCACGCGTCGCCCTGAAGCGGGTCCGCTTGCTTCTGTGTGCTACGCTTGCGTATTACTCGCTTTCGTCAGCCAGGGTCCAGAAATCATTGGAAGAGCAGCGACGCCCTTTGGAGAAGGAGGTCAAGGACTTCATCAAGCTCGCCAGCTGGAGGGACATCAACGTCCAGGCTCTCAAAGAAAGTGCAACCCGGACGCATCATCAACTGTACAAGATCATCCGCAAGTTCCGAGATGTTCTACGCCAGCCTGTCGACGCCATGCTGAACCCCGACTTCGCCGACAATACAGGTGACGATGCCGCTGTACCTCCTCCGAACAACGCCCAAATTCCCGATGGAGCAGAGGTATCGTTCCCGGCGCACGATCCATTGACGTCCAGCGATCATCTTCGTAACATCGGCCAGACCTACGCGCGTTTCCGCTCTCTTGTTTCCTCCCGCATTACACCGTTCCACACGTCTCTAGCGTCATCATCGCTTCAAGACCTTTCCGCGACGATCATCGAGACGCAGAAGGAGCTGGCGGCGGAGACTGCACCCTCGGACCTCCCGAAGGAGAAGCGCGAGAAGTTCTACAAGTCTCTGCTGGTTCGCAAGCGCAAGGCATGGAGTGATCTTCTGAAGGAACTAAAGCGCATCGGCTTCAGGCAGAACGTCAAGCCTGACGTATTGCGCCTGCAGGCCGACTCCCGATGGATTCGCGAGCAACCCATGATGCCGCCCGTGGAGGGTCGTGATACACAAAGGGCAGAGTCTTACTTCCTGCGCCTGATGGGCTGCCTTCCAGCTGTACGAGCTGCTGTCCCCGACCATCATGCGGATCTGTCGACACGGGAGCTTCAACGTGGAATGGGCTTCCTCGAGTCTGTCTACGAATACGCGCTCAAGGCTCGCTCGGAGTACGTCGCTTACCTTCTACTTCTTGAATCTTACTTACCCCATCGACAGTCTGGCGAACACGCTTCAGGAGTACAACGCTTTGACGAAGTTGCGACAACGTCTGGAGTCTCTTGCGGAAGCGGACGTGGCTGTACCGTTGCCTGCGAAGGAGTTGGTAAATCTGCGCAAACTGGAGAACACGCTCTTCGGTCTAGCCAGCGCTCTAGGCGAGGTGAAGGATGGCATCCTGACCTATATGTCTTTCGAGGACACTCCTGTCGCCCCTGTGGATAGCCTCGTGGCAGCCTTCGGTGAAGGGGCAGCGCAGTGCTCTTCACAAGCTGCCGAGCTGAGAATGGTCGTCGACAATATCGTTGTCTTCTCAAGCGTCACTTCAGGTACGCGCTTCTGGCCATCTGTCCGACTAGAGATAGGTATTAACTCCGAATTCAGAAGAACGCATTGCTTTGCAGCGGGGTGCGCAAGTCCTGAGCGACATGAGGAACCTTCTTCGACGCTCATCCGAGGAGGCACCTCAGATGCGCTACCTCTTCGACCCCGTCTGCGAGTGGGTCGACGCGCAAGATGTGCAACCGATCGACCTTCTGAACACCTCTGCCTTCCTGCCAGCCGACCGCAGCGCATCCATCGTCGATACTTTGCTCATCAATGTGCAAGGTATACTCAGCCAGTGCGATGCCGCGCGGAAGACGCCACAAGAGGATGAAGACGACGACGACTTCGCCCGCCGCGACCTGATTACGTTGCGCGCTCTTACCAGCCAGCTCAAGCTCGAGAAGGTATCCAATGCCGTACAGGAAGCGTTCGCCAACTGCGATGCGCCCAGCGACGATTTCCTTCGCGACGTGCGGCGCGCTCTGCCCTTCCTGCGCGCGTACGAGACGGTCGTACAAGTGCATATCGATACCCTCGCCGGCTGGAACAAGGCGCTCTTCAAGCTCGCGTATGTCCTGTGCATCCTATTGCGCGCGCTCGCGACCCAGGGCTTCTGCCGACCGCCTGACGTCGAAGATGACGGCGAGGGCGGGGACAACGCCGGCGAGGCTACCGGCGGTATGGGCGTCGGCGAAGGCGCAGGCGCGGAGAACGTCAGCAAGGAGATCGAGGACGAAAGCCAGGTGGAGGGACTGCGCGGCGAAGAGGCGCAGGACGAGCGTCGGGATCAGGGAGGAGACGAGGATGACGACGCAATTGAGATGAACGAGGACGTCGGCGGCGCACTGGAGGATGTGCCGGACAGGGGAGATGATGAAGCGGAGTCTGGTGACGAGGAAGAGCAAGATTTGGACGAGAAGATCGAGGACTTGGACAAGTCGGATCCGGCGGCTGTCGACGAAAAATTGTGGGGTGATGAGAAGGGACCGGAGGACGAGGGAGGGCAGGATGATAAGATTGGGGACGACAGGTCGAAGGAGCAGCAGCAGGACGAGTCGGAGGTGGTGGCGAAGGAGGGCGGGGATAAGAAGGAACAGAAGGGGGAGAAAGGGAAGGATAAGGAGGACGCGAAGGACGAATCGGCGGAGCAGCAGCCGGAGACCAAGCAAGCGGAGGACGAGGCGGCGCCGGACCAAGCGGAGGGAGAGGAACAGCCCAGCGCGGAGGGAGCACCGATGGACGAGCATGTTCAGGACGCGAATACGCTGGAGCTGCCGGACGACATCGACATGGACGACGTGGAGAAGGAGCAGGATCAGGACGCGGAAGAGGACTTCGGCGACGAGGAGATGGCGATGGAGGAGGATCAGGGACCACCCGAGTCAGATGGCGAAGTCGACGACAAAGAGGGCGGGAAGGAGGAGACCAAGGACGGTGGGGACGGCGAGGAGGATTTCCCAGAAGACGAGTCCATGGAGCCTTCGATGCAGGTCGACGATGTCCAGGAAGAGTCTGCGGCGGACGATGATGCTCCCGATGGCGAAGCGCCTACCGACCAGCCAGACGTCACGGAAGGCGAGGGTACAGACCAGATCACGAGTGAGGGTAGACCGGACGCTGGTGCTGCCAGCGCATCCACGGGACAGGGTGCGTCGTCCGCCGGGCAGCAAGGTCAGCAGGCAGGCGACCAGGAGATCAATGAGGAGCAGGCAGCAGAGTACGTTGAGCCTTCACGGTGCATCAAGTGCGTGGCTAACAATGTCTTCAGGGCGACTGGCGAGCAGCAGGAGAATGCAGACCCTAGCCAGACCGACCAAAATGCCGGATCCCGTGCTCAAGGTGTTCGTCAAGGTGCCGAGCCCTCCGTCGGCAACCCAGCAGACGATTCCCTAGACCCCCACCGCAGCCTCGGCGACGCCATGAAGGAAATCCAGCGCCGGTTCGACGAGATCCTCCGGTCCGACAAAGCCCAACAGCCGCGGGAAGCAGCACCAGACGCCCAAGCCGATCAAGTCGAGTACCTGCAGCCCGAGGACGCCGACGCGGACATGCAAGCGCTCGGCCCAGCGGGCGAGGAGAAGGCGGCCAACTTGTCCGAGCTGAACGTGATTCAGGGCGACGACCTGATGGACGAGACGACGCCGATGGAGCTGGATGACATCAAGCAGGACGAGCAGCATGAGCAACCAGCTCCCTCTGATCGTCGTCCTCAAGCCGAAGAGCTGTCCTCCGCACCCAAGCAAACCCACCTCGAGGATGCGATCATGCGCTACAACCCGTCCGCAGACGTGCCCGAAAGTGTCGCCCTTGTCCAGAAGTCAGAGGATCACGACGGTCACGAGCAAAAAGATAGCGAGGAGAGGGATGCCGCTGTCGAGGCAGAGCTCCGAGAGTGGGTCTCCTCCGGGCACGCGGAGAACATGGTCGACCACCTCTGGCGCCGCTACGAGCACCTCACGCATGACCTCTCGTACGCCCTCTGCGAGCAGCTGCGCCTCATCCTCGAACCCACCCTGGCCACCCGCCTGCGCGGCGACTATCGCACGGGCAAGCGCCTGAACATGAAGAAGATCATCCCGTACATCGCGAGCGACTATACCAAGGACAAGATCTGGCTCCGGCGCACGCGTCCGAGCCAGCGCGAGTACCAGATCCTCATCGCGCTTGACGACTCGCGCTCCATGGCGGAGTCGCACTCGGTGCATCTCGCCTACCAGACGCTTGCGCTCGTCACGAAAGCGCTGTCGCGGTTGGAGGCGGGAGATGTCGCGGTGGCGAAGTTCGGGGAGGGCGTGGACGTACTACACGGGTTCGACAGCGGACCCTTCACAGACGCGGCGGGCGCCAAGGTCATGGACGCTTTCCGGTTCGACCAGCGGGCGACGGATGTGCTCAAGCTCGTACGGGCGAGCCTCAACATGCTTCAGGCGGCGCGTGAGCAGCGAGCAACGGGCTCTGCGACGGCGGGCGATCTCTGGCAGCTCGAGATCATCATCTCGGACGGGATGTGCCAAGAGCACGAGCAGCTTCGGAGTGTGTTGAGGCGCGCGGAGGAGCAGCGGGTGATGGTCGTGTTCATCATCATCGACTCGTTGCAGAACCCGACGGCGGGCACGACAGCGGGACAGCAACCGGGGTCGATCGTCACCATGGACAAGGCGGAGTTCAAGAATGTGGATGGGAAGATGGAGTTGCAGTTGCAGCGGTACCTGGACTCGTTCCCCTTCGAGTACTACGTTGTCTTGCGGGATGTGGAGGCGCTTCCGGACGTTCTTTCGACAACGCTCAAGCAGTTCTTCGAGCGCGTTACAGGGTCAGAATAGATGTACAGTATAGATAGAGCCATCGTAGATTTGTGGTACAGGCTTCACGTCCGAACTGTTGTTATATGTATGAATCATGTCGCTATCGGCATCGTCTTTCGCACCCATTCGATGGAGCTCCGAGATGGGATTGGGCTATTGATCCAAATGGGGCACCCAGCCGAATTTGATCCGGGGTTTGCTTCTTGTCTCTTGCCGTCACCAGCTTCAAGTTGGCTTCAAGCGAGTCCTCTCGAGAAGAACGTCTACTGGTCTGTACTGAATTCCCGAGTGGATCACAGTTGCGCGAAATGTCAGCGGTCCAGGTATCGTACGCTCGTGTCGAGGAAATTCAACTCTATGAACGCTCGTGGTGGCTGTGGCCACCGTTCATGCTGCTAATTGTTCTTGCCTGAATTCTATACGTTTATTGTCTCCTAGCGCTTCCAGGCCCCACGCTTAGGTCCATTTAAAGTCGAAACAGAGTATTGGCAGACCTGGCGTTCCTTCCTTGCTCTGCTCTCCCAACCTCGACATCATCGGCAGGGATGTCCAACTGTCCCTACCGAAGTCCTTGTCATCGTGATCAGCACCATGCTCGACAGGATGCGTGGCAGCAGTCCGCTATTGCTCATGTTGAGCAAGAGTACACAGAACACGATGTACGGGACGTGCCCGAAGTACACTTTCCTTTCGACACTTCCATGCCGGGTCACTAAATAGCTTGGCAGGATAGTCTCTTGCTGAACCCAGATATCGACTCTCCTACCACCACCACCAGCGGCGACTATGTATCATCTGGTACATCTAAATTTGATCAAGGTCACGGATACGCCCCTCGTGAACGTGCCTCTCCAACAAGCAATTCTTCTACTTCTACCATTCCTTCACCCTCTCCTCTACCTCCTCGTCCTCCCTCCATTCCTTCTCCAAATCCTATCCATCCTCCTCCGCCGCCGCCTCAGCATCAAGCGAGGAATGGCTTCGAACTACATGTACCGATGCACCGATCACAGCCGCATCGTTTGCGCAGTATACTAGTCAAGGTGAGGCTTCGTCTTAAAGCTTCGCCAGCGGGCTCTCCCATCCAGTCTCCGCATTATTCCATTCCCTCCGCTGCCATACTGTTGTGCACGGGAAGTACGCGCTATTATATCACATATTCTTCGTATTCCTATTGTTTCTTACTAGTCAATTCAACAGAATGTGCGCGGGCCCACAAACTACCCGCAGTCGAGGGACCCTCTGCCCGACCCACAAACGGCTGGAGATATACCAACGGGGAAACTGGCACATCTCCGTCTCTATTCTCCACAGCTGAATCGTCATGGACGACGCGCTCTCTCTTTTATAGAACCACGGGACTTATTTGGTACGCGCGTTCATCCGATCCGTCGTCTCGAAGGGGATCTCCTGGGGTACATCTTCTGCTGCTGCATGGACTATGAGGCGAATGACCTCTCTCGTGCACTCCTCACGAGCAACGCTACGCCGCTAGTCATAACGCGCGTCTGCATGCTCTGGCAACAAATTGCGCTGCGCACGCCTTTCTTATGGGCCCATCTTTCTATGGGGCCATGTCGCGGACGCACTCACTATCGTCTGGCTCACTTGTTCATCGAGCGGGCCATGGGGCATGACCTCTACGTGCACTACGACGAGGACGTGCAGAGGGGCAGTCTCTCGTCCGAGCATTGCCCTTGCGCGCTCGACATCATCTCGCAGAACATCGAGCAGATCAAGACGCTGGAATTGGTCATGATCAGCGAAGAGAGTCTGGCTCGTTTTGTGACCAGCGTTTCTCGCGCCGCTGCCTCGCGGTCCCCTTTGACACGCTTCGAAGTGTCGACGCAATTTGACTATCCTGCGTCCACGACGATCCTTCGGGCTCTTCCCAACATCTGCAACGCGCCCAACGTACGCGACATTCGATGGTCCGGAGCTGTATTCCCCGAAGACGTGTTCCCGTGGCAGCAGATAGTCTGTCTTCGCCTTTCCGAATGTCTTCTGTCTCCTCGGCAGGTGCTCCGTTCCATCGTGAATGCGCCTGCCCTACGCGATTTCAGTGCTTGCGTTACGGAGGCCGAGGTTCGCAATGACCGCCTCGTTCGATATGCGGCCGTGCACACCGAGACACTAAAAAGTCTAGCTCTCGACTGCGACGGAGCCCTGGACGTGCTGTTCCATTCCCTGCATGTTCCTCGCCTCCGATCTCTGCAGCTGCGCCCTCTTCCTTATCTTTCAACATGGGCACCACACAAGGCGGCTGACTGGCCTTTCCGCGACATCAACGTACTTCACATCTTCCTCAGCCGATTGCAGGACGGACTGGAGCATTTCCTCCTGTTCGATGGCGGGAGCACCTTCGACGAGCGCGCACTTCTACGCATCATAGAGATGCCGCAGGCGTCAACGCTGATAGACCTGCATGTCTCACAAGTCAGCGGAGGCGTTGGCGACGCCGTCTTTGTGAAGCTGACGCCGAGGCGTGGGGCTGTTCCTCTGCTACCACACCTCGAGAGGCTTAGCATGTGCGCCTGCGCGACGTCGCTGAATACTATCTCTCGCATGTTGAACGCCCGACGGCTTCTTGATTATCCTTTGAGCGAGATCGCATTGGGTCATGCTCTTGGTAACCTCTCGCCCTTAGACTACAGATCTTAAAGCAATCGAGGAGGCCGGTTGGCAGCTCCACCGGTATTCCTTGGTGTGTCAGTCACATAGTAGGAGTAGTAGTAGAGTACAGGTTGCATCCCACGATGAACTCGCAAAATAGGGAGGTTCACAGTTCGGTTGGGTGACGGTTGGGTGACCGGTTGGGTAAAATGTTGGGTGAAAGTTGGATGAGGGGTTTGCGCTCCGAGTTTGGTTTTTCGCTGCTGCCCAATTCGACGAAACCGAGGTCGGTTTCGCGCCCGCTGCATTTGTCGGAGTTTCAAACAATTGTTTGGCCGTCTTGTTTGCCCCCTCTGGACGCTCGCGCAGCAAGCTTTCAGGACCCAGAATATCATAAGCGTCCTTGAAGAGTCGGAGATGCATGCAGGTATGCTTTTCTTAGGGACTAGAGTTGCATGATGGACGAAGGCGAGCACCTTCAACCATGCGGAATTTGCCGGTTGCCGATGCATCTTTGTGGCGCAGTCAATTTGACGTGCGTTCGGCGCCGCGCGATCAAAGTTGGGTAAACTGCCCTACCCCTCATCCAACTTTCACCCAACATTTTACCCAACCGGTCACCCAACCGTCACCCAACCGAACTGTGAACCTCCCTAATGACTGAGTAGCAGAAGCGAGGTTCGAACATGTATGGTTGGATTTCGTGTTGATCCCGATCGGCATCGTGGTTCAGCGCTCGGAGCGACTTGCTCTTTCCCGTCATCATCCCGCTGGCGGCGCCTGCCTTGCTCCTCTACAACCTTTTGTGTGGTGATTTTCCGTCGCCTGTGAATGATTCATAGTGTGTAAGGGCCTGCAGAAGACGTTACGGCCACCCCCCGCAATTTATTCATCGTCGATGCCGATCCCGGTGATTGATGCTTGTCTTTCCGCCCACTGTACGGCGCGCACGACGAGATACTGCGGTACGCTGACCTTTCAGTTGCCACTATACACGACGCAGGCTTTGCCTTCTGCGTGCGATCCTTTGGCCAACGCTATTGTCTTTCGGGACCGGCGTTGTTATGGAAGCTTCGCCTCACCATGGTTTATGCTTCGTCGAACGCCGCGCTTATTGTCTTCGTGTGTGTCCGGCCTGACGACACTGCGATGCTACTCTTCCGAACGATGAGTATAAGGACGAGTAGGGCGCCAAAGCGAATTCGTCTTCCGTCCTTCCCCTCTGAACGTATCTGCGATAATGTCTAACGCATCCTACTGTCCTCACGGTGCCAATACGCACGGCCGGCCTGCCGTCGAAGGGCAGCCATATCTTGCTTCCTCGCAGCCAGCACCTCGAGAGGATTTCATCGATTGGCAGACATGGCGAGACCCCGTGCGCATTCTCATCATATGTATACTCTCTTTCGGCTCACACGACTTTACAGAACGCACCGATCCCGGAGACTGCGCCGTGGCTCAAGTATTCTGGTCCTGATCCGCCTACGGCGGACGACTTGCGCAAAGCGCTGTTCATCCCTCCCTTCTCTCCCCCTCCTGAGCATTGGCGCGCCCTTATTCCCCTGGATCCCATCCCGGACGAGGACGGCTCGTACACGCATCCGATCAACCAGCTTCCCGTCGAGCTGCTATCCTATATCTTCACGCGGTGCTTGGACCTAGAGGCGAGCAACCTAGCTCACGCTGAAGTCGACTCCAACTTCATCTCCCTGCTCATCTCTCGCGTATGCCGGCGCTGGCGCCTGATCGCGCTGGACACACCCTTTCTATGGCAGCACTTCCTCATGGCGCCCTGCAAGAATCGGTCCCACTATGCGATCGCGCGCCTGTTCCTGAAGCGGACGAAGGGCATGGGGATGCACATTCGCTACGCAGAGAACACACTCCGCGGCGCGCGCACCGGGTCCTGCCCTTGCGCCCTCGACTTCATCATCAGAAACATCTCTCAGATCGTAGCCCTGGAGCTCGATGGACCTAGGGAGTCCACCGTTGCGCGCTTGACCTCTGTGCGCCGAGGCTTGACTTCAATGATGAAGCGCTTCACTCTTACTACCGAATCTCCCAACATGGATCCCATGCTCGCGCGTGGGCTCCACTCGATATTCCTCCAGAGCGGCCTGCGCGACATCGATTGGGGGCTTGCTACCTTCGTACCCGAAGAGATCAACTGGTCGAAGCTGCACTGTTTGTCGCTCGGGCATTGCCCCATCGAGCAGCATACGCTGCTGCGTATCGTGCTCAGTGCGCCTGTCCTTCAAGAAGCCTATGTAGAGGTGGCGAGAGTATCGGGTCCGGCGAGGCGGTTCACGCCCGTTCACGCGAATTCGTTGAACAGCCTCACGATAGAGGGAGAGGGGCCTCAGGACCAGCTGCTTCAAGCCCTCTATCTTCCCGGTCTGCGCTTCTTCACTCTGCGACCTTCTACGACACTCCCCTATGATGTTGCAAGTAACAGCCGCGGTTGGCCATTGCTCGACATCGAGGTCCTTTATGATTTCCTCGGTCGTATTCAGGGGAGCCTCGAGCGCTTTATCCTGCTGTATGGCGGGGAGATCTTCAACGAGGCTGCCCTCATCAATATCATTGGCATGGCACAGCTCAGGGAGCTCATAGTCCTGCACGTCACCGACGTCCATGGAAATGTGAGCGATGCCTTCTTCTCCCGGCTTAATCAGGGCGATAAGAAGGCGCCATTACTTCCCTGCCTCGAGAGGCTTGCGCTGACAGATTGTCTGACAACGGACGGTGTCATCTCGCGTATGCTAGAGCTCCGCCGCATTCAAGGATATCCTATTCCCACCGTTGTTCTCGGTTATCCCACCGGATACCGCCGGCCCCACCCGAAGGACTGTGCCACGTTCGCGAAGCTCAGAGAAATCGGTTGGTATATCGCTTGGGAGGAAGGTTTGTAGAATAGAGAGAATTCACGAACGCACTTCATCCATAGCTATTACATGTACTATGCGTATATCAGACGTTCAGCGTATGTACGGTGTTCATCGTCAACTTCGGTGCAAGCGGGTATCTCTAACCTGGAAGGTCCAGGCGGCATTCCGGAGAAGTGCACCAACGCGTGTGCCCAAGTGACCCTCCAGACGCGAGCTCCTCAACGCATAGACAGGATGATTGGGACTGATGCACACAATCCCGCTATGAATAATGCGAATGGCGTTGACAAAAAGCCTGATATATGCCCCCCTGTCGTGCATGAATCGCGGACCACAGCCAATAGCGTAGTATACTTCGAGATGCTTCAAATTTGCAGTGCGAAGGGAATCCAGCAGATTCGCCAGCCACGCCTCGTTATTGTGGACGTGGAAGGACTCGAGGAATCGCACTTCCAGCTTTGGGAACTTTCGCCCGCTGTCGTTTCCGCGGACGTGCCAAAAGTGCACCTCCTTGAGGCGCTGAGCGTTGTACAGGATGAGCCAGCAACTGAGAAGGTCTACCGGCATCAGGACGTTGATCTTCTCCGCGCTCGCGCCCTTCCACTTCGGGTCGCGGGCGATGCCTCTCGCCGGAAGGCAAGGTAGCATGTCGAGAGTGTAGATGTTGAAGGCTGCCTTGGACTGGCCTTCAGCATTCGCCGCGGGAGGCTTTCCGCCCGTGACCGCCTCTCTCGCGTTCGTGGGAGGCGCCGCCGGCGCCACAGGCCGAGGAGAAGGAGCGCGAGGGGGATGAAGAGGGGCAGAAATGTCGGGCGCGGGCGCGGGTGCCATATTAGATGTCGCAGGAGCGGCGACCTGTGCGCTCAGAGGGATCGTCGAAGGGTACGGCGTCGGCGGCGCGAGGGTCGGAGCATACCCAACCATCGGCGTAACAGCAGGCAGCGGCAGCATGCCGCCGATAGCCGGTGTAAAGGGTGTCGTCGCTGGGGTACCGATGGGGGTTCCGCTTTGCGAGTCGGTCGCGAGGGGGGTGTATAGATGTGTCGGATCTGCTATAGGTTCGCGAAATGCGACGTTGCGGCCGGGAGGCGGTTTCGCCACTTCCTGTTGCGCAAAAGCCTTGTGAATTTGCTTAGGAAAGTGCCGATAAGAGTAGTGCGCATTCTGCGTAGCCCTGTTGCGTCGTCAGTGTCATGTTCTGCGAGGAGGGGCCAAAAACTCACGCATTCATTTTTGTCAATTTGTGGCCAGCACAATGATAGGTCAATGGACGTCGTGGGTGTAAATTCGAGCGTGGGCGTGATCAATCGTCACTTCGTCAAGCTCATGGGCTTGTCGTGAAGTTCGTGAGGGCAGCGTTGAGGAGGATGCAGGATTCAGGAGTAAGACGTCCCTTAAGAGGGCGCGCCGCAAGAGAAAGCCATTGAGGCTTGGTAAGGAAGTTCCTTTGTACCCCATACTGCATGTGAGAGTCAATCGACATTCGAGGAGTCAGGGAGAACAATGCTGTCGCTCTCCAATACAACCCAGCTGAATTGGGAACAAGGGCAGCCTTAGAGTTCCCAGAACCTACACGTCCATTGTGCCTGTTACACACAAGTGATACCGACTTGAGTGGATTTTATTCGACAGAATTTCTTGTTCTTCGTGAACGCGTGACCGTCGGGAACAGGAGTGATTTCAAATTTCTGGCGCGTCGCCGACGCGCTTGACGCGTTATGTCACGCATTTACGCGTCACACCTTTCCTCCTCACCCCATCGTCCTCGGTCCGTACAAATGGGTATCAAGGGGCTCACTGGCCTGCTGTCCGAGCATGCGCCCAAATCTATGAAGGAACACGAGATCAAGACGCTCTTTGGGCGCAAGGTCGCGATAGACGCGTCCATGTCCATCTACCAGTTCCTCATCGCGGTCCGCCAAAAGGACGGCGAGATGCTCACGAACGACGCGGGGGAGATAACGAGTCACTTGATGGGTCTGTTCTACCGCACCATACGCATCGTCGAGAACGGCATCAAGCCCGCGTATGTGTTCGACGGGAAGCCACCAGATCTGAAGAAGGGTGTGGTGCGTAACAGAGTTCAGCAGACTGAAGCACGCAATAACGACAATTCCCGCAGCTCTCGAAGCGGTTTGAGAAACGTGACGAGGCAAAGGAGGGCGAGGAGGAGGCGAAGGAGACGGGCACGGCCGCAGAGGTCGACAAGTTCTCGCGCCGGCAGGTCAAGGTCACACGCGAACACAACGAAGAGTGCAGGCGCCTCCTGAAGCTCATGGGCATCCCATACGTTGAGGTGCGTCTGCCGCGCGAAGCAAACTCTAATAGCCTCACCTCCCATCAGGCGCCCTCAGAAGCAGAGGCGCAGTGTGCAGAGCTCGCGCGCGGGGGGAAGGTGCGCGCAACCATTCACTCCCCGTTCACCGAGGTGATCTGACGGTACCAGGTCTACGCGGCGGGCTCCGAGGACATGGACACCCTCACATTCAACGCGCCCATCCTCTTCCGCCACCTGACCGTGTCCGAGGCGAAGAAGCAGCCCATTCTCGAGATCAACCTCAAGGCGGCGCTCGAGGGCCTCGACATGGATCTCAGCATGGTGTGTGCACGTCTACCTTCCCGTCCCCCACACTCACGCGTCCCCAGTTCGTCGACCTCTGCATCCTATTGGGCTGCGACTACCTCGAGCCCATCAAGGGTGTCGGCCCCAAATCCGCGCTCAAGCTCGTGCGCGAGCACGGCGGCCTCGCCGGCGTCGTCGAACACCTTCGTGCAAAGCAGGCAGAGAAGGAGGAGGCTATCGCCGCCGCCGAAGCGGAGGAGGAATCCGCAGACGAGCCCGCGGCGACGAGCGACGTTGAGGCGCCCGACGGAGATGATGATGAGGACGACGAGGCGAAGGAGAAGAAGGAAAAGCCGAAGCCAAAACCCAAGAAGAAGGCGAAGGGCAAGGCGCGGGGTGGGGTGCAGATTCCTGAGGAGTGGCCTTGGGAGGAGGCGAAGAAGCTGTTCCTCACGCCCGATGTGATCCCGGCGGACGAGGTGGAGGTAAGGGAGGTCGCTCCTGAAAACCGCTCATACTTACCCACCGGCAGCTCGAGTGGAAGAGCCCGGACGTCGACGGCCTCGTGCAGTTCCTCGTCAATGAAAAGGGCTTCAAGTGAGCATTTGCTTCTTACTCCTTGCTTCGCGCGCGCGCTTCCACGCCTTCCTTTCCCATGTCATCGTGAAAAGCCTTCCTGTTGCCTTCTTGTCCTTCACCCTGCTTCTTGCCCTTTCCGCTTTGACTTCTTCACCCTTCTCGCCCTCTTTTCCACAAGTCATCACTCCCGGGCTTCCCATCCCACCACCTTACCGTGTGAATACCTTATTCGTGCTAACCCCCGATCCCCACCAGCGAGGAGCGCGTGCGCAAGGGCGCGGAGAAGCTCGCAAAGTTCCTCAACGCGAAGCAGCAGGGGCGCCTCGACGGTTTCTTTACCGTCAAGCCGAAAGACAAGCCCGAGCCCAAGGGGAAGGGCGCGGGGAAGGGCAAGGCGGACGCGAAGGGGACGAAGGGAACGAAGCGGAAGGTGAGTTCAACGTAGGGTGTTCATTTTCATGCTCAGTGTGCTCCAATTCTACTCTTTGCTGACAATTACACTTCAGGGCGAGGACAAGGCAGAAGGTGGGACGAAGAAAAAGACGAAGAAGTAGCCAGGTGGCATACTTCGGACTGCCTACTTTGTCGCTCATGATCTTGTGCTCTCTGTCGCTCTGCTTATCTTATCTCTCACTGTATATCTAGCTTTCTTTGATCCATCGCTTTCCTGTGGCTGTACGACCTTTGGCGCTTGAGGGTGGCTGCCGGTGGAAGAGCGTGTCAGCGCGGCAGAACAACGGATGAGATGGCCAAAAAGCTCCTCGGCGGGGAGTCGAACCCCGCTCTCCCGCGTGACAGGCGGGTGTACTAGCCGATATACTACCGAGGACATACTCGGCAAGCATGTCTGCTGCATAACATTCTTGCTTCTGACGACCATCATGAACTCAATGAAAGCGTTCGCGTCTAGAGGGCCACCTTCATACATACGTCAAAATGTCGCGTCCTGATGCAGAGTGGACCATTCTAGTGAGAGACACGCGACCCCACCAGGCCCTGCCATAGATACAGATACCAAGAGGGTTGTACGCAGCATAGTACATGTAACGATGACCGAGTCCTTTCCCCTATGGTTATAGGCCTTCTTCCCATAGAATATACCAATTAGCCTGTATGAGCTTCGCGAACGTAGCACGATCCTTGCGATGAGGGCGACGATATCCAGTAGGATATCCCAGAATGACATCGCGAATAGGATAGCCTGCGTTGTGACGGGCGTCCAGTGCGCGAGAGATGATGCCGTCCGTGGTTACGCAATCAGTCAGACTAAGCCTGGAGAGATGGGGAAGAGCGGGCACGCTCCCATTTCCCTGACAAAGCTGAGAGAAGAAAAGGTCGCCGACGTTTCCGTATACGTCAATGGCGTGGAGGATCTGGATCTCCGAGAATTGAGGGGTGGTGATGAGATGGACAAGTGCAGCCTCGTCGAAGGTCTTTCCGCCGTACAGCAGGTAGAAGCGCTCGAGGCTTCCCTGAACACGACTAAGAAATCCATAAAGGACGCTGGCATCAAGGAATGGCCAGCCCGGGCTATTACTCGAGGCCTCGTGCGAGAGCGACGACAAGGGTCGCAGACTGAACACCCGTAAGCCGGGAAGATGGAGAGCTTCAAGCAGCTGGTCCTGGGGCCCCTCTCCCTCGACGGTCAGGCTGTGCAGCGCGTCCGCATGGACGGCTGTGAAGCGCTTCGCCGGGCCCAGCGCTTTCGCTACCTCCACATGCGCCTCTTGCAGCGCAGGCGCGCTGAGTAGGATACGCAGCAGTGTATGCTGCTCAATTGGGCAATGGCTCAGCGATAGGTAGTGCAGCCGCGTCCAGGAGATCTCTTCGGGTACGAAGGTGGCAAGGTTCCATTTGATCTCGCGCAGGCCGTTGGAGAGGAATATTAGATGGAGCCCACGGGCAAGCGAGGGATCCATGTTGGGAGATCGAGTCCTCAGGACGAAGCGCTTCATCATCGAGATAGAACCACGGCGTACTGCGGTCAAGCGCATAACGGTGGAGCCCCTGGGGCCTTCGAGCTCCAGGGCTACGATCTGAGAGATATTTCTGATGATGAAATCGAGGGCGCAAGCCCGAGGGCAGGACCCGGTGCGCGCGCCGCGGAGTGTGTTCTCGGCGTAGCGGATGTGCATCCCCATGCCCTTCGTCCGCTTCAGGAACAGGCGCGCGATCGCATAGTGGGACCGATTCTTGCAGGGCGCCATGAGGAAGTGCTGCCATAGAAAGGGTGTGTCCAGCGCGATCAGGCGCCAGCGCCGGCATACGCGAGAAATGAGCAGGGAGATGAAGTTTGAGTCGACTTCAGCGTGAGCTAGGTTGCTCGCTTCTAGGTCCAAGCATCGCGTGAAGATGTAAGACAGCAATTCGACGGGAAGCTGGTTGATCGGATGCGTGTACGAGCCGTCCTTATCCGGGATGAGATCCAGGGGAATAAGGGCCCGCCAATGCTCAGGAGGGGGCGAGAAGGGCGGAATGAACAGCGCCTTGCGCAAGTCCTCCGCCGTAGGTGGATCAGAACCGGGATACTGGAGCCACGGTGCATTCTCCTGGACCGGTGCGTTCTGCAAAGTCGTTCGAGTCGCGAAAGGTATACAGATGGTGAGAATACGCACGGGATCTCGCCATTTCTGCCAGTCGATGAAGTCCTCTTGGGCTACCGAATGCGCTTGCGGAGGACTTGGCAGCTCCCTGAGGGCGCGATCTCCGCGCATATCGGAATGGTGAGGCCAGTACGATGAATCAGACATTCGGGCTGATGCCTTCAGAGGGAGGGTATAGAAGATGGAATCACTCCGGCGCCCTGCCTGTCCTTATACCTGTCTTTCGGGAAGCTGCATCGCACTGGCATCGGACCGAACGCATACGAACACAATAAGCACGGTGTTCGAGGAGGCATAAGCCGTAGTGAGGCGAAGCTTCCATAACGACGACCGGTTCCGACAAACAATAGCGTCGGCCAAAAACTCGCACGCAGAAGGAAGACCCTGAACAGTCGGACTATTGCTGTCACGCCATGTATAGAGACGACGGAGAAGTCAACAGACCACAGCCTCCCGTCATGCGCGCTGAGCAGTCGTAGGAAAGATGACTTGAAGTTGCTGGAACGGCATCGACAATGCATCAAGCGCGAGTGCCGTGGCCGTATTGCCTTGCCTTCCAAACGTTATCGGAAAAAAGAGCATCCAAAAACGAAGGACTGCTATCACGCGTAAGACGGTAAGAAGGGCAAGCAGCGGTATATTGATGATGGGACAGAGCAAGCTGAGCGCTGAGCGCCGAGCGCCGAACCACGTTGCCGATCGGAATCAAAGTCTCCCACTGGCATCCATGTTCGAAACGCTCTTCTGCAACTGAATTACTCTGCAAGCCCATCGTAGACAGCCGATTTCTGCTATAGGGATTCATGATCCTGTCAATGTGTAGACTATGTACCGACAGGAAGTTCTGCGACATGCCAGTGCTATATACAGCATTCAATCCGGTACTATGTCCCAAGTGATCTGCCAACCTGCGCGATTCATCTTCCTGAACTTAGCCAGGTCCTTGTCATTAGAGCGTCCTATCATGGTTTTTCTGACGTAGCGCAAACACACAATCCGGAGGGGAAGCCGGCGGCGGGACAGCAGCGAACGTGAGATCACACCGTCGGTTGTCACACAGTCCCCAAAGTGTAGAATGACGAGTCGAGGAAGTAGCGGCGAAGAATCGTTGCGTTCGACGGTGAGCGCTCTGAAGAACGGGTCACCATCTTCGCCGAAAGGCACATTTAAGCGCAACATTCTCAGAGAAGTCATCTGCGGCATCCAGGAGAGGGCAAATGCGCTTCTGACATAAGTCAGATGAAGCTGGTCCAGTCCACCGCGCAAGTGACCAATAAAATCACTCAGACTGTCCGTGTCGTCGAAAGGCCATGACAATCTGAGATCAGACGGCCGATCAGATGGTGGAGACAGGACGAGGCGTCGTAGGCCAGGCAGACGTAGGGCGCGGAAGAGCTGGTCTTGGGGACCCTCGCCTCGAAACTGTAATTGTTCCAGAGAGGAATTGTGGACGGCAACGAAATGTATCGGCCACAGGTTCCGATCATAGGCCGTGATAATAACGGAGAATGTTCTGAGGCGTCGAGCAGTGGCAATGATGCGCAAGAAAAGTTGAGGGTCACACCGTGCAAGCGTTAAAGAATCCAACTCGGACCATGTAGTGTTTTCTGGGAATGTCGGTAATACGCAGACTAGCCTTCGAAGGGAAGGCGAGCTGCACAAAGCAGACAGGGAAGCGGCGGTCGCAGGTGTAGGATCATTCCAGTGCACACCAGTGATGCACAAGCTTTTCATGGAGGTCGCAGAACCGCTTGTAACCTGAGCTAGCCGTTGCGCAGTCTTTTCCCCGATACTGAACAGGTAGAGAGACCGAAGATGCCCTACGTTCTGAAGCACGAAGTTGAGGGCGCAAGGACACTTCTCGGCCAGAAGGCTGCCGTTGCCTGAATCTTCCCTATAATTCAGATGCAGCCCACGCCCCTTGGTACGGGCTAAGAACGTCCATGCGATGCAATAGTGAGATCGACCTTGACAGGGCTGCAGGACGATATATTGCCACAATTGATGGACGTCAACAGCAATCCATCTCCAGGCCTTGCAAACGCTAGCTATGAAGAGCGGGGTGAGGTTTGCACGAAGAGACGCATGGTATGGATCATCTTCTGCGTCGCCTATGCAGCGCTGGAAGATTTTCACCAGCAGCTCAGTAGGAAGAAGATTGATTGAATGCACTTGAGGAAAATCTGAGTCGGAGGGAGCGAAGATACGCTGGTGGGACGGCGGAGGAGGGAGGTAGGCTTCCTGGCTGGTAGATTGGCCGTCATTAGCCCCGAATGGATGCGAGTGATGGGCCATCTGAGCAGTAAACGTCGTTCCAGTTCCAGGCGAGACGGAAAGAGATGGAATGGTTGCACTTTAGCAGCTCGAGCTGTTTCGGCCCTTTAAGCGTCGGTACGTGAGGCGCAGGGCAGGGACCGTTGGCTGAGACAATAGAGAAAACTGGGGTGTGCGCCAACCACGCATAAGTCGATGGTGACAATACTTAGTCCATGTCGAACGGGTCCACGCGCAGCACCGGAAATGGGAGCGCAATTGTGAGCTCCTTTCGGACCTTGAGGGAGTCGTCCTGTGTTTGGGAACGATAGGTGAGCTCGATATTGGTAGTGAACAATAAGTGGGACCAGCGGCATGATGACGGAAGGGACCAAGCTGCGACGGGCTTGATGGCGACGGACCGACATTGCCGGGGCTTGTGCATTCCCATCACCTTTGCATGCGCCGACGGTCTCGAGAGCCTACCGATGGATGCAATTCTATGCTATAGGTACGATAGATAGGTAAAATACAGTCTACACAGCAGTAACGTGGTGGATAATCGAGGTAACTACGAGCCAAAGCCATCGTCCGCACCAGATCGCTTTCGCCAGGAAGACAAAGACCCTCATGAGGCGATGAAAAGGGTCTTACTTCTTCCCGGCGTCTAGCGCCTCACCGCTCTTGCAAGAAATGATCTTGATCTTCTTCGAGTCGGCGCCGACGTGCTCGCCACCTTCGAGCTTGAACACTGGGTCCTGTGATCGCGCGTCAGATAGCGTACGAGACACTAGACGTGCATAGGACTAACCTTCACCACAAATGTCCATACGTCGTCGCATAGCCGATAAGTACGAAGGGAACCCTTCAGGGCTGTCAGCCTCGGAAGGGAGAAAACATCACTGCAGCTGTGAAGGGGGAGATGAAGGGGTGATGGCCGGTGGCTTCACGAGAAAAAAATGGTTCAGAAGCAGCAGCGGCGGTCCGCGACATACCCTCATGTTGCACTTCGACTTGACGTGCTTGACCATCGTATCCGCGAGGCTTTTGTCGAACTGAGGCATATCATGTAGTCCTCCACTCGGCCATTGCGCATGGAGAACACACCTGCTGCAAGACCTTCATAGCCAGCTGTGGGGTGATCTCGCCGCTCGTGATGAGTTCATCCAGAGAGTCCGTAAGCGCCATGCCAATGCTGAAGGGAGGCAGCCGAATAGGGATCGTTCATCACACAGTTGGAAAGATAGGGTATGCGAGGAGGGAAGGAAGGTCGGTAAAGGGCATACGCGCGTCAGTTTATCAAAGAAAGGAGGACGATGTTAGCATGTTGAATGCACTCGATCGTCGACCACGCACGAAGAACCCCGGTAGAACTCATAGTATGCGGTCGCCATCGCTAATCAAGGATCGTAAAGCTCGTCAAAGGCTGCGGAGAGTCTTTGGACAGGGTAAGGACGGCACGAATCGTCCGTAAGATGTGGCGAGAGGCAAGCGGCGAGTCTGCAGCGTGGGAAGGGGCTTATAAAGCGCGACGACGCCACATGATTCCAAATTCGGGACAATAATGCACTTGCACCAAATAACGGCAGCACTGAGCAGGCGAAGACTGCTGCATGCAGCTCAGAAAGTAGAGGCATTGACATGCTAATAGCAGGACTGGTATTAGATGTTCATACGACAACCACAAGTCATATACGAAATGAACATATATCGTAGCGTAATCCCGTAAACACAAGCGACGATTCGAGGTAAATACGACAGCAAAAAAAGCAAGCACAACACGGCAGATAGGTATAAGTCATGACAGTCATTGAGGCGTTTCATACTTGGCAAGTTCGCTGAGCAATCGAGCTCGCTCGCGCTTGAGCTGCAGCGTCCGTGCGTGCGACCAGGGCTCCGCTTCCTCTAGGTCCAAGTTGGCGAGGATGCTCGATACGTGCTCGAAGGAAAATCGTGAGGTGTCCTCGTCCCCTATCGTCGTCGAGCGCGCTGACTCAAAGGAGTGAAGCTCCTCTTCCTCGTCAACGCTTTGTATGTAGCCGTTCCGCCGGACGGGAGCCGTGGCGACGGCCGTCGAGCGAGGTGAGGTGGATTTCGAGCGCTTGGAGGGCGCTAGGTGGGGTATATCGGCTGCTGGGCAGTTGCAGGTGGTGAAGTCATCCGCGGCCAAGGCGGAGGTGTCAAAAAGGTGTTTCCTGGTTGACAGGAGTTCGGGCGTTTGCAGGGCGTGGATGCAGCGTCGCGTTCGCCTCTCGCGAGAAGTCCCTGGTATGGGGCTTGTAAGACTGGCAAAAGATCGCTGTGGCCCAGGATCCGAGGAAGCGCTGCGGTCGTTCATAGACGTCGAGGCCAACGCCGAGGTGTTGACCGTCGCGCGCCGCGTCCTCCGCGCGCTCGTAGGCGTGTTCGAGGTTGACGAAGCAGGCGCCATGGGTAGCCCCCGTTTCGCCCCCTGTGGCAGCAAGCCGAGCAGCTCGCCGATCTGGCAGAGCAACTCGCCCACGTAGACGACCTCGTCCCAGTCGCCGCGCGCGAGCTTCCGCGGGTCGACCTTGTCAAGGTTCACGTCGACCTTCAGCACGTCGCTCTCGAGCACGCCGAGAAAGAGCTTCATGCATCGCACCTTCGCATCGAAGTCGCGCTGGGTAGTGAGGCGGCGGCGGAGGTCGGGCTCAATGGGTATGCGCGCGGAGAGGATAGACTCGAGGATGGCTAGAAGTAGGGAGGGGGTGAGGTCGGTAGGGAATTCCACATTAATGGGAATTTGGAGTTTAACAAGGAGAGCGTTGAGCCTATGCACGAGGGAGGCGGCGTTATTTGCCATACAGTGCTCTATCGCTAACAAGAAATAAGGATTTTCGGGGAGTATAGCACAGGGCGACGAAGGGGAATGGCTTCGAGGGGGTGGCAGTGGGTGGTGGTTGACAACAGAAGTTCAACCGCAGCTCCCACGGGGTTCGGCGGTTGCCGGTTGCCTGAACGTGGCAATGATCTGGGCCACAAAGTTCGATTCCCTGTCAGAGACACGCAGAGAACACAGGAAAGGCCAGAGTCGCCGGTACACGGATGGCATTGGCCAAGGCTCAGCACTCATTGTGAAGCAACATACGAAAGCAGTACAAATATGCAGTGTCCAAAGCAGATACGATCATGAGCAAAAAATATTTGGGGCGCGTCAACCCTCGCCTTCCAGCAGGCTTCGCACCCACTCCCTATTGCCTTCGGCCAGCACTCGCCTTGCGAAGTGCTCGCCAATCTTCGAAGTCAGCTGTTCGACGAGCTCCGTGTCCTGGGTCAGGGTCTCCAGCGTGTCCATCTGGTCGTCCCGGTCTGTTGGCTTCATGATGGCGAGCGCATCCTGCAATAGACTTTAAGCATCGCGTCGCATCAGACACAATATCCGCCGAACATACCATCACCACCGTTGCAAGCCCATCGCCACCCGGAAGCCCGGATGAGACCTCATTTCCGATAACGCGCGCGCCGCCACCCTCGACGAGACCCTTCCTTACGGCTTCCTTCCCAACGCCGACGAGCCCACGGACGGCGCCCTCCCGGGTGCCAATATGGGTCGATTTCTCTGCAGACGCACCATATCAGCTTCCCGCGCCTTCGTGTTCGAGAGAAGAACCGTTTCGAAACGGATCCGCAAGCTCACCTGGTGATATCAGCGCGAGAAGCAGCGTCTTCATTATGCGTGGGGCGAGGGAGGGGTACGTTGTGGAATGCTTCCGCAGAAGCTCGGCGAGTGTCTGTGCCGACTTCGTGCGGAGGACGACAGCGTGGGAGGGTGGAAGCGTGCTGTGAAGCAGGAGGGAGAGGAGGGGTGGCAACAATTGATGCAACTGCGGGAGAACATTAGCTGACAGGAGGATACGGAGAAGGGGAAGGGCGCACGTAAGGCTCGATGAACAGGGTTGTATTTCGCATCAGAGCGCCGATGACATCCAGCATTGTCTCGAGGGTGTGCCCGTCTTGCTCTGACTGCCCCCCTTCCTTGAGTACGGCAACGACGCTCTCGCTAACCCATCGGATGAGATAAGGAAGAAGTGCTTGCAATCCTGCGTCCTGGCTCAGACTGCCGATCGCTGCGGCGCGCTTCTTCAACTCGTCGGGCGCAGAGTATGATGATGTTGACAGAGAAGTGGTCAAGCGCGTGTAGTACAGTTGTAATTCGCGCGAGAGCACTTGCTTGACAAGCTGTTGTTGTTGTTGACCCTGGATCGGCGTCTGTTGCAGCTTCTTCACGCCTCCAGCCGGAGTGACCACGACGCCGTTCGTCTTCGCGTTCAGCGGTGCCGGGACGTCCCCTTCCTTCACGATGACAGGGGGGTTTTCAGGTATTTGTGGCTGGACACCCTCGACGGCGAGCCAGTGTGCATGGTATGTGACACCCTTCGGCAGAGCTAGCTTCTCTTCTCGGAGTACGCGGTCGAAGTCGATCTCCTCGTCCTCAACAAAGTATACTGGGCCAGCATTTGAGTTAGGATAGGGGAGCGCACGTCGGAACACCGGAGGATTATGTTGACTGTGTCCATATAGCGGCTCGATATTGAGAACTTTGAACGCTTGTTCCATGTCGGATACGGTCAGGGTTGTTCTTCGCCCGTGTCGCATAAATCGCGCAGCTTCCTGCATGCGATCAGCCATCAGTAGAATTTTTCTTGCTTGCGACGCACCTCAACTACTTGGTGTAGTCTGTACTCGACGTCATTCGCCAGCGCGGTCGCGACGATGTCAGACAGGTTTGGTATGTTGAGGGAATCCGCGACATCCTGAACGAGCGAGATGTCGAGAAGTTCTACGGTCTGCGATGTTCAAGTCTTACTTTGACTGACTCTGGCTTGTATATCCCCGTCGTCTGGCTCTGAGCAGCGCGCGCGCGTGCTTTACCGTTCATGGTGGCGAGAAGAATGACCGAATAAGGCAAAGATCAAGCAGGTCCAAACAACGTTCGGCCCGTGCCCCGAGCTTCAGAAGAATGAACTGAACATGTGATTCGTCTACTTCTTCGTCCCGGCGCCCATGCTCTGCGCCTTCTGAGTTCTTCTGACTCATTTCCGAGCTGATCTATCAGGCTACGGATCTACAATTCCTAGTACACCTCCCCCTGTAGGGACTATAGTCAACCGGTGGCCTCATGTGTATCGCATTCTGCGCCCTCGATCAGCTAGGCTATGCCCTGTGAGCTGCCTTACCACAGGCCTGCATAGACGGGATGTTAACCGCGCGGGACCACTATCAGAATTATCTGTACGAATCGCGATGAATTTCTCGATCGACCGACTAGCGCTAGCCACTTGCACTCCTTTGACCAGCATCCTGACGGCACCACCGGCAATCCCGTCCTCTCGGGCAGAGACGAGAAAGCTGGTGGGACCTGGTTCGGCGTCAACCGTACTACGGGTCACGTTGCGCTCCTGTGAGCCTCTATACGCAGCCCCCCGCTGATCTCGCTCCTGCTCATATTACTGTCGTCTGCGTACCTAGGACGAACATCACGGAGCCGCCACAAAAGTTCACGTCTTCCCGTGGGAGCCTTGCGTCCGCTTTTTTGCTGTCGAACCGAGCATCGGGTGATGCGCCGCTGGCTGAGCAGGTGGCTCGTCTCATTCCCAGCCAAGAACAATACGCGGGATTCAACCTGCTGCTCTTCGCACCCTCCGGCGCTTCTGAGACCCATGGTTCGCTCTCCTTTGACGGGGCCCTCGTTACGAACAGTGGCGGGGGAGGTCCTATCACGGCCCGACCCCTGTCAAGTGAAGAGCGGTGTGCAATGGGCTGCTCCAATGGCGTCGACGGCCACGGTGCCAACGATTGGCCAAAAGTTCGCATAGGCGTGACAGAGTTCCGGAAGATCCTGCGAGATTTTGGCGACGCGGCCACAGTTGAAGAAGGGGCACTGACAGAGAGCCTATTCACACTATTACAGTAGGTGTTTATGCGAGGCTTTGCGGTCGGAGATCTGATGAGTTCCCCGTTTCTCCGAAAAGATGGCGATCTGACTCTCCCGTCACTGAACGCGCCCAACTTCGGAATACGATACAAGTTCTGCCGCTTGTGGACCCGTCCGCACGAAGCGCAGGTCCGTATGGGACTCGACTCTCAACCGTACTCTTGGTCCGCAAGGACGGGCAGGCTCTATTCGTGGAGCGTGACATATGGACGCTTCAGGATGGGAAAGTCGTCAAAGCAGATCCGTCGTCGCAGCGCGTGCACCGATTCACTCTGGGCTGACAGGGACGCTTGGCGTGTCATGAGAGGCGTTCACATCCAATAACAGCAGACGATACAATACTTGTACAGCAATCGCACGTATACGACAACGGGTAACATGGTCTATAAATCAGTACAGGTTCAAAGCAGCAAGCAATATATGCACGACACGAAACGGAAAGTCCAGGTACAAGCACAAAACGATAGCGACGCGACGGATACAAGACAGGTATGCGATATTCAGAGGAGTCCCGGGTATGATATATCGTTCATCGAAACAAGATGGGGATGCGCCGCACATTCACGTCATGACATGTCCGCTGCCATAGACCGAGTGCGATTCGTTGGGGAAGTATGGGTTGTACGCGGTCGTCGCCAGCGCGTTCCACTCCTGGGGCGAGACCGCAGGCGAGCTGTTGTGCCCGTGGTACGAGCTCGACGCGGACAGGGGTGTCATGACCTCCGGGTCCGTGGGAGTGCTGCTCCCATAGGGCGAGCTCGAGCTTCCGTCGATGCCAGACGTCCCAACGGTCAGCCTGCGCTTGATGAGAATCCCGCGCGGGCGACAGCATATGCACAGGCACTCACTGCATTACGTTGTTCAGTTCCACGATCCGTCGGTACACCTGGCACTGGCTGTCCGAGTGGCTCACGTAGTGGCGCACGCCGTTGACGGTGTTTTGGAGCTGGCGCGCGAGGCTGAGGTAGCCGTTCATGATCGCGGGCGTCTGGCGGCACGAGCAGCACGCGGGGCCATTCCCACTGCTGCCGCTAGAGATATAGCGCGAGTCGCCGTCCGTTGTCAGAGGGTATGGCAGGCCGCTGTCTTCGCGCTGATTAGCTTCAGACGAGTAGCCGTTGGTGGCGTGCGTCGAGTGGAAGGGTATCGTGGGAGAGGTGGACGAGTACGTCGAGCGGTGCTCAGACGAGCCGTACGGGAAGTGCACGGTGGGAAGCGTCGGCGACGGCGAGAAGCGATATAGCGAGCGTGCTTCCGACGCCGCCTCGGTTTTGATTGGACTGAGGAGGGACGAGACCGATGAACGCGTCGTGGGTCCGATACCATCCGTCCCATTGGCTGGGTGAGGTGAAGCTAGACGACGCCTGGCCTGCAGGGGCGAGCACTTCGCAGCGCGCGAATGCCACTTCTCGTTCGGATCTCCGTTTCGGAAGCTGCTGTCTGCCCACCGAGGCTGGGGCTTGCCTGACGAATCGTGAGTCGACACCCTCAGGAAGACTTCCATGGCCACACACCGCGCAGTTCGCGAACCAGGCTCTCCAACTCGGCAATCCTGTTGCGCAAGCGCGTGGTCTCATCGACGTTGGGATCATCCCTAAGAAGCACACCAGTCAGCACAGCCCGAGGGTGGCCACAGCTATCAGCGATCACCTAAGCGCCGGGTCGTCTACCTCGTAGACGCAGAGCCCAGTCTAAGATTTGCAAGCGTCAGAGGCAATATGGCACATATAGAGTATGCCACTCACCAGCCCGAGCTGGATGCAGCGCTGGCACGGACGCTTGCGGTCGCACTGTGGTCGACGCCATGAGTGGCGAGAGCAAGCCGTGGACGGTCAGCACACACCTTCCTCTTTGACGTATGGCAATTCAAGCAACTTTGAGTTGTGCGATTTCGGCGTCGCTTACTGTGCGCATCAAAGATTAGAGCGTCAGTAGAGCGCACAAAACGCACAATGGCCGCCGGCACCGGGGACCAGAGGCGACATATGGCTGCCACTCACCGGTGGTCGGTCTCGGGCGCGTAGTCGTCCATGGCGAGGTCGGTCTTGCCGAGGAGCGGGGAGTACGATGGGTCGCTCATCATCGTCAGGGGAGAGAAAGTCAAGTCGAGCTCGCGCCGGGGAGTCCCTTAAGAACGCCCGGGCGTATTAATTCCGTCAGAATCAGATCCCAGCGCGAGATCTGTGCCGTTATTGACAGATGTGCGCGTCCAAATCTGTGCGTCGGCCGGCCACGCGGCGCAGGAGGAGAAGCTGCATCAGAACACGCTTTCATGGGAGGGGGAGGGTCCTGGGGTCTGCGGCGTTCATAACGGGCCGTTTCAGGCAACTCGCGGATGCCGGCACCCTGCCGCCTCGAAGGCACAACGAGGTCGCGAAGTGGGGTGGCGAGGCCATCAGGGAAGGTGATTCCCTCTATTGAACCGTTCCTAGCGCTTCGAATCAATGGCATATTACTCGTGGACGCCGGATATCAACAGATTGCCACCTCTCCTTGCCGGGACGCCCGAGATCTGGTGGGCGTCGCGCCGCGGGAGCTCGGGGCGCATGCACGCACCGAGATCGCAGGCGCGCGATACCTCCGTATGTCGCGCGACTTTCCATCGGCGCCGTCGTCCATGTGCGCTGCGCACGCTGGCGCTCAGCACACCGCCGTCGAGTCAATAGGCGCGCACCTGTCCGATGACCTGCGCGTAAGCCTGCCCGTAGCTGGCGGCTGGGTGGCACGACTCACCCTAAAACCAGGATCCCGATCATTGGAGGCTCCCGCCCTTCACTGCGTGAGTCACCGGGTCCGCAACACCTTTCGAAGAAGGCCTGGGACGTGCCATCGGCGGCCAACGGGGATGGCGCCTCAGCGAGATAGTGACGTCCTCTCGACAGCCTTCTATTTGCTGAGATGAGCATGATGAGCACCAACCCCGGCTGGGGGAAGTATGGGATGCTGAATCCACCGAGATCTTGCCTATCACGAGCATGGCTAGGACGTGGCGAGGTTGTGAGGTCGCTAGTATCGCTGCTAGCGATGCATGGTGCTGGTTGTAGAGTGACACGGATAGAGCAATGCTCGCTAACGAGCGATGGATGGGCACAGCAGCGGTGAAGGGGAGGATCAGATCCCATAAATTCAGACGTAATTTATGCATCAAAGGTACGCTCAGTGAATATCCCGCTGAAGGCGTCATTTGGTCAGTCCTATCGCAACGTATGGAAGGGCAACTGTACATACTTGCGGAGCACGAATGGGCTGTCAAGCGGCGCACGAAAATATCCGACGCCCGTGCACTTTAGAGTTCGTGACCGAACCTTCCACTGCGCCGGGCGCCGATCGAGTTGCGCTGCCATGTCTTCTGCGAGAAAAAAGTGAGCGTATCGCGTATGATGCCTAGGCCCATGTGTGCCATACGGATGAACGGAAGCCTGTTCGTGCGTGGGCTAGAAACGCAGTGAAGTTTATTGCAGGGACCTGCCGACAAGAACCAGCCTGGACGCGCGCCACAATCATTGCAAGCTCACAGTTCGAGTGGCGGTGGTGTGAGGGGGCGCCTAGTTTGCATGACGTTGTAGCCGCGCATCAGTAACGGGTAGTCGAGATGCATACCTTTACATCCAGAGAAGCGCGCCCGCTGACCCCGACGAAGATAGCCAGGGATGAGAACACTGGGCGAATCCTGAGAACGCCAACGGTTGCGCCTGTCTGATGCCAGTCAACACCTGATCACCATGTAGGTAAGCGCCGAGAGCCGGTCTGCGACGGGACCGCCACTTCGACAGCCGCAGAACAAGGGGCGGTCAGGCAATCCGACGGCGGCGGGGACGACTGGTGTGGTACGGGGTAGGTACGGGAAATTCCTGGGTATAAGCGACGGTTAGATGTGCGCTTGACGCTTGAACGACGTACTCTGCGTACCAATTGCTACCACAGACCTGAGAGAGTTCTCTCGCAAGTCAAACAAGAAGAACACGAAAGTTCAGGCAGCCGAGTCTGAGATTCACTCGCGTTCGCAGGCAGGGGTCGCACTCGTGCTCCCCCGCCCAACACTCGGGGCACGCGGCACAAGTTTGGTTCAAGGGCACATCAGCGACCTCCGGAAAGACACAAGGCAGTCATCCGGTGAATTGCCTCGCCTACATCCGTATAAAGAACTGCCCAAAGCCATAACGCCGGGGGCAGCTTTGCAATAGAAGCGCGCATTTGAGTCTTGTGGCCCCGGCGGGAAGGCTTCGCGAACTCCTTGCGTCGATACATTGAGTCTGTCAAGGGACCTGAAGACGCAAAGAATCAAGGTCTCAAGGTCATAAAGGGGTACAAGGCAGTGAGAACAGCTGCATTTCGAGGGAGAGCCAGACGAGATGAGCGTTGGTGCAGAGACCGCGAGGCGCAGAAAATGGCGGGCCGAACTGGGAATTGGGGCCACGTGGGGATTTACTTCCCCGGTGACGCACCGATCCGTGTTCTCCTGCCAGCCTGCTGCACCGCGAACCCCCGTGTCGATTCAGCGTGTCCGACAGGCGTCTCGTACGCGACCAGCGCCGCCGTCTTCTCTGAACCCCTTCGCTTTGTCAAGAGAAGCCTTGCTTGCTTGGAGACGCAGGACAGCTCGAGCAAGACGCAGCTCAAGGGACCGATCACTTGAACGGCCGTCGACTTCGAAGAATCGGTGTAAATAATGGAACCCAAAGACGAAGACTACCTTTCGCCGACGTCTCCAAACGAAGAGTCCGAGGCTCAGGAAGTGCTGGAAACTGAGCCTGAGCCTACGCCGGGAATCGACACCCCCGTTCGTTGTCAGTCCCCTCCCCTGTCTTCCTTTCTCCACGTCTCCGGAGCTACCCATCCCGCTACTGTGCCCCGAGCTAATCACTCCCTCTGTACAGGGTACGACGTATGTGCATGCATATTTACGTGAAGATGACCCGTTCAGACAATCCATCGATGCTTCCAGGCGGACCGAAGAGAACCGTATACCTTCATTGTCCCCTTCCAAGAGCGGCATGATACCAGTGTCGAGTTCGTCCGGCCTTTCCCAGAATAACCCCGCGTGGACACTGGCCTGACATCTTTCCCAGGTTCTTCTACAAGCCTGTCACCCTCTCCGCCCTAGCCGTCGGCCTCGCCCTCCTCGCGTACGTCGCGACCACCCAGGATGTCCTCGAAGAGGGCCGCGACAAGCGCCGCGTGTACGTCTTCCCCCACCCCCGCCTGCCTATCTCTGCTCATCTCCGCCTCACAGTGGCGTATACGCCGCGATAGCATCTTTCCTCGTTTTCTCAAGTACGCCCCTTCGACGCGCGCACGCCGATAGCCTTCTGATGCCCAGCGTGCAGTGATCCAGTTTCGCGATGGGCCCTTCATCCGGCCGCATCCGGCGTTCTGGCGCGCGGTGCTGGGGATCAATGTCCTCTATGAGCTCGTGCTCGTCTTCCTGCTTTTCCAGGATCTGGATTCGGCGCGCATGATGATGACTTACGTGGACCCGAGCCTGGGGCACCCGCTCCCCGAGAAGTCCTATGCTGAGGACTGCGCGCTGAATTGGACGACGATATACGTGGGTGGCAGGATCCGTGCCATAAGCTGTCGCGCGCAGCTGATACCATCGTTTTTCATAGAATGCCATCGATATATTCTGTCTCGCGCACGCATTGGGATGGCTCGGCAAAGCCCTAATCCTCCGCGACTATTGGTTCTGCTGGGTGGGTCATTGCTCTAACGCTCCTCTCCCAGCCGTTTTCCCGTTATTCATGTCTCGTCGCAGATTCTGAGCATCATGTTTGAGCTCGCCGAATACAGTCTCCAGCACCAGCTCGCCAACTTCGCTGAGGTGAGTCGCTGGGTTCGTTGCCACAAATCACCCCGCTCACCCCCTTCAGTGCTGGTGGGATCACGTACGTAAGCGACTGCACTCACAGGCGTCCATTAACCTGCGCGTCAGTGGCTGCTTGACGTGCTCATATGTAATTGGCTGGGCACTTGGGTCGGTCAGTCATCTCCCTCGGGTCTAAGCTTCGTCATCTAACCTATTCCGTTTGCTATCTCAACTCTCCCATTCACGATCCCAACCCTTTCCATCCGCTATCCCACTCCATCCTTCTCTCTATCTCACACCATGCCCTTCACATTGCAATCTACCGGTTTCGCTATCTCACCCCGAACTGTTATCTAACGCACCTCTTCTGTACGTCTAGGCATGAAGATTTGTCAGTACTTCGAAGTCAAGGCGAGTGGCTTTCGCCTATTACGACGTGTGCAAGCTCACGGAATGCTCTATCTACCTGCCATCTATGCAATCTCCTCGCCGTATACACTGGTTCGACCTCGATGTACACCAACGTTGAACCGGCGACGCGCATCATCCCGTCGATGGACGCATCACCGCCTCGCGCTTTCATCTCCCTCCATTGCGTCGCTCTATTGCGTGTCGTACAACACATTGCTCCGCCTGGCAAAACCCTCAATTGGTCCATCGAATCTCACTCAACTTCATCTCGGGAACATCCCTCTATTATCTCTCGTATACCTCTCTATTGCATCTCGTGCCCTCTGCCTCTGTTGATTCCCGTACACGCCCTTCTAACCTCTTCCTCACGTCTATTACATCTGACCATTCCTCTCTATCCCCCTCGTACACGCATCTCTATTACCCATTCACCCACCAGCCCTACGAATGGCGAGGCTTCCGCCAGTCTCGGGGCTTCCGCTCGAAGGCGAAGCGCGTCGTCTCCCAGTTCTCCCCGCACGACTTCACCGCGTTCAAGTGGGGCACGGCGACGTCGTTCGCGAACTACATTGGCGTGGTGACGCTGCTCGCGGTCTTCCTCGCCGCGGAGTTGAATCCATTCTATTTGAAAGTGAGTAGGATGGTGGAATTTGTATCTCTTTACTTGTGTTCGTACTTCTGACGGGGTTGGGCGGAATGCCCGCGGGGTTAAGGGATTTTTGACATAACTAACGCCACCCTATAGACCCTCCTCTGGATGGAGCCCGACCACCCCATCGTCATCGCGCGGCTGGCCTTCGTCTTCCTATGCGGCCTCCCCGCCGTTCGGGAATTCTATCAGTACATTAATAACCCCAAGTACAATTTGTTCCCTCCGACGCCTCACAACTGCTAACGGCCTTGCAGGAAAGCCGTCCGTATGGGCCAGCACGTCTGGATGCTCCTCGCCACTGTTGCGACAGAGCTCCTGGTCATCCTCAAGTGGAGCAAGGGCCAGTTTTCCGAGCCCTTCCCTGCGCCGGTCAAGTGGGGCTGGGGCATTGGGTTGACGCTGCTCACGATTTATCCTATCGTGCAGGTGAGGAAGAATCTGCTACTGGAAGAGTTAATACTGATGCAACTGCAGTTTGGTGTCCCCAGCGCACGCCGCTACCTCAGAAAACACCGCAAGGCGTCCCGCGCAAAAGTACAATAAACACCGATGTGTTCCCTACCTTCCGTGCCACTCACCAGCTATGTACCTCAACGAATCTGAATGCATCACACACGAACGGCACTGCACGCCACCGCGCATAGGACGCGTCCCATAATTACACAGACGTACAGTCATCAATATGTACCATACCACCACTCAGACCACGAACGGGAACAATGATCATGCTGTTACACTATGACCTTCCCGCTCGAGTTTTCTCCGCTTGCGCTCCTGCTCCTCGATGATGAGCTGCTCTGCCGCGCTGAGCGACCGCTTCTTGTCGTTAGCTGGTGCGGGCTTGGAGGCGGCGGCCTTGAAGACATTCGGTCGCTTCAAGGGGTTCGCCTTTAGTGGGTTGAGCTTGAGTGGTGCGGGGGCGGAGGGAGCGGGGGTGGCAGTGGTCTTCGGAGCAAATGAGAGCTTAAGCTTCTCCGCGCCTTCGTCACGCTTGAGGCCCACTTCCGGCTCCTTTTCCTTCTCCTCCTCGGAGCCCGATGATGGTGAGGTTTTAGCCTCAGCCTTCGCGCGCTCGATCTGCTCTGCGATGAGATTGCGCTCGCGCTGCTCGTCTGATGTCGTGAGGCGCTCCTTCTTCTGTGCGGCGTCCTACAGACAAGGAAAGCAAGTCAGTCGATGGCAGGTGGCGGCGCCCATGAGCAGTACGCACCTGCTTCGCCAGCGCTTTCGGGCTGTTGTCGATCCAAGCAATGAACCAGCCCTTCTCCGTCTCATCCACGCGAGCAACACCTGTCCGGCCCAAGTGCTTGATGAACTCCGTGAGCGTGACCCATCGCGTCGCGTTCATGTGCAGATGGCTCTTGTCCGAGATGTACTCCTGATATACACGGTTCGCCAGCACGCGCTTCGTACCGAACCTGTGACGAAATAGCATCATTGAACACACTGCAAGCAGTACAACGCCCACGCACCTCCTGCTCAGCAGCCTCACAAACTCGCTCTGGAACTCGGCGGAGAAGTTCGAGATGTGCTTCCCTGCGTGCTCGCCGACGACGAGCATCTGCCGGAGATGGGACTCGGATTGGGCATGGCACTTGAAGCCGTTCTCGTCACGGCACTGTTTCTCGCAGACTTGACAGTACCAGCGCAGCCGCTGCAGGCCTTTCGACTTCATCTGATTGGCGACATATTTCGGGGTTCCGACTTCCGCGCGAGGCATCTTGGGTTATCGAATGAGTGCAAGGGGGCGCGGGGGCGTGCAGATGATGGGGGGAGAAGGCAAGATGTGGCGCGGCTCACGTAAGGGGGAATGCCGGTTCGGGCACATGTCAAATTCAACTGGACCCACAAGCGTAAATATGTTTTATGGACGAACTTCCGGAAGTCGGGCTACTCAATTGTCGTGGGTTCAAGTCGGCCCCCGCGCAAGTATATACTCAAAGAGGGTGATTCAGCTGAAGATTACCCATTACAAAGGCCTGAACCAGGGTCAGGGTCAGTGACAGTGGGACCTGAAGAGAATCCGTTGTGGCTGTACCACCTGTTCTTCGACTTAGGCGCGGCCTGTCTCGTCCTCCATGAGCTTCGAATATTCGCACATCCTCGGCCTATCATATATCTCCGTATACCGGATCATGAATAATTCCCTTGACCGGACAAAACCACGCTTTGCGCGCATAAGGAAATAAACCCCATGGAGTGTCAGGAGTCTGTTGAGGGCCGTCATGCAGGATGAATCGATTGTCGGTATGTTGTAGAACGCCTTGAATTCCCTGTATAGACACCAATGAGATCTCATGGATTGCCGGACGCATTCACAGTGCCACTCGCCTCCCGCGCGCCTTTCAGGATTGACTTCAGATTACACAAGGTACGCGTGCACAGAGGCCTGGCGCGGGAGGTGTTGACACTAAGACTGGGGCTGTCGCGCATCCGCGAAGGAAATGAACAGTGTGTTATGTCAAAGAATGACCGCGGCAAGTGCCGGTTACATTGGCCACAAGCCACCCGCAACCTGACCGACAAAGTTCAACGAAGGGCACAAACATGAGAACGCACGCTTGTCAGTATGTAATGGGTGAAGCCGCCAGAAATTTCTGCGCGCGATTCACATGAGTACCGGCTGCAGAGCGATCGAGCGGCCTACTCACCAGATCCAGGGTGAGATATCTTGTGTTCAAAACCCTTGTGGCTCAAAAGTTGCAACGAGAGACCTCATCTCGTCTGAAGGCACCGCGGAGGAACCGTACTTAGTGCTCATGCTGCTGGGCTTGCGGTCGCCATAAATCTGGTCCAGTCAAATGCGCACGAGACTAGCTCCTGTACTTTGTGGCACTTCGATGTCCATAATTCAGTCGACGCTACCCACGCCGAGGGACGAAAACAAACAGACGGTGTTCGACCCCAGAAATCAATTACCCAGTGCTTCACGAAGCCGACGAAGACGAGCCCCAGCCCCGAGCCTGCGCGCACTCAGTCGTAAGCATCGACGTTACCACCAAACCAGGCACTTCAATCGCCATCGGATCGCTTCACCCATGACTCGGTACACCGTCGACACGCTTTCACGGGTCGATACGCGTCCACGGGTTGACACGCCTCCATCGACAGAGGGCCAGCCTTGCGGGAGGCGCCGGAGAAGATGGACGATGGGAGGGCATCTGCCGGCTCCGCATATTGTGCTCGGTGTTCAGAGCCTGTAGCGAAGGCTTCGCCAAGTTTGCCACCTTCCCAGGCGGTCCCTGAAGCGCAAGATCCGCCTCATGCGCGAGGGCTGCGAAGGCGTGAGCGGGTGGTACCTCCAAGTTGCATGGGCGTGAGGACGCGCTGTTTACGACGCGCCGGAATGAAGAACGGGGCGGGTCCAGCCGACGATGGCGAGTCCAGCGGCTCATAACATAATGGAAATGGAGAAGGAGGCGTCCGTGGGCGCGAGGCAGCTGCAAGCTAGAAGGATGGCGAATTAGACTCGCCGCGGAGGCGGATGGAGGCGAAATAGACTCACCACGGAGAGGAGGCGCGCGTCGATACGTATAACGCGTGCGGGTGTGCGACAGCGCGTGGTCGTGAGCAGTACATCATAGTCCACAGGATGTGAGAAAGGGCGATGGCGCCCTGGATATAGTTTACGGTGAGAGTCTGCGCTTCTAGACTAGTAAGTGCTTCGTACCTCGAGTTCGTTGGTAAAGGATCAGTGAGAAGGAGCGAGTAGAGGGGCAGTAAGTTCACGAATAAAAAGAGCCACTGCCTGAAGAAAAATGAATTGTCTGAGTCGCGGGAGAGGTATGGCTGCCCGGCTAGTCAGGCGCGCAGGCGAGGCTCTCACGACTGGGTTTACCGACCGTCAGTCGGTGGCATTGGCCTGAGTACAAGGGCTCTGGATTGTACCGAGGGTCAATTGAGTACACGACGCCACCGCATACCTTTCGCGCGTGCTGCCGGATTTCGCAGCCGCAGTAGCAGTTAGCACTTTCGGGTATCCCAGGGAGTCAAGCACACGTTGCATCCTACATAGAGTACCATCGATATACATAATTTCTGTGCGTGGTGGGCGTCAGTCAGTGGATCGGAATCATACAAAGCCTAGGCATACCTTTTCCACATGTCGCTGAGTTGCATGTACACAGGCGCCGTAGAGTTCAGCGCGTCGCCGGGCCGCGACCCTTATAGCTTGAAGGCGGACGCCACGATGTTGCGAGCGGCCGGGCTTATCTTGGTCAATCGTCTCCAACGAGGGATTCGACCTACCATAGTACATGCTCGCCGCGTCCACATGCAGCCAGCGAGCCGCCGGTGTGTCGACAAGGCCCAGAGCGACATAGCGACTGAGGTTTGAGAGAGGGTTGCATCTGCATGGGACGGGAGGAGAGAATTGACTGATCAATGTCGGCGAATCAGACCCAAAAAGGTCTGAAGAGCGATACAGTCTTGAAGAATGACCATGATGACAGTCAACAGGGTCGTAGTTGCGTGGTGTATTAGTCGGACTCTATGAGGACGCGTTCACGCGTAATACGAAGGCCGCGCAACCGTCGGTGGTTGTCCATTGACAGCTATACCAAAGCTATACGAGCAGCCGGTCGGTATTTTGGGGGCGTGTCGTTATGCCGCTGGAATGAAGCCGGGTATCAATGAGATGTGTCCTTTCGTATGCTGGAGGACGTACAAAGATGCAAGTAACGACGCGGATAGCCATGCCTTCCAAGAGTCAAGGTCCCATACCCTAGACTGTAGCCGGCGAGCTATCAGTGTACAACGCTCGAACTTTCGTGTCAGCCTATTTGCGAAGAGCGAGAAGCAGTAGCGTTCGACGACGAACACTATCTCGAGGCCTCACCCCTTTGAGCAGTCTCGACGAGTGCCGTCAAGGCCTGGCGATCAGTCACGCTGCGCAAGGGGGCGGTATCGGCCGTATAGCGATGCCTACGTCGACAGTCGGTCTCAAGAGGAGCCCTCATCTGACAGACGGTGCTGAGAGGTATGGAGACGACGCGGTGGACGGTGTCTTCTGATTATATTCGGCGGCCTGAGATCGGGTGCAGTGTGTGACCAAGTATAGAGTAGTGGAAGTCAACCCTTCACGTTCGCCTCTCACAGCGCGTGAGAATGAGGGTATAGCCAGCGAGAGCTCTGAAGCGCCACATGATGGATAGCCCGACAACGTGCGGTGTACTAGGATTTGGAGGCTTGACTGTCAACGGACCGAAGTTGATTTAGCGTGCCGTGAGATAGCGTGGAAAAGTTCCCTGGGCAGGCGTCACGAGCAGACAAAAGTTCATAAGTCGCGAAAGAGCGACACCCGGTTTGTTTTGTTGTCGCCCTCTTTGCTCATGGCGGTCAAGAACAAGGCCCACAAAGCACGAAGGCGTGCGAAAAGCGCGTACCGTAACGGTACCACGTGATGTGACTGGTTTAAGGGCACGCCAATGCAAATTTTTGATTATATCTTGCTTTTGATCGATAACTAGAATCTAAAAGGACACGGTACGCGTCGTCGCAGAACACAACTTGTCTTACGCGCTCATCTCCACGCAGAAATGGATGTCCAGGCTCTCACCGCGCTCTTCACGACCAGCTACAACCCAGATCCGAATGTGCGCAAGGCAGGCGAGCTGCAGATCCGGAAGGTGCGTGAGCAATCCGACGCGTTCTGAGCGTGCCACTAAGTGGCATTCAACTTTGCGTCCATAGGTCGGGCTTCAGGAAGGCGTGATCACTGTATTGCTGCAGATCTTGAGCGCGGACGAGGGATCAGTCGACCCGTGCGTGTTCAGCTCGATTCCGCATCGCGTCCACTGACCACCTTCTGCAGAGCGACGCGTCAGGCAATAACTGTCTGGATCAAGAATCGCGTCCAGTATGGCTACCCCCTCACCGAGCTTGACCCCCGCCGACCGGACCGTGCACCCATCTCGCCGTCCGACAAGGCCGCGCTCAAGCAGTCCATTCTCCCCTTCCTCTCCGCCGCACCATCTCGTGCCGTCAGCGTGCAGCTTTTCAGCACGCTCAAGTCAATCGTCGCCCACGACTACCCTGAAAACTGGCCAACACTTACCGACGAGATCAAGGCCCTCCTCACCAGCTCAAATATCCGCGAAGTCCACGCCGGATGTCTCGCCACACTCTCTGCGATCCAGGCGTGGCGCTATCGCCAGAACGGCGACAACATGGAGCGCATTGTGGAGGCGCTCTTTCCCTCGCTTGTCACGATCGCGACGCAGATGATGGAGAACCCGTTCAACCCGGCGCAAAAGGAGGAGATCCCGACCCTGCTTCACCTCATTTTGAAGTCCTACAAGACGAGCATCCTCATCAACCTCAGCAAGCACCAGCAGAGCCCGGACAGCCTGGTGCCTTGGGGTCGCCTGCTCTTCAACGTCATCAACCTGCGCTTGCCTTCGGAGGTCGTACCCGAGTCCGAGGAGGAACGGGAAGCCAGCGAATGGTGGAAGGCGAAGAAGTGGGCGCACGGCACCCTCTGCCGCTTGTTCCACCGCTTTGGCAACCCATCGCAGATGCCAAGCAAGCTGAAGGAAAGCTACGCTGCGTTCTCCGAGCACTTCGTCACCGCCTTTGCGCCTGAGATCTTGAAGACCTATCTTTCCGAGGTCGACCTCTTCGTCTCTGGTCAGGCATGGCTTTCGAAGAAGTGCCAGTACTACATCCTGGAGTTCTTTAACGAATGGTACGCACCGGTCAAACTCGCAAACACTGATGTCTCACCTTCACTTTCAGTGTCAAGCCGAAGAGCACCTGGACGCTGCTCAAGCCTCACGTCCAGAACCTCGTCCAGACCTTCGTCTTCCCCCACCTCACCTTCAACGCCGACAAGCAGGCCATGTGGTCCGGCGACCAGCTCGAATATGTCCGTGTTACCATCGACGAATACGAGGCGCCGAACACCCCCACGGCTGCCGCCACGACCTTCCTCTTCACGCTTGTTACGACGCGTACCAAGATGACATTTATGCCCATCATGACCTTCATCAACAATGTCTTGAACTCGTAAGCAGCTGCCTTGCACGTCTGTTTAGTCTCATATGCTGACAACGCATACAGCGACGCCGGCCCCACGCAGCGCTTCGGTGCCCTCAACATGACCGCCGCGCTCGGCCCCTACATCCTCCGCCACCCCGAGATCGAGAACACGCCGACGATGGAGAACTTCATGCAGCAGTACGTGCTGAAGGAGTACTCGTCTTCGGAGCCGTACATGCGCAGTGTGGTATGTCTTGCCTCCACTGCCACCGTCGCATACATCCGTTGCTGATGCCTCGACCAGGCCTTCGAGATCTTCGGCACCCTCACCAAGTCGGGCTTGCAATGGTCGAACCAAGAGCACCTTGGGCAGCACTTCCATGCTATTCTCGCCGCCCTCGACGACCCCGAGCTCCCCGTCCGCGTCCAGGCTGCCCTCGGTATCTCCGAGCTCGTCCAGGCGCACGAGATCATCCGCAAGGAGGTCGCGCCCCAGATCGGCAAGGTCATCCAGGACCTGTTGAAGCTCTCCGAGGAGACTGACCTCGATGTCCTCAACCACTGCATGGAGGTCATGGTCGACAACTTCCAGGACGAGCTGATGCCGGTGGCGACGCAGTTGGCGCAGCGTTTGGTATGCTGTCATTTGCGTCAAACATCTTTCACCGGGACTAACGTCTTTCCCTAGTGCTCGCTCTACATCCGCCTTGCCCAAGACGCCGGCGGGCAGGAGGCCATGGACGCGGATGCTGACCTCGAGACGCTCGTTATGGACACCGGCGACGAGGACAAGACGTTCGCGGCCATGGGTGTCGTGAAGACACTTTGCACGGTCATCTTGGCTGTTGACAGCTCGCCGGAGATTATGGGTCAGATCTGCGAGATTATTGTGCCCATCATCTCGTTCACACTCGAGCGCAAGATCATCGGTATGTTTCAAGTGTATAAGTAAAGGAGGAGAAGATGCTGACTCGTCTCAACAGACCTCTACGACAACATGTACGACCTCCTCGACACCCTGACGTTCCGTATGCGGTCCATCTCGCCCAGCTTATGGCCGATCTTCGAGCAGACCTACCAGCTGTTCAAGACCGACGGCATCGACTTCTTGGACGAGATGCTGCCCGTGCTCGACAACATGCTCTCGTACGGCTCGGATATCTTCAAGCAGCGCGCGGACTACCGCCAGATGGTGGTCGACATCTACGTCACTGCGATGAATGCCTCGCAGCTCGGCGACAATGATCGCGTCAACGCGTGCAAGCTCGTCGAGTCCATCTTGCTCAACTTGCGCGGTGCTGTCGATGATGTATGCTCTCACTCTTACAAAGTCTCTGCCAGCTTTCTGACCTCCTTCTCCAGCACCTCCAAGTCATCATCGCCACCGCCCTGACCGCCTTCGCCCAGAAAGACAACCACACGCTCGCCCTGCGCACGATGAACCTCGAGGTCCTCATCAATGCCGTCCTCTACAACCCGACCGCGTCGCTGCACATCATCGACTCTGCCTCGCCGGGCATCGCACGCACCTTCATCGACCGCTGGTTCACGGCGATCAGCAAGGGCCAGCTGCCGCGCGTGCACGACAAGAAGCTGAGCATACTGGCGCTGTCGGCGCTGCTGGAGGTGCCGCCGGCGTCTATTCCGGAGAGCTTGAAGGCGGGCTGGCCGGGGATTGTGGGCGGGGTGTTGACGGTGTTCAAGGAGTTGCCGAAGGCGATTGAGCGTGAGTGCAGTGAATGTTGGTAGAGAGGTGCACGAACTGACAGTAACATAGACCGCAAGCTCCTCGAAGAGAAGATGGAGGACGACAGCGATGACGATGAGTTCGATGAGGGACGCTTGTTGAACTTGCGGGATGATGATGGTGAGCAAGTTATTCCTCCTTTTGCTCAATCAACTACTAACATCATATTTAGACGACGTCTGGGACGAGGACTCCGCCTACCTCGAGATGCTCGCGAACGAGAGCGCGCGCCAGCGCGAGCGCCTCGAGAAGAAGGAGGCCGGCAAGGAGGTCGATGAGGACGACGAGTCGGACGACGAGAACGTCGAGGAGGAGCTCGGGTACCTCAGCCCGCTCGACAACGTGAACCCATACGCGTCGTTCAAGCAGGCGTTGACGAGTGAGTGGTTTACCTTTCGTTTGGGTTGGGTGGGAAATGGTGTGCTGACGATTGTTTTAGCTTTCCAGATGCAGAACCCGGAGGCGTACCAGGCGGCGACGACGAGTTTGTCGCCGGAGCAGCAAACCTTGCTCATGGAGGTTATGAAGCTTGCGGAGACGCCGCAGTAGGCGAGCACATCGCTGCTTTGCTCTGTGGATCCGTTAATCTTCCTTCACGCCTTCAGTCTCTGTTACTACGATTTAGACATGATCATTTCCTCTCAACGACATCTCCGCTTCTCTGACGTAAGTGCACAATTCACGTCTTATGTAGTTCGCAACCTCCTTTTTATTCTGTCGTTCCGCTGCTGCTACCTTGTATGTTTTGTGTTGTCGCTGCCCCTCTTGGATAATTTGTTGCATATCGAATAATATTCCCTTCTGTCTGTGCTTTGGCTGGTGTACATGAGTATCGGTTCTGCAGAGCGCTCGAGCTTGATGTTCCCCGAGGTATCGCTGTCGGTCTAGTACCGCCTATCACCTACTCCGCCACCAATGCACCCTCCGCAGCTCCACGCCGTCGTCGACCGCCCCTTCCCCTACCACCTCCCCGACTTCCCTCGCCCCTTCCACCTCTACTACCTTCACCCCTCAATGACTTTCTCCTCTTCCTAGGCGCGGACTCTTCCGAACTAGCCTCACTAGCCTCTGACTCCGTCGTGCGTTCGTCGTCCCCGGTATCCTTCTGTCCATCACCCCCGCCACCTCCCTCGCCCCCATCATCGCCCTCCTCGTGTGTGCCGCTTGTGGTGTCACGACGGACGCGGCCTTTGGCCTGCGCATACGCCTCCAGCGGTCGCCAGTCGTCGTCGTGCCGCTGGCTACCGTGCTCGAAATACGAGGCTCGGGTGATGGTGTGCGAATCAAAGTCGGGCGCCGAGGCGAAGGCGTGGGCGCCGTGGTAGGGGACGGTAATGGGGCTGGAGGGGATGTTAGTTGTTGGTGTATGGTGTAGGAGGGATGGATAGATCGAGGGAGAAGAGAGGGAGGTGTACGCACTCATCCGAGTCATATATCACGACCTCGCAGTCTGTTGGCGCGAGGCGTTCGAGTTCGAGCATTCTATGCGGTGTGATTAGCGTCCTTCTTGATCATAACATTCCTATCCGCAAATGCAGCGCCTCGTAAGAGACCAGCGCGTAGGGGAGGCCATCGAGCGCAGGTATACGGAGTAGAGAAAACGATCATGAGCGGACAGAGTAAACCAAACGCAATCACTCACAACCTCTCCCTGAACCCTTTGAACTTCGTACACCCGCCCACAAGCCCGATATTCGCCCAGAACATGCCCTGAAGGTCGTCCGGGAGGGCGCCGATGGAGGACGCGACGGCGTGCGCGATGCCGGCTTGATCAAGGCCTGAAGGGTTGGCGTTAGTCCACAGCACACTCAGTCAACCGTGAAGTCGAATGACGGTATCCATGGAATGGAGGAGACGCGAGAGGGAAAGAAAGATTGCAGAGACTGACCTATATCACTCGGCGTGAACAGCAGCTCTGGCACGCTGAAGCGTTCGTTGCCCATTAGCAGCACCTGACTTGCGTCAACGTCTTTGCGAGTCGCGGAATCGACGTTCTTTCGAGTCGCGCCGTCGGCGTCCATGTCATTCGCGCCATCCACGTCCATGTCGTTCGCGCCGTCGACGTTTATGTCATTCGCGCTCTTGACATGCCCGTGCGGCGACTTCGTGAGGTCGGGGAGGACGTAGGAGAGGGTGGTGCTGCGGTCGTGACTGAGGTAAGGAGATGTGTTAGCAGGACGTTCCCTTGAGAGGGGCACAAAGTGCTGCGGACGTGCGGAAAGTGAAGCGGGCGTGCGGTCGTAATCAAACCATCGAAGCAAGCAAAGAGGAAGCCAAGAGCAAAGGGGACATTATACTGACCGCGCCCTCTCCAAATCCTGCGCAAAGTCCAGCGACACAAAGCAGCACGTCTCCTTGACATGGTTCATGACAACCGTCTGGTCCATCATGTTCCACTGGCGGAAGGAGACGAGCTCTTTGAGGTGGTTGGTGAGGAGCTTGCCGCCGACATCGACGCTAGAACGAATAAAAGATTGTCAGCGAGATTGTTAGTAGGTCAACTCGCAGGTGACGGTGCGATGAATTGGTGGAGCGAGATGTGAACACGCGATGGGTGCATTAAAGGTTACTTACCGTCTGACAGCATTCCATTGAACATGGCCATTGATGGCTGGAATCGCGTGCGAGAAGCTGAATCCGCAATCGAGGATCAGCGAGCATTCGGGCGGCGGAAGGCCTGGCTGAGCGAAGAGAGAGCCGTATGGTACGAGAGAGGCGGCTGGCGAGGCATCAGCAGTGTGAAAGAGCAGCACAACAGAGTAATATACGCGTCCGTCTGCAGTATGACCTGAATTCATACTCTTCGAAAATAAATTGATCGTAGGTCCTTTGCAGATTGGGAAGGTTAAAGTACGGCTCAGTCAAGAGCAAGGTGGATTGCTGAGTGTCTATCTGCGCAGGTTAGACAATGACTTACGGCAGGCAAGAAACCTACATTCAGACATTCCTTGGAAAATACCCCATCCCAGACGGCCTTCTGAGCATCCCAGTCTGTGACGAAACCCTTGAGTATGTTGAACGGTGCTCGCGATGAATGATGTGACGAAAGCCTACCTTCTCAATGGGTAGCCGGAAGTGCAAGGAAGAAAAGTCGGAGCATCTCGCGTATTCGTGTCCGACGTACGTTTCCTTGTCGCCTTTGGAACGAATGACCGCGTTCGGGACAATTCTGGGCTCGGTCCTCAGCGAAAGATTCACACGCAGTCAGTTTGGGCAGCGACAGACAATGGTTCCGGATGCACGCCAACGACGCCTGCCTTGACCGTATAGCCCCCATTATCGAGTATGACCACTGGGGAGTCCATGTTGAACTTGCACGTGAGGTTTCAGAACAAAAGCGTGTGTTGTTCTGTGTTTGTGATGGGGTGATGCCCCAGACTCGGCCCAGACTTCCGGGATGATGACACTGGTCTTGTCCGGCGCACAAAGCTCGTCCTCGCCTGTTGTCTCCTGCTGTTTGCCACGATCCCACCCAAAGCACCGTGCGCGGTCTGCTCATGCTGCTTCGTCCCTCTCTCCTAACCCCCGAACTCGTCTAAACATGCGTCTGCACCCCCAAGAGCGCGTGTCTTACGACAAGACTCCCTCGACCAACTCTCGGGTCGTCGGCGTCCAGGAGAGCGCCGAGTACGCAGGCGACTCGGCCGAAGTAGCCGCTGGCGACCGCGGAGCCCTCGTCGACAACGACGAGGAGGAACGCACGCTCAAGCGTGTACAGGAGCTGTGGTTTGACGATGGGAATATCGTTCTTCAGGCGGAGGACACGCAGTTTCGCGTGCATCGGTCGATACTCGCCATCCACTCCAATGTCTTTCGTGGCATGCTCTCCCTACCACAGGTGGGGTGCGACGAGGAGAAGATCGATGGCTGTCCGGTTGTCTTCCTTCCAGGGGACGCCGCACAGGACATGACCTACCTTTTCATGGCCATCTATTACTCTGAGTACGTGTTCATGTCCAACCCTCGTCAGCCGACCCCCATCTGACCGTCCCTTAGCTTCTTCGAGTCCCCACCTGCCCCCACGACCTTTGCCATCGCCGCAGGCATCCTGCGCGCCGCCACGAAATACGACATCCTCATGCTCCGCAACCGCGCCGTGCGCCACTTCGACACAGTCTACCCCACCGAGCTCCCGCCCTCCCCCGTCGACACCGTCGCAGGCATCCCGCCCACCTTCGGCACCTTCCAGCCCTCGCGCCAGGAAGACGCCGAGGCGCTCCACCTCGCGCGCACGCTCGACCTGCCGTGGATCCGGCCCTACGCGATGTACCGCGTCTCGACGCGCGGGCTGATCGCGGACCAGGAGACGACGCAGCAGGCGGACGAGTTCCAGTGCGTGAGCGTCGCGGACCGCTTCAAGTGCCTGCAGGCGCAGACGAAGCTGCTCTACGCGACGCTCAACGACGTGCTCTCCTTCCTGCGCACGTCGCACACGTCGCACTCGTGCCAGAGCGCGGACCGCTGCAAGCAGAGCCGCATCGAGTGGATGGAGGAGGCGCTGCAGTGGGACTGGATCGACCCGTTCTTGATCGAGTTTGAGCCGCGGTGGGAGAAGGGGCTCTGCGAGGAGTGTGTCTGCGTCGCGAAGGCCGACTTTGAGGACGGCCGCGCCATCGTCTGGTCGAAGCTGCCAGAGATGTTCTCGGTTGCGAAGAGTTGGGACCACCTGGAGACGTTGAAGTATAGGGAGCATAATCCAGGTCTCAGCCACCCAGATATGTAATCCTCGCGCGCGATGGGTGTCGACCTTGGCGAGCGACCTGCCGCCTAACTGGCAGCTTAACCCTCAGTGCATAACCCACGCACCCGAATCTACCCAACCCTTTCTTGGAGACGAACGAACGACACGATATTGTCACTGTATAGTATGCCATGTACAACCACCACCACTGATTCGCTCTTTGGGACTCTGGAGGGCCGCGTCTACGAATCTACTTTTTTCTGCGTCTGATTCTGTCGCATCTGATCTTCTGTTGCATCTTTGTCTACTGCGTTGCACAATGTTTATTCCATGCTTTCGCTGTCATAAGTCTGACTCAGTGTGGGTTAGATTGACGTGACCTCCAAGGTGAGAGCGACGAGCGTTGGCCGCTCCACATTTGTGCGACACAAATATCTGTACAAGCACGTGGCCAACTGACTTCGGCAAGTTCCGTAGGGTCTTAAGCGGCCGCGGCACCGTTGGTAGCTGCCCTCATCTGCAGAGCCTGCAGTGTACGTCAGTACTACGTTTCATGTTGAGCAGGTAATTTGAGCTCACAGAACTGCAGAGGACGGAAGGCACTAGAATTGAGCGAGTTTACCCATCCACCGCAGGGCTATCGACATGTCGCTCTCGCCAGAATCTCCCGTATCAACCAACTGCCGTCCGAACTGCTCATCAAAATCTTCGAGAAATGCATAGAGCATATAGTCGGCAATCTTACTTACCACGAGGCGGCGTCGATGCTGGGGCCGGAATACCCTTCGCTCGTCGTGTCGCACGTATGCCGCCGCTGGCGGGAGATCGCGCTCGACTGTCCAGGTCTGTGGCAGTGGTTCTCGATACGGCCGTGTAAAAACAAGTCGCGTCAGCGACTCGCGTCCTTATTTGCGGCGCGGGCGAGGGGAACGGGCCTCCACGTCCGAGCTGTAGGGGTCAAGGACGAAGAGATCCGCGGCGAGCCCTGCGATTGCGCCCTCGTCTTCATCATTCGACAAACTCCTGCGATCGTGGAGCTCGAGCTCGACGATCCCAGCGAGGACACCGCGCACTACCTATGGGAATTGACGTCACCCTCGCTCAAGCGCTTCGCCCTGACCATCGGGTGGGTGCCTGCCGACCCGCGGGTCGTAGAACTGCTCTCGGTTACCTTCCTCACACGCGGTATAGAGGAGTTGCACTGGGAGTCTGCCACTTTTATGCCCGAGCTCGTCAATTGGCGGAACCTGCGATCCCTTACACTCGAGCGCGCCGACATCGACCGCCCAACGTTCCTGCATATCGTGTCGAGCGCCCCGGATTTGCGGCACCTTCAAATCCGGGTAATCAGCGCCTCGCTAGGTGGAAGCTTTGCGCATACCGCCGCGACGTATCGGCTGAACGCGTTGGAAGAGCTGGAGATGCATGGCTACGGGGAACAGGACGAGCTCTTCCGCGACCTGCACACCCCGCGTCTGCGACGCTTCAGTCTGGAGCGCGATGATAACCTCGGGAGCGAGGATGCGGGTAGTCAAGGCTGGCCGTTCGGGAATATCACGGTTCTCCTTGACTTCCTGCGTCGCACACAGGGGAATATGGAGCGACTCGCACTGCGCGGTGGCCGAACCCTCGACGAAACTACCGTCCTGCGCATCATCGAGATGCCGCAGATGTCCGCGCTCAAGATCCTACGCATTCAAGGAGTCGAAGGAGATGTAGGCGACGCCGTCTTCGCCAGACTAGGCCCAGAAGCACGGGACGACGCAGGCCGCGCACTGCTACCACGTCTCGAACGGCTTACACTTTTCACCTGTCGCACTACTGACGGCGTCATATCCCGGATGATGGAGTTCCGTCGCGAACAGGGATATCCCCTCGTCATGCTCAGAGTGAAGTATCCTTCGGGCGTCTACGGTCCTTCCCCGGTCGACCGTGCTGCCTTTGAGACGCTCATTAAGCTGGATCGATGGATTAGGTGGTAGCGGCGTTGGCGAAATCGGGTGGCGATTCTTCTCTGTAGGGTAAGCGCCTTCGATGTATTTTGTAAGGACACGGCTGATTGACGTATCCATTGCTGGTCAGAGTTCTTGACCTCACCTCGCCCCGGTATAGTGATGTTTGTGGTGAGTGGCGAGCCTCTTATATAGTCTCTTCTGTTCTCGTGTTACACAGCCTCACGGAATTTGAATCCAGTCTTTCACGTTGACATTCCTTTGCCTTCCTCGCCGGTTTAATCATTGCCTTTGTCTGTGTTTGTTGAAGGAACGGAAGCGTCTTGAATTACCCCAAGGGAAAAATCCTTCGTGTTTTTATTGTTTGTGAACTCTTTATCTGTCTTTCACGAAGCCTGTGTTTGTTTGAATCGCGGTATATATAGAGAGAGTACAGTTGGAAGGCGTCCCTGTACACTGACGCCGCTTTCCTCCCTCATTCGTCAAGTGATATCCTTGCTCCAGAATGTCCCTCGCTGATTCACGCCATGCGCCAGGTTCTGATCGCTCGCATGCCCCCCTGATCAACGACTTGCCCGCAGAGCTGCTGTCGTCGATTTTCGAGTGGTATATGTTCCCGGGAGAGCCTGGCTTTTTTGGCGATTATTTTCCAGAGGTGCCGCTCGTGGTCTCTCACGTGTGCAGACTATGGCGCGAAACCGCCCTTGATCTGCCCTTCATGTGGCGCCGCATCCTCGTCAAGACCTGCCAGAACGAAGGCCGCTACCTTCTCGCCCAGATGTTCTTGCAGCGTACCAAAGACCAGACTATCGCGCTATGCTACTCCGAGACAGGGTGCAAAAAGGATCATCGAGGGAAGCCCTGTACGGCCGCCATCGAGTTCGTCATCCGCAACATAGGGCAGTTGCACTCTCTCATCCTCGAGGACATCGAAGGCGAGACCCTTTCTTGCCTGTCCAAGATTCCCGGTGATGCCGCATCTCGCCTGTCGTGTCTCGTCGTCACAGTTGATTGGCGATGCCAGGCCTTTCCGCCGGTGACCATGCAGGCTGCGCTCTCTCCCCTCTACCGCGCACCATCGCTGCGCATCCTCGACTGGGGACTGCATACACTCGAAAAAGATATTCTTTGGGGGCAACTGACGCGGGTGGAAACGACGATCTCCTCTATCGACGTCAAGGACTTCTTGCATATTCTCGCTTGCGGGAAGGTCCTTCAGTCCGTCAGGGTGTATCTCGAGAACCCCCGGCAGATGGACGAGGCGGTCCAAGTCTCGACAGCGCGCTATGCGCCTGTTGAGAATGTCACAATCAGGGAAATGGATCTAGAGTGTGATGGGCCGCAGGACGACCTCTTTCGCGCTCTCCGTCTTCCGAATCTGACGCGCCTAGCGCTCTCTCCCCTGAGTGAATCCGACGGGATGAGAGTGCTATTCAACGACTTTCAGGTCTTTTCTGACTTCCTGGGTCGTGTCAGAGGTGGACTCCAGGAATTTGCCCTTGACTACGCCCACGATCAACTCGAAGATATGGTCCGCATCCAAATATTTGGCCTTCCACAGATGTCGACGCTGCTCAATCTGCGCATAAGGGAAACAGCAGGAGGTGCAGGGGACGACTTCTTTAAGGCTCTCACGATTGACTCGCGTGGGTCGGCTCCGCTGCTACCTCGCCTCACGAGTCTCCGGACGAGTGCTTGCACAACGACGGACGGTGTTATCTCGCGGATGCTTCAGTCTCGCCACACGCACCGCTATCCTCTGCGCAACATTTTTCTTGGATACCCCTGCGGCACTGCTGTTCCCCAGCCTAGGGATGCCGCGGCGTACGACACGCTGAGTGCCATGGGATGGGAGATCGGGATAGAAGAGCTTCCCATGCCCTTTTCATGGTCAGATCAAGAGTCAGTTTGGGAGTGAGTATGTTGAAGGTCAATAGCGCCCAATTTGCAATTGCAGTGCAACTCAACAGAAGAAATGTGCTGTAGGCAAGGGTCGAGATCCAACGTAATCACGAGTTCGTCGCGAGACGATGTGTAGTTATTGCGAGATGTATACAATATCTATTGATTTTCGGAATGATTGTCATACAATCGTGCGTGTGAACTGGTTGATCTTCAGCTTGACGCAAATGGAAGGAACGTCTTGATCCGAAGTTCATTGTCTTGAACCACCATCATGGGAATTGCCGACGACGCTCACTATTGTCTTTTGCTGTGTGTCGTCTGCGGCGTCTGCAGTCTCTCCGCTCTTTTCATAAAGAAGGATACATCGCACAGCTCTGAAGACGCTGAACGGCCCCTTCTCGCCGTGATGACCCTGCGGCGGCTTATTGTCCGTAGGTGGATATGACAACGGGGGAGCGACGTCCTGGCTATTGTCTCCGCGTGTGCTCTCGAAGCCAAACTTCTTTCTGGAGTGTCTCCAGGCTCATAAAGAGAGGAGTGCGGTCGTGTTGTGTCGCTCACCTCTTCCCCTCATCTAGTAACCACCTAATCTCATGGTCAAGTGGCCATTCAGGAATCACCGCTCTCAGCAACATGACGGGGCGTCTTCCGTGCAAGCTAGAGGCGTGAACACTTATCACCATCGCGAGGCATGTCTCTGAACTAGGTCTAGAGAGGGCCAGCGCTTCGCGTGGCGTGCGGTGGGGTAGTCTAAACGGGGGGTTTTCTCGATAAATTCTGTTTGAGTGGACTGTAGTGGAACAAGAGTGGTATGTTGTTTCTCAAATAGGTTAACCCATGATCGCCGGTCCAGATCGGGTTTACACTCCCATCCAACCGGTCTAGATCAGGTTAACATCTCCTTAACCCGATCAAGACGCCACATTGCTCGATCGCTGAGCGCTGAGGCCTCACCGCTCCCAAAAACATCCTCTTAACATCTCCAAGTCCGGGCTATCTTCCCTCCTCCTTGTGTCTTTCATGCCCCTCATTGCACACAGCCTCTGCCACCTCCGCCACAACTTCCCCTGCAGCGCACACATCAGGTCCAGCAACCCTGATCCACTCACCTTCTGGCACACCGGATCACAAGTTGTGTTGTGGAACTGGCAGACCTACGGGACACCGGTGCAGGTGGATAAGGCAATGTTCATTAAGACGCAAAGCCATGTTTATGGGACGAACGGCTGGGTTGCGAAGCTGGTGAAGCCGCAGGGGGAGGGCGGCAAGGAGGGATGTGGTGGAGGAGGAGGAGGTGGTGGGGGCATAGAGAGGGGGTGCGAAGAAGGAGGGGGAGGAAGCAGGAGGAGGGGGAGGGCGCAAGAAGGGGTGTTGAGAAGGGCGCAAGAAGGATGACTAACATGTGGGAGAGAGGGCAAGGGGCGAGGGGGGAAGGTGGGAAGGGAAGATGGCGAGGCACACAAAGGAGGGAGAGGTGCACGACGTATGGGGGAAGGAGAGAGGGGAGGGAGAAGGGGCACCCATCCAAGGGTGGAGAAGCGACAACGAACTCGCAAAGGAGGGGGAGGTGCGACAGGGGAGGGAAGTCTGCACGCAAAGGTGAATGGCACATCGCTTAGGGCTAACCGTAAGGAGCGGGGCATGTACGAGGGAGGGGAGGGGGCATGTAGGAAGGGAAAGGGCGCACACGAAGGGAGGGAGGAGGGGCGTGGGAGCGCGAACCAAAGAGGGGGCAGAAGGAGGGGGCATTTACCAAGGGAAAGAGGGGAGAGGGAAGGGGAGCGCGTACGCAGGGAAGGGGGGGACAGAAGGACGCGCATATAAGCAGAGGGGGGAGGGGGACGTGTACGAAGGGAAGGGACGCGCATGGTGGAGATGGGAGGGCATCCTCGTCTCCCCTCGCGCGCGGGGGCGCGCCGATCCAGCGTCGTCCATGCCGTTCAATCAAAGGGCGGGCGGCACTTGGCTATGTGCATTTGGTCGCGTGGACGCAGACTAAAGGGGAAATGCTGCACATCAGCACGCATGCGAGGAACGGAGACTTTTGATCGGCGGTGAAGGGTGGGGCGAGCGCGAATGGACATGAAGGAGGTGGGTGTGCTTGTTTCCAGGCGAGAGCTTGACGGGCGATGCAGGCATGATCGACGCGAGAGGGTCGTGTACAATCCAGGTTCAAGAAGACCCACGCAACGCGCCTAGCAATCGCGTCGTTGCCGACAACGCGGGGGCTGGACTAGCAATGAAACAAGATGAGATTGACGATCATTGAGGCGACGCCCGCCGCGCGCAGCGCACATTTCCGCGCAACCTCGTACAGAGGACCTGCGCGTGCATCTCTCCATGTCTCACTGCGGCGGAGGTGGCAGTGGCGAGATACGCGCGCAATTCCCCTACGAGGCCGTTCGCAAATGCGCGTCGAGCAGGCAGCGGTCGCGCAGATAGACACTCACCGACATGTTCACCCTTCTTCGGGACGCGTGCGTTAAGATTGCATGTGCTGTGCAGGCAGGGGCCGCGGGAGTGGGGGCAGCAGCGTTGGTGGGAGGCAAGGAGTGCAGACGCGATCGGAGAACGCATCCGGTCACATTGACGCAATGCGACACGTGCCGGCCCGCGACGCCACATATCATTACGCCACGCACAAAGTTCAGGCGCGGAAATGTGGCCAAACCTGTCCGAATCGACAGCGCTGAACCAGTTCCACAATCTAATCAGGAACGTTCAGCATCGGTAATCCGCCGCACCACTTGCCGCTACGCACTGAGGATCAGCACCAGGAGGAGGGCCCGGAAGAGGTGCAAAGCCTCCAGGTGCGCCGTAGCCGCCACCATACCCCGGAGGACCGCCAGGAGGGGGTGTGTAATGTCCGTCGATGAGCTCAGATCGCGCGCCACACCAAATTGCCACGCACGCCGAAGACATGGCTATCACTCAAAAGTGCAGAGAGGGAAAGAGATGGGAGACGCAGCCTCGGAATCGGAGCACAGCAAAGCGGTGATGCAAGATCCCGATGATGGCATCGCCGCTTCCCGAGGCGGTGGGCAGTACGCGCTCTTGCGACAAGGACATCGCGCAGAGTCGATCTGCGACCTGGGGGAACTGCACTGCGATCGCGGTCGCCCGTCCGCATCCCGGCCCGACTGCCGGTCGTCGATCTCCTCCGACCTCATGCGTTTTGTTCTCGACCACCGCCGTCGCCTCGTCGTCGTGCTCACCCCCGCCGCCATCGCTACACGTGCTGCCCTACCCGCCTCAAATAGCAATTGCCGAGTCGTCCGTTTTTCGCGCGGGCCAGAGCTCCATCCCCCCTTTGCGCGGCGCGAGCGGAGCAAGCGCGTAAGCTCTGCGCTTTTCACTCTATGGCTACTCTACTCTAGCTCTCACACTACTGACTCTCCCCCCTCCTCTCCTCTCCCTCTCCCCCTTCCCTTTCCTCCTCCTCCCCTCTCCCTCTCCCCTTTCCTCCTCCTCCCCCCTTCCCTTTTGGAGGGGAGGGTTAGCACAGCTCGGAAGGAAGGACCACGTACCGTGCTTTGTGTCGGATGGGTGACGGGACTCTCGGCCGCGCTCGCGCGGGAGCTCTCGGCGATTTGGACGCCACGGAGGGGCGAAAACGCGCTCAATTCGAAGGTGAGCTCCTCCGCGTTGAATGCGACCGCACGCTGAGTGATAAACTCATGCCGCGATTGCGGGATCACGTACTCGACGGGTGGTTGTTGGGTCGCCAATGCGCGCGGTGGCAGGCAAGCGGAGTGCGGGGAGCATCAGGCCATTGATCTTGCTCATCGGCGTGTCCTCGCGTCGACTCCTTGTAGTACATGATCTAAAAATCGAGTTGATGAATATAAGGATTTACTGTACTTCGACGGCGCTTGGGAGACCTGCGAGGACTGGTAAGCTCGTCATCCACATGTCGTGCTCAGTGCACGCACCTCATCCCCGAGCTGATGCTGCTCGTTAGGCTCATTCCGCCCTCCGTCGTCTTGATATCATCCATGCGCATTGCCAAGTCAGCCTTCAACTCATGAAACACGGTAAGCTCACATACCTTGTCTGTGAGCTAATCTCGCACCCTCAGCCACCCATCGCTCGGCTCTCCTCGACGAGCCGAGCGTGTTCTCCTCGTGACTGTCTCGTCCTCGTCTCGCTCGCTGTCGCCTTGCTCTTGTGCTCATGCTTTTGTCTCGCTCTCGCTCGTGCTCGCCTCGCCTCTGCTCAGTGCTGATTCAGGTGTAGTGATGTGTTCTCATCCTATTTCGTCTTGCAATCGAGTTGCTGACTGTTCTTACAGCATGTGACGGCGGCGTAGGCGAGACGTGCAGAAAGCCAAGGTGGAAAGGAGGAAGCAGAGGAGTGAAGGAGGAAGGACGGAGGACAAAGGGCAAAGGAAGAAAATACAGTGACACGAGACTCACTCAGAATGTGCCGTGGTCGCCGGTGTGGCGCAAGACCCTGACTCGAACCCATCAATCCAAGAATCCTGTGCACCTACATCACCTTCCTCTTCGGGTGCTCCCCCATCGGGTGCTCGGTAGCAGCGGTTAAATTCGTGAGCAGCGAGTGATTGGGAATAACCATCTGCTCATTGTGTAATGCCATTCGAGATACAGTCAGAGTGTCAGGTATAGGATACAGTATCTAGAATTGTGTAGTGAGGAGGCCTGACGTGTGATACGGCTCCCGCCGAGTGGAATGAGCTGCGAGCATGAGTAAATTCAATTCAAGCCTGAGGTCTTCACAAGATGCAAATCCGGAGAAAAGGGGTGTTGCAGACATAGGGAGCAACACACAGACCGCACACCGAGGCCGGGAGGTCATCTACGACGGTCGGAAACAAGAACACTCAGTCTCAAACTCACCGGGAGCCGTGCTGGTCAGCCGCCGGGTTTGAACCCGGGTCGAAGGCACCCAGCTCATCCCTTGCCTTACGCGTCCATCACTGTCGACTGCCGACTTTGCCGCCGACACAATATCCAGCCGTATATACCACAACCATTGCCATGTCGGCACAAATCTGCTCCGGAGCTTGTCTGAGATCACCAAAAACCGTCCGCTCACGCAGTTGCCCCGCCGTCGAGATAAGATCAGCGGGGGCAAGTCCTCAGCAAGGGTGCAAGGGAACGCCCCGTCGCGTACAGGTACACGAATAATGAGTATCCAAATTGAGATCAAGGCCCTCTGAGAACTCACCGGCGGAGAAAGCAGCCATGAGCAGCCCGAGCCGGCGGAAGCAAGCGGAGTGAGCTCGGAGGTGCAACGGGCTTCTGTTGGATGAAGACAACTCGGACTGACCTGTAAGGAACGCGGGAACCGTCCAATGTGCCTGTGATGAGGGTAAAGTGCACGGTGAGCTTCGAATGTGGGGATGAGCTCAATAACGCACGTGAGCTCCCCGTTCGACTCACGGCAGAGCGCGACGCAGCAGCGCACGCCCGCCCACCCAAATCCGAAGGGAACCTTTCCCCCCCCTTCATCTCCGCATGACGGTTAAGCTTTCCGGGCGTCCAGGTCTACCGAAAAGTGCACTTACTGACATTTGGCCAGATTGCACCTCGCCCCCAAACTTCCGACGCTCGAGCTCAATATTTCAGCTCCACGTCTATGAAACGCGGAGATACGGGGACTACCGATCCGGCGGAACTTTGCCGCGAGAGCGGACATGTCAAACGGTAGGCAGAACTTTTGCCGGAAACGCAGAATAGTGCATTTACCTGCATTCTGGCAATAGAGCAGGCCACAGCGCATCCAAAGTAGCTTTAGGACGTGAGTGGGGTCGGTAGGGTGCCGAAAGTCGCCGAGGTAAAGTCGGACAAGCTTTCTTCGCTTGTTCTCGCAGGTGGCTGAAAGCCTGCCTTATGTGGCAGGCTCACGCTTTGCCCTCACAACGCTTTTCGACGACTCTGCTCATGAGCTCTTATACCTGGAAAACTACATCATCCGGACCAGGGAGAGACGCCGACCACCCTCAAGAAGTCTGGCGCGCTCGTTTGCCGGCGTCTCTTGGTAAATCGCAATATACGCCAAACGGCGCTCTCCCAACTTTGCTGGGCTACCGTACCTCGACCTCGGCACCTGGGACCTCGAGAACACCCACCCCCTATCCTTCTGACGCAATATCTCGACGCACTATACAGTTCTTTCTCCCCAACATCGTCAGACCTGGTCTACTACCTCCGCTCCTCCCGCCTCGCCTCGACTCGTAACTTCCACTGGCGCGGAGCCGCTTTGTCGACACCGATCACACAGGGTCCCACCATTTTTCACGATTAAAACACGCGGGGACCTGGGCGCCGGCTCCCTATATTCGAAGAGAAGCGCGGAATATGTGCCGTTGGGGCTGAGCAGGACGAGGGCGAGCGGCAACGAATATCCGGATTACAGTGAGGCAGACTCGCTTACCGCAGAGTGGGGCATCAAGGGGAAGACTCGGCCAAGTCAGGAGAGTCCGTGCGCTCCTGGACTCGTATAAAGGGCGGGGTGAGTGGTCGGTTTGCCTCACTTCCCCATCCTCCTCCCCTCTCCCTCCCCTCCTCTTCCCCTCTTCCCCTCCTTCACTCGACCGCTCAGCCTCATTCCTTCACTTTCCCATTTACCCCTTATATCTCGCTCTGCTCTGAACCTTTTAACGGAGCGCATCTCGTCGATTTTCGCTCGTCTTCATTACATGGCCTCAAATGCGTCAACACGCTTCGCTATTCCTCTCCATCGGTCACATTCACTAATAACCACGACGCAGGTAGTCTTCCGCTACCTCGGACGTCTGTCTGTCCTCCGAGACGTCTTCAGTAGAGGTGAGTACACGCTATGCCTCGGATCTGATCTCTGTGCTGACTCGGGCGTTTACAGATATTTTGGCAGACTTACATCGACTAGCAACCAATTGCTTAAGGGTGCTGGGCTCTATTCCGACACGCCCACCTACAGTTGGCGAGCGCTATCTCAGCGCTTTCATTTCCGGTGAGTTTTTTGAGACGGTCAAAGCCCCTTTGACCGTGGTCTATGCACGCGAGGAACCACGTGATCCCTTCCTCTTAGGCGCAGCGCGCCTTTGTACTTCTCTCGTCTCGCTTCGTACCTACCGTCACTCACAGCAGGCTCGCAGGTACATGTGGCTCGTCTCGCTTCGTACCTACCGTCACTCACAGCAGGCTCGCAGTCATTGCAGCTGCTCGTTTTCTTTTCTTTAGGGGTACATTCAGTCGAGATCCTGGCTCATCGTCCTGCCACCGGTGCCAGTATGCCTGTCCGTGGCTACGTATCTTACCCTTACGGACGTTCCAACCCCGGTTCCTTTCGCGCGCTGAGTGGATCATGGTATCCCCTTCCGCCTCTCGACGCCACTCGCCTCTGCACGCGCCGATCGGACCGAGGACGCCGGCAGCGATCGAAGCACTTCGCGCGGTCCCCCCATGTTCCCAGCATCCAGCAGCCCCATTCCTTCACCCGTACGTGCGTGGATGGCCGCCAGCGCTCCCGCCGCTACAAACCTACGCACCCCAATACATTTGTGAACCCTCGTTCTGCATGCTGCACCACCGATCTTCAACGTCATGGCCACCGCTCCCATCGCTATTGCCCCTGCCCCTGCCACTGCCACCGCAATATTGACCCATCTACCTGTCTTGACCGTGCCGAGCTTAGCCCTCAGTCGCCGCTCCTCTCCGTTGAGTCCGTTGCACCTGTTCCGTCCCTACCTGCTGCGCTGAGCGCCGTAGGGACTTCATCTACCACTTCTGCGCCATCATCCGCCAGTGGCGAGCTTATGCTCCTCCCGGGTTACGCCAATGTCATACCCGCTGAGTCTGCCCTGTTGCATCCGTCCCCTTTTGAGTCCATGGTCCATGCCTCCACCTTTCCTGGGCAATTTTTTCCACCATCTCGTCCGAATACGGACCCTCGGGCAAATGTTGCCCCTCCTCCCCACGTCGCCCGCACATTACCACGAGTTCACTCGAGTCTCAATCGCGACGCGTGGGAGCACCATCTCATTGACTATCCCGACCGAAATTTTGTCGACGCCCTTCTCCATATCATCGATCACGGCGCCAACATTGGATTCTGTGGTGATCGCTCTGTCAACCAGTCCTGCCATAACCTCCGCTCAGCGTTCGAGCATCCGGATGCCGTGACATCCGCTATCCAAGCTCAGCTCGAGAAGCAACGACTTCATGGGCCTTACTCCTCACCACCACTACACCCCTTCCGCTGCTCGCCTCTTGGTGTCGCCACTCGCAAGCATTCTGGCAAGCTGCGGCAAATCCACCATCTCTCGTGGCCTCGTGGTGCCTCGGTTAACGACGGCATCCCAGACTCACAGGCGTCTATCGTATACGACACCTTTCGACTCGCCGCTCAAGATCTCGTGGCATCTGGCCGCGGATCCCTCATGATCAAGCTCGACTTGGAACAGGCCTTTCGGCACATCCCCATACGCCCTGAGGATTGGCATCTACTCGGCTACCACTGGATGGGGCAGCTCTACTATGAGCTCTTCCTGATGTTTGGCCTGCGTTCCGCGCCTTACATATTCAACCTCTTTGCGGAAGCGCTCCACTGGATTCTCGTGCACCACTTGCCCGCCGCTATTCGGCATTACCTCGATGACTTCTTGCAGATTTTCCGACCTGGTACCCAACTTCCTCTTGTCGAAGCAGCTCTTGATTGGGCTCGCGCCCTCGCTGCCCAGCTAGGGCTGAATTTCCAGCAATCAAAGATTGAGGGCCCCACCACCGAGCTCGAGTTCCTCGGCATCCTGCTCGACTCCATGCTCATGGAAGCCCGGCTTCCTCTCAACAAACTCAACTATCTCTCGCACCTCCTAGGCCAGTGGGACCGCCGCACTCATTGTACCCAGACCGAGCTTGAAGAGCTCACTGGATATCTCATGTTTTGTGCCCAAGTCATCCCCTACTCCCGCGCATTTATGCGCTCTCTTTTCGACTTCTCCGCATCCTTCAGTTCTCGCTTCACCCGTCGACGTATCACGCGCTCAGCCCGCCGAGACCTCAAATGGTGGCTGACCTTCGCATCCGCATGGAACGGGGTACGGTACCTGAGCCCCGAGCGGAAGATGGTCCACGTCTACACGGACGCCAGCGGCACTAAGGGCGCTGGCGGAATTCTAGGCGTGAATTATTTCGCCATCAAGATTCCTCGCCGCTATGCGTCTCGCGACATCAAGTGGAAGGAGTTCTATGCCATTATCCATGCGATCCGCTGCTGGGGCACGGCCTTCCGCGCGAAACACATCATCTTCCACACTGACAATACCAACGTCTTCGATGCTATTCAAGACCTGTCCATCCGCTCGGCACCCGTCATGGAGCTTCTTCGACAACTCATTGGCTTTGCCTCGCATCTCGACTTCACATTCGAGGCGCAGTGGCTACCGACGAAGGAGAATGCCCTCGCGGACGCGGCATCGAGATTCGAATTTTCCCGCCTCTTCTCGCTCGCGCCGTACCTCAATCGTCGCGCCAGCCCCGTCGTTCTTCCCATCCATCCATCCCCAATAGATCCTCTCGCTCCACGTCCCGACATCCGCTCGTCCTGAACATCTGGGTTCCCCCGTTGGCCGCTGCACGGCTCGCCCCTCTCAGTCCTCCGGCCCTTCGGTGCTGTTGTGTGGCCCGTGCTTGCGGCCAAGAGTCGCGCGGTCCGGCTTCCCACCGGCCGCCGCTCGCGGTCTCATCCCGGCGACCCGCCTTGGACCGCAATCCAGATTGTTCACCCAGACGAGCAGGCATAGATGAGACGGTCAAAGCCCCTTTGACCGTGGTCTATGCACGCGAGGAACCACGTGATCCCTTCCTCTTAGGCGCAGCGCGCCTTTGTACTTCTCTCGTCTCGCTTCGTACCTACCGTCACTCACAGCAGGCTCGCAGGTACATGTGGCTCGTCTCGCTTCGTACCTACCGTCACTCACAGCAGGCTCGCAGTCATTGCAGCTGCTCGTTTTCTTTTCTCCCACCCTCCTCCCTTCTTACGGGTTTATTTCCCTTTCCTCTTAGTCATTCTCTACATACTGTTCTTCTTTGTACTCGGTTCTGTACTCAGTCCCTCGTGGCAGGCCCGTGCTTGCGGCCAAGAGTCGCGCGGTCCGGCTTCCCACCGGCCGCCGCTCGCGGTCTCATCCCGGCGACCCGCCTTGGACCGCAATCCAGATTGTTCACCCAGACGAGCAGGCATAGACCATTTTGTTTGACATTTCGAGCGAGATGCTAACTGTCAAGCCCTCCCTCGACGACCTCCTCAACACCACCTTCATCAGTACGTCCTTTTCAGAGACGAGGGAAAGTCTCCAATGCGGCTGCAATCAGTCGTTGATTTCGGGTGGGTTTTATTCATCCTGACTCGTGTCCCTACTGTACTTGCCATTCAACGTGATTGGCCTGATTCACCCTCCTTCAAGCACCCTAAACCACTCTCTGGTCTGTCCGACGCATCGACCGCTGTGCCCGACCGTCGCCCGCGGCACAATCCGTGGTCGCCGTCACCCATACCGTAAGTCTATTGAGATCGTCACGGCACGTGTCATTAACCTCTTGCTTCCCACCACCACGTCGACCACGTCCGCAGCAAGAACGCCTGCCGAGTTGGACAACGACAACGACCCCGACTGCATGGCCGTCGCTCTTCCCCATCCTTACGCCCCGCGACGTCCAAAGGCCACGGTAAAGGCCCAAGACGCGGCCGCCATTTATTCCTCTAATTACTCACTTCCTCGCCCTCGCACCCGCTTTCGCCCCAATTCACGGATCGCCAGGCTGGTAGGGACGTCGTTCTCGGCAGCTGCGCAGTTCCTATGATGCGCAAACCGCCGGAGGCATGCGCGAGGATTCTAGGGCAATTAATGCGAAAATCAGTATGTACTCTCATTTATCGCTTGAGACTCTTGCTGACCCGACGATCAGGTCTAGAAGACGCCGAGGACGATGCCCGTGATCGTCAAGACGTCGTCCAGTCGCTATTCACCCCGCCTCGAGGTTCTCGGGGTCATTGAGGTGCGCATAAATAGGTTTTGACTAAAATTCCTCACTGATTTTGACTCGACCCAGATACCTGCCAATTGATCTCATACCCCGCGACCTTCCACGCCCCCGATCCGCCGGAGGCATGCGCGGGGCCCCAAGAATGATTAATGCGGAAATGCTGGTAAGTTTCGTCTTCGACGATCCGTAACATTTGCTGACATGGGCCGTCCACCATCAGGTTCTGGAGGTGCCATCCGCACCGACCGATGCCCTCGACAAGCCAGGCCGCTCTCTCCGCATCGCCGAAGGCCTCGACTAGGTTTCCGGGGTCATTGAGGTGAGTGCACGCGTTGGTGAATTAGTTCCAAAATTCGCGCGACATTGGAAAACGCTTGCTGACTCTATATTACAGCGCTTTTTTGCGACCCTCAAGCCACCGGAGGCATGCGCGCGCGCCCTCGGGTGATGAATGCGACAACACCAAAGGTAAAGATATGACCGCCTCCTTACCGTCTAAATTGTCGCTGATTTTGTACTCGTAGCGGTAGTTCACAAGGGGAAGAGCGCGCGCCGCTCGCAGCCGCGCAGCGGCGCGAATGCAGGGAGATATGGTGGAGGGAACACTGAGGACGCGTAGTACACGGACGCGACGTAGTACGCGTCGAGTGGCGACTCAGGCCAGCACACGCTTAGGCGGCCAGCGTCTGACTGACGAGTGCGTCGGCTGGATGCCGCCGTCTCAAATGCGCCGACAAGACACGCTGAAGCCGTGCGAGAGCAGGGAGATACGGTCGAGGGGACACGTACGGCAACTGGCCGACGCAGACGAGAGCACGCGGCGACCGACGAGTGCGGCGGGTCGTCACGAAAGCGCCGACAAGACACGGCGAATCGCGCGAGAAGCGACGCCGGCACGCGCGCGGACGGGGGAGACCATGACCGAGCTAATCACGGCCGTCCCGCCGCCACCGCTGCTGCCCGAATGCGAAGAAGACGCCCCGTGAAGAGGTCAGTCATGTCAGCAGGCCGTCGTCTGGACGTTGTGAGATGAGAGCTGACCCTTTGCCCGCAGATTCGACTCTATGCCTCCCCATACCCCTTCACGCCGCGCCCCCGCACGACCCCAGGAGAGGGGAGACCATGCCCGTACTTCGCGAGGTATGGCTCTGACCCTAATCTCAAGTTCTCGCGGCTGACGTGCACGAGCAGGACCTTACCTCGATGTTTATCATCCCGAAGGTACGTCCCTGCCCCCCTCTTCCTGTGTTAACAGCGAGCTAATACAAGCTCAGGCCTCGCTACTGAGTCGCCTCCATCGCCGTCGAGCCGGTCTCAATATGCTTCAAATCGGACACCTCAAGTTCAAACTCAACGAAAACACAAAAATTTGATCTCCGAGTCAATATACTCTACAACGTACTTAGCCCTTCATTATGCGCCTTCCTGACGCTCATGGATCCTCAGACCGCCTCATCGCCGCACTCCACGCCACTCGACGATGGGCTGCGAGCGATGCGGCACCCCTTCGACCAACTGCCCTCCCCCATCATCCCACCTCTCAACCCGGCGATTTCTCAGCAAGGTGAGGTCCTCCTCATGATGAGGGACCTACGCAGATGCGCGCAACACACCACAAAGTGCTTGGTCGACGACGGCACGCGAGAGAGGGGCGAGGAGGAGGGGGAGTGCCGTTTCCCCTCGTCAAAAGGTATGTATATTCCTTCAACAATCTCGCCCTATGCGTTCAGGAAGAACTAACAGACCCCGACAAGCTGTATACACGCCGTTGCCACGGCCGGGCATTGACGAGGAGGCCCTCGACTTTGAAGGGGGTGACCCTCATGACTCGGTGAGTACTCAACAGGTTGCCATTAAAATCGATATCCAAGACGAATGCACTCAGCCTGTACTACTACAGCCAGCAGCGCTCACCCCTCGGCGCTAAATAAGACACGGCAGGCGGGGGGAGGGGTGGGGAGGAGGGTGAGATAAGACAACCTCCCTGCGCGACGACGGCGGCACGCAGCGGCGGTCTCTCTTTGCGTTCGCAGAGCACCAACAACGCGTCGACCGCGTACAAAGTCTCGCGGCGAGCGCGCACGAAATGAGCCCCTCATCTCATTTTCTTTCGAAAATCCGACCTTTGTCTCACACGGCTCGCGCGAGGCCTACAGGACTGGGACGGACCTCGAACACGGCGGAGATGCATCGCATAGCTCGGCAGAACGTCTAGGAAAGTACACGCAGACCGCCGCGGCGCTCGCGCGGCTCCCTCGTCCTCGCGAGGGTGGGGGAGATGGCACCCCACCCCACCCTTTCCCTCCTCCACTACAAGGTGCGCTTTTGTTGGGCCTTTGTTCTGCATGTCGTTCTCGTTGCTGAAGCGTTGATAGGACTGTACTCCGCGCGGGCGAGGTGCTCTCGGCGCCGTAGAAAGCGGTGGGGTGGGGGAGGACGAGGAGGCAGGGGGGATGTCGAGGGCGAATCGAGCGCCGCTTTCGACGTTTTCTGCCTCGCGGGTGGCGTGCGCGACGTCGCGGGACACGGGGAAGGTGTTTGGCGGCTGCGGGAGGGGTCAACAAAGGAGGGGAGCGGGGTGGAAAGGGCGAGACAACGCGCGAAGTCGCCGTCGTGGTGGTCATCTGGCAGTGCAGTAGCGTAGCGCGCGTACTCGTAGAATAAAAATGAAATATATTGAGTTTTGCACCTACTTGCACGACATGAAGACGACGAAGAGGAGCGCGAAGGCGTCGCCTCCTTTCGGCGGCGGACTGCCGTGCTCCCTGTTTTGAACCACGAGCGGCTGAGGAGACGAGCCCTCGCGCGCGACCACTGGCGTCTGGGAAGTCCGCACACGCGCGCACGAAGCGGTCGAAGGGACGTCGCGGATCGTCAACATAAAACGGTGAGATAGTAACTTTGAGTCACTACCCCACCAAAGGGGAAATGTCGTTTGAGCCGCGCTCGATGAAGACGAAAGGGGCAAAAGCATGACTCGTTCTCACCATTTGACAAAGCAGAAGGGTGAAAGCGCCCTCCGCCCTCGATGAAGAAGGGCGACAGACACCCTCGACGAGGAGGATGGGGGGAGGACACCCTCGTCCTTGCTCTGAGAAGATGATCGGGGTGTTTGTTAGCCAGATCGGGCATACCTATAACCCAGTTAGGTTATACACAAATAGTGATGGAGTGCCCGATCGTGACCCCTCCATCAGGATGCCTCAGTACAATGTATTATGCCTGCTCCGTGGGCCCACCCTAGTCCGGCGCGCATTGCACCCTTACGCCCTCTCACGCGCTGCTCATCAGATGTGTGGAAATCACTCTATTGAGTATGACCTACATACACTGTCTTATCTACATCCAATGTAATCCTTTATCTTCCCCTTTCCTCTCGCCCACGAGCAACAACTCATTGCAATGTCCCCTTCTGCCCTTCCCCTTCCCTCCCCCCTCTTGCCGTGCGTGCTCCGTGTGCCCGCGGCGGATGAATAATTGTCAGTCAAGAGTGCTCTTGCGAGAAAGCGAGGTGCATCAGTTGCAGGGCCTGCAACGTTCTCTGTCACGTAGCCCAAACAACCTGCGCCTACGCAACGGACTCACTATTTTCGCCTCGGCACGATCTGGATAGCCGTGATGGAGGCAGCGATGACGCGCGCGCTGGTCGCCGTGTTTGTCTGTCGCTCATGCACGGTACTGCCTGGATGCGTAGCTGTGGTTGATGTGCCCTGCCCGGACGTGTAAACGCCGAGTTAGCGCGTTCGCGTCGGCAGCGAGATCTCAAGGAGGCTGTCATATGAACAAAAGTTGAGAAACGATGTGAAATCCCTGACCTTTGGGACCCCTCCTGCGCCTTTGGCGTCCTATTCTGAGGCATGCACGAGCGAGAGGAGAGCTCCGGCTGCACTCCCGATGCACAACTCAGCTGAATGGTCTCAAGCCAGGTTATGGTGGCTAAGCGCACCTCCCGCTTGCAGATGTTCGTGAGCTCGAAGGCACGCCAATGGGAACTGAAAACGTACATACCTGTGTACTTTAGCACTCGCTTGTACTAGCCCATGTGCAACACCGGTCGCTGGGGCTTTGATTGGAGCGGATGTGTAGATGCGCTCCGGGGTCGCTTTTGTGGCGTCGTTGCTGTATACGCCCATTGGAGTAAACCGTGCGACGCTACCAGCCCCTTACACACCTGGGAACCTGTCGAAAGACATCCTCCGGCTGTTAGCTGAAGCATCCGATGTTGCAACGAGGCCGGAGGAGTGAGAAACAGAGAAAATATGCGAACTCACCGCGCTGCGCAACGTATGAATTCCGAGATGTGCTTGAAGGCATTCGGGAGTATGCGAGATGCGATGATACGCGTGCGCGTACCTCCACGGTGCCCGCGTACTGAGGGATGTCGGCGCTTCACTTGGGGGCATGACTTGACGCTTGGCTGTCTCCACTCTGAATGTCGGTCGTCAGCAGCTGCAGCGTCCTTCCTTGGCGGTCCACCGCCTTCAGTTGCGCACCCTGTGATACCTAGAAATGTGTATAAGCGCGACTCGAGACGCCGGACTGCAGATTTTTCGAACTTGCGGCCGGATGATTAGTAACTGCAAACGCGTGAGTTGGTTGTTGCCGCCTGCGTAGCCTGCGAGAAACCCTTGAGCGCGCACCTGCTTGGTTGGCGGCCGTCTTTCGAGTCCTAGCGCCGCGTCGCAGTGTTGCTTGAGGGCATCGTCTCCGGGAACAAGTCGATGAGAGCGTTCTTGAGGTAACGAAAAATCTGTAATATTCATGAGCTGCAGTTGTGAGCTCGTGTCAATGCAGAACGCGAGCGAAGTATACTGATCAAGCTGGAATGCACACCTGTAGCTCATGCGCACGAAGGGCCGAGGCACTGTGCGAGCCGGCGTCATCTCGCGTGCCGGTGGCGCTCTACCTTGCGCTTTTTGAGCTCGAGACCTTCGACGCACAATGATGCACGTCGATGCTTGATGCGAGAAAGTCTCGTCCGCTAGCACGTCTGTACAATCCTAGAGGACGTCAGTATTGCTTCGGGCAATGAGAGAACAACTAGAAAAACATCATACCTTCACCTTTGCGTGCAACTTCTACCCCGCGAGTTGAGATTATGGTGTGGGTGAGCGCTTTGCAGCGCTTCCCGCAACCTGCTTCCTGCGGCATCGTCACCTAATGTGTGCGCTTTCTGAGCTCGCGCATCCAGGGGTGGACGCGGTTCGATCTGCAGTGCACAAATCAGCTGAGAAAACAGCGAGAAATGATAGAGAACTTGCCTTTCGACGCCCAGCAAAGGCGCTAGGGCACGGTTATGCTTGTGACATCTTGAGACGAGTACTCGATGCTCGTTCGGGCGCAGAGGGGCGATTTGGCAACAACAGGTCGAGGATCACTCCTGAACTTCGCAGCCGCCGAACGCGTTCGTGTTGGGTTCCAATTAGTCATCCCGCGCGACTGGTTTGCTTCAATTTGCCAGGCGCTTGCGCTCTGAAGTGGGGCGGCCTCAGCTGTATCATGGCTCCCAAAATTGTGAGAAAACGCACCTTTGTTGCTCGTGTAACATGTACAGCTGCTAGACCCGCTTTTGGCGAGGTGTCTCATCCTGCCCTCTCTTTCCTCCCTTCGCCCATACACACTGCAGTTGTGTAGTAGTTAGTGAGATAAACAGTGCGGGGCGTGTTCACGCACCCGAGCCCCCCTCCTCGGTCGGTCGACTCGATGGCCGTTGCTATTGCCATTTTGCCAACGGCTTGTGCAACCCGATCGTGAGCAAGCGCCTCAGCGGCGGCTTGTTGGAGGTGTTGGGAAGGAGTGGGAGTGCAGAGAAGGAGTGGGAGAATAGAGGGAGCCTTTCCCGGGAGGAGGAAGAGCAGTGCGAGCGGCGTGGTGGTGGTCAAGGAAGGCGAATGTGAGGAAAGACGTGCCGATCGCAGCGCATCAGCGGCTGCCCGGACCGCGCAACGTGACACGCATGGCTACCCGTCCGAGTGCTTACCCAGTTTGGCGAGATGATTGTCCGTCTCCCCGTCGATTGTGCGTGGGATGGGTGGAGGAGGTTGGGAAGCTGTCGACGTGTAGTTGACGAGATCGGAGGGGCCTTTGTGCGCGCAGGTAAGCGGGCGGGAGACGTGTAACGCAGAGCACGTGAGACGGACAGGTCGGCCGAATCGGATCAATTCCCGTTCACCCGAAAGTCGTTCTGAAAAATCTCCGCAAACGATACCACAAGAAACGGTGAGATAGTAACTTTGAGTCACTACCCCACCAATGTGCCGCTATATGACGAGACCTGATATTACTCCCGGCTATTCTAGTACTCCTACGACGTCGTCCAGACGTCGAACCCTGGATGGCCTGGTCCTCCTTATCCAGGCGGGCATTCCACGGCTGCGACTCTCCAAACAAGCCCCATAGCGTACAGCCTATCGTCGCCATCGCATTATCATGCGCACGATGGTTTCGCCAGGTCCCCGTATCCTGCGTCATCAACAGCAAATGCGCTCTTCCCGACTGCACCGTCGTTCCCGTCACCTGGCGCCCATGCGAACTCGGATAGATGGAGAGACATGGTACGTCTAGCTGCCATGAACATGGCGTCACTCTGATTCCATCTCCCCAGTCGGCGCCCGCTACAAACGACGCGCCTTACCTCGAGTACACCGGTTCAGACAAGCCTACGCCTGAGGACCTTCGGAGGGCTCTGTTTATCCCGCGTTTCTCGCCTCCGCCACCTCACTGGCGAGCACTCATCCCCTCAGAGCCCGAACCGGACGCGAATGGCTTCTACGCTCCTCCAATAAACCGCTTTCCCGTCGAGCTGCTGTCCTACATTTTCGCGCGCTGCATGGATAAGGAAGTGGAGAAGCCTTTCTACGGCTACTTCACGCCCAATTGTACTCCTCTGGTGATAGCCCGCGTTTGCCGGCTCTGGCGGTATATCGCCCTCGATCTTCCCTTGCTATGGCAGCACTTTTCCATGCGTCCATGTCAGGGTGGAGGACACTATAGAATTGCCCGACTGTTCATGGAGCGCACGAAGGGCCTGGGAATCTACGTCTACTATGCCGAGGACTCACGACGCGGCGTATACCCGCGGGAAGTTTGTCCCTGTGCTCTAGATTTCATTATCCGGAATATTGGACTTGTCAAGCGGCTTGACCTTGTGGAAATCAGCCCCTCGAGTCTATTGCGCCTATCACGCGTTCGCCCAGGAATGGCGACCTTCATGATGAAGCTGGCTATCACTACTCGAGAGGCGAACACGAAGCGCAATGTCGCCCAGGCTTTGTCATCTCTGTACAACACGCCGACGATACGAGAGGTCGAGTGGTCTATACCCACGTTTCCAGAGAATGTTCATTGGTCACGCATCGTGTCTATCCTACTCCGAGAATGTGTAGTGGATACATACACACTCATGCGCATCATCGCGAGCTCGCCCGCGCTTCAGCGGATTGACGTCGATATCACGCCTGACGTCTCTGCTGTGCGATGCCGCCCTGTCTACCATGGCATCATGGAGGAGCTGATCATTGAGAGCGACGGTCCTCAGGACATGCTCTTCCAGGCGCTCGACTTCCCCAATTTGCGTCGCCTATACCTCCGCCCCCGATCCTCTATCCCCAATGACGCGCCGTATAGCCATGGCTGGCCCTTCCTCAACATCGACAATCTTTATCGCTTCTTGGGACGCCTTCGGGCTGGTCTCCAGTACTTCCTGCTAGTATGTGGTGGGGCAAGTTTCGACGAAGCAGCCCTTCTCCACATCATCCGCATGCCTCAGCTTTCGCCTCTCAAGATGCTACACATCGCGGAGCTGGGAAGAGGAGCAAGTGACGCCATCTTCGAAGAGCTCACTCTGATCGAGGGGAGTCGAAGGGCAGTGACGCTTCCTCACCTGCAAAGACTTGCGTTATGCGACTGCTCAACAACCGACGGCACCATATCTCGCATGCTGCAGAGCCGGGACAAGGCCTCTTGTCCTCTCCGGCGGCTTTCCCTTGGATATCCCATCGGGGAGCAGCGAGTCCATGATGCGGACGTCGCAACCATGGAGATGCTTCGCCGTAAAGGGTGGATGATCTTCTGGAGCTCTTGCTTTGGCGACTAATGGTACACGGTTTCCATTATAGTTCTCTGCAGAGTTATAGTTCAGATTGACGGGTACAGCCAGATCCCAACAGTATATCAGAGATGTTTATTAAATACCACTGTCCTCATCGTGATACATTTCGTATACTACAATTATGACCGCTCGTCGCAAATATGAAAAGTCCAGCGGGGCGCATCCTGCTCAACTGCCGCTTCCAACGTGGCTTCCAAACTGGAGCTCCTGGCACCGTACACTGGGTGATTCGGACTTATGCCAACAAATCCTGCTGCTGCGCCATGGCGTATAGCACCAACAAGGCGGACATACGCCTGCTTGTCATAGGAGAAACGACCCCCTCCACCTGAGGAGTAATATACCTCCAAATGCCGTAAGTGGCGAACACGGACTGCATCCAGCAAGTTTGTGAGCCAAGCCTCGTTCAAATGAATATAAAGGGACTTCAGCCCCCGAACGCGAATGGTCGGAAATTCCCGCCAGCTATCGTCTCCCTTGATGTGCCAGAAGTGAATCTCCTTGAGATTCCGGGCATTGAAGAAGATAGACCAACAGTCCAGCAGCCCAACCGGCATCAACACGTTGATCTTCTCCTTGCCGGCACCCTGCCAGTGCGGGTCGCGCTCGAAGTTCCTTCCAACGCCGTAAATCTGCGGCAGCATATCGCGCGTGTAGATGTTGAAAGCGGAAGAGGGCCTTGTAGTCGTCTCTTTAGCTCGACGGGTTGCGCCGACGGTGTGATCAGAGGCAGCGGGTCGATAGGCCGCATCATGATGAGCCGCGGGTTGGGCGGGCGGTGCTGGAGGGACGGGTACGTAGGCGACCTGCGGAGCAGCTGATGCTGCAGCGCGCGAGCCATCGCCTTTATGAAAAAAAGACTTGAGCGCATTCGACAGGCGACGACTACGACACGGCCGCGGATCCGCTTTTTGAGTCGGAGGAGCGGACACGACAGTGGATCGAGAAGGCAGAACTCGGGGAACGGGGGCGCCCGAAGGATCAAAGTATCGAGTGTACGGTTCGGGGTCGTACGGAGGCGTTGGAGAGGCGCCGTGATTGTTCGTGGGGTAGTGCCGGGGCGGAGCAGGAGCAGACGTAGGAACTGGCAGAGGAATTACTGGCGCGGTGTTCGTAAAGTAGGTTTGAGGCGCCGGCGCGGGACGTACTCCCACGGGTCGCTGCATCTGAGAGGCGGTTGCATGAGACGTATACGCCTGAGCTGATATCACTGGAGGTGCAGGCGCTGGAACAGGTCCTCGCGCCGGACGCAGAGCAGGGTTAGGTGGTGCGTAAGGGTTGGGATAGGCCGGGTTAGGGCGCTGATGGTGCGTTTCTGGCGTTTGGTGGTGAGAGCGACGGTGGCTTCGATGCCTTCCCCGGTAATGACGACGCTCCTCAACCGAGGGTTCGAGAGTTCGCTGGCGAGAGGATCGTGGCGTCATATATTTCACTTGTACCAAGGTCTCGGCGGGGGCATAGTGGAGGGTAAGTCCATAGGTATTTGCGTGACGATCGTTCGGAGACCGGTAGTTGCGCATTTCTGAGTTGGGTGTGCCGTAGCGCCGAGAAGACATTGCTGTCGCGTTCTGATGAACTGCTAGATGTGAGCCGCGGGCAGCGAAGCAGGAATATGTGTACGACGTACGTCTCGCTGTACGGACGAGATCGTGTCCAGCACGTCGTAAGATCGTCTATGCAATATATCGGAACGTAAAAGTCGTACGAAGTCGTGTCGTCAGCCTCGTTCAATGGGCATGGGACCGTAGCAGGGAAGGGCGCATGCATCTTGCTGTTTGACCATGAGCTTAAGAGCCGCTCCCTGAAAGCGAAGGCCATTGTTAGCGAGTATGGAGCCTCCATTGATATGACTATATAGAAAGCGAGAAAAGGGCGCCGCTATTCTCTGGAACATGGTTGGATCGAGAACAAAGGAAACTATAATTCTCAGCGAATGTGGGTGTACGAGAGGTTGCCACGGTTGCTATTGTAGCAAGACAGAACTTGGAGAGTATGTGTCGTGTGAATCAGTATATGAGTCGGCAGTGAGAATGTGGCTCGCGCCGATTCATCAGCCGTGGAAGCGTAGCCTTGCGACGGATAAGGAAGACTACATATATCCGACACACTTCGCCTGGTAGCAGTTGGATTCATTGTGGGACAGTGGAATCGCATCACGGCCGAAGGTCGAGCATCTTATGTGGATTCGCGGAGATAATGGAAGTGCCAGGTTCAGCGGAATATTACAGCGGACGTGAGAGGTGGGGACAAGGGTGCGTTCGGTACCTTCCGGTCATTCACGTAACCTTTTCTCACGGTCGCGCCCATTGTTCTTCGTTGTTTCCGACCACCATGAGGATACCTACTTATGCATTCTCACTGGCTCGTCATTCTCCCTGGCGTATGGAGCCACGGAGATTGCAGGACATCTCGAAGATTGGGCTGCACAGCTCTTGCAATACCGGGTCCTGTCCCGCCAGCGTTCTATTGTCTGAAGCGCGCTGGTCATGCCGTTGCTCTGCACAGCGCTAGCCTATTGTCTTCGCGAAGCTGATGTACAGGTCTATGCACACTGCACTACTATAAATGACGAGAGCTCAGTCAAATCTCAACCTTACTGCCCCTCTCTCGTACGTGGAAAATCGATAGCTCATCGCTCAGGCCCTTCGATGTCAGACCATCCGTTCAGTACTCAGCGCCCCCATGCCTACTATGAGCCTGGCGAGCACTTCTATATTCACAATAGCGGTGAGAACGTATGCCAAAGATCATCAGCAGACTATGAGGTACGCCCTTGACCGCGAATCAATCTCGCTCCGATGATGATTGACTTGAGTTGACAGGACCAAACGCCCTTGCACCCATACGTTCATGGCCATGCTCTAGCACCGGACCCTCACTTTTATCGTGATCCGCGACCGGACAGACGGTCGTCACAAGCGACTTTCCCCGATAGCCCTCTTCACCATCCCTCTCCGGCGCTTTCAAATCAGTCCGAGTACAACAGGATCTCGCCCTCCTCGTATCATATGCAGCCATCATCATATGCATCCTCTAGATCGACTTCTGTTGCTGCATCGTCGCACAGGAGCTCTGCGGAATATGTGGTAGCCCAAAGGTGGAAAGAACCCGTACGTCGACGCGCCATATTCTATGTTTAACCAGCGACTCACGTACTGCACTCCGAGTCACAGGCTGTCCCGATGACCAGATACGCGCCTTACTCCCGGAATTCCAGCGGGTCTCGCAAGCAGACGCGGACAGGTGTTCGAGTGGCGTACATTCCTACCATCAACCGCTTGCCCGTCGAGGTGCTGTCCCGCATATTCATGCACGCCATGGGCCAGGGCTCGGACAAGCCCTACGCTGGCGGGTACTTCTCAGCCCAAATGACCTCCCTGGTGATAGCGAGCGTGTGCAGGCTCTGGCGGTCCCTCGCTGTAGATCTGCCTTTCTTGTGGCAGCGCTTTTGCATGCGCCTCTGCCAAGATGGGGCTCATTATAAAATTGCGCGGCTGTTCTTGGAACGCACCAAGGGCCTCGGAATCTACGTGCAGTACTCTGAGGACTCGCGCTATGCCTGCCCCGAACGCGAAGGCTGTCCTTGCGCGCTTGGGTTCATCCTGCAGAACATTGGGCAAGTCAAGGGACTCGATCTCAATCACGTTGAACCGTCGACTCTGGAGCCGCTGGCGCGCATGCTGGCCGGTGCAGCGCCGTCCTTGATTGAGTTCAGCGTTCACAACCTAGAGAACCCATCTCGGGAAGTGTTTCGCTCTCTATCGTCCCTATGCCAGACTCCGACGATACGCAAGATCCATTGGGCGCTTCCCGCCTTCCCGGACAAAGTTCATTGGTCGTCCGTCACCACTCTGTCGCTATTTGACTGCCCGGTGGACCCGCACGCCTTCCTGCATACTCTCGCGAGCGCGCCGGCATTGCGATCACTCGAAATAGAGATGATCTCAATCGAGTCCAAGATTGCAATGGCGGTCACACCCTACGGTAGAGATGTCCTCCATCTCGCTCTGGAAGATCTCTGCCTGTTCGGCGACGGTCCTCAAGACGCGCTGATGTGGGCTCTTCATCTCCCTCATCTCCGTCATCTGTATCTCGATACCAGGACAGACCATTTGGAGGACGACCTCATGGACTGGCCTTGTCAAGACATGGAGGTATTCTATGCGTTCCTCAGCCGCCTTACAGGCCTGAGAGAGTTCTCGATATATGACGGCGGCGACAGGTTCGACGGCGAGGCCCTTCTCGAGGTCATCGCCCTGCCTTCATTGCAGCGTCTCGAGTATCTGGACATCTCGGACATAGCTGACCACGTTCCTGTGGCTGTTATCGAGAAGCTCGAGCCTGGCGATGGTAATCGCACGCCTGTGCTCCTCCCGCATCTCAAGACACTCATACTCAATGATTGCGAACCCACTAATGGGTTGATCGCGCGCATGTTATTGGCACGACATACTTATCGATATCCTCTGCGACACTCCAACTTCCATTGCACGAGGGGACAGTTTGTTCCGGGACCCTACGGAAGGTGGTGCTACGAGAACCCGTGGCTTGACACGGACCTTGCTGTGTTCGAGTTGCTCAAGCAGGCGGGGTGGTCGATTGGATGTAATGTGGAAGATCGAAGGAGGGAGACTATCGACTTTGCACATGCTCAGATTTCACGCATGCAATCGTAGACGTAGAATACGAGGAATAGTCAGAAAAGAAACCCTGGCTTCCTCCCCCTGGAATAGCTAAGCATTTAAATTCAACCACGAACCGCCGGCGGGTGCATCACTACAATCTCGTTCACGATGAGCAACCACGGCGACTTCAGCGAGGGCCAGAAGACGTTCGCTGGCCAGGATCGCATCCATGAGTGGCCCGAAGGAGAGGGCAAACCGAGAGATCGTCGGCAGCCTCGAGTCAACACGCCCTGCTTGCCACTTAACCCGCTTTGCCACTCAATCAGCGCCAATCGCGCGCTCACGGACACGATGGGGCACGAGAATGCAAGCTAGAGCACATTATATACATGCCAATAAATGTAGGACCAGAGATACAGAGACAGGACACAGTGAAAGAGACGACAGCAGAGTACAGAGCGAAAAAGGGAGGAACAGGTGTCGCGCGAGGGCAGCGGCATGCACGAAGGCGGCAACGCGAAGTAGCGCAGCGACTGCAGACAGAGCAACGGCCACTGATAGTGCCGCACACCGACAGCGCCGCACACCAAAAGCGGCACAATCATGCCTCTTTCTTCTTTTTCTCCTTCTTCTCCTTCTTCGCCTTCTTCTCCTTCTTGTCCGCTTTTGCGTCCTCCCCGCCCGCCGAGGCCTCCTTCGCCTTCTTCTTCTTCTCTTTCTTGAGCGCCTTCTTCTCCTCCTTCGACAGCTTCACCTTCTTCTCGGCGGGCTCGTCGTCCTCGTCGACGTCCATCGCATCCGCCTTCCGCTTGTTCTTCTTCTTGGACTCCTTCTTCGAAGGCGTCGCCTCGAGCGTGGTGAGGGCGGGGCCTGGGAAGGTACGTTAGCGTCGTTGGTACGACAGGGCGGGAAAAGAGCACTCGACGCACCATCAACATCCATGTCCCCGTTCTCCTTGTCGTCCTCATCGTCCTCGTCGATGTCCATGCCGACCTCGGCGAGCACCTTGCGGAGCGCCTCGGCATTCTTCGTTGGAGGCTCGCCAGTGGCGAAGAAGTTCAGGCGCTCCTCGACCTGATTGCGGAGGGCCTCGCCGAACTTGGGGGTGGGGTTGTCTGGACCAAGAATCAGTTGACGCTGCTGATCGACAAGCGAGGGAGAACGTACCGGTGTAGCAGTCGATACGCGACGCAATAGAGCACTTGTTCGCGAGGAATCGTGATATGCGACCCTTGTGCTTCGGGCCGGCGCGACCAATGAAGGACGAGTGGTAGATCAAGCCGTACTTGGGCGTGTTGCCCTTCGTCTTGAGCGCGCGGAACAGTGCCTTCTCCGCGCCCAAAATCTGCACCGTCGATGCCGGGTACTTGCTCAAGTTCGTCAGGCTGCCGGCGTGGCTGATGAGCCGTGCGCCGATGCGCTCGCCGAGGAGGGCGGTCAAGCTCGGCGCGACCTGATTCATCTTCTCGGAGAGGTAGGAAATGAGGGACTTGCGGTAGTCGGTGAGGGAGACGACGCGGGTGGCGAGCATGGTGACGTTGAGCATGTCAATGGGGGAAAGTGCTGCACCCATGGACCCGCGCGCGGCGTCGAGAACGTTCTGCGCGGCAGTGGAATCGTTGTCGAGGATCTCGGCGAGCTCGGGGAGAGACTCCTCCGTCAGCTCCTCCTTGTTCTTGATAAACTGCGCCGCGCGCGCGTAGTTGTAGTTGTCGGGCACGATGCGGACGAGCTCCGGGAAGTGGTAGCCGTACCACTCGCGGACGCGCATCGAGAACAGGTTCACGTCCTTGTCGAGCTGGTCGAGGAGCGCGATCGCCTGGATGATCATGTTGTCGATCCGGTTCACGTTGAACTTTAGCTTGGCGCGCGAGTAGGAGTGCCCGAGGCCGAGCTGGGCCTTGGTGAGGTCGTCCTGCTGAAGGCCCTTGAGGAGCTTGCCAGCGTGCAAGCGGATGCCGCGGAGGAGGTCGTCCCCCTGCTCGGAGACCTGGCATGGAATGCCGGTAGCGTCGCGGATGGCACCTGCCAGGTTTTTGTCGCTGACGGCGAGCAGGATGGGGTTCTTCTTCGTCGGCTTGCCGAGGTTCATCTCGAGGACGTTCTTCAAGTGCTCGTTGACGATGCCTGAGAAGTGTAAGCATCTAACATAGCCCCTGGTGCTTGTGCGCACCCTCTGAGATGTCGTTCGCGTTCTCCAACGCTTGCGCAGCGCTCTTGAAGGGCACGAAGCTCTTCAAGGAGACCATCTTGCCAAACTTGCCCAGGTCGGCGATAGACTCCTGCATGGCCTGCGTCTTGAGTCCGACATCCTCGGCGAGCTTGACGTCGAAGATCGCATAGCCGGAGGCTGACTCGTAGAGAACGTGGGTGTTTGCCTTCGACATCGCCGCCGACAACGACGAAGGGGTTAAAAGGCGAAGAATAATGAGTGCAGCCGTGGGAAACCTCCAACTTTTTCGATCGGGAAGGATTGACGCCGGCCGGTCCGCGGATCCGGCTCGCGTGGCGCGTTCATGATTGACGTATGACGTGATGTGGGACCACCGTTCGCGTCCTTGGGCGGGGTTGTCCTCGTCCGCATCTTGTTCGCTACCATGTTCCCAACCGATCTCGGGCAGGCTCGCTTCGTGTACAATGGTGGGCCTCCCTGATCAACTGGCTCTCGATTACTTACAGCAGGTTTCAGCGGCCAGGAAATGGTTCGCCATAGGCTCTTTCTGCGCCGGACCAGCGACCCTGGTCATCAATGCACCCTTCGGACGATTTGCGCTGAAGGAAGGCAGCTGGTTCATGCTCGATGGTATGCACTATACCTTCCTTCTCTTCTCACAACCAACTTTGTCGCCAGGCATCAAATCCTGGATGGCCATGGAGATCGTCTCTCCCGCCATGTTCCTTTACGCATTCATCAAGTCCCCCCTTTCCCCCTCGCCCATACCCTTCTCCCCATCTGACCCCCACGTCCTTCTTGCTGCCCTCTACCTCATACACTACGCAAACCGAGCCATCATATCCCCCCTCCGTACGCCCTCGCGCTCAAAGTCTCATCTCTCTGTCGCCCTTGCCGGAGTCGCATTCAATGTTGTCAACGGCTCACTCATGGGCACCTACCTCTCGTCGCCCGCCGCACGCGCATACCTCGTAGGCGCATGGACGCGACCGCTGTTCCTCGTCGGCGTCGCCTTATGGGCAGCGGGCTTCGTGGGGAACATCGTGCACGACGAGATACTGCTCGACATCCGCCGGAAGGCGCGGGTCGACAAGGGCAAGCAGACAGAGGGCCAGAAGAAGCAGGAACACTACGCCATCCCGTATGGTCTGCTATACAAGTACCTCTCCTTCCCAAACTACTTCTGCGAGTGGGTGGAGTGGTTTGGCTTCGCTCTCGCCGCGTCGCCGCTGCCGACGATCTCGCTATCCGCTCTCTCCCTTGGGTCGCTTATGGACGGGATCTTCCGGCCGGCGAACATCTTCTGGCCCTCACTGACGCCGCCGTGGTTGTTCTTCGTGAACGAGATCGCGGTTATGCTCCCGCGGGCGATCCGTAGCCACCATTGGTATCACGAAAAGTTTGGGGACAGCTATCCGAAGGAAAGGAAGGCAGTGATCCCATTCGTACTGTGAGAACGGAATTCATGGATTGTTTACTGTATGGACAACGTCTTTATTCGCACTTTTGGCACACTCGTCGTATTCGTTTGTATACATGGCAGTCTTCGTATCCAATGGCTATACATACGGGCTTGCTATACATGCGATGTGCCATCCTGCCTGCTCAAGCGATCTGAACACGGCGACGTCATTGTCCTGCCAGAACAATGGGCGCGTAATCGTGGGAAGGAATCACCTCTTTCGTACGAGCGTCCGGAAAGCGCCGAAAACGCTTGTTCTCAACTCTCACGGCCATTGATATTGTGTCGAACGTTACGCCTCCTTCAATTCTGTGGAATCCGCTGAATGGCGGTCAGAATAATGGACATAGTCCTCACCGATACAAGACAGAGAGGCTCGTTTCCATGTGTAGCATGCCAATCGTGGTCTCCTTGAATCGTGAAGTAGGTCTTCGTCACCAGTCTACTCTGTCAGCCACATTCTCACTCGGTGATAGCGCCACATACGTTTCATCACTTATATTGCTGAGCTAGCAATCGTCACGACTTCACAAGGATCCACATTCTCACGGATAAGGGTGTCTTTTGTGCTCAATCCGACCGGCCTCCATGGAACAACGATGCACTTGTTCTTTGTTACGTCCTCAAGATGTGTACAAGGGAGATTCCATACTCGTCTTCAATGGCCTGAAAGTTCATAGAGATGCTCTTAAGGGTAGCGAGGAATAGCGACAGGCGTACGTCCTCCTTGCTGCGAGCATCTCACTTTTCTTACGACGCGACTCTGTACGACCTTTACGACCCCTAATAGACTATCTTACGCCGTGCTGGACACGCCCTCACACGATCAGCTAGACGTACGTTGTTCGCATTTTTCTGCCTTGATTTTCCCAGCTGACATCCCGTAGGCCATCGACGCACGACAACCATGAATTCTTACCTTCTCCCCCCTACATCGGAGGCGCTCAATTATCTCCCGCCCGTGCGCCTCCCCAACTCGTATGGACGAACTCTAAGTTTTGCTTCGCCCCGTCATCTCGCAGAGGCGGTAGACGTTACCCCACGGGGTGAGCGCCAGTGGTGGGTCGACCCGTTGGTTGAAGAGAATCGGCATCACCGAAGAGGGCAGGGAATCCACCGTCGCTCTCACCACAGGACGCCGCCAGAAACCCATCATCCGAGTCAGCGCGCCAATCCTGCTTATGCCAACCCCTACGCACCACCCATACCTGCTCCGCGTCCGGCACGAGCGCCGATGCCTGCGCCTGCACCTCCAGTGGTACCAGCGCAGGCGTATATGGCTCATGCACCCGCGCCTCGACCGCAACAACCCGTGGGAGTACGCCCGGCGCCGGCGCCCCAAAACTACTTTGCGAACACCGCGCCAGTAATTCCCCCTATGCCGGTTCCTACGGTTGCTCCCGTCCAACCTGAGTACCGCGCCACGAACGATTGTGGCGACCATCCGCTTCCTTACGACCCCGAATCGTACACTCGGTACTACGATCCCTCGGGCGCCCCCGTCCCCCGAGTTCTACCTACCCCAGCCGCTGCCCCGCCTCCTCCTCCGACCCAGAACGCGGATCCACGACCGTCACGTGGCCGTCGTCTATCGAATGCGTTCAAGTCCCTTTTCCATAAAGGTGACTGTTCTCGCGCTTCGGCGCCGGCTCCTCCCCCGCAGGTCGTCTACGTACCCATCCCTGCAGCCGGCTCTAAGCCCGCGGCACCCAAGATGGCTCCTCAACCCGCTCCCTTGAATCGTCCCGCGGCGATTGCCCATCCCGCCGAAGGGACGACCGCAAAGTCTTCTCCCGTTTTCAACATCTATACGCGCGATATGTTGCCTCAAATTTATGGGACTGGAAGGGACTTCCAGCGTGACCCGCACTGGAAGGGCGCCGACAAAGAGAACATCAACGTGCTGATGCCGGTTGGGTTATTGGACTGTTGGTCCATCCTTTTCAACGCTCGAAATCTCAAGGAGATCCACTTTTGGCACATTACGGGGGACGATGGCTGGCGGGAATTCCCGTCCATCCGGGTACGAAAGCTCAAGTCCTTTCATATTCATCTTAATGAGGGCTGGCTGACGAACCTCCTGAATTCCCTTCGTATACGCGACTTGCGGCATATGGAGGTGTATTATTCCTCTGGTGGCGGGGGGCGTTTTGTCTTTGACAAGGACGCGTATTCGCATATCGTCGAGGTCGCGTGCCAGCATGCGGGTGAAGGATCCCTTCGTATCAGTCCTAATCATCCGGCATACTTTGACAGGCATTCCAGCTTAAAAGCTTCGCTGGAGGCGGCGGTGGCACAACGCGAATCTACTTGGAGTTTTGACATTCGGGATAGACGGCAATGATAATTTGTACGATCTATATACGGTTTCAAATGACGGTGTTGCTATGTACGCATGACGATAAAATAGCCTACTATTAATCACCGAAGCAAGATGTCCAAAAGATCGTCCAGCCTTTCTGGCGCAGCATCTCCATAGTCGCGACGTCCATATCATGACCACGTCGCTCGCCGATAGGGTAACGCAGAGAAACTCTCCGAAGAGGGTGCGCGGCTCGGTACCGGCTCTGAAGCATGCGAGCAATGCACCCATCAGTGGTCGAGCAGTCGCACATCGCCAGTCTCTCCAACTGAGGCAGCGCAGTCCCTCGGCCTTTGACCACCGTGAGCGCCTTCAAGACGGTATCGCTGACACCACCTCCCAACTCCGTGATGTTCAGCATTCTCAGCGTCGCTAGCTGTGGCATCCCAATGATATGAAGGAGGGCAGCTTCGTTGAAGGCAGCTCCGCCATAGAGGAGAAGGAAATACTCGAGTCCAGCTCTCAGACGCCCAAGAAAGTGATAGAGAGCACGAACGTCAAGGAAGGGCCATCCCTGACTAAACGAAGCATCGTCGGGGATGGACGATCCTGGCCGAATATAAAGCCGACGTAGATTGGGGAGATCAAGCGCTTCGAGGAGTATATCCTGGGGACCATCGCCTTGGATGATAAGGTCCTCCAAGACGCGATGACTGAGCAGGTTGTACCGCATGGGATGTTGTGTAGGAGTGATGTCGACGTCAAGGTGCCGAAGGACAGGGGAGCTTGTCATGATGCGCAAGACAGTAAAGGTATCCAGTCTGCACTCGCAAAGACGAACGGACACGATACGCGTCCAGTGAATGTCCTCCGGGAAGGACGGCAAAGCCCAATCAATTTCTCGAAAAGTCGGCGCTTGATAGAGAGACGACAGAGCACGCGCTGCGTCCACCGCCGTGTCTCCCTCTCGAACAGTAACGACCAGCTTCATCATGGATGATGCGGCTCCAGGGCGAACGCGTGATAGGCGCAACAGGGTCGAGGAGCTGATCTGCACGAGACTGAGGGCCTTGACTTGTCCAATGTTATGCAGTACAAAGTCGAGAGCGCAAGGGCAGAGCTCGCGCGGGAACGCTCCCCTGCGCGAATCCTCGCTGTAGTGCACATAGATGCCAAGGCCCTTTGTGCGCTCCAGGAATAAGCGCGCGATCCTGTAGTGGCCTCCTCTCTGGCAGGGGCGCATGGCAAATTGCTGCCATAGGAGAGGCAGATCGAGGGCGATCGCTCGCCAAAGTTTGCAGACCCGAGCTATAACCAACGGTGTGGACCCGGCTGAGAAGGAAGCATAGAAAGGGTTTTTCACCTCGTCGTCCATGCAGCGCGTGAAGATGTGGGACAGAAGCTCGACAGGGAAGCGATTGATCGGGGGAGTGTAGAAGCCACTCGCGTCCGGGACGGGGTCCAAAGGAATGAGAGCTCGCCAGTGAGATGGCGGAGGTGAGAAGCGCGGGATGAACAGAGCCCTGCGAAGGTCCTCGGGCGTAGGCTTGTCCGAGCCGGTGTACTCGAGGTAGGGCGCGTTCTCCGGTGCGGGCACCGACTGAGGGGGTGATGTTAGATTGACGAGTTGCGGTCCAGGGCATTTCGACGTACTGTATTCCTCCATTTCTGCGAGTCTATATACGCGTCCTGAATCGGATACGACGGTCTCGTAGTGGTGGAGGGCGCGTGCACTGTTGGCGACGCAGCATACGGGCTGTATGACACAGGGGTAGCTGGGAAGGTCGCAGGCGAGGGATGAACGCCTGGATCAGGAGGTCCCGGCCATCCTGGGTATGACGCCCGGACATAGTCAGAGGGATACTGAGACCGTCGAGAAAAAACATTAGTTGGCTGCTGCGACTATACGCCCCGAAACGTACTCGGTGACCATCGGCAGTGCCATCGTGTATGTATGCGCCTCCAGCGTAGGCAGAGGACGCCGGGACATGATGCTGAGAGCGACGATTCTTGAACGGCCACTTGACCATGGGGTCAGATGCGAGGGGAGATGGGAGCCTACCTGCCACGACAAGCCCTCGCAATATATGAGTAAACCTCAAGCACCAGAGAATAGGTTTGTTGCGCATAAACTCAAAGACAATAGCCGGGACGTCGCAACCGCGACGCTATCGCGACGTCCATGACAGCCATGGACAATAAGCCAATCCCGCGTCTGCGACGAGAAGACACCCCGTTTCGCCCAGAATTGCGAGAACTGTGTCGCCTACTCTTCGTGAAAAGAAAGACCGTTTCCGTACGCCGTACATAGCAAAAGACAATAGCAAGCATTGCCGGCAGAGAAGCCCATGATGGTGGTTGAGAATGAAGTTCGGATCAAAAGCACCTTCCTTTTGAGTTAACGTGGCGATCAACTGCGCCGGTTTTCGTCGGCGAATCCGCACCAATGGTACGGATGTTTCTATCGTCTGCTACGCAAAGGGACGAACGAGCGGGACTATTCGCCGGCAGTCTGGCAAGACGCGCCTCGATGGAAGTTCCACATTCGGGATGAAAGACTAATGACACGATACGATTGAGAGGAATCCGTGGACTGTATACTGTATGGACAACGTCTATGTTCGCCCTCTCGGCACACTCGTTGTGTTCGTTAGTATACATGGTAGTCTTCGTATCCAATGGCTATACATATGGGCTCATTATGCATGCGATCTGCCATCCTGCCTGCCCGAGCGATCTGAACACGGCAACGTTATTGTCCTAGCAGAACAATGGGCGCGTAATCGTGTGAAGGAATCACCTCTTTCGTACAAGCGTCCGGAAAGCGCCGAAAACGCTTGTTCTCAACTCTCACAGCCACTGATATTGTGTTGGGCGTTACGCCTCCTTCACTCCTATAGAATCCGCTATGGCGGTCAGAATATTGGACATCGTCCTCACCGATACAAGGCAAGGGAGGGTTCTTAATCATCTGTAGTATGCCAAACATGTTCTCATTGAATCCCGAGGTAAGACCTCGTCACGACGACCGAGTCTACTGTGTCAGCCACATTCACACTCGGTAATAACGTCGCATACACCTCAACAGCTATCGTCTCGAACTAGCAACTGTCACGACTTCCCATGGACCCACGTTCGTTTGGGGCGTCTTTTGTTCTCAATCCGATCGGCTTCCATAGAACAACGATGCACTTGTCCTGTGTAATGTCCTCAAGATGAGTACAATGGAAAACCCATAATCGTCATCAATGGCCTACAAGTACATCGAAATGATCTTAAGGACAACGAGGAATAGCGAGAGGGGTATGTCCCCCTTGCTGCGAGCATCTCACTGTTCTTACGACGCGACTCTGTACGACCTTCACGACTGTACACAGACTATCTTACGCCGTGCTGGACACGCACTCATATGATCAGCTAGACTCACGCTGGTCGCATTTTTCTGCCTTGCTTCTCGCAGCTGACATTCTGCAGGCCATCGACGCACGACAATCATGAATTCTTACCCTCTCCCCCCTACATTGGAGGCGCTCAATCATGTCTCGCCCGTTCGCCTCCCCAACTCGTATGGACTTACTCTAGGCTTTGCTTCCCCCCGTCATCTCGCAGAGGCGGTAGACGTTACCCCACGGGGTGAGCGCCAGTGGTGGGTCGACCCGTCGGTTGAAGAGCATCGCCATCACCGAAGAAGGCAGGGAATCCACCGTCGCTCTCACCACAGGACGCCCCCAGAAACCCATCATCCAAGTCAGCGCGCCAATCTTGCTCATGCCAACCCCTACGCACCACCCACCCCTGCTCCACGTCCGGTACGAGCGCCGATGCCTGCACCTGCACCTCCAGTCGTACCAACGCAGGCGGTCACGGCTCAGGCACCCGCGCCTCGCCCGCAACAACACGTGGGAGTACGTCCGGCGCCGGCGCCTCAAACCTACTTTACGAACGCCGCGCCAGTAATTCCCCCTATGCCGGTTCCTTCGGTTGCTCCCGTCCAACCTGAGTACCGTGCCACGAACAATTGTGGCGACCATCCGCTTCCTTACGACCCCGAATCGTACACTCGGTACTTCCATCCCTCTGGCGCGCCCGCTCCCCGAGTTATACCTGCCCCAGCCGCTGCCCCGCCTCCTCCTCCGACTCAGAACGCGGATTCACGGCCGTCGCGGGGCCGTCGCCTGTCGAATGCGTTCAAGTCCCTGTTCCATAAAGGCGACTGTTCTCGCGCTTCGGCGCCGGCTGCTCCCCCGCAGGTCGTCTACGTACCCATCCCTGCAGCCGCCGCTCAGCCCGCGGCACCCCAGACGGCTCCTCAGCCCGCTCCCTTGAATCGTCCCGCGGCAATTGACCATCGCGCCGAAGGAACGACCGCAAGGTCCTCCCCCGCTTTCAACATCTATACGTGCGACATGCTGCCTCAAATCTATGGGGCCGGAAGGGACTTCCAGCGTGACCCGCATTGGAAGGGTGCCGACAAGAAGAAGATCAACGTACTGATGCCAGTTGACTTGCTGGACTGCTGGTCCATTTTCTTCAATGCACCGAATCTTAGAGAAATTCACTTCTGGCACATTACGGGCGACGACAGCTACCGAGTATTTCCCCAGGTCGACGTCCCGAAGCTCAAGTCGTTGCACGTACATTTCAATGAGGCTTGGCTGACTAACCTTTTGGACTCGCTGCGAATAGAAAGGCTTCGTCGCTTTGAGGCTTACTACTCCAGGGGATGCGCAGAAAGGTTCGCCCATGACAAGCCCGCCTATCTAAATTTCTTCGACAAAGCATGTCGGTGTGTTGGGGTTGGGTCTGCTTGTATCAGTCCCAATCATCCGGTGTATGGTGTCAGGGTTTCGAGTTTGGAACCCGCTTTGGACGCTGTATCCCGACGTTGGGAGGCGAATTGGAACTTTTCAATTACAGATGTACGAGGATAACCTTGACTGCCACTCGGTACTACACGTAGAATCCATGTAACAACGCAGTGTATGAATCGTTAACAGGCCCCCCAGATAATCTGCCATCCTACTTTTCGGAGCGATTCGATTGTGGCAAGGTCCGTGCGGTGTGCAGTCTGATCACCGTATGGGTATCGTAAGGAGACGTATCGCAAAGGATAGCCGTACTTATGTCGGCCTTCCAGCATCCGAGAGATAGCTCCGTCTACGGCGATGCAGTCGCATAGTCCCAAGTGCTCGATGTGGGGGAGTAAGGGAGTGTGATCCGTCCTACGAGGTGTGAGCTTGGCGAAGATGGCGCTGCTGACACCACCGCCCAGGTCGGAGACGTCCAACATCTTCAACCGCTCCATCTGGGGCATGCTAATAACCCGGAGAAGTGCCGTCTCGTCAAATCCCGCACCTCCAGGGATGAGCATGAAGTATTCAAGCCCATCCCGGAGGCGACCAAGAAATGCATGAAAGACCTCTAAGTTCGCGAAAGGCCAGCCATTACTAGGATATTCCTTGAGCGAGGGTGATCGGCGGCGAAGTCGAAGTCGTCGGAGGTGCGGCAAATCAAGAGCTTGCATAAGCGCATCCAGGGGCCCATCACACTCAATGAGCAAGTTTCCCATTGCGCGATGGTGAACAACGGCCCCGAACGGTATGGATGTTCCATCGCCCGACGATGTCGAAGACAACTTGACGTCGATCAGTCGGAGGCCTGGCGCGCTCACCAGGATGCGCAAGAGAGTGAACGGGTCTATCTTACAAGCCCAGAGACGGAAGGAAGTGATACAGGACCAGTGGATCTCTTCGGGAAAGGTGCGCAAACCCCACTGAATTTCCCGTATAGTCGTAGTCAGGTATAGAGACGACAGGGCGCGAGCCACCTCCCAGGACGTGTTCTTTTCGCGAGTCGTTATGGAGAATTGAACCATGGAGGATGCCGCACCGATAGGCACGCGTGAGAGACGCGCCAGAGTCGAGGGGCTGACTTCCAACAAGTCGAGAGCCTTAACTTGCCCAATGTTTTGGATGATCAAGTCCAGTGCGCAAGGGCAGACTTCGCGAGGGTAAGCGCCTCGTCGCGAATCCTCGGCATAGTGCACGTATATACCGAGACCCTTGCTGCGTTCCATGTATAGCCGTGCGATTCGGTAGTGACCTCGGCCTTGGCAAGGGCGCATTGCAAAGCGCTGCCATAGGAAGGGGAGATCGAGAGCGATATGCCGCCAGAGCCTGCAGACACTAGCGATGACTAGTGGAGTGGAACAACCCGCAAAGTACGCGTGGAAGAGGCTGTCTACCTCTCCATCCATGCTTCGTGTGAAGATGTAGGACAGCAACTCGACGGGGAGGCGTTTGATTGGAGGGGCGTAGAGGCCATCCGCGTTCGGCACGGGGTCCAAAGGAATGAGAGCCCGCCAATGAGAGGGCGGAGGCGAGAAGCGCGCGATGAACAGAGCCCTGCGAAGGTCCTCGGGCGTAGGCTTGTCCGGTCCGGTGTACTCGAGGTAGGGCGCGTTCTCTGGAGCGGGCACCGACTGGAGGGATGATGTTAGAGTGACAGAGTGTTGTTCATGTCAGCTCGACGTACTGTATCCCTCCATTTCTGCGAGTCTACATATGCGCCCTGAACAGGGTACGGCAGTCCTGTGATGGTAGATGGTGTGTGCACTGTTGGCGATGCAGCGTACGCGCTGTATCCCATAGGGGTCGCTTGAAAGGTCGCAGGCGAAGTTTGAGCGCCTGGATAAGGAGGGCCCGGCCATCCAGGGTACGGTGCCCATACATAGTCAGAGGGATACTGAGACTGTCAAAGAAGAAAATGAGTTCGCTGTTACGACTGCGCGTTCTGAACGTGGATACCTCGTAGCCACCGGCCGCGTCTTGATACGAATACGCGCCTCCAGAGTGGGCAGGGGACGCCTGGTCATGACGTTGGGATCGACGGTTCTTGAACGGCCACTTGACCATATTGACGCGCTGTCGGATAGAGGGAGAGATGGGAACGTACCTGCATAGACAAGTCCTCGTCCTATATGAGTACACCTCGTAAGCCATGGGATGAATTCATCGCGCATATACGCGAAGACAATAGCCAGGACGTCGCAATGGCAACGCTGTTACGACGTCCAGGACAGCCATGGACAATAAGCCATCCTCGAGTTCGCGACCAGAAGACACCCCGTTCCGCCCAGCATCGCGAAGAGCTGTGTCGCCTATTCTTCATGGCGAGAAGCTATTGGCGTAGAGTACACACGGCCAAAGACAATAGCAAGCATTGCCTGCAGAGAAGCCCATGATGGCGGGCATGAACGAACTTCGGATCAAAAGCACTTTCCTTTTGCGTAAATGGACAATCAACCGCCCCAGTTCTCACGTGGAAACCTGCAACAATAGCACGGATGTCACTCTCGCCCGTTATGTGAATCAAAGGATGAGCTGTATTGATCGTTGGGTTGTCATTGACGGGAGCTTGCGAAGAGGAGCAATGATGTGCTAGTTCGAGAACGTATGCAACGCAGTCAAGGATCCCTGCCGATTTTGCAGGGAAATTTCTTCCGAGTAGCGTCGCAGCCAGAAGGGACCTACCGAAGTTCATCAGCAAGCGTTTCCACAGTCGAAAGGCTTGGAGATACACTTACCTACTGGCCCATCGTCGTCGTGAAAGATGGTCGTCCAGACACCTAAGATCCCGTATTTCGACCGTACGCCTCCGACTTGCACGGCTTCGCAGCTATAAGAGATGCGATTATGAGGCTAACTTTCGGTGTTCGACACAAGAACATACCTCCATATCGGATGCGGTGGATCTCCACAGACCTACGAAAAGCGCTCGTCAACCAGGCCGCCCAACTTTATCCGGGAGGACTGCACTTACAAACCGCCACCGAATCCTCTCATCAGGCGTTACCGAGACTACGCCCCGAATCGTGATCCCCATGTCCTCATCGGTGGCCTCGAAGTGGATCTTCGGCCGCTTGGGGTGCTGAGGGTCGGGCTCGATATGGGATACGTCGAGGTCGAACTGAAGGGTGCGGCAAATTTCGACGAAGTCGGGGTCCTCGAAGAGGGAGGCGTCGAGTGGGCCGTCCGGGGTAGTCTGCGGATGATTAGTAGGGCTCGGGGCCGTACAAAGTCGAAATTCACCGCTGTGGAGTTGTAGTCTGCTATGCGTGTCAGTGGTGACTTCTCTTAGGCTGCTGGACAAGACTACTCACGTATCAACTCTCGCTGATCGCAATAGCAAAACGCGATTTGCCATAGTCCTGCCACGCCCGCCCAGTCATCCTTCTCTTTCGTGGTTTCATGTTTGTCTTCTTCCCCTCCCCTCTTTTCCTCCTGCCTCTCCTCTTCGTCTTCCCCCTCTTCCTCCACCACTAACTGCGTATACGGCAAGCACATCGGATACAGCGCAAATGTATCCGCCCCCGCCTCCACCTCCGGGAACGAGAAGTGCATCGACATCACCTCATGCAGCTCGCGCATCATCTCCCAGTCCACCGTGTCGTCCTCCAAAAACGGCCCATAATGTGTCTCGTCCCGGTACTTGCGCAGGTCGTACACGTAGGCGCGCGCACGCACGCGCCGCGCGGGGTCGTGGTCAGCGGACGTGAGGCCGAAATGCGTGTGTATGCAGGCAAGGAGTTGTCGCGTGCGCTGCGATGCAACAGGCGGAAGGGGCTCGTCCAAGAGCGTGCTGCGCCGGAGGAGGAGCGTAGCGAGGATAAGGCTGGAGGAGACGTCGAGGGCGGCGTGCGTGCGAAGGGGAACAACGAAGGTGATCATGTCTAGTAGAGACTCGAGTATAGACTCGAGTTCGTCTAAGCGCACGGTGGCGCGACCTTCTAAAACAGCCTGCGCGCGGGCTAAACGCTGCAGTCGCGTCTTCCATAGGTCGTCCGAGATTGCGCGCGGAAGGCCGAGCTGGGTGAGGCTAAGGCGCGGGTCATCTAGCGGTTGCTGCAAATACAAAGCGCGCCAGAACGGCATGCTGGCGGAGGGTTTTTCTGGGGCGTAAATGATGGTGTGCAAGTACGAGCAGCATTGCGCGAGGGCGCCCACATCGCAGGGATCGCATTGGAGGAAGATCTCCTCGAGAAGCTCTGGCGGGAGGTCTGTTAGTAGCATGGAAGGTGTAGAGGTGAGTGAGGAAGGGATGAGAGAGGTAAAGGAGAAAAGTGAGTAGAATGTGTGAAAGAGAGTTGAACTTGGTCAGCGGCGGATGCATACCGCCGGCTCGCGATCCGGGCGGAAACAGCCGATTCGGAGTGTGACGTCACGCTATTGAGTGCTGGACGCCGCCTTTCTCCAGGTTGAACTTCGCCTTCATCTCGTCGAAAAAAGGCGTCAATGCTCTTCAATCTCCATGACAGTCATGAGACGATTGGATTGCTACTCTCTGAATCAACATCATTGCCTCAGGATTCTGATTAGGCTGGCGCCATTGAGCAATCTAACATCTCATGCGTATTGGTGCCGTCCAAACAGTCTGGACAACGGTGGTTGAACGCAATCCCAGCGACCATGCCACCCAACGAGGCAGCCCCGTGGCATGACACGAGGCTCTCCTCGGATAATAGCGGACACGTGATCGTGGTGGTTCGCAGTGCCACTCACCGGGGTTTTCCGCGCGCTTCCACCTTGCCACCACCGGGGCCATCGTCCGGAGCCTGCTTGCATACCTCTCGGGTTCATCCTTCGTCCTACCTACTCAATCAAGTATTGGGGCACCCTGCATGCACACCTGACGACGGTCGCCATCGCCATGGAGGGCGCCACACATGTTATGTGGTCGAGCGAGTTCAGCGCGTCGCGGCATCTGGACGCGCAGGCGGTGGAGGATGTGAGGCTGGTGCGGCTGAGCAGGGAGGCGCACGCGACTTGTGTAAGTCCTGGTTCTGGGTGCGGGATGACGCTTGTCGGGATGCTCACTTGTTTTGCAGCTTACCACGCTCGAGTGGCATTGGGGTCTGAAGAAGGGGGAACTGGACCCCAGATGCTCCGAGAACCATATCTCGTGTAAGTGCTGGAACGCCGTCATGTACATGAGCGAAATGCAGGGCTGACCTTGTTGACGCCACAGTACGCTACGACATGAAGAGGAAATGGCGCGAATACGACTGGACGCTGATTCCAACGCCCGAAACGATCCGCGAGATGCAAAGATTTGTCGTGTATAATGCGCGACACCCTGAAGCTCGGAAGAGCATGAAGGAGGTAAGCAGTCTGCGACAGGCCTCCCCCGTAGAGGCACTTGACTGACCTCAAACGTCGAAGGTCTTCCCTGCGAATCACGTCTTCGAGTATGTCTTCGTACCGCTCATGATGAGCACTGCTCCGCCGTACCCCAAGCTGCGCTGTCGAATCGGAGACGACATCGAGCAGGAATACGCTCAGCCGTATGAGGGTCTCCCTCGCGTGCTCTCCCGCGCGCACCCGTTCTTCATCGCCCTCGCTGCGTTCACCCATATCAAGAAGGGCGGAACACATCTCACCGCCGAGGAGCGGCACACGATCTTCGGCCCCACTCTCGACCTAGGCCACGCATGGCTTGCCGACCCGCCCGCGAGCTTCGTGCACGGCGTTGACGTCTGGAAACCGCACCGCTACCCATACAGCGACGACGGCAGCGTCGCCTTTGAGGAGCTCCACGGCCACAGATCCCCACATTCCACCTCCGCTTCGCCCGAGACGTCCGTGCGCTCCTCCTGGTGGTCCAATGGCTCAACCGCAGCGACGTCTTTGCCCTCGACGCCGTCACGCCTGCCAATCTGCAAGCGCTCGCCGCGCAAGATACGCTTCGCGCGCGACGGGGGACTCCTGACGATTGCCGAGAAACGCTTCCTGGAGCACATGCCGAGCCCGCTGAGCATGGGAGCGTGGCGCAGGACGGCGGAGGGCGAGCCCTTGGACGCGACGGCGAACGACGAGGAGCTTGTCTCGTATATGCGAGAACCATCGCGTGACCCGGACGCCGTCATCCGCGCGGGCATGAAGTGCACGCCGGTTCCAATAGGGATCGGCCAAGGCGTCGACACGTCGAAGTGCTGCAGCAATGATTTTGCGCAGCTGCTCTTCAGCACGGTGCTGGCTTCGCCCGCGAAGAGCAAGCCGCTCGGACATCGTCGGCTGCCGTCCAGCGCGCCCGTCACACCGCGCAAGGCGTCCGAAAGCACCAACCGGACGCCCAGGAAGGTGACGCTAGGTACCCCGAGCCGGCCGATGGTGGGTGCCCCCGTTAGGGCCCCGCCGGGAACTCCCAGTAAGCCGACGTTGGGAACCCCAAGGAAGGCGACGCCCGCGAGCGCCTCGAAGCCAACATGGCGATAATGCGCCACATATCCTGTCAGCATTCTTATACCAAGCATGTCGGCCGGCTCCTGCATCTCTCTCTCATCCACTGTAGCATACCAATTGACTCTACGCGTCGACGGAACGCATACTTACTTATACGCATCGAACCCACTTGTACAGTATTATTCTCCGATTTCCGCTTAGTTTATACTTGAACACTGTCATGATCTTGTCGGACTCCTCGCGATGGCCAAACAAGCGTGGGAGTTGACACCGGCGTGGCTTCGGCAGACGCCGTCGGGTGCAAACAACTCTTGCCTCTTCCGGTCATCATTGTACCGCAAGCGGCCTGAAAGGCGCCTATGTTGCCAGTCTCGTTAAGAACGTCCAAATATGACATTCTTTGTCGGCTTGCGGCTCCTGGTCATCGGATCTTCGTGTCGCTATCGCCACTAAGTTCACTCGATACATATAGCTGACGCCTGCGCATGAGCCCTCACTTTTCACGACTCGCCTCACCGCCTTCACGAACCTGACGATCGTCCTTGACGACACCTCATATCGCTACAGCGACACTTCACGGCCTGTGAATGACCCTTGACGTGCTGGACACGCACCGCATGTCGCTGTCCATTGCGTTCGACCTCGCAACTCATGATAAGCAGACGCCATAATTCCTGCAACGCGCCTCAAGCTTCTGTTACAATGTTCAGACCAAGCTCTATACGCCGCCTCATCCGCGAGAACCTTTCGCGCGTCTCTGCTACTGCGATTCAGCGGGGCCACGAAGGATCTTCCTCTGTCAACGACCCTCCTCCCGCGCCCCTCCTCCTTCCCGTAGATCTTCCCACGGCTTCTCCTCCATGCGACAGGTCATCTCATGTGTATTCATCTTGCGCCGTGCCTCCTTCGCGAGCGGATCCATCCACAGACCTTTCGCCTTTGGCTAGGTCTACTGCTCATCCGCGTCCGCAAGAAACTTCCATCGGTCCATCGCGAGATTCGCGTTCGCAAGAGCCGCCTAATGCGCCACATACTGAGGACCGCAGGCATCCTTATACACGTCGTCTATGGGCCTCTGATATGCCGGCCCATGCTATGGGTACAGCTGGCAGATCTGCGCCAGTCCTATCTCATGACATGACCTCACGTCTTGCACGGTCTCTATCGGACCGTCCTCCATCCCGTCTTGGGGAATCTCCTGCACTGCGCGCGACGAGGGGGCACTCCGAGTCGTCAACTCTGAATATCTACTCTGACGACATGCTCCCGCAATCTTCTCCGGCGGGGTCAGCGCCTCTCCCCGACACACAGTGGGCAGGCTACGACAAAGAAGTGATCAACGTCATGATGCCCGTCGACCTGCACGGATGTTTCCTCATCCTACTCAGCGCCCCACACTTGCGCAAAATTCAGTTTTGGCGGATCAACGGTAACAGAAACTCTGGGAAGTGGCCCGAGCTCGAGGTTCGAGAGCTCGAGTCGCTGATTATTCGCGATACCGAGATGCAGATCAAGAAACTCTTGGACTGCCTCCGCATCCGGGATCTGCAGGAACTTGAAGTGTACTACGCCTCCCAATGCGGCCATAACTTCATCTCGGACCGGGCCTCATATCGCAAACTCTTCGATTCGCGCCGACATCTACCCCTCGAAGGTCGGATCCGGATTGTGCCAAACGATCCAAAGTACAGTGGCAGGTCTTCGTCGCTAGAGCGACGGTTGAAAGAAAGTCTCCGTGGAAAGGAGTGGGACATCAGAGTGACTGATAATCTCTTCTGAAAATATGTCCTGCCTAACTGCATCATACTGTACTTAGAACCACGTAAATGCACTCCTGATACAGTCGAGCTAGCTGGTATGTACATTCTTGAATTACGATGGACGCCACGCGATCTTCATCCCATGCTTCTTGAACTCACGGAAGGCAGCAATGTCGATGGGATGGGGCGTCTGGTTGCTGCGCGGATACTCGAGCCACACGTCGTGCAGCGGATAATGCAGACACTGGCGAGCGCGCAGCATAGCGGATATGACACCGTCAGTAGCCGTACACTCAGCTAGGCTGAGAACTTCTAGTCGAGGAAGTAAGGCAGGTGACCCCGTGCGCTGATTCGGTAGCATCGCCCGGAAGAGCTTGTCGTGGGCAACGACTCTGCTTGACAGAAGGTGCAGCTGCCGCAAATTTGATAGTCGAGGAAGGGAACATAAATGGATGAGAGCGGACTCCTCGAAAATGCCGGTGTCAGTTAGGTGGAAATGCTCCAGTCCTTCGACCAGGCGGTCGACGAAGCTATACAGAACGGATGGCTCGGTGACAGGCCAATCAGAGTAGTCTGTACCGACCGGCAAAGAACGGAGGGGGTGGAGCATGAGCTCAGTGAGGTGCGGGAGGTGCAGGATTTGGAGAATTCTGTCCTGCGCACCGACGCCTTCGAGGTACAGATGCTGTAATGAATGGTGCATAATGTCTCGATGGTTTATAGATGGAAGTCTGTCCATCCGTACTGATAGCTTTCGTAGATGTGGTGCGGTCAGAAGGATATCCAAAAGGAAGTTCGGAGCGACGAGGCATTTTTCGAGGTCGATGGCGATCATCTGTGACCAAGGGACGTTGCAAGGCCAGGTCTGAGACGCCCAATCGAGGTGCCGCAGGGCAGAGGTACTATACAAGCTTGCGATTAAGTGAGCCGTATCCGGGCGCAAAAGGGACTCTCGCATGCGCAAGGAGAAGTGCTGGATTGAGGTGCTGGTGTTCTTAGCAGCACTGGATAAGCGCGCGGCAGTCTCCGACCCGACTTCGCGAAGCTCGAGAGTCCTAATCGAGTCGAGGTTATTGAGGATGACGTCCAGATCACACGGGCAGCGCTGGATGGGCCTATGTCTCTCTCCCAAGCGCGCATCTTCGCTATAACGGACATGCAGTCCCCTCCCTTTGCTGCGCTCGATGAAGACATGCGCCATACGATAGCGATGCCCTCTTCCCTCGCATGGGCGCAGCATAAACTGCTGCCACAGCGGTGGCAGATCGATAGCTATCTCGCGCCAGTGACTGCAGACGCGAGCTAAGATGAGAGGCGTGAAGTCGGGGTGCAGGACAGCGTCACCGAGGTTGTGCATCTCGTATTCCATGGATAGCGTGAAGATGCAAGACAAAAGCTCGACGGGTAGCTTGTTGATGAGTGGAACGTAGTAGGTGCTATCCGAGTCGTGTTCCGGCTCGACAGGTATGAGGGCGCGCCAGTGTTCGGGAGGTGGAGAGCATGGGGAGTGGTGGTAAAGCGCCTTTCGCAACTCCTGAGGATCGGGTTCTTCTTCGCTCATGTCCGAGTCTGAAGAGCTATCTGAAGAAATTTCGAGACCCGCCGCCGTGTCCGACTGGAAGATCGTGTTAGGAAGGGCAGGACGGTGTAGCCAATAATGACGTACCAAGCGCTGTGCTGATCGCTGCTCATGAACTGGAGGAAACGCCGCGCTCCGCGGTGAACGCGCGATGTGATCCACCGGCGAGAACTGCGTTGCGTTCAGGTGAGCTGCTTCGAGGTATGCTCATAAGGCGCCACGTACCACGAGTCCTAAGGTGTTATGCTGAGCAGCGTACCCGCGAGTCGGCCACCCCTGCGAAGAAGGCTCAGAGTAGTGACGGCTCATGGTCTGTATTGTCAGGAAGCGAAAGAATTATGGGGCAGCGTCGACGTCCACCGCCGTGTGGTGCTGACTGCATCAGATTGGAGCGCCAACTGTCGCTTATAAGCTCTCTAAGCCGGGAGGATACAATAGATCTCTCATGGGAACGTCGGGAAAAGCCACGGCGAAGAACAATAGGCCATCCTCCGTCAGCGGTATTCGGTGTAGAAGACAATAAGAGCTATGCACCCTCGAACTATGGAAGTCCATGAGTTTCCTGAGTGGTTCCCATGGCGAGGGAGAGATACGCAGTCAGCGAGTTGAGTGTGATCTTCCATCGATACAAGGGAGCACGACGGGACGGCGGTCATGGCAAGCGTCGGAGGCAGCAGTGGCGCCACCCGGCCATTCGGAATCGGCCGGCCGCGATGTGCTAGACGTATGTTCGAGTCCACGTTATCCTCAAAATCATAGATTAAAGTTAATAGACCAGGCTTTCAAGGGGTAAAGTTTCCTAGGTGCTTCGAGTAAACACGGTATGAACTTCTACGTCTGGTTTAACCGATATACACCGTCGCCTCCGGAAAACGCGAAGGATACCACGAAACCTCCATCCCGTACTGCTTCAGCTTGCGAAAAGCAGCGATGTCTGTCCGATGCGCCACCTCAGGCTGGTCATTGCGTGGGAACCCAAGCCAAACCAGGTGCAGAGGATAATGCAGGTATTGGCGAGCGCGCAGCATATCGGAGATCATGCCGTCCGTCGTGGTGCACCCAGCCAACGTGAGGTTTTCCAACCGAGGAAGAAGGGTGGGCACGCCCGACCACTGACTCGGGAGCATGAAATGAAAGAGCTGATCACCAGCGACTGCTGCTCGTGCGGAGAGATGGAGGCGTCGCAGAGTCGACATCTGCGGGAGGGAAAAAAGATGGAGGAGAGCGAGTTCGTCGAGGTTGCCAGTGTCGATTAGTCTGAAGGACTCCAGTCCTCCGGACAAGCGACCGAGGAAGTCAAACAAGACGTCCGGCGTTGTAACGGGCCACTGGGCATAGCATGCACCATCCGGCAAAGAGCGAAGGGGTTGGAGCGACAGCTCTGTCAGATTCGGCGCATGCAAGAAGTCAAGAATGTTGTCCTGCGCACCCATCCCGTCGATGGATAGGCGTCGTAAGGAATCATGTCTGACGCCCAGGTGCTTCATGGGGGACAGCCGGGCCATCTTCACCGACAATTCTCGCAGATGCGGCGCAGACACGAGTATATTCACAAAATATACTGGAGCGACGAGGCATCTGTTGAGGTCGACAGACAGCATATGCGACCAGGGTACGTTGCAAGGGAAGATATGCGAGTCCCATTCGAAATGCCGTAAAGCAGGGGAGCAGTACAAGCGCGAAATGGCTTGAGCTGTATCGAGATGCAGGACCGTCTCTTCCATGCTGAGGGAGAAACGTTGAATTGAGGTGCCGGCCTTCATAGCTGCGTCGGACAAGCGTGTGGAAGTCTTCTTCCCGACCTCGGAGAGCTCGAGTGTCTTGATCGAGCCGAGGTTATCAAGGATGACGTTCAGAGAACACGGGCAGCTTTCGACGGGTCTACGGCTTTCTTCCGAGCGCACATCCTCGCTGTAGCGTATATGCAGTCCACTCCCTTTGGTGCGCTTGATGAAGGTGTGTGCCATCCGATAATGATGCTCTCTCCCGTCGCACGGGCGCAACATGAAATGCTGCCATAGCGATGGAAGTTCGACAGCTGTCTCGCGCCAGAGATGGCAAACCCTAGCCAGAACGAGCGGCGTGCAGTTGGGGTGAAGGACGGCAAGGGCGAGATTGCACGCCTCGTCCTCCACGGAGAGCGCGAAGATCAATGACAGAAGCTCGGCAGGCAACTTGTTGATGACCGACACCGCCGAGCCCGTCTGGTGGATCGTATTTAGAAAAGACTTGACGGTATAGCCAAAGGCCACATACCGAGCTCTGTCTTGAGCGCTTCCAGCTCAAATGAGAGAGCACTTCTCCGCGCGGTTGTTGCGCAAGGCAATCCTCCGGCGGCGCAAACTGCGTCATATTCAATAACGTCTTTACAGGGTATACGCGAGGGCCACGTACCACGAGTCCGAGAGCGTTGTGCTGAGGAACGTAGCTGAAAGTAGGGAAAGCGGGCGGGGAGCGCTGATAGGTGTGTTGGCCCATGATTTATGAGCACTGCAGTTTTCGAGCGAAGAGATTGGTGGGCAGCGTCGACGTCCGGCGCCGAGTTGCGTGGGATGCTTGAGTTATAGCAGAGCATGTCGCCTTTTAAGCACCTAAGTGTGAGCTGTATGACATACTTCTGGTGCGTATGGACGTCGGGAAGAGCGACGGTGAAGCACAATAAGCCATTGTCGCCATGGATATGTCCGAGTATGAGCAGACAATAAAAGCGGTGAAGGCAGGTCTCCGAGCTTCGTTTCCATAGCAAAGGGGTCACTGCTCTATACAATAAGCAGACATTTTACGGAGGTTCGTCGAAGCCTGCAAGTTCGAGCTACAAAGACGAGGGCAAGAGCGGTGGCATCAACTCTGCGGCAGTGTCGTCGGGAAATGCCGGCCGTACCCAACCACGTGGAGATCGCCGGCCAATAGCTTTCATTCGGCTGTGCCAGGATATTTGCTCGAGGTTTTATTGCTCAGTATTAGATATCCTAAGAATATATCAAGCATTCTCCTTGGATGCCCCCATCCGCCAGACCTCCACTATACTGCGTCCATTCCGCTGGCACAGCACTACCATCGTTTCTCGTGTCCTCGGATCGACCACCACCTTCCATACGACACGAGCCGGACTGCTCAGCTCGCGCGCATAGGAATATGCCGGCCCCGAGACGGGCGTCGCGGGTACAGGTGTATGCGCCCCACTCGAGCGGCCCGTCGTTCGGACTTGCAATTGCGCGGGTCGTCCTCCAGTGAGGTCTTCGATCAGCTCTTCCTCCTCGGGGTCGCTGAAATCGCCTTGTACGAGCACACGATCGCTCGCATCAGGGCTACGGTCGCCCACGCCGAGTGCGCGTCTGACATCCCAGACACGCGCGGCACCGTCCGCGCCACCGGTGAAGACCACGCCCCAGCGCCAGTCGACTTGCAGCGCCGTTATGGACTGGTCATGCGCGGGGATACGGGCGAGGACGGAAGCGGCGCAAGAGGGCGTAGAGGCGCCAGACGACGGACGGTCCATGCCGGCGAGCGAGGACAACATCACGCGTCCTTCAGCGCCTCCCGACGCAAGGAACAGCGGGTGATTGTCCTCGCTTCTTGGGGCGCTAGGGAATGGCGAGGGCGGAGAAAGCGACAGCTGGCATACGAGGGCCGTGTGTCCCTGAAGTAGTGCGAGGCAGGTTCTAGTGATTGGAAGGTCATTGGGTAAACCGTGATAAACTGCAGCGCTTGTCGCTTACCCATTCTCCGCATCCCATACTCGGATTGTCGTATCCGCGCCGCCGCTTGCAATGATTCCTCGTGCGCCGCAGTATGCGAGAGCGTATATTTGGCTGTGGTGGCCGTGAAGCGTTCGCAACGGTGCTAATGTGGCCACTGCTCCGCTTGGCGGATGCGCCAGCGGCGCCCAAACCTGGTTCTCAGTCAGTTTTCTCCTCCTGCTCGACGAGTCGGATTCTCACCCTGACCGCGCCATCGGCTCCGCCGCTGACGCATCGTACGCCCCCTTGGGAGTCGAGGTCAGCGTCGACGCAGCGGACGGCGCCGGAGTGCCCCGCTAGTACCGCTCTCGCGCGTCCAACGCGGAGGTCGAAGGTACGTAGAGTACCATCGCGCGAGGCGGTAAGGAGGACGTGCGGCGCGGCGTCGTAGTTCGAGTTGCTATCAGTCCCAGATCGTGCACGATTTCCACAAGTACAAGGCAGCATGACGACGGCACGGACTGTCGAGGTATGACCGGGAAGCATCCGTATGCAGCGCCTGCAGATGTTGATCAGATACTTAAGCCTGCTTTTCTTTCGGAGCAATGGAAGGAATACTGAAGCTCACCCACTGCGTACGTCCCATATCTTGACTGCTCGACCGGTTCCGACGGAGATCACAAGCGGCCCTCCGGCTGCAAAGTGTGGTGTACAGTGGGTCGTCCTCGAATCGCGATAGGCAGCTCGTTGGTGGTATAGGGCTCGAGCCTCGGTAGGCGGGGAGGAAGAACTCAAATTTCGAGCGTGCGTGACGTGAGCAGGAGGTTCATCCTCCTCATCTTCCACCATGTCCTCCAACCAATCTCCGCCACGACTCGAAGGGCCGTCATAAGTTGACGGACTTTGCGGTACTGCCGATGATCCAGGACCTTCGGGGGCTACTTTCGCCTCTGCCGTGTTTCCCTCCGCAAAGCTACCTTCACCATCGACCAGCCAAACTCCCCAGACACCGTCGGCACCGTGCCCCGCATGTGCGCCCAGTACTTGAACGACGTCTCCAGTGCGCGTGTCGAAGATGTGAACCCTGCCGTGCTCCGTACCGCATGCAACCAGACTTCTCGACATCGCGATCGAAGTCAGCACGGGGGCAGCCATGGGAGGTGTCCCTACGGCATGAGTGTTCAGGCTTCGAGGAGACGGTCCATGCGTGTATTTGCGTACTGACAAGCGCGACGTCAGCAAATAAGCAAAAAGGAAGGTGAGGGAGATGTCGGGTTCATGAGTTATTGAGAAACCTGACTGCTCACATATCTCATACTCGCGCACGAATTCGTGCTTCGACCCCGTGTCAAAGCCGTAGTGCTCGCTGGCGCGATACCAGACGCCTGGCGCGCGCACGATGTCACGCCAGCGATGGGAGACGCGCTCCATCGCCGCGAGCGTGCGTACATCGTCTACTTGCGCAGCGATAGCCAGGGCAAGCTCCGCTGGTAACATGGCGAGCAAATCGCGCCTCGGTGTCTTCTTCCTATGAGCACAGCAACACTCGCATTCCGGAGGGCTGCGTCCTAAAAGGCCGGCGACATGCGAGTTGAGTATGCGCAGCTCATCTATAGTCAATACTGGGAGCAGCGAGAGAACATGCTGCAGCTCGGAACGTGTTGATGCTGGCGTGCCGTTCGGCACGGACATCATGAGAGAACAAAGAGAAGGCCGGATTAGGAAGGTCTAATTTCCGTGCAATATTTGTCTTTGTTTATGCATGTGGACAGCCGTGGGCAGTGTGCTGCGTCGCACAGTATTGTCGAGACTTCTATTCGTACATCGAGATTTTGAACTTAATTCGTGTCTGACCTGAAGTGCATACGAGCTTCTAAGAGCTGAAGCGAAACAGTGGGCTCTCACTCCCCATCTCTGCGAACTCCGCCGACCTGCTCTCGTCGATATGCTTCTCCTGACATATCCCCTCCTTCTCTCGGTTCAGTCTTTTGAAGTTCCACATGGCAAACAGCGAGCAGAGGATCCTATAAGCCTGTCAGATACTCCGGACCGACGTGTTCGGGTAGGAAATGATGATCCTCAAAATTGGCTTTGCTAACTCACGAAAGTCCTAGCCACCCCATTATGATTCCATGGCCAACATAAAAGCGTGGTGGGGTAATATCTAAGAGTCGTTATTGGTGTAAGATTGCTGCGCGACGTACGAGGAAAAAGCCAACTCACATACAAATGATGCGCATATCCCTCCGAGATTGGCTGAGCCAATGATCATAGCGACAACAACACCTGTCCGGGCCGCGTAAGCGCACCGTGATGCGCGTCTTCAGACCTCTCAAACGCACCCTTCTTCACCTCTCCGCCCGCGTTGCTCATCGCCCAGGAGATGTTCAGCGGTATGGGCGGGTACGCGCCAATCGCTATGAGGAAAGTCCCGAAGTAGCTCGGGCCCGGCGCATTCTGCGTATAGAGGACGATGCATCCGGCGAGCGCGATGACGGAGCCACTGAGAATGAACGGCCCGCGTAGGTTGAGGCGGTCAGAGAGAAGGCCGATCAAGATAGTCCTAAGGAACTCTGTCAGCTTCGAAGTTCTCGCACGAAAGAAAAGCAGGACGCGTACGAGATACAGCCTAAAATCGCACGTCATCATCAATTCGGACGCCCCGTAATTGTGAACATAGCACATGGAACGTCTACTCACCACAGACAAATGGCGGTATGGTTAGTAATTGCGCATCCGCGTCCGCAAGACCCAGGTCTTCTATGATTGTGGGCAAAAACAAGGAAAGCGCGGTCGCGGCGATAGCATTGCTGGAAGGCGACTGAGCCATACGTCTTGCATAGTCAGGATACGCACCCCATATAGGTGAAGACTTGCACCCAACTTTTGTAGTCGCGCAGGGCCTGCCACACGAATTTCATGTCAAAGTGAGTCGCGGCACCCTGCGTATCTTCGCGGAGTGTATGAAGAAGGCGTATCTTCTGTGTTTCTGTCAGAAACGTGACGCTATCGGGATACTGGTTTAGCCCCAAGTCAGCTATAAAGAAATCCATGAAAGGGAAAGGCTCACATCCTGCATGAGGAAAAACGCTGCGATCGAACACAGCACTGTCGCCATCCCCTCGAGCCCAAACTGTGGGGATAAGTAAGCGTCGAGACAAGGATCTAATACACAGGGGAGCTCACAATCCACTGCCACCCGTGCAGCCCGCCGACGCCTTCCATTTTCTCGATGCAGAACCTGCATTGATGTCAGTCAGGACAATGTATGGGTTGGTGAGACTTTACGCGCGCTAGTAGCCCACCGAAAGCACCAGCGATGGTCGCGGCAGAGAAGAATATAGCAATCCGAGACGACAGGTCACATCGGCGATACCATATGGATAGATAGAATGAGATCTACACCATGTCAAAGCGAGCTCAAATGTTGTCGAGAGTGAGCACTCACCCCTGGAAATAGGCCGCCTTCGGCAAGGCCGAGGAAGACGCGGGCACTAGGAGTTTGTCAAGATTAGTAGATTGGGGAAAGTGGATGGACGGCACTTACATGATAAGGTCGTGGTAGGTCTTGCACAAGCACATGAGTGTCATGATTAGGCCCCACGCAACCATGATGAATGGGACTAGGATCCATGCCATGTCAGTTACGAAGCATAAACAAGCTAAGTCACTCTCGCACTCCATCGCGATGGCCGGACAAGCTTGAGCAGGATGTTCCTTCGAACGGGTGAGATTATCCAGGAGCGAACGAAACACAGACGTACGACGGAATCTCTGCCAGTGCATATGGGACCTATGGACGATCGTCATACTCAGTCAGCAGCAAAAATTAGTCGGAATCGATACGCACGAAGAATACGGCGGCGAGCTAGGTAAGTGGCGTCAGTTATACGTCGTAACTGCATCCACGCCATGACGAAGACGCACAACATTGTACTTCAGCCCGTCCAGGTGCGCGTCTGCTGCCATGCCCGCAATCTTGGCATTGCCTGTGCGACCGCACCTTCAGAGCGTCGTAACGAACCTGGACTAATCCTACCTATATTGCCGCGATCTCTGTGAGGGTCATCAGCAAGATTATGGGTATAATGACAGCGTGAACACTCACAGAAAGGACAGGAAGTAGAGCAGAGTCACCAAAGGAAGGAGATGCCAATCAACCCTCCGAACGATGCGCTTGTGTTCGGCCTCGTCGAAGGAGCTCACGGAAACGCTCTCAACGTTGACGATAGTCCCCTTGCCGTCTGTTGGCCCATTCTCTGCGTTGGTTTGATTCATAGTGGCGAATGGGAAGACCGTTGAGCGGGAGCGGCCAGGCTATTTAACGTTGCAGCTCAACGGTCAGCGAGTTGACCGAAGCGAGTAGTCGCGCAGCAGCGCGCTAGCAGCCTGCCGATTATTGGCGTAGCGTTGCAACGCTCCGCGCGGTGACCAAACGCTGTGACGTCTTGCGCCTTATTTCCATCCTGCTCGCCACCTACGCATAGCCAGCACACGCCCGCAATCGTGATGAAAGGTAGGAGCTATCGTAAATTCGAACAAGTATAGAAGGTAGTGACCACTACAAATGTGTGGAATGAGCACCGATCAGGGGGCGCAAGAGAAAGGACTGTGCTTACAATGAGAGTCCCAGTACATATTCTTTCTTCTCGACCTCTACGATGTACGTAGTAGTACTCACTGTCGCACCCTAGTCCGCATGCTTCCCCTTTCTCGGCACAAGCGCCCACAGCACCATCATGAAGCCCATCAGCGACACCAGGCTGTCAGGTTAGTCAGATACGTTCCCAGCATTCCAGCACTAGCAAGCACTCACAAAGGCTGCAAGCTCCCAATGCCCTTGCTCTGGGCCAGCGCTCCCGTGATGAAGGGCAGCACCGCACTCCCCGCCTGCGAGACGCCCGCGATCCAGCCGATGGATGGCGTGAGGAGCCACGCGGGGAGAATGCGGCCGGCCTGGTTCATGGCGATGGGAAAGAAGGGACCGAGGAGGACGCCGACGAGGGAGACGGCGACGCCGCCGCCAATAAGGGAGGGGACGAGCCAGACGACGAGTTCGAGACTGTCAGGGTGGGGGTGAGATTAGGGAGCGGAGGGGAGGTGGAGGGTACTCACGCGATGGCGAGGACGGCGTAGAGGAAGATGGCGTACCACTCGCCGATCTGGAATGAATAAGTACGAGGACGCAAAGTCAGGTCGAGCGGACGCACCTTCGCGTTCAGCCAGAGCAGAACGAGGCGGCCCATCATCAGTCCTGCACCGTAAGTCAGCAACTGTACTATGACGGCTGTCCCAGCGCACATACCTCCGAAGAAACCAGAGGAGATATACCCCGAGTCCGGACCACCACCGCGCTCGTCGATGATATACGAGACGATCCAGCCACCAATGGTGACCTCAACACCGACGTAGATGAGGCTGAAGACGGCGAGAATATGCACGTTCTTCTGGCGGAAGATCTGCTTGAAGTTGTTGTCCGTGCTCGTGCTCTTCTCCTGAGGCTGTTGCCCGATGCGCGTCAAGCATTCTGAGGGCGAATCAGTACTTCGAAGAGACGAGAAGGCAAAGAACAGACCGTCATGCGACCGGAAGCGGAAGACGGCAATCTGAAGGACGACGCTGGCGACCGCGAGGCCCAGAGATGTGAGGTAATGGAAGGACCAGCGGTTCATCTGCGAGAACTGCGTCGAAACGAGAGGCGCTACGAAGGCGCCGAGCCCTGGTAGCGAGTGAGCAGGAGGCCATGGAAAGGGAGATGGATAACGGCGTACCATAGGCGGCATGAAGCATACCCATCTTAGTTTCTGAGCTGTTGGCCAGGGAGGCGACGTAGCCGTTGGCTTGCGCATCCTGTATTATGACCATAGTGAGCCTTGACATAGACGCAATTCCACGCACGCTTCAGCGTACCTGTATAGCAATCCCAACCCCGTTGATAATATACCCAACGCAGAGAACCGGAAAGTCCAGCGCTGGAGCCTGGATCGAGTACGCCACAACCTGAAGGGCGGAGCCTGCGGTAATGGGTGGCCGTCAGCTGTCTTCGATGAGCCCTAGTGACATGACTTGCCAATGGCCATGAGCTGAGGGTAAGCGTCAGAAAGTAGTCGCGGATATCAGGTTTGAAGACGATCACCTTGCCAAAGCTAACCCTCCCTGACAATGGGATGTTGATAAGAGCGCCAGTCACGAAGCCCTGAAGAATGGCATGAGGGATGTGTTCGCCAAAAGTCGCTCCTGCGCACACTCACCGCGCATGAGCAGACGAAGAGCATGGATACGACCGTGTAGTTGAGCTATACGAGGTCGTGAGATCAATTCGGTCGGGTGAAGACGCGAAGCAGGTCAGACGTACATTGTACACCTGCTGGATCCGAGGCAGCAGAGGCCCCGTCGTGCCGTCATTCCATCCAGCGAGAACCAAGGCCCAACACGCCGCGAAGAATTGAATGCGCTCCGTCGCGATTTGCTTCTTGGTACGTTCGTTAAGAGCCGTAGAGGATGCCGTACTGGTCGTCCTAGCAGCATTGCCCTCGCGGAAGCTCAGCCCGCTGCTCATCACATTGTTTTGCGTGACGTCGACTTCGCTACCCTTCAGAGACGGCGTGAAGTGTACGCGGGTGGCCAGGTGAGCCTGAGAAACTGTGTCAAGCTCGACACCGTTCGACATCGTGTCCTCGTCGTGCGGCTGGGACAAAGTCTTCCTGCGTCGCAGCCGGTGTAGGAGCGCTGGGTTTTAAAGAAACGGCAACGCCAAGAGGACACGTAAACCACAGCTCATATAGACGATCGTGGAATGGCCGACTCGGACAGCACCCCTATTCTGCGCGAGGTGCGGGGAACAAGGCCCAAACAGACTTTGAGGGTTGTGCGGGGGTGGTCATGCAGAGTCATGGAGGCGGGAATCTGGTGCGGTCGGAGAAACGTCGGAAGCACCCAGAAGAATGGATTTGTTGACATCGGCTTGGCGTGTTGTGGGCTACTGTTTGTCCGTGCTGGTCACACAGATTGCCAAAATAGGATATACTCGTCTTTCCCACTCTCATGTCCAACTCACGTAGACGTATGGTCTTATACACTCTGATATTCACACTGACGCTCCTGCGCATGAGCGAAGTCCTCGTAAACTACTCTCTGTAAGGTGCAAGGGAGCCTCTCCCTTCGGTTGCGATCTGATTGCCGCCAGAAGACCAAACTGAGGATGTCGTAAACTGATAGTCATGCGCGTGGGGCGTGCAAAGGTAATCGGCGTCTTGTTGTATCTGACCGTCATGTCCTCTCGACGCTCTCTCTCCCTTGAGTCTGTGAGCAGCATGCAATCCATCGACACCGTGCAGTCAATTGACAGCGCTGGCATCCACGACGATGTGCCGTTCATGGCCGGCAAAAAGACGTCTTCTAATGAACAAGGAGTCGAAGTCAACCCCCGCAAACCTGCGAGCGACGGCTCAGTCTCCTCTGTAAGTACTCGGCCATCCAATATGGTTTGCAATCCTAACCCTCATCGGCAGTGCGAGCCAATACGGACGGCTACCGCGCCCGCAAGCTCTCCTCCGCTCGTCGTCAACAAGAACGAATCCGAACAAGAGCCTGTGAAGACGAAGACTCATCCTCGGTTCTTCTTAGACCCGAGGACTGTGGACTTTGTAGTGCGTCCTCCCGTCGAACCTCTAGAATGACCGACGAACGTACATCACTAGCTCGACGACGGAACCCTCTACCGTGTCTTCCGCTACTTCTTCGATCTCCATAGCCCCGAATTCGTCGCCAACCACCTTTCGAATGACTCGAGCGACCCCATCCAGCTTTCTGGCGTTTCCGGCGTCGACTTCGACAGGTTCTTGTCCTTGATGTATCCGAGGTGCGTAACCTACCTTTCATGAACCTGCGCTCAACTAACAAACTTCAGCGAACTCGCTGGCTGCGACATCGAGACGCCCAGCGAATGGATCTCTGTCCTTCGCCTCGCGAACAAGTGGTCTTTCCCCGCCCTCCGCGCCCGCGCCATCAAAGAGATCGAGCGGATCGGAAGCGTTGTCGACAAAATATGCGTAGCAAGAGAGTTCGGCGGCTTAGGACACGACGATATGCACCCGCCCGAGGACGACCTCAATGCCTTGCAGCAGTGGCTCTTGCCCGCCTTCACGGAGGCTTGTACCACTCCGAAGTGGCTTGCGTCGGTCAGTCTTGACGATGCCGAGCGCTTGGGAGCGGGAACTGTCCTACAAGTCGCGAGGATCAGGGAGGAGTCGAGGGATGCAAGCGCGGGAAAGTTTGACGTAGTGACCGCGATTGTTGAGGCGGGAATGGCGCCGAGGAAGACGAAGATATCTATCAAAGCGAAGCCGTCCATATCCGTACCCAACCCAGCCACGTCCATCTCGCAGGCGATGTGCGCGCCCCTGTCGGGTACTGTCAAGCCAGCGCCCGCGGTCCGTACTTGGGGCGACCTCTTCGAAAGAGCATTCGAAGGGCCAGTGAGGGCCCAGCCGCACGCGTCACCTATAAACAACATACTGGTATCCGACGACAAGCCTACGCCTGCGGCAGTTCCTCCTGTGATCGCGAGCCCTAACCCCGCTGCCTCTGGGGTTCGACCACGATCTGCTCGCGCCAGCGACAGCGCTACGGGCCCGGAAGAGCCTTCGACCATCACTGTATCACGAACCAAGTGGATTGACACACTACTGGCTCTTGAGTCGTATGGCATATTGGATGCGGGTCTTGCGCCTATATCAGAGTCGTCGATGAACCCCCACAAAACGTCGGCGGCAACGAAAGACGCTCCTGCCACTCGCCCCTCGCCGTCATCGTCACTTGAACCGGGCGAAGATCCTGTGGAATCTGCTCAATTCACTGAATCCGAAAATCCTACCGCGTCTCGCGCACATCTGCACGAGCTGCTGACCGGCGAGAAACCGCTCTCCAAGAGTCAGATGAAGAAACAGCTTCGGGCAGCGCGATCATTGGAGGCAGATAGGCAGGCAAAGTATCAGAGGTAGAGAACTCATTACGAAATGGAGTGTCTGTAAAATTAGTTGCAGCGACGGTTGGTCCCTGGGCTTTTGACCATTTGCTTGGAATTGTTTGGTCCCGAATCGGATCTTGCCGGATTGGAGTGAAATGATTGTACCGTGTACGACTGTCGATTTCTGAAGTCTCTCGTTCCGAACTACTCACTCCTGTGACGGTTTCGCGCAGAAACCATTCGCTTCCTTCAGCTTGACCAACACTGATGAAGGCGTGCTCGATCGTGAGCCCTCACGCCATCCATCTCAGCGACTCTCTTTTCTGTGGAAGCCTTGACAAGGCTCAACCGGTTTCTTGCTGCACTGTGCGGTGACTGCTTTGGTTCCTTGAAGGCACAGGAAGTTACCGAGCAAAGGATGATCTACAGTAGGCGCGCATAGCGGGTGCTTCGTCTAGCCTAGAAGCTCGAGATCCTAGTATGGCGTAAGTGGCAGTTCCCGGAGGCATGTGGGTAAAGCATGTTGAACACCCTCTCAAGGCCTTGGATAGGCGCCAACGACCGCTCTTGTTCTCAACCCTCATGTCTATCCTCAGACGCTCGCCCTCGCTGGAATCGGTCAGCAGCGTGCGCTCGCTCGAAAGCATGCAATCTCTCGACAGCGCCAAGTCCTTCAGCAGCGCCCACTCGCCAGGCGGCGAGAGCGCTAAACTATCAGACTATGGCGACCTCAACAACATTGATATGGGACGGACTATAACCAAGGCTCCCGTCGTACCAGCAGTGGTGGACGGCGACGTTGAGAAGCCTTCGCCGACGGATGACGGCGCGCAGAGCACGTGTGACGACGAGTGCGAGCCTGCGCCCAAGTCCCCTGTGGAACCAGCTCCGCCGGACCACAGAAAGCACGACCGCTTCTATATGGACCCCAGGACGATCAAGCTCGTGGTATGTCATTCGATGCGAGCCTGTAGGTGGACGGGCTGACACAGTCGACAGCTCGACGACGGCACCCTCTATCGCGTCTTCCGCCAGTCTTTCGCGACGCACTCGACCTTGTTCGCCGAGGAGTACCTTGCGGGACGCGGGGATGATGAAGTCACCAAGCTTCCTGGCGTGTCCTCCGTCGACCTCGACAGGTTCTTGTCGTTGATGTATCCGTCGTGCGTCTATACACCTTCAAAGTTTGGCTTGTCTCAACTCACCAAAATGTGCAGGGAAGTAGCGACCTGCGAGCTTTCCTCCGCCCAGGACTGGATCTCTATCCTTCGTCTCGCACATCGATGGTCCTTTCCCACTCTCCGTGCCCGAGCGCTCCGGGAGATCGAGCTCGTTGGTAGCGCGGTCGACAAGATCGCCACCGCTCGAGAGTTCGGTGATCTGGAGCCCTCTAAGCAATGGCTCATGCCCGCATTCGTCGAAGCCTGCACTACACGTAGCTGGCTCGGTTCGGTCAGTGTTCAGGACGCTGAGCGCTTGGGCGCGGGTACGATCCTGGCTCTTGCGAAGATTAGAGAGGAGATGCGCGAGGTTGGGGGAAGGAAGTACGACACAGAGAACGCCATTGCTGCATTCGGACTTGCAACAGAGCGTCCAAAGACTCGGACGGATCCCACGGTAGCGACCACTGCTTCTACTTCACCACACGCACGCTCTTTGTCCGCCGCGAAGGTGACCGAAGGAGGCCCGGATGTCGATACCAGCGTACCTGTCAGTGACGCGAATGTGAGTGGCAGTCATGGGCGGCCATCCCAGGTACTGAGTAGCTCGCCTGTGCAGCCTACAGCCTCGCGACCTATCGCCGCTGACGAAGCACTCAAGACCCACCAGAGCCTCTTCGGAGGTTGGGCAGGCACTTCCGGTGGCAATGGGACGAGTGGGACCCATAAGGGCACAGATAGCATGCACGATATCGGAAAGGGGGCGTCTGTGAGTGTATTGATTATCACTAATCTCAGCCTCGTACCGAGTATTGACTACGATACCCAGAGCAAGAGCAACGGGTTGCAAGCTGTGCATACCCCGATCCTATCTTCGGTAACGACGACGCCGGATATGCCTCATCAAGGCGTCACTGCCGGCCCTATTCAAGTTCCAGCGACTGCACCTCCTCCAGTGGACTTGCGTGAGCATAAGGAGGACGACGGCAATATGTCTCCGCTGGATCGCGCGAGGCTCGCGTTAAGCATAGCACAGTCTTCGGAAGGGGAGTCGCCCAAAGTAATGCACTCTAAACGCGCTCGGGCCTCGCGCATTGCGGACAAGATTTTGAACGAGTCACCATGCTCTAATTATCTGAAGGACCAAGACTTCACATTGAGCCCGACCGTGCCGCCTGATCAAGCCCTTCGACGGGTATGCCAACGCATCGCTTGCCTAATCTCCCGGAAACTCTTGATCGCACACGCACCCGAGCAATCAAACGTGGATGAGCAGAGCATCCCAACCGTTCTTCGAGTGGTCGTTCCAAAGGGTGTGAAAGGTGCACCAATCAAGCGTAGGATCTCGGCAGGGCTGAAAGGGTACGTTTTCCGCGTCGTTTCATCCCACGGCTAACCTTTTGACGTTCTTCAGGCAGGGTTTGACTATAAGGGAAGACGTCAACAACAGGAGGGTGTTATCTGTGCATGTCCCGCAGATCAACAGTGCCTAAAGAATGTTATTCGGCAGTATGGCTATTGTTTCGCGATCTGGTACTGTGATTATGTCGTAAAACCTATGGCTCGAATCAAATCGACCCTTACGCTTGTTTTCACGACGTCTAGTTGGCCGGCTGTTATCCGACAGCGCAGTCTGTAGGCGTCATTGCCACCTATTTGTTCGTATTGTGGCGTAGTGGTCCAGCCCACGTGGATTGGAATTATGGGAATTCCTTTGTTGCGCCCAACCTTCGTTGCGCCGTGTCGATGGATTCGAGCACAAACAATCCCGCATATGCGCGCAGAGTCTCTCTCGAACATAAACCCAAGCCGCGAGTTCATGAGTAACTTGGCGGCCATAACGCGGTTGGAAGCTTTCGAAAGGCGCCGCACTGTTGCAGGAATGTCGTAACTCTTCTGGACATGCGATACGCGCATGTATCGACTGCGCCACGTAACCTTGCTCTGAACCGCCATGTCCGACCAACGACGGTCTCCTTCTCTGCAATCAGTCAACAGTACGGATTCATTTGGGAGTTTGGGTTCCATCGACAGCGCCGCAAGTCCTGTGCGCAAAACACGACCGTTCAATCACGACTCGGATAGCATGCTTGCCTCCGCTGAGATCTCTGCTCATGGCATCGGATCCAAAGCTCACGAGATGCCCTCGTCGACTGATACTAGTCACAACCGCGATGCTCCTTGCGAATACTCGTCCGGATGTTTCTCCCCGTCGCCTGCGCCTACAAGGAAGCATCCTCGCTTCTACCTAGACTCCAAGACGTTTGAGATCAAGGTGAGCGCTCTTTCCGCATCTCTACTTCTTCGAGAGTGTTGACACAATAACTCAGCTGGACGACGGCACACTGTACCGCGTCCTCCGCCAATCCTTCGAGACGCACTCGACCGCCTTCGCTGCGCAATACCTTGGCAGTTTTGTCGAGGATGAGCCCATCGCACTGTCAGGCGTCTTAGCAGAGGACCTGGACCGATTCCTCTCCTTGATATATCCATCGTGTGTCGCCTCCATTCACAAGCTCGCACCGTGCTGACGCACCCGTCATCAGCGAACTCGCGACCTGCGAGCTTTCTACAGCCGACGAATGGCTCTCCGTCCTCCGCCTTGCTCGCAAGTGGTCCTTCCCTACCCTTCGGACGCGCGCGATCCGCGAGGTCCACCTGACCGGCAGTGCCGTCGACAAGATCGCCGCCGCGCGGGAGTTCGCGGACATCGAGGAGCTCCAAGGATGGCTGCTGCCCGCGTTCAAGGAAGCATGCTCCGCGCCCCGTTGGCTGCGATTGGCGAGTCTGCAGGACGCAGAGCGCCTGGGTGCGGGTACAATCCTCGCTATCGCTCGAATAAGGGAGGAAGCGCGCGACGCTGAGGGGACGTACGACGTCGAGCGGGCGATCGTGGTGGCAGGACTGGCGCCGGATCCGACTCCAGTCAAGAGAACACGTACGGCAACCCAAGCCGATGTTCTGCGGCACATGTTCTCTGGTCGGCCGGCGAACCTCACTGATGTGACAGTCGGCGAGGCCTCCTTGAGTGCGAGCGTCAGAGAGCCTCTGACCCTCGTTTCCACCGCGCCCGCATCCTCTCCTCGTATGCCGCAACACCACGATGACGTGTCATGGCCGCCACCAATGGCGTTTCGGGATAGGCAGAGTACTCGTCGGGGAGCGCCTGGGCTTTCAGCTGAATCAGTATCATTCTCGAACCCAGCGACAGGCTCGCGTGTACATGTGGACAATAAGCCCGATAAGAGGACCGCACCTCCTCCAGCCGCAGAGGCACCTCCCGCTACGATGCGTGAAGCGTGGCCTCCCTCCTCCTTTGAGGCATGGTTAAATCCATCGGCTGGAGCCTCTCTACTACGTTCTGCGGCGCCGCGATCACTGGACACCTCACAGGCGATGGTGGTGTCCCTTGAAGAGGCAGAAATGTTCTCGCCCCCCGTTGGATCCGCTTTCTTGTCGCACTCCGATGAACCACCCGCTTCCCTGTCTACTCCAGTGCTCAATGCAACGCGGGAGCCATCTCCTCACCCTTTGAGTAAAGGTCAAAAGAAGAAGTTACACAAGAAGATGAGGATGAAGGAAAAGGTAGAGGCGGATATGGATAGGGCGCATGCGAAGGGGGCGGCGGCGAAAGAGGCACGGAGTCAGGAGGAAGATGAGAGGCAGAGAGAGGAGAAGGAGCAGTCCTTGGCGGAAGATGCACAGACGCAAATCAAGAACGGGCCGCGATTGAATACGGACGAAATCATGGATGCTGGTAGCTCAGAGTCCCATACTGGTCATGGCGCATCACAGAAATGCGAACCGGTGCTGGTATCTACCCCAGTAACAGGGCATGGCGCAAGCGGTGGTGCAGTCTTTTCGACCTCCTGAGGCTATTGGAGAGACGGAGCGCGAGTCTAAGGAGGACGATGTGGGGGAGGCCGAACAAGGGGAGCGGGCGGAAAAGGCTGACTGAGGTTCGGTTGGGGTAGACTCCCGTTGGAAGTCCATCTGCATAGTGGAGCGCGTCGAACGTTGCTCTTAGCGCGCGGAGGAAGACATCTCGAGATTGCATGTTATATTCGTTGGATCAGATGTAAAGGATACGATACGTGCGTAGTGTTCACTTGGCTGTACACCGCCGTCAAGCAGCGCAGATCACATATGCTGTGAACTTGGTCAGAAGGACGACGCGGCTTGAGCAAAGAACAATCTGGTCTTGCAGCTTCTTCGACTCGTTCTGCCTTGCTATGCATATAGTCAGACCTGGCAAGTTCAAGGCTCAGACGTCAGCGTATCTCTCGACGGATCTCAGCTCCGAAGCACGGAACGAACAGTACCTCTTGGGGATGGAAAGGACGGCTTGTATTGCAACGACTATACCGAACCGCTGCGCTTCTCCGAGCCTGTTTTGGCGGAGTCTTCACCTGTCAGAAATCGTCAGTCGAGCGACATAAGCAATGACCACACCCACTCACCCTCCGCCCTAGGTTTCTTCGCCGGATGATCTGTGGGGCTTTGAGTGCAAGTGCAATCGGGTGCAGGGCGCTTGCCCCTCCTCTTCTGATATGGCGTCAGCGATTGGCGTATACAAGCAAGAGCCGAGCCACTCACAAACCGATCCTCAAAGTGAATCTTGGCCTGGAAAGCTTCCTGGGCTTTGCGCTTCTCCTCTTCTTCCTGAAGTTCAAGTCAGCACACTACGCATCAGCTAGCACTGCGACTGAACTCACCCTCCGACTTCTCTGTATCCGCTCCAAGAACGAGCCATCGTTCGAGAAAACGTTGACCGGCTTGGGCTTCTTCGCAGCCGGCTTCATGGGCGTGACAGGAACGCCGACGGGATACGGGTAGGTGTAAGCGGGATAGGGTACGGGCGAAGTCGACTGGGAGGTGGGGGCGGGCGAGATGGACGTGGCGGTAGTTGCGCGAGACATAGCAGCGAGTAGGTTGAGGTGGTGGAAGAAGGCTGGAAAGTGCGAAGGCAGGAGATGATGGTGGTTCGGGACAAGAAGTGAAGGCCGACTCCGACCTGGGACGGAACGACCACCCCGCCGGTGGCTGTGCAGATTCGACCAAAGCGGAAGGAGCGCGATCGGCGGGCGATCGAGAACGTTCGCCCCCGCCTCATCCCTTCCACCTACCAATCACTGCCGACGATGAGCAGCTTATCATCTTTCCTTGTCCCCAAGGGCTCCAAGGCCGTAGACTCCGAGCTCGACGCTCTGTTCAAGAATGCAGTGCCGATGAAGCCTGAGGCGCCTCAGCCATCGAAGACGGATGCATCTACATCGAAGGCGGATCCATCTGCGACAGCGAAGGCCGACAAGGCCAGCGCACGCATCTCATCTGCGGACAAGAAGGCGAAGAAACGCAAGGCCGCGGAACCAGAGCCAGAGCAACCCACACCAAAGCGCTCGAAGGCCGAGAAAAAGTCCAAGAAGCAGGCTGCTGCTGTCGCCGCCGAGGACGCTGTTGACGATGACGAACTTATACCCTCTGCACCTACCACCACATCTACACCTGCTGATTCCGCCGAGGAAGCAGAGAACGACGCCATGGACGAATCTCCCGACTCGTATACCCCACCCACGCACATATCCGCCACTACTTCCTCGAACCCTAAACACCCCAAAAAGCGCACCAAGTTCGCGCCGGAAGAGGAGACGCCTGAGATGCGCGATGCTCGAACGCTGTTTGTAGGGAATGTGCCCGTCGAGGTGATGGGAAAGAAGGTGCGCTAATCTCCCTTTCGCTGCGCCTATGAACATCCCGCTGACCTTCATTTCTCCCCTAGCCCCTTATCAAGTCACTTCAACGCCATCTTCTTTCAGCCGTACCGAACGCTCGCGCAGAGTCGATCCGCTTCCGCAGCGTCCCCGTGCCGGTGAAGACAAAGGAGGATGAGGCTAAGGAGAAGGCTGAGAAAGAGCCTGGCGAGAAGCTCGACCCCAAGGGTACGCGTACAACCTCTTCGCGGCCTCCATTGACACTAACTCAAACCCAACCAGGCAAGCGCGACGCGATCGCCAAAGCCGCTGCCAAGGGACGTCAGGACGTTCGCTCCTCCACCAACCACGCCAACACCCGCACCTCCGCCTGGCGCGCGAACCAGAACGACGACGACGATGCCACCGCACTCGCGAAGACCTACCTGACCCCCGCGGAGAAGAAGAGGATCGCGGCGATCACGGGCGACCTTGGAGAGAAAGCTAACTCCGTCACGGCGTACTTGGTACTGGCGCACCCTGCGCCGCGTCCTGCGAATCTTCCGCCGCTACCCACTGCGGACCCATACCAGGCGGCGATTCAGATAGCGGCGAAGATGGATGGGGTGGAGTGGGAGGGGAGGGCTCTGCGCGTCGACCTCGCACGGAGGGATCCTGCGGTGTTCGCCGCCGTCGGGGCTTCTTCCGCTGCCGCGGGCAGTTCATCGGCTGGCGATGCACCTGCAGCTGAAGGCGAAGCGACGAAGACAACTATCGCAGAGACCCCAGTTGACCTCACCGCCCTCCTTCCCGATCCGAAGCGCACGCTCTTTGTCGGGAACCTCGATTACGGCGCGAAGGAGGACGATGTGCGAGCGTTCTTTGAAGCTGAGGTTGACAAGCTTGTCAACGAGACGGTGAATGACAGCGACGATGAGAACAGCTCGTCGCAGGCGTCAGACGACGAGAGCGGTGAAGAAGAGGATGAAGAAGATGAGGAAGATGAAGCAGCGGACGATGAAGAGGATGAAGAGGAAGCGGAGAACGACGAAGAGGAAGGCTCAGAAGCTGGGTCAGACGCAGAGGAGACCGAGACGCCCGCCAAACCCTCGAGCACCACCCACCACGTCTCGCGTGTCCGCATCGTGCGCGATTCATCTACCGGCGTCGGCAAAGGCTTTGCATACGTGCAGTTCGTGGTAAGTCTTCGTATTCTTTCGTCAGTGTCGCCGAACAACTGCTGAGCCTCCCACCTCAGGATCGCACCCCCGTCGACGAGCTCCTCGCCCTCCCCGCCGGCAGCCTCAAGTTCGCCAAGCGCAAGCTCCGCGTGCAGAAATGCAAGACTGTCCCCGGCGCCAGCACGAAGGTCAAAGCCGACAAGGTTCCCAAAGCCAACATTGGCGAAAAGGGAGGCAAGACCAAGACCCCCGCCCACACCAGCAAACCCAAGTACGCGCGCTCGCCCGACTCAGGGTGGGGTGCGCGGGCTGGAGCTGGTCCCTTGGCTTCCGCTGCAGGCAAGCATGCCCCGGGTGGCAAGCAGGCGCCGAAAAAACCTGTTGTTGTGCCGTCGGGCGATCCTACGCTGGGTAGCCGACTAGCCGGGCTCCCCAAGGATGCGCGCAAAGCTGCGAAGGCAGCGGACGCGGCACGCGTAGCGAGGAGAGCGGCGAAGAAGGCGGCGAAGAAAGGTGAGTATCCGTATCTTTGTTCCCAATCTGCATCGCTGCGTCGAAGGATGGCGCCGCTCATTGATTTCAATAATATTTCGACCGTGTATGCTTACCTACACTCCCAGGCGCACCCGCGGCTCCCAATGCAGACGCCAACGCAGCAAAGGCCGCCCGGCTCGAGAAACGCAAAGCCCGCATGGCAATGGGCGGCAAGATGGAGGGCAAGGAGCGTGTCAGAGTACGGAAGGAAAGAGGTGAGTTGGATCGCCTTCTACTCGGGTTGACGTATCTTCCTCGTGCCTTCTCGTCTGCGCGCCGGTTGTGGCGAGGATATAATGTGCTCATTCCTTGTCAGATCCTTCAGGAGGCAAGTCCGCAAAGAAGGCCGGCAAGGCGAAGTACAATAAGGCTGGTGGCTCGGGAAAATCCAGCGGCAAGGACAAGAAACGCGCACGGGCGGCGGCCGGGAAGAAGTAGGCGGAATGTTGTGGAGGGGCTGGCGATGCGGAAAACGGCTTTACGAGTACCTTTGGTATCCGCTCAAGTTTCCTTTTTCCTCTTCGCAACATCCTCTCCTACAGGATTCAGGATCGCGATTCACAATATTGCGCATCGTAGCCCCGGTATCATGACATTAGCTGCATCGAAAGTATCTAGCATCATCCTTCCTTGTTGCCAGCTTTCTCTACCAGCCTTGCTTCTACTCGTCTACTGATTCCTCTTCTTCGCGCCTCTTCTCCCCCTTGACAATCTGCCTGATTCTTTGTTTTCCCTCCTCCTTCATCTTCGCCTGTTCTTCTCCTCGCGTCCGGGCTATATCATAAGACGTGGCTGCCGAACCTGCACGGGCACCCCGTCTTACTATCTTGGAAGTGGGTGGTACTGCGGCGCCGCGGTAGCATTCGTCAAGGGCGTGCTGTAGTCTGTGTAGGTCTGGAGCACATTGCTACAGGCTCGGAAGGCGTCATTGCGGATGAGGAAGACTCTGCTGGAGCAGAATCTTGTGCTTGAGTGATGGGCTGGGATGCTGCGGCGGACGCAGAAGTAGGAGAGTCGGAAGCGATGCTGGAAGGAGGACTTGGAGGGTTGGAGCTGCACGATGATGCGGAGACCGGACGTATGCGTGGAGGAGCGATTTGATGTCCGCCCGACGACGCTCTCGACGGCTTCGAACTAGCCGTGCTGCCCTTGTTCATTTTCGCTGCTAACGCGGCTTGCCTCGCGGTGCGTTCTTGTACAGTCAGTCGAGGAGGTTCCAGTGGCACGGGTGGTGTGATCTGTAGCTGGGTTATGAAAGATGCCCAGTAGCCCGATGGCTTAGTTGAAGAGGAAGATGGCGGTGTCGGTGATTTCTTCGTCACGGTCTTTGGTACGGCTGCAGCCGATGGAGCGCATTGAGGCTCTGTAGCGTTCGGTACACGCGGTAGGCATGGGTAGTTAGCAACCACCGGGAGAGGGGCGACGGGCGATGGTGGCTTAGCGGACCCTGCTTGGCCACCAATTGCAGGAGAAACGGGTCGAGGCGCTGCATTCATGGTATCGGAGCCGTTTTTCTTTCGAAGGCGAGTCGGAGCTCGCTCAACTGTCACGACTGGATCAACCTGCGGAGTCGGTGCAGCCGGGTTGACGCTCGGAGTATCCACAGGAGCGAATGGAGGGGATGCACTTTTGGTTCCCTGAGAGTCATGAGTGGTGGTGGGCTTCAAGACGACACAAGGGGCAGAGGGGATTTCGAAAGGTGCAGAGGCAGGCGGGTTAGCCAGAGTGACATTCGCTGGCGGCGCTGATGGCTCCATACAGGTCTCCATCGGCGGTGCAGGCGCCAGTCCTGCCGCGACGATAGCCCGCTCAATGGCGCGACTATCCAGCTTTTTCTTCGTCCGGCGTGCGTCTTCCCTGATACGTGCAATATGCAAGAGCGTACACGCTCCAAGACGCTCCGCATCACCCAAAGTCGTTGTCTGAAGCCAATCGGAAGCGCTGCACGCCTCCGTGAACGCTGGAAGCAGCCACTCCTGCAGTTCGTCGAGGTCGTCGAACTCCCTAGCCGATGCAATTCGGTCGACAGCGGTGCCGACGACTTTGATTTCTCGGATGGCGCGCGAGCATATGGCAGGAAAGGACCACTTGTGCGCGAGGCGTAGGACGGAGATCCACTCGTCGGCGGTAGAAAGCTCGCAGGTGGCGAGTTCGCTGGCGGGCGGAGGTCAGAGGGAGATACAAGGACGATTCTGGAAAGCAGCGCACCTCGGATACATCAACGAAAGAAACCTGTCGAGATCGACTGAAGACACGCCGGAAAGCTTGATGGGTTCGTCCTCCGAGCAGTTTGCGAGGTACTGCGTTGCAAACGCGGAGGAATGCTCCTCGAGCGACTGGCGGAAGACGCGATAGAGGGTACCATCGTCGAGCTGTAGGAGTATTAGCTTATGCGAGGGTGCATATACGACGATAGACGCACCACGAGCTGAATGGTCCTCGGATCCATGTAGAAGCGGTTGTGCTTCTTAGTGTTCAAGAGAGTTGGCTTTACAGCGAGTCTCGAGGATGGACTGGTCGCTGCAGAAGCATCACGTTCATCGTTACACGTGTTCACCCAGTCGCCGATTTTTGAGGAAGGATCGCCGGCGCCCTGGCCGCTGTCAGAAGCCGAAGGCGCGGGGATGGGGATGCTGGTGATGGTTCGTCCCATGTCGATGTCGTTCAGATTTTCGTGATCTGAGGGTTTGGCGCCCCGCTCGTCGAGAGATTCCGAGCTGAGGAAGGAGTTGATACTCTCGGCAGACTGCATGCTTGCTAGCGACTGTAGGCTGCCGACTGATTCCAGGGAAGGCGAGCGTCTGAGGTCGGTCATGAAGGTCGAGAGCAGAGTTGCGTGACGGTGCCGGTTTGGGTCTCGTATGGCACGCGCACCCCACGCATCTAGCTGCAGCAAAGTTACGACACCCTAGTACGCGGCTCGGCATCTGCCTTCTGGACTGCGGCGTGGCCACTCGCATTGGGACGCCAGATTGATCCTTTGATACGCTCGGATAGACATATAATATGCGCCCGTGCGCGAGTCTCACGAAGCATGTCTCCAGCGCAGATGATGAGCAGAATCCGCGCGAGGACATTGTGGAAGCCTCGAAAGCGCAAAATTGCCTTAATTGGGAAGTTATGTCGAAGACCATCAAAGCACAACAAGACCATACAAGCTCCCGACCGACAAAGGACGAGTCATTCTCCCCTCTCTTCAAAGAACTCCCTTGAGCTTTGAAGGCTCGTTAGATTGCTGCTCTATCACTTTGATCACACGCTTCTCGATCTTTGCCAAGATGGCCGTCGCTAGTGGGAAATCTGAAGACCTCATATGAGGTACAGCAAAGTAAGTCAATTACAGGACGCTGTTGTATTCCACCGTGATGGTAGGAGTCTCGATTTGTGCTGCTGCATTATCGCAACGACAGATAGGGTTGACTCCCCGTCACACATGCGACGGATTAGTTGGCCTAGTATTCCGGGGTTGCTGCGGCTGCACTAGCATTGCTCGAGCTTCCCTCATCTTCGCCATGGTCACATTCGCTTCGCCTACGTGAGAGCGCCGCAAAGTGCATCGACTCCAAGAAGCTACCCGGGCTCCTCATCGTTGCCTTCGCGGCGGCATGCTGTTGCGCCGTCACCGCAACTACGATGAGGGTGGGGTAAATTCCCTGTCGATCACATGAGCACTAAGTCGCACAAGCGAAAACGCTACGCCGCGCACCGCAATCAGGAACATGGCGTTTGTGAAGACGACAGGCGTAGATGAGGAGCCTGAGGAGGCGGAGATGTCGATGGCCAAGTTGACGACCTAGTAAAGGCTACTGGTGAGCCGGCACGACGGGCACAGGAAGGCTATACTTACGGAAATGACGCAGTACACGGCGCCAGCTTCGAACAGCAGCATAAGCACGCCTCCGATATGCGTGCCAGTGGACACTGGCATCGGGCTAATGAAAGCGGCAACTTCACGTCGGTAAAACCTGCATGGATGTGTCGGCGAGACGACACGCGGGCAGGAGAGACCGCTCACCACACGCGTAGTCCGACGAGCGCTGTAGCCACCACGTTCGTGAACAATAGGGGAAGGTTGATAATCAGGGTTGAGCGCAGGTCATTGCTCCAGATGCGCGAAGGCAGGGATGCGGTCTCGTAAACGACGCCGACTGTAATGAACAAAAACGGTCAATGAGAGACATCGAAATTCTCACAATCCCTCACTCGCGCTCAGAACCAAACAGAAGGCAAGCAGTCCGTGAACGACGCGCTGGTCGTGCCACAGTACCCAGGCCCGCCAGACCAGGAGCGCGTCGCTGAGCACGTACTGAGCGGAATCAGCAATGTAACCCCTCAGTTCAGAGCACAAAACTAACGTTGATGCGGCAGCTCACGACGTGCAGGACAGCGAGGCGATAGGCCATAGTCCTCGGATCGGTCGGGAAGAGGTCAATCAGTGGACATTGAGTCACAAATGCAAGCATCTGAGTAGCAGCTCCGATGGATGAGGCGATGAATGCCAGCGTTACGGCGCTTAGTAGCTTCCAAGCATTGCCTCGTTTGCGACTGACGAGGACATCAGCATATCGCCCTACGGAAGACGGGGACAGACAACTCGCGCCAGAATTGGGACTGCGATTGCGAATAAAGTAGCTTGAGCACCTGCGCTTCACGATCAGCTATTTGGCTCGCGTACACGAATGGCCGCTAACACTCACCATACAACGCCAGCGTCAAGCAAACCTGCGTGATGATATCCTGCGTCTCGCTGACGGCAGCCCGACCCAAAGGCCGAGAGGCTGTCCTCAAGGATGGCAACGCCATCGCAGCGAACCACGTCGGAGACATAACATGCGCGAGATGCGGCACCTGGGGTCCGGGAAAAGCGGGTCAGATAGACAGGAAGGTCGACATATATTAGTCGTAATGGGACTGAATTGCGGATGCTGCGACCTGCAATCAGCGCCCATCAGCATGTCTCTGGAGCTCGCTACCGGCTCTCTGAGAGGAGTGGTACCCAATGCGTCGTGGGTTGCCGCACGGAACAAGGAAATCTGCGTGCCAAACCCGTATACGGACACAGCTGATTGACACGAAGGGTCAGGAGCCCACTCATATACGCTTGTTTCCGAGGTCGTGTCTGTTTTGCCGTAAGCGACAAGCCGCTCGAGGGTGTAAAGCAGCGGCGCTGGCGATGAGACACGAAGACGGGCGCTCGCAGAAAGGTCGGCGGAGGGCACACCGGTTTGTAGACAGGGCTAAGCCTAAGTTGTTTATTCGGGGCGCTAGCGAGACTGCGACCTTCTGTGCAGAAGAAAATGGCAGGTTTTCAGAATTTGTTTGCCGACCAGCATCACGAGCGTTGGGGACAAGGGGAATTCCCGATTAGGTAGTCCTTGTTTGATATGACATCACAAACCTCTGATTGGACCCACAGTACACGATGCACGGTCACGCAAACAGAGTCAGATCATGGAAGGCCGAGGGAAGATGTTTGTCGGGACTATTCAGAAAAAGTCGTCGATGTACTTACGCTTGCATAGGACTGGAGGGCAGACTCTTGAGGGTCAGGGGCAGCTACTAGAGATACCATGGGGTTGAAATTTCGAGAGGCTGCGACCGACCACGCACCGGGAGATAGGCGCGTTGACATCGTCGGGGACAGCGCTGACGTGCAGACCAGCGCCTGCACGCTGTGATCGAGACGTACGGGCTAAATTCGCACGCTAAGCGCTGACTTCCCCGCGGCGACCCCGCCATATTCGTACCGACATTTCCCCGATGCCCCTCGTTCATGACCCTCACGCTCTCGCTGCGACGCCTTCCTTGACGCATGCTGTGAATCCCTGCTTGCTTGGTTCTCCCACAAACTATACTTAAAGGATCCTCGGACGGGGCCATCGCAGATAGCAATACGGCCAACTTCATCCTTCCCTCGCAAGCTGCAGTCGATCTAGCCATGTCGAACGCGATGGAACTCGAGCAAATGACGCGCCCTACGGCGCGCCAGAACTATACCGGATCTACGAAGGGCTCTGTTGAGGGAGGGGACACGGAGGTTGGACCAGCGACCGGCGCGTCGAGCACCGTCGAAGGCGGCCAAGGAACGCCGCCCGCTGAACGAACACGCAAGATGGTCATGACAGATCACCTTCAATTCTTCGCTGCCTGCTGGTCTATGGTTCTCGCGGGATGGAACGACGGGACGACGGGTCCCCTGCTCCCTCGGATTCAGCAGGTGTACCATGTACGTCGCGGTTCGGTGGCTGAAGATGCTTGAGCGTGCTGACGATCGACTAGGTCAACTATGCCGTTGTGTCCTTGCTGTTCGTGTGCGCGTGCATAGTGAGTAGCTGTCAACGTCTTGTAGGATCTCACTAATGAGCGCAGGGCTTCATATCGGGCGCCCTCATCAACGTCCCCTTGTCGGAGCGGCTTGGCTTTGGCAAGGTGTGTGACCCATTGCGCCCCTCGAACTCGCGAATGACCTGTCGCTAGCTCATGGCGCTCGGCAAGTCATATCCTCACGAGCATGAACCTCGTATTGAAGATTATTGCAAGGCTCCGCCCTTCAAACCATAGCATACGCGATCGACTCCCCCGCTCCTCCCTTCCCCGTCCTCTGCGTAGCCTATGCCATCAACGGAGTCGGCATGGCTATCCAGGTGCGTGCTGCGCACAGATTACCGCATATGCGCACCTCATCATTGACCCTTAGGATGCGCAAGCCAACGGCTACGTAGCATCGCTGAAGGACAACTCGGAGGCCAAGATGGGCTTCCTACACGCAGCGTATGGTACTTCATCCCCTCCTCGGAAGTCATTCCCATCGCGCTGACTTCCATCCAGGCCTCGGTGCACTCGCCGCTCCGCTCGTCTCGACGCAATTTTCACAAAAGAAGCACTGGTCCTTCCACTACCTTACATCCATGGGCGTCGGACTTTCCAGCGTTATCATCCAAATTGCAGTCTTCCGCTTTAGGACGCATGATGGTACGTATTGCTGCATCTTCTGACGCGCATAGACCTTCTTCACCTTCCTCCTTCCCTACTAACGCCAATTTCCCTCATAGAATGCCTCCTCCGCATCGGCCTGCCCGTCCAAGAGAAGGGCTCCAGCACTGAAAGCAATTTCAAGCAGATCTTCCGGCTCAAGAACATGCACATCCTCGCCGTCTTCATCCTGGTGTACGTCGGCGTGGAGGTCACCATCGGCGGCTGGATTGTGTCGTACGTGATCGACGAGCGCGGGGGTGGCCCGGATTCGGGGTATATCTCGTCGGGGTTCTTTGCGGGTGAGTTGGACTGGGTTGTATGCGCGCACGAGCGGAGCAAAGTGCGAGGGAGGAGTGCTGACGGTTAGATAGGTCTGATGCTGGGCCGGTTGGTGCTGCTGTGGGTGAATGCAAAGGTGATTGTGCGAGTGAGGAACTCAATCGCCCTGCTAATGTCCCTACCTCAGATCGGCGAATGGCTCGCGCTCTTCATATACGCGCTCCTCGCCATCGGCCTCGAACTCGTCGTCTGGCTAGTCCCCTCTCTCATTGGCGGCGGCGTCGCCGTCTCCCTCGTCGGCCTCCTCCTTGGACCCTTCTACCCCATTGCCATGAACCAGGCCGCGCGCATCCTGCCTGCGTGGCTTCTGACGCCGAGCATCGGCTGGATTGCGGGCTTCGGGCAGGCGGGGAGCGCGGTGCTGCCGTTTATAACGGGTGCGCTGGCGCAGAGTACAGGGATTGGGAGCTTGCAGCCGTTGTGAGTAGCGAGTCTTATCGTGGACTCGGGAGGGTTGATCGTGCAGGGAAGAGAAACTGACGCGACTCTGTAGCCTGGTGTCGATGATGGGCTTCATGATGGTTTTATGGGCGATGGTGCCGAGGAAGGCGACGCATATGGACTAGGAAGATGAATACACGGGGGATTCCTTCTGGTAGGCCAGAGGCTTACACTTATCAAGTAAGTGGTTAACAGACCATGAGCTTGCGCAGCCGAGCTTATCGTTTCTAGGTAGACTTTATATACTGATTTCAACAAGAGCATCGTTCCGCCTCAACCTAACCTGCGCAGGCGCTTATGACACTTTGTGTTCATGGTTGGAGGCCACGCGATGGAGATGCGAAGTATCGGGTGGATGACGCCTTCCAAAACCGGTGTGCTGGTTCGTTCTTAGTAAAGCACTAGGTAAGTTGGAGGTTTCGTATATAACCTGCTGTGGCTTCTCATCCCCGTCTTCCACCCGCATCCTGTCTCTGCTCTGCAATTATGCCGAGCACGATGAAACTTGAGGCAATGACGCATCCCACAGCACGCTCGACACATGGCTTGTCGCAAGAAGGCGGCCCGCGCGAACTCGAAGTTGGCCCGCATTCCACTGAGCCTTCCGCGCCTCCCTCGCGTACCCGCGAACAGATCCGTGCGGGTCACCTTCAGTTCCCCGCTGCTTGCTACGCCTCGATGCTGGCGGGGTGGAATGACGGAACGACTGGACCGCTGCTGCCGCGGATACATCAGGTTTACGGGGTAGGTGCTTGTCTTCGATGCCTGCTCTCCCGACATTGAAGGTCTAAACCAGGTCAACTACGCGGTCGTGTCCTTGTTGTTCGTCTGCGCGTGTGTGGTGGGGATGTCAGTTAAAATCCCAGATCAGTCTTTTGAGGCGATTACCAGGGCTTCTTGTCAGGCGCGCTCATCAATATACCCTTATCGGATCGGCTTGGCTATGGAGAGGTTCGTGTTCATTCAACTTCATACAGGTAAATTTCGGTGCTCACCTTCGCTCCAGCTTATGGCGCTCGGAAAGCCTCTTGTGCTTGAGGTGTGCGCTGCAGACTGACGATGGTCTACAGGACCCATCATCCAGATCATCGCATGCTCTATCAACTCGCCCGCACCGCCGTTCCTAGTCCTGTGCGTCAGCTATGCGATTAACGGTATCGGGATGGCCATACAAGATGCTCAGTCAAATGGCTACGTCGCATCCTTGACAGAGAAACCAGAGGCCAAGATGGGAATGCTGCACGCTGCGTACGGTAAGATATTTTCGCCCATTGATGTATCTCCGTGACGATCCCTATTGCAGGTCTCGGCGCGCTCACTGCTCCGCTGGTCTCGACGCAGTTCTCGCAGATGCATCACTGGTCCTTCCACTACTTGGCGTCTTTGGGACTGATGTTTTCCAGCCTCGTCATACAAGTTGCAATCTATCGTTTCAGGACTCGGGACGATCTGTTTTCCCGCGAAGATTTAGTCACTCACGTACTCATTTCCCCTCCCAGAATGCCTCGCCCTCATCGGTCAAGCCCCGCTTGAGAAGAGCGCCAGCGCCGAGAGCAACTTCAGGCAGATCTTCCGCTTGAAGAACCTGCACCTGCTCGCCGTCTTCGTTCTCGTCTACGTCGGCGTCGAAGTGACCATCGGCGGTTGGATCGTCACCTATGTGATCGACGAGCGTGGCGGCGGTCCGAGCTCGGGTTACATTTCATCTGGTTTCTTTGCGGGTTGGTCGATGATACTGTATGAGGAAGCGTGCTGAGATACTCGGGCAGGTTTGATGATCGGTCGCCTTGCCCTGCTTTGGGTCAATGCCAAGGTATGTTTACTGTACTTTTGTCGGTTCCAATCGCGATTGACAGTGATGCACTACAGGTCGGCGAATGGCCGGTTCTCTTCGTATACGCGCTTCTAGCTATTGGGTGAGTCCCTTCCAAAGCACGTCAACTGCTCTCTCACACAACCCCTCCAGCCTCGAACTCGTAGTGTGGCTCGTCCCATCCCTCATCGGGGGTGGTGTTGCTGTCGCGCTCGTTGGCGTTATCCTTGGGGCATGCTACCCAATCGCAATGAACCAGGCCGCGCGCATCCTTCCTGCATGGCTTATCACGCCGTGCATTGGGTGGATTGCAGGCTTCGGACAGGCGGGGAGTGCTGTTCTGCCTCTGATAACCGGCGCACTCGCACAGAGCACGGGGATCAAGAGCTTGCAGCCGTTGTAAGTCTTTGGGGCTGCGGTAGCAAGAGTGTATATCATGCCGCTGACACGATTACTGTTAGTTTGGTTTCGATGATGGGATGCATGATGGTGCTGTGGGCGATGGTGCCTAGGAAGGCGATGCGCATGGATTGAGAAAGGAAAGTATTCAAGTGTGGCTCCGAGTTACCCACAGCGCTCATGCATCTTAATTGTCATGTTATATCTTACCTTGCTATCTATAGGGTCCCTCAAAGCTCGTTTCGTGTCTTCGAATTTTTCCTCTGCGCAAAGGGAAAACCCTGAAAAAGGTACCGTTTGGCGGGGAAAACGGGCGAGAATCCTGTTCAACACAGCCACATGTCCTTCCTCTGTGTTCAAACCTCTGTTCAGAATAATCGGATTCTTCCTTTTCTCGTGAAAAATCACTCGAAAAGGCCGAATCCCGCGCCAAAAGTTCTGTTTAAAAGAGCCGAATTTTTCCTTTTCGCAAAATTCCGCCAGGTTTGAACGACCCTTATGATGAAGGAGGCGGGAGGATTTGAGTTATTGTCACGGTAAATGAGCGAAAACTAGCACAAACAAAGAGCAATAAGGCACTACATATCAATATTCGTACTTGTTTCCTTCGCATCCTCTCAGAAATAGTCATAGCCAGAAAGACAAAGGTACGACGTAAGCTCTGCAGTAGATCAAGTGCTCTGCTAATACTTTGGGACTAGCTCTGTTATATGTCGACAGTCATTTCCGAGTCAGTGAACGCGCGTACGCGTGTAGAGTCGTTGACAACGGCATTCGAGTGTTCTCTACGGAGCGCCGGAGCGTCGGCCGATCTTGCAAAACATCGCTCTACATACGAGCCGACTCAGCAGGACGCAACTGCCCTCGAGATGCAGGTGCAAGTTCTGAAGACTTTGGAATCGCAGGCGACCGAATTAATCGGGGAGATGACGGCGGCGACAGAGGGCTCGGCATCAGACGAGATGCTTGCGGACATACAAGGCCTCCGCTTCAGAGCTTCCAAGCAAGCATCTTTCAACCTGGCACTGCTCGCTCCGTGGCGCCGTCTCCGTGGCGCCGTCTTCCGACCGAACTCTTGTCGACAATCCTCGCAAACGCTCTACCATCGCACTGGCATAGCAGTCAGGCCGGCCACCGAGGCTCGCCACCTTGCGCAAAGGTCTGCTACCGATGGAGGGCCGTTGTCTTCAGTACGCCCAGCATATGGACACATATCAACATTGAGCTCCCCAGCCCGCGCAGACATGCGCAACTATGCCGAGCCATATTAGAGGAACTCCGACGCTCATCCCAAGCCCCTCTACATGTGACGGTCACGCGAGCTGACTATGCTCATGAGCTGGATGCGGAACCCTACCGTGACTGTGACGGCGTTTGGCGGGTAGTCCTGAAGCATTCGCAAAGATGGGCGAGCTTCGAGATGATCAAGCACTTTCCCAGAACGTACTTCCGCGCCAGCAAGAGGCGCCTGTCGTTTCCTCTCCTCCGCCAAATCAAGCTGGTAGCTGAATATGCTGCGATTCCCAAAGGTTCCGACCTTCTGCGGGACAGCATCTTACCTCTCTCGTTCTTCAAGCATGTGCCTACAATCTGTGACGTGTCTTTGACCTACATGTCGTCTTTCGGGCCCCTCAGTCTTCCTCGGACCTGGACGATCACGCATCTCACGATTGGTTGCGGGACGAACGCCCACTGGGCATTCGATCCTCTACCTGGCCTGGCGCCCATCCTTCCCGTACTCGCCTCGGGTAGCAGCACACTTCGTACATTCGTCATCAACGCCAGCCATATACTGGGGTACTCCCCAGATGTACAACCAGTGGTCGCTTTCCCCGTTCTGCACGAAATCTACTTCGATGGTTCTGCAGCCCTCCTGCTGCGTCATATCACCGCGCCATCCCTCCATATGCTTACGCTGGTCGGGCGCAACTCTGCGCACGATGCACAGCAATATGGAGATGTCCTTGATGCCCTCGCTGTGATGTGCGCACGAGGTGGATGCCCGAACCTGTCTTCACTCGTTCTGAATGAAGTTCACGCGCGTCCGACCCAGCTTATCGCGTGCCTACGGTCTTTTCCCTCACTCGCTCACGTCGAACTCACCAACGATCACAGCGATAAAAAGGATCCGCTGGTAACAGACGAAGTCATCCGCGCGTCAACGCGTGGGCGTGCAACGACCGACGCGCTGCTCCCTTGCGTCATTTCGCTTCGCATCTACTATCGCCTGCCCGTTGGAAGCGCGCTGCCGCAGCATGAGCTGCACAATATTCGTGCTATGCTCGCGTCCCGACGCCAGCATCGTCCCGGCCTGGCATTCCTCAACATTCTCCGCATAGATAACGTTGGGGATGATTGGCTGCATCACCATGCTGTCGACTTGAACTGGGATTATACGGACAGCTCGGAACGAGAATCCGACACGAACACGGACTCGTCTGGCGATACCGACAGTTCTTCTGGGCTTGACAGTGATGCGTAGTCGAAGTGATTACAAAATTCCCAGCACGAACCCAGAGCATCTCGGCCATAGATTGTGCTAGTATTCTATCAATGCCCCAATTCAATCGACTTTGGCCGGCCATCTTCACTGATACGTGTCCCGCGACGAGCGCGATGACGACGCTCACTGTCATCGCTCTGGATGCGGCGATCATTCACGCTTCCCAGTCTGTATGACTCAACGCGAGGTGAAGTCTGAAGCAAGGTATCGTTGTCATACTGAGTATACATGTTGTGCTGTGTTGACTACGGGCACTGCGCTGACTCGAGGCATGCTGTAAAGCTCAGTCGCAACCTTCTCTGTGTTCGCGACGTCGTTTCCTTCTTCCTTCATGCCTCCATCGGTTGGCGTACGTCAAGCGTACGCGCATACCGAACCTTTGGTGACTCGCTATACAATGCGAGGCTCCGCCAGCGATGATGCTCTTCGCGATCGGCTCAGTCATGGCAAAGCGTTTGCAAGGCCTCGAGCCTTGGTACGACGAGCTCAAGAACATGAACTATTACGCAAGATGGTGTTACAAAGGACAGAACTACAGCTGGTTTACAACATTATAGGGGGTGAGCGACGACGACAGTGGCTAACAAGAGGGCGGACGAGTACATGGGCGACCACGAGGACGTGAACGGTCCGGTACACAAGAAGGGGAGTGGACGAAGCGACCAAGAAGGCAAGAAAACTAGGCAATGCAGATGCGATTATGAGTGTGATAATGCGTGGTGAGTGACGGAATGCATGGAACGACGGAAAACATAGACAATGATTGTTGCATACAGAACATGGCGAAGGCACCACGTTCCAGAGGGGTATCGCGCTCAGTGCCGGCGATACATCGGATGCTGCTCCCACATGGGCCTCTGCGATGGATGCGTATAAGCTCCGGGGTAGCCTGGATAGTGGGCGCCAGGCCCAGGGATGGGCGGCGACGGGTTGGTGGTCGTGGCCATCGACTCGAGCATCAACTTCCAATTCCCGTCCTTCTCCTGCATGAGCCCATAGAACAGCCTGTGGCTACGCATCAGGTCGACGCGGCGGAGACCATGCTCGCGCTCCATGAGCACCGGCGTCTCGCGACAGCGCTGCAGGAACCACGGGCGGCACGTCTCAAGATATGCGTCCCCGGCCTGCGCAACCTCAGCTGCATCAAGCGGACGATGATACTCGTTGTATATCGCCTCAAACACGTCGATGACGCGCACACCAGCACGTCTCTGGACGAGGATCTCCGTCGTCGGCAGTACGCCGCGCACAGGGCAGCGAATGTACATCTTCGTCACGATGCAGTGCGTCGAAACGGGCAGAAGACGATAGGCGTCGGGCATCGTGTGGGAGCGAGAACGCGTCCCGTGGGGCTGCACGCACAGGTTACGAGGATTCGACACTGGGTTGAAGGCGATGTCGAAATACACGGCCTGCAACTCTTCGGGCGACTTCTTCCGCCGCAGGCGGATCTCGCGCTCGACGAGTGGCCAGCTCAACGAGATGGACTCGCCTTTCAGCGGCTCTGAGAAGGAGTGGTTAGTTCGTGGTGGAGGTAGATGGACAAACTCCCTATACCGAGGTTCGGACCCCTTGGTCGACGAGATACGCTGTCGTGCATATCAGAAGTGTAACCCGCGTCGCGCTGCTCCACAGCACGGCGGTCCTGACCACCGGTACGCCCTTCGCTCCTAGATGGCCTGTGACCCGCTACAGATCGCGCACGGTCTGCCGTAGTGACCCTAGGATCCCCTGGATATTCAGGGTAGACGTTCCCGTCGTGATCTATAGTGCGTTCAATTCCCCCTGTCCTGCACCGCTTTACTGCTACTCACCTGCCACTCTCCCGTCCGGATAGTAGGTCTTCCCCCGCACTTTCGGGCCGTATATCTGGTCTGGTGCTGTGAAGGTCGAATAAGCGCCGGGCGCGAAAGCCTCATCGATGCACGCACTACGACCCGAGGTTGTCACCGTCTCCACTGGAGTGGTTGCAGAAGGGGTCCAGCCCCCCGCCGTCGACGATGCTGTTTCCGATGTCAGTCCGGTCCGCGACGCCGCAAACGTATAACGCACCTGGTATCGTCGCTCGTCGTGAACTCTTCAAGATGGGCTTCAAGGGCTTGGGAGTCACTACTCATCAGCCCAGAGTGAGTTCGGATGAAAACTGGGGTGCAGGGAAGCGTACCTGCTGCAAGCAATGATTGTGCCCGCGGCCTCGTGGACTGGCGACTCGGCGCCTGCGCGCGAGTGGCATCCATGCTCATCTGAGGAGCTTGCATAGGCCGTGGAGGGATAACGGGGCGTCCTGCATTGCTTGAGGACCGACGCGCCCTGGTCGTCGACGCCCACTGGGCGGGGCTCTCAGGGAGCGCGATGCTCGGCATCTTCGGGGTCTGTGGTACAGCGCTCGGACCGTTCCGATGTCGTGTAAACATGCCCATGACGGTCGATAAAGCGGAGGATATTGAGGCGAAAATGGCGAGAAAGGGAACGAGAAGACAAGGTGCAAGCGGGGACGGGTGCGCTCGGACGGTGGGGGGCGGGGCGGAGTGGCGTAATGGCGTCACGGTCGTTAGTAGAGAAGGCGTCGTGGCGTGGGCGTCGTCGTTGCCGTCGGGGGCGTCGTGCTCGGAGCGGAGCGGGCGATGGTGAGGGGGACCACAAAAGGACCTCCTGGAGGTTGACCACAAGCCGGACTTGCCTTGGTATAAGCCGTTTTGTCGGGCACGAGGCGGCGGGGGCGCTCGTGGCGATAGCGAACGTCGAGCTTCCGAGTCCGACATCAGTGCCCCGCATCATGTACACCCGATCCACACGTGATGCCTGGGCTCAACACGCCCCTCGTCAGTGGGGAAGGGAGGGTGTGACGCTATCCGACTACAGTACGAACGTTAGTTGACCGCTAGCGACATCATCTACAGCAAGTGTGAAGGAAGGTTGTTAGATACGCGAATGGCAACTAGAAGGTTGCAGGGAGAGCTAATTCTGTTCGCTGCCCGCTATCGCGGACAGACAGGACGCATGCTGGAGAACAATCCTAGGAGAGTGCTCGACATAGCGGTGACATGACCCGAAACTCAACAGCCCGAACTATGTAGCCATGCGCTTCGGAGGCTGCCTTGAAGCGGTAGCAAGGGGAAAGGGGAGCTGCCTGACATGAAGTTCGCGAGTGCCTACCGTGTCACAATCGTCCTCCGTCTTCTGTCCACCATCTATCCGCCGGCATCGCTGCCGCCGCTCTCGCCGTCTACGTGCTCGTAGGGGTACGTCGGACTGAGGGACCGGCCCCGGAACGGTGCTGCCGGCATGTGGCGCCTAACCTCTGATTCTATCTCGACATCGGCCCCAAGCAGACCTGCCACGACATCGACCCCAAACCAGACGCGCGGTCTTCAAAAGCTGCATGGGTGGTCCTAGATCGGGCCCATCGCCGAATGTTCGAGAAGGATCCCGGCCTCGTTGCGCTCGGTGGTACTCCCTGGTCGAAGTGGAGGCCGATCCAGAGGTCAGCTGCCCGTCCTACGACTGCACCGCTGCAAATCGCACCTGCGGCTCGCATAATCTTCTTGACGTCTCTACCCTGTCCTTCCTTGCGATAGAGCTGAACGGACTCGGCTGGATAAACGTCTATCAGTCATAGTCGGACCAGAGGGGATAGAACTCACACGAGCCGAGAATACGCCCACAACTTCAACGAGCAGCTTTGAGGCGCTCGGCACTGTCCGTCCGCTCCTAAAGGCCTCGTCCGCGCCACCAGGCTCTACGGGCCACCTTCATACTACAGCGTCTCCAAACAGAGACCCCATAGATGCCTTACGGACTTTCAAATCAGAAGGTCCGCGGACCGCGTACACGAGGTGACCGGATGACCCGCGGCCACGACCTTAGCGAGGACCGCAGACAAAGGACGAAGTCGCCAGCCTGGGAAAACTCGCGGTCTACAGGAGGCAGTCGCGCGCCCGCTGGAGATTGCGGTCGTAGTCCTCGTCACGAGACGCCACCAAGATCAGGCGGCAGGCGACGGTCTAAAGGTCGACCATCAAGTAGGTTTCACGAAGGCTCGGGGAGACGATGTATGTGTCGTCAAGTCCCAACTCTATGGAGGGTGGACGGCGATGAACTCGGTCATATCCTAAAAGAACGGGTCATGAGCACAACGTGAAGTTAATAGAGGAGGACGGAACAGACGTGCGAGGCGACGGAGACGGATGTCCAGTATGCGCTGCGTCATACACCAGGGGTAGCGTCGATCGCCGACCATGGCATGCACGTTCTCAAGGAGGTCCTACGTAGCAGTGAAAAAATATATCAGTATACTTCGTCCACACATACCTGACGCAACCTCTGCGAACACAAGCCCTGACAATCGTATAAGCCACATGCACGCCAGACCTCCTTGGCTCATTCGAGCTCGCGGAAGCGCCTCGAGCTAGCTGCATGTTGGCCACTTCATGTCTGCGCTTCGCGTGTTCTTCAACTAGACATCTGCGCCGCAATTAAAGTTGAATCTCGGAATAGCCGCCGCACCGCGCCACGAAGGCTATAGCGTGCCGTCGCAAGCTTGCACCTGGGGTTCAACGATATAAAGGCACAGCCTGGGTACACACCATCCTCGAGCGCGCAGCGTGGCCTTACCCATGTCTCCGCTGCCGCCAAATTCGGACGCTTCATGGGCGGTGCCACCAGAGGCGGGCAGCCAGGCTAGAGAACTGAACCGACATCCGACGAGCAAGGCGCCCACAGCTGGTTGCGGGCGGTGAGCTACACGTCATGTAGCACGCACTCACCGCTACCGTGAACACATAATTGATTGACGGCGTCAGCGACTTGTTGACGAGAGGGCGAGTGAGATGCTTCTCCCATGCGCGTGATAGCCATTTCGTGAGTAACGACGTCGGGTATATTGACATGCGCAATCCTAAGCAAAAGCACCATTATCTTGTCTAGATCGTGTCCGGTCTCCGGGATAGATGTTGTTAGATGCGAAACGTGTGGCCGGTTATCTGTTGGCAATTGTTAGCTCAAGCGTGTCATAGTTCGCGAAGACGAAAGCAGCGAGGAAGACCGAGATGTGGGAAAATATAGTGACGGTAGCCTTCCGCGCCCCAGTCAGCCGGTAGTTGCGAGCAGGACGCCTTGAGCGAAGCGTTTACGAGGTTGCGACCGTACTTACAATCGGGTGCGAACTACCCAGTTGTGGCGTCTGCTTGAAGTTCGGGCCTAGGACACGCCTGAGAACCAATGAGCGAACGAGCTTACACAACCTTCAGCGGGACCAGTGCGAAGCTTACCGTAGGCGCTTCAGCAGGTCGCTATACGACAAGTCCCTCTCATTCCTAAGGATTTTGAGGAAGGCCTGATAAAGCCGACAGTCAGCGAGTGTGCTTCACTCACAGGAACATAGAAGAGATAGAACACGCCGACACCTACGTAGCTCATGGCGCCGACGGCTTCACCGCCTGCGAAGGTATCGACGGATGTTTGTCCATCTCTGCACGCGGACCAGGTGATCTAAAAGTACGCTTCGCCGTTAGTTCCCACCCTTTATAACTTGGATAGCGTACGCACGACGTCGGCAGGAGACGCTTGCCTAAGCCGCGCACGAGGGCTGACATGCGAGCCACGGAGGCGACCGTGTTGAGAATACTGCGAAGAATGGGGGATTAGGCAGCTGGCGTGGTCAAGAACAAGATAGCCGCGTACAATGTAAGGAAGATCTACGACGACATCAGCTATCCAATACACCGGTCAATAAGGAACGAGCATACCAAGCACTGTTCCCGAATGGCAGCTCTACGTTGACAATCAGCCCGCGAACTTTCGTATGCACAGAGCCACTCACATCGAATAGGGCCTGACTGGATGATAGGATCAGCAGGTCAAGAACAAGCAACGGTGACTTACTGTTAGCCGACATGCAGCAGGGAGGGGGTCGACGAGGATCTTGTGCATTTCCTACAGAGATCTATTGAGTAAGGTGCAATGCAAGCCAGCCGCGCCAAGCGGGGTACGCACATCGTCGATGATGACGCCGGCCTCTTCGTGGTCAACAGGGAATATAGCTGCATGAGAGGTTGAGTGAGAATGAAGTCGAGCGTATGGCATCACCCACTTTCATCGTACCCATCCGCCTCGTCGTCGTTGAAGTCGCGTTTTTGCCCGCCTGGAGCACCATCAATACGGTATTCAAACCATAGACTCAGAGAAGTACGTACCATGACCTGAATCTGTGCAGTGTCAAGCAACGGATATGAGCACACAAATCTACCCGACGTCGAACCAGGTATCCAGCCGGAGGACAGAGACGTACAGTGCAGGAAGAGCGAATCATGCATTTGCGCCCCCTCTACTAGCCACTTCATCGCGCTGATCATGTTCGCTCGCGAGGGATAAGACCGCGACGATCTTGACTTATCGTCGGTGAGTAGCATGACATCTTCTTTTCTGAAGCGGCAGCGTTCTGAACGTCCATGTCAATGCGATGATCATGACACACAAAGGGTGGACACTGACTGACGAGGAAGTCGCGCACGTCTCGTGCATCGTTGATGCACTGGGAAGAACATCAGTAAGGACAGGTAAATGCGGAAAGACGAAGCATAGTCGACGTACTCCCTTCAGCTCACTCGACTGCCCTTGGTAGTCGATGCCGATCTGCAATACGTTGAATCAGATGACTGTATAGGCGTATGACGGTCAAGAACGGGACTTACACAAATTGCCCGCTTCCTCCCCGTACAATGCGACTCCATGAAGAGTTGGTGCGGAGCCAAAGGAGCAGGCAAGCCGTGGGATTCAAGCCGGTTGGCGATGCGTTGCTCTGCGTTGTCCACGGCTGCGTGGAAGCGCCCAATGGAGTGCTCGGAATGTTGGTATCCTTCGCCTGGGCATGATTAGACTCAAAGTCTTTACAAAGCACTACGCGCCTACCATCACCCTCCCCATGATCATATTCTCCATGCCCGCCATCATGCCCAAGTCCATAATCCTCGGCAGGCATGTAACCGTCTTGCCCACTGCCAGAGTTGTGCCCGCTGCTGTGATGCCCATCCTCGTGGCGATTGGAGCCGTGCCCTTCGCTGGTCGGTGGATGTCTCTTGTGTAGCTTGTTATGATGCTCGTGGCGATCGCTGTGATGTCTGCGGTCTCGGTCGCGGTCTCTGTCGTGATCTCTGTGTCGTCGTGCATAGCGGTCATCATCGTCGCGGTGCTTGCGCCGATCGTCGTCTCTGTGCCGGTCGTAATTATCGCTCCTGTGTCTGTGCTGACGGTCGCGCCGCTTGTAGTCATCATCGTGTCGCCTATCGTCGCGAGAGTAGCCTTCCGAGCGGTGTCTGCGATGGCGGTCGTGATCGCGGTCCCGGTCCCGGTCCTTCTCGCTGCTGCGGTGGCCGTGGTCACTGCGATGCCTGTCGCGGTGGCGGTCATGGTCCCGACTGCGGCTATGGTGATGGTGATGATCATCTTCCGCTGCAGGCGCACCGGGAAGTACGACGACATTCGGATTACCGGACACAGCGGTGGGCACCTGCTGCACCATGCCCGGGGATCCGCCAGGACTGCTGTGCATGACAATCTGTGTGTCGTTGGTCTCGTAGACGGTACGAGGGGGTGGTACACGTGCGTCGTAGGAGGAGCTGTCGGAGCTCTGAGCGACGACGACGGGTTTGCGGGGGATCTTCTGCACAGGCTGCTGCGGGACGCTGGGTTGTATAACGCTGGGGGTATGGCTGCTTGGGCTGAGGGTTGAAGAGCACTCGTTAGCGGCTAGTCTAGATGTTACGTAGCGCAACACGCACATGTAGGGTACTTCAGGGATTTGGCTCACTGCCGGGGTGGCACGACCGCGAGGAAGCCATGTCTTCGCGTTGAGGATGGATGTATACTGCCTTACTGGCAAGATACGGGGACTAGAGCAAAGTTCAGCGGAGGTCCGTACAGAGCAGTGTACGACGCACCCATCCAGCTGTACAACCTCATCCGGATTCTTATTCTTCTTCTTGAATAGCCTCATCGTGGTTGCAAGTTGTTAAGGGTTTACACAGGTCGGCTGGCACGCGCTAGGCGCTTAAAATTGCACATACACCGTCCTATCAGCGAGAGACGAGAGGGGGGATAGTTTACGATGCGTTGGACGTAAGGGAGCGCCTTGTAAGGCCCAGGTGGAGGGGGAAGGCAGGAAACGCGCTGATTGTGACGTGACCAAAACGTGACGAGTCGCGTTGCGAAACAAACATGACGTCACGTGTCAGGTCGAGAAAGTAGCATCCATTGTACCGTATCCCGTCTTCACTGTGAGTCGAGGTTGCCAATACAATGCAGACACACCATAGCAATGTCGGCATATGCAGTACTATCCGATGTCCTCGCGATTTCATACTTCCTAATTTCTTTCTCCTGTGTCGATCATGACCTCGTTCGGCCTATCATCCCGCTCGTGGGGCAACACCTTGAAGTGCTGTCGCAAGCTCTGCTCCTGTATGACCCAGTTCGCTGGGTGTCCGGCGCCAAGATCGCGATACTGCTCCCCAACACAAATGACAAGCTTTTCCAAGGGCGTACCGACCTTCCTTTCCTTCAAGAACAACCACGCTTCCTCGGCGTGGTAGTTCTCAAGCCGGACATAAGCCCTCAAGGATCCGTCTACTTCTCTCGTTTCTCCCCTTTCCGCCGCCTGACCTGCCGCCACCAAGCGATCAAAGGCGTCAAACATGGAAGGACCACAGAACCGCTTGAGGCCGAGGTCCAGGTGGAGTGTCAGTTTGCGCAGGGCAGGGAGCTGCGCCAATCGTGCACATATATCATCTTCGTGGGTATGTGTCGGCGTACGATCAATATCGAGAGCGAAGTCGGAAAGTTGAGGGCACATAGCGCTGATGACAGCGACGTCCTCCGCAGTGAGCGTACGACGTGGGCGAGTCGGGAGCTCTACCTCGTGAAGGTGCAGGGTACGTAGATGTGGCCCGTGGTGCAGAAGTGCGGCCTCCAGTGGGCGATGATCGTGAAGATTTGTGAGGGAGAGGGACTCAAGAGGAGGAAGAGCGACTAGGAAGTCCGTTATGATGTTGCGCATCCCGGTCACTTGGTCATCCTCGAGGTCGTGAATGTATATGCCCAGAGTCAACTCCAGTGACTTCAGTGCAGCGAATACGCTCGCATCCAGCAGATCAATGCCGTGGTTCGTTATGTGTAGTCCTCGGAGATGCTCTACACGACTCCAGTCGATGAATGATGCCCATGCCGCGATCGAGTGAGAGGTCAGGCCAGCACAGTCAACCGACTTAATCGCCTTCCGAATGGGCTGCACGCAGAAACGGTCCTTCTGAACCTGCCTCTCGTGCGCTTCTTCGGCACTCCAGCCATACACAACGCACCCTCCGATGTGGCGACAGTTCCATCGGAATGAGTCCAGGTTCGGCGCGCGGCCGACAATTCGTTCGAATGCGGGCCACTGGTAATCTGCTCCCCTCATCCCAGCCCAAGCATCAGCTTCCAGTGTCCGAAGCAAAGGCGATTCCGCAAGCGCAAGCTCAGATGGGTCCCCGAAGAGCGTGTCAGGCGACGGCCGCTTCCAATGTAGTACATGCAGACGAGATCCCGGATGAGCATGGTGTAGTGCGAATATAAGAGCTGGAGGCATCGGCACAGGACAGTCGAAGGTGAAGTCAACGAGATTCCCGAGGGTGGGCAGCAGGTTGATCACTGGCTCCCAAGCTGAGGGCTTCGAGAGCTCCCCGACCGTAGGGTTTATGTGAAAGGGGGAGACTTGCGAGTCAGCCCGTATGGTGGCGGAGCGAACGGCCGAGAGGATCCAGGATAAGCTGGCATCATGCAGGCAGTCCTTGATACGATGCTGCGTCTCGAGCAGGTGCTCCGCGTCCATTCGCAGGCAGATCTGGCGAGCAAGATATGGGCGAGCAGTCTCATAGAGCATCCTATTGCATGATACCACAGCGGGGATGGACGAAGGCGAACAATCGAAAAGCTACAGCGAAGGGGATTTAGAAGTGATAGCAGGCCCGCCAGGAGACGTTCTGACCTTCTCGACAATGAGAGCAAGAATATCTTGGTCAATGTAGCATGCCCCATCGCCTTGATGCATGGTGACTTCGAGAGGAGGGGAACGGCTGAAGCCTGGACAGCAGATGATGGCCGAGAGCAACTTGTAAACGCTCGTGACAAGCCAATGACATGTCGTGAGTCACGCCACCTCCCTCCAGGCTGCTGCAGAGTCAGTTATACGTAGCTACTAACCTTTAAGCTTCACTGCACGCATACGTTCGCCATAACTTGGGGGGGCTGTCTCCAAGGGAAAGTCGCCACTTGCAATTCACAAATAGTCTGAAGCCGAAAGGGCTACATGCGTTGGACGCTTGCCTTCCAATCCTGTTCAACTTCTTTACATTGCAGCTGCGTAGGATGCTGATGTTATACATTGCGGTTATGGTACTATACAGTGACACTGGCATTACAAGCGAAGCATACGCTGACCTCGTCGTCCGTCGGCTCACGACCCGTCCTCAATCGAAGGGGACCAACCGCGCGCCCTGCACACCCAGACTGGCGATGCCCTTCCCCTTTTCCCTGTCCTGCTGTGCTGCCGCGAACGCCGACGGCACTGGGATACCGCAGCAGTCCATAGCCCAACCCGCCTCGCCTTTCGCATGGACGTGGCCATGCTCGTCCTCGGCGCCCTCGCCCTCCTTCGGTGCCAAGGCGCGAACAGTCTCGGGGCAGGGCAGTATGCTGCCGAAGAGGAAGTGCTGAATGACGGGCAGTTTGTGCAGTACTTCAGCTTGGTACATCTTGATCATGCCGGAGTTGATCTTCTCCCAAGTCTTGACGGCGGAGATATCGTCCAGCATGGGGGAATGCCAGCGGAGAGATGCAGTCTTGATCTGAGGGAAGGATGAGGTTGAGTCGTCCAAGAAGGAGATTGAACACACAGAGTTGATGAACTGGATGCAAGCGAAGTACATGTAATGCTTGGCGTACTCCTCCACGATCTCGGGGTCATGAATGGCTTTCGGGCGGATGAACTTGTGCCCTGAGACGTACGTGAAGTCAGTGAATTGGCTCAGCGCGGAAGTTCGCGCACGCACCTTTCAACTGCGCCGAGCCAAACAGGAATGGTAAAAAGTGGTAGTCGTCCAACCCCCACACGCCATGCGATCCCGCCGGCTCCAGCCAATACGTGCTCTGGAGTACGCGCATGATCTGAATGTATCGCCAGAACACGACGATCACCAGACTGCGGTGGTCCTCTGGAGCGACAATCCCAAGTTGCTCCAGGCAAATGAGAAAGCAAACGAAGTTGAGCTCCATCCCGCTGCCATAGTCGATGCGCAAACGGTTGCCCCAACTCTCCCCGAGATACGTGGCGACCTCAGGGACAGCGTCCGCGGGTACGCCAACGGTGGCCAATAACTCGGGGGCACGTTCGCCGACTTTGTCGTAGAACGTACGGAAGGCTGGATTACCAAAGCGCGAAGAGGCATTGTCGATCGGTGGAGTATCCTTAGCCAGCTGTTCAATGGCGTCGAGGAGTTCAAGGACACGATGAACGCCAGGGGATCGCGGGCATTCGTCGTCAAGCTTGACGCCGACTACTGCATCGTTGAGTGTAGTAACATAGGATAGAATCCGCTCGTGAGTTTCGGACTGTTTCCAAGCCTCGAGTTGTTCTGGTGTGACGATAGCTTTGCTTGGAGCAAGGTAAGTCATGGGGGGAAGAATGAAGATGATCTTTGCCTGATGTAGCGGCCCGCTCATCGCCGGTGTTGACACTGTCCAATCGTAGCCCCCTACTTGAGGTGGACTTAACCATCTTAACGCGTGCTGGGTACCGTAAGAGATGGACCGCGGTTCACGCAGAGCGCGCGTCAGGTCCTCTTCAGGTTGGAAAACGTGTCGCCGGTGCGAAAACATGGCGTTGCGATGCTCATGCAGATGACCTTGCGCAATACGTGGGCACCCTAGAATAGCATACGACAGTGTAGAGAAAAGCTGACAATGACATTGGAACTCTGGAAGCGTTAATAATGGTTCGCAGAAGTCAGAGAGACAAGGGCAGAGGGAAGTTCGATGTTCGGCAACGGCCGTTTACTTCTTGACCTCGTACTTTTTCTCGCCGCCGACTCCGGCCCTTTGCTGTCCGTCGCCTGCGTCCCTGGCGCTGGTCCTCATGCACTATTGATTGGATCGCCCATCCCCGAATTCACTGCATTTTCTGGTCCAAAATACTGAGGCGCCAGCCGCCTTTCCTCCAGGCAGCGACGACGACGCAGTAGACCGATGTCGGTGCAGCCTCGCACGGGAATCAAGGTCAAAGAACGTCCCAGCTCGGCTATATTCATTGGCGGCGCCGTAGGATCCCCGGCTGCCCAGTCATTCTCCACCCCTCCTCATCTCCCCGACCTCCCTGAGCCGCCGAGCCCCATTTCCAGCATATCTTCGCGCGACTCCGGCCTTCCGTCTCCCCCCGCCACCAACTCTACTGGAAGCGGCAGTACCGGCGACTCGGCGAGCATCGCAATCCGCGGAAGGCGTGCCGGCAGCGTCACAGGCAGCGGCGGCGGTGAGAGCAGCGAGAGTGATGGGGGCGATCGCCGAATGCTCAGTGGGAGTAACATGCGTGCCTTCCATGCGGCATTTGCCAAGACGAGTTCACGGGCAACGAACCATGAACCTGACGATTACGACAACAACCACGACTATGACCGCAATGGCACCAGCAACTTCAATTTCGACGACGAAGAAGACAATACCGCGCGTCTCGATAGGAGAACCAGCAATCGCAAGTCGAGCGAAAATGTCAGTATGCTGCTGCGCATGAAGAGCTTGAACGAGCGCAATCAAAGGGTGCGTTGCCATACTTACGGCTGCAACGATCGCGCTCATATGATACCGCCAGGCTCTTGAGAAATTAACTTCCATTTCCCGTATCTCAAGTCCGGCTCCCAGCGTGCGTGCCAATACGCCTGGGCGTATGGGTCCGCCTCCCGTACCCCTTAACTCGTCTACTTCAAGCGCTTCATCTGCCTCTTCTCGAACGACCAACACCTCTTCTACTCGTCACCGGGCGCGCCACTCATTACCGTCCGCCGATCAGTATCACGAGTCAGGCTCGGAAACTGAACGGGAATCTATGTCAAACTCTATGCTTTCCTCCCCCACCTATGACGAAGAAAACTACACCTCTCATTCATCCGTGTCCTCTCGCTCCAATACACGGTCATCACCTTCCGCCCTTTCCACCCTTTCGTTGCAACCGTTGAACTCAACAAGAGTCGCTTCACCTATGGCTAATCTTCCTGTCACTCCTTCTGCTCAAGCAAACCGGATCCACTCCCCCATGCCGTCTCGCGATGGTGCGAGAACTCCCCCTCGAAGCAGGTTGCGATCGGAGCCTACTTCGCCCCGAGATGCGTTACGGACGGCACGCGGCGTTACCAATTCCCCTCGCAAGAGGACATCAATGGCACTCACATCCGTCTTGGATGATCGCGAACCCGATGGAGACATCACTCAAGCTGCTTTGGCCGCCGTCGCAAGCTCTAGGAGAAGCCCTACGCTGGGCCGGAAACGACAACCTCTCCCTCGCGAATTTCGCGATTCGCCTTCCTCCACAGCCGACTCGTCGAGTAGTGGGGGAACCGCATCAAGGAGAGGGAGTATAGCCGAACCTGACCTCAGCAGGGTAAGTACGCGACGAGTCTTCGCGCAGAACCATACCCACGCCTTTACAGCAGGTTTCCACTCTGGACCTAGTGACCCCACAGCGCATGCCTCCTCGATCTCCCAAGTCAAGCCGCTCCGCCACTGTTCGTGATTCTGCCCGCAGACATCAATCGCGCGGATGGTACAGCGAAGATATGAGCGTGCCAAGTCCGTCAGAGGAACCGGGTAGTGGCAGGCGACAAGCACATCGTGGCGGTAGTGCTGAGAGCCCCCTGGTCACTGGGCGTCTAGTCGGCGAAGGTCTACGTGCTGCAGGCTTGAGCAACACCGGGGCCGGCACTGCGCGACGCGTCATGAGCATGCATTCGAGGCCGGACGACATCTTCGACAGTCCCATCGACCGTGATGGAGGCCGCCAGAGGGAACGGCGGTCCGACTGGGCAACCCCCGACCAGCGTGTGCGGAGTCGTAGTCGCATAGAGGAAAGGCGAGAGCGATATCCAACGGAGTCGTCCTCGCGTGCGGCTACCTCTTTGGCGGATTATGCTCATATGCGTCACGGAGATGAATACGATAACGAGGAGCCTAGGACCGCGCCGCCGCTTCGCAACCATCGCAGTGCGCATCCGCTGCAACCTCGGGAACCTTCAAGGACTCGCGCAGGCGAAGTTTTCCTCAGCCGCGAACACGATCGAGATCGCGAGCGACCAGCGACCTCACTCAACCGTTACCGAGAGCCGGAGCCAGATCGAACATACAGTCCTCTCGGTCCGCGACGAACCAACCCTCCTGTCACACCTCGGAGCACCCAAAAAGAGAGGGACGAGCCTGATCACGCGCGTCTCATGTGGGACAGCGTCGCCACCTTCGAGTCGCTCATCTCCCGCTTGCCAGCCGGCCTCGGCGTAGGCGGGACGCAATCGGACTTGGCTGCCAACGTCGCCTCCCTTGCAACCCTCTCCGATCGCCTGAACGCGTCCCTCAAGGCGGGCGCGTCGCGTGCAGTTGAACGTCAGATCCACGCAGACCTACACGAGGGTGACCCAAGTGGTGAGCTTGCGGAGCTCAATCGCGCCGTGGGCACCGAATTCCGAGAGGCGGCGCGAATGAGCGACGACCAAATTCGGGCTGTAACGGGGCTGCTACTCGGCATGGGCCGCGTCATTCGCGAGCTTGGGATCGACGGCGGCATGCATGCACGCAGCGTCAGTCTCGGAGATGAGACGCTGGCGCGGAGGCTTGGTCGCAATTCTGTCAGTCCGGACTTAACTGGCAGGCTAAGCTCAGCATCCAGGCGTAGCTGGGAGGCCTCCCGCGACAGAGACAGAGAGAGGGATAGGGATAGGGATGAGGCGTTGTCGCAGCTTCAGGGTCGCGAGAGCGCGCAACTGACGCGGCGCCACGAGATCCCGCATCACCGTACAGGGAGCGGGCCTCGAAGCTCAGGCTCCGGCGGCTCAGATGTAGTGCCACCGTCGAGCTCGATGCGACGCATCTATTCTCCCAAGTACCGCGAAACATTGGGCCTGGCCTCCTTCGACTCGCAGGAGACCATAATGGCTGGGTACGAACCCTCACCAACACCCGCATCGCGCACGCACAAATCAGGCAGTAGCGGTGGGGATCTTACACGCAGCCGAACACTCCCCCCTATCAATATACCCGAGCCGTCTCATCCTGTGTCGGCGGAGAGGACCCCAATCGGTGCCAACGCAGGCAGCATCAGACGACGGTCTACGACGATTACCAGCACAGGCACAGAGTCGTTCGGCCAGCAGAGCGTTGAGCGGGAGCGGATACGACCATCCAGGGGAGAACCTCGTAAGGCATCCGTCACGTCTATCAGTACCGTGCGGGCGCCAACGAAGCCATTCCCAGCTCTCTCGACCCCAAGCGCAACAACTGCACTCACAACGCACACGGTGACTAACTCGCCCGTCGACCGACTCGCCTTCCCGCGGTCAAGCTCGGGTAAAGCGAACGGAGAGGAACGCGAGGGCCATGCCAGCGCGGTGTTCTCGCGGCCGTCAACAGTGAGCGTGAGCGCGCTGAGTGGCTTGCAGCAGCATTTGGATTCTGGTCGGCGGAGAACGTTGAGTACATCGAGCGATAACGCGGATGCGGGACCGCCAGAGACGCCGGCAAGGAAAGGGGCAGTGACGGATACTGAGCGTGAGACGCGGCGAAGGACGTTGACGAGTAGAACAACCCGCAACTCACCTGGCGTCAATGTGCATCCTGCTGACCGCGCGGCATCCTTCGTTCCATCCACTACACGTACGCGGCGGAAGACAGTGACTGAGATTACTTGGGCTCCACCCTGAGCATGATACTGTGAGTGTCTTGCAAGACTTCCCTTTCTGCGCTCACGACATCCACTCAGTCTTGTAACACGGACCGAACGATACAGTACGCACTGCACACAGATATTCTCCTGGGCTCCCTTTCCGTCTCCTTGTGCACTTCTTTTTGCGATTTTTATGCCCGGCGCGGGCTTTCTGTCCTTCATGTATATACTTCACCTCTTGACCATTCATATCCCCGAATCGTTGTCGTCGCCCTCCAGGTACCCATCTCTGTTCTTGGTAGTGCAGACGCGCCATTACTCGCTCATCGCATGCGTCGATGCCCTGTTCAGCAGCAGTCTCAAGTTGATGTCTCCGCATTTTCCATGTTCCCCTAGTATTCTCCGGCCGAATTTCGTGACGCCTCAGGCTTGTCTACGTTCGCTAGAATGGCCACGTACTGTGTTATAGGTATCATAAGGTTGTCATACCGTGTATTAATGGGATACGTGTATTCCTGTAAAAGTTTGTGCGGACGAGAGGGAAGGCCGGGAACATCGCTGCGCGCAAGGTACAGTATGTGAGTGGATGCATTTGGAATCTAGTCGTCCTCATCGCATCCATCAGTTTGTAACCACAGGTTTCCTCGGTCGTAGTATCGCAGTCGTGTTCACTAACCTCCCCTCCGGGTACTTGGCGTCCATCACGCACACCCCGCCGGTGGTCGTTACCACGAAGCTCGCAACCTTCATCTCCTCGTCGAAGACAACATCCAGCTCGAAATCCTCGTCAAAGCCGCGCGGCTGTCGTGCGCAGCTTGGGCTGGACAAGTCTTCCTCCGTCGACTCCTTTGCGCGCCGGTCGTCCTGCCGTTCACGACCCGCCCTCCCACCACTCTGCCCACGGGTCCGCCATCGCCACCTTGCATGCACCTGCGCCTTCGCTGCTCGCCTGACTGGCTCCGCCCACACCCTCTTTATGTCCACGTCTTCCTCCATGCCATGAAAGTTGAAGTGCGTGGCAAGCAAATCGAAGTAGGATCGGACTGCGTTCAGGCCGCGCATTCGCGACTCGATGCCTCCCCGCAGAGGGCACCCTGCAGGCGCGTGCTGAAGAATCGGCTCATGGAGGGTGCTGAAGTGCGCAAGGAGCGTCGCGGTGGGGGCGCCTCGCGCGAGGTCGGCGAGCAGGGTGGTCATGGTGGCGAGGATGACGGCTGTCAGATCTTCGGAGGCAGGCGCGGGAGCATTTTCGACGGGGAGGGGGGAAGCAGAACATGGGAAGGTGGCGCGCGAGGTCGAAGTGGACGCGACCGGCTGATACGATGTGCGCGTGGCCGCGAAGCGCGCCGCCGCTGAGAGGTCCAGCAGGGCGCTGGCGGTGAGCAGCTCCTCTCTTTCAACGAAAAGGGTGGCGTCAATCTGAGGGGCGGGGGCCATGACCGAGGCCGGCGTCGGCATGATTGGTATGCAATCGCTTGAGTTCCTGGCGCGAGATGTGGGTTACCTCGCTGGTTATAGCAAGCCTAGGATAGGCCTGGGAGACGAAGCTTGGGCGTAGAGGAGGAGGAGGCTGGAATCAGGGCACCTGAGGGTGCTGAGGCTTATAAGGACGCATGCCCTCGGGGAGCGCGTCACCGCAGCCCGAGCGCCGCCAGATCGCACAACAAGGTTCAGGCGTGCACTACGGCTGGCGGGAAGAACTTGGAAGAAGGGATACTAAGCATCCGCGCCGATGGGCGTGGCGTTGAACTCGCATCCGGTCCACTACCCGCGCGTCGCCCGATGGCTGGTCTGTGTATAGCCCAAGAATATCGACTCGGTTGTGTCAAGTAGGACACAGAAAAGCACCTCTGGCGATCGATAGGGCATAGGACGCATCCCAACCTGAGTCACTTCTCGTGCCAAAGTCCAAGATAGAAGGCTCGGGGGAGAGGACGTGGCCGAAGTCGACAGTGTCAGGCCTGATCATCGCGAATACTGATCCATATGTAGGCGCAGGCTATCCAGGTCAGCAGCACCTCCGACTCGGGCATTTGCCTAAGCGAGTCGGGCAGCGGGAGGCGGGCGGACGACCGTACCTATGAGCAACGGAAAAGTCGATTCTTGACACCTAGGCGACGAATGTCATTGGCAGCATCCTGCTCATATAACACGTAGCACACATTTCATAGTACAATTGCAGCACTCACAACATCCATAACACATCCTCCACAATCCGACTCGATAACTCCCACAAGCGTTCGCCCAGCGCCTCGTCTTCGGCCGTCGCCGTTGACCTGCCGATCACGCCGAAGGGGACGATGTATGCGCCGCCGTACGAACCGCTTGGTTTAGACGTGCCGCTCATCTTGGAAGGGCCGGAGGTGACATTGTCAGTGGCTCCCGCCGTGATGAGATTCGTCCACCCCAGGCATCTGTCATTGTCAGTCACCCCTCCCGCGCCGCCCTGATCAAAACCCCCTTCTCGATCACCCGTGCCTCCATGCCCGAGCGTGCTGGTCGTCTCGGCCACATTGTTGCCCCCCTCAGCCGTAGTGGTCGCGCAAAGGGTGCTACCCGCCTCGCCCGATTCGCCAGACCTGCCGGTCATATTTGGGGCACTCGGCCTCTTGCCACTCGTCCTGACGGATGGCTCGGTGGCGGCAAAGAGGCCGGTAAATGCACAGTCGCTCGGGGTGAAGACCATGTCCGGGCTTTCACCCATGAGCTTGAGGGTCCGTGCTTCGGAGGGTGGTCAGTCCGTGGAGATTTGGAAGCCACGGGATCGACTTACTCGTCTTTGCGAATCCAGGAAACACAGACATAGCCAGGATTGGTATTCCTTGGGCGTCGCAGTGTCGTTGCAGGGTCTTCGCATGCATGACCAATGCCAATTTAGAGAGCGCTGTGAAAGATGCGTCAGTACTAGTACTAAGCCTGGTTCGAAGACTAGTCTTCGATCGCGTGTGTCGGCGTTACATACCGTATTGCTGCATCGTTGGCGTCCGCGGACCCATCCACTGTGGGTCCACATTCAACGAGTAGTTGCAGTCAAGGTTTAGTCCGTCGATGACGGTGTGCACGGTAGAAGTCATCTGTTATGACGATGAGTGAGCGACTGTATTGGAGAGCCGACGAAGAGGAGCATCGTACGTTTACGACGCGGACATCTCCCCCGGCTCTCGCAGTGTTAATGAGCAGTGTTTGTAGGTTATTTACGAGAAGAAAAGGGGCAAGGTAGCTGGGCGCCTGTCAGCGTCAGCTCAGATCAGAGAGGGAAAGGATCTACTTCACAACCACGGTGGTGGCGAGGCCGTACTCAGTCTTGATCGCAGGGTCTTCTGAGCTGTCAGAACTTGTGTCAGTCGCACTCCCGAGAGCGTTGTGATCAGGAGAAACCCACATTGCGGCATTGTTGATGACGATGTCGAGCCTTGCCTCTACTGCCTTCAACCTATCCGACGCTGTCTTCACCTGCTGCAAGTCTCGTAGATCCGCCACAAAAGGTTCAAGCAGCAGTTCTGTATCTGCTTGCATTTCTCTCATTTGGGCGATGGCTTGTAGTGCCTTTGGTCTGCTGCGTGCACCAACGTACACCTTGGCGCCGTAGCGAGCAAGATATAGAGCCATATGGTACCCAATTGCGCCGGGATCGCTGACATAGATTATTAGCATGACGATTAATGAATTATTAAGCCTAGATTACTCGCTTTGCGCCTGTCACCAAAGCTACCCTACCGCTGACATCGACGCAGTGGGGTTCCGAAGCAGCTTCAAGATCCTCCCATGCCGTCTACTTTGAACTTTGAGCATGAGAGTATGGTCGGGTCCAGGACACACGTACCCTATACCCTTGGGGTGGAGCCTCTCCCATCGTGCAGAGTAAGAAAACAGGTCAGGAACGGTTGAAGACAGGAGTGGTTCACGGCGTGTCACAAGCCCCAGCGCGGACGGCTTTTGCCGTTCGCTCGCGCGTGGAATGCACGCGTTCAGCACGCGCAAACCAAAAGGCGCAGTGGCGCGACCGACAGGCGCATCTCCCTCGTCCGCGGCCATGTCCTCATTTGCCCTTCGTCCAGCACGCCCGGAAGACTTCTCTCAGATTGCTGTCATCTTCAATCACTATATTGAGAGCTCTCTCGCCACGTTCCGCACCGAGCGTGTCGACCGCGCCGCACTGCTCGACACCTTCTACTCGGTCGTCGAGCAACGGCTGCCGTACATCGTTGCTATTGCTTTCGATGACCCAGACGAGCCATTTGTGCTCGGGTATGCGTATGCATCTCGCTACCGCCCCGAGCGCGACGCCTACCGCCACACGGCAGAGTTGTCCATATATGTCCATCCGGATCACCTCTCGGCCGGCATCGGTACTCTCATGCTGGACAACGTCCTTGGCCTTCTCCGTCAAACCACCAAGCCGTCGTTGCTTCTGGGCGCTGTAGCTGAGCTGGCGCCAGTACGTCAAGTCCTGGTGGTCATGGCGCTCGACACGGAAGGCCACAAGGGTGGCTTCGGACAGCGCGATTGGTATGTGAAGCGCGGGTTTGTGCAGGTTGGGCACTTGCGGGAGGTGGGCTACAAGTTCGGGCGATGGGTCGACACGATCATCCTGCAGCTCTCGCTGAACTCAGAATGAGTAGCGCAATGGACTACACATGGATCTAGAGAGCGCCTGGACGCGCATAGTACGGCATCCACTATACAGTACATTCGCATAATTACATCCTTCGCTTGGCTGGACTACCGATGGATCATGTTGTTCGAGTCAAGAAGGCCGGTGAGTGTGCTCACCTGGGGAGCAACAGCGTCTAGTATCTGGTGCGTGGCCATCCTTTGTATGTGGATTCGCAAAACTGATAGCTTGCGTAGTAAATTTCCCCGACCCCGATGACAGGGGCCGCCGTGTGCTCTTATGTGCTTATCTGGGAGCAGTACAAGGTCCCTATGACTCGACCTGGACGTATATGAAGATTTTGACTGGCCGATCCTCTCTCCAGGTCATCCAACCACCATGTCGTTCAGCGTACGCCCTGCATTGACTGAAGATCTCCCCGCGATCACCTCCATATACGACCACTATATCAACCACTCCGTCGCCACTTTCCGCACAAAGCGCGTCGAGCCATCCGTCCTTCTCGACACCTATCGCTCCGCGCAGAACAGCCAGCACCCCTTTCTCGTCGCCGTATCGCATGAGGGAACAGAGATCGTGGGCTACGCCTACGTCTCCGGCTATAGAGCATCGCACCCAGCGTACTGGCATACAGTCGAGTTGTCCATATACGTTCATCCGAATCACCTGTTCGGCGGAGTAGGCTCGCGGTTGTGGACAGCCCTCGAGGATGCGTTGCGCCAACGAAATTGCGCTCTTGTTGACGACAAGGGTCACTCCCCATCGCTCGACGAAAGGACCAGCCCAGGTGCTACACCCATCCGTCATGTCCTATCGGTCATGGCGCTCGATACCGAAGGGAGCGAGGGCGGGTACGGGCTTCGCGACTGGTATGTGAAGCGAGGCTTCGTACAGAAGGGGCATTTGGAGGAGGTTGGGTACAAATTTGGGCGGTGGATCGACACAATTATCCTGCAGCTCACGCTCTAGAATACTGCTCTTTCGAGGGTGCTGGTGCTGAAGATGCAATGCAGAGGGTTCTTATTATCATCTTGTGCGCGACGTACGAATCCCGCCTCGATGCGCCTCTTCGGACCGCGACATGGGGCAATTGGGGACCGACGGGATCCGGTGGCCGTTGAAGATGGTGAGGGACGTAGCTAGCGGCCCGAATATTGAGGTACTTACAATCTGCAGTAACTCGTCCTACCTAGCCTGTACTCTGCGTGCAGTCGCTTGCAGCACGAATAGACGTACATCGTACACCAAGACTGATCCTACCTCGTCATCTTGAACATCGCGTCTGTCCTCAAGTTCGTATCAGAACATAGTGCGCACATGACCGTGTTCAGCTGAGGTTGACCTCACCGACGCGGCCCGCGACGCATGCTACATGGTCATCGGGCCCGCCGCCTTCCGCGTCTTCGGTGAGTATAAAGGTCCAGCTTGCTATCATGCAGAGAAAGCGAGTCTTCCCCGCGTTATGGCGACGGTGGGTGTCCTGACGCCGAGCCAAGGGATGCTGTTGACACAGTGACTGTTTAGATGCTGTCGCTCGTCCTGATTGCGCTTTCTGCGTCGAGGCTGACGACTGCTGCTTGTGCGTTCTACTCGCTCTGATACTTCTGTTCTTGCTGACATGGCGGTCGTACAGTGCAGCGACCGCTTTATAGCACTATCCCTGTCGGCGCCATCAAGCCCTCCGGATGGGCGCTCGACCAGGCTCAAGTCCAAGCTGACGGTCTCGCAGGACATCTCAGGGAGTTCGATAGCTAGTGAGTCGATGCCCTCTCATGTTCGTCACACTTGACTAATCTGTTGCCAGTGTCGCGGGCTCTATCTGGGTCGAGGGCGGCTCCATCGAGTATAGCGAGATGCATGAAGCAGCGCCGTACTGGTTGTGAGCGCTTGTTACTTGGGTCGTTGAGATGGATAGAACTCAGGTACCCATAGCAATGGTGCCGTTGCACTAGCTTACCAGCTACAAGATGAGAAGCTCATCGGTGCGTACGATCTTGTGACGCTTTAGATGACACCGACCTTTCGCTCAGGCGAGGTTCGCGATTTCGTCGACCACCTTCTTGCCACGCAACAAGATGACGGTTGGCTCGGACCCGAGCAACCGAATTTGAACGGTAGCCCGCGCCTCGTCTGGCCGCGCTACTTGATCCTCATGGGCTTGACGGTTCGTCTTGGGTGCTCCCTCATCCGAAGTGCGCATTGCTAACGATCCACCGACCGTTCTCCAGCAATACGTCGAGGCCGAACCCTCCGACGCAACCCGTGTCCTGGATGCCGTCCATAAGTTCATTGACCTGGTTTACGACATCTGGAAGAACGGTACATACGGCGGCCCGGATCTCGGCTTTGAGTTCGAATATCAGTATGTGCGGTGGGAGGAGCTGGTGTTGTCGCTGCAGTGGTTGTATGATCACGATCCCAGAGGTGAGGCCTACAACAATGCAGCGACTCATGTATTGAAACTGACGGGATGACTCAGGCAAGGAGGACCAACTCACCGAGACGATGCAGCTCCTGCGCGATACGGGATACTCGTGGAAGAACGACTGGTTTGTCGAGGGCAAGTTCCCGACGCAAGAAGTGTGGACATATATAGCGCAGACGTGGGTGCTTGTCTACGGCTGAGGAGGCTCTAATTGACGCCGATGTATCCAGACATGGTGTCAACCAGGCCGAGGCTCTGAAGTCTGAAGCCTTGACCTGGCGCATCACGGGCGACGATTCGGACAAGCAAAGCACCGTCGACAGGATTGATATGCTCTACAGGTATCATGGGCGCGCTTCGGGTACGCTGCAGACGGTCACTCCGGTACTGGACAATGCTGACTATGATCTTTAGGGACTTACTCCGCTGACGAGCATCTGGGTGGCCTCAATCCTGCTCGAGGGTATGCGCCTTTATCGAGACAGCTGGTTTTGCTGACGTTGACGACAGTACTGAACTTTGCACTGTTGTGTAAGACTTTATCAGGACTCACCCAAGGGCGTTGCTGACACTCGTCCTAGCGAACAGATGTTTTCGCTGGCGCTTGTTTATGCCACCTTCGGCGATAATGCCGTCGCTGACAGAGTTGAGAAGATCGGTATGACTGTCAATCGTCATCCAAGAGCATGATGCTGATGCACATCTGTAGCATACAACGCGCTACCTGCAGGGATCATGTATGACTTTTGGTGTACGTGGAGTGACCTGGTTGTAAGACACGTCCTTACGATCCTTCAGCTCATCAATACGATCAGGAAGGCAAGGAGAGTAGCAGCCTGCGGCAGCTGCTGGCCCTAACTCGCTTTTCCCCGCAGTGAATCAGATCTGGGCGAAGGAGATGGACCCCAAGCCGTTCGGCGCGAACGGCCCTAGGTCCAACATCTTTGGTTTTGAACCGTGCGTCAATGTGCTATTGACCGAGTGACGAGCTGACAGCGCACACAGACAGTACCCCGTACGTTCTTCTGCGTCAAACATTGTTGTCAGACTGACCAGAACGTGCTATCTTCAGTGCTGTACGGTAAGCGGCTTAAGTCAGGGTCTCTCGAAACCAGCATTCATGCGATTATGCAGGTTAATCATGGTCAAGGCGCACCGAAGTACTGGGGTCACGCTTTCTTCACGGACAACTCCGATAACTCGCTCGTGCACGCCTTCCTAGGACCTTCGACTCTGAATACGACCGTGGGGGATTCCAGCGTTCAAGGTGTTTCTACTCTTGCGAGATCAGCTTGTGCATTCGGCTGACTAGTCGCAGTCACTGTTGACACGCTCTATCCGTTCGGCAACGTCCTGAACTACGAGATTACCGCGTCGGCTCCTACGGCTTTCAAGATTCGTGTCCCATCTTGGGCTCAAACGGGCAGCAGTACTATCGCGGTCGGTGGTGGAGATGCGACACCGCTAAACCCAGATTCTGCGACATCGTTATACAGGGTCGAGGTATGTTCACGCTCTGCACTTGTTGCGGCCAATCTTGATGAAGACTTTTCTGCCAGATTCCTGCGGGCTCGACGAACATCGTGGTGATCTTGGATATGCAAGTCGAGATCGAAAAACGCCTGAACGGCGCCGTTGCTGTGACTCGTGGACCTCTGAATTACGCTCTCGAGCTAGCATACAATGTCACGACTACTGAGGGCTTAAGGTGCGCTCACTCTAGATACTCATTCCGAATTTACGACACTCATAGCCCGCAAGGAGCGACCAAGCTGTGACAGACGTGAAGCGCCTCTATCCGAACGCGCCGCAGGAGTACTTGACCGCAGTACGTCGGTTTCGCTTCCAAACTCACTAGCTCCTCCTGATCTCTTCATACAGACCGATAACCACACTGTCGACAACACTCTGCTTCCCACATCGACCTGGGCCCTTGCCATCAACCCCGGCACACTCACCGTGCAGGACACGTCCAACGACACGGACAGCATCCCGCACTACACCTGGAAGCCCGGCAACCTGCCGGTCAGCATGACGGTGCAGGCATGCCCGATTGCGTGGGACGTGGTCAACGGCACGGCGTCGGCGCCACCGCAAAGCCCAAACGCGTGCACGGGCGATGTGTTCGAGGCGCGATTGCTGCCATTCGGGTCGAGTCAGTTGAGGCTGGGGGAGATGCCCGTGATGCAGACGTAAGAGAAGCGAGGGTACTTCAGCCCAAGAAGAAGTGAAAGAATGCTCAGGGTTGACGATGGGACGATACTGCTGATTCCTCATACTTTCATTGCATGAATTCAATTGTACAATTTGGTTTGGTGTTACAAGAAGGGCCGTCTTGCGAACGCTCAGACACACAAAGACAGATTGTGAAGATCAGTCTTAGACTAACAATTCTGTGCCTACCATGTAAGACTTAGCTCAGGCGAAGGTTGACGGAGTACCGGCACTTACACGTTCTACACCACGTCGACAAGATAACCTTCGAAGTCCGTGTCCCCCTCGCTCTCCCCAGTATCAACCTTCTCATTATCGATACTGGACGAGCGACTCTTTTCCTCTTCTTCAAACTTATGCAGCGCCATGGCTGCCGCGCCTTCTTGAGCTGCCTTCTTGCTGGAGTGTTGGCTCTCGCCGACGAGCTTCCCTCCGACTATGAAGGTTCGATCAGGATATAACGAACGTGGAAGTGGTAGGGGCATGAGCTCACAGTACAGCTGCGACGTCCAGATAGGCTGGTGAGGAGGACCATGCGACTTGTCCTCAAACCTGAAGGGTGTTCCCGTGAGTTGCTGTATGTAGTTCAGCCGCTGTCTGTCCAGCCCCTTCGAAACTGGCGGCGGTGGCGGCGAGATCGAGTGCGAGGACCCAACGGAGGAAATCAACGTTCTCGCCCTAGGGCGAGGGGTCGACAGAGTCGGGGCATAGGGTGCCCATGTCGTAGGGGACGTATGGATTGGAAGGCCCTCCTCAAGGACCTGCAATTTCTGCCTCGCCATTATGGCGCGTCGAGCGCTGAACTGGCGCCAGAAGGCCCTGCACAATGTCAGCCCATGAAAATAAAGACATGAGGGACTTATGTACTTACCAGAGCGCGCCCAGCGCGGCCAGGGCCCCGCAGGCAGTCACATACACCGGGTTGCTATCATACGCCCCGACAACCGCGATCAGGGTGAGTACGAAGATGGCCACTTGAATGAATCCGTCCAAATACCGCAAGACCTGGCGAATAGCGTAACGGATTCCGGACATCTTGACTCTCGCCTTTTCTCGTTCCTTTCTGCTTGAAGTTTGGCCTGCAAGAGGCGGCCTTTTATACATCTGAAGGAGATTCGCATCGCGCGGACTCAACTGCACGCTGTTGAGTACCCTTTGCCACAAATCAGTGCCACAGAGGTGTTGTGGACACATTTTACCCAATACTCACCGCCTTCATAGACACCGCGGAGCCCTCGAGAACGACCATCGTCACCACATCGTCAACGCCAGAGGGCGTATTTCCAGCGATCTGGGGAAAGATAAGGGAAGGGGTGGCACAGCTCAGCACCGCGTAAAGGTTAATCTCTCCCCTCTATTACTACCTTTGGTTTGCTGTACAGTCGGATGGGACGAGCGAAGCGAACAGAGAGAGAAACCAGTGGGGGATCCTCATGTGGCGAGTCGCAGCCACAGCATGGCTGTGTGGTGTAGTGTTCGTTCAACGGCTGAATCAGATTCGCGGCGCCAGAAGGAAGATGCCATTTGGTCTACCCCCAAGGTATTCGGCTTCGGAGCCGCCAGCCAGAACTTGGTGTTGCCCCGAAATCTTGCGTTGAATTTCCGGGTAGAATTCGTCGTAACAAAATCGGGAGCGATTGGTATCGAAAGTACAGCCTTCAAAGTAGCGCGCGTTCGATGTCGACAGGCATGAATTGTGGCCTTTAAGAGGTACCACGGGCTCAGAGCGGACCCTCCTCGGCGGTTTGAAACAAAAGATCTTCCCAATTCGGACGAATAATGACTGCCACGCCACGTGCACCAGCACGCGAGATCGCTTCTTCTCAAAAACCTTCACCTCCTCCCCATCCATCCCATACCCCACAAAAATGGTGCGCGCCAGTCTCAAATCGCAAGCTGTGATGTCTGACACAATCCTTTCTCAACTTAGAGGCCCATTCTCTTACAAGGTCAGAGAATCGTACGCCAGCGGAAGATTCGATCGCTTACCATACACACCTGCTATCGTCTCCCCTCCCTTCTGATCTCTGGGTACCAACATGATCGCACCTGTGTATTCTTGATGCACATCTTCAATATACTCTCCGGCCCGCCGTCTTCCATCTGTAGGCCACGAGCGCTCCTTGACGCAGATCAAGTTCAACCGCGAGGGCGATCTCTTGTTCTCCTGCTCGAAGGACCAGGTCATCAACGTCTGGTATACCTACAACGGCGAGCGGTTAGGCACGTATGATGGCCACAACGGCACAGTATGGACAGTGGACGTGGATAGTGCGTGGATCATCGCTCTCTTTCCTTCCCCAGACTGACCGAGTACTTCCTCCATGGCGTCCTTTCCCCCTCCTACGCGTTCGATATTCCTTCCACCTATACCACCTATACTTCTTAGCTGACTCCAAATACCTTGTCTCTGGCGCGGCCGACAACACCATGCGGCTATGGCAGGTTGAGACTGGCAAGTGTCTTTACACCTGGGAGTTCCCAACCGCAGTGAAGCGCGTTGCGTTCAGCCCGGACAACACGCAGGTAGTATGCATCACGGAGCAACGTATGGGCTACCAATGCGCGATCCGGGTGTTCAACATCAATCGGGAGGAGGGCACGAAGCGTACGTCCTACCTATCATTTCATCCTGTAGTCCCCCTCCCACTCCTCCCCTCCTGCGTGGTTATCAAGACTAATACTCGTCCCACCCTCAGAATCGAAAGAGCCTCTCCACATGTTCAACCCGATCGGCTCGAAGGCGACCGTCTGCGCCTTCACCAACATCCCCAACGTGATCGTCACTGGACACGAGTCTGGCAAGGTCGCGCAGTTCAATGTGAAGACGGGCGAGGAGATCGACAACAACGAGCGCGCCCATGGCGATACCATCACCGATCTGCAGCTCAGCAAGGACCGGACATACTTCATCACCAGCAGCAAGGACAAGAGCTCGAGGGTGAGTTCTGCAATCACGATGTCGGCGATGAGGGGATTCTTCATAGCTGGTGTACTGATTACATTCGCTAGATACACGATACCAAGAGCTTGATGGTGATCAAGACCTACACGACAGAGACCCCGCTCAACAGCGCTGCCCTTGCACCAAACAAGCCATACGTGAGTTTCAGCCGCGCGTTCGGCCAAACACGCTAGCTGATTTCCATTCAGGTGCTCTTGGGAGGGGGGCAAGATGCTATGAGCGTCACGACGACTTCTTTGCGGCAGGGCAAGTTCGAGACGCGGTTCTGGCACAAGGTCTTCGAGGAGGAGGTCGGCCGCGTGAAGGGCCACTTCGGACCTATCAACACGTACGCCCTTGGCTGTGCCCTTCCACGCTTCCCGCACTGATCGACCGCATCCCCTTAGGCTGGCTGTGCACCCTGGCGGCATCGGATACGCCTCCGGTGGAGAGGACGGCTTCGTGCGCATGCACCATTTCGATGAGAGTTATTTCCGCGCAAAGCCATACGGCGACTACGACATTGAGGATTGATTTATGTATTCTGTACAGTAGTGTACCATGTACATGCTAGTTGCGCGCTTTGCTAGACCACACTGCAACCACACTGTTTGCCTACGATGGTTGGGCTGATCTCGAGCGCGCGTTGGCTGCGGTCGGAATGAATTGTGCCAAAGGGGCGGAAGGACGGCTCGCGGACACCGCAATATCCCATGGGACGCGCACCCCGGCACATCTAACGATCTTCAGGCTCACGAATGCCTCTTATCCCGTATCATCACCCTCCTTTGCCGCCTTTTATCCGTTCCTTTCAACGCCTACACTCGCTTCGCCAAGCAGTTCAGGCCCATTGTTTACTTGACTTTGTCGCTCGGCCCTCGCTCGGCGGGCTTGTGCAATTGTTCTGCCACCTTACGTAACCGGCCTGTTCGAACCTGTGACGATCAGCGGTCGGACGAGCGGGCGGGTGCAGACCTCCTCTTGTTCTCATCCTCTCTTTCTTATTTCTACCCCGGCGCAGCGCCGCGCGACCGAGCGACCATGACCGCGAAGACGACGATCCTGCTCTTTGCCCTCTGCGCGCCACAGCTGGCGACCGCGTTCGACGTTCGCAGCTCATTCAGCGCGCTTTGGAGCGCCTTGCGACGCGACGACGGCGACGGATATTATGACCCGAACGACAATGGAGGGAGTATGCTTACGGTGCGCTCATCCTCTATGCGTCGCGTACAGTGGCTAAAGTTCAACCAGGAAGTCGATAATACGTATCCCGAGGGGCTGGGAGAGCCCTTGAACATGATATTCTCGGGGAGCTCGGATGCGGACGTTCTAGTGGACCAGGAGACAGATGGCGGCTTCCGCAACTACTGGCTGTAAGTCTGCAAGAGCCCTTTCCCCCTTCCTGGCACTGACATTCGGCAGATCGGTGGGCTTTGGCGCCGAGTGTCTGGGCCAGCGCGACGCGTCGCAGCAACGAGCGAACTTGGGAGATGGGAAAGGAAGTGGTGCGTGCGCTGGCTTCTGACGCGCACAGCGTGCTGACCCGCGCTTCCAGTAAACCAAACATCCCTGCTACGCTGGAATTACGGCGACCCGCAGTTGGGGACGTGTACAGAAACCATTCAGGGAGGTAATCACTTCCGATACTGGGTTCAGAATGGAGACAGCAAGAACAGGTGCGCGGTCATCTCGCATCATGAACGCCACGACTGACACTGCTTGCAGTGGTGCCTACTTCTTCGCCGCCTCGTATGAGATGCCCCTTGAGAGTACGTGCACCTGTCATCCCCTATTCACGCTAGTCTCACAATCACTCAGAGCACCATGACATCGTGCCCAACGGATACAATATCGGACGGTACGACGGCTATTCCCGTTCATTGAAACCACGGCTAAACTCGACGCAGAGACGAGATCGTGGGCAATATCACAGGTTCCGCGATACCCACCTTGAATCTCACGGACTCGAGCACGTACTCGGGTAACACGTCGTACGGCGGCTACACCTACTCGACGGACATCCGATACGTGTCCGGCCTGCTCTCGAATACGAGTGACGGCATCAACCACTATGCGACCGTCGAGGAGAATGGCCGGCCAGCTATCGACGGTTTGGTGGCGGTTTTGACCGTGCATATACTGGAGCGGCCAGCGAAGTAAGTGCCGTTGTTTGGCAGGTCGTGCGATTCATTGACGCGCTATCCTAGTGATGCTGCCTTCAACAACATCCCATTGACGCTGTCTGCTATATCGGTCTTTGCCGTCTCCTCCTTCCTGGCGACGCTCTTATAGACTAGATGGCCTGGTGGGTCACCCAATCGGTTCCGCCTTTCGCCAACTTGCCTCATGATGGCAGCGCTGCCATCCCATATGGACTCTCCGCACGACCTCCAGGATCCGCACCGCTAGCATACATCCACTTCAAGTCTTATGAGGTCCATCAGTTGTCCCGCGTACGCACTCACCCGCCTCGTCTCGCTTATTACCTGGCCCCCGATGCCTAGACGCATCGCATCGGGTCGCTGAACTTTCATACAATCGGAGAGGAACCAAGCAACTCGAACACCTATCCCAATACTCCGCTACCTGCACTTCATCATCCATTATTTACTCTATCCTATTCACAGCGCATACCCATCGCAAAGGGACATTGTATACCATCTGCTGGTTCATGAAGTACTGCAGCCGGTGCGTTCTGTTGCCTCGCGACGCGTGTCTGCAAGCGGGCGGCATTCTCACTTCGAGGCCCACCTTGTCTGTTGAGCGTCATCCATGCCTTGCAGCTAAGTTATACAATCCTCCCTCTCCCCTCCGCCGTACTCTCCGTATCCTGCAGATATTGGACCACTACTCGGACACTGCCTTAGGTCGCTTCACCATGGTATTTATTCAAGCGAGCTTCAACCTGCAGGCGGCATCCTATGAGCCTCAACCGGGGAATGGATGCGCTTCTACGCATCTGCACGGAAAGTACGTTCTCTCGATCTCGAGGCCATCAGTCTATGAAGGCCATGATCGCTCAGGATGAGGGCGGCCTGTTGATGTGAGGATGCGACGCGCGGGCAATACTTGACTCGGTTCATTGTCACCGGTCTCATGGCGGTCATGCGCGCTTCGATGACCCACCACGGGCGGCCGTCAGAGGGCTGACGAGACAATGGGCGCCTTGCAGTGAGCGCTTTGCAACCCGTCTGCGGTTAGACGAATGAGTCAGAAGAGAGTGCACTATAAATGAGTGGCTCAACGTGCGAGCTCGGTGTCGACCGCGTTCATCCCTCGCGGATCTACTGCGAAACAATTCAGTCTTCGCATCTCAACACAGACCACGATGTCTTCCGCCCCTCTTGTCCCGCCCTTCACCGAGGAGACAGCGCGAGCCAAAGTAAGCAGGGAACTTCGGGCTTTAAAGGGGGAACTGACTTGGTGTCCAGGTGAAGATAGCGCAGAACCTCTGGAATACGCGTGACCCGCATACAGTCGCGAAGGTAAGGCTCTTCTGCGTGCTGATCTTGCGATGGATCGTGGCATCGAAGGTGGCGAGAATGCCCAGTGCCGCCGTGGTCTTCCCGTGACTGCGAGTGCTCCAGCAGCCCTAGGTTGAGGCTGTTGGGGCTAAGATGCGGATAATATGCTGACCCAACCCTCCCAGGCCTACACACCTGATAGCATCTGGCGCAACAGGGACCAGTTCTTCACGGGCCATGACGCCATCGTCGACTTCCTCACCAAGAAGTGGGAGAAGGAGAACGGGTACGTGCTGCGCAAGGAGCTCTTTGCGTGGACGGAGAACAAGATAGCCGTTCAGGTGAGCGAGTCCATCATCAGCTGGCGATGGAACGGCGGTACTGGCTGGCGCAGCATCGTCAGCGGGTTGCGAAGTCTCCAGCTAACTTGGCATATCACTAGTTCTGGTACGAATACTACATCGATGGGCCAGACGGGAGGCAGTGGTACCGCTGCTACGGACTAGAGGACTGGACGTTCGCAGAGGATGGGAGGATGAAGAAGAGGCAGATGAGTGGGAACGACGTGCCCATCAAAGAGAGCGAGAAGTGGTATCATCAAGGGTGGACGCCGGAGCAGATCGATGCAGTAGCTATCAGCGAAGCGCATTGGTGAAGACTTTGCAAAGTCGCCTCCGAACCTGGAAGGTGGAAGAACGAAAGGAAGGTGCGCATGTCCGTCGATTCTCAGAGGGCAAGCATGCTAATCGCAAAGACAGATAACGCAGCTTGATTAGCGTGTAGCTGCTCTTGTATAATTTGACATCCAGAGTTCTTCTCCTTGGGTTTGTGACGCAGCGGTTTCTCTCAGCCACCAATGAAAGCCCTTCATCACTAGCCGCAGTACTACAGTTATTTGGTCAATCGATGCGGTGATCCTCGCAAATAGGTACGTGTTCCCTCAAAGCTTTGAGAACCTTTCGCAGTGAATTGCTCTTCAAGGTCACTGATAAATTTGCCTATGTCTGCGTCATCCAAGGACACTTATCTACTCCTCTGCTCGGGCTGTTTGCTTCTTCCTGCTTCCAAGTATGCGCCTGATCCGTTCTCGAGCGCAACTAGCCACATCATGTTCAGTGACGAACTGGCCCTCGCCTTACTCGCAGTTAGGTCACTACCTATATTTTGCCACATTACATCCGTCATCGGACGTACGATGTGCTCCCTCCGTCTTTATATGACGCACTCTAGTCCCTTTACTCCGCTGAATACCACATTCACGGAAGGACCTCAGCCGCGTATCGCCAGCCAACCACCGGCTGACATCGGTGGCATCGTCACGTCCAAAAGGTCGAAGTCAATTCCCAAAAAGGTAAGTTTTACGGCCTATTGATGCTTCGCGTACAGCCACAAGTGACGTTGGATCGATCTCTGATCTGAGAACATATCGCCAGGAACATGTGTTTCCGTTACCCGACCCGCTTACGGGCTGGCGATAGGCGCCCGCCCGCTGACGCGCTGACGTGCTAAAGTGAAGTGAGGTGAGGAACGTTCGCGAGGTCGCTTGCAGTCAGCGGGAGAGATCGCGAGGAAGAGCCGCTTTCCCGAGTGCACACGAAGGTAAAGGTGAACAACTGCTATTCCAGCGCGTTTTGAGAGTATACAAGGGTATGAGTACCGCTCTACGGGTACACTGATCTAATAGTACAAGATAAATAGCACGACAACATACAACAGAACAGACAGAGGCTAGCAGTACATGATGACAAGAAGGGGACGGGGATGGGGGAAGTGGATGTTGAAGGCGCGCGATGCTCTACGCGGTGATGGTGAAGCGTAGGCGGTCGCCATCGACCTCGCACTTGACCTTTTCCATGTTCTCGACGATGAAGTGCGCGCCGCAGTTCTCGATCTTGCTGCGCTCGTGCGAAGTGCAGACCGCGATGACGGTCGCGCCCGAGGCAACGCCGGCACGGATGCCAGAAGGCGAGTCCTCGAAGACCACGCACTTCTTCGCGTCGTAGCCCAAGCACTCGGCGGCGAGCAGGAAGGGGTCGGGCGCGGGCTTGCCGGCCTTGAGACGCTTGTCGTCGGCGGTGATGGTGACCGGAGGAGGGGTGATACCGACGCGAGTCATGCAGCCGTAGGCTGGAGGGGAAGTGAGCATCGAGAACGACTTCATATTCATGAAGATACGCACCATAAGTCTTTGCGCCGGAAGTCGCGACCGCGTAGCGGCCGGCGGGGATGGAATCAATCATCTTCTTCACACCAGGAAGAATGCGGACGGAGCGGTCGACAGCCGTCGCCTCAAGCTGCCACGCCTCGAGGGTGTGGCGCGCCTTCTTCTCCGCCTCGGACTCCTCCTCGAACACCTGGTCGTCGACCCGGATGCCCTCCTCCTGCTCCTCCTCGACGTCCGCGACCTGAGCCTCAGGCGCGGGGACCGTCGACATGTTGAGACGGCTCAGAAGAGTCGACCCGAACGACGGACGACGCGTGCCGACGAACGAGGCCTGACGAGAGCTGGGAGCGGAGGAGTCGGTGAGGGCGGGTGTGGTCGCGCCAGAGTCGATAGGGGTGACGGCGAAGGAGTTGGATCGCGTCGCGGGGCGCGACGGTGTGCGCGAACCCGGGCCGTGTACGTTGTACGCGTCGGCGAAGAAGAGAATGGACTCTTCGAAGTCCTGGACCGCGGCGTCCATCTCGTGGGCCTTGATGTGCGGCTTGAACTGGGCGAGGTTGTCGACCGCGCGCTTGCCGTGCGTGGCGGCGATAACATAGTGAGGATCCTGCCCAATGTCCTTCGCGACCTTGCCCCAGGCGGCCTCGACGGCCTGGATGGAGTCGGTCAAGGTGCCGTCCTGGGCGAGTGTCAGCACCGCGTCCGTCGAGCAGGGCGAGTTCGTGGACTCACCATGTCAAAGAGGACAGCGTCTGCGTGGAAAGTCTGCGACGTAGTCGACATAGCGAGTCTAGAATGTGCAGGTGGAAGAGATGTATGTGCGAAGGAGAGCTGGTTGCTGAGGATAGCCCTCCATCCTCGCCCGCTTATATACCCGCGCGGCCCCTAGAGGACTGGTTCCGTCATGAGCTGTTGACAAGGAAGCGCTCGTTTGCAAAGCAACCGTGACACACTGGCTCCTCCTTCCCAAAACAACAATGGCCAGGAGTTTTCCAGGATGGGAAGCCAAAGATGTCAGATTCCGATCGGGCGAGCGCCTCCCGTACATTGGTCGCGCGCTTCCGCGCCACTCGCAGATCGCGCTGCGCTCCACAAGGCACTTCCCGAATTTGTAGTCGAATTCTGTCCCCCGCCGCTTTCGGCGGATGTAGAGGGTCCCCCGCGGGTTTGGAGGCTGGGGCGCTGTGGGGAGGGCGTGGTCTCGAGGACGCCCAGAAGGACAGCATGGCAGAAAAGAACAGGGCGGATTCCGGAAAAGGAAGATGTAAGGGGACCACATGTCATCGCCCCCCTCCGTAAGTCTGGACCGCGTGCCGCCTCCCATGTGCTATCATCACCCATTCTTCAACGTCAGTGTCCGCCCGCTACTCCCTGGTGACCTATGTTCAACGCCGCTCCTGTGTCCGTGTGAAGGAGCCGCGCCCGCATCCTGATCACTGTCCGATTCTGCAGAGATACGCATGTTGCGCCTTTGCCGAGAACTGCACGTCATGGAGATTTCTTGGACGAATGGACGCTCTTGGACGACTTCTGTATCCTGGTCTCCGTGGTGGAGCTCCCATTCAGTCTGGTTGAATGCTGACTGACCCCGTCATGTCAGGCTATTGTTCCGATTCGTGAGGCTGCGCTAGCGTTCTACTTCATCTTCGCACCCTGCTTTGTTTGACGGCTTTGCGACTCTACGATAGTCCAGGCAAATCCCCTGCACTCTCGAAGCACGCCGGATGGTTGCGAGCTGCCCCTCTGTCGCAGGGAAACTATGTCCTTATCTGCACCCCACGACGATAGCAGACAACATGACAGTCGAAGTACAGGGGATCGACGAGGCGGACAGCCTCGTTGGAGCTCCAGGGGACATGCCCATGATTGCGCCTCTGTGACTGAGAAGGCAGGAGTAAGGGTCAACTCAAACGTTCGCATGGCGAAGCCAGCTAAAATTACGATGAGTCCGTAGCCTATAGAGTCGCTATGGCGTCGGGGACGAAGCAAGACCGCGCCGTGATTTAATTGTATACTGCATGCAATGCGGCCTCTCAACTACCGACGCTTCAGCCCTTCCACGCAGACAGGCGGGAGGACACCATCTTCCAGGGTGCTTGGTGGCGTCCTCGAAGGCGTTCCTCTATACAGCAGACGTCGCCTGAAAGCGCGGCTGTGGAGCTCCCCGGCACTCATTCGTCCTCCGTGCTATAGACCAGCGCAGATATTGGCCCGCCAAGAAGCGCGACAAGGCACTCCGCTGACTCATCGGCAACGCAGCTCGCGCGACTGAATGGCAGGCCCGCCCAAGCTTAGCCCCCGATGTGAAAAAGGCCGACTACGCCGCGAGGTTGTACGCATCATCTGGCGGGAGGGGTGGAGAGAATCATGGATCCTCAGCAGAAACGGGGTGAGGAGGGGCCGACTAGTCTGGGAGAAGGAGATGGGGAGGCGGGGTCAGATGACCAGTTGAACTTTGGAATAGGTCACGTGAAATAGACCCAAGTGATGTCGACATGCCGGAATCTCCGAGTGGGCAGTCAATCTCCCATTGACTGCTCGCTGCCGTCGCTCCTAACGGCGGACATGTCTTGTGTTCCGCTGAAGGGGGCAAATTTTCATCTAGATGAGTGAATGAGGGCACTTGGCACGGAGTCCCGATACCCATTGCTGGTAGAGATAAGGTGGCAATGCGTGCGATTTCAGGCGCAACTCCCTCGTAGTCGCTTGGCAGAGGCTGTATACAAAGAGATTTGTAGCTGGAGGCATGATTAGCATGAAAATCCTGTGCTAATCCCAGGTGAGAGCGTACAGCAACCGCGAGAACAGAACTCCGCCAGAGATTATCCTCGGAGTAGTCGCCACGCGCTCCCGCCCGAGTCCGCAAAATCTTGGACGCCAAAAAGGCGCACAATCGTCATCAAGAGCGCGAGAGCGGACAGTGTATCCGAGAGACATGCGGTTCGGACGATATGGAAGACCTCTAAGGATGCAGGCGCGGATCTGCGGAACACGAAGCAAACGGGGGTATCGTCCTTTTCTATAAGCAGAAGCGACAGTTACAGGGTGCGACTTTGACGAAGATTCAAAGGAAGGTCGTCAAAGGTCTTCCATGCTCGCAGAGACAGTCCGAAGCATCAAGGAAGTGAAACCAGAAGACGAGACGGTGCGAGCCTGTCGGGTGGGAAGACGCGAGGAGTCGCGCCATAGATAAGTCTCGTTGCCATCCAGGGCTTTATAGCAACAGCCCATATCCAGGTCTATGGGTGGCTGAGAGGCGGAGGGAATTTCAGAATTTGCGTACAATGATAGCCTAGAAAATGCAGACCAGTACAGGTCCAGCGACGGACTTGCCTACATTGAACATGCGACAGACGGCCAGGATTTTGCTGGGCATAAACTTGGAAAGACATATATTTCACAGGAGCAGCACCTGCTCTGGTCCAAAAGACTTGCCAAAGGGAGGATGCCAGGACCGCAACGATGACCAACAGCGTCGAAGACAAGGCTGGTTCGGCAAACACCGCATGTGGCGTTTGCTTGGATGTATTTGTGGCGCTCGTCGGTCGGCCCTTCCCCCCACCATGGCACCATCACCGTCATGTCCTCACCGCGGACCACGGCGTGCGCCTCCCTGCAAATATACCGTCTACCCTTTCGGAGACCACTTTCAGCCCTCCGAATCGGCGTCCAAACAAGCAATTGCTGCAAGAGCGGCCCTAAAAACATCTGAAGCTCAACTCTCCGATTCGGATGCCCTTTCCTGCGGGCCCGATGTGGGCTCGTATACTCAGTGCAACGCGTCCTCAACCCACTCTCATTGAAGTCAGTTCGCTGTCTGTGGGTCGGGCGCTTCTGCGAGGTGGTAGACGATGCCAGCGACGCGGTAGACGATGCGAGCGAGCTCGCAGCGCCGCGTTGGTATATAAGAGCGACGGGCTTGAAAATGGGCCGCAATCTGCAAGCTCGTTCCTCTGCAAGCCTCTACATACTTGCGTCTCTCTACCACCCAGCTTACAAGTACAATGGCTCCTCCTGTTACTCTTCCCACCCGCTTGATTGGCGACACGCCGGTGTCTGCTATGGGCTTTGGCGCGATGGGCTTTTCGGCCTTTTATATCCCCAAGGACAAGACGGATGAGGGCCGTCTGAAGGTTAGTGTCTTCGGAACCATTTGAGTCAGTATGCTTACAAGCTCGCTTCCCAGGTCCTCGACGCCGTATACGAGAGCGGCTGCACCTTTTGGGTACGACAAAAAAGCGCTGCGCGCAGCCGACTCGCCTCCTTGCTCACACTTCATCTCACAGGACACCTCTGACGTCTACGGCGACAACGAAGGTGTGTCACTTTCTTCTTCTTCTATCCCCTCGCACACTCACCTCCCCCCTCGCACACTCACCTCCCCCCGAACACAGACCTCATCGGCAAGTGGTTCGAGCGCACCGGGAAGCGCGACGACATCTTCCTCGCGACCAAGTTCGGCCTCGCGCACGGCGACCCCTCGCGGAAGGTGAACTGCGACCCGAGCTACGTGCGCACGGCCTTCGAGAACTCGTGCCGCCGCCTGAAGACGGACCACATCGATTTGTGGTATGTGCATGTGGGTGTTGCGCGATGTTGTTTTCTAGGTGTCAGTGGTTGACTTGAGGGTTCTCTCAGCGCGCGGACCCGACGGTCCCGATCGAGCTCACCATCAAGGCCATGGCCGAGCTGGTCAAGTACGTCCTCGATTGCTCGTACTTCCCCCCAACCCTCACTCACTAACGCACCCCCCAGAGGAGGCCGCGTCAAATACCTCGGCCTCTCCGAGGTCTCCGCGCGCACCCTCCGCCGCGCGCACGCCGTGCACCCCATCGCCGCGCTGCAGTCCGAGTACTCGCCGATCACGCTCGACATCGAGGCCGAGGACGAGGTGCACGGGGTGATGAAGGCGTGCCGCGAGCTCGGGGTGAAGGTCATCGCGTACAGCCCGCTGGGGAGGGGGTTCTTGACGGGGCAGATTGTGAGTGGCGGGTTCTTCCTTGCCTTTGCCTTTTCCAAACGCCTTCTCCTTTCCCAAGCGCCCTGCTTGCCCGAACACCCTCCTTGCCCAAGCGCCTTCTCCTTTCCCATACGCCTTCTCTCCTTGCCAAATTTACGCCTCTCCTTGCCAAATCTACGCCTCTCCTCACCCTCCTCACTCTCCTCACCCTCACCCTCACCCTCCCCACTAACCCTCGACCCCCCAGAAATCCCGCGCCGAGCTTGACCCGGACGACTACCGCCTCCTCATCCCGCGCTTCTCCGAGGAGAACTTCCCACGCGTGCTCCAGCTCGCCGCGGGGCTCAAGGCGATAGGGGAGAAACATACTGTTGTCATTGATGGGAAGGCGCAGCCAGCCACCGCGGGGCAGGTCGCGCTGGCGTGGGTGCTCGCGCAGGGGGAGGACGTGATCCCGATCCCGGGGACGACGAAGGAGAAGGTGAGTGGGGAGGGACTCTCATCGCGCAGTCCACTGGCAACCGCGCAGTCCACTTGCCAGCGCGTAGTTCACTTGCCACCGCGCAGTCCACTTGCCACCACGCAGTCCCCTTACATTCTGAGAACCGTCGCTCACCGTCATCTCCAGTACCTCAAGGAGAACATCGCTGCGCTGCAGCTCGAGCTCACCGATGCAGAGCTCGCGCAGGTGCGCAGGGTCGCGGAGGAGGCGCAGGCGTCCGTCGGGGACCGCGTCGACAGCTCGTTTATGCCGACGCTCTTCGCGGAGACGCCCGAGTTGGCCTGACGCGGAGACGCCCGAACTGCCGGCGTGAGGGCGTGGCGAGTTGGCGGGGTGAGGACTCGGATAGGGCGAGGTGGCGGCGTGAGGGTGTGAGGGGTGGAGGTGAGGGCCCTTGTGCTTGCAGAGTGAGGGCGTGAGGGTGAGCCGGCAGCGGGAAAGCGAAGGTGTCAAGTCAGATCGCAGTATGGAAGAATGAGAAAGCGGAAGGATAGGTAGAAAGCGAAAGGACAGCCTGGAGGTAGAAATGAGAAGTACTCCGTCACAAAATATCGCGCTGAGGCTCTACCCGCATACGCGCAGGTTCTCTACACGCATACGCTCTGGCTCGACATGCAAACGCGTAGGCTCGACATGCATACGCTTTGGCTCGACTGCATACGCTTGAGCTCTACACGCATACGCTCTGGCTCGACTGCATACGCTTGAGTTATACACGCATACGCTTTTAGGCTCTGCACGCATACGCGCAGGCTGCATCGCTAGGTTCGGATCTCGCGTGCAGACAAGTAGACCGTGAATGCAGACCAGGAGACCGTGGTGCAACGCCCAGAACCGTGCATATACTTGCAACGCCCGAGACGGTAGCGAACTGACGCGCCCGAGATGGACTGAGGCGCCCGAGATGGACTGACGCGCACGCGAGTCGGTGAACTGACGCGCCAGAGCCTGAGGGTAAGCTCACGCGCGCCAGATACTTATGAACTAACGCACGCGAGAGGGTCACTCAGAACAGAACGCCCTCGGGTCCTACGCGGCGCCCTCGAGCACAACGCCCACATCACATGCAGTAGAAACAACCGAGAGAAATGCAGCGTGGCGTGCTCTGCGCGAGAAGTCCTGCGTGAATTGTCCCATTGCGTCTAGTCCGCACTACGTCTATGAGTATCGCTAACGCCCTCGCGTCCCACCCCACCTCACCCTCACTGTGGACCCCAAACCGGGTTGTAGCCACCCGACTTTTCACCCGATGAAAGCAGTAAAAAGGCCCATCAAACCGAGTGAACTCAAGGAATTTTAACCATAAGACACGGTGACTCGAGTAGGTGAAAGCACCCTGACAGCAGGGTGAATTGATGAGTGAAAGGAGCCCGGTGAGAACCCGCTGGTTGGGTGAATTACGGCGCAACCGGGTCTGGCCCGCGAGGCTGTTTTGCTGCTCACACAGCATTCAAATGTGCAGGGCTAGATATGAGAATACAAAATGTATAGAGGGCGAGCAGTAGAGACTATTGGGGCACAAGGGGTCGTACATAGGGATGCGCGGGAAGTAAAGCCACGCCGAGGGCGTGGGGACACCGCCCGAGGATGATGACGGGAAGGCATGCGTAGCCTGGCGCGTGGTGCCCTTACAGTACTGGTGTATTGGACACATATCTGCAATGGTGTCAGTACGTATGATGGGTGCACGTAGCTGAGCACGCACCTTAGCTGCATCGCGCTGGGGCTATGACGAGGGCCCACAACTTGTTTTCCGCGTCCTTCCCGCACCTCTTCCTCATCATGTCACGTCTTCCAGCACTTGCTCTCGCTCCGAGGGCGCGGCGAGTGGATGAACTTGAGGCGTCATGAGCCAGGAGAGTGGTAGAAGGAGACAACGAACGCTCCGCTTTGACCGCTAGACGTGGCGTCATCATTTTCGATGCACGTGACAGACGGACTTGGAGATTTCGTCGCGTCTGGCCTATGGCCACAAGTGAGCGTGTGGCCGAATTGTAGCAGCCGTGGACGGCCTTCCTCGTGCGTGATATCATTAACGCTGGTGCGTACATATTTATTTTGTATCTTCAGACCATTTTCTCTTGATTGCTGGCCACGGTAACACCGAAGGCAGAAGCGGGCCTCATGTTATGGCGGTGACACCACGAAAAGTTGGTAGCCGCACTCATTAGCAGCAAGTAATTGTATCGCAGTCACGAAAACCTCAGTCCTGCAGTAATCTATAGATGATAGCCCATAATATAATCAAAATACCTAATTCACCCTGTTTTTACCCTGCTCAACCATGTTTTAACCATCGCAGTGGGTGAATTTGGGACACGACCATGTTATCGGGTGAAGGCACCGGTGACTGTAACCCGGTATGGGGTCCACAGTGCCTCCTCCCTCTCTCTTCCTCCCTCTTTCATCCCTCACCTCCTACCCTCCTAAATCCCCCTCCCCCTTCTCTCTCCCACCCCCCAACAAAGAAAATCAACACCTAACCTAAAACAGCGCCCCGGTCGCCAAACGACCTAAAACACCACCCCACCCCTCAAAACACCGCCCCCGCCGCCAAATGCCCCGCGGCCATGATCCGCCAAATCCCAAAGAACCCACCGAGGGAGGCGAAGGTGGGCCGGGTGTCGAAGATGTCGTGCTGGGCGCCTGTTGTCTCTTTCATTAGTATTTGGGGGGGGGTTTGTTAGTATTTGGGGGGGAAGGGGAGGGAGGAGGAGAAGGGGGAGAGGGCGGGGAGAGGATGGGGGAAAAGGGAGGGGAAAGAGGGGAGGGGGAGGGGGGTTGTTAGGAAAGGGAGGGGGAGGAGGGGGAGGAGGCGGGTGGGAAGGGGAGGAGGGGTGGGAAGGGGAGGAGGGGTGATAGGGGGGATGAAGCGAATACATGGCCATGAGCCGAAGCGAAGACACAACGGCGACGCGAAAACACAACGGCGACGCGAAAACACAGCGGCCACACGAAAACACGCCCACGCACCATCCGCGAACCCCATCCGCGCGTTGTACCCCGGGAACTTGAGGTGCCCGCGTGCGTCGGCCCATTGGCTTTCGTGCACGGTGTT